CATCAGACTCAGAGGCAGAAACCGTACGGCGGACCCCGCAGCAATGATCGACTGTGGCGCTACTGGCAAATTCTTGGACAAGCCTTTTGTGGAAAAGCATCGGATCACCACGTATCCACTCCGACACCCCATTCGGCTCCTCAATATTGATGGGACCCCAAATCAGGCTGGACACATCACTCACTTCGCTCGCTTGGAACTCACGGTTGACGGTTACTCCGAATGGACGGACTTCCTCATCACCGATCTCGGGGGAGAGGATGTCATCTTGGGTCTTCCTTGGCTTCGCAAGATCAACCCCCAGATTGATTGGCGCAAGGGCACCTTGGAGATTCCCCCACCTCGTGTCTCCAGTGTTACCATCGAAGAAATCCCCGACGAAGATGCACAGCCCCCTCGAAAGGAACCACCCTCCGGCAATGCTATTATCGAACAGATCTACAACGACCCTGATCCGCCTGTTCCTACCAACAAGTTCCCGGCGCCCGACCCCGACTTTGAACCAAGCGCGCCTCCTCTCTGCCGCATCCGCGCTAACCGAATGACCCGGCGGAGATGGGTTCGTAAGGGGTTGATGGGAAGACACAGGCGACGAACTTTGGTGCGCCGCTGGTTTCACCTATTCCCAACAGATCGCCGAGAAAGTCCCAGAAGGCCAAGCCCCAGAAGTCGTTCGAAGAGATGGTTCCTCCCCAGTACCGACAGCACGCCTCCGTCTTCTCCGAATCCGAGTCCCATCGCCTCCCCGAACACAAGCCTTGGGATCATGCCATCGACCTCGTTGCAGGAGCACCGGCCACCATGCGCACCAAGGTCTACCCCATGTCGCAGAACGAGCAGGAGGAGCTGAACCGATTCCTCGAGGAGAAATCTCAAGAAAGGCTACATACGACCGTCTAAATCGCCCCTCGCCTCCCCGGTCTTCTTCGTTAAGAAGAAAGATTCGGCAAACTCCGCTTCGTCCAGGATTATCGAAAGCTCAACGAGATCACGGTAGAAGAACCGATATCCACTTCCCCTCGTCTCTGACATCGTCAACCGACTCCGTGGTGCCAAGTATTTCACCAAGTTCGACGTTCGATGGGGCTACAACAACATCCGCATCAAAGAAGGAGATGAATGGAAGGCCGCGTTCGCCACCAACCAAGGACTCTTTGAGCCCCTGGTCATGTTTTTCGGCCTCACCAATTCCCCAGCAACGTTCCAGGCCCTCATGAACTCGATATTCTCGGACCTCATCGCTTCAGGAAAGGTCGCTGTTTATTTGGACGACATTCTCATCTTCACGGCCACCCTTGACGAACACCGCCAAGTCGTGCACGAGGTCCTCCATCGGCTCAAGAAACACGACCTCTACCTTCGTCCGGAGAAATGCGAGTTTGAGCGGGAGGAGATCGAGTACCTCGGTCTGGTCATCAGGGAGGGAGAAGTCCGTATGGACCCTGCCAAGGTAGAAGCTGTTCGCAACTGGCCTGTTCCCCGCAACCTTCGCGCCGTCCGTGGATTTTTGGGTTTCGCCAACTTCTATCGCCGTTTTATCAAGGACTTTGCTACCATCGCCCGGCCTCTCAACGATCTCACCAAGAAGGACATCCCTTGGCAGTGGAACGAACCGCAACAACAAGCCTTCGATACCCTCCGAAACGCGTTCACCTCCCGCTCCAATACTGACACTATGGGACCCTGACCGTCCAACCCGCGTTGAAGTAGACGCCTCTGGCTTTGCTACTGGAGGAGCCCTCCTTCAGAAGCTCGACGATGGACTCTGGCATCCTGTTGCCTTCCGCTCCGCCTCCATGCAACCAGCCGAACGCAACTACGAAATCTACGACTCGAGAAATGCTGGCTATCATCGAAGCACTCAAGGACTGGCGACATTTCCTGGAAGGACTCCCCAAACCGTTCGAGATCGTCACCGATCATTCCAACCTGGAATACTGGCGCACGGCACAAGACCTTAGTCGACGACAGGCCCGGTGGTCCCTCTATCTTTCCCGTTTTAACTTCACGCTCACCCATCGTCCCGGAAAGGCCAACACCCAAGCCGATCCCCTGTCCCGCCTCGACATTCATCAGGTCGCAGACGCAGAGGATAACAAACAACAAGTCGTTCTCAAACCAGAATTGTTTGCCAAGCTCGCAGCCGCCCACACCGTCCTTGCCAACCCCCTCGAAGACCGACTGCGTCGAGCCAGCGCCCGTGAATCTCAGGTCTTAGACGGACTCGCCCAGCTCCCGTAAGTCAGGACCTCGCCGTCTCACATCTGGACTTCCCGAATGGGGAAGAGGACAACGGCCTTGTGTACTACAAGGGCCGTGTGTACGTACCCCCGGACGACGAACTCAGGCGCGATGTCCTCAAGCAGTGTCATGACGACCCCACGTCCGGACACCCCGGAGTGCACGGAACCCTCGAGCGAGTTGAACGACAGTACTGGTGGCCCACGATGCGGGCTTTCGTCAAGAAGTACGTCGACGGTTGCGATGTCTGCGCCCGGAGAAAGCATACCCAGCACCCGCGGGCTGCCACCCGGCCTTTGGACGTTCCCGAAGGGCCTTGGGAGACAGTAGGAGTCGATCTCATCACCCAGTTACCGGAAGCCCATGGACACGACGCGATCATCGTCTTCACCGATCACTACAGCAAGGTTCTTCATGCTCTCCCCTGTACATCCGACATCACCACCGAAGGCGTTGCAGACATCTACTACCGTGAAGTATTCCGTCTCCATGGTCTCCCACTCCGGTTCATCAGTGATCGAGGCCCTCAGTTCGCTTCTAAGGTCATGCGCACCCTCCTCAAGCGTCTCGGAATCGAGTCCAACCTCACCACCGCCTATCACCCTCAAGCCAATGGACAAACCGAACGGGCCAACCAGGAAATCGAGAAGTATCTCCGTCTTTACGTCTCTCGCCGACAGGATGACTGGGACAAGCACCTACCGATGGCTGAATTCGTGATCAACTCCCGCGTCCACTCTGCCCATGATCGTTCACCTTTCGAAGTTCTCTATGGGTATATTCCCCACTTCAACATCCCCATTGGCAAACGGACCGACCTTCGCCTCGTTGATGAACGTGTTCAGCAGCTACAAGAAGCCCGCAAGGATGTGGAAGCTGCCTTACGTCTCGAGAAAGGCCCAGCAGAAGGATGCGTACGAGTCCGGCAAGCGAACGGCTCATCAATTCAAGGTTGGCGACTACGTTTGGCTTAACGCGAAGGACATCCAGATCAAGGTTCCGTCCCGCAAACTCGGCGACCTCCAACTCGGCCCGTACAAGATTACCGAACGCATCGGCGACCTCGACTACCGCGCTCGAACTTCCCCCGTCCCTCTCCCGCATTCATCCTGTGTTCCACGTCGACAAGCTCTCCCCCTGGAAAGGCAATGATGTCAATGGCATTTTGCCACCCCCGCCTGAGCCTGTCGAACTGGAGGGGGAGCTTGAATACGAGGTTCACGACATCCTGGACAGCCGTTGGAGAGGTCGAGGAAAGAATCGCAAACTGGAGTATTTGGTCAGTTGGAAGGGTTATGGGTCGACGGACGACACTTGGGAACCGGAGGAGAACTTGGAGCACGCGCCCGAGATCGTGAAGGAGTTCCACCAGCGACACCCCTCTGCACCACGCCGAATTTCCGCTACCATCTTCAGCTCTCTCCCATGGCGCCCACTCGAGAATTTCACCGACGCCCCGCCTACCGACTTTGACTGGGAACTGGGACGCCGCCTACCGTTGGTCATCGAGGACGATGAGGCTTAGAAGGGGGGTAATGTCGTGAACAGCGCGGTACAGCCCCTATTTTTCACTTTATCTTATCTGATCTGTCTCGCATCTTATCGTTTCGCTTGCCCCTATTCCTTCGCTCCTTTATTCCCTCTATGGACTCTTTCACTCATGGAACACTGCCTCGTATTACCCTTCGCCCCACTTCCATTGTTCTTATTGTTACGCACTGCCTCTTGACTCATTCTGACACTCTCTTGTTCCATTATTGTTTCATCCTTGTTCTTCGCGCAGCCTTCGCGCAGCCTCATGACCTTTCTTATTGTTCTTCGACGTCTTCGCCATTTGTTTGTCATTTTGACTCACTCGCGGCTATGTAGACTGTAGAATAGGTATATAAGCTAGGTAGTCTGCTCTGTATTTCCTCAGCTTGACCTCTTCGTCAATACATCGCTTCCGCCTTCATCTGCATTCGTCGCTCATCGCTCTTATCTTACTCGCCGCTCTTGTCTGCTCCGCATTACTGGTCTTTGGTTTGGTTTAGTGTTCGCTCTTCGCGACACCGCCGAAGTGTTCATTTGTACCCCCATTTCGGCCTCACTGCCCCAGCTGAATGGAAGAGCAGCAACGTCCTGGATCTATGTAACACATTCTACCTCAACCCGTTCAGCGATAACCCCTGTTACCGGATAGTAACTTGATTCCTTACCTTGGGTGTACTCTTAGCTGTATTGGTAGGCCTTACATGATTTCTTTATCAGCACCCCAGAAAATGCGTGGCATTCGTTTTTTTGACATATTCATGTTCTCTCAAGGGTAATCTAATAAGCTGTATGGTTATTCTCCCTTAGATCGCGACGGACGTCCTGGAGGGGAACACTAGTTGCCTCGGGGAGTGCGCTGAGGACCGTGGGACCTTTCCCCCAGATCCATGACGTAGTTCAAAGCTGCCGATTTGGCTCTGCAGCTTTGAACTACGTCATTTCCCCCAAGGTCACCGTCGAGATTCCTTCCTGGTATAGCCAGGCTCATGTGTTCCAGATAGGCCTATGGAGGCTTACTTTATCCTATCTTCACTATTTAACTGTCAGAGTACACAAAAATAGATGCTCGGGGTACAAAATAGTCGCGTCAGGTCCACATTACCGTCAATTAGGTCTAATTACTGTTTTGGGTTTTTCCTGATGTTTACATCTACTTTATGAGGGTGTACAGCCACTATGCCAACCACCCTCGTGGAATCAAGCTGCTCGAACCTATCATCACGTCCATGGAGATTCCAGAGGATTGTGTCGAGTTCTCAGTCGATGCTTTCCGCACCCGGGTTGACCTTCTGCAGAGGATGGATGAATCTCCTCACCTCTTTACTCTCTGCGACAACGAATCACATGGGAGTATGATCAAGGACGAAAAGGCCCTTGTCGTCAAAGGTAAGGGGCTTGAAGGGGTGGCGACTTGCTCCAACTGCCACTCGGCCTTTTACTGCGATCCCATTTGCCAGAAGGAGGACTGGACACGACGGCACAAAGCGCAATGTTCAGCAATGCGGTCGCGCTACATCGGTACGTCATTGAATCTATCTTTCTATAATTTTTCATCGGAGTGGATGACTGATTCACTATTCAGAGAACGAATCTATCAACGCGGGGCTCTCCTATCAATATCGTCTCTTCTCCATTCAGTTGACTCTATTGACTCTCGACGGAATCGAGGACGCTACCGTCACACGGGGCAAGTCGCGTGTCCCGTCATCCGACACTATGGCTATGGAGCTCATAAATGACAAGTGTGTTAAACCACTAGATGCTGTAGTTTTTATTCATAATATACGGTTATATCCATCTATACATTATTCATAAAAACGCGGTTACCCATGCCCACATTTTTATTCATAACGCGTAGAGCCACCAGGGTGTCTTGGCATAGCACAGCTCCTTTCCAAACTCGGATGTATCCCCTTGGAAGCGCTTGGCGTGACATCACCACAGCGCCAATTCCCAAAGTGGTCACCCCGCTCCTCACAGCGGCACAGCCTCTAGCCCGTCAGGCTAAATTTAAGTAGCGGCGGAAAACATGTGTTTGATCCCACCTTTGTTGCCACCTCAGCGCTCGCGCTCAGCGCTTGAACCACGAATGAATCATGAATAATATGTGTTGGCCAGTGTCGAAATGTGCCACGTCACCTCACGTTACATCTAATTTTCTCATCAACAGTATGTTTGTTTTTCACTTACTCGGTAATTGGGGACACTGGGGACTTGGGACTTTTATATAGTACAAGCTAGAGCGGGCTCGTGCTCGACGTTTGCAGCGACCGCATGCACCATACAGTAAGAATCTGTTCCAAACACTTTGAAACAAATTGTACCGGGGGATTGACATGTTACGACGCGCGTCTTGCGCGCATCGATTCTCGGAATCGGATAATTCCGGCCATCTGAGGCCAGATGCCGCCCCTGCCGGAAAACATAAATTCGTCCCTGGTCGCTGCCTGCGGGGTACTCTCCTCCACCGAAAGAGCCTGTTGCTTTCGATCACCCTCTGGTCTCGATGTATGTACACAGATTTGAACACCGAAGGGCATTAAAATAAAAATGAGACGAAATCCGAAATTCTGTGAAGGCAAGCATGATTTCACCTATGCAACACAGTAGGATGTGCTTTGACTTCTGGTCTGTCTAATCTCTTTGCTGGTACAGGGTACACTAGTGACCAGAATCCGTTGCATACTATCAGACCATTGTACCGATGTCTAGGCAAATGGAATTACCCTTCAACAGGTGTGCTGGGGGCCCATCACTAAGGCTTAAGGGTATGGTAGGAAAGATGTGCCTGCTCTGGCTGCGCCATTTCGCCTATCGTCCTGCCACTTTACGCGGCGTTTGGTGTGCAATATCCGTTTGTTATTTCCGAGTCTTGAAGCGACTGAAGGTCTGTATCCGTACCGATGGAGCAAACGCTGATCACAGCTGATTAGGGTCTGTCTCTCTCGGATATGAATCGATTGTGATAAAACTGGGTGTGCGAGGCGTCTTAGGTAGATTGCGTCTTTCTAGAAAAATTCATAATAATCGAATCACGCTGTAAAGAACAATGGCTGATATTGTATGGGGGAGACTCCCAGGACAAAGCAGCTCACTACAGTGCACACTTTAATCGCGTTGAGCTAATACTACGTACAGCTATAGAGGCCCGTAAGAGGATGCTGCGTACCAAAGTTCAAAATTCCTAGTGCACGGAAACACGTAGAATAGGTATTCCAAACATATTCCAGTGCCTGGCACATTGGGTCCTAATCGGTAGATCAAGGAGGGATAGGGGCTTGATACTTGGGATACCGATAGGTAGACATATCATCGTTCTCTCTCCAAGGTTTGAGGGAGCTCGGCCCAGTCGATCCCCTGATAATGCTAATGTTTTCCAGCCCTGACAAACGGAGAGATATCAGACACTATCCCAATTGGGAAGGGCGGGAATGATGCTCTCTGTCGGTCAAGAAGCTCGGTACCATGCTTCTGACTTCTCTGATGGACAGGGAAGTTGATTGAACGCCCCATTAGGACTGGGGTTTTTATGAATAACTACGTGAGGCCCCAGATCCACGTTTTTATGAATAATTCATTCACGGTTAAACCGTGTAATTATAAATAATTTCTACGTATAGCCCTCGTTAAACCACCTGTTGCCATTTGTATGACCATGGAGGATTTCGTTGAGACCTACTCTGCGGCGAAGATAGGTCGTGTAGCCGCAGAGCGCATGCGGGAGATGGCTACAGCGGTCGTTGAGAAGCGCGAGAAGGGTTGCCAATCGAAGCTGGTTGCTTCCATCCTCACAGCCGTTCCTCAGTACCAATTTGTCCTGGTAATGGAAGTGGGAAAGGACAATAAATTGGGGAAGTATGTCTGTCTTCAGCATGTCGCTAGTATCCAGTGAGTTTCTTTCCCCCCTTCATTGCCAATCATTTTTGCTCTGGTTACTAACGTCTGAAATTCGAATATAGGGATCGGGTGAATGGTGCACTCACTCAGAGTGCCATTGAAGCTGGGGTTATGGCGTCGTTGGGAGGTGCATTTGAGCAAAGAGGACAGAGGCTCGACCTCTGAACTATATGGTACTGAGCACCGTGAGGAAAAGTTGCGTTTCAAGCTCAATGTACTACTCTACTATTCGGGATCGTGTCATTAGTGAATAAGTACTGTGTCGAAACGGTACCTCAGTAGTCTACACGTTAGGGCAAGCTGAATATGATCTACATTGAATTCAGATACGATGATGTGAGCCGCTTTAAGTTAAGAGTTTGTGCAGGAGGGACGAATGAGCGATGTGATACCATCTCAGCAGCATATGTCGTTTTCCAGTCAAAGTCGGTGTACGCGTACAGCGGCGAGCGCCCATAGTCAATCGCGATTCAAGGCGGCGTCGTGAACTACAAATTGAAACGATGGTTGATCACTCACTCGACGACGGTGGGTATTCTGTGCTGCGCCGTGAAGAGTCATGTAACAGCAGGCGCTGGTTCGTCGCTACACCATACCTATTTGAATGAATATATTGAGATCACAAAAAATGGGGAGCCGCAACGCTGCGAACGAAAACCGGTCGGCTGACTAAGTGGACAGCCACCGGCAATGTGTCAAATGGCTCGCGCGGGCGCTCGCTCACAGCACCATGCTCGACATGGCCTCTTCTCACTTGAATACACTAGTATGTTATATATTATAGGGTAGTTTAATGTTCAATACACATTATGCAGCAGCTAAAAGTACAAATTAAGCGGATTTGTCAAAGTAATCATACTCGTACCGAGTCTAGTCATCTTTAGCAACTGTCCTTGGGTTCTCTTCGTCTACCGGGGTATATCCAAAGGTGGGGTATCATTCTGGGGTCCATTTCGTGCTCTATACCTGATAGCAGCGCGTATTAGGACTTCTTTCCGCATAGCATTCGTCGTCATCTTCGACTTTAGAGGTACCCGGACCTCCTGTGGAATGTCTGGAAGTCCCTTCTCTGCATTCCGATGGTAGTCCAGCTGCTCGTTAAGTTGATCTTTGGTGAGTTTCTGAATCTCTGACTCATCTAGGACAAGCTTCCGACTCGTCACTTCCAACGCTGCCAACCGATCCTGTTGTTTCTGCTTCCTTGCAACTTCCTTGAACAAATTAGCTTCAGCCTTCTTCCTGTCCGCTTCCACCTGCCGTTTTTTCATCTAAAAGTGAGTTATTAAAACGCCTTAGAGAATATTTACTGAGACTGACCAGATACGTGGGTATATGCAGGTATATGTGACAAGAATTGGCACGCGCGCCTCTCGACTACCCGCGCTAACGCGTAATAGGGGCGTGTGACACTTTGATCTGACCGCATTGGCACACGATTTTTTGGGAACTCTTTTTCTAATTCAGTACCTCAGATACCGTTCTGAAATTTTGCATACACCTTCTCCTTGTCTGTCTCTAGGAGCTCTGTAGATTAGATTTGTGACTCTAGTAGTCAGAGTATGCGAACTCTACTCTATCTCTAAGCCTTTGACAGATAATAAAATTTCAGTCTATACACCTCCTCGAGTCTCTGGTTCTAATTAAGTTGGTGTTTAAATTTGAATCATACATTTTACATGGCAGTCGAAACTTGGATTTTACTGGAGGAGCTGTCTTGAATGAGGCGGCCAAACAGGGTCAAATACCATCACTTCCCCCTACGATTGCGGCTCCCCACAAAAAAGGTTATTGTACAAAAATGATCGCGAACCCTGACAAGCCGCAATCAAAGTCAATCATACTATCGTGTGGTCGGAGGGAAACTATCAAAAAAGAATGACGAAAACTCAGATTTGGGTTGAAACGTTTCGAACCACCCCGGTTCGCCCAGAAAATCCTCCAAGATCTCCATCTGCTTAGGCGACGGCCTTCGGTGGTGGTAAAGTTTGCTATTTTTCGTGCAGCCGAGGGCAAAGACCTTCACGGCCCTCTTACCGTCCTGGTCGTAGGCCATGCCCTCCTCCTCGCTCTGAGCGTCGGCTTTGACGGTCGTGAATTTCAGCCCGTGTTCGAGTTTCGCTCCGAGTTCGAGACGCCTGATGATCTCGGCGGCGTTGAGGAACAGGCGATCTGGTGTGGATGGCGGGAGCCGCAGGCGCTTCAGGATCTTCTTGGCTTTTCTCTCACACACGGGGAAACCGTAGATAAAGTACCCTTCGTATGCTGTTTGGTAGTCAGGCGGGAGGGGCTTCCAGGTTGCGAGACCAGGGTAGGAGGGGGAATGGCACGGGGGTATCTTCCCCTGTAACATCTGAAAAGTGGTTGCACATTGGTCAGTAGACTGCGACGCGTCGCACAAGTGGAGGAGGTAGTGTACGAACGCAAGAGCGACAGGTGTCGCATTTGATGTGGGCCACTTTACGTTGTTGTTCTGGAGTAAGAGTTGTGGTCCTTGGACTCGGTGTGACTTGATCCTTCTCGGGTGTGGCCTGCCCTGCGCTTCCAAGGCTATTGTCACTTGTGTTCGCGTGTTCTTTGCTCTGTGCTTCTCTGACAGTGGTCTCGTGTTCCTGTGGATTTCGAACGTCCTTTAGGTATATCCAATGGGTGTGTATAAAAGGTGGAATGTACCATTGCAGCAGGGTACGGTTCGATATTGGAAGACGTGGCTAATCAAGACCCGTCGGCGGTGTCGCTGTCATGAATCATGATTGGTTTGAACACCGCCGGGCGCGTGGCGGTGCTGAGGGCACATCAACTCGAGCGGCTGGCGCATCATTGATCGGAGTCAACCTTGGGCGGGGGCTCCCCAGCAAGACACTAGAAATCTCAATGGGCCTCTCAACAACTGGTTCCACTTACAGTACATGAACTTTAACGTAGGAAATGGGCGTTCCCCTTGGGTGCTCCGTCATACCTATTAAATGTACATAAAATATATAGCCAAGGTGGTACTACGTGTGCAAAGCGATGTGATCGCGACCGGCGACCACTTCTAGCGCTCCAAACGACCCATCGAACAAAGCTACTCACACAGCGTTAGACGTCAGCGCCTACGATACCTCTCACATATATATGCCGAAGGTAAATCGTTGAAAAAGAAAGTCTGGTATTCGGATTTGGGTTGGAGTGTTTCGAACCACCTCGGTTCACCCAGGAAGTCCTCCAAGATCTCCATCTGTTTAGGCGTCGGCCTCCGGTGGTGGTAGAGTTTGCGGTTTTTCGTGCAGCCAAGGGCCAAGATGTCCACAGCCCTTTTGCCATCTTGGTCGAACGCCATGCCCTCCTCCTCGCTCTGCGCGTCGGCTTTGACAATCGTGTAGGTCAACGCGTGTTTGAGTTTCGCTCCGAGTTCGAGTTGCCTGGTGATTTCGACGGCGTGCATGAACAGGCGATCCGGTATAGATGGCGGGCAGCGCAGGCGCTTCAGGATTCTCTTTGCCTTTTTCTCGGACAGAGGGAAGCCATAAACGAAGTAACCTTCATATGCTGTGCGGTAGTCGGGCGGGAGGGGCTTCCAGGCTGCGAGACCAGGGTAGGAGGTAGAGTGGCATCGGGCCATCTTGCCCTGTAGCATCTGAGAAAGAGAGGTAAGTATTCCGCTATGGGCACAAGTAAACAGAGGTAGTGGACGGACGCAAACACGACAGTTATCGCATTTGATGTGGGTCACTTTACGTTCTTGCTCCGGAGTGAGGGCCATGTCGTTCATATTCGAAACAGTTCCCTTTCATCCATTCGTGTAAGTCACTGGGGACAAACTTGGGGAATACGGTGTTCATACCACTTTGTCAATTCGAGTCGGCGTGTGGAGGTGATGACCGCAAGTGTAAGAGGTTCGAGCGGGGTTAATGTCAACATATGCAACAACAATACACGTGATCGCCGTCGTCGTTACAATGTTGCATGCCAAGTTCGCACAAAGGCAGACGAACGCTTTGTCCTACGCGTCGTGAAAGAAGAGATGACATCTCCGCAGTCAATACAGCTCTTATACTCTCCCAGCGTCCAGGGAACAACCCAGAAGAATGGCGACGATCAACCCTTGGTAGTCTAGGGAGATAAAGGAATCAACAAACTGTCGTATGTAGTGCAATAAGTAGAGCACGTCAAACGACACAGTGGAGTGATCATCATTCATTAGAGGCTCATCACCATCCAGCACGACCACATGAATGAGGTGGCGTATATAATAGCGCCACGCAGGGAGCGAAAATGGCCCGCGCTGCCATGTCTTCACCTTCAGAAGTACCACCGCCAGACGACGCACTGCTCGCCAAGGTTGCCTTCAAGCACGCCATGCAGCAGGAGTGGGAGGCTCCCTGGTATGGATTTTATGCAATAATTCTCCAGCCGCTATCGCGAATCTACCGTTTGGAACAAGAAGATGAGACACTCCCCGAGGATGACAAGGATCGTTCCTTTCTAGCATGCACAATCCTGCATCCTCAGCACCCTGTCACTACCGATGTAGAACTAGAACAGATATATGAGCCTATTCCCGACGACTTGGAAGATGAAATTGACAGCGACAGCGACGACCTTTCCGATAGTCTGTCCCCACCAAGTTCGCCAACGCCAGGGCCCCCTGCCGACTTGGTGAGTGTCGCTCATAGTCCTTCTAGGGTACTAATTGGCCGTTCAACGTCGGATTACCGCAGAATCTGGTCCAGTTGATCGAAGATCCAGTTTTATGCAGTCCAGAGTCGGCAAGAAGCGGTGGACAGGTAGGTAGAAGCTGCGCTTTATCGAGGCTACATCCCAGATTAATTTGTGGAATTCAGGCCTCACCGACGAATAGTGACAGTCCAGTAGGAGCCCTTTCACAGGTAAGGACCTGTGAAACACTCGTGTGGGCATTAGACTATGTATGCTTTGCTCTAGGGCCACTATCGGGAATCACGGTCTGTCAGCTTGGAACCAAGGGAATATCGCCGCATTCGGGCATTCTGCATCCCCGATTTTCTTCCCACTCGTACCTACCTCAGACCCAAAACATGGGAGCCGATCACCACCCGGCACGACCTTCTCGTCGAGGTGAAAGGACTTGGCTGGTTGAAAAAATATCGGGGAAACCCTATAAGCTATGCCTTTAGGCAGGTCCTTCAACAGCTTTATGAACAAGCTGGCCACTCGTTCCGGGCAGATCCGAACCTTCAGGTCATCAGTCTCCTCGCTATAATTGGACCTCACTGCCAATACTCCGAATGTAGAAGAGGCGATTCAAGGAGATACGATCCTTTGGCGAAGTACCGCGATACAACGTACGAGCCTTCGGAAACCGGGAGTGACACTCCATCTCCTCAACTCTCCGGACGCAGAAAACGAGATTCCAGGAGAAACGATCGTTTTGCGGAGGGCCGTGAAATCGCACACGAACCCTCGGAAACTGAAAACCCTTTCTCTTCTCCCTCTCCTCCCCCGTCCCCCTTGCCCGAAACACCTCGAGATTCCCAATCCAGTAACTCATCTGAGGAACCAGAGGAACGAGAGCAAGGCGCACCAAGCCCGGAATCACCCTACTTGGAAAAACTTACTCGATGCGTCCATACCTTCAGCGAAGATTACTCGGGAGAGCACAGGCAATGGGTTCAGGCCCTCATCGCGCGGATCGACGAGTTGGACCGCGAGCTGCTTCAAACTGCCCAGAATATTTATATCTAAATACGTGATCCGTTATATGTACACTTTTCAAGTTAGAACCGATACATGAAACAAAGGGATTATTAGGGAATTATTAGTCTTTCTCAAATGTATTGATTTCCGAATGTACAAAACATGCTGTAGTATCCGCAGAGTCGGTTCAAGTTGTAACTTGTTCGAAGTTCCTGTGCGGTCTATCCATGGGTGGTAATTGGGTGTTACGTGCCACTGGGTTAGGGGACATCCAGAGGCCAAGGAACCGAGGAAACAAAGCGAGGGACCTTGCGTAACACCCAAAACACCAAAACAAAAACTACCTAGATGCGCATATACCCAGAGAAGCGTTACCAGTCAAGCCATGTTATGTATCAACACGAGGTGCAGGGTTAACGGTCGATATGCAGTCCTAACACGACAATCATGATACACCGACCCGACCAGACAAACACATTCAACGAGCCCAGACGGAACGCGCCTAGACGAATAGAAGGCTACAAGTACACTTTATTCCACGTTGCACATATTCTCTTCTATCTAGATAGCGTTATATGTTATACCGTCACTCCCTACACCTTCGACTCGGAGCCTCGAGGATAGATGAGAGATCAGCAGCAAGCTCAGTAGATCAAAGCATTAAGGCGGAAAGAAAAGAAATTGTTCAGCGGCCGGTGAAGGCGATTAGCAAGGCGAGAAAAGAAAAAAAAAGAAAGGGAAATAGAAACGAGACGACGAGAGGGGAAAGATAAGAGATAAGAAAAAAAAAAAAAAATAAGAGTCGATTAGTTGTTAGTACGCCATCATCCGTCCCGTCCACCCACACCCAGCATCTCATCACCACACAACTCAATTAAACTTGGCGGGATCACCCCGTCCAATACCCATCCCAACCCTCACAAGCGTCTCCAACGACGCCCGTCCATTAATCAACAAATCCTCGTCCCACTCCACAGCGCCCTTTTCGAAGAGTATCACAATCGTCGAACCACCTGAAAAGAACCAGGTCCGAATCAAGCACTTCAGAATCCTTTCGTTTCTCCATGGGTTAAGGGAAAAAGGGACGCACCGAAAGCAAAGTACCCAAACTCGTCGCCCCTCTTGACGGTCTGGCCCTCCTCGACGGTCGTCTCGATACTACCCACCATCATCGCACCCACACATACAGCCATGACGCGTCCAAACTGGGGACTGTCAAAGGGAACGATCTTCCTCGCGTTCTCGCCGTAGACGTCGAGTGCCGTTCGGATAGCTTGGGGCTACAACAATTTCGCCCTAAGTCAGCGCCAGCAAACTCCAGAGCAAACAAACAGTGAAAAACGCACATTAACAGTGTAATACTCCCCCGCAATATACGTCATCTTGCCCACAACACCATCCACAGGCGAATGGAACCGGTGATAATCCTGTGGCGCCAACCTGAAAATCGCCAACGCGCCTCCATCGTACCGATCCACATCCGCCTTATACTCCTCTCCTAAAAGCTTGGACACACTAAAGTCGCGACCCTTGATCCATATCTTGGTAGCAGCGGAGACAGTCTCGAAGGCCATGAAGCGGCAGTCGGCGGCGGAGACGAGGCGGTAGGGGTCGTCAGGAGACTCGACGGGTCGAGCGGAGGGTTTAAGCTTGCGGTAGAAGAACTCGTTGAACGTTTCTGCGGGAAAAGGATGGTTGGTCAGCGGATGGGTCAATGAAAGGAGGAGTAGGACGTACTGAACGAATCCAAAGGATCCAAAACTTCATCCACGTTCAAGTTGTGGAACTCGATGAAGCCGGGGATCTCCTTAGCAGACGCAGGATCGTCGTACTTGATACCTTGCTTAATCGAAAGGGATTTCAGGAGTCGTCGAGCTGCGCGAGCAACATAAGGTCAGTCATCCACCTCCAACTAACGATGCACGACGCCACGCACCTCGCGCACCCTCCATCTGACTAGAAGCTCCCTTGTACAACAACCGAATGCCCAAACGGACATACACCTGCATCTTCTCTTCCTCGAGTTGGCCAGTCATCCGGTTCTGAACGATAATGTTTGCCGAGTTCTATTATCACAAAACAAAAAAAAGCATATCAGACAAGAATCGCGCGAATGTAAAGGAAGAACGACTACTCACCGCACCCAACTTATAATTCCCACTTGAAACCTTACTCAAGACCTTCGTATACCACTTCCTCTGCGCCTGGGAAGCAGTAACGAAATTGCCAACCATGATCTTATCCACGGCGTTCCAATCTTGGCTGTTAAATGGGGAGGTGGAGCGTCAGTAAAATGCTTCGCCCGGTAAACGGAGAAATGGAGAAGAGTGTAAAGGGAGGAGGGCGTCCTGGTGGATGACGACCCAAGAAGTCCGCATGAAACAAAAAGACGATACGCACCTAGCACAAATAGCCAAATGAGTAATAATATCCATCTCACCCTTACTCCCCATACGTGGTCGATGACACATTGGACAATTCTTCACATTGATCACCCTCTCCACCTGCTCTCCTCCTCCTCCCGACCCACTCGAACTCGAGGACGAGGATGAAGATGAGGTAGTAGACCCAGGCGTGGACACATCCGAGGTATCACCCGACACCGTCCCAGGCGTGTTCAGACCCCCTGAAGGAAGCGTCTGCGTCTTCTTCCTCCCAAAGCGCAACTTTTTCTTCTTCGAGGTGGTGGATGTCGCTGTTGCGGTGGCGGTAGGAGCAGCAGTCGTCGACCCATCCTCTTCTTCCTCCTCCTCCTTCGCCTCAACACCGCTAGCAGTCTTCTCGCCTTCAGCTACGACCTCCGTCAAAGGCTGCTGCAACGGCGCAGTCGGGACAGGCGCAGGCGGCACAACACCCACACCTACTCCCGCACCGCTCACATCCGAAGTCGATCCAGAGCTTTCCTCCCTCTGCACACGCGGCTGCCCGCTAAAGTCCAACTCCTCCAGCCTAATCTCCCGACCCTGCGCATCAAGCCCTTGGAGTACGACAGGCGTAGCCGAGCTCGATCCCACCTCATCCTTATCCTTAAGCCCCACCCCACCACCACTCGTAGCGTCCACCTTGCGCTTCTCGCTCTCCTCTTTACCAAGCTCGGCTTCAAGCGCCATGATGGCTTCTTCAAACGTCAGCTCGCCTGTGTAGACGGAATCCATCGTCGGTCGTTAGCCCCTGATAGAGAAGAGAAATGGGGGAAAGAGGAGAGCGGACGTACCGGTTTGAACGTCCTTCCCGAATTGCTCGAACCACCCCTGGATCGTATCAGCCGTCAACGTCGACCCGAGCGAGTCAAGCATGGACGTCAACTCGAGATGAGACATCGTATTCGTGTCGTCCGTGTCGTACTGCTTGAGGTACTGTCGCCAGAAACGTTGGCGGAGCGCGGCGTAGGGTTGGTACTTCGCTCTGTACAGGCGTCGTCAGTCCGTGTTCAGTGCTCATCAAATTCGAAGGGGAGAAAGGCGAAGGAAGAACGGACGGGAAACGATGAGGGAGGGACGGGAAGGGAAGGGAAGGGGGAAAAAGCAGACGCAGAACAGAACACGAAAGAAGGTCGAACTGCGGCCTACCTGACACTAATACTAGGACTAAACTTCTCCCCCCACCCACTCTTCGGCACCTCCAACTTGAGCTTCATATCCTTCATCGGGTGCTTACTCCCATCCTCCTCAGGCGGGTACAACCCAGTCTCCGGATCAGGCTGCGGAGCCTCGTCAATGAGCAGCTTGACATCAAACGAGGCGTCGCCGATGTGGTCGTTGGCGGAGAGTTTGTCCCAGTCGAGGATGGAGAAGTGCACCTGCGAATAAAAAAAAGTGTCAGCATTCAACGAAATCCCAAATCCAACGCCGCATCCCAAAGAACCGTCCAACGCCGCGTCCCAGAGAACCATCCAACGCTGCGTCCCAGAGAACCATCCAACGCTGCGTCCCAGAGAACCATCCCTAAAACGCCGAACCACACCACAAGGACCCAAATATCGAAAACATCATACATACCTTGAACCCAGCTTCATACCTCCTCACATGGAAAATCAACTTTTCGTCCCACACGGGGTTCCTCGAGTGCCGGATCACACGCGTGCGGAAGACTTTCTTGCCGAATGAGATGACGACGAAGGGGTCCATGTCCCAGCCTGTGCGCGTCACTAGGGGTGAGAGTTAGCGGGTGTGTTCAGACGGATGGATGTAGTTAGAAGGAAGAATCGCGACGAGAAAAAGGACGAGAAAACGACGCGAAAGACGACACGAAAAAAGACAAAAGAACGAACGAACGAAAACCCAACCAAAAAAAAACAGAAGAACACTCACTATTACTCAACCGAGGCAAATCCTCCGCCCCCTGAATTTCAAGCATAACAATCCCCAAAATATCATTCGCGTGATCCAATTTATACTCTCCACGCCTCTTCTTGCCTTTCTTGGCCCCTTTGCCTTTGCCTTTCTTCCCCTCTTTAGTCGCCTTGCTTCCTTTCTTGTCCTTCGCACCTCCTTCAGCAGCAACACCAACACCAACACCAACACCGACGCCCTTGGCTCCTTCAGCGCCGACGCCGACACCCTCGGATACAGCAGGCGAAGACGTTTCAGAGCGATTCGGGGTCGTAGCCAACGTAGGGAGGACAGAACCCGAGCTAGCCGCGGTGGAGAGAGTGGTAGGAGGCGTCGAAGTACCCGACATGGACGACGCGGACTTGGAACTCAACTTCCTCGGGAAGGCTTTCATCTTGGGTATGAACCCCGTCGACACCTTGGGGGTCGGCGCTGCCACTTGCGGCGTAGGAGCGGTGGTGGAGGGGACGATGGTAGGCGTCTCGGTGATGCTCATGCTCATCGGCGTGGGCGTCTTCACATCCTCTACACCGGGAGGCTTCGCGGTACCAGGATCCCCATCCCTATCCCCTCCAACACCCGCACCAACACCAGCAGCACCTTGCCCTTGAGCCTTCTCCCCACTAGGCAGCGTAACCAAACTCTCCGGCTCAAGCACCAACTCGCTCACGGGATGCCCAGCGCCCAACATCAAACCTGAACCTCCGTCCTCGTCCCCGTCAAGGTCGTTATCTTCGTCTTCGTCGTCGTCGTCGTTATCGTCGTCGTCGTCCCCCTCGGCCTCGGACTCGGACGAGAGGCCGCCGTCGTCTTCGAAGAGGGGTGCGGGCCCGCCGTGGGTGCTGCGGATCGTGCCTACGCCCTCGGTCTGGTTTTGGTGTCGTCGATGATGATGGGGGTGGTGGAGGTGGTAAGGGAGTAGGGTAGGGTGCGGAAAATGAAAGCCGAGGTGGTGGAGAATGGTGTCGTCGTAGGAGGTTGGTAGAAATGCGAAGAGCAGGCCGTCGTTGTAATGTCGAGTGGAGAGATCCATGCGAGACGTATTTTGGGATGGCGAAACGCGGTGAAACGGGTGTCGAGGATAAGCGCGACGTCGAAGGTGCCAATTTCCAGACATCGAAGTAAGGTGAAACAACACCGTAGTCGCGTCGTCGCGTCGGTCGCAGTTGGCATTGGCGTGCACAGTCGCGTAGACGATGATAATCAACGACGCGTGCACGTTAATAGATCGTTTATCAATTTCGTGATACAATTCATGAATCGCGTTCGCCCGTCAGTAAGAAAGTAAACGATGCATAGGGGAAGACGACGTACGGGAGGAGCAGAGACCAACGACGGCCTCGACCTCTTCACCAAATCCTTGTAGACCGCTTCAAAAGCAGGCGGGTTGGCCACGTTTGGCGGGAGAACGAAACCCAGCTTGATCTGTACACTGCCCGTAACAGTCGTCTGCGCCCTCGTCGACAGCAAATTCACCGAAAACGGCTACAACCCCATGCAGTCCATCCTTGTCAGCCACTCGCCTACATCATTCTTAAGACAACGAAAAAAAACGCACCTTATTGCCAGAATCTTCCCAACCAAACGGCCTCTCCTTCATTTCAGCACCCTGCACTCGTTCCACAAACCACTCATCCAGCGGCAAGCCCACCTCGCCCAAATAATCCTTCCCAACAATATCCTTATCCCACACGACCAACTCCAACACACCCAGTTTATCCGCAAGGGAGAGGTACAACGGGAAATCAAACGTCGCATCTTTGGGGGTGTAGGTTGGGTTGAGCGTCTTCTTGGCGACGGGTGTTTGGTTGCGGTTGTTTAGGATGGAGGCGACGACGAAGCTGTGTTGCAGGGAGGAGTGGGCAGTTAGTGGGTATACGGGCGGGTGTGGGGGTGATGAAGAGATAAAGATAGTATGTGGTGGGCCCGCGGTAGATGGATAGATGGGCGGGTGGGTAGATGGACATCCATTCGTTGGTGTACACCGCCATGCTCCACGGCGCTGATGAACGCGAAGATTCGAGTCCAGATTTATCTCGTCGAGAGGATACACAGATCGTCTCCTCGAAACCGACAGCCCGCCCACCAACCAACACGACGCCCACCCAACCCGTAACTAGATCCCAAATCCCAATCCTCCTCCAAATCCCAACCAAAATCCAACCCCGATCGAGAAGAAAGGAGAGAAGAACACAAAAGAGAAAGAGACAGAAAAGAAGACTCACGGATCGCTAGTACCTCCCCTATCAGCCGCCAACAAATGCATACACCCAATCACCTGCAATCGCAGGATCACCGCTGGTTCTTCGCCTGGCTGCGGATTGAAACTCGGGGTTGTGCGTCTTCCTGTGCCTGCTGCGATGGTGTAGTAGTGGTATCCACGTCCACGTTAACGTCGAGATCCACCGACGAGGATGGATCCACGGCCACGCCGGTATCCACAGGTACATCCACATCATAGTCGAGTCGAGTCCAGTCGAACACAGGTGACAGACAATCCGTATTCGTCGTCGAGGGTTAGGTCGACGGTCGTCGATAGTCATTAAGGAATGAATGCATGAATGAATTCATAAGCCTCATAAACGTTGAACACACAATCCAAAACGCACCACGAAGACCTTTAACAGGCAACATAGCAGCACTCTTGAGCGCTCGGGTGATCTTGCGCCCGCCTTTAGGCCCTTTCCCTCCGTTATCACTCATCGTGCGTTCCTAACCGTGTCGGTCGTAGTCGCTTTCTTCGCTAGACAACCGTGTCGTCGCTGGAAGAAGGTGTAGTCGCTGGTAGTCGGTGTTGTCGCTGGTAGTGGTGGCGGTGGTCGGTGAAGTCGCTAGCAGCCTAGCACTAGTCGAAGCGCAGCACAAGCCGAAACGAGATTATCTAGGGTTACAGATACGCCACTCGTCGTCAGTCAACCCGTCACCTCCCCATTCATACAACGCCTCACCTTCAATTATGTAGCCTCGGGTATTCCTCGTGGTACCACTTGGCTCGTTTTCGCGTTACGCTGTTTTGGGGGATACGCTGGCGTCCTTCCTTGGTCTGAATCGGTGTGTGTCGCAACTTGAACCCTTCCAAACGTACGTTGCCGTTGCCTTCCCTATAAGTATCCAACCAACCCCAACCGTGTTGTCCACCAAAGGTAAAAAGGAAATCAGATCCACACAACAGAACGCACAGCAAATTCCAGCGCTCGTCCACGCTCGTGGCGAATTGCGGTGCAGAGCCAAGATTCCAAGGATCCCCCTCCTTCCAAGAATATCAGGAGCGAACCAAGAATATCAGAACCGAAGTTCGAACGGAGAAGTCCAAGCCGGCAAGAGGAACCCAATCCAAGCAGGGGGCTTTGGGGCGGACGTCATGCCATTCTCGTCATGCCATACATGATCTTCGGATCGTGCCGATGTGACGTGATCGGAAGAGGGTGCCGAGGTTCCGGGGTAGGCTTGGCGTCATACCTCTTCCTGACCCGCGACTCGCCAGCGTCTGTGGGGGCGATGGGCGCGAGCGCTGGACGGTCGTATGTGCATACTTACTCTACATAGACTTGACTTGATGTATACCTAACTCTCCATAGACTAGACTTGATGGACGATAGGTACTTATCCACCACGACCCTTCTTCTCCGCATTCTCCGCGTTCCAAGACCCCGAAAAGCATCAGAGACAGGCTTAAGTACTTACAATCTCTTCCACATCCTGAGGCTGGGCACGTCACTCAAGAGTCAAGACTCTCGGGGGGAGACCGGAGTACAAAAGAGGGGTCTTGGAAAAGTCTCTAGTTGAGGGGTCTTGGAGGAGTCTAAGTAGTAGGTGTAGCACCCCAGACGTCGACGACCCCACATGTCGACCCCAGACGTCAGCGTTCAACCCTTCTCCGCAGACCACTTCTCCGATGTACAGCCCTTGCATGTACAGCACTTCCGAATTCGTGCCGTTCCGTCTATCCATCCCATCCATCCATCCGAGCCATGGCCAGACGCCTTCGTGTCCACGGTTAGAGATTCCTTATTGAATTCGGTAATTCGGAAGCTGCGGTTCACCTCGGTGCGGTACTACCAAAGCTGGGCTGGGGATAAGGTTACATTTATTTAAAGTAATGGCCCTCCGGGCATGCCTGGACACTGTGCACCTTGGCTGGTAGACCGAACCACGTAGAAAGAGACATGACACCCAAACTCGGACTATCAGTACTAAGTATGACTTCCGGGCAAAAGGCCTGGGAGAATAAGCCTTTTAGCAGTCGCACTTCCACACTACATTTCGCTTCCTCACACTCTGAAAACTTTTATATTCATAATAATCCGTCACCTACGACACATTTTGTGGCATTGATACCCTACCTAGTACGCTGCGTCCCTAATAAATGCCCAATCACCTCCTGAACAATATCTATCGTAGTGCCTCTAGACTATTATCGTTGCAGACGCTTTGTTCACGGTCCCTCCCACGCTCCCTCATACCCATTTCACCCTTCCACGACCCTCACCATACGACAGCCTCCGTCATCGGCCATCAAGCCGACTACAAGCGCTCACACCCGAAAGGGGAAGGTTTGCCTTGCCCTGTGCGACGCGTGCTGGTATTCACACCTTGAACCTTGTCCCAATTGAATGTTTCCATGGCGGTAGGATGCGCGCGTAGGCGATGTTGCGACAGAAACCAAGTCAGACCAGCTGGTAGGGTAGCACGAAGGCTAGAGTGCACGGTTAATGATTACACTTAGACGCTCGCTATGTGGATTGTTTAAAGACCTTTCCTTAGCACGACAACTACGACTCAGAAGCTAACCTGAAGTCCATCCATAAGTACTCAGGTCCACGGGTGACTCGCGCGCCGTAACCGTCTAAGCACGGAGGTTTTAAAGCTTCTTTAAGTAGAACGCGTACTACTAACACGTTCCACTTAGGGTGATGCGCACTCGTTACTTCGGTAGTCTTTTCTAGTCAGGCGCATACCATGCCCTTCAGACAAGCTATTCAGACGCTTATTGAGACGTAATGATTACCTTACCTCCATTTGATTGAAACATTTGCTACGGGATGAGGCAGTTATACCGAGATATTCAGCCCCTCACAAATAGCAGGCAGTCACTTTGGGGACCAGCGGAGCCGGTGGAGGGATCCTTTGAAGGCTACGTGCAATTCTGTGAAGTTGAAATTGCAGAAAATACAGATTGATTCGAATCTGAGCGGGACCTTGGCGGGACCTTCATTTTAAGTTGACGGTGGGAATCGGTTTGCGTAAGGGCGGGAGAGCCGATTCGAGTGCGATGTAGTTGAGTGCAGCGACAAGTAGAATGTCGTGGTTTTTCTCCCCAAACATAGGGTAAAAACTGAGTTTCGTTTGCGACAGGCTATATGCCATCCATTCTCCATTGACTAATAGGTGTGAGAGGTTGTGAGAGGGCCTAAATGTCGATATACTAGTGTACACTTAAAAGTTTACTTCAAGACAACCGTTTCTGAACCATACCAAAGCGCCCCAAATTGCCCGTGTTTGTACTTTGAGTCTTGAGAGGCTAAGACCTTGGAAATTCTCGAATTCACAAGAAAATCTGTATGTTTTGCTTGCACACGAGTGAAAACATGAGAATACCAACCCCCAATACATCAGAGAAGACTGCACATGCCCGCCGATAAGGACGGGGGGAGCCGCTTTCAACTTTACTTGACATGGTGCCCTGATGCTGGCAGGAATTTTCATCCTGATACACCTCGCGCACGCTTCCCCGACTAGAAATCGACTGTCCCAGTCGCCTGGTTCCTTGCCTCATGTGCCTGGCATTCTTCCTTAATTTCGGAAAACACCGACTTGTGCAATTTTTGCAACGGACTCAAAGTGGGCGGCGCTCGAACTTCTTTCAAGAGCTTTGAAAGAATCGCGAAAAAAAATCTGTCAGGCACACCACGATCACAGGTATAGATCATGCTCAATCGAAAGCTCTCAAAGTGGGCGGCGCTCGAACTTCTTTCAAAGGGCTCCTCAATTCTAAAAGTTCAGTTCGAGTTCAGTTCGCAACGAGTTCAATTGATGGCCTTTCCACGCTTGTCAATGGACTAAGGTCATTCCTGCAAACACCAGCGTAACCAGAAAGCAATCGTATCTCATCGAAAGCATTGAGATGCGGCTTTAAAAAGTAGATTAGACTTGTGTTCAGTATATTCACTTCCAGGAAGACGAGAAATATTGAGCAAAGACCACCGATTTGTCTGTCCAACGCAAGAACTCAGAACGATCTTCGGGCTCTTGGCTGGAGGTACTACTTGATGAGGACCTCATTGATCCCGACGTCACATCAATTGAACTCGTTGCGAACTGAACTCGAACTGAACTTTTAGAATTGAGGAGCCCTCAAGAGCTTTGAAAGAATCGCGAAAAAAATCTGTCAGGCACACCACGATCACAGGTATAGATCATGCTCAATCGAAAGCTTGGATCTCAGATCACCGATGGATATTTAAACACAATGTTCCCCAATAGGCAATTCTCGACACCTTTTACGTGTACACACTTCAACACCTCGATTGTTTGCCAAATTTGTTCGAAACAAGTATGAGTGGTCTCTTGGTATACCCTAGCGCGTGTTCTGAGCCAAGAATGTTTTCATTTCGCATCGAAGTGTTTTTAGAAATGAGAAGCAGAGCCATGGAACGGTGCAAAGCGAGTCTTAGAGGTATTAAAGGTGCTGCGTCGAAGGATAAACACTTCTCAGAATCCCGTGTTCGACATGACTCCTCCACCGGACTCTACTCCCCTCCTTGTGCAACTTTTCCAGCTTATACCAGGTCTGGCAGCATTGTACATGTTGCTACTCCCGGTTCTCTATCGTCCTTCGGTAGTGATCAGCCAGAGACTCACTCGCGAGCTTCGTGGTCATCTCAACACTCATCATGCGGATTTGGTAAGTCCGCTTTCTTCTGCTTGCTTTATTAACCGACTCAAGCTAACTGGGTTTGCCTAGGTCTGGTCTCACTTAGCGAACAGGTTCAGGACGCGGATGACGATGGTTTGCCTTTGCTAATGGCAATTTCCCGTCTCCATCGCCGTTTGGCTGCTTTAGACCAAGAGCCTAACCCTGATTGGTTCGTGATCCCTGATGACGAAGTTATAGCGCGCATCGTTCCTGTCACCGCTACTATGCCACCCAGTCCCGCAGTCACTGTTTCTCCTCGCAGCGGTAAAACGGTACGTTGGCCGTTTTCTCCCCCGCCCTCGAGGTCGTTGGCGATCGGACGAGACGGATACGCGGTTGGTGAAATCCCCAATCCAGCCATCTGTTTCGTACGCGCCAACTCCTTCTCCTGTCTCGGATGTTTTGCTAATCTTCGCCTTGCGCTTTTCTAGTCACCCGGTACTCCTCGCTTTCGTCGTACTTCGCAAAACACGGGCAAGGACGCTTCGTCTTACGGATCACCCAACAAGCGCGCGCCTAAACGCAAACCGAAATCAGCGGAGTTCATCAACGACTCACAGGAAGAAGCCGACCCTAAGAAGCAGAAAGGTAACGATGGCGCTTCGGTTCCTAGTGCTAAGGCACTGGGTAAACGAAAGGCAGTCGAGAATCCGCATACGCCTGGCGAGTCCGCTGCCTTGGTTAAGGCTGCTCGTAATATCGTGACCCTTCGTCCTGCTGGTAAGCACCTTCTTTCTTGTCAGGTCTCAGTTTCGAAACCCTCTTCTGTTCAATTTACAGGCTCTGCGAAGGCTGCGTCCAACGCTGAGGCAGGTCCTTCTGGCTCCAAGAGGACTTCGTCGGGTAGAGGTAAAGCTGCCTCGACCACTTCCTCGGTCAAGAAGTTTCCGAAGGACGAGGGCATCGTCGCGTCCCAGCTTACTGGCGTCGACCCTATCGACCTTTCCACGCCTGAGGGGCGCAAACTCTTCAACGAGCTCAACCTCTACAGTTCCACCAGCACTTTACCACCGAAGCGCACGAGCATGCTAAGAGCAGACGTTTTTGGCTTAGAAACCGTTTCTTATCGGAGTACATCTACCGCGTCAACGATACTCGCGTCTTGCCACAACAAATATCAAGTCGCCTTCAGTACTTGAAGGAGAACCCTCGCACATCCGAGAAAGGCAAGAGCATCCATTTTATCTTTCCATTGCTAACCCGTTCCCTGCACTCTCCACAGTAAGGCGCCTCATCACGAATGGGACGATAGAGCCCCAGGCCCTTGTTCAAAACACCGTTTCACAGTATAATGGCCCACCTCTGGCCTCTGACTGGAAATCCTGTGGTCCTGTACTGGATGTTCACTTCTCCATTGTGGTTATGGACCATATGCAAGCCCCACCGAAGTTACTATTAGGTCCTTCCACGTCGCTTGACCCTATCGTAGTTCAATTTCCCCGTGTAGACCAAGACAACCAGGGTGGGCACGTTTCAATACCTCGTCTTGGCGATTAGTAACCCGTGCATAGAGCGTTGGATTCATATACAAACCCCTTGGGCTTTGGATTCCTCGTCGACTTTCACGTTCGTGGATGCATTTGCCCCACAGCAGCCATCGGAGACCATTGCGCTAAGTCTTGTCAGAGATCCTGGAGTTTCCGGGAGTTCTTTCGTATACGCGTCTTTACTCCCGTCATCGTGGGGCGCGCGCCTATCGTCGCAAAGTAAGTGAAATCAGCTCCAAGTGTCTATTTATAATCGCTTAATTACAATCTTCAGATGAGAACCTCCGGATCGAACACCGCCTTAAGCTTACATCGGCTGAAACCAGGGCCCATAAGCTGGTCAACCAAGTTCTCGGGGTTGGTCCTCCACTCGAAGAAATCAAGCTTCACTACCGATTGTCACAGCTCCCTCAAATTGCAATGGTAGAAGAGGAAAATCTCATTCCCGATGGCACGTTAGTCTCTGACATGAACCTCCGATGGACGTTGTCGGACCAGAGCCCCCCAAACAGAAACGATGCCCGTTCACCGGTATCTTATCGTGTCCCAAAAGTGTTGCATATGAACTGGCCTCGGTTCGCGGCGGGAAACTCTGGATGCTTATAAAAACCAAGAAGGACTTCTATTTCTTTCGTACTCGTTACCAAATACAGAGAATCGCTCAGGACGTTACATTACAAGGCAGCAATTAAACAGCGAGTGACGTGAAGCAAGTTGGGTTTTCGATGAATCAGATATTGATAGCTCGATACCATGGCGTTCTCTTAAAGAACGCACTACTGACGCGAGTGCTTGAGGACCCCCTATAGACGTCTTCGACGAAACTTCAAAGAATTCGAAACCGAAAACTTTCGCCATATTTTGACCTTCAGCAGTCGTGACCTCTCTTTGGTTCGAGTCACATTTAGTACCAACGAGGACCGCGTGGCATGGCCAGCTACCCTGACGAATACAAACCTCCGGCCATTGGACCCAAAGGCTTTCAAAGGACTCCTTTGAGGTAATGGAATAGACGAGGACGAACGCTTGTCCTGCCCTGAAGGAATAAGGCCGACATGCCTTGCAAATCTCGAGACGGGCACACTCACTTCACGGCTTGATCGCGAACCGTTTTGTAGCAATCTAAAAAGTGGTCAGCAGAAAATATGATGTACGCAACAGAGTACCTTACCGGCTCCAGAACAATCCAGGACTTCTATCAGGCACCCCCTTCCGTCTACAGCAACTCTTTCGCAAAAGGTACTCTCGATTGTAGCGTCGTAGCTCTGGTATTCGTCAGAACGTGTAACCCTTCACTCTTGTTCACATACATCTATCAAGACTTGTCAGGACCCGTCTTTTTGAGCAGGCTTGTGAACTGACCAGAGAATCGGTTGAGTAATTCCTGGTAAGAACTTTAATTGGATTTGTAGGCTTTTCAAGGCGCCGGACTTACCCTCATAACCAAGGAGGATTTACCTACGCCAGCGTTTCCAAGGATCACAATAGTCCACTGTTCCATCTTGGCAGTAGATGCAACTGACTCTCAAGCCATAGGCTCGCTGCTCTGAGAAGGAACTGTACGGGGTCTGGTGGAACAGAAGTGCGTTCCACTTGAGTATTTAAAATCCAATGCACGTGTCGCTTTAACTGTGTAGCAGTAGAAAAACTTGCGGCCTACCTTCTCATGCATCAGTAACAACCTTGACTTTATCTTTGCTTTGGGCTTCTGGAATGTATTGGATTCGAGCGCGCAGGGTACATAGCGTGAACGTATCCATACTAACATAGGAACATAGATCTCGATTGATGCACAATCTGAGGGTTCTGGTCAGGTAACAATAATCTCAGATAATCTCAGATCGACTGAGATCCTGGGATTCGATGCCTTGCACAGCTAGTAGTGAAATCCTCTCCGCCCGTGAAAACAATACTGTTGCTCGCATCTGATGTCCTGTTCCAATGACCCGTTCTGTTCTAGCGTAGTCCATGGGCATCGAACTTTTGGAAGATTTAGGCTATCATAAGAGGAGGAAAACAGCCCTAGAAATCGCAAGGAAACCATCGAAACGGGATCCTATTTTCAGCATTCTCCCAATGCAGGTCCCCGCACCCGCGGGCTCATCCTGGTGGCCTCCCTGACCACAGCCGCAAGTAAACAAGGAGAATTCCACAACTGGGTTCCCAGTCGACGTCCTTTCCCTGAGCTCGATTGTGATTGAGGGAATTACGGGCGCGTAAAACATCAACGGTTGTGTTGTCTACAATACCCTCTTTGCCAATCCCGAAATTCTGAACGCGCGACATTAACGTCCCAACACGCCAAAGATGTCTTCTTGATCAACGCTGACTTTTAATAAATATTATCCGATCACGCGTGCTTCTGCATTTCTGCTTCGAGGTTTAGGCACGTCAGGTGACGGTGGCACCTCAAAAGACGCGCTAGCTCACTAGTGCCGTTCCCCATTCCTGGCCTATTTGTGCGGGTGTGCGGGACTGGCCCACGTTCACATTTTTCTCGACCACGATTGGCTTGTGCTGAGGATTACCAGATTGTTCCAGAAGGATAAAGGAAAAATATTCTGTAGGCACCATCCAAGGAAAGCACCTATAATTATGCCAAATCTCAAGACGATCACTTTGGACTGCAGCCCGCATTGGTTACGAATAGCATGTTGCCGACTCATCGAACATATAACCGTGAAACGACCTCTCACTAAGTACTGGATGGACGAGGTGGTTGAATATTTCACCGAGGCTTATATTCCCCCACGTCAACGAGCCCCGAACAATTGGGCTGCCCTCAAGACGCTTACACTCTGCTTGAAGTCGACGGTCAGGGATTACAAATTTTTCCCCAGGGTGTTCTCTCGTCTATCCAAAACAGCTATGAATATCGTTCATCTAACAATATTTCAGACGATACCACTTGTAGTCGTGAGTCCGATACATGCAGAGGCGTACAGTGAAATGACACTGCGCACCTAACAGCCGATTATCAAAGGGATAGCAAAGAGCCCTTCGACATTCCCCAAGCTCGAGAAGCTTTCTATCTGCCCAGGGGAACATATACCATGGCTTCACAGAGTTGAGGAGACTATGTTGATCCTCGAGTTGATTGATTGCGTGAAAGATATCGGAAAGGTACGACCAGCTTTCGAGACGGTTGTACTAGGTACAGAACTATGGTTTGTGGAAAGGCAACAGGAAGGCGCTATGTGCCTCTCCGTATGCACTAAAGGGACTTAAAGCTACAAGGTCTCCTTATCTCATGTATTCACCCAAAACGTCTACCAATACCATTCCCATTACTCGTTTATCGAACCTATACCACTACAACTTAATCGCGTCATAGCTGTTTAATTTGTACGCGGAGGACAACAAGCAACAGATCGTCCTTAAACCCGAAATGTTCGCCAAGCTCGCCGCCTCTAGTATGGTCGTCAACCCTCTTGAAGATCGCCTCCGCCAAGCCAGTGCTCGGGAGTCGCAGGTGCTCGATGGTCTCGCCCAACTCCGGAAGACAGGTCCCCGCCGTCTCACTAACGGCCTCGCTGAATGGGAAGAGGAAAACGGATTGGTCTATTACAAGGGTCGCGTCTACGTTCCTCCGGATGACGAGCTCCGTCGCGATGTCCTCAAGCAGTGTCACGACGATCCCACTTCTGGTCACCCCGGCGTCCACGGAACCCTTGAACGTGTCGAACGACAGTACTGGTGGCCCACGATGCGTGCCTTTGTCAAGAAGTACGTAGAGGGATGCGACACCTGTGCCCGGAAGAAGCATGCCCAACACCCTCGCGCCTCGACTCAGCCGCTCGACGTTCCCGAAGGTCCTTGGGAATCTGTAGGAGTCGATCTCATCACACAGCTTCCAGAGGCCCACGGACACGACGCCATTATCGTTTTCACGGATCACTACAGCAAGGTTCTCCACGCCCTTCCCTGTACCTCTGACATCACCACTGAAGGCGTCGCCGACATCTACTATCGAGAAGTCTTCCGTCTACACGGCCTCCCACTCCGATTCATCAGTGATCGCGGTCCCCAGTTCGCCCTCCAAGGTTATGCGCACCCTGCTCAAACGTCTCGGCATCGAGTCCAACCTCACGACGGCATATCATCCCCAAGCCAATGGACAGACTGAACGCGCTAATCAAGAAGTCGAGAAATATCTCCGGCTCTACGTCAGTCGTCGTCAAGATGACTGGGATAGGCATCTTCCAATGGCTGAGTTCGTGATCAACTCCCGTGTCCACTCTGCTCACAATCGCTCCCCCTTCGAGGTCCTCTACGGCTATATTCCCCCACTTCAACATCCCTATCGGCAAGCGCACTGACCTCCGCCCTGTCGACGAACGAGTCCAGCACCTCCAAGAAAGTCAGGAAGGACGCCGAGGCAGCTCTTCGACTCGAAAAGGCCCAACAGAAAAGACGCATACGAATCCGGCAAACGCTCCGCTCACCAATTCCAACCCGGCGACTACGTCTGGCTTAGTGCTAAGGATATCCAGATCAAGGTACCGACTCGCAAACTCGGTGATCTCCAACTCGGTCCGTACAAGGTTATCGAACGCGTCGGCGACCTCGACTACCGCCTCGAGCTTCCCCCGTCCCTCTCCCGCATTCACCCTGTGTTCCACGTCGACAAGCTCTCCCCCTGGAAAGGCAATGATGTCAACGGCATTTTGCCACCTCCGCCTGAGCCCGTCGAACTGGAGGGAGAGCTTGAGTACGAGGTTCACGACATCTTGGACAGTCGTTGGAGAGGTCGAGGGAAGAATCGCAAACTGGAGTACTTGGTTAGTTGGAAGGGCTATGGGTCGACGGACGACACTTGGGAACCGGAGGAGAACTTGGAGCACGCGCCCGAGATCGTGAAGGAGTTCCACCAGCGACACCCTTCTGCACCACGCCGAATTTCCGCCACCATCTTCAGCTCTCTCCCATGGCGCCCACTCGAGAATTTCACCGACGCCCCGCCTACCGACTTTGACTGGGAACTGGGACGCCGCCTACCGTTGGTCATCGAGGACGATGAGGCTTAGAAGGGGGGTAATGTCGTGAACAGCCGGTATAGCCCCTATTTTTCATCTTATCTTATCTAATCCGTTTCGCATCTTATCGTTCCACTTTCCTTTACTCCTTTGCCTCCTTATTCCCTCTATGGACTCTTTCACTCATGGAACACTGCCTCGCATTGCCCTTTGCCCTACTCTATCGTCCTTATTGTTACGCACTGCCTTCTGACACACTCTGACACCTTCTTGTTCCATTATTGTTTCATTCTTGTTCTTCGCGCAGCCTTCGCGCAGCCTCATGACCTTTCTTATTGTTCTTCGATGTTTCACCATTTGTTCGTCATTCTGACTCACTGCGGCTATGTAGACAGTAGAATAGGTATATAAGCTAGGTAGTCTGCTCTGTATTTCCTCAGCTTGACCTCTTCGTCAATACATCGCTTCAGCCTTCATCTGCATTCGTCGCTCATCGCTCTTATCTCACTCGCCGCTCTTATCTGCTCCGCATCACTGGTCTTTGGTTTAGTGTTCGCTCTTCGCGACAGATACGGGGGCTCGGATGACCTCGTAGCCAAACGAGCATATGGCAATGTAAAGTACCCCTTCCTTGAGCCTCGACCGTACCGTAGTACGCGTCACATATCCCATACACTCCCGGCTCGTCCCTCCCGCAACGCAGAACAATGTTTTACAATTGGCGTATCATCGCATCGAAAAATTGAACACATGCCACTGGATGAGCCACTGCAATCGCACCACGATCTTTCGAATGGTCGTACAATAGCTCGTTAACCTGAGACGGAGTTTCACACCGCCCTGCAAGGATACGAACGATAGGGTTATCTACGTCCGATGGATTGATTGTAACAAATTAAAGTAGGAGGGCCCCTGTTGTGTGATGACACCTCTTATCTCGTTTCTCATCATGACCTTTTGAGCTACTGTCCCCGGAACGTGGCGGGCTACAGGGGAGATCGAGGCCATCACTCTGAGGACCTGTTTTTCAGCCGGTATTTCTGGTTTGTACCACGGCATGACTCTGAACTTTTCAATCAGTGAAGTGAGTACCTGGCGATCGATATCCAGGATATCCCGGACTATGCGTGAATATGTTGCCACAGGGGCTCGAAATCGGATGGATGTGTTCACCATCTTCTTACGCAACACGTTGTAGAAAACGAAAGCAAATTCGGGATCTTTTTCGAAAGTAGAATCTTCCCTTTGAAGCAGATGCGACAGTTGTTCTTCCATGCTCACGTAGCGTGTGCGAAGTGGGTGATAGAACCCTCCCAACCCCCAAGGATCCAAATGCGGGAACATCCAAGATAGCATATACGGGTTCCCGAAATCTGGGATAGGGCGAGCACCCGAACGCGAAGATAGGAAGGGCTTTCCTGAAAGACATCTATTTACAGCATCAGTTTGCATGTGCCGATAACTTTTGGCTGTATGGTCCCCTGTTGTGTAACCAGTATTCTCCATGAGAATTTCGCTACTATCCTCTTCAAAGGCCGTGTCCAACCCAGCTACATAGGACGAAATCGCCGCGTCAATTCCTTCATTGAACGGAAGGAACCCGAAGTGAACCGCTTTAGGAACGCCTTCATCATTATGTCCCTCGAACAAAGCGTTGAGCCGGTCTGCACTATAGCCCATAAATCCTGGAACTCGCCGATAATGGGGATTATTGGCGAGCAGGAACTTCAAGAGAAGCTTGACTCTACTCTTCCGTACGAGAACGGGTTTAAAGCTTTCAATCGTAGCTCGAGTCGGCATTGTTTGAGAAATAAACACAATGCATAAAGTGTCAGCTATCTCTGTATGGGAAGGAGGGAGGCTGTCATGCATTTGGAGGAACATCAAGAGGAGCCATCATGATGTTGCCTCGCACATGTCTTGATCGCTTCCGACGTCGATCCTTCGGCACACCTTCCTCTTCGTCTTCTTCATCACGTTCGATAAAGCGACAACAAATCCCATTCCCTCTGACCCTAGCTATCATCGCCCGCTCGAAAATCGTAGATTGCTCGAAAGCGCGACGAACATCCTCTGGTAATCGAGACCGACCGTAGTAGAGCCAATTGGCAAGAGCTAGCTTGGGCATCAGCCCCTTGGATAGGTCATTCGCGCAAGCTTTGCAAGCACGGAATTTCCCGAGCTCGCGAGGGTTCTCCAATCCTCTAGCACAAAGAATGGCACCTTTGTAGGCTACAAGATTATAATCAACGGGGTAAACATCATCGGGAAGGTAAGGATTGACGAGTATCTCGAGATCAATTTCAGTAGGATCAAGTATAACCAGCTCTGAATTGGGAATCAACTTAGAGCACACTGCACACGGGCTTCGCATAAAGCGATAAGGCGACATGACATCCTGCCATTCCGAAACGATCTTCTCCATGTCGAGATCAGACATCACACGCAAGTGCTCGTCTGAAGCCACAGTATGTGGTTCAGTGACGGCTGGAGGAACTGTAGGTATGGTTGACGGAACCAGGGCTCTATCGATCCGAGGAATCTGTTCAATGAAGGAGCCGGCGTGAGAGACAACGAATCTTGATTCCACATTCCATCGAGGACGCGGAAGTTCTTTTAAATGGAACGTGGAGAGCTGGGAGCATTCGACTGAGCACGAATGGCTACAAAACTCTGCTCGAAGAGTCTCCATAGTGATATTACGGAAAGGTAATGAATGGGATGATGCAAGCTGCCTCAAATCCTTTAAGAGGAGATACCTGAAGCTATCAACGAAGTCGCGAACCGGGAGTGAGAAGATTAACTGAGTCGGGTCTTTGCATAACGCCTTCGCTTCTCTGTCATTGACCATCGCAACGAAACGATAATAAGTGTTCAGCCGCCGAATAGAGAATTCTTTGATTTGCATCCCATCCGTCGTATATTGATTATATCTGATACCTGTACCATGGGATAGTTCATGGAAAAGCATGCCATCGCACGATGTTACTCACTACACTGGAGTAGATCAGACTCGATACCAGGCTTGAAAACAATTCCGGTTTGCATCGTCCTTGGTTTAAAGGAGGTATTTTCAGCACCGCACAAAGTCTCTCTTCCTTTTATACCCTCGCAGACCTACAATGGCCGTCTAAGTTTCGGAACCATAACATTACCGTAACCAATAACCATATAACCTTGGATTGCAGCCGAGTTCAAGTTTCGCGTGGCACCTGAAAGTAAAGTAACTTTTAAAAAACCGCTGTGTAGCATCTGCGAAGGTACGGTACTTCAACAAAGCCTAATAGTTGGCCTGAACAAGTACGGAAAAAGTTTCGGCAGTCTATTGGACGCTTGACCGATATAAAGCACCAACGATAATGCCGTTATCCAAATCCTTCAAGCCAAACATGAACGTCGACTCAGGCAAACACTCTCAACATCGAACGGGCTCGCCTCAAGTCACTTCAGAAACAATGGATACCACCAACAGCGACACAATCATGGTTGATGCCATGCTAGTCGACAGCCCAATAGATCGCATGGAATGCGACCCCGATGCCTCAGTGTACAAAGAGTCTGCCTCTGTAACCGACAGGTTCAAAGCGAGACTTTTCGAGACCAACAAAGCTTCGTGCATTGGGTGCAGGTTGACGGGGAAAAGGTGTATTGGAAGAAGGGGCAGGCGTGACGATGATCCATGCGAGTGTGTTGCTTTTCATCTCCTCCATTGACTTTGATTGACACTCAGGGAGGCAATGTTCCAGAGCCAATCGGCGTTGTGAATTCATGCGCCTCAAACCGGGGCCGAGATTTCCGGGGAAGTGGGGTGGAGCGGACAAGAAAGAGAGTAAAAGGAAACAGAGATGAAGCCATTCTGACAGCCGATTATAATCTCTACTGTCGAATTAACTCGAGTTTTGAATGAGCCAGAATCGATTTGTTAAAACCCTGCTGCAAGGCCGTTGTAATGACCTGTTTCCATCCTACCATGTCCGAATCGCTCTTTACTACCCCGGTGGACATCGCACTGCTGGCTGAAGCTGATACGCAGGGTATCTTTCGCTTTTGTCAAAACAGTCCCAATGTGAGTGCACGGTCTGGCCTTCACGAACTCGGAATTGACCGATTAAAGCCATGTGATAATCCGAAATGCGTCAACGATCCAGAGTCGTGTATAGCTGACCCTCAGTGCCGAGGTTGCACACAGTGTGCTACCGATAACAAGCGATGCTCGTTCATCGACTGTTTCGTGGTTCACTTGGTCGGGATGTCGATGGAATGGCCACCGACCACAGCTGCGCACTGGATGAGCGAAGTCTACAAGCCCTGTCTAGAAAACCTTCGGGGAGACGTAAATCCGGCCGACACGTTCCAGCGTAAGTGGTCCACTACAACGAGATATGACGTACGAGGGAACTTCGGACAACAACAAAGAACGAATACGTCTAAAAAGGGAACATACTTCCAAAGAACAATACAGAGTCGAAGGCTTCGAAATACCAAGCGCGCGCCTAAAGTCCACTAGGCTTCCGGAGGATCCGAGATCACGGAAGGAGCCGAGTCGCGCGTCTTGCCGTGATCCGGTGAAGTCTAGATCAGTAGACATTGACACGACCGGAGTCTAGGTGGCGGTGCGGCTGAAGACGTTGGGGAAGTCGAGGGTTCGAGTATGGCTGGAAGCGAAAGTCGAGACGTCGGGATGTGAAGTCGAAGTGTCGAAGTCTAAGCCGAGTCTAGGGAAAGCGCGAGTGTATATCAGAGTTCTGCTAAGTGCACGAGCCCTGACAGTACCCCCCTGTTACGGCCGAGCCCTCGAGGCCAAAGGTGAAGTCGATGTCGAAGAGAAATTGAAGCATAGGAATGTGAAAGAAAAGAAAATGAATGTCGAAGGAAAAAATGAGAAGTCGAGACAACAAGGCGAAGGGCGGACGGGTCACCACTCGGGTCCAGGCTTGTCGGGATATCGACGATGGAAGTCTTCGACTAACTCCCCTGGCATGGCTCAACTCGGGTAGCAAGGAGCCAGGAGCGTTCTTCGTCTGTGTTCTCGTAGCCTAACCAGCGTACTTCATAGAGAAGCTTGCAGGCGCGTCTACGACGATCCACTTTCGAGTCTAGGATTTCGGCAATCTCATACTCCAATTCGCCGTCTACCTCTACCGGAGGTGGAGGAGGCTCGTGACGAAGAGGAATCTGAGACTCGTGATGGGGTTCGAGCATCGAGACGTGGAAGACGGGGTGAACGGAACGCATGGAGTCTGGAAGTCGAAGGGTGAAGGAGTGGGTGCCAACCTGAGCAATAATCTCGTAAGGACCGAGATATCGTTCAGACAACTTCTTGGTAGGTCGGGTGGTTCGGAAGAAAGCAGCTTTGACGAAGACGCGATCACCGACTTTGAAGTCTGGGGGTGCTAGACGTTTGCGATTCGGCGTATAGCTGATAAGACTTCTGTGCGGCGAGCGATAGATTCCCGAAGGTACTCGTGCAACGAGGCGAGGTCGACTGCAAATTCTTGCGCGGGCGGAACTGGCTAAGTCGCGTTCAGGGTGGATGTTAAGACTTGGATGGTAACCCTTGTTTGCGAAGAAAGGCGAGACACCAGTGGTAGCTGAAGGCGCGTTGTTGTAAGCGAATTCGGCGAGGGGAAGGAGTCGATGCCAATCATCCTGCTGGTAAGAACAATACGCCCGAAGGTACTGCTCCAAAGTCTGGTTAACTCGTTCGGTCTGTCCGTCGCCTTCAGGGTGATAACCTGAGGTGAAGTGAAGCTTCATGTCCAAGGCTTCGCCCAAAGCACGGAAAAAGTGGGAGACGAACTCTGAACCACGATCAGACGTCACGTTCGAAGGGACGCCGTGCTTGGAGAAGACGTGGATGACGAAAAGGCGTGCAAGCTCCGCAGACGTGAGATGTTGGTCTGTGGGGATGAAGATAGCTTGCTTAGGACAGGCGATCAACGATGACGAGGATGTCTGTGAAACCACCAGAGGAAGGAAGTTGCTCGACGAGATCCATGGAGACGGATTCCCAAGGACGGAGGGGAATGGGTAGCTGCTTCAAGAGACCATAAGGCTTGTGGCGAGGAGTCTTCGTACGGCGACAAGTCGTGCAAGAATTGACGTAGTCTGCGACAAACGAACGCAGTTTAGGCCAAACATAGTCACGTCTAACCAATTCGATCGTTTTGTTGCGACCGAAGTGACCAGCGAGAGGGTGATCATGCTTGAGCTGCAAGTACTGTCAGGGGCCTGTCAATCCGTCCGTCCCATATCCGTTTATCCGTCTATCCGTCTTCCGTTCGACAGTAGGCGACCAATACCTGACATGATCAGCTCTATATATAGTGCCAGCAACCTATCACCTTTAACCGGTGATAGCGGCCTTTTTGGCTCAGTTGGTTTATCGCGAGTTGCTGGCGCGGTTTCTAACAGTATCACCGGTTACATTAGGTCGCAGGTTCAAACCCTGGGCAGGTGCAATACTTTCCGGCTTGGGAAACCGGTTTGTTTGTGCTTGTTAGGGCCCGGGGGCCTCGGCTGACAGGACGTGTTCGAGTTCTGGGGGCTATTATGTATATCTGATCGCGGGTTCTGGGGGCAAGACGTGGCTAGGCCTGGGAAACCTAGTAAGAAGTCGTCATCACGTCACCTCGAGGGCTCGGTGCTTAACAGGGGGGTACTGTCAGGGGCCTGTCAATCCGTCCGTCCCATATCCGTTTATCCGTCTATCCGTCTTCCGTTCGACAGTAGGCGACCAATACCTGACATGATCAGCTCTATATATAGTGCCAGCAACCTATCACCTTAACCGGTGATAGCGGCCTTTTTGGCTCAGTTGGTTTATCGCGAGTTGCTGGCGCGGTTTCTAACAGACCCTAGGAACGATATTTCCTGTTACAGACCATGAAATCAGCACTGCCTGATAGCATATAGTTCGGTCGTCATTGTCGTTAGGCAGGTTGTCGAGCCATTCCGCTGGGAGCCTCGAGACCACATCATGTCCGATTAGCGCTATAAGATTTAACAGATATGTGATATCAGCTTTCCTCAGGACCTGTAAATGGTCCCCTAGTTCAAGGGGGCCATATACGAGCGCCATAGGTGCTCAGCAGCCCTGAGGAAGCCTGAGGGGTGGTATAGCGGAAGACGAAAAGGCGCGTGAAAAAAAAAGGCGCGCCAGGTTTCTATTTTTGCAAAATCGTCGGTGTTTCGATTTGGTATCTATCCTATTTAGGTAAAATAAGAAACCGGGCGTATCCGTGATGGAGCGCCCCCCCCCATTTCAAACCCAGCTATACCGGTCGCTCTAGAGAGCTTTATCGCTCATAGAGCGATCGGTCACCGGTCTAGGCTGCCCCTGTCAATCAACATCAAAAGGCAGCCTAAAAAAGGGATCTTCCCGCGGGCCAAAATTGATCGGGGACAATAAGGATCTTATCTCTTCACCACCACGATGTCGTCCTCAGTGTACCCAGGTGGGTCTTGCTCTCCCTACACTAACCTTGATTACAAAAATTAACATGCAACAGCCCGCCAACATGTCCTCAAAACGTTCAAGGAGCTCGTCAAGCTCTTGCCTCCCAACGAGCGTCACAAGGTGTGTTCAATTTTTCCTATTTTCTTCCACTGCCCTCCAAACCGTCGTTCAAAAGCTAACGATCCGTTCTGTAGCCCCAGGTGATGTTCATGGCTGGCGGCGTAACCGAATTCCGAAACGACACCGACCGCGAACTCATCTTCCGTCAAGAATCCAACTTTTACTACCTCACAGGATGCCATGTCCCTTCTTCCCTCCTCATCGCGACCTACCACCAACCCCCGGCCTCCAATGAAGCTGAAGCCTCTCTGCACCTGTTCATTCCCAAAGCCGAGTTGGCCGACATAATGTGGAGCGTCCCGCCTCCTTCACTGGAGGAAGCCAAAGGAACCCACGACGCAACGACCATCGAGCACCCCTCGTCCCTCCCAACCCTCCTCTCCTCTATCATCCAACAACAACCCGAAGCCCTCTTCCACACTCTCCCCGCCAACTCACCTTTGTTCCCACTCCTCCCCTCGGAGTACACCAAGGTAATCTTGACCGCAGCTGATGATTCCATTGGTGCGTCCTCTCGTCAACCTTGGTGGACTGGATAAGTAGACTAATGAGTCATTTAGGCATTACCGACGCCTACCTCCTCCCCGCCCTCCACCGCGCCCGTCTCACAAAGGACGAACACGAAATCTCTCTCATCCGACAAGCAAACGCCATCAGCTCCCGCGCCCACGAAGTCGTCATGCGCGTCCTCGGCGCCGCCGTCCGTGGTGAAATCCAACGCCAACGCGAGGAGAACCTGAAGAGGGACAAGGAAGTCGGAGTGTCCGAGCGACCTCTCTTGCCCAGCGAGTGGTTGATCGAGACGGAAGGCGAGGCAGAGGCCATCTTTGTCGCTTCGTGCCGTCGAGAAGGGTGCGTCTAATTATTACTCGTTCCTTACTCGTTCTCTCATTATTCTTTGGTTGGCAGATCAAACCACCAAGCCTACCCACCTATCGTCGCAGCTTCAACTCGAGCCTCAACACTCCACTACTGCTGCAACGACAAGGCGTTCGCATGGGGCCCAATCAAACCACACGACCACCTCAACCGTGGTCAGCTCACAGGTGCGTTCCTTCTCCAGCACGCTGCATTCGTCTATTAACCTCACTCCCTCGCTTCTCCTCCCTCTCTGACCTCCCCTACCCCTCACCCTCTGCACCCTCGTGAACAACGCAACCCACACCCACAGACAAGGAACTTAACCCCCAAGTCCTCCTCATCGACGCAGGCTGCGAGCATACCTGCTACGCATCCGACATCACTCGCACAATGCCAGTCGGCAACGGCGGTAAATTCACCAAAGAAGCAGGTGAAATCTACGAGCTCGTTCTGGAGATGCAAAAGGTGAGCGCAAAATCCCTTTTCCGTCGGTGCATTAGATCGTGTGAATCTCGTCCTTTCGAATTCGGGCTTCCGGACATTTCGTCGCCATGTCGTCGTTTTTTATTCCCCGTCGCCCCTCGGCCATTTTTCTCTTCCTCTGTGGATAACGCGAATGCAATTCTAACTCCCTCACCAGGCCTCCCTCGACGCGATCCAACCCGGAGCCCACTGGGACACCATCCAACTCATCTGCCACCAAGTCCTCATCCGCGGGTTCCAGCGACTGGGAATCTTCAAGAGTCCCACCGACGAAGGTGCGTCTCTCCATTCTATTCTGAGTGCCTTTTCTAACCGCTTGTCCTTATCTTTCTCGTATCTCTTTGTATTCATCCTATCCTCCAACCTGGCTTTCAATCCCCAACCCTCAACTTCAATCCCATCAACCTCAAATCCCACTCATCCATCCATCCAGACCCACACACCCACTCCCCAGAATCAATCCTCGCCTCCGGAATCTCCGCTGCTTTCTTCCCGCACGGCGTAGGCCACAGCCTCGGGCTCGACGTGCACGACGTACCCAGTGCGTCCAAGCCTGACAAGAATGACACAATTCCCAAGGTGCGTAGTATTAATTCATAGTGGATTGGAGGAGATGGGAGGAGAACTTACCATGACTTTATCATATTCCTTTGTGGTCAATTCAAACATAACTCGACGGGTGGTTCCAACTTGACAATTTGTTCGATCCCTTTTCGTTGTTGTCTCGGATTACGATTCCACCCCGACTACCTGACGACGCTTGCGCGTGGGTTGGACTGCGTACCAACGACGCCGACGATATTCACCACCACGTCATATCCGTTCACGACACCTCGTCATCCCACCGATACCCGCGCCGTATACCGTTACACCTGTGCAACTATTCATCGGACACAGGACGCAAACGGCAACGTTATCGGCCATGAAAGCTGCTATACCTACCTTCGACTCCGTCTCCCACTCGAGGAAGGAATGGTTGTGGTGCGTACATTCGTCTTTTCGTTTGTCCAAGGGTGGCTGGCTGATTGATTCCTCGACTGCTTTCCTCTTCCATTGCTTCTCTTTTACTTCCCCTTGCGCGTCTTGACTTTGTCCCTGTCTTATTCGCCCCACCACACTCCCAACACGACGCCCTACAACACCACTTCCTCCCTAACCGACCCACCACCCACCAACAGACCGTCGAGCCAGGAATCTACTTCTCCCCCCACCTCCTCGCCCCAATCCTCTCTTCACCGCACCTCAACACGTCCATCCTCGCCTTGTACCAACCCGTCGGAGGCATCCGGATCGAAGATGTGATCGTTATCAAGGAGGCTGGTGAAGGTAAGCGTCTCTTTCGTTAAGCGTCCCTTTCGTTTGCTATCTCTTGTTTTGTTTGCTGGATGGGTTTTTGGTGGGTAAGAGGATGGTACTGACAATGGGATTGCAGATGGTAAAGGATACGAGAACCTTACGACCGTTCGAAGCGACAGGGAGTGGGTTGAGAGTGTCTGCGCTGGGGAGCTCTAAGGTGTCTGAAAGAACGAAGGGAGGAGGACCGGTGCGTGATTGACGATGAAGCTTGAAGGCGCACCTGGAGGAAGGAACGAAAAGGTAATCAATCAAAGAGCTAACATCGGACTCGTAGTTTAAGAAGTATCTCACCGGATGTACCACTACATATACACTTACTTACACTCATATGCCATTCATCTATTCCACCAACTCGAAGCCCCAATTCCTCGTTCCGTCTTTGGTTCAGCGCCTCGGAATGTTCCCATCAGAATCACCATCAAGCCAGACGCTCTTGGGCGCTCCCCGACCTCACTTGATCCCAATCCATCAGCATCACACACCGTCACGCTAGCCTCAGCCATCCATGCAATTGATGTATCAACCAGCAGCCTCCCATCGTGGGCGCACCGGGACATCAGCCAGCGCCGTCCTCATGGCTGATATCACGAAAACCGAAACTTGATACGTCGAGTGGGTGCGGTAAACGACTTGGCCCCGGACCTCCACCTTAGTCTATCTGAAATCTCCCGCTCCGTCGCTGAGGGTTATTGACTTCACGTCCTGGAGCGCTGAGCGCTAAGAACCGAACGACGGACGACGAACGCCATGCCTCCTCATCCAGTTTCGAATTCGGGGGATAATGCCGAATACAAGCCCCTCCCCAATCCACACAGCGCAAACCCGCACAGCTCAAGCCCACCACCACCGCCAAATGTACCCCCCAAACTATCCCAGGAACCAACCGGCCCACCCCAGAAACACAGCGGCACGCTGCGTACAATACCAATCTACACAACCGCTCAACCAACAGGTGCGCTCTACATCCAACATAACCACCCTTCATTCAACCGGACCTCACTCGCATTCGCAGGCACCAAAGGCATAACCCGCCCCACAGCCCAACGGCTCTCACTCAGCATCTCGCTCGCCCCACTCGTCAACTCCCGAAGCATCCTCTTCCGGATCCAAACCGACTTGGGGCCAGGTGTGGGGAGCTACGGCGAGGTGAGTACCGCCTATCTGCATTCACGTTGTCACAAGTATGGATGTTAAATAGCCAACGGCTACAGCTCTCCTCAGGATACTCGTCCACATCCTCCGACACTTCACTATGGACGCTCAGCGCCGCGTCTGGTTCAGCGTCTACACCTTCAGCCGTTCAACATCTCGGAGCTGAGAAGGTCGCTACTGTGGTAGAAAGGGACGAGGACGGGAATGCTTTTGAGGGTGCAATGCACGGTACCGTTGAGGATTCGACGCACCACACCCAGTTCGACGACCAATACATCTTCGACGACCTAGCGTCAGGCATCTCCCTAGCGAGCGTCTACAGCCAAGACTCCTTCGTCGACCCGTCCACCCCATCCTCTCCTTCCATCCCTCCAAATCCTATCACCCAAGCTCCAGAATCCCAAAACGACGACTCGAACCTCACAGCCAGTCTCACGCTTCCTGACAATACGGAGGCACCCACACCCACAATTTCTGTCCCAACAGAACCGTCCACCACACACCCTTCGAACCACTCATCGACGACCACAACCGCGACAGCAGCTGCATCCTCGGCTTCTGTCCCACCTCCAGACTCTCCACTGCTGCTCCCGCGCCGCTCAACCTCCTCCAACCCCCTCGGGATTCACGCAGACCCCCGACGTTACGCTATCGCGTTCAGCCCAACTGTCGACTGGGATTGGGAGGAGGTTGTCGCTGGTATGGTGTCTCCCCCATCTGAGGGAGTGGCGGGTGCCGAGGTCATAGGACGTGGAGGAGTCGTTGGACGTAGCGTCGCGGGACGGGAAGGGGCTCGAAGTGTGGTGGGGAGAGCAGGAACGAGAAGGCTGCCGGGGGAAGAAGACACCCCGGGAGCACGAGGAGGAGGTGCTTGGGGTATACTAGGCCAAGAATCGACGAACGAGCTACCATCCACACTCTGGGCCAACTCGGATGCCGGAGGGAAACTAATCTCCTCCATAATCGACTACCAGCCCTTCTTCATCGACGCCGACCCCTTCGCGTCATACCACCCAATCTCCCGACCGCACTCGCACGCCGAGTCCCACATCTCTAAGTCTTCGTCGTCAGCACCCGAAAGATCATCCCGCTCAGAAGAAATGCAACCTCAGGTTCAAACTCAGGACTCACTACAAGACTCGAAGCAGCCATTCCCTGAGAGGAAATCATCCGAATTGTCCTCCAGCAATACGACCGCTACAGCCTCAACCTCTGCCTCGGCATGGAAACCACCCACCAACACCAGCACCCTCGACTTCGACTACGACGCCCTCGCTCAAAGATTCCCAATCGGGCTCGGCGCACCACGTCGAATCAGTAGCGTTGCCCCCAAGGCGCGCGAGTTGCAAGCCAAAGCTCCCAAATCGCATTCCAGATCCAGATCATCTTCACAAACCCAACTCCCTTCAACCTCAACCAACCACCCTCCCTCCAACGATACCCTTCCGTCCCAACCCTCCTCTCCATCCTCATCCTCATCGCCAACCACCTCTCAAACCCCCTCCAAACACACTCTAGCGATCAAAAACCGCCTCTCCAAACAGCGCGACCGAAAGGTCTCAAGTCCAACAACGACCCGAGCCCGAACCCGACTCGCTCGCCCAATCCGACCATCAAGTCCACTCACACCACGCAGCCCAGCTACTACTACTACAACAATGACAACAACGACGCGCTTACGGCGTCCTACAACGCTCAAGCCCTCCTCTTCAACCGCGAAATCCTCCTCATCGCGAACGACAGCCAAGCCCTCCTCGAGACCCGTAACACTAAAACCAACCTCCTCCAAATCTCTAGGCACGATGCTCTCCCGGCTCTCACTCGATCCCTCCAAACTTCGAGGGCGCATGGCAGGCCGATTCGAGGAGGCTATCCCAGAGGTTCCCGAAGTGCCAGAGTTGCCGCCTGTCTTACCCGAAATACCCAGGCTATCATCGGAAGGGGACGCTGCCTCTCCAGAGTCGGAAATCAATTTGAAGGTGGATGAGGTAAAACCCGGCCACGAGCAAGTGAGAGGAGCTACTAGTATGACTTTAAGCGACACCCAACACCTCCCCTCTCTCGACTTTTCGCCTATCCGGTTGTCGATGCCCACACCCGTCTCCGTCTCCCAACCTGGTCAAAATGCTCAGGCTGGTCAGACGGAGGCGCAGGGGATTCCATTTCCACGAACACCCCATCCCACGAGCTCTACTTCCACCTCCACTTCCGAGGCCCAAATCCCCTTCCCCTCGAAAGACGACATCACCCTCTCTCGTTCCACTGAACCAGGCCGCGCACGGTCCACAACTTTCCACGGTGATCGACCACCTACGATAACCACCCTGCACAACAACAACAATAACAACTCATTAACCGAATCGAAATCTCGGGTAGAGGGTACACTCAACGAGGTAGCAGCAGAACCTGACGCACCCTCCAGACCCGCAGCCCTCGAACGAATCTGCAGCCTCCGCCTCTCCGCTCCTCCCACCCCTCGACACGCACACACCCGTACGCGTACACGGTCGCGTACCACCTCGGGCGATGCCGTCAACTTTGAAGAACCACCTCTACCCACCAATCTAAACGGGAACCAAGAAGAAAACACAAACGCCAACCCCAACCTCAACGCACCAGTACCAGTACCAGCACCCCGCAAAAGAACCCACAAACGCTACGCATCCTCACCAGCCGTACCCACATTCCGGCTCATACCCAACTTCAAAGCTTCCCAACGGGACTCATGGGCTAAATTCGGTCGGGATGGGGATAATGAGGATGATGACGTCCCGCCTCCGCTGCCTAGCGGGAGTAAGTGGCTGAAGGAACTTCGGAACGGCGGTGGTGGTACTGGCCGTCTGCCTACTTCGTTGGCTGGGAAGCTGTCTGGAGGGGAGAAGGGAGGGTCCGGGTAACGACCGTCTGAATTCCGACTACCTCCACAAATGAATGGAATGGGATTCTCAAGCTGTTCAATTATTTCGGGTTATCTCTCTGTATTTCTACCCTTTTTTGTTTTTATTTCCACAACTTCTCTTAGTCACACCCACCACGAACTCTATCTACTACGCACATACCAATATTTACCTACCTAACCATCTTACTATACCCGACCGCTTATTAAACCCCGCAACACATGGTCGGGTCTCTTCGAAGCGCCATAAGTATGACTCCACCCTCGTTGACTTTTGAACAACATAAATGACTCAGTTTCCCTTTTTCGATTGCTATCAACGTGGGTGCTAACTTCAAAAGCCAGGAATCTCGCCTTGACCGCGAGCTCTACCTCGTGATTCGTGCCTAATCGATTCAGACTCGCCGCCCTCAGACCAGAACGATGACTTCAGCTGATGAGCCCTACGACGTCAATTTCTGCTTCCCCGTACCCCGCAAGCTCGAAAACGAGCGATTGAAACTCGTTCCTTTCGTCGTACGTCTCAACCATCTCAATCCTCCTACTCCGTTTTGTGCGTCACATCGCGTTCCCACTATCCAAACACTAGTACACTCAAAGATATTGATTGACTAACTCTACCCACCTCTTTCTCGTACAGCCCTCCATCCACCTCCAGCCCTTCTTCACCCTATGCACCCAACACCCCTCCATATTCACCTACCTCCCCTACGGACCCTTCCACACCCTCTCCTCCTGCTCCGAGTGGCTAGAACACGAAATCCAACAAGACCCCGGCCGCGTTCTCTTCGCTATCTACGACAAGACTCGCCGGCAAGGCGGAGATGGATCGCCCGGACATGCTGAAGAAGCGCTAGCATCAAATGACGACAACGGATTATCAACTACCGAAGAATCATCCGGCAACAAAGACGGCGCAATAGCAGGCGCCATAGCATACATAAACACCTCCCTCCCAAACCTATCTACCGAAATCGGCTGCGTCAAGATCTTCCCTCCGTTCCAGCGCACACACGTAGCCTCCAACGCAGTGGGGTTGTTGCTTAAATACGCTCTGGAGCTTCCCTCAACTTCCGGCCTCCCATCTCAGTCCAATATAGTCGATGCCGCTTCCCGTGACGAGTTTCAAGGAGGCCTAGGCCTCCGCCGTGTCTTCTGGCAAGCCAACATCAACAACACCGCCAGCATCCGGTTAAGCGCCCGGATGGGGTTCACACACGAAGCCGTCCTGCGCTGGGACCGCGTCTTACCTCCCTGGAAGGACACTGCTTCTTCTCAACAAACATTCGATGCCCGAAATGCATATGGGAACGCAGAGTCCAACCAGGGAAGCACATCGCGTGAAGAAATTGCAGGCGCTAACTTGTATGCAGACTCCAAACTCAAACCCGACCAGCAACCCAAAGGCGTAGGAAACGGCCACCCACTCCGCCTTGGCGATCTACGACCAAACTGCGTAGGACGTGACACAGTCATGCTTTTCCTCTGCTGGGACGATTGGGAGGAAGGTGCGAGGGAGAAGGTGGAGGGTGTTATGAAGCGAGTCAATGAATAGGTAACGGGAGGTGTATGTTGAAGTCAGAGATGTCACTGGCAGAAGATGTCAGTGTATATTCAGGATTGGGGAGGTGGAATACTGTAGATGGTGGAAGGATAGGGCAGGTGTAACGGGACTGGCAGGGATCTGGCAGAAGCCCTCCGGGCCCTGAGTGCGAATGCAGATCAGCTTTCCTTACAAGTAGTAGTTGAATACGAGGGCTCCCAATCTACTTAAGAAAATCAGGGTCCCAATGCTCTCTTTTCTCGAATAGACAGGTAGCTAAACATCTACAGAGCTGAGTCAATCCTCTGGCTGCCTAAAGTATTCCTGCCCCCATTGCTTCAGAGGAATGCCCCTATTTAGAGGCGATCAAATACACGACCACATAAGTCAATACAATGATCTATGACTTACGCGCCTCGCGATTACGCAACTCTAGTTTCTTCTTCCCAACCACACTTGATTCCCAGTCTCAACGCCCAGTACAACCGCAACAAACTATGTCTGAAGACAACGAGAACAGGGCGCCCAGACCCACCGTTCGTTCGACATCAGATCGACCCAGGATTGGGCGAATCGGTGACTGGAATAACAACAGCTCAGCTTCATCCAGGTATTGTTATCTCTTCCTTTCAATAAACCAATTATCGACACCCAATCGACTCTCTACAGCCGCAGTGGAAGCAGAGGCGGAATTGCCACACTCGGTAGTTTGGGTGGCGGCAGCAGCAGTTCCCGCCGCAGGGACGACGATTCCGATGATGATGAAGGCGGAGCTGACATGTTTGCCGGTGGCGAGAAGAGGTGCGTTCAACCAATTCTCCAGCCTTTAAACCATCTCACATACCTTTTATCTAGTGGCTTGAGTATCCAGAATCCAGGTTCAGGAGGAGGTGGTCCTGGAGGGTTGGTCCAGGGTCTGTTACGGAGAGCCGCAGAGTAAGTCCCATCTGATCTCCACCTCCCCGCCCATTTTGAACCTGTTGTAGAACCGGACAGGCACGACAGAACGCATCCCCATCCCAATTCGTCGGTGGAGGTTACCGATTGGGCGGCGAGGACGTCGAAACCGAATACATCCCCGATCCAAATGCTGAAGACGAACGTGTGTAGAGCATTTCTTGATGACAGCCTGTTCAAGCTAATAGACCCTCCAGGCAACCTCGTCACGCGCCATGTCACCTTCTGGCGGAACGGTTTCCAACTCGACACGGACGGTGAACTGAGGGCATACGACGATCCCCAAAACGTGCCCATCCTGAACATGCTAATGCAAGGGTGAGTAACCTACCTCGTACAACCCACTCTTCTACATCCACTCACATCCAATCCTCTATTAAGAATCGCGCCAGTCGAACACCTCGACGTCGAAGATGGCCAGGCGGTCGACCTCCAGATCACCAAGAAGATAACCGAAGACTACGTCGGTCCTGCCGGTCCCCGCGCTTTCGTGGGGTCCGGCCACCGTCTGGGTGCCCCCGTCCCCGAGGTCGTTTCCTCTTCTCAGCATGTCCCAGGAGAATTCCCCAGTGCCGCTTCCTCCGCAGCAGCGGAGCCAGAAAGCATCACCACTCGATTTGAAGTGGACCATTCACAGCCCACTACAAGTGTACAGATTAGGTTGTCGGACGGAACCAGGTTCGTAGCTTGCTTCAATCTACACATCAAGAGTAACAATTGCTGACGTCCCTTTGTAGGTTGGTCAGCCGAATGAATTTGACCCATACAGTGGGCGACATCCGCAATTTCATCAACGCGTAAGATCCCTCTTCCTCGATCCATGTACGAATGTCAATGACTGACCATTGCGCAGTTCCCGCCCTGAAAACCGAACCAGACCCTACGTCATCGCCACGACCTTCCCCAACCGCACCCTCGACGACGATGCTCAAACCATTGAAGCTGCAAAGTTGCAGAACAGCGTGGTCGTCCAGCGATGGGTTTGAGCTGTTGCTCTCGACTGAGCGTTCCATGGAGAGAAATGGGCCGGATGCACATTGTAATGATTGAAATCGAAGAATATTGGATTAGGAGAAGTTAGCAACTGGCTATTTGTATTATTGACGAATTTCAGAGATTGATCTGAGCGCATCCCCTAACATCGACGTCGAAGGTCGCGTAAGGCACGAGCAGGCTGTCTTGGCTGAGAAGAGTTGCGACCAACTGCACCAGCGCTTAAGGATCGAACTCGTGACCTTGATGGCACAAAAGGTGACCGGGTGAGCATCTTCTTTTTCACCGTTGCACAGCAGCACTCCAACCACTCTCCCCTGCCAGCCGCACCACGTACGTCTGGAAATTTTTAAAGTGTCCAGGACCTAGCACAGCGCGAGCTCTGCTCCAACGGCCAAATACTGAATTCATAACCTATCTCACACGGCGCATGTCCTCCTCTACCCTCTCCCTCCCTCCATCCAACTCCCAATCGTCCCAACAGATCGAGAGCAGAACCGTATCCCAGCCCGTCCAATCACGTTTCGGGTCTCCACAACGGATACCATGGCCATTCGAAGCATCCTCCTTCCCAGGCGGAAGTGCCCGATCCCACCTGAGCGTTGCTTCCAGTTTGAAGCCCAAGCGTCGCGCAAGGCGGATACTCGGCTCGTTCAGCGGATGCGAGACCCACGTTACGCGGCGGAGGCCTAAGCCACTGATCCCACAAGAGTGGGCCTCCCCGTTCATACCAGTGGGTGGAATGGGGGTATTGAGAGTGTATTGGAGGAGGAGGCCTACGGCGTTCGAAGCGACGTGTGTGCGTTGGTAGGGAGGGAAGATTTTGACTCGTCCAATTTCGACGCTGAGGTTTTGGGGGGAGGCGGAGAGGAGGCCTATGGTTCCTGCGGGTGCTCCGTCCGACCCTCTACTAGCAGTGGAGTCGTCTCCGAGTAACCTTTGGCCCTGCACTTCATGAGGCATGGGAGACCTCCGAGTCTTGTCGAAGACTGCGAACAAGAGCTTCGTCGGGTCTCTCCTTTCGGATTCGACCCATTCCTCGAAGACGGCGAGGGTGAGGAGGGGTCCGTGGATAAAGTACTTGGTTAGCTGAGGGTATTGTTGGAAAGAGGGGAAGAAGGCGGAGGTATGGATGGATGGCTGGGATTGGTGAGACGGAAAGTCAATATACTATCGAGTAAGCAATACCTTACAATGAAAGGGACCAGTTTGACGCGCTCGTTCTCGAGGACGGATGGGACAGGAAAGCAGAAATTGACGTCGTAAGGTTCGGGATCGCTCATAGTATCTGTTGAAATCCCCAAGACGCAAGAGGGTATCGAGAAGGGTGCTAGAAGTCTAGCAAAAGGACATGAAGAGGGCGAGGTAATTTATATCATTAAAGCCCTCTCGAGTCATGTTGAATTTTAAAGGCAGAACGCTGGTGTAAGGCGATTTTTCCGAAGTAAAATGTTCGGAATGCACCAGCATCAGAGTCGTCCATCCGACGGAAAGACGGGGCTCCTCGCCACGACTTCTTTATCTCTATCAACTCGCCTGTACATCGGACGCGGGGTTAATTAAACGACCAAGAGACTGAATTGACTCAGGAAAGAGATCCATCCACGGCCCGTATGTGCCGTCGTGCCGAGGCAACTTTGCATCATTCCCACGGTGCAGAGCAGTTCACAGCACACAGTGGGCGCTTGTTCCCATCTTGACCGACGATTGCCCGCATCCCAACGATATCCTCTCATCCACACCCAGTAACGATCCCAAATTCAGTTCGGGGTCTCTCTCCTTATCCTCTGAAACCATGGGTCAGTTCCTGTCAACATCGGTGGGTCTTTTGTCCGTTAATAATGAATGGAAGATGATGATGTTGAACTAATGATGATGACCAGGGCGCTGCTGGGGGAGATGAAGGGAAAATGCCAGGAACCTGTACGACATATGTCTTTAGCAAATTTTGTCTTGACTAAACGAGCCAACGGTATCTAGATGATTTCGAGAACGAAGATCGCCCAATGTTTGAGCAGGCTCGCAATGTCAACATCCACGGCGGGGTATTCAATCGGGGGGATGTCCATGTACAAATCAACAACTATATCTCCGAGACATCACCAGAAAGACGGCGTAAGTATCCTTTATAGCAGATCTCTCGTCTGTCAATGCTGACTATGCGAAGGTGCGCTTGTGGCCAAGCTGAGCCGCTGGCTGGCCACCAGCGTCAATTTCAGGACCATTCACAACGATGTCCGGAAGCGAAGGACTGCTGGCACTGGCAGGTGGCTCCTTGACACCCGGCTGTACCGCGAATGGAAAAAGAGTAAAGGCGGTATTATCTGGTGGATGGGTAAACGTGGGTTATTCCGTGCCAATGCCAACGATAGTACATATTGTGCTAACTCTACTGATCTAGCGGGCGCTGGGAAGACTGTACTTGCGTGAGTGCAGCTTGACACATGCCATACGGAATGAAAACTAATTGCTCTTTAGATCGACGATCATCGATGACCTCCTCCCTCTGGAGGACGACTCTGAGCGGACCTGCGTGTTGTTTGTTTACAGTCGGTACACCGAACCGCTGGCGGTCACCGATGTCGTCAAATCGTTGATCAAGCAGTGCATCGAGCGCAACCATGATCTCGCGGGTCTCGTTGAGCCATTGTACAGCAAACACGAGTTGGAAGGGACGGAACCCTCTATCGACGAGCTTGTCGACGTGCTCCAGATGCTGGAAGGCTATTTCGGTCGTGTTTACTATGTCGTCGATGGCGTGGACGAAGCACACCTCGACGTCCGCTTCGACCTCATCCAGGTGATCAACAAGCTCCAAGGAAACATCATGTTGACTTCCCGACCGCTCGATGACCTGGCTGGTGACCTCAAGCACGCTGTCTTTTGCACGTTGGCCGCCCAGGACCACGACATCGAGTTGCACATGGAAGAGAAGCTCCAACGGTACAAGCAATTGCGTCGAGTATTGGACCAACACAGTTGCAAGGAAGAGATATTGAAGCAGATAATAGAGAAAGCGGAAGGAATGTGAGTGACAGGGAATGGGATAGTATGCTTGAACTAAGACGCTTTAGGTTCCTCCACGCGGCCCTTCAGCTCGAGAGCATCCAGCATTGCCGTTCCCTCGATAGCGTGAAGACCAAACTAAATGAGTTCCCGATTGGCATACAAGGGGTATACGTCTCCAGTTTGCAGCGAATACAGAGCCAGGACCCAGAGTCTCGCGAGTTGGCCATGCAAATTCTGTTGTGGCTGACCTTCGCTCGTGGTCCGCTGTCGATGCAAGACATGAGATACGCGTTGGCAGCAGACCCCGAAACGGGCATGTTTAAGCCTGAACGGATGCCCGACGAAGCATCGGTACTGTCGGTGTGCTGTGGACTGGTGGAACGCCACGCAAGCGACATTGTCCGCCTAATTCGTAAGCCTTTTCTCCAGTCCTCTCGACGAGCTCTCAACGTATGGTTGTGTAGATTATACGGCCAAAGATGCCCTCGTCCCCCTTCTTCTCAAAGACCATCCTCACCCACATATCCCGATCACCAAAGTCTTGATTCAACGACTTCTCTCCAGTGGTATACTCCAGGCGGAGTTTACTGAACTTGAAGACCTTCACGAGGCATGGGAGATGCACCCGCTTCTGCAATATGCTCATGATCATCTGGGCTCCCACACCGGGGAATGTCACGCTTCCATTCCCACCGTTATCGAGGACTTTCTGCTGCAATCCAGCGGATTCCCTGTCGGTCATTGGCATGGCCTCGAGATCCTCGACCCCCCTCATGTCGCTGCCTACTACGGCCTTTGGCCTTACTTCAGGTTTCTTGCAGACCGCGGTTGGAGCCTGGATGAGAAGGCTAAATTTCAGGAGCGAACTCCGCTGTATATAGCGGCTGGGATTGCCAACGAACTGGCTGTGGAACACTTACTGCAACTACAAGTTGACCCCAACGTTGCAATGAGGCGCGGGTGGACTCCGCTGATGTTCGCAGCGAACGAAGGCCACGCCAATATCGTCTCTCGACTCCTCCAGATCCCCGGAATCGAGGTCAATGCAGTGGATGACAAAGGACGGACGGCGCTGATGTTCGCAGCGAACAATGGCCATGTCGACATTGTCTCCCGACTCCTGCAGATCCCCGGAATCGAGGTCAATGCAAGGGATGACGAAGGATGGACGGCGCTGATTCTGGCAGCGAGCAAAGGCCACGTCGAAACCGTCTCTCGACTCCTCCAAATCCCCAGGCTCGACGTCAACGTAGTGGATTACCAAGGTCTGACAGCGCTGATGTTGGCGGCGGGAAACGGCCATGGCGACGTTGTCTCTCGACTCCTCCTCCACCTTCGTATTAATCCCCACCACCGAACCCATGATCACCGAACAGCGCTCATCATAGCATCACATTTTGGGCACCACGCCATTGTTCGCGCATTAATACTCCATTGCGACAGTATCGATGTCAATGCAGCTGACCTTTTGGGGAACACTTCATTGATCCTGGCTTCAAGAAATGGCCACCTTCCGGTTGTTGAGTTCCTTCTCCGATCCAAGGGAATCGACCTCGATCTCCGGAACAATGAAGGACAGACAGCCCTCTCAGTCGCGCAGGAAAAAGGGCGTGACGAGATTGTGGCGAAGCTCATCGAGTTTCAGCAAAAGTCGCGTTTGGGGACAGAAACTGCAAGTGTAGTTAGTGAGCCCGGTGGGCCAGAAGAAGACTCGTAGTTGGACAGCTGCAAGAGGAGTCGGTTCTACCAGAACATATCAACCGAGCTCGCCTTCTGTCAGTACCTCCCGATGGCGAGTTCACATTCGGTTCCATGCCTCATATACTTCAATGTACGCTGATGAAGCAGTGCCATCGCATTCTGGAATATAAAATCTTGCTTGCCGCTGAGGCTTTCGAGGCAGATCAAATCCCTCTTATGCCATAGTCACATCATTTTCCAAGAAACATTCGTGGCATCGGGAAATGAAAATACCCTGCGCATCCCACAGAAATTTCATATATCCTTACTCTCGGCCAACCAGACCCATCTTTGACAACCGGCTGGCAGGAGTTCCAAGCGTAACTTATTCTGGTATTCACCGCACCTTTCCATGTCGAATACATCGAATAGCTCTCCTGCCAAAACTGATACACCTAGACCCGCTTTCTGAAAAAAATCTCTGTGTTAGGATCTGGCACACGTGCATCCGCAATCCACCGCGCAGCCGGAGGAGTGGTGCTCTTCCCAGGCAGCTTCATATCATAAGTCATCAGGATATACGCCAGGATAGCTTTAACCTCGTTGACGGCGAAGAATCGCCCCGGGCTATAATAATCATTGAGATTCGATTATGCTTGTTAGGCGTGATGGCTATGTATGTGTCAACTCACCAAGCATGGCGCCCAGCTCCAAAATGTAGGAAACTTGGACTAAGAGCCACCATAGTCTGACGCGAAAGTCCATCTTCAACGGCACCTTCTCCTTTCAGCTGGTCTCGTTCGCTGCCTTCGACGAAGCGGAACCCCTTGAAAGTCGTAGGCTCCGGATAGATTTCCTAGCATTACAACTGAATCAGGACCGCCAAGAGCGATCAGATCCGGAATTCCGGTTCGACTACTCACAGGATCATTGTGCAACGGCGCAGAGGCAACCGCCACTCTGAAGCCTTTCGGAATAACCACTCCGTTAGAAAGCCTGAAATCCACCCTTGTCTGTCTCTGCATTGATACTGGATAAGAGAACGAGGTCAGCGCAAGTGGGGGAAATGAAATCACAGGGCGGATCAGGTGAGCCTAAACTTACACGTTGTTAATCCCGAAGTCCTGGAGCTCTCTTTGATGAAAGCTATCAAACTTGTGCATCCTGGCCATGGACTCCTTCGTCCATCCATGCGCCCCAATAATTTCTTCGACTTCCATCCGAAGAGGCTCCAGATACTCTTGGCGCGCAGCCAGGTCAAACAAGACAGTGGTTCAACGTCTAGTAGTAGTAGCATACGTAGAGAAAAAATCAGTCCCAGCTCAAGTGGTGTATAAGCAGAACCTACAAGAGATGTGGTATGAATAGCAGCCATGTTGAGACTGATGATACGCATGGTAAGGTCCGAGCTGCTCTGATATTCCGGATCATCGGGCGCAGCGTCCATTAGCCAAGAAATCGCGTCGTTCTGTTGGACAAGGATTCAAGCTTCAGCCACATTAAGCAGTAAAAAACGCTTACTGGGCTTCCCCTCCCAATCCTTGCCGTACTCCTCTTCCAACTCACGCCTTGTCGTGAACAGCCGGTACAGCCCCTATTTTTCACTTTATCTTATCTGATCTGTCTCGCATCTTATCGTTTCGCTTGCCCCCTATTCCTTCGCTCCTTTATTCCCTCTATGGACTCTTTCACTCATGGAACACTGCCTCGTATTACCCTTCGCCCCACTTCCATTGTTCTTATTGTTACGCACTGCCTCTTGACTCATTCTGACACTCTCTTGTTCCATTATTGTTTCATCCTTGTTCTTCGCGCAGCCTTCGCGCAGCCTCATGACCTTTCTTATTGTTCTTCGACGTTTCGCCATTTGTTTGTCATTTTGACTCATCGCGGCTATGTAGACTGTAGAATAGGTATATAAGCTAGGTAGTCTGCTCTGTATTTCCTCAGCTTGACCTCTTCGTCAATACATCGCTTCCGCCTTCATCTGCATTCGTCGCTCATCGCTCTTATCTTACTCGCCGCTCTTATCTGCTCCGCATTACTGGTCTTTGGTTTGGTTTAGTGTTCGCTCTTCGCGACATTAGGTCAAGCTACCCCCGTGCACTGGCAACGCCGATCGTTGTCCCTGCATCCCGGACCCCCTGGCACTCTGGTTGACCTGCCGATCAGGTCTTACTCTGGCAACTCTGGTTTTCCGACACCGTCAAGATTAGCTGCGCAGGATACCCACACTTCTTCGCCTCTAGTAAAGACCTCAACCCTGACAAGTGGTTTGGCATCGACTGCCACCTCGATAGCAAGGAAGAGGTTGTAGAGTGTGACAGTTCCCCCTGCCCCTACCGACCTCAGTCTCCGGCCCACCTTTCACCAGTTACGACGCCTCCAGACAGCCAGCTTCTACGCTGCTGTTTGCACCTCCGACAACGCCGTAAAAGCCCGCGAATTTGCCGAATCCAGGAAAGAAGAATCGAAGAAGAAATCCCCACCAGTAACTCCGCCGCCAACCGTCACACAGCTCTTACCAGAAGATTCTCCCCAGTCTTTCCATTCCGCCGACTCTACCCCTGCCCCAGTAACAGCAACCACCAGCACCGCACCAAAGTCCTTTCGCCCTCCGTCAACATCATCTGAAGAAGACAGTGAGGAAGAGGACGACAACGACAAGGAAGACGAAACCGAAGAAGAAGACTCCGAAACACCCGTCCCCTTTCACGTTACCTACGCCGCGTTAGCAGAAGCCCTTCCCGCAGTAACAAGTCTCCGCCGCTCCGGACACTCCACCCCCACCACAGCCCTTACCCTCACTCCTCGCCGCGCCCTCACACCACTTCCCATCCCCAGGGAGTCGGAGGACACGTCTGTTGCCCAACGCTCAGATAACGAACCTCCCACTTCCACCTTATCACCATCTTTATTATCCCCACCCACTTCTCTGCCGCTCGTCCAACAAGATCCCGTTACCAAACCCGCAAAGCCTATCCCCGATCTCAGTATGTCCGACACCACTCTTCTCAAGTTGCTTGCCGAGCAACAAGAGACTACCAGGCGTATCCAGCAATCCCTGGATAAGCTCACGGCTGCTAAGACCGCTTCCACTAGAAGCCCCGTCAAAGCGCCTGAGCCCTTCAAGGGTGACTCTGGTGATACCCAGCGATTCCTCCGCTATTTCACCAACTGGGCCTCCGCCGAGTCCGAACTCAAAGGAGATGACAAGAAGTGGATCTCAGCTGCCCTCTCGTACCTTCAGGGTGCTGCTGCCTCCTGGGCTGTCCAATACCTGGATCAGATTGCCGCCCACGAGGCTGCTGCCGACGCTGCTCAGAAGGCCGCCCACCCCTGGCCCTTCAGTGGCGATTGGTCCACTTTTGTGGCTGCCTTCAATGAAACGCTTCCAACCCGCCGACCAGGAGAAAGCAGCTGAAGCCCAGCTCGAGGCCCTTACCCAGGGTAAACAATCTGCTTCCCAGTTCGCAGCCAAGTTCATGGAGATATTTCCCCGCACCGGTCTATCCCAGAAGGATGGTATGGCACGTTTTCGTCGCAAACTCAGTTCCAACGATCGCCTCATGCTGGATCTTATCGCCATCACCAAACCGGACGATGCCAAGCCCAAGACCCTTCAAGACTACTGCGACATCGTCAACCAGAACGATTTTACGTTTCACGGAAGCAGCGCCTCCTTCTTGACCCCGACTGCCTCGTCTCGCTCTGCCCCTGCCCGTGACCCCTATGCGATGGACATCGACGCGACCCGTGTTGGACCTAGTGGCCGTTCCCGTGAGGATTTCCTCCAAGCAATGCGTGGACGATGCTTTGGTTGCGGATCCTCCGCCCACATCAAGAAGGACGGCAACCACGGCTCACTTCGTTGCAACCACTGTCAGCGTCTCGGCCACTCCGCTAACGTCTGCCAAGACAAGTTCATGGGCTATCCGCCCGGTCGAGGACTCACCCAACGTCGTCGCGTTGCTGCCACCCAGGAGGTTCCCTTCTCGCTCTTCGATGACTCTTCCACACCCGCCGCCACCATTGCTGCCACTTCGCCTGCCCCACCTGCTGCCACCTCGTCTAACGTTTCACTCGCCGATCTCTTGGTTGCTCAGAAGAACCAACAGGACATCCTGGAGCGCCTCGAGAAGATCCAACAACAGGGTTTTTGAAGCGGGTGCTTGTTCGTGCTGCAAAGCATGCACCCTTTTCACCGTCGTACGCTGTTTCTGAATATGACTCGATTTACTCCTGTACTATTAGCTCTGTGCGCGAAATACACCCCGGTTCCTCGCATTTTCGCATTCGCATCAGACTCAGAGGCAGAAACCGTACGGCGGACCCCGCAGCAATGATCGACTGTGGCGCTACTGGCAAATTCTTGGACAAGCCTTTTGTGGAAAAGCATCGGATCACCACGTACCCACTCCGACACCCCATTCGGCTCCTCAATATTGATGGGACCCCAAATCAGGCTGGACACATCACTCACTTCGCTCGCTTGGAACTCACGGTTGACGGTTACTCCGAATGGACGGACTTCCTCATCGCCGATCTCGGGGGAGAGGATGTCATCTTGGGTCTTCCTTGGCTTCGCAAGATCAACCCCCAGATATGATTGGCGCAAGGGCACCTTGGAGATTCCCCCACCTCGTGTCTCCAGTGTTACCATCGAAGAAATCCCCGACGAAGATGCACAGCCCCCTCGAAAGGAACCACCCTCCGGCAATGCTATTATCGAACAGATCTACAACGACCCTGATCCGCCTGTTCCTACCAACGAGTTTTCCCGGCGCCCGACCCCGACTTTGAACCAAGCGCGCCTCCTCTCTGCCGCATCCGCGCTAACCGAATGACCCGGCGGAGATGGGTTCGTAAGGGGTTGATGGGAAGACACAGGCGACGAACTTTGGTGCGCCGCTGGTTTCACCTATTCCCAACAGATCGCCGAGAAGTCCCAGAAGGCCAAGCCCCAGAAGTCGTTCGAAGAGATGGTTCCTCCCCAGTACCGACAGCACGCCTCTCGTCTTTCTCCGAATCCGAGTCCCATCGCCTCCCCGAACACAAGCCTTGGGATCATGCCATCGACCTCGTTGCAGGAGCACCGGCCACCATGCGCACCAAGGTCTACCCCATGTCGCAGAACGAGCAGGAGGAGCTGAACCGATTCCTCGAGGAGAATCTCAAGAAAGGCTACATACGACCGTCTAAATCGCCCCTCGCCTCCCCGGTCTTCTTCGTTAAGAAGAAAGATGTGCAAACTCCGCTTCGTCCAGGATTATCGAATAGCTCAACGAGATCACGGTGAAGAACCGATATCCACTTCCCCTCGTCTCTGACATCGTCAACCGACTCCGTGGTGCCAAGTATTTCACCAAGTTCGACGTTCGATGGGGCTACAACAACATCCGCATCAAAGAAGGAGATGAATGGAAGGCCGCGTTCGCCACCAACCAAGGACTCTTTGAGCCCCTGGTCATGTTTTTCGGCCTCACCAATTCCCCAGCAACGTTCCAGGCCCTCATGAACTCGATATTCTCGGACCTCATCGCTTCAGGAAAGGTCGCTGTTTATTTGGACGACATTCTCATCTTCACGGCCACCCTTGACGAACACCGCCAAGTCGTGCACGAGGTCCTCCATCGGCTCAAGAAACACGACCTCTACCTTCGTCCGGAGAAATGCGAGTTTGAGCGGGAGGAGATCGAGTACCTCGGTCTGGTCATCAGGGAGGGAGAAGTCCGTATGGACCCTGCCAAGGTAGAAGCTGTTCGCAACTGGCCTGTTCCCCGCAACCTTCGCGCCGTCCGTGGATTTTTGGGTTTCGCCAACTTCTATCGCCGTTTTTATCAAAGGACTTTGCTACCATCGCCCGGCCTCTCAACGATCTCACCAAGAAGGACATCCCTTGGCAGTGGAACGAACCGCAACAACAAGCCTTCGATACCCTCCGAAACGCGTTCACCTCCGCTCCAATACTGACACTATGGGACCCCGACCGTCCAACCCGCGTTGAAGTAGACGCCTCTGGCTTTGCTACTGGAGGAGCCCTCCTTCAGAAGCTCGACGATGGACTCTGGCATCCTGTTGCCTTCCGCTCCGCCTCCATGCAACCAGCCGAACGCAACTACGAAATCTACGACCGAGAAATGCTGGCTATCATCGAAGCACTCAAGGACTGGCGACATTTCCTGGAAGGACTCCCCAAACCGTTCGAGATCGTCACCGATCATTCCAACCTGGAATACTGGCGCACGGCACAAGACCTTAGTCGACGACAGGCCCGGTGGTCCCTCTATCTTTCCCGTTTCAACTTCATGCTCACCCATCGTCCCGGAAAGGCCAACACCCAAGCCGATCCCCTGTCCCGCCTCGACATTCATCAGGTCGCAGACGCAGAGGATAACAAACAACAAGTCGTTCTCAAACCAGAATTGTTTGCCAAGCTCGCAGCCGCCCACACCGTCCTTGCCAACCCCCTCGAAAGACCGACTGCGTCGAGCCAGCGCCCGTGAATCTCAGGTCTTAGACGGGACTCGCCCAGCTCCCGTAAGTCAGGACACTCGCCGTCTCACATCTGGACTTCCCGAATGGGAAGAGGACAACGGCCTTGTGTACTACAAGGGCCGTGTGTACGTACCCCCGGACGACGAACTCAGGCGCGATGTCCTCAAGCAGTGTCATGACGACCCCACGTCCGGACACCCCGGAGTGCACGGAACCCTCGAGCGAGTTGAACGACAGTACTGGTGGCCCACGATGCGGGCTTTCGTCAAGAAGTACGTCGACGGTTGCGATGTCTGCGCCCGGAGAAAGCATACCAGCACCGCTGGGGCTGCCACCCGGCTTTGGACGTTCCCGAAGGGCCTGGGAGACAGTAGGAGTCGATCTCATCACCCAGTTACCGGGAAGCCCATGGACACGACGCGATCATCGTCTTCACCGATCACTACAGCAAGGTTCTTCATGCTCTCCCCTGTACATCCGACATCACCACCGAAGGCGTTGCAGACATCTACTACCGTGAAGTATTCCGTCTCCATGGTCTCCCACTCCGGTTCATCAGTGATCGAGGCCCTCAGTTCGCTTCTAAGGTCATGCGCACCCTCCTCAAGCGTCTCGGAATCGAGTCCAACCTCACCACCGCCTATCACCCTCAAGCCAATGGACAAACCGAACGGGCCAACCAGGAAATCGAGAAGTATCTCCGTCTTTACGTCTCTCGCCGACAGGATGACTGGGACAAGCACCTACCGATGGCTGAATTCGTGATCAACTCCCGCGTCCACTCTGCCCATGATCGTTCACCTTTCGAAGTTCTCTATGGGTATATTCCCCACTTCAACATCCCCATTGGCAAACAGACCGACCTTCGCCCCGTTGATGAACGTGTTCAGCAGCTACAAGAAGCCCGCAAGGATGTGGAAGCTGCCTTACGTCTCGAGAAAGGCCCAGCAGAAGGATGCGTACGAGTCCGGCAAGCGAACGGCTCATCAATTCAAGGTTGGCGACTACGTTTGGCTTAACGCGAAGGACATCCAGATCAAGGTTCCGTCCCGCAAACTCGGCGACCTCCAACTCGGCCCGTACAAGATTACCGAACGCATCGGCGACCTCGACTACCGCCTCGAACTTCCCCCGTCCCTCTCCCGCATTCATCCTGTGTTCCACGTCGACAAGCTCTCCCCCTGGAAAGGCAATGATGTCAATGGCATTTTGCCACCCCCGCCTGAGCCTGTCGAACTGGAGGGGGAGCTTGAATACGAGGTTCACGACATCCTGGACAGCCGTTGGAGAGGTCGAGGAAAGAATCGCAAACTGGAGTATTTGGTCAGTTGGAAGGGTTATGGGTCGACGGACGACACTTGGGAACCGGAGGAGAACTTGGAGCACGCGCCCGAGATCGTGAAGGAGTTCCACCAGCGACACCCCTCTGCACCACGCCGAATTTCCGCTACCATCTTCAGCTCTCTCCCATGGCGCCCACTCGAGAATTTCACCGACGCCCCGCCTACCGACTTTGACTGGGAACTGGGACGCCGCCTACCGTTGGTCATCGAGGACGATGAGGCTTAGAAGGGGGGTAATGTCGTGAACAGCGCGGTACAGCCCCTATTTTTCACTTTATCTTATCTGATCTGTCTCGCATCTTATCGTTTCGCTTGCCCCTATTCCTTCGCTCCTTTATTCCCTCTATGGACTCTTTCACTCATGGAACACTGCCTCGTATTACCCTTCGCCCCACTTCCATTGTTCTTATTGTTACGCACTGCCTCTTGACTCATTCTGACACTCTCTTGTTCCATTATTGTTTCATCCTTGTTCTTCGCGCAGCCTTCGCGCAGCCTTCGCGCAGCCTCATGACCTTTCTTATTGTTCTTCGACGTTTCGCCATTTGTTTGTCATTTTGACTCATCGCGGCTATGTAGACTGTAGAATAGGTATATAAGCTAGGTAGTCTGCTCTGTATTTCCTCAGCTTGACCTCTTCGTCAATACATCGCTTCCGCCTTCATCTGCATTCGTCGCTCATCGCTCTTATCTTACTCGCCGCTCTTATCTGCTCCGCATTACTGGTCTTTGGTTTGGTTTAGTGTTCGCTCTTCGCGACACGCCTCTCGTTCCATATTCCCTCAATATGCTTTGCTACGGCCGCGTGGAATGACTGGAACTTGCTAAACAGTCTTCCACCAAGGCTGAAACAACGATCAGCCATGTCAAATATACTTTAAGGGTTGGTAAATATCACATACGGTCTCATGAAGAGAGGCAACAAATTCAAGAGGCGAGAAACGGTGAAGATATTGACGGTCAGATCTTCCTGAATCTTGCAATACTCGGTGTTCCGGCCTGCAAAGGCGTCGTTAGCTCTGCACCCCCACCAAATCAAACACCTAACACAACGGCAATCCAACAAATATGCGATTAGTGGTGCGAGAAACGATGTGGAGGAGTTTTCCGTAAACCTGGATAGGGGCCCAATCTGGAACGATTGGGAACTTAGTGACTAATGAGAAGCCCAACTTCATTATCGATTACTTACCCTCTGTCAAAGGAATAAACACCCCCACTGAAGTCTCGATCTCGTCTTTAAGGTCTTCAAACCGAAGTGGCAGCCCCCTCGTCAGCGGACCACGTATCACATCAATATGGTACCGATTCTTCCGGACTGGCGGGCCCAAATCGCCAAGGATAAAATCCCTTTGGAATAGCTAAACCCAGGCAAGTAAGATAGGGGGATAGATGGGCACTGTCAATGCTATGACGTCAGTCCGACATACCTCGAAGGTAGCATCATAGAACGACAGTTCCTCCTCGCTCGCCCTCTTGAATTCATCCGCGACATCCGCTCCAGCGCCAACGATGAGCCATCGGTTGGCAGTCATGATCGTCGGGACCTTGAATACGGACCCCTTGTGCTAGCCGTATTATCAACAGCGTCAACGGAGCTCGCAAACGTGCCTTTGCTCTCGATCCCGCTTGACCTCACCTTTTCATAACCTTCCTGAACGATCTTCCTGCCGTTCAGCATGAACTTCCAAGCTGAGATGTAGGACGAGATAAAGCCGTCAGAGCCGACCGTTGGGATGTGTCGAACCTATTATGTGCACCAATCCTATGTCGGCGAATCTCTCAATTTTAAAGTACTCGGTACTTACCTTTCGCTCCGATATCCTGAACAGCGCCCACTGAAAGGCGATCCATGCAGCAAGTACAAACCCCAGAACGCTGAGATATGCCATTTCGCAAAGGAGGTGTGTGGATGGGAATTGGGAACCACAAGTAGCCCAGGAATAGCACGGGGTGACCTTTATAGACTCAAGCGACCGTGCGCATTGACACATGAGCGTTAATCGAAGTTCACCGTGTAAACACCTTGGTGCCTTCTCCCGTGTTCCGGTATATACCTGAAGTCCTCAAAAAGGATACTCGGACTCACTCGTCGCCTGCGTATTTTACCTTGAAGGTTGGTCAGCCTTAATTTTACTCTAAGAATGTCGAACAACCAGAAGGATGGGGTCAGCTGTTCACTGGACAATCCATTGGGATTAGGAAAGACATACCATGTCGAATATCGCGGTTGGGCCGGATTCCCGACGACCAGGCAATCTTTCCAAGAAATCTGGATCCCCCAGGGCGGGGGATACCCAACAAAAATGAAAAAAGCAGATAAAAACCGAACATTATTAGCAAACAAAAAGGTATATACCAGGAAAAAAAAAGTCCACTTGGACGAACAAGATATAACAGTTCTCTATTAGTAGTACCACGCGATTAGCACCAAAACAAATCCTCCAATTAACCCAAAAGACCGAGACAGCCACTACCACACCCAACCACGCCCTCTCAAATACACAACCCCTCCTCGTCCTCTCACAAACACAACCCAATAGCATCCCCAACCTCCCTAACGCCCCGCCCCTCAGAAAGCTCCAAAGCCCTCCTCAACGCCTCCCCCTCCCTCTCTTTCCTCCCTTGATACTTGTACGCCTTGGCCAAGAAATACCACACCTCAGGTACATCCCATCCACGTCCCCGACTCGACTGAGTGAGCAACGCACACGCCAAATCCACATCCGTCGACGACGGGACCGGCTCTTCAGGCGCACATGGTGGTTGCGGTGGTTCTTCATGAGCTGTACTCGTCGATTTTACGGATTTAGCATCGCTCGCTTCCTGACCCGACGAGGTAGTCTGAGGCTGAGACTGTTGAGAACGATGATAAGGCGAACCCGATACCGGTGGGGGCTGGAGGTACAACCTCGCAAGATGCACAATAGCAGGTACATCATCCGGGTCAATAAACAACGCCTTCTGCAACGTCGCAATCGCATGCTGGTAATGTCCCAGCGCAACATAATACAGCGCCAACTATAAATTATCCCCAACAAAAAAAGGCCACGTCAATCAGACGAATGAAAACCAAAGCAAAAAACCAAAGCTACGTACCTGGACCCATACACCAGTATTATGCTCATCCCGAACTTCAGCTTCCTGTATAGCACCCTTGGCCGCATCAATTTTCCCAAGCCTCCGGAATGTAGCAGCGCTCATAAGCCACAAGTCACTCATCAACCGATTCTCCCTCTCCTTCTTCACATCCACAGTAGCTCCTACCCCACCTCCTCCAGCCGCACCCGCACCCGCAGCACCAGCTCCAGTCACACCCCCAACTCCAGCCCCAGCACCAGGTGCAGGTACAACCAAAATCGCACCCACACCGCCAGCTCCCATCGGTGTACCAGGAAGATCAGGCGTAAACGTACCCACACCACCACCAGGACTAAGCGCACCATCCCTACTCCCCACACTAGGCGCCAAAACCCTCTTCCTCGAATGAATACTACTCGCCTGATACAACCCCCCAACCGTCTGCTGCTGCAACACCTTGTGAAAATCAGGCGCAGAACTACTCCGCCTAATCCTCCCACTCAACCCAACAACACCCAACGCATTCCCACTAGCCGTATTCACCACCTCACCAACCCCATGTCCAATCCTCTTCCCAACAGCAGAAATCCGAGCCGACGACTTGTGAACATGGGATTTAAGCTTCTGCTGCATCTTCTTGGATTTACTGGTATCGTTCCCGCTCGTGTTGCCATCACGTCCGCCAAACTCGCGATCGACGCTACTCGAGCTCCGCTTCCTCCCTCCAAGTCCCTTCTCCTCGGCATGTTCAGGTTCAACAGGCGACGCAGGGGAAATCGTGATGCCAATACCAGCAGCGGGGACATGCAAGAACCCATCATCCTCTTCCCCCTGCACCCCTCTTCCCTCCTCTGTGCGGCCCTGCACACTCCTCGCCCCTCCTTCCGCCGTGCTCCCCACAGAAATGACACTCGTCCTCCTAATAGATACCTCCTCCCTCACCACACCCTCCCCATTCGAAACCCGCGCAGTAGTCGCATGAAGCGCCGTAACCGAAATCTGCGAAACAGCACCATCAAACGACTGTCTCTTCACCAACACACTCGGCGCCCTCCCTGCCGCATGCCCCAAGCCCGAGCCCGTCCCCGAGCCCTGTACACCACCCGTCCCACCAGTCGTACTAGCAATCGACTGCGAGCCCGAAATACCACGACCCAACTTCTGCTCCGCAACCCACGCAAACACCTCCACCCAGCCCCGATCCTGACTAGCCACACCCTCCGGACCCTCACGCACCTCCCTCACTTTCATCTTCGTCATCCTAACCTCCAAACCCTCCTCAACTCCTCTTTCCTATTCAGAGGATGAATTAAGCATTGTCAGAACCATCCCTCTGCCATCCCTGACCTTTGGAGTGATCCCATCCGCCAGACCGGTCGTAGGCGTAGGTAACAAGGGTAGAGACGGTTCCACTTCCTCAGGAACAACCCATCTCTCTAGATGCTGCAGGCACTCTTCCGGTCGTCCCAAGGCATACGCATAGTACACCAACGCGTGCCTGACCTCCTACACACCGCGTCATCAACATCTAAACCCGATAAACGACATTAACCAACGCACCTCATTCCTTTCCAACCCCTTCAAAACCTCATACCCATGTATGACCTCCTCCCTCCTGCCATCAGGAACAACACACTCCTCTCCAACCTCCAACCCAAACCACCTCCCCTCCTCTCCAGGCGGGTACTCCTCATCCTCATTCAAACTAGTCGTAGCAAGCACAACAGCAAGCGCATAAACCTGACTCGCAACCTCCTTAAACTCCCTCGCCCTCTCCCTCGCCTCCGCCCCAACACCAGCAGCCTCAATCCCATGCTTCCCAAACTTTCTAAACGCCTCGCTCCACGATAACAATGCACCGTTGGGTGCTTTGGCTGGTGACTCGGCCAGCCATTGGCCTGCGACGAGGGCTTGCCTGAGCTGGGCCCAGTAGTGCCTCTCTTTTGGCGTCGTCGTCGTCGTCGATGATGATGACATGTGCGGAAAGAGATTCGGGCGATTGGATCCGGATTGGCCGCACGCGCCACGTGCGCGGGAAATGTGCTGTCATGATGCGCTTGATGCGCCTGCCGCCCTCTCCGAGCTGATGCTCTTTAAAGTCAATTAGTCTACCGACCACTGCCGCATTATATCTCTATAATTGTGGACTATCTTCTGCTGGTCTACCTTATCGAGAGCTGCTGACGTATATAGGGAGACTCCCGCAAGCCAATTCCTTCACCTCTTCCCCTTCCGCCGTGAATAGGAGCTTTACCCGATTTGGATATCGAGTTTTTCGACAGGGGCGGGATCTAATCTAGAATCGAAGGCACAAAATTACGGCTTGATCAAAAACCACCACCATCCTCATCCTCTCTCTCTCAAAGTTCCAACACCGCTCTCAATGGCAGCACTAACATCCTCAGGAGAATCCATAATCTCCTCCTCTCTCTCGGTTTCAACACCCCAAATCTCGGATATCCACGATTACTTTGAAATTGAGCGTACGAGGAGGGAGATTGTGGAGGGAGGGTATAGGAGGGTTGCGTTGCAGTTTCCGGATGAGTTGTTGGGGTATAGTGTGCCTGTTGCGAAGGCGTTGAGGAGGGGAACAGGGGAGGAGGGAGGGAAGGTGGAAGTGTACATCTTGGCGGATACGAGTTATGGAAACTGCTGTGTGGACGAGGTTGCGGCCTCACATGTTGATGCGGATTTTATCGTGCATTATGGGTACGCGTGTCTTTCAAAGACCGCGAGATTGCCTGTGTTGTATGTGTTTGGGAAGGCGGAGGTTGATGTGGAGGATTGTGTGCGTTCGGTAGCTCAAAAGCTAATAGAAGTGGGGGCAGGGGAGGAGGAGGAAGTGCGTCTTGTGTGTGATGTGCGCTACAGGCATCGGGAGAAGGAGTTGGAGGAGGCATTAGGGATGGCGGTGGGTCGGTCTGTTACGACGACTCTGGGGGATGGGCCACAGACGATTGTGTATGTCGGGCCGCAAACACTTCGGTTGACCAACCTCCTCCTCACGCGTTCGACCTCTACGGTTGTCTCCTACGATCCTACATCGAAAACTACAGCACTCGAATCCGTCCAGTCCAATCGCCTACTGATGAGGCGGTACTACACCCTCCTCAAAGCCCGCGATGCTTCGACGTTTGGTATCCTCGTAGGAACGCTGGGGGTTTCGCAGTATCTCCCTCTCATTTCTCATCTTCGGTCTCTTCTCCGGAGGAATGGACGGAAGAGTTATACGATTAGTGTGGGCAAGCTTAATCCTTCCAAGTTAGCCAATTTTTTGGAGGTGGAGTGTTTTGTGCTCGTGGCGTGTCCGGAGAATAAAGTTGCGGATGCAAAGGTGAGTTGGTTTTTATTGCGCTAATGGGGTGCGTGCGGGTTGTGTTTTTTTTTTCGTTTTGGCTGACTGGAGGGGTAGGAGTTTTTGAGGCCTATTATTACGCCTTTTGAACCTGAAGTTGCGCTTTCGAAGGAGGTTAGATGGGATGGGACGTACAAGCTCGATTTCGCGTCCATCTTACCAAGTTCGCCTCCGTCGCCTGGATCGACTCCATTATCCAGTTCTGCAACAAATGAAGTGGAAGGAGAAGGCGGAGAAGAAGAGGAAGAGGAAGAAGAAGATCCAGACACACCCCACTTTTCTTTAGTCTCAGGGAAGCTCGTCAATTCGCGTCTGTACCCAGCGTCCTCATCATCATCCTCTCACCAACCATCCTCGACGAATGGAGAACTCGTGCAAACCAACCCCTCAGCATTGCAAGTTTTGCCAAATAGTGCAGCTGCGCATTTCTTGACGACTTCGAGGACGTATACGGGTTTGGAGTTGAGGTTGGGGCAGGATGAGCCTAGTGTGCTTGAGCAGGGGAGGAGTGGGATTGCGAGGGGGTATCAGACTGATGTCGGGGTTGGTGGTGGCGGGCATAGTGAACAAGACGGGCAGGGCGGTGAGGGTGGAGGCAGGCAGGTGGATATTGAGTCTTTGCCGCAGAGGTTACAGGAGAAGGTTAGTTTAACGGAGGAACCGGAGTCAACTGTGGCTCAGGGAGAGAAGGGTGAGGGGCAGGGTCAGTGTAAATCTGGGGGACGGTGTCGGGATGTTCGAAGAAGTTGTCTATTAGATTGGTGGTGGGGAGGATACAGCGATTTTTCGGTTACCTACTACGGTATCTCTATGTACATGTCCCAAGGGATATGACGGTTAAAAAGCTTCTGAGCCCATCCCTCTAGCTGACGAGGGATATATGTAGATGCGCGTCGGGAATGGAAAACATTAAACAGTCATCTGCGTCTGATTAGATATAGCGATCAAACATCTGGCCCGGATCAGGGTCAGGGCTCTTCCGACCGCCTCGTGCAGATGAAACAGGAAATCCACCTGCACAATGAGGACAAGACAAGGCTGAGCTGTAGAATAAACCTCGGTTTACTCCATGACCCTCCTCCCCGCAGTATACAAAGAAAAACATATATTACAGAAGTACACCGTGACAATGCGCAGGATAGAAGTCCGAATCCAACTGTCCGAGTGGGCCGAGAAAACAGAAATAAAAACCAAAACTCAAAGCTTGAAGTTTAAACGACATCTACGTTACACCAGCAAGAATCCGACCAACCCTCCCCTTCACCTCCTCCACCACCCACCCCATCCTCTCCCAGAGCATCTCTACCGCTCTAAAATCCAAGTTCCACCCCGACGGCACACTGATCCCCCTCCGAGTCCTTTCACAATACCGCCGCCAAACACCTTCAAGTCCAAACTCCCTCCCCCACCCCACCCACTCCTCCCATCTGATTCTTCCTATCCCTGTCCATATCGATACCATCTCCCCCACCCTCCGCACCTCATCCTCCCAATTCCACCCGTTCTCCCACTTCGCCCACTTTACTCCCTTCACCCACCCCCCAAAGCCAAACCCAAGCCCAAACCCACTCTCCACCGGCCAAATCCCCAACGCCCGACCCCACGCAACGACCCTCACAGCCAATAACCCGACACACCCCGCACACAAAAGCCAATAAAACACCATCTTAGGATCTATCTTATCATCGCACCATCCTGTTGCTCTCTTCCCTCTTCCAGCCTTCCTGATATCCGCATTTCGGATTGAGTCCGAATTCGCATATCCGAAACTCCCTAGGCTATCGATATCCTTCAGGTACAACGGCGATGGTGCCGGCTGTGGTGCAACAGCAACGACCCTCCCCCGAGTATACCTCCGACCCACCCCAAAACTCTGACCCATCTCCTGACTTCGCCTCCTCTTCCTAGTAATCCCACTCTCTCCCGCACGTTCAACCTTTACTCCGCCCTTTCCCTCTCCCCCTACCGTTATCCCCACCTCATCCCCTACCTGAGCCCGTCCTCCAACCCGACCAAAGCCTTTACCCACCCACTTCACAGGTGCTCTCACCCTCGTCCAGATACTATGACCAGAAGTAGTCGGGACCGATGGAGAGTGGATCGGCCATGGCGAAGATGATTCCAAATGTGACGACCGTGAAGATGTTTGTGAATGTGGCGACCGTGAATATGTCTGTGAATGCGAGGGCCGTGACGTCGACAGCCTCGAGCTCGAACCCGAACTCTCAAACTCCAGACCCCCCAACGAAGCACCCAGCCTCGTAATCAACCTAATCGACATCCCAGTTCCCGTCTCTACCTGGCGGGGAGCTCGTGTAGTAACCAACTGCCTAGCAGTTCGTCCTCTTCTTCCAACGTCTACGGGCGACCCTCTTCCCTAGTATTCCAAGGCCTTCCGTCCAGCGAGAGCTTTATAATCGAAGTCGGGTGGCAAGCTCTACAACTATATAACCTTGCCCCGAGAAGGCTAAGGATACCACTAGCCGCTAGATAACACCAAACCCAAGCCAAGCTCCAGATTAACACAACACTAAATACGCTAAACACCCTACTCACCTCAATCTAGCGCAAAATCCAATCTCCCAACGTTCAACCCAACTTCAAAGTACAGAAGTAACCCCAAGTCGAAGTAAGCAGGGCAGCGCAACCAAAGAAGACCCGTAAGACTACCACCCTACCACCCACTAATCTCCCCCTCCATTATATACTCCATACGGTATACCCCACCCACTAAGAAAAAGTTCGCCGAGGCAGACCATCACAAGTCACAAGTTCGAGCTTCCAAACGATTCCGATTCCGAGGTACAAGGAACGAAATACCCGGGGAAACGCCCACGCATTCCTTCCTTCCTCCAATCAAGAGCAAATCAAGAGTATCCGCGATCCACTTCGCCGGATACCTCAACCCGCTGCTCATGGGCACAGACATCCACTTGACCGGACCTGAATATGCATACACACATAGATTAGCATTCCCCCGCACAAACAGAGAGTCAACTCGACTGGCAAATAATAATAACAACGACCACGTCGAAGCCTACGTGTTCACCGTTTCCCAGAACCAGGAGAACTCCAGAACACAGATCATATGATGACCCCTCCTTCCACAAAGATTCTCAAGCAATCCAAGCCTTTTAATCAGCCTCACAGAAACTCACCAGAAGCCGCTTAAACAGATACACCCGACATGGATCTGGTCCCTTCCCAATAAGCGCCTCCAAACCCTGGTGAGCTTAGATCGAAATTCATGCTTGATGAAGAAAAAGAAATACTATACATCGATCATTACACAACACGTCCTCTTCAGTCATCCGGCGTCTACTGAGTCTGCGCACCATACCCTCTAATACCCTCCGCAAACGCCCAATACGTATCCAACCTCTGCGAATCAGTGATCTTCACTCCATCAGCCGTAATCGTCGCAATTTGGTACTACAACGAAAAGAAAACCCAATCAGCAAAATGACATCCATCCCATCCATTCACGCACTAACCTTATCCAAACTCCTGGCATCCCGATAGAACAACACCTTCATACTCTTCTCAAGGATCTTCCTAGCCTCGTCTTCAGTCAGGGTATCCTCCCTTCCCTCCACCTCCTTCCTCAAAAGCGGTTGCGCAAGGTAGGCACCATACCCAGTCGCAAGCGTTGATGCAGAATACGTCGTACCCAACAAATCCACATACGCAAGGAACCTAAATTATCACCACAATAAATCAATCCCTACTCCCGACACCAAACCAAAAAAGACCAACAACCAAAAACAACTCACCTCTCGCCTTTATCAACACCACCAACCAACAGCGAATTCCACAACGGATCCATCTTACTCCTCCTCGCATACATAACCTGGCTCAAATACTCATGAATCTCCTTCGCCCCAAGCGAATGCCCGTCCGCATTCGTAAACTCCTCCACAATCAACTCATCCAGCACTTTCTGGAGGTACTGGAAATCCGACATATCGCCACTAGCGCCTACAACCGTGTGCGTGCCCACAGCTTGAAGACGGGGGACGTCCTTGAATCGCGCGAGGGAACCGTACGAGGCGAGGTTGTCCGCGGCCATCATGATGCCGTCTTTGTATTTAATCGCGAGGACGGAGGTACCGGTTACGATTGGTTGTCTGAAAGTCGGAGGTGGCGGTTAGATGATAGCAAAGTGAGTAACGAAATCTAAGTGCAAGGCGATGAGTACTCACTGAGTCCTCTGAACGCCTTCAGAGAATGAATCTGCCTTGGGGCCATTATAGGGTCTTTGAGGAATGGGGAAAGTTCCATAGGCATCGTGCGCGTCGTTTCGCTATTGGCGTAATTCCATTCCGAAGAAATGTAGTCCCCAGGCCAATCCGTCGTCCATTTGGTTTCGTTATCGCACAACGAAAGGTCCAAAATCCAAGCATGTCGTCCCATTATCACAATCGTTTCCCCAGACCCAAATTCACCGCCCAGCATTCCAAAATCCAAACCACGTCAATAATCCCATCCCACGCATCACAAACCACCATACCCCAGCCCAACACGACCCAAAATTCAAATACAAGATTCCCAACGAACTCATCAGCCCTCCACACCACAACAATACTGCTAACAACTCACAGGTCGACCCCAGTTTGTAGGGAAATGGTCCATCGCAACAGAGAATCAGGAAAAAGCCTTTGAAATCGGGTTGTTGGTCGCGAAAGACGACGGGCGGACTATCGGATGTGGTAGAGAGGAACGAGGAGATGGGCCATTTCAGCGTCGACGACGCGCAAGCAACGCGTCACGGTGATCGGAATCTTCCGTGATCCAATCACCGTAGGTGCTACGCGCGGCAAAATAGGGGCTCATTATCGCTGAGGTCTCTCCTCCAGACCATCGCCATGGAGTTCAAAACCCAACTACCCTATATCGAAACTACCGTCCGCGATCCTCATCAACCCCAGGGGAACATGTACAAGTCCCAGATAAATCTCATAGATCACGAGCGAATCGTCAGGGTGACCGTAAGTACTCGCTTCAAGCACTTTTCCGGTTTCTCCTTTTCGCTGAACTGCTGTCACAGCTCGAAGGACACACCGGACACGAGCGAATCACAGCGCTCACTGTGCTGTGATTCTGATTTGGTTGTTCGTATCCGCCTGTTCTGTTCGTAGTTCACCCAAGTCCTTTCTCACTTCCTTTTCGAGTCTGTCTCTCCCAGTTTCATTGAGTTGAATCGGTCCCCAATTTGTTGTGTGAGGGTATTGGGCAAAGCCAAGCGTTGAGTAAATACGGAGAGATCTCTCGAAGTACGGCGAACTAATTCAGGAATACAAGTACTACGAACCCTGCTTTGTGTATTAGAGCTTATCACCCGATGCCTCTTTCTCCGCGGATGTACTTTGCTCTTCTTCAGCTGTGGACCCCGTGGTATCAGACTCCAGCTCGCCCAGTACAGCTATTCTCGCAGCCATTGAGTGGCAATCACTATACCAGAAGCACGGAAATACGCACCGTCATGGTCGACATGTCTAACCGGACCCGTAAACCATTTCCTGGCACTTAACAACCAAAACCAAACGCTATATGCTGAAACAACAGCAACGGCCACCGACGCATAGTTGAACGTCTGGGAATTGACAGGCTAGATTTCAGAGAAGGATTAGCTTCAATCACATTGTAACTCGGAAGTTCTAGATGAGAGTGTACTGACGTTGATTTGAGGAATAATGAATGCGACTGTAATGAAGATGATCCAGCAAACAGAGACCACCGCGACGGGATAGGAGAATTTGCCAAGGTGGAATGGACCTCGGACGAAACGATCATGGTAGATCACGCGCAGAGCAATGGGGATAGCTATCAGAAAAGCCCATTAGTATCGTGATAACGGACGGTGATAGGACTGACCATAAGATATGTAGAGCCCAATCGTCGCAATGGAAGTGGCCGCTGCAAAGGCGACCTCGCTGCCGAGACTCGGCAGGCCTAAGATGAAGCTGAGAGTGCATGAAAGCCAGACTTCAAACCGTCATCTCAGTCGAGCTGCTAACATGGGGACGAATGTGGAAACGAATACTCACCTGTTCGAAGAGGCGATTTCCACCTTGGACTGACATAGTTGAAGAACTTATGCCCTGGGACCCCACCGTCCCGTGCAAACGCGTAGATCATCCTCGAATTGGAGGTCATGGAGAACGTTCTTCTCAAACTCTCAGCGCGCGATATCTCGGATACCAAGTCACACTCACCCGCATAGGTACATGCAGCATATCACAACTGCCTAGAAACAAAGAAATTCGGTTGACGTTAGCCTTTGTGCGACGAACGCTTCTACATAACAGTGCTTACCATCGCAGCAAACGCCCCGTTACGACCCAGCGTATCCAGGAATATCTGCATCACAGGCAGGCCAGTCTCGGAATTGACTGTCCCTTCGAGATCTTGCATAGAGAACAGTAGTCCCAGGATAAGGAACCAACCAAGGGCGGCAGAGACTGCGATAGCCATAATGATGCTAACACTGCCTGCCATAGCCGCATTGTGCGTTTCTTCGATCAGCTATGTCCGCCGGTCAGCGCGATCGTCTACAGAAGTTAAGGAGGGTACGCACATGAGCACTGGAATCATAGCCGAGTAGGGTGTACTAAGACCACAGGAAATATCAGTCGGCGTATCAACTCGCTTGCAAGGACACGGCTTACTTGAGCCAAGAGGATCTACCAAAGTAACATTAGACTCTCCACTCCGATGGAATAAAGAAAACATAGAACATACCCCGACGATGACAACATACGCATTACTCGCCCTCACCCCCCACCCCACCTCTCCATCCACGCCCGTATTATCAATGAACCTCGTAAACACAAACGAAGCCGATTGATGCACCGGCGCCTTGGCAAGAATTGCGATGATAATCGACATCGTGCCAAAGGCATGAAAACAGACAGATACATCGTTGATGTACGGGAGGAGGTCAGTGCCAAAGGTGTTAGTGAGGGCTTGGCTGTAGAGGACACCAGCGAAGATCCCTTACAAAGGGGCAATCACCGGATTTAGCAACGCGGAAAAGCGGATCATCCTGATGCCGGACGCGACGTACCGATCGTAGTTCGTGGTGTAGGCTCAAAGGAGGTGCCATAGGCACATACCGTAGAAATGAAAGTCGCACAACCGAACCTACCGAAGAGAATAGTCAAACATGAGCGTGTTGAAATCACAGGAGAGTTCGACGAACCCGATGCCTGCTGTGACAGCGACCTGACCTAGGAGATTGAACCATCCTGATCAATGACATTCTCTATCATCTCCGGCATTACCGGCATCCCATCGCTATTCTTATTCGGCTTGGTATGCGTCTTTCCCTCTTTTCTGTGGTATTCTCTATACTGAGCTTGTATTCTCTCAGAATACTGGAGGACCCGCAGTGATGGTTGGATACCTGGCCGTTTGTAAGGTCCATTTGAGAGCATGATCTGTCATCCGCTTGACCACCCTCTGGAACAGCGTTCTTCACTATGTTCGTCGGGCTTTCAATGGCAGGTGTGCACTTATATCAATTACTCTATCCAACATCTGACCGTCCTTGGCTTGAGAAATATGCAGGTTGGATTCATGGTGGTGGTTCTGTCTGTGCACGTTGTCGACTCACTCCACCTTCGCATGACAGCACGCACCCAACCTCGGGTGGGCCATACTATTGGGCCGCGATGCTTTCGACTCCGAAATTTGCGCCTTTTACATCATGGATTACTGGTTCGTTCTCCTCGACATCCTTTCAATCTTTTCTGACACCGTGACTATTCAGCTATAGGACAGTGAGCGTTGAACGTTGAACTTCGAGGGACGAAAAAATTGTAGCTGAGAAAAACTAACGCCAAAATTCTGAATGGCAGTTCTATCAGCGACATGCACTTGGTGAGGGGGATCTACCAACCTTCATCATTCCAAAGTTTCGTCTATCCATGGTGTATATGTCAGCACAGCGCTGGAGGGATGTATTGACACAATGACCCACTTAAGCTCTTGCTTATACCCCATCCTAGCAAGCTCTGCCTCGTCCCTGTCCACCGTCAGGACTTCCACCGTCGGTTTCCTTTCTTTCGCCATGGGCTGTAAGTCGATACGATGAAGGATTGCGATGACTTCGCGAGGGTGTGGTTCGAGTTTAGGGTTTAATTATTTAGCCAATAGTGATTGCGATGAGTGGCCAGCAAACGGGATATTTCTGAAAGTCCTCACGACGCCGGCTCCAGTTTTAAAGCCTCTGACTAGGCCTACCAACGACACATTTCACCACCAGCATCTCTATACGAAGACAGTCTACCAATCCATTGACATACATTGCTGCAGCCAACACCATGTATAATCAGTCCAACAGCCTGCCCGAGGGTTGTTTTTTACAATTCATCCAGGAGTGTGTGACATCCAAAGAATAGGGAGGGATTAAGAAGAGAGCAGGGTAGGGAAAGAGCTATGTTTAGAACAGAGTACGCAGCAGAAGCGTGCCAACGCCACCCGCATCGCGAAGATCGATTCGAAGCGCTCACGTTCGTGAGCCGCGGGTGAACACCGAGGGTGGCGCTTACGGTATTCACGTCGGGCGAGGGATGTAAGGAGGACGTACTTTACCTTAGCGCCGTAGATTAGATCGGCTTGTTTGGTTTTGTTAGCATCAGACGCGCTCGCCCTTACGGCCAGCGCTCGCGCGTTCCCAACTTTCCCTTAGCCTCATCGTACCTCACTATTCATTCACGTAGATACTGATACTTCCAATAAACCTTGGTCGTGCGTATTCTGCGTGTGGTGAATCGAGGGCGAGGCTACTTTACCACACACCCCTTACACTTTTTTACGCATCCATAAATCCGTACCGCGCTTTTTCTCTCTTCCTGGGAACACCCCAACCACTATAGATCTGCGGATCTCTATCTTATTCGTATATTCGACTAGTACAGCACCTCGGACGACGACGCTAGCACCCGACGTTCGAGTACAAGATGGTTAGCTCGTTCTACGACTCGGATGACGAGCAGCCACATCACCACTCAGGTGACCAGACCCCCAGGCCACCTGGACACTACGGCACGACGCGTAACCCTCAGAACGAAGGGAGGCGAAGCGCAGCACGGAACCACGGAAGTTCCGGTGTCTACAGGCATCACGAGCCTTACGACTTCATGACCCATAACCCATGGGAGGTAACCGACTGGGCAACACGAAGCACGACGTCCAGTCGTATCTCGAGGACCAAGGAATACCTCGAGATGGCCATGGACCAGGGCCTATCACAAGAAGAGGTCATGGCAATGATACTTAAGAATTACAACTTGCCACCGGGAGCATTCCCATCTCGCAGCGAGGCGAGTAACTCCCAATCGAGTCGAGCGTACTCGAATACTCACCAAGTTAAACAAGAACCGGACAGCCCTGGGCACTTAGGAACCCCAGGAAACGGTGTGGCAGACCCTAGCGCCATCATCGTACCACCTGTAGGTGGTCCCCCAGATCCGAACCTGACCAGTGCTGAACAGAGTCTGTTCAGGGCACAGCAGCCTAACGAAGACGACGAGAGCTATCGTCGTCGAGTTAGCGCTATTCGTCGACTGCGGTCACCACCGGACACCAAGTCGAACGAAGAAACCGTCACCACGACGGCCTCAACTGCCAAAGATAAGGGCAAGAGACGCGACGATGGTGGGTATAACCCAGCGGTTATCTCACCCCGGATGGTCGCTGGACCGTCGAATTACGGGTTTGGACAGTACGACCCGAACTACCGACCACCACCGCTCATTCCCCCTTCAGGATACCGCTTGCCCGACGTACACATGGGATTCGGAATGTCGCCCGTCATCGAGGACGACTCCGACTTCCCGTTGCTGTCAACCCCGCCTCGTGAGCGGGTGCGAGAGGAAGACGAAATCCTCCAGCGCTTCCGAGAGGATGAGATTAGACATGGCGAAATACCTACGGTAGCCGATCGCAATGTACGTTGGCGTGTAGACGAGAATGGGAATAAAGTTGCCTACTACGATGACCCAGCTGTCCGAGCACCACCCTCAGGAAACGATCCAAGGGTGAATAAGTCCACCAAGCCACATCTCCAAGGGAAAGACCACCCTCGTAACCGACACCCTCAGAACCAGGGCGACGAAATGAGGGGGAGGGTGCCTAACCAGCCAGTGAACTCACAGGCACCCGCACCGCAGACTAATGTCGGAGGTATGAGCAATACTGCTGCCCAGTACCACCGAGAGCATGAGCAACAACATAGCTCACAGTCTCACCCCTCCAGGAGGTCCCGTAGCCGAGATACTACGTCAGAACAGAGGCCACAACCCGATCCCTGATGGAGCGAGACTCCAGCATTCCAGGATCCCGCTAGGAGAGGTACGAGCGAACTGTTACTCAGATGGCGGGAGCAAAGCCAAGTCCGCGAAATGCAAATGTTGACGAGCTTGCAAACCCAGTTTGAGGAAGTCGACGACCCAGTCGATTCCGAATGGCTGGCCGCAGCTAAAGAGAAGTACCGGGCATTGATTCATGACGTCCTTAGTGATGAAATGAATATCCCTGAGGTGATGAAGGACTACGGAAAAATCAAGATTCCTTCACCGAAAACTTACGGAGGCGAAGATGATATTGATGCCTTCGAGAACTGGCTGTACGGGTTCGTGTACTTTGCCCGAATTAACGCGATAGGAGGGTCAAAGACAGATGCGTTCCTAGTTCAGCTGGTCGGAAATTACCTCACTGGGAAAGCCCAGAGGTGGTACATCGAGAACGTCGAGAGTGTCCATCGTACCCGAATGCATTGGACATTCCCAGACGTCATAACCGAACTCTATGCTCGTTTCGTGCATGAACCAGCCTCTCGAGACGCCGAAGAGAGGTACCTCGCTGTCAAGTACAGTGCGAGGGAAGGCATGCAAAGTTTCTTCACGGAACTTCGGCTGTGGGCTAGTCGTATGCCCAATAAGCCCAACCCTATTGATTTCATGCACCAGATGTTGTCTCAACTGCCCAAAGAAATGAGAGACGACTTGATTGAGAAGGGGTATACCCCAGAGAACAACAAACGAATCAAAGATCTGGTTCAAGCTGGGATTAACTACGAACAATCTGAGCGCCTCAAGAAGAAGTACAACTACTCTGTGAAGGCGTCGAGACCTAGCCAAGTAGGGTCCAAGCCAGGTATACAGGACTCTTGGAGAGCCGGATACCACTACAATCCAGTCGAGTGGTCGCCTTGTGAGAGATAACCAAGGCCGAATTGGCGTTTATCAGCCCTTAGATCGATTGGAAGGACGAAAGCGCGACAGCTACTCGAGGGAGCAGAGCTCAGGCTCGAAGAATCGCGATTCTCGAGACGAAAGGAGGCCGAGTTCGACCCAAGCAACTGCAGGAACATCACTGAGGAAAGCTGGCGATCCAAAGACGAAGGCATCGTCCAACTCGCGCACCTGCTATTCTTGTGGTCAAGTAGGCCACTATGCAACGGACAAAGTATGCCCGAACTTTGGACAACGCTCTAAGGGGCCAGAACCGACTAAACGCAATTGACGAGTCGGAGGAGACACAGCAGAGCGAGTCTGAAGAACAGATAGCTCACATAGACGAGTCAGAGGACGATACTGGAGGGTATGGTGCCCAGTATGAGTCCGAAATCGAGCAAGTGAGCGACTACGAGTTTGCGAGCGACCCAGAGTCCGATTCCGATCGCTTAAACGTCATAGTAGAGGCCAGTAGCGACTCTGAAGAACCTGATTTCTTTGGAGCGGTACGAACGATTGAGGGGGAGCCTACGGCGATGACTAGACCCTTCAAGAAACTTAATGTATCGCCCCAGGCAATCGAACGTCCTGGGCGAAGGCCAGAGGAGAAGCGGTTCCTCATTGCAAAAGTATCCATCTGTGGGCAGTCTGCTATCACTATGTTCGACAGTGGGAGCAGTACAGACTCGATTAGACCAGCCTTTGCAAAGGTACACGACATACCTGTGCATCCTCTGTCCAAGGAATTGAAACTCCAGCTTGCGACTATTGCTAGTCGAGCAAGTGTCAACTACGGCACCTGGGTTAACATCAGCTACGGCTCAATCAAGAATTCGAAGGAGTACGTCGATGTTGTTAACCTTGACCGGTACGACGCGATCCTAGGCACCCCATTCATGCACAAACATGGGGTGGTCCTCGATTTCAAGAATTCCCAAATTTTGATCAATGGGAAGGCGTACCCGACGCTCACTGAACCCGAGGAGCGTGAGCTATTCGCTCGTCGATCAGCCATGCGAAAGATGCATGGCAATTCGACGGAATGACTGGAGGACGGGCCTCCAACCCCCACCAGAGTTACGATTGAGGAGTTGGAGGATTCAGAGGGCCGTCAGATCAACGAAGGGCTTATGCCCGATGGTCCCCTACTCATGAGCTTGACTGAAGAGGAGAATTGGGGTGCGTCACACAGTAGAGGCAAACCACCAATTGAGACGTCCAGAAAAGAACAAAAACATACCTCGAGTCGTGAACCATTCGATTCGAAGGCGAGAAATCGCCCCAAACCTGCCCCTAGCATTCCCATTGTAGTCGAAGACTCTGCCGACATTGAGAGTATTCGAATGAAGGGCATTGAACCTGTGGAGTTCGTCCACGAGTTCACCCGCACCTGGTTTCCGGATAAGCGGATTCGAGATGAGCTGAAACGGAAACACGTACCAGTGCAAAAAATCAATAAAGCGACACGAGTGTTTCGCAAAGTCGCTGAAAAACATATTGAGGACGTAACGAGGATGGGGAAACTCACAGAGGAGGACATCCCAAGGCTACGCGAGAACTGGATCGAGAACTGCAAGGCTATGATGGAGGGTCCGCCTCCCAAGTTACCTCCCCTTCGTGACGTCAACCATCGCATTCCCCTTAAAGACGAAAGGATGCAATACAATTACCACATGCCACGGTGTCCAGATTCGCTGAAACCGCAGCTACTGGAAAAGATCAACCGGTACACGGATGCCGGTTGGTGGCAGCAGAAACAAGTGGATCAAGCTGCTCCAATGCTCTGCATCCCCAAGAAGGACGGGAGATTACGAACCGTCGTAGACTGTAGGAAACGGAACCAGAACACAGTCAAAGATGTTACCCCCTTCCCGGATCAAGACCAGATTCGCTTAGAGGTTGCGCGGGCGAAATATCGTTCGAAAATCGACCTGTCAGACGCCTATGAGCAGGTTAGAGTCGAACCAGAGGACGTCTGGAAGACTGCATTTGCCACAGTGTACGGAACCTTCGTCAGTGCTGTGATGCAGCAGGGAGATTGCAACGCACCTGCGACGTTTCAACGACTCATGAACATGATATTCCGGGAGTACATTGGGATATTTATCCATGTGTATCTTGATGATGTCTTTGTGTACAGTGACTCGATCGAAGAGCATGAAGAGCACTTACGGATCGTGTTCCAGAAGCTGCAGGAGGCATGCCTCTACCTTAAGGCTGAGAAATGTGATCTCTACGCTGAAAAGGTTGATTGTTTAGGTCATATAATCGACGAGAAAGGTATACATGCCGACGCCGATAAGATGGCACGCATCCGAGACTGGAGGACACCAAGGAACTACAACGACATTGAAAGGTTCCTTGGTCTGGTGCAGTACCTGGCTCCTTTCCTCCCGGACATTGCTGCCTACACATCGCCATTGTCCGCCATTACGAAGAATGGTCAAGCATTCCGTTGGGACCCCATCCATGAGACCTGTTTCCAAAGAATCAAGCAGATCTGCTGCTCGACTCCAGTGCTTCGCCCAATCGACCCTCGTAAAACTGACGAGCCGATTTGGGTAATTTGCGACGCCTCAGTCAGTGGTGTTGGTGCCATGTATGGCCAAGGCCCCACCTGGAAAACATGCAGACCCGCTGGTTTCATGTCCAAGAAGTTCACGGACGCCCAGATGAACTACCGAGTCTTCGAGCAGGAGACCCTGGCAATACTCGAAGCCTTGTTAAAGTGGGAAGACAAGCTAATTGGATATCGTATCCATGTGGTAACGGACCACGAAGCTTTGAAGTTCTTCGACAGACAAAAGCGACTGTCAGCTCGTCAAACTCGATGGATGGAGTACCTATCTCGTTTTGACTTCGATATCCGATATGTCGAGGGAAAACTGAACAAAGTAGCCGATGCATTGTCCAGATACTTTGAAAATGACGTCTGGGACGATGTACACGATATCTCTGAGTACTCGAATGCCGACTACAGGCTCGACAAAGCCATGGATGATCTGCCACCCCAGCGGGTTGCGGAAATCGTCAATAACGACGTCGAAATTCGGGCAATGACGCTTGAAACGCCACGTCGATCGGCCAGGCTACAGAGGAGACTCCAAGAGAATGTTGAACTTCGAGATATTGAGGCCCAGAGACTTGCAGAAGCGAACCGACGCGATAAAGGCAAGGAGACCGAGCCACAAGCGCCAACAAAGTCTCAGGACAACGAAGAGGACGATCCTACCGTGTTCGAGTCGAGAACTCGAGGGAATAGCATTGGGGAAACCATTCCCAATGCAGACGAGTTCATAGAAGCGATCAGGGCATCCTATAAGACCGATGCACTGTTCAGCAAGGTCCTAGAGTCGCCCAAGATGCATACCCAGTTCGAAGTCGAAACAGGGCTGGTGTATACGCGAAATCGAGGTGGAGAGCGCGTACTGTGCGTCCCACATGGATCATTTAACGACAAATCGCTCCGAGGAATTGTCCTAGAGCAAGCCCACGAGATTCTCGGTCATTTCGGACCACAACGAACGTCAGACTACGTCAGACGATGGTATTGGTGGCCTAGAATCTTTGTTGACACCCAGAAGTTCTGTAGGACGTGTCAGACTTGCATGATGTCGAAAGGAGAGAATAAACGACCCCAGGGACTGCTCCATACGTTACCCGTACCAACCAAGCCATGGCAATCGATTGGTATGGACTTCATCGGTCCATTCCCAGAGGTAAACGGCAAGAACTACCTCTGGGTGATAATTTGTCGCCTCACCTCAATGGTGCACCTAATTCCTGTCCACACGACGAACAAAGCGTCAGAATTATCCGAAATCTATGTCCGAGAGATAGTGAGACTCCATGGCTTACCAGAGTCGATTGTATCGGACAGAGACTCGAAGTTTACGTCGAAATGGTGGCGAGAGATCCATCGGTTATTGGGAACGAAACTCCTAATGTCTACATCGTTCCACCCTCAGACAGACGGAGTCACAGAGCGTGTAAATCGAAGTATCACGCAGATCCTTCGAGGTGCAGTACAACCGGACCAGAAGGACTGGATCTCGCGTTGCCCTCTGGTAGAGTTTGCTATCAACTCGAGTGTTAGCGCTACAACTGGATTTGCGCCATTCGAACTCACCTATGGGTATATGCCATCGATGTTGAAGGCATTCCCGGAAACCGAGACCAGATTCCCGCCAGGAATCACTGCATACGCCAACCAGGCACTCCACTACATAGCAGACGCCCATGACGCGATAATCGCAGCTCGGGTATTCCATGAGGAAGCATGCGAACGATAAACGACGTGAAGAACCGCCAATTAACGTCGGGGATCCGGTGTATTTGTCCACCCAGAACCTGAATATCTCACAAGGGAGAGCTTCGAAGCTTGTTCCGAAGTTTATTGGGCCCTACAAAGTCACGAAAGCGTGGCCCAAAACATCAACATACGAGCTAGACTTACCTGAGCAGTTGAAGTCGAGGAGAATCCATCCGAAGTTCCACGTGGGATTGCTGAGACCACACTACCCAAGTGACGACATGCTATTCCCGAATCGGTCAAAGCCCGAACCTTACGATTTTGGCGCCCCAGATGATACGGAATGGTATGTCGAAGAGATAATCGACCATCGGGGAAGTGGAAAAGCGATGGAATTCCTAGTACGATGGACTGTGGGTGAGCCCACTTGGGAACCGTTATCGAACTGCAATAAATTAGTGGCGCTTGATAATTACCTCCAGCTTCAGGGGGTGAAGCAGGTCCGAGACCTCAAAGGTCAAGGACAAGTCAACCCCTAAACGCGGGCGCGCGTCGCGTGTTCGATAAATCTGACTTTAACATTTCAAGCTCAGCTTTATCTACAATTTCATTAATTACACACCTCATCCTCATGTTCGACATCCCTTCCCCATTCACCACATCGTTTATAACTACCTATTTCACTCTATTCCCCTTCCCTTTCGTTGTTTTCGCTTTCTTTTCCATTTACATTACTAAATTATGCCTAGGGACCGGGAGTGGAGGGCTCACCATAAGGAAATCCTCATAACCCACGATCTCAAGAGCTGCAACGAATGCCGCTACTTTGCGGAGCACAGCAAGACGTTGGACCTTGGAGGGGATAGGAAGAGGGCAGAGGATGCGATAGCCGCGAGGCTTTCGGGGGAAATCGCAGCGGAGAGGGATATGTTGAAGAGGAGTCTAGAGCAGGTGACGAAGGAGAGGGACGAGGCCAGGAACCACGCAAATCGCGCAGACGACGAGGTCTACTCGCTCCAAGCGCAGCTTCGCGAGTCTGACGCCATTATCCAGGCCAGAGACGAGCGAATCCGGGCTTTGGAACAGCAGATCGCGCACCAGGAACAGCTCGACCAACGCCATCGTAAACGACCTCGAAACTCGCAGTATAACACCAACAACTCGTCGCCAAACCCGCCGAATCGACCCAACGCGACTACCAACCACCTCCCCAACAAATATCCCCACCCCAAACCGTCTGACGGCATCGACAAATGGGCAGAGTACGCGTACTACAACGGAGCACCACGAGGCATCCTCGAGGACCTCAAGAACGGCGTCAGTATCCGGTGCATCCGAGGGAGGGACATCGTCCACCAGCTCGGGCCTGCTCGGGGCCCTAAGGCGTGGACCCAAAACTTCGCATTCGCCATCGCTTTCTGTAAGATGGCTGGATGCGAGGGCCTCTACGATCGAGTACTCAAGACTATGGTCCTCGACGTCGCCCCCAATCGTTCGATCACCCCGTATGACGCCTCCAAACCACTTACAACCGCCAATATCATCGCTTGGTGCGCCGGCGTTGGCCTTACGACTCGCGATATCGATGACTGTGCGCTGTTCGCGCAGGTATTCCTTCGGCAAGTTATTGACTCCACCCAGTTCATCTCGGACACCCACCCCGCAGTCCAGGCAGCCATTTGGGTTCACCAATGGATGGATCGCGTTGTCGGCAAGCCAATCGACAACCCAGAGTGGTATCGTCCCAAGGAGATCGTCGACATGTATGACAAGGCGAGGACGGCTCGATTCGAAGGGAAACCAGCCAACACACCCATCTACACCACCAGCAACGGTGTCCAGGTCCTCCCCAACGCGCTCTTACCCAAGGAATGCCCGACAGTCGAGGAGGTGATCAAGACTCACGTCGACGACGTATTCCTTGCGTCAATTGAACCCACCATGGACGTCGACGCCCCCAGCGCTCAATAGACGAGCCCCACTGCCAACACCTCACATCCCGGATCCCTCCCCATCTCCTATGAGAATCATCTCATTTCCCTCGTGTTTTCCGCCGTACTTTCCTCATTTAATCTTCATTTGCTTTCTTCTCTACCGATACACGTTTTCGAACATTCGCTTACCCATACACGATTTTCCAACCTTCGAAATTCCCGTATTTGCTTGCACTCACCCCAACTCCGCTTTCGAGTCTCGCGTTTTTGCTTTCCTAAAATACCTATCATCTGCTTAATACCTGCTTACACCGTTTACATAACACCGAACTATCGTAGACAGGATTTACCTTAGGTAGTGGGCCGCGTGGCAGGCCCAGAGGGGGAGAATGTAAGGAGGACGTACTTTACCTTAGCGCCGTAGATTAGATCGGCTTGTTTGGTTTTGTTAGCATCAGACGCGCTCGCCCTTACGGCCAGCGCTCGCGCGTTCCCAACTTTCCCTTAGCCTCATCGTACCTCACTATTCATTCACGTAGATACTGATACTTCCAATAAACCTTGGTCGTGCGTATTCTGCGTGTGGTGAATCGAGGGCGAGGCTACTTTACCACACACCCCTTACAAGGGAGGATGGCTCACAAGCGAACGGCTTGGGAGGTTATTCGAGGGCCATTTCCACGAGACTGAATTGGGGATGACAAAGACGAGGTCCGCAGGGAGGGAACAACATCATATGGGCTAGGCGCGGCCTGAGTCACCCCACGGGTTCATAGCACATGTGTAGTGATCGCCGTGATTCGCTGGGCACTGGGACCATTCACCTAGGTTCCCTTCGTTAGTCCAGATATATCAAAGCAGAGCTTGGAACGGGTACTTACAGTGAGCCCGATGATTCTCTCGTGGTCGATGAGATACGCATGGCACCTTTCCTGAACGGGGACTTCCACCGTCGTCAATAAATACGGTAGTCGGGACTCGATGTCCGTGGCGAAAAAGTCTCCGCCCATGATGATCGCTGGGGTTGTGCAGAGGGACTGCTGCAGTCCTGGTTTAAAAGTAAAGCCATAGGGAAGTGAATTTTGCACGTTGAAATCGAGGACTTGGATGGTTCCGTCATCTGTGGTTGGGAGGACGACACGCTGGCCGTGGACATATCGCATGAATCGATACGAGCCTGCGACTTGCATGAATCTCGTATGGAGTCCCCATTCATCCCACGAGACGATGCACGGCGTACCCCCCTGGTGACTCCATCTGAGAAGGACGGAGGATGGAACGTATAGTGTATAGCTGCGTCGGCGGAACGTAGCAAGCTCCAGGTATTGAAGCTTGAACACGTGCATCTGCTTCTCTGGGGACGATCTAAATGAGCGGGCGGACGGGCTTGCCATCCACGGTTCACATCGAGAGTGGAAAGATTCCAGAAGGACAGACTGGAGTAATGGAGGAAGAAGAAAAGAAGTGACGTGGGTCGAGCCTGGAAATGTCCCGGTTGGATCGAATCGATAAACCTCGAGGAAGCCGCCGTTCCTCGTCGACGTTATGTGGTAGTGCTGTTCATCCACAAAGGACCAGGAAAAGGCTAAATTGGGGAGGTTCTGATCTCTATCCGAGTCCTGAGTGGCACTTAGTATCGTCCTCAGGGAATGATGTCATTGGACACACCGCTACCAGGGCACCAGTTTTCCAGTTCCAAATCACCAATCTCGCTGGACAGCCAGGCCCAGTGTCAATGAAAACGCCCACAGCGTATCCTGCCACCTGTATCGCGGGTGAGATAAACGACAGCCACGCGGGCTCAGCTACGGCTATGTCGAAAGGCAGAGAAATCAGAGGCTCGGCTTTGAGGTTGGACAGGTGGTGCACCGAGACCTTGAGCGACCGACGACGAGGGTTCGGGCTGCTGCAAGGATATTCAGGGTCAATGACGTTAACACCTATTGCATTAGAGCCACCAACCCCGGTGCAGCCATGGTCAAGAAAGCGATGATGTCCTGTGACGGGTCGAATGCAAAGTCTGACGGTGTAAACTCGAGTTTCTTGTGGCACAGAACCGTGGTGGTGGGATCTTCTGAAGACGGTAGCTGAAGGAGGTCCAAGGTCCCATCCGGTTCAAGCTGAGCAAATATTCCATCGACCAGTTCGTACGCGCGGTATCTCATGGGGCTCTCGATGATATAGTTGAATGTTGCCTGCCAATCCAACGTTCGCCAACGCCTGCGCAAGTCCTGAAGGCGGTCAATTTTGGCAAAATATTCCATCTCTGGCTTCCCATCTTCGATTCCATTAACTCCCAAGGCGGTTATCACCTGCAGTTTCACGTCATTTTGAACCAGCTCTTTCGTCAAACGACAAACCTTGAAATCGTGTCAGGGTAAGGAGTTGTAGCCAATATCACAAATACTTACTCTGCAAAGCTTAAAGAGGTTACTACAGTCAAGATTTTGAAACACAAGAACCAATAGTTCGCTGGGTAGGTCGAGAATTTGGGTCATTGGGGAAGAACTGAGGCAACGTGGTAGACGCGGCGCACTTCCTTTCAGGGGTTGCTCGGCAGTCCCCGATCTGTGGGAATCGTGCAGCAAGCGCCCGTTTGGGGACGTGTCCCAGCCCAAATTATTTCTGTCACCAACAACCGCTATCTCGACCACCATACTCGGCTCCAGCGACGTCCGTACACAAGCTTTGTGACCAGGGGGGATATCCGAGGGCAGCAGGGACAAAATGGCCGGCCTACGGTTCGCCACGTTGCTGTGGATTTTTCTGGTCCATTTAGCTGGAATTTATCTCTTCACGAGAGGATTTCTGCTCATGAGATTGTCCTTAACGGACATTTCTGACTGCGAACCACATTGCACTATCATACCGACGCACAAACGCGCAATTGTCTTGGTAATTGACGCCCTTCGGTTCGACTTTATTTCACCAAATCCACCCAGTCCACCATCGGAATACCACCACAACATCTTGACTCTTCCTAGACGGCTGACGGAGGCACACCCGGAACACTCTTTTCTATTCGACAGTCATGCGGACCCACCGACAACGACACTTCAACGTATCAAAGGACTAACTACCGGATCGCTGCCCACCTTTATGGATATCGGAAACAACCTGGGAGGGTCTTCGATTGCCGAAGATTCAATTATGGTACAACTTCAGAGGGCTGGAAAGAAGGTGAGTAACCTGCCTATCTAGGCTGCGGTAACTGCTTACAATACAGCAAGGAAGGTTGCCTTCATGGGTGATGATACCTGGATGAGCGTGTTTCCAAATTCCTTCCACCCGGACATGACCTTCCCGTACGACTCGTTCAACGTGGAAGACCTGCACACAGTAGACGAAGGAGTAATCGAACATATCTTTCCGCTGCTTGAAGACCCGTCCAAGCCCTTCGACTTCCTCATTGGCCACTTCCTGGGGGTTGACCACGTCGGCCATCGCGCTGGTCCCGAGCACCCGATCATGAAATCCAAGCTTCAGCAAATGAACGACGTTCTCGAACGTGTCGTCGAGAAGATGGACGACGATACCCTCCTCGTCCTTCTAGGAGACCACGGAATGGACCGATCGGGCGACCATGGTGGAGACAGTACCCTCGAGACGTCCGCAGCACTGTGGATCTACAGCAAAGGAGCACCCCTCACACAGAAGCGGTCGAAGGTCCCCATCCCATCTGGCCTTCTGCAATACAGAACCTTCCCAGGTGCAACCGTTCCTCATCGCGCAGTCCAGCAAATCGACCTCCTACCCACCCTCTCCCTCCTCCTCGGACTCCCCATCCCTTTCAACAACCTCGGAGGCGTCATCCCAGAACTCTTCTGGAGAGATAGCCGCGGGAAGATTCTGGAACGCGCATTGGAGCTGAACGCACAGCAGATTCACCGTTTTCTTACTACCTACCGGGCGTCGCCCTCAGGAGGAGAGCTGGACGAAGCTTGGAACACCCTTCAGCGGGCATGGGAGGCCGTGGCCAACGCGACACCTGGGACGGAAGCGAAGCTGGTCGCGATGAACAACTTTGCACGGCAGTCGCTCGCTGCCTGCCGCGTCATGTGGGCCCAATTTAATCCCATCTTGATGGGGATGGGACTGGCACTCTTCGGGATGTCGCTATGCGCCTCTTGGGGTCTGTTTGTCGGATTCTCCAAAGCACAAATGCAATGGAAGGAATGGGTACGAGGAAACGGATCGAAATGCCTCATTGCAACAATCTTTGGCACCATTGCAGGTATCGGTGTCTCCTTCGTTGGTCGCATGGTATGGGAAGGCATCGGCGTCATCGACTATGCTATCTTTGGCGCGACATTAGCATCATGTGCAACAGTCATCATCCTTTCCCCGCCTTTCACAGGCCTTTCCTCCCTCTCCCTCTCGCCCGTCCTTATGATCCTCCATGCCGCCGCCTTCCTATCCAACTCATTCACAGTATGGGAAAATTGGATTATCCCCTTCTTTGCCGTCACAGCGATCATCCCATACACACTCAAAGGCCTCACCTCGTTGAACGCGCAAGTTCGGTTCCGCACCGCTGCCTTCTCGCTGCTATACGCAATCGCCATTCGCCTCATGTCGGTCAGCACAGTGTGCAGGGAGGAGCAACAGCCGTACTGTCATGTTACGTTCTACGCTTCCTCCTCCTTGACAGCACCGCCCAAGCTCGTGGTCCTTTTGGCGATACCAACAGCCCTCGCAATTCCCCGAATCATTCGCCGATTCCTCAACCCTTCGCTATCCTTCAACGGCATTGCAAAGATCTACTACCCCCTCATTTTCTCTCCTTCCATCCTAGGCGGAGCGTTGTATTGGATCCTCGAATGGGCCGATACGACTTCAGCTCTGGGTGAAGAATGGAACCCGACGCTGCGACTCGCCCGCACCTGGATCGCAAGGTTCGCGTTTGGTTGGGTCACAGTTGCGGGTTTAGCTCTGTGGTACTACGTGCCCCTTTGCATCGAGGTCACCGCCATCGACAAAGGCACAGTCATCCTCGGTTTCGGAAACATCTTCGGCGCAAGCTACCTCGTCTACTGGTCCATCTTCTTCACCATCGTCTACATCACCACGCAAGCGCCCGGTCAAATCGTTCTCGGCCTGGGGATGGTGGCGCTCATCGCCTACCTGGAGGTTGTCGACATCGAACGGGACACTACCTCGAGGTCGGGGGTGCGGTTCTGGGACGTGGTCGCTGTGGCCCTACTGGGACTGCACGCGTTCTACACGACTGGCCACCAATCAACTATCCCTTCTATCCAGTGGAAGACGGCATTCTTGATTACACCAACCGTGAAGTACCCCTGGTCGGCAATGACGGTGATCACCAACTCGATCGGCCCAATCTTCCTTTTCGCCCTCGCTGTCCCTCTCGTCGTCTTATGGGGCTTCTCTCCCCGCGGAATTCAGATACCCGATATCAGCTCGACGGTCGAGTTGAATGCTGCATTGGTGGGGATTGGGGTCATGATCTACTACGCTACGCTCCTTATGGGAGCCAGCATCAGTGCTGCGGTATTGAGACGCCACTTGATGGTGTGGAAGATCTTTGCCCCCAGGTTCATGGCGGCTGTTTTGGGCTTGGTTGTTGTTGATCTGGCAGTTTTGGTTGGAGTTGGTTTTGGCGTATGGAGGGTAGGTGGGTTTGTCGAACACACCTTCCGGAAACTGGCAGGGCCCGAGAACGAAGCCCCGAAAGAGGAGTAGGCGCTCCGGTAAATTCGTAATACAACTGTGGGGATTCTGGTTTGTATGTAGATATTACCTTAGCTTTTGTCGTCTCTTCGACACTAAATCAAATACTGTACATACCGCACAGACGCTGTCAGCATTGATAGTGACGCTCGTGGTACTGGGACCTTTGCGCGCTTGCGCGCCACGCCCTCTCGGCCGCCGACGGCCGAATCGAATTTGTGATCCGACGCATGCTGACACTTGCCGCCGCCAACAACCGAGGCAAAGAAAGTCGCGATCGACGTTGGATCGACGTCGTCGCTGACAACTGCCAACTGGGAAGAACACCAAAAACGACGAATACGTTATCTCTACCGTCTTCATAACAAAACTGTCTCAGGATCAGCTCAGTTACAAACCCTCTTCTGCCTAACCATTGTACGTGAAGGTATGTCAGGTTTAGGGATTGAGTTGCATATGCAGCTTATGTCGACTGACCTAGTGTATAATACCAGATTTCATATCCCGGACAACGCGGTTTCTTGTTTCCTACTGCATCGCCTTCAACCTGCCTCGACTGACAGCAATGTCGTCCCTGATACACGGGTTTCGTAACGCCTAGGCAAGTGGCGAGCAATCCAACACACCGTAATCACAGCAACATGAATCCTTTGTTCCCCTTTGGCAGCAGTCCACAGCGTCTACGTCCCAGCATAGTCAACGAAAACCGGGTCTGTCACGTCACATTGCACACCAGAGCGAAATCTGTATACGATGTGTCGCACTCAAATGACTCGGGGATCTGGAATAGGTTCAAAGGCCCACTTCTCGTGTGATAGGCGCCCAGATAGCAGGACACGAGGCAGTCTTCTTTGGTTTGGTTTCGCCAAACACCTCAAACACCTTTAAAGGCTGAAGCCCGTGTGAAGTGTTTCATTCAATCCCCCCGCCATGGCAGACACCTTTGTTGAGAGGGTCAGCCCTGTCGCTGTGATAAAGGGAATTCTATCCAATTATCCATTCTCTGTTGGTATCTTGCGTGAATTGCTCCAAAACTCTGACGACGCAAAGGCCAAGTTACAGGTATGTCTTTCAGATGAGATGTCGATCTCTATCGATGGCTGACGTTTCCGCACCCCACCACCCCAGACATTCGTCCTCGATTGTCGAACCCATGGTACAAACCCCCTCCAAGGACCAGCGCTCCTCGCGTTCAACGACGCTCAATTCTCGAAGGACGACTGGGTCGCCCTTCAGAACATCAGCGAATCCTCAAAGAGGGAGGACACTTCAAAGATAGGAAAGTTTGGGATCGGGATACGATCCTGCTATCATGTAAACCATCTCCCATTTATTAAAGCATCAGCATTCTCACTGCATCACAGGTTACGGACCACTTGCAAATCCTCTCGGGTGATACTCTTGTGACCTTCGACCCAACTAAATCTCTGTTCAAAGAGGGAGCTTCAGTTGTGACCCTGTCCAGTGAGGTCGACGAAACTGCCACAGAGCGGCTGCGACCGTTCAGTAGATTCGTCGGCGCCAACTGGACCGGTGGGCCATTCGATGGCACGGTTGTGCGTCTCCCTCTACGAACGACGCCTAGCGAATTGCAGACCAAAGTGGCCACAACCGAAGAAATTGGCCAATTGATGAAAGACTTTGTCCGCGACGAACTGAAGATTTGCATGCTGTTCCTCCAGCACCTCCGTTCTATCAATTTGATCATGATCGACGACCAAGGCGAAACGGAGCTCGGTTCTTCGACTATCGAAAGCAATCAGATCTACGACAATGTCGATGAGAAACTCGTCACGCTCATCGATGGCACATCCGTGACGAAGCGACGGTGGATCGTTCAGGCGTCACACTTCGCTGACGAAGATGCCATCGCGCTTCTTGCAGCAAGGACTGGTGGCTTAAGTGACACACTTCTCAAACGCCATAAGCTCCGTCCTCATGTAGGCATCGCCTTCCCACTTGACGGTGACGACGCGAGGGAAGTCGGTCAATTGTTTACCTACCTCCGATTGCCATTGTCGACTGGGTTCCCCGCCCATGTCCACGCTTTCTTCGCCCTGACGCCCTCTCGCCAGAATCTCAAGAACCAAGGAGACCCTACTTTGATGAAAGGTTCGGATGACCAGTACGTATTCCTCGACTTTCCTTTCTGAGATTGTCGCTGATGCCCTTTGATAAACAGCCTTCTCGTCGAATGGAACAAGTTGCTTTTCGACATCTTCATTCCACGAGCATGGGGCCACTTACTTTCCAGCCTTGTCCAAACGCAGTGCGGCACCGATGTTTTCAAAGCCTGGCCCCTGGCCCAGTCCATCTCCTGGTGCGGAGAAAGCATCTACTGGAACAACTTCCCGCACAACGTCTTATCATCGGCCATCGAGCAGCAAGCGCAAGTGTGGCCCGTGCACGGTAGTTCGCCTCTCTCCCACAAGATTCTTCAGGGCGTCTTCGTTGCTACAACCGCTACGCCAACCGAGGTTCTCGACATCCTCTCGTCACTTGGCTTCTCTATCACGCGTCCTCCTGCATATATCACACAGATGCTTCAAAGCCAGGACTACAGCAATCGGGGTGTCAAGTTCCTGACCCCGGATACCGCAGCTACTGAACTGAAGGTGAGGCCTCCAGGCTGTACTACATCCAACCAAACTAACGCTGTCTTGCATCAGACCCGGAAGCCCGACCTAGCTGAGGTAAACCACAAGGTCATCCTCGAGTATCTCCTCTCGACGGGAAACCTGAGCAACATCGTCGGCATCGAAATCATCCCCACAATCGCAAACCGCCTTGTTGCGCTCGAGAACAGGGGTTCAACGACCATCTCGCACACACTCTTGGAAGAATTCGACGCTCAACTCTTCCGAGAATGCGATGATCAGGCCATCCCATTGCATGAATTCTCGACTGCGGTATCATCCCTGCTTCGTCGGCTCGGGCCTAACAGTCTCAACGTCAAGCTGCTCGATGTTGGTCGAGTGGTTGAATATCTCTCCCTCCATCCAACGCGGGTCGGCCGTGACCTCGCTTCCTCCCAACCTGATTCCATGGCCGTTGAATTCCTATCCGACTTTTGGGTTTGGTTTGAAGGCTGGGGAATGAAGAACCAACTGCGACCCATGCTCTCAACGCTTTACCTCCTTCCCTGCACCCATGGTCTGCGTGAGGCCAATAGCCCTGTCTTCAGCACAGTTGGGCGCGATCCTGTTTTGGTAAAGTTGCTGGAGGGGCTAGGCGTTCCATTCCTGTCGTCCACCTTCAAGCAAGCCTCAGAGAAGGTCCTTCGCAATTGCCACCTTGTCGTGGACATCGACAACATCCACGCCCTTCTCAACACTCTTTCCCACTGCCGCGCCCCTACCCTGAGCGAAAGCGACGCCAAACTTATTCTAGGTCATATCACCACTTGCCACGCGCGATCGGTCGCCCTCAGAGGTTCGCTCACGAATTCGCAACGTGATGCACTCCGGCGATTGCCCATCTTCCCTGTCCTCCACGTCGATGAGACCACAGCCCGCAAGTCGACAGTCTGGCAGTCGCTGGAATCCTACAACAGTATCCAAGGCATCTCTTCGAACTGCATCGTCCCCGTCATCCCTAAGACTGCATTCTTGCCCACTGACATTATCAGTCCGTCGGCGCTGTCCCTAGCAGGTGCTACAACGACAACCCTCAGCCCATTAGGCGTTCTTGATCTCACTTTACAATCCAACCGACTCCAGCACCAGTCACCTGCCGTCTTAGAGGACATCATGGCTTATTTAGCAACCCGACGCATCTGGATCAATGACAACACCCGCCGGGCATTGATGCGAGAGAAGATCGTCTATAACGCCAGCGGAACATTATGCGCCCCTGAAGACCTCATCGACCCTTCGAACCCTCTGTACACTCTCTACTCCTCCGACCCAGTTCGCATCCCGTCCACCTCGGATGAAACTCGCGCGAAAATCTGCAAATCAGCCTCGACCCTCGGCCTTTTCGATGCGGAATTATCGTCAGCAAATGTCATGGACAGGGTTAATTGGATCGCGGCCAACGCGGACAACCCCTCCTTTGTTTCCCATTCCCTCAAACTCCTCGAAATCCTCGAAGCTCGCGGGTTCAACTGTTGTCACCTCAATCCATCGATTCGAACGTATGCCTGGTTGCCCACGCAAGATGGGTGTCTAGTTCCCTCGACCCAGTGCAGACCCGCCACAGACGATCCGCAGCTCTTCGATCAAGTGCTCAAAACGTTCCATCCCAACGCTGCGCTCCCCTCTTCCCTCATCAGACACCTTAGATGGAACCAGGAGCTCCCTGTAAACGTCCTCACGGATCAAATGCGCATCCTGTTGCAAGGGTCACCATCGTGCCAACAAATCGTGACTTTGTTGAAGGCGCTCGGTCAGCGTACCTTGCTTTCCACCGAGCAGGGGAAGATCAGGGAGGTCTTATCGGGAAGGTTATGGGTGCCGACATCCCATTATGAGCTTGTTGAGCCTTCGCAAGTCGTCTTCAATCATTCCATACCCGAAGCTGGGATCTTCGTGATCGCACCTGCTCTCAGTAAGGACAAAGGTGCTTCGAGATTACTTCGTCTCCTGGGTTGCTCAGAAAGGTGCGTTGTACGCTTTCTCTTTGCCTTTAACAAGCTTATTGATCCCAATCCAGCCCTTCCTTCGACATGATCCTTGCGGCTTTGAACCGCCTCTCAAACCAACCTCCATCCCAAGCAACCGCATCGGCAGCCATTTCCCTTCTTAAATTCGTCACAGCCAACGGGGACCTTTCCGACACCCAGCGCAGCCAACTGTTGGTTCCCGACGATGGGAATCGCCTCCGAAGCAAAGGAGAGGTCGTCTTCAACGACATTGGTCAACAGGCGATCCTGGTCCAACGGGACGGATTCGACTTGGCCCATCCTCTGATCGACAACTCGCTCGCAATTACTCTGAGATTGGACCGCTTGGGGCTTAAATACATCGACCTGCAGGAGGAATTCGAGGATATGGGTGCCACTGCCGTTACCCTGGTTCAGAAGGCAATCGCTCAATACACCGAAAAGCAGTTCCTATCCGAGTTCCTCGCCAATGCTGAAGACGCTGGCGCGACTAGGTTCTCCGTTGTCCTCAACGAAGGGTCCGGTCCAGCATTCACTTCAAAGAAGCTGCTGTCCACGGAAATGGAGAAATTCTACAACTGCCCCTCTGTCCTTGTCTACAATGACGGGGTTTTCAGCGACAACGACTTCCGAGGCCTGTGCAAGACTCACATTGGAGGGAAAAAGGATAATCCAAGCAGTATCGGCCAATTTGGCCTTGGCGCGTTGACGATGTTCCATTTCGCAGAGGTTAGTATCTTGCTTCTGTCTTGTGGAACTATGTTGACTGTGAATAACAGATCGCTGTCGTTTTATCTGGAAAATACGTGCTATTCTTGGATCCGTCCAAATCCAGCCTTCCAGTCCCTCGGGCGTCAATCAAGCTACCACTCAAGGATCTTGTTCGGTGCGTCCAGCTCTTGGTGGTCCCTTCGTACCGAAAAGACTTACCCTCAGTCCAAAGCTGGTACCCAGACCATTTACTCCCATTCGATGGATGCGGCCTCCCCGATATCGAAAAAATCAAGAGTAGTGGAGAATATCCGGGGGTGAGTCGCGAGCGTGGCTTGAGTTTAGGGCTCGACATTGATGATGACCGCAGACTATCTTCTTCTTGCCATTACGGTCGGGTTCTCACTGCAGTTCCCGAGGGATCTCTCAGAAGACCTGTTCTGCGTTGAAATTCCACAATCTCCTCTCCGAATTCCGAGAAACAGCGGCTCAGAATCTATTGTTCATTCGACTTGCCCACATTGAGGTCTCGTCCCGCCATGTTGGCTCACCACGATCTCTCTGGAAAGTCACTGCCACCAGAACACCCTACGACCATGATGGGTTCACCTTCATTGACACAGTTATCGATGGCGATGGGAAGCGTGCCACGACAAAGTGGCTCATTGTGTCCTCGAGCCGCTCACTGAACGAAGTCCCCGAAGAAGTGCGCTATGAAGGCATGAAGCACATCCGTACAGGACTCGCAGCGTGTCTTAGCAGCAAGCACCCTCCTCCCTCCAAGTTCTTCTCAACTCTCGCTCTCGCGATTGGAACAACTCTCCCCGTCCATGTCAACGCCTCCTTCTTCTTGTCCCCAGATCGCCGACAAATTCGCCACGATGCCTACGCCAACAAGGAGACACGTTTCAATCAGTGGCTTCTGTCTGATCCACTGCCACAGGCCTATCTTGTGCTGCTGGAAGAGATTGCAAAGAGTAGGAAGAACGATAGGTGGTGGCCGGAGAACTACGCGAACTATGCATCTTCGGCGGTAGACGACGTTGAACCAGACGACATATTAACCTCCAATCAAGACGATGCCCTTACCTCGACGTTGATACGAAGCTTTTACTCCCTCCTCCCATCCACTGAGCGACGGATCCTCACTCCTCGCTACGCTCATCCGTCACGGTCCGCCTTAAAAGTGAACGAAGCAGTGTTTCAGCCCACTGGCCTGCCAGACGGCGTGAAAAGGGTCCTCGACATTACAGAACCATTGTATCTGACCAAACCAGCCATTCGCTCTCGCGTCTGGAGGGAAGCTCGGTTTTCTTGCCTGACTCCCGAGCATGTCAAGGACTTGATCCTGGGTGGCGCAGTCGCTGCCATCCAGTCCACCTTTTCGAACGACGAACGACGTGGCCTCCTGTCCTACCTCTGTTCTTCCGATCCACTTAACCTCCGAGGACTTCCCCTTCTTCGCCTACAAAGTAAAGAATACACAACATTCGAATCTTCGGGGCAGGATGCGACCAAGTTCATTTGGGAGAGCTCAGCGATCGTCGAATCACCGTTCCCACTGTCTTCCTTCGTCGCTCAAGGTGCACTTCCCTCGGACGTCATTTTATCTGCCCGGAAGAGTGGACTCAATATTGCCGTCTTTGACCTTTCCGCCGTGGAGAACCTTACCAGACAAGAACTGAGCAGAAGATCGCCGCTCGAACGCAAAAACTGGATTACCGTTTTCTGGAAGGCATACAGGACGCTCCCAGGTGGACGGGACCTTCATCTTGCAATCGAATCCCTTCCCTTAGTTCCTTCCATTTCCGACAACTTTGTTTCCCTTCGCCAATGCAAGGACGACAATGTCCTTGTTGCAAGTGCCCTTGACCAAGAGGACCGTCTGGAGCTCATTCAAGATTTCGGTGTCACCGTCGTTTCGCGAGATCGATGTCCATCGGCGTTGGCGGAAATCCTACGGATGTCAGAGTATCACAAATCGGGACCCTTTTTCCATCGCGCTCTTCGTTGCTTCCAATCAAACCTTTCAGGTGTCATTTCTTGCTTGTCCGCCTGGCCCGACAGTCGCCGCAAAGAGTTTTCAAAGTGGTTCCGCAGTCAGCTGTACACCAAGCCTCCCAAAGGCCTTCTCCCCACGGCCAGACAACTCCCTGTATGGCCAGCCCGGCGGCTTGCATCAAAGGACTGGAAGGCGGCTTCGGAAATTCGGTGCCTTCCGTCCGACCTTGATGTATCAGCTGCAGAGCTACTGGATGTTTGGGTTTGCAAGAAGCCTGCTGCACAGCATTTGGGTGTCGAGACCTTGTCAGTGGAAGAGCTGAAGCTCCATCTACGTCTGCCTCACATCCTTTCTCAACCCGATGAATCAGTCTATCTACCGATCCTGTCGAAAATCCTCTACCTCCGCAAACCCGGCGCCGTTAAGGTTCCAAACATGAACCGTGTTATGGTGTCATCGAAAGTGCTTTACTCACGGGAAGCACTGTTCGAGGCAGCGTTCAAACAAGATCCCACCAAATTCCTCCTTCGGTCATACAGCGCTCTCGAAGGCCAGTTGCGGCAAAAGCAGCTCATCAATCGGACGAGCGAGCTGAACATGTCTATGTTCACCATCTGCGCCCAGGCGCTGCACGACTCTGACGACGATGAAGGCGACAAAGTAGAGCGGGCTAGGGTCTTGTTTCGAGTCTACGGGGAAGACCTGCCCTTGAAGGTTTCGGCGATCACTTTTACCAACCAATGGGATCAGCTTGACCACCTGAGATTCATTCCGAGAAGCATGTCGACAGACAAGACTCATGGAGGCTGGACCCTGCCAGTCCCCAGCCGTGTAGCCGGGCTACCTGAAGTCGTCTCTCCTCGCGAGTTGGTTAGGAGGGAATTTGAAGACATCGCTTGGACACAACTGGCTTCATTCGCTCAACAACCCAACCAACGTGTCCTGCTCGCAAATGACAACCTTGGCCGCCCATCGCTCAGCAATGTGGTGTGTATTAGGCCTGCTCTAAAGTGTGACTCCGCTGATCGTATTCCGGTTTCCAGCTTGCCCACCTTCGCGCACTGTGCAAAATGCGCCCTGGCCCGGACGTCCTTCACTACCTCAAGAGTACATACGCGTGGCTCAATGCCATTGCATCTGAAAATACCACCGCTATCGAGCAGTTGAACCAGGAGAGTATTTTCCTCAACATCGACAACCCGAACGCATTCGACACCTGGAGATGGACGCCCGCGTATCATATGGCGTTCGAGAACCACGATCTACCGACCATTCATCGAGTCCGACCTTTCCTCCTTGACTACAAGGACCTTCTCAAGGCCGCTGGCGTGCAGGACGTTGTCTATCCCGATGTTGACACTTCACCGGCTAAGGAGAACACGGACGAAGAGTTGCTGAAGAGGATGAGGACCGGTTTCGCAAAGATGAGAGATGATCTACAATTTACCGACGTCGTCTTTACCTCTGAAGAGGATGAGAGCACCGAGAAGCCTCAGCAGTTCTTCGCCCACCGAAACTTCCTCTCCGTCTTTAGCGGGTACTTCCGGGACATGTTCACTGGGTCATTCGCCGAAGCTCAGCAAGCCTCGGTTTCGGCACCTCATGCGATCTCACTCCCGTATTCCAATTTCGCGATCCAAACCGTGCTTGGTGCGTCCTGCTCCCTATAATTTCGTACGCAAATGCTGATATCCTTGATATTAAGATTATCTGTACACTGGAAGCGTGATCAATCCTAAACAACCCGACTTGCCATTCGAAGACTTGCTTCAGGCGTTGGAACTCTCCCACTACCTCGACATCAAGAGCCTATTCGACAACATTCAGCTTGAGATCATCAAGAGGCGCCTTATTGACCCGCTCACGTTGGAGAATGGTGAGTATTTGTTCTATATTTGCTCAATTGTGCCGCAACTGACCCTTCATAAGTGAAAGGTCGCGCTGATACGGTTCAGGCGACGAGGCTAAGCAAGTACTGCGACGATTATGCACGCTCGAATAGGGATTACATCCGCAGGATTCAACAGGACGCAAATTGAACGTTGAACGACAAATCCCCGCAGATATATCTTTGTTTCGTAGTCATCAATTCCACCTTAGATCTTCATACAACTCGGTACATAGCTGTTGAAAGGAGCTCTAGCCATTCGAGTTTCAGAAAGGTCTGGCGACGATTTGAATGATGTCCTTGGTGATACCATCTGATCTGTTGGCCGAACGTAAACTTTCTGCCTTTTCCGCAACAAACTGCCCCCAAAACAGAACAAATCAGGTCCAGGTTCACAATTTACAAATGATGGTCAGGTTGGCAACGGTTTGATGGGCAATTTGTTTCCTGGGTTCCTGAACCAATTCTGAGCTCGCAAAGTTCTCACTTCGTTTGTTCTGAATTCCGTGTTTGCTGGCTTCTTCTCCGCAACGCGACAGCCGTATGTGCTGAGCCATCCGCTCTATTGTCGCTTTCAAGCTTCAACCTCACACAGTCTATCCGACACTCACATTCTTTTGCAATTCCCCTTTCCTTTCATATTTAATCTTATTTCTTTCATTCTTTTCCTGAGCATGCGGAGTGCTCGCCAACATAACGAGCACACCCGTCTCCGCCGTGTATTTCGCCGAACGTTAGAGGCTCGAGGCTCTGAGCTTGATGCTCGCTCTCCCCAGTTCGGCTTTGGTTTTGGAAATGATCGTGGGCGAGGGGATGGTCGAGGCAATGGTCGGGGCGACAGTCGTGGCAGGAACCACTCACCTTCCAGAGGACGAGGACGAGACCGGGATCGCGGTGGAAACGATAGGAATAGTGGGGGCGGAAATTGGTGGACTGGTAATGGCAATGGGAACGGTAATGGGAACGGGAACAACGGAGGCAACAATCCCCCTCCAGCCCAACCTCCGGCCCCAGCGATAACGACTCCGCAAGCACCTGCTCCAACTCCCGCACCTGCTCCTCCTTCAGGAAGTAACAATAACTCAAACTCTGGAAATGAAAACGGCAGTTCGAATTCCGGAGGTAACTCTGGTACTTCTGGCTCTTGGGGAAACGCAGGTTCCGATGCTTCGGCAAACGATCCAGGAGTAAATCGACAAGTTTCAAGTGCCATTGGAACGCCTTCGACCTCTTCAACAAGCACGACCATCCGAGGCGGTCGTGGTACGTCGAGATTCCGCGTTCTTCTTTGAAGCACTACTGACCTGCGCTGCAGTTTCGACTGGAACCACCCTTCCAACCGATGTTCCTATCACGGGCGCTCCACCCATTTCCACGAACGGGCCTGTGGACGATGCTATCCAGCCGCCAAACACCATCGCCCAGACAGGCGGGGCTAAGAAGGGTATATCTGGGGGCGCAATTGCGGCAATTGTTGTCGTCATCCTCCTGCTCGCCCTCCTCTTGTTCGTGCTGGTTGCCCGAAGAAGATGGGTGGCTCGCCGTCACGATCGTCTGCGCAACTGGTGGATCAACAGGAGGCGAAACTCCCGCACGTATGATGACAAGTACGGTTTCCCAGACGAGAAGAAAGCACTCCCTCCAACCCCAACGGAAAGCGCGTTCGCCAGAAATTTCGAACGTTCTGCAAGCCCATTGGGCCTCAACAGTATCGTTCCAACTGCGCCACCGGTGGCTGAAGTCCGTCGACTGCGAAACGGTTCCGACGCCCATCTTGTCGATCCGACTAATAGAGATCGGTACTCCATTGGAAGCATCAACAGCAATGATTCCTTTGTTGTCCATGTTCCAACCTCACAATCTCATCGGGTCTCCGGTACCGAGTCCTTCAAATTCCCCAAGCCTCCCAGCGACCGGGCAACGGAAGCTACCTCCGTTCATTCCAGGTTCGGCAGCAACAGCAGCAATGCAACATCGTTCGCCGCTGTCTGTTCAACGCCACTGACCAAGACCCATCCCACGAGCTCGCTGTCTCGTCCACCGTTGACACGAACAGGCGGAGGCCGCTCTGATACCATCCCCAATCCATTTGCAGACACAGACAGCGCGTCCTCCATTCACAACCCATTCGCAGACGATTCACTGGACGGTCACTCTGCAGTTGGAGTGGCCAATTTCTCCGAGATCGAGACCATCCGTCGTTCATTCAGGCCATCCTTGAAGGACGAGCTGGCCGTGAAACCAGATGACAAGGTCAAGATCATCCAAACCTTTGACGACGGCTGGGGTCTAGTCGAACGGCTGGATGGCTCTGGCCAAAAGGGTCTCATTCCTTTAGCCTGCCTCCGCGAAGCTGGCGAGGAGCTTTCCAGCCTTCTCAACACCAAACGCGTCCAGAGTTTCCACGCAAAAGTTTCCAATCATATGGGTTGAGTGATCTGCACTTACCCTCTGACGTGTGTACATAGCTCTACTTACATGATTGTCGGTCGTGTTCGTTGACGTCTGCCCATCATGTCACAGAGTACTATTCTTCTATGCTTCTATGACTGCTGTCCCTGTCACCCATGCTCCTGCTACATAACTTACCCTGCTTTCCACCGGCCCGCCGATACCCTTGTTCCATTTGCCTATTGCTTTCTTCATCCTGCGCCCATCGCAGCTGGCCTTGTACCGTCTTCTTCAAATACCCTTGGTTTAACGTTTACCCGTGTTGTCTCGTTAGCATGTTGTGACTACTTGGTCGAGTCGTGTAGCTCGTCTCTCTCAGGTGACGGAAACCTTACCCTTCTTCACTTCTGTATCATCCGCTGTGACAATGTAACTTTACTTCCTCGAAACCTAGGCGTCTTGTGACAGGGAAGATTGGAGTGGGGCACAAGAAATGTCCTTGTGGGTGTGGATTCAAGAATTTACAATACTTATACCACCAGGATCGGGTAGTCAAGAAGGTCGAGGACGCATCAAAGGATCATTTTCGCCATATTGAGAACCATATAGTATGCATCGGCCAGCCTCAAAGCCGCCTGGCTTTGATCGTTCGGCGCTGACTGAGACATGTGCTGGCGCTAGTTGGATGTCCTGTTATGTCATGATGCTGAAGACCCTCGCTCTCATGACGATTCAAGAGGTTGGAGCATCCAAGAGTCGAGTTCAACCTCGGGTCGAGGAGATAAATACCACCTTGGAGACTCTCCGAGGCCCCCTCGACCCTTGACCTCACCCACATTGAAACCCATCAGAAGAGTGGAGTGGGAGATATTCGCTTGCGTTATGTGGACCATTCCGACGATTTGTTTGCTCAGATTGCCGCCCACTGGCAGCTCCGTATTCGCAGGAGCGGGTAAAGCTACCGGTTGTCAGACGCTTCTCGGGGTTTGGGATGGCCCTATTAAACCATCGGGAAAAGTGTGCCAGAGGAAATCTTCTTTGCACACCCCACACGAGCTTCCCCTTTCCCTATGTGCTGTTACCTTGAGCTAGCGACATTGCCAGCCTAGGTTCCTTTCCTGTTTTAATAACACCTGTTTGTACTATCTCCCGACCATCCACGTTCCTTACTACCCTTTCGTCTTGCACTTTATTCGCCTTTTTCAGTTGAGAGCATGCCAAATCCGTCCAGACGCCATGGTACCCGCTCCAACCCAACTAAGTCTAGTTCGCTTCCACCCGAGGAGCTTGAGCCGCGCCTCCTCAACCTCGACCTCCAACTTCCTTCACTTCCATCCATCGTCGCAGGCCTCACCGACACTCTTGGACTGACGGGAGGACAACAACCCGCGCCCGCGCCTGCCCCGAGTCCTCAACAGCCTCCGGCACAACCTGCTCCGCAGCCCTCACCTCAGCAACCCGCTCCTCAACCCGCGCCATCCCAGCAGCCTGCCCCAAGTCCTCAACCTGCCCCTCCACCGGCTTCGTCAACCCATGCTGGCTCTGCTCCAAGCAATCCTACCTCTTCCATCCCACCCAACGTGTCTTCATCCCCCTCGTCGTCCCCTTCGTCCGGGGTTTCCAGCAACGTTCCGAGCGCGTCCCAGGTTCCAGGCGCAGAAGTAACCGGACGACCTCCCAACCTCAACCTCGGCTCTTCAGGTGATCTCCCAGACCTGAGCGACCACCTAGCTCCTGCGCCAATCGCAAACGCTGGCGAGCGTCCCGATGAACGCGTCTCAGCATCAACCACGAGCCTCGAGAGCACCCGAACGCGTACTTTCGTGACCAACGGCTCTACGTCAATTGTCGTGGTGGGTCCATCAGACAAACCCATCCCAACAGATCCGAGGGGTTCGCCATCTCCCAACGACAACAGCAGTGCCGGATCGTCCAAGTCCAACCATGTCGTCATCGCCGTGGTCGCCGTATGTCTAACGCTCTTCGTCCTGATTGGGCTGTTCTTCCTTCGCCGTCGGTGGCTCGCGCGTCGGAAACAACAGAGGAATGCATGGTGGTTCTCGAGGAAGCGGACGTCCAAAGATTACCAAGACGCCTCAAATCGACAATCAGCCAGGAGCAGTTTCGCAACGACCTTCGATAGGTCTCTGCATTCAGAGTTCCAGGCCAACTTTACAGAGGGGTTGCCGGCATTACCGCCCATGGCGGAGCTTCGTCGTTCGCAGAACGTGTTCCAGTATCCCATGCCCAGTCCAAGCCCAACAGTCGACTCGCATCGCTTATCGAATGGCAGCGCCACCAGTCAGACTCTTCGGTTCCTCGCTACACCTACCCCCACTGATGAGAGGGCCCACGAAGCCACTGGGAATCGCAGCCCAAGGGATACCATGAGCTCATGGACATTCCCCTACCCCGCAGGCCATGCCCCGAACAGTAGCGTTGGATGCAGCAGATCCCAGCTCTATTACACAGCACCGAATTCGCCTTCACCTTCCAATCCATTCGCCGACGCCGACGCTTCAGTAGAAGGGTCCGAGTCGTATGTTTCCCACACAACCGACCCCTTCAGCGACAGCTGCGTCTCGAGTTCGGTCCACGGCGTATTCGAGGAGGTCGAAACTATCCGTCGTCCTTATCAGCGTGCGCAGTCGGATGAGTTGACAGTCCAGCCAGGAGATCAGATTCGGGTCCTCAAGATTTTCGACGACGGTTGGGCAAAGGTGGATAAGCTTGGGGAGTCCGCAGATCGAGGATTAATTCCGATAGACTGTCTTCGAGAACCAGGACAGGATTTCCATAGCTTTTTAGAGGCCAAGAGGGTCAGCAGTCATGTTGCTTCTGCCCAATTCGCGGCGGTGTAATCAGTGTAGTCGTAAATTGTACCTGTTGTTGTTCCATACCCCATTGAATGTATTTTGTGCATTATGCACTTCCAAGTCGGTGCCCACATCAAGCAGAGATGAGACCATATTTGGTGGTTTCCCGCATCTTTTTTGGTGGGGTGGAATTTGGAGCCTTGGTCCACTAAGTAACATGGTGGTAAGTACCGTGGAGGTGGAAAGGCGGGCTCTGCGCTTCCGAGGCGGCGAGGCCTCAAGAGAAGGTTCAAACTCCGATTGAAATGCGAGCTGCAGGGGCTCGAGGGTTCGATCCCGCTCCACGCCAGAAACCTATATGCAACAAGTCGAGGGTGTCGGGACTCTGTTGTATATCCAATACAGGTCCTACAACTATAGTCTGGAGATATAAAGAAGCAGGTACGTTTACTTTGTGGATTAAATTTATTCCTGTCTCCTCTGATCCACGTACGGCGGTGGAAGTTCACTTATCGTAGGGATACCACCGTCCCTATGCTGGATCACAATCTCCTGGCCCGAAGGCCCTGACCTGACCGAGACAGTGGTAGGCGTATAGTCCGAGCTGCTGCCCGTAACCGAGGATAAAGCAGCTTCTGACGCCTTTGGCTGGCGGGTGGGCACCGTCTCGTTTACGACAGGCCTGGTGGAAAACACGTCGCTGCTTGCGCCTTCCGAAGTTCCGTGGAACAAACTTCCCGAATAACTCGTTGGGGAGGTCGCTGAGTACAGTCCATCACGCTGTTTGGTGGTGACCGTTCCTGCGGAGGTAGGTCCTGAGGAAGGAGTACTTGCCGCATCGTCGACGTTGAAAGGAGTGATGGTGATATTGGAGGGTCCATTCGCCGGGGACTCTTCGTCATCCGAGACACCTTTCTCTTCAGAAACTTGTTTATCCTTCTTCCTCTTCATAAAAAACCAGAGCCCCGTACCGATTCCTCCCAAGAGCAGTGCGACCAAGGGGACAGTGACTCCGACAACCAAGCCAACGTTATTCTTCTTGCCGCCGCTGGTCTCGTCGTCCTCATCTGAGTCGGTATCGCTGTTTCCTGCTGTTGGCCTAGGCGTCCCGGAAGATGAACTACCGGTGGCTGAGCCGCTGGCTTGGGGTCGATCTGGTCTCACCAAGCCGAGGCTCTCCCAGGTACCATTAGAGTTCTCTCGACCATCACACTCGGTGTCAGTGCTCCCTACAAGTCGGGTAAGCATTTCTTTCATCGCCTCCATTGGCCCTAAGAACTTACCGGCAGTGGTGAGGAAAGGTGTCCCCGTGGCCCAGCGCCCATTTCTGCGCGTTCATTCAAGCACGATGAGTAACCATATCACCGAGAATTCCCCCCAATGCAACTCACGCATCTGAAACCGATACTGGCAAAAAGAACAGTCAGTCAGCTACTCAAATCCCCAATCCAACATCAACTTACTGGCAAGCTGTGAACTCGGTGCTGCTCTGTTGATCCACGTGAAAGCGTCAAATCCAGCAGGGATGGTGACATTGGTCACAGTGAACGAGTCCAGGGCGGCAATGCTGAGCGAGTAGGGAGGTACCCCACCGTCGATAGCGAAAGTCAGCGGCGTGCAAGTCGGCACAACCTCAGTGACATTCGTCCAGACAATGAACTCTGGCTCGTCACTCGGCGGGGAGACAACACAGTCTGTCGAGTCGCCCTCAACAACTGTGTACAGCTGTGGTGGGATGCCTCCCCCACTGGCCGTCGAGTCCACAACGTTGAGTATCAACCTAGACCCTAGTGAAATTCGCCATCAGTACAGAGCGGCTCGAAACCGACTCAAGGCAGACGCACCAACTGGGTGAGTGACTGTGTACTCCAATGTCCTATTGTCCGTCCCGATGAGCGATGTTTGGGGTGTTCCCTCGACCTCGTAGGCAATCATATAGAAGGGCTCGATTCCAAAAGTGTCGCCAGCATCGGGATCGAATGTTTCGACCGTAATACCCAAAGGTGAACACGTCGGAAGAGATGCTCCTTGAGACTAACGGAAGCCTTCGTAAGCTGGTGCGACTTCCACAGAAAAAATGGTTTAAACTTACTGGATCAGTGAACCTCCATCTGAACTGCAAACTTGGAGGGCGGTCTTGGGACACGGCCGGGGAAACCAGTGCCAGGAAGAGAAGGGCGATAGCGAGAGCCGAATGACCCTTCGCTCCATTCAACGTCGAAATCATCGTCAATTCAGCCTCGATTATCCCGAGCAAACTTGGGACGTCGGGAAGTCGAGACTGGGGTCGCGCTCGTTATGGAGGCGGGATGAAAGGAGGGGTCCAAAAGTGCTTTCGCCAGCGAAACTGAGATTACTTTTGAATCTTTTCCCTCAGGGTTGGAAGGGGTTACGTTTCGGAATCAAAAACCGCCAACTACTTCGTGATCAATGATGAAGTCGGCCTGCTGCGGTGGCGCTGGGAAGGGCAGCCGAGAAGGTCAGATGCGCTGAAACAAGTGACCGATGTAGGGAGCGCAAAACTGTGGAAGTGGGTAAGGAGAGACGTTCGACACTAGCAGAAGAGACCGTAAATTGAAAAGAGAAAAAGAAAGAAGTGCCTGAGATGCGACCTCACTTGCTCTTATATAAAGTACAGTGGACCATTCTCCCAACTCGACGACCGGTTGTGAACAACCGACTCCATGAAACACCAAAAGACTGATCCAAGGTGGTGATATCTAGAGAATCGCTCGACAAAAGAAGCAAAGATAGGTCGCACACCGCGGGGGCCGATCCCGGGACCTACTCGTCAATGTCAGAAGACAGAGGCAGTGTCGATGGGCGCTCTGATCTTCTTACGGCACTCAACATGGGACGATCTTTGGCACAGATGATTGCTTGTGAGGCCAACATTGTCATCTACGAGTTTCCTACTAGCTATTCCTACTAGCTATCACAATTTAAGCGCACGCTCCTGAATGAGGGGAAGGTGCGAAGAGTAGCTAGATTGAGCCTCAGCTTCATGGGCGCTTAGAACTGGCCGGGGTCCTTACTTCCTACATCAGCGCTGATCGATGATCATCATTCGGACCCCCGATCACTTCAAGCCCGCTCAACGTTCAACGTTCAACTTTGACAGGGCGCTTCCAACAGGATTTGCTCTAGATCTCCGCTTGACGCTACTGAATTACTACTAGGAAAAGACGAGATGAGATTTACTTTTACTGATACACTGGTCATATTAATACACTATCAAACACTCAAATCAAGCCCGCAAAAAGAGATGAAGGAAAAGACAGCGAGAGTAAGGAACAGATGGGTAACGAAATTAGAAATCAAAAGCAGCACTCTTCCAACCAGGCCTCTCCTGCTCCAACTTCACCTTCCGATCGACGCTATTCTTAAAGGTCGAAACCTGATGCTTGGCCTCCTTCACAAGGCCCTTCGCCCTCTCCCCAACCTCACCAACAACCTCCTTCGCTCCTTCCCTCACATTCCCAGTATCAACATCCATCCGTTGCGCCAACTCCTCAGTATCAACGCCCATATCCTGACCCAACCTCTCAAGCTTATCCGCTACCCTCTCCGATCCAGTGCCCAAAGGCCCACGCTTCTCCCCACTCAAGATCTGCGGCTCGGCACCCATCGCGAACTGGCTCTTCTCCACGCGAGAGCCCTGGCCTTCTCCATTCGACACGACCTTCTTCTGCTCGACGATCACACCAGTTCCGGTAGCGCGGACATCAAACTCGCGCTTCTGCACGCTCGATTCGCGCTGCAGACGGCCAATCTCGCTCCAGATGGCAGCAATGAGGGATCCACCGCCGCTAAGCCCAGTGTCCTCGAAGACTTGTCGCCGCTTGCTGATGTCGAACGCAACACCGTCGGCCCAGTCGATGGCGAAGCGGAGTTGCTCGGAGAGGGTGCGAGAAAGGGCGTCTCGGAGACGCGAGACCACGATGGGCCTGAAGACAGTCGTGAGGAGTGCGTGGTTGCTGTCCTTGACCTCGAACGAAACGTCGTCCGAGATGGAAACCTCGGCCTTCTCGATAACGTGGAAGTGCTTCAATGCTTCGCGCGAGTTGGGGCCCTTGGTCGTGGCGGGAATCATCCTGACCTTCAAATCGAGGTCCACTCCCTTCTCGGGAAGCTTGAGGTTAAGCAAACCGGTGAACTCGCCAGGAGTCATCGGACCGGCAGTCTTGTCCAGGTACCAGAACGAGATGTCGTCCAGAGCGAGTTGAACGGCTTGCACACGGATGTGGGTGAGGGTGCCGATAGCAGTGCGTGACGGCGTCGAGGGTGAATCAGAAGTGGTGATGTCGACGTCTGTGATGTTACGAATGTAGACGTGCGAAGGCAGGAAGTTGAACGATGAGATGTCGAGGTTCTCGAGGACGAACTCGACTTCGGAATCCTTGTACTCGGTTCTAAACCGTCGATTAGCCTTAACTCTAAACAACAAGAAATCGAATATCGGAGTACTAACCTTGGAATGGGGATGTCCCTCATCTTGCTCATGGCCTTGGGTAGGTAGACCTTGAAGAGATCTTGCCAGAACCAAGTGGCCTGCTCCATCGCCGCCTCCAAGCTCGACTGCGCCTCCTCCCCCGCAACCTTCAAGCCGTCGCCTACATCGCGCACAAGATTGTTATGGGCATTGCGAACGCGAACGACGTCCTGATCCTTGTTGATACCGTTCTCGATCTTGTTCCACTCGCGTTTGAGCTGCTCGATGTTCTTCTTCCACTGATCGTCCTTCTCCTGCAAATCGCGCCAGCGAGAGCGGAGTTGTTTGCGTTGTTCGGTGGCATCGTCAGACTGGGAGAAACCAGGCTCAGCGAGCACTCGGCGGGTGTAGGCGATGGAGTCGTTGAACCACGACTTGATATCGGGATCACGCATAATAGAGGACGTGACAGTTCGGAATTGCGAGGAGAAAGAATCAAGAGAGGTATTGGCCATACGTTCGATAAAGGTGCGGAATAGGTCGACGGCTTTGGGGATGTGTTGTTCAGGGGTACTGTCGGCGATAAACTTGGATACAGTCATATTGGGGTCGCCAGCTGCGTCCATAGTCGCGTTCAATCGCTTCTGCAGGATATTGAAGATGGTATCGAGGGAGTTCCTGTACTGTTCGTCGTTCTGCGCACGTTCAGAAATCTGTTCGTAGTCTCGTCAGAATATAGAATGTCAATAAACGATGACGAAACGAACCTTGTTCAGAGCATCTTGAAGTCGGATGTTGGTCTTCTCTGACTGCTCCTTAACCGTCTCCGAAGTACTCCGTGTAACGTCGATGGCCTTCGAGCCCATACCTTTCACAGTGTCCATACCATGTTCCCAAGCCACCTTCGCATCCTTCTCCTCTTCCAGTCGTTGCTTGTCCCGTCCCAACGCATCCCGTTCACCTTTCTGAACTTCCTCGTCCACCTGTCGGAGGGTCTCCTTGGCTTGACCAGCCTGGTCTTCGACCAACTCGGCAGCATCTGCGAGCGAGAGTCGCAAGAAGGAAAGGAAGTCGTAGAACAAGGAGGATCCTTCAGATGAAACGCTGTCCCAGACGACTGAGAGAACGTTACGAAGAGAAGTGCGAAGGGCGTCAATGTCGGCTTTGGCCTGGTCTTTGTTGGCCTGAGCCTCGGATGTGGTCGTCAAATCTCCTTCAGTAAGGTGCCACATGGCCTCCTGTACGATATTATCGGCTAGAAAACTTTAATCAATACACGATGAAGTCAATATGAATCGAACAGACTCACCATTCTTGTTGTTAATGAGCGTTCGATAGGCATCCAATGTCTGCCTCACACCGCCAGCAAGAACGCGACCTCGTGAACTGAGTTCAGTGTTGGAGGAAGGTTCCACCTGGGTGATACCGACATCGTTAAGCCAGTCGATGAAGTTGTTGACTTGCTGGGTGGAAGGCAGCTTGCCCGCCTGGAGAGCAGCAGTAACAGAAGTGGTCTTGTCCATTATGAAAAGATGAAAAGATTCGTCGTAAAAGTTGCAAGTTTAGGAAGAGAAAATTAGGGTAAACCGTAGCGAGGAACTTGGGGACGATCCTTGAGACATTTCCACTTAAATAGTCCCCTCTGGAGGCACAGAGCACTACGTAGTTGCATGAGAGGCTTGAGGTGGAGAGTCACCAATGACGCTATGACGTCGATCGAAGGTGGAGTCGTTGACCCCATTCTATTTCACGAATCGGTCTTCCGCAGTTTCCTCCTGCATTCCAGAAGGAGCTCGGATAGGGGGCACTGCGCGCAAACGAATGGAACAGCGGCAAATCGGGGTCGTCGTGGAGGTTACAAGTCAGGATCAATCAAGTGCTTTGTGGCTCGGAGCTTGCCAGAAAAACATTCAGGCGCCGTTTGAAATGCAAAAAGCGCCCGCCGAACGGGCGCCTTTATGACAATAGCCGCGGGACAGTCGCCGACCACAACTCACGCAAATCTAACCAGTATCTCAGTTAAGCAGGCTCCTCAGGGCTTCAAATCTTATCCTCTACCGTCATCATTGTTTCGACTGGCCGGTTCCTCCGAATCTGTTTCGTATGGTGCTCGGCATCTCTTTCCCCTGACGCGTCATCAAGTGCCGTCCTGGCCAGCGGTTTCACTTGTATAAATTCCGCCTATGGCAGAGGAAGAGAACACTATTGCGCACCATGAAACTATCTTTCTTCGACTTCTTTGCAGGCCAATTCCGGGAGACTGTTCCTCCAGTCCTTGACGTCGATCTCACTGGCAAAACCATTGTCGTCACTGGAGCTAATTCCGGGATCGGTTATGAAGCCGCGAAGCATTTCGCCCGAATGAATGGGAGGGTCATACTCGCCTGCCGCAGTAAAGAGAAGGGGGAGAGGGCTCTTGCTCGTACGTTGTAATTCCTGTCCTGATACCATGCCTTCCTCACATTCCCCTTGATATGACCTAGAAATCAAGGAGGACACTGGTCGTTCAAACGTTCACCTTCGGCTGCTCGACCTATCCAAGTTCTCTTCAGTGATCGAGTTTGCGGACCAATTCGCCAAAGAGGAAGATCGCCTTGATATTCTGGTCGCAAACGCCGCCATATCGACTGACAAATATCGCACCACGACTGAGGCTGGGAGGAAACGCAAGTACAATCCTTCCAATCGCGACCCGGTGCTCACCCACACCCACTGTAGTTTGCAGGTCAACTGCCTCTCGACACTGCTTCTATGTGTCCTTCTCATCCCCTCGTTGCTCAAAACGGCAGAACGTTTTGGCACTGAACCCAGGCTCACAATCGTGGGTAGTGAGGTGCACTACTGGACAAAATTGGAACGGAAAGTGATCGGAAGCGAGGACCCGTTGAGGACCTTCAGCAGCAAGGAGTATTGTACCAAATTGTGCGTGGCATTCTCTCGTTATCCTTGTATACCCTGTCAATTTGGAACCTAACTCCCCCTCAGGGTCATGCTTCGTCGTTATTTGGATTCCAAACGTAAGTCACAAATCCGTAGAGACACCTTGACCCCGTTGAATTCTAATCTTGTATTATCTCTCTTCCCAAGTTATCGCCCTCTTCATCGCCCGCCGCCTCGCAGAGTCGTTGAAGGACACCCCTATCGTCACCAACATCGTGAACCCCGGTTACTGCCTCTCCGAGCTCCAAAGAGATGCAGGTTTCCTTCAGAGAATATTCGGCATGATCATGAATCTCCTGATCGCTCGCACGGGCGAAGAAGGCGCCCGTCAACTCGTCTGGGCTGCTGTATCCGAGGACAAAGGCGACTTACGAGGCGCTTATGTTTCCGCGATGGCGGTACAAGAGCCAAGCGACTGGTCACTCAGCGAGGAAGGACTTACTGCTGAAGATAAGCTATGGGTGAGTACAGAATTACATACCTTGATGGTTGACCAGAACGTGGCTCTGATGGCGTCGCTGCAGAAGGGCATGGTATGGGAGCTGAGCAAAGTGGAACCTCGAGTAATCAATATCTTGAGCGAGAAGACTTCATCCATCGACTGAATGCGTCCTCTCAGTAGTAGGCTTGAATGTAATTCGAACGCGACCCATGTCTGGAAACTGTAGAGAGAACTTAGGAGTCCACATTGGACCGCACAGGCGCTCGCACCGTGATGCCGTTCACTGATCAATCTACATGGTGAGTAGCAGTATTCTCCCTGTCTATATCGCGTGGTTTGGCAGAGGCATTGAAGAATGTACTACACATCTTCTTGAACATCTAATCTGATTGCTAACTTTGAGCGCTTCCGACCCGGACGTTCGCGTCGGCCCAAACAATCGCCAATCATGGATGTTGACTCAATGAATGGCTGTCCCCGTTCAGTCGACGTCAGCCTCGTCAAACATCACACTATAGTACTACAGGCTTTCCCTTTCGCAAACAGACCTTCATGCTGAGAAGGGCATGTCAAAGGCTGCTAGTAAGGGTTGCCAGCACCCACCTTCCTTTCTCGACGACGAGAAGTTGGCGAGTTCCTCTAGGACAGCGTTTCACCAATCTAGCCGGCAACTCAGAAGAGGACGGGGTCTTCGTCTTCAAAGAGGACCCTAATGTGTTCAGTCCTCCAGGTTACTTTGGATATGCGCCTATCAAGCTAGGCCAACGATTTACAAACCTCGACCGAATATCTCCTCCAACGTTTGCCCTCACCAATACAACAGAAAGCTACGAAGTTGTCAGGAAATTGGGCTGGGGACAAGAGGCTAATGTTTGGCTTGCCCGTCGTTACACCAAGGACAATCCGAAGTACGTTCAATTGCATGCGCACCATTCCCAGTGAGACGCGCGCTAATGCGATTGTCAGGGATTCAAAACCACTCTATGTTGCCATCCGTATCCTGTCTGCTGTGTGCAGTGCTTACGTCGTCCAAGGCCCTTCATACGAACTGTACGCTCTGGGATGGCTGCAAGATACTGACGAGCCTGCCATTTCGCACCCAGGACGATCATACTGCAGCCTTGCCAAGGATCACTTCCTATATATCAGCGTTCACGGATGCCATCTAGCCTTTGTCTTCGAACCCCATTCCCTCAATCTCCAGGATTATATCCTCCGCGAGAAAACGCAAAACCCTGGACTCCAATACCTCTTCTCTCTCGACGGAATCAAGAACATCATCCGTCAAACTTTGCTGGCACTGAGCTACGTCCATGCTCGTCAACTCATACACACAGGTACTGTGGCAGTCTTTATTTCATTGTCTGTGGTTTATAGACCTTGCCACAGACGTCAAGTGGTCGAATATATTCCTCGACCAGGGTAACCAAGACGACGCTATCATAAAGTATCTAATCCAAAACCCTTCGAAAGCATATCCCGTGAGGTTCGCTCCTGGTCTCACCACTGAGCCCGTTATGGAGGTCATGTCACAACCCCTACCACTATTCGAGAACCCTTCTCGCAACTCTTTGACTCTGAAACTAGGGGACTTCGGTCTAGGTGATTCTCCCCCTTCTCCTCTGGTCCTTTTTTGACACGCAAACCGTTACAACCAGCTGCCCCGGCCCTAGAGGCGAAGAGGCGAGGGCCGTTCCCTGGGACACCGACAGACCTCCGGGCCCCCGAGCTTGTACTCCGCTCTTCATGGGGCGCACCCGTTGACATATGGGCTTTAGGCTGCATGGTGAGCCACCTCACGGATGTCGAATCAACATGATGTACAGCACGCTTATTCCCTTGCGACAGTTTTTCGACCTGATCTTTTCCAACAGACCACCGTTCGACCTCCGAGGCCCACCGGGGGACCTCGATGCCATCCATCTTGCACGCATGGAAGAGCTGCTCGGTCCCTTCCCTCCCTCGATGCGCACTCTATGCCGTGAAGACACCAGGGACAAGTATTTTGACGATGACGGTATGTAGTCTCTCTAGATCTTCTATAGGCCGATGAGGGTTGACCCATTGTTAACAGGTTCCTTGAAGTTCAAGATCGAATGTTCCATGGCAGCGTCGGGTAACCTCGAACAGCAACTATCTCCTCTGCGTCAAACGTTCTCAGACCATGACGTGGACGAACTCATCCGCTTCATGAGGCGCTGCTTGACAATTGATCCTGCGTCAAGGCCCACGGCCGATGAGCTTCTTCAAGACCCATGGCTGAGTGCTAATAGTCAGGACCACTCTTCAGAGTCATGAACTATGTATATGATTATCTAGTATACCGGGGTCCAAGGGGGCGAACTCAAGCACCAGTAGTTGGGTGTACTCAAATCGTACCCAGTGAAATGATTCGAGACATACTACTAGAAGCTACAAAGTTACAACTAAGCGCTAACGGAGAGCGAGAGGTATTACACTATGTATTAAGCGCCTTACAAAACGCCAAGAGATAGCGGGAGAGCCAGTAGGACACCCCAACATGACGCGACAAAACGCAGAAAGGAAAATACAGAATAGAAAATAACAAAAAGAGAATAACAAGGAAAAGCCGTAACCCGCTCGAGTCTCGAGAACAATAAAATACAGTCGTTCTACAAAGATGTCTGGCAGCCATTAAAACTACAAAACATGAAGAAAGAAAGGAAATCGCTAAAAGGGTCGTACTGTTACATACAGTACACCCCACAAAAAAAGCCGTGGACAAGCGCAAAAGTGTAGAGTTCATCAAACCCCATAGATAGACAGGAGGTCGCAATGCCAACCCCGCAAGCCCAATGGCCCCAAACCCCAAAGGAAGGAAACAACAACCCCCACAAACACTCGAACCCAACATCCTCAAAAGCTTCACCCTCTACCTCCCGGGCATAGGTCGATGCCCCTGAGGTGGCCTCCTGGGATCCCTCGTCGGCTGATGCTGGTGCTGGTGCTGCTGTTGGTGATGACTCGGCACACGCACACCAGGCGGCACACCAGGAACCCTCCGCAAAATAGCTGGACCATCCGTGAGCTGCTGGGGCGAAGGTGGTCGATTTGTCGGTAACGGACGCTCAGATCGCGGATTCGACGTCGAGTTAGTTGGCATAGGTCTCATCCTCATTCCCAACTCTCTTTCTCTTTCTCCACCTCCACTACCTCCACCACTCCCACTACCACTGCCAGACGGACCCCAAGTCGCAGGACTCAGCGTCGTCCTCGCCTGCCCCGGAACACCAGGCCGAGTCGGCAGAGGGGGCACCGCAGAACTCGATCCAGGTGCCGGCAGGTGACCCGGATGCTTCGTGAACTTCAAGTTCTTCAACTTATCAACATTCGGCGTAGTCGACGGCCCAGTCGCAGTCGCAGAAACCTTCATAGACGAAACCGAACACGAGGACGATCCCGAGGGGTTGAAGCCAGACGCCGAAGAAAAGCTCGACGGTCCCGCGGAAGGTCCAGCGGAAAGTGGAGTGGGCAACTGCCCCGCATACCTCGCAAACCCGGTGGAAGTAGGCGGTGCAGACGATACACTGAGCGCTGGCGGTGCTGCAGGCTGACTCGCAGTCGCAACCGAGGGCTTCGCAGGCGCAGATCTCGACGGCGGTTGTGTGAACGACATAGAAGCAGTGCTCCCACTTGCCCTCGGAGGAGCAATATCGTCCTGGGCAGGCGGCGTCGGCAATTTATGCTGGGCGACAGACAATTCCGCAGTCTGTGCCGATGGCTGAGATTGAGGATGAGGTTGCGGTTGCGTTGGTTGTAGTGGTTGCGGAGCAGAGACGGGCGTTGCAGAAATTTGACTACCACCACTGGCAGCAGCACTCAACTCTCTCAAGGGAGCCATCCGATCGAACCGGTCACTGCTTGATCCACGGAATCCAGTACTGGGAAGAGGCGGGACAGACGATGTTCCGCTCATTGCAGGCGGCATGGACGTCATCGCCTCGACCTTGGGCGTTAAATTCGGCCTCGCTGAAGCAGGCGCACGATTGACCGCCGCGGTCGAGGAGCAAGGTGGAGGCTGCATTTCGACATCCCGAGTCTGAAGCACAGGAGGAGCAACCGGAAGGGGAGTGGGCGGAGCAGAAGTGAGAGGCGACTCATTCGGTTGGGGAGCGAGCCCGGCGGCAGCTTCCTTCCTCTTCCTCGACGGATGTGACGACGATTTCGCGGTCTGCAACAGTACGCTTGGCTCTTCTTGACTGGGATTCGCGGGTGATGGTTTCGAAGTGGACGTCTTGTTTTTCCGGATTTTGGTAGCAGCAGCTGACGACGAAGGTTTGGCAACTGACAGTCGGTTTGTAGACCGTGAAGGAGGCGGTCGTTTGATTAAGGGAGTATCATCGTCGCTATCTTCGTCGTCGTCGTCCGCAGCTTGCTGTGCGGCAGCCGTCTTGGGCTGAGGGGTAGGTCGCGTCTCTGCCTTCTTAGATCGCTTTGCTGGAGGTAGCTCGGCATCAGGCTCGTCCACATCCATGGCATCATCGTCGACAGGCTCTGATTCAGTCCGAGCGCGTTTCTTCCCCTTGGAGAGAGCACTAGGAACCTCCTCCGTTTCCTCCTCCTCCAAATCAGCCTCCAGCACAGCGGGGTCCAAGGGTGGCTCGTCAGCGGCAAGAGTCCTAATGTCACCGTGGATCTTGAACTCGCGCTTGCCTATCTGGCGAATGACGAAATTCAGTCCATCGTTGAATACTCTGCTGACCTGTTTCCGTTCGCTGTTGGATGCGGTTTGGCCCCGGAGCTGATCTCGAAGAACTCCAATGGCGTCCGAAACCTGTGAATCCGTCATCCGTTTCTTGTAATGGTGGATCAAGTACACCGACAGGACGAGTTCCAATGGTTCCAGGGGCCGTTCCGTGATGGATCGACCATATAGATCGTGATGGACGAGGCGGAAAAAGATATCGAACGCCGTCTTCAAACTGTTGTCCAGTTTCTCGTCCTGGATGGTCGAGGCACTGGTCGTTTGCAGCCACTTCTCCAGCTTCTGCTGCGTCAGTCCGATATCTTTGCTACTCTCCGTCGCATGGAAGATGAGGTACGCGATCTGGGCGATAGAGGCATAGTCCTTTCCCCGGTTGCCGCCCCATTCGGAGAAATTTCTGAACACGTTCGTTTCATTGAGTCTCCTGCGAACTTTATGGACGAGGTTCGCGTAGGCCCCATTTACAGACTGCAGTCGCTCTAACGCAATGGGTAAGTTGAGGCTTAAGGGTGAGACGGGAACGCCTACCTTGCGGGGTAAGGGCCACACCAAGCTGGACGCGCTGAGGGACAACGGCTTCAATATCAGACCCAATACTGAGTGATACGTGAACATACCTGGAAGATCTCCCGCTCTTGTTCTTCTGTAATGTTGTGGTACTCCCATACGAGGAACGTTTTTGTCTTGAAATCGTTTTGCTCTCTGTCTGTCATGACTCTTCCGGTCGCTCTTGGTCTCTTGGGCTTGGTGTACCACGACTTCTTTATCCGCCTGATTGACTCGGTCAGAATGGAGTCGTGCAAACATGAAGTGCAACCTTACGGGTTATAATCTAGGAAGCGACATTAATTGAATAAAAGAACTATGTAGCCGACGGGAGAACTCACATTTAATCTTTCAGGTGCGTCGACATGGTAGGTCAGATATCAATGTTATGTCGTGCGTTCGCTAAACTAACCTCTCCATCCATGAACCTGGAAGGAATGTTATAACAGTTCGTAATGGGGAAAACAGTTCCACTCACTTTGTGATCGAAGTCAGGCGCTGTTTGCCATCAATGCAAGTACGACGGATGACTTGACCGTACTGGTCGACTGTGGCCGCTATTCGGAAGGTAAATATCGCGCTGGTGAACCAGTCAGACCTTGAGGACGCACCGCAGATGATGGGGGGAATGGGATAGTTGTTGTAAATGCTATCAATAAGTTGCGACTGCTTGTGGTCTGTCCAAACAACGTCTAGAGGAAGTGTTCATCAGCGTTACATCTTCGACAGAGCCAGAATTCGAAATGTTTGAGGATAGCGGACTAGAACGCTAGACGAATATCCCTGCTTGGCCGGTAACCGACATTCAACCGTCGACCGTCCCTCAGCATTCCATGCAACGGAGAGTATCGCGGACCTCCAGCAGATTTCAAAAAGAAAATTCGGTCGTTGCTATCCAGACGCATTCGCGCAACACTGTTATGATTGAAAGACGTACCTCGCTGGTAATCCGGTTCCAGGTCCAAGTCGCCCGACTTGATCAAGTCTGAAAGGAAATTCATCTTCACACAGCCAAAAGAACGACAAAGGTCGACTTACCATAGAGGACCGACAAAGACTGCGAACTGGGAATTGGTTGGGTTAGGTATGGGCGCAGCTGAGCCTCCGTCTTCTTGCGGCTTTCGCGAGTCCGGCTCTGCGTAGAAGGTCGAGTCGCCCGCGCGGGGCCCGTTGAAGGACCTGCTTTCGTTATCGCTGTCGCCTTGGACTTTGACTTGGTCGGTGGCGGGGGTGGCGGTTGCGATTCCTCTTCGAGTTCATCATCTTCATCGTCGAGCTCGGTGAGCGGTTCGTCGTCGTCCCATGCGTCGATTGCTGGAACCAACAAGGCGCGTTTTGCCTGTTTCGCCTGTGATCTTGTCTGAGGGCCGTTCGCCATCTTGCCTGAGACTTGAGAAATGGGCAGAAGATGGTGGTGGCGGATAGAGAGAGGAAAGGGTCAAAGGAGTCAAAGGAAACCAATAAAGGCCGCGGTATGTATTTCGCGTCGTAAATCAATCGTAAATGGCAGGAATGAAATGATAAAAAGGGGCCTTTTCCGGCCGAAAGCTGTCACTTCTTCCCGGTGCCGGAATGCCATTGCGCCTGTCATGCCCTCGCAGTGACGTTAGAGGGCGCTAAACAGCTCGGGCGCTTCACAGCAAACAAGCCAGTGACATACATCTGCCCCAAGTAGAAGCTGGAGAAGTTTGTGGGGCGGACCCACGTACAACAAGGTTTGGGCATCCGCTCCGTGAGCCCATCATTCCGGGGTCGAAAAGGGGGGTTTTCCGTTTCCGCAAAACTCGGAGTGTCCGGGGTCCTTTTTGAACACCGAGAATTTCAGAGCATGACGGGGGCGCGCCAATTAGACGCTGGCCGTTTGACGCGCCCATGCCAGTGGCGAGGCAGCTGCTGTCTGAGAGAGGAGATGCGCACGCTGAGATAAGCTATACAATATCTATGACTTGGAACAAAGGGTATCTAAAATGGAAGCAGGATCGCGCCGTAATGCATCATACATATCTTTGAAGAAGCCATTAGACACAGGCCAATGGTTCACAGCCGAATCATCCCCTGAAGTAAGTCTCATCGCCTCCTGCTCAATGACGTCCGCAAAGTCTAGTATTGCAAGGGCCATCGACACATTTCCCTTGATAAGACACTGATTGACCGCAATGGTTATCTTGAGGTTTGCGAAATAGAGAGAACCCACAGGATCTGCTCCGCCTTCTCCTGCATTCGACCTTAGCATGGCCGACACGAACGCAGACGGGTTGTTGAGGAATGTGATGTCAGTGGGTGCTGTGACCTCGGAAAGATTTTGAAACAGGGCGTTCAGCGAGTAACCCCTGTGAAAATTATGCAGGCAATCATAGTAAGTCACTGAGGTCAATGGTAATTGGACTGAGTGCTGACCATGGCATCTTTTGGTCGGCAGGAACTATTTCATCCGCCACCAATGACCACACATAGTTGCAGAATGCCGATATCCTCTCCTCCGTCGCGATGTATAAACCATGCTTCTCCGACCGAAATGAAGAGGCCGTGAAAGAGTGAAACTCGGTGTTGAACAACGAGTAGACGATTACAGGGGTCCAGGCGTCCGCGTCCGACCAAACCATGGCGTTCTCGAGGAACCAGAGCGAGGCTACAAGGGGAGTCGGAAGCCCATTGGAGTGAAGGAATCTTCGAACACTGACGTCGCGGAAATAAAGTGAGTCGAGTGGATCATTGGATGAAATCGACTCCCTCCGGCATTCCATTGACAATGGATACGGGGGACGGTGAGACCATGTGTATATGACTTCAACGAGTTGCTTCAAATATTCCAAATCCCCGGGGTCCATCTTGGATAACGCTCCGCCAATAACACTGTCATATCCCGCCTGCAAGTGTGAGATGCACTGGGCAAGGCGGGGCGGCCTCTGGATCGACCAATACTGCCAAGAAAATGGAAAGTCCTCGAACCCTAGCTGAAGAATATTTCCCATAAACCTGGGTCCGTCACCAGGTGTCGAGTTTCCATGACGGACAAATTCGATCGAAGTATCACGGCTGAGCAGAGCCGCGATAAACTGGCGAAACAACACATCTGTATCAGGTTTGAAAGGCACAGTCTTGAGCTTGTACCAGCTGTAAGGCCATAGCCTCGAGGCGTTGTAATAAACACTGTCTGGTTCCTGATCTAGAGCGTGTGTACTCAGCACCAACGAAAATGAAGGAAGGGAATGAATCAGATTGACCTGGCGTTGATGTTCGAGAAAGAAACGCAAGGCATCTCTGGGACACAAACAGAACGAACCAATCAAAGTCGCAGTGAAAGGCGCCTGCCCTAGTGGAGGATCGAATGAACTGCTGGAATGAATTATGATAGAAGCGGGTTTGGAGGGTCAAGACATCGGATGCGGTCGACGTCGCGTCCGACTCGACTGTCTCTACGCCCTCTAAATTACACTCCGGCGCGGGCATCCTGACCACAGCGTGCAATGCTCGAAGTGACCGCGCCATCGCACCTTCCCGCCTGACCACGGCAGTATCATAAAGCTGGAACGCATCAACCTGCTTCATGGTCGGAAGAGCCCCTCCCATGGCATCAAGGCAACCAAGAGCACACAGCATCTCTTCCCTCTTCGGGCAAGCTTCCAATATCTGTCGGTAGAGCGTGTCCAACCGCTGAAGGGGAGCTTGTAAGTGGCTTCCTGTAGTCCCTCTGAGGACAATGTCCAATTGCTCCACTGGGCTGCTGTACGGATCGTCGATAAACCGGATGATGGTGTCGACGTAGGCGAATTGCCCACACGCATCCCGGACGATGGTACGAATCGTCTCCTCTGAGGGCCACGGGCGCTTGACTTTCGACATAGCAAAACGGTGCTTGGGCGAAGTGAGGATACGGTAGAAATTGTCGCGGAGGAAACGTTCAACATCCGCGTCGTTCTCCGAGCTTTGAAAGAGATCAAATCTCTCGGTGCTGCTGGACAGAGCCGTCAACTCGTCGAAGGCCTCTTCAATCCAGCTCTCCGGACGAGAGGTCAGGAAGAAGATAAGCGGGAGGTTGGCTTGTTGTAACGTCTGTATGAGCTCCAACACCAAAAACTGCTCCTCCTCCTTATCCGGTACGCCGTCGCATTCGTCCAACCCATCAATGAGCACCGTCTTATCCTCTTCCAAAGGCGGTATCTTCCGGAAAGGCTCGACAATCAACTTCTTCAGCTGGATGGGGAGCGCCTTGGTGAGCACCGTCGGATTCTTAACCACCGCCTCCTCGATATGAGGCTTGAGCTGAGGAATCGACAACGCCAACTGGAGTGCCAGTGAGGCCACAAACTTGGCCGCTTTGTCCCTGTTGGGATCCGCTCGGGAGAAGAAGAATGAAGCGCCCAGGAGATCCATGGCATCGAGTTCCTCAGCGACTGTCTGTGCGATCGTGGTTTTCCCCATCCCAACTGGCCCGTGCAACCAGAACGTCGACTTCGGGCGCTCAGCCCTTGGTCGTGCTGCCCATGTTGTAATCCTGTCGAGGACTCGGATTCGGGTCTCTGCGTGGCACCGTGGTGGAGGAAACCGATCTGCCGAGTCGTGTGTAGCCCCTGTAGCGGCATATCTCTCCAGGTACACGAGCGCTGAGAAATTCTGTTAACTCCCACGATCTGCAAGGACAGCAATTGGAGACTGACGTTCCAGTCCATGCGATTGAGAAAAGTCATTGAAAGTACCCCCATTGATTGTGAAATGGTGAGAATTCTCGAAGAGAGGCATCGTCAAAGGAGGGCACTGGCCAGAAGCTCGTTCTGATATGGATCTCGTGGGAACTCAGTGGGAGCTAAAGCGTCCGAAGTCGAGGTCGGACTCTCTGGCGCAGTAGCGCCTGCACTGGCCTGCGCGGCAAATGCGCGATATTGACATATGCAGAGAATTTTGTTTGGGATGTACCATTGACAGGGACCCACTAGCTGAAGGTAAACGTCACTGCCGGCCCCCAGTACAAGCGCGATCTGTGAACCCAGGTGAATTAGGATCCAATTTCCAGCGCTTACTAACCTGAAGGATGACTTCAAGGAGTATTGCATACCCTAGCCCTAACTACATCGGTAGGTGGTTCCATGAGCGAGGCGAATGGAATAGAAACCACCCTCCTGCGCGATGAACCCCAAGAAATCACAACAAGGCGATCAAATACGCGACCAATTTGGGATACGCCCTTGCCAATCCGGTAGGAGACTCCTACTTACTACTTACCTGTCGCTGTACTCCTTCAATTGTTCAAAACCCTCATCACATCCCCACTCTCAGCCACCCTCCTCTCAACGGGCTTCCCAAAAATAGTGCATCATATCTCACTCCCCACAATCGCAAGTCTAGGCTGCGACCCATACTCCTCAACATGAGCGGGAGGAGACTGCACGACCAGAGTGTCGATAAACAATCAACCCGAAGCTGACCTGAAGGTTACGGACCGGACCGTATGCGTAAGAAAGACGTGTATGTCACAGAGATGGAATGAATGGTACACTACTACCAGGTTCCAAGTACTACAACCCGCACCCGTACCACATCCACGCCCACACCAACACCAACACCAAACACTCACACATCCCGAATCCTACACCCCTTAAACGTCTCAACACTCCCCACAACCCTAGCAACCTCCTGCATAATCGCACTCTCCTTCCAACTCGACACGGTAGAATACTCAACCACATCAGCTCCATTCGTCCGATTCCCCATCCTCCGACCGCTGGTGGTATTGGTATCCCTGTAGCCTAACCCCATGGCGTTGCCTGACCTGGCGGTGTTTCCTGACCCGCCACTCCCATTCCCTCCTCCACCTCTAGTACCACGCCCCGACCTCCCAAATCGCGGCGGAAGTTCAACCCGTCTCCCCTCAAACACGCTCAAATGTCGTAACGGCCAATCCAGAAACGCATACGCGAACAGCGCAAGTTCAGATTGCACCATCTCCTACAAAATATCCAAAACAAATGTTAGAATCTTCTCATCGACAAGATGGATACACAGAGGGGAATCTATATAATTAAAACAAACTAGGTCCGAAGAATCGGAAATTGTGGGAATTTCAGCCTGTTCGTTAGGTAAGCAAGGCTCCTGCTCTCAAGCACCAGGCGCGTACGTATTTGGGAAGCGGCCCCTATCGCACGGCGCAGCTAAAGCTTCACAGGTATCCAAAACCTAACACGGCGAAGCAAACAGGAGCTTCCAAAGGCACCACGGGGGATTCTGAGGATACCAGGACCGTCTAACATGGCAGACTCTCGACGAAAGTCTGTGGCCCGGGTTCCGCTGGAAGTCGGAGTGCAGTGTCCACTCTGAAGTAAATCGCGAGTCACATTTCTCGGTCGACTGTAGTTAACGAGTCGGTTAACTTAAATAAAAAGGAGGCTCAGCCTGGCTGGCTATCGCGTCCAACCACGGGTGTGTCAGTTCCATCCAATTGTCAGGCAATACCACCCCTATCCTGAATCCAGGGCGAGCAAATCCCCTGATGTCGTTTTTCTGGCTATTAGTGAAGGAAGATGCAGTGAAGTGCACCTGCAATGTGCTACTCATTCCCGAGCACAGCTCCTCAGCTTTGTAAAAGATCAGGTCCATCTGAAAGCGAGTTCTGGCTGTGGCGAAAAAAAGAAATCACACTTGCGCAAGCGCGAGCACGCCGCAGGCGTGCGCCAGTGAGCGCAGGGCCCAAGCTGTTTTGATTCATAGCTACGGGTTACCATTATCGGCTGCGTTTACGACTGTATTTCCACTTTTCTTATTTCCTTGAATCATAAAATCATAATAACGATTTCGGGACTGTTCTGTTGTGATACCCAGTAGATAGCCTCCTAATAAATGCCTGCTACCGAAAGGCCCGTGTACGAGCGAAAGCCCGCCGCAGGCGGGCGCCAGCGAGTACACAGCATTCATTTCCCCCCACCTGCTGTGAGTGGAGGGCGAAGCCCGGCCCTAACCACCACCCCCGTGCCGAAGGCACGGGCAAGCGAAGCTTGTAGTAGTGATCCCACATACCAAATCAACAACATCATAAATCAGCACCAGACTCTCCAACCTCGGCAACCGTCCAGCCAACATCTTCAAACAGCCCACCGTCAACTCCTTCACCTCCACATGCAAAAACCGCACTCCAAACGCTCTCCCACTCTCACCCAACGCATCCATCACCCCAGTCAACTCCCCAAAGCTCAACTTCGTATCATACAAGCTCAGACGGCTTAAGCTCCTCGATGAACTGGAGATGAGAGGAAGAGTCGCTTCGAGGGAGAGGAATGGAATATGGAGCGATTCGATGGAGGCGAAGAGCAAGCGGTGTGAGAGGAGGTGCGTGTTGACGGGTTTCCAACTCTCCATCCGGGTTTGGAATAGTGTTTCCTTGTTCTTGAAAGACTCGCTCTCGGGTGTTCGAATCTTGAAATCAACGTGGTGGAGTCTCGGACGAATAAGGTTAAGAAGGGATGAAGGGTCGGAGAGGTGAGCCTCGTCATAGAATATATACAACGAGAGGCTCCGAAGGGACCGGAAATCGTCAAGGGAGGAGAAGAAAGGTGAAAGGTCTGCTGCAGAGCAGGACGAAATCGAAAGCGTGCGGATGGAAGAACACCGAGAGTTGATAAACGGAACGACATTCTCCAACAACGCACTCTCTTCCTCCTTCGACGGCACACCCGCTGCATAGTCGAAATGCAACTCTAGCTCATCAAGGAATTCGAAACCGGTGTGCTGTAAGACGGAATCAAACTTGGATATGGCGGTGTGCAGAACAAGCTTGCGGAGGGTGGACCCGAACGAAAGCCGAGCAGCGACCAGAAACAACTCGGTATCCTTCGTCAACGGGAGGTCGCGCAGCTCGAAGGTGTAGGTCGTCACCGAAGTCATATGTCCAATCGCCGTCCGCATAGCCGTGATGATGGGTTTATACGACGAGCCACTGCCATTTACGAGCTTGTTCTTGGAGAAGCTTTTCGCGAACTGGACTTCGGACGACTCGAGAGTGGAGGAACTGGAAGGAGCTGGACGGCGCCGGATAAATTGAAGAAGCCGTTTGAAGCGCGAAGGAGGACGGGCGAGAGCGTCTCTGGACATGAGGTAGTCGATGAACCACGCGTGAATACGCAGGCGCTTGACATGGGAGGCGATAATTGGGTTCCTGCAAAACGGATTGAGTATACTATGCAGGAAGAGCACTTTGGAGAAACGAACTGAAGTCGCTCGAGTTGCCACACGGTATCGTGGTCGAGCTTGGCCCAATAGACTTCTCCGTAGACCATGTCAAGGTAATAGTTGAAGAAAGCGCGGTTGACGCCCATCAGACGATAGGGAAACTCCTTGCAGAACGTCGCCTCGACGATTTCGTCCGCTATGAGGCGCCATATCTCTTCAGGGAGGTCAACGGCGGCCATTTCCAGCGGCGGGGACCTGGGTGCAGTGAAACAAGTTCCCAGAGTCCCTCCCTTCAAATATCAACGACGCTGGAGAGTCGACTGCGGAGACAGGCCGGTTAACCCAAGGTCAACCTGAGTCAACATTGAATGTTGGCTAGTGTGTGATTTTCTCTTCGACAGCGGTGGTTCCTGGACCATCCAAATCCGTGACGGTTGTCAGGGTCGATATCCTCGTGGACAAGATGCGATTCCGTTGCATCTACTGTTGCTGATTGGGTCAAGCTAGGACCAGTGGACCCTCGCCGTCGTCGCTGTCGTCGCTGATGATGGTGGTCGCGGTCCAAGTTGTGTCGGACGCGCCGGACCAGAAATGATCTGAACTCAGCCTGATGGCAAGGCCCCTGACTGCGCGCTCGTGCACCTCGTTCTCGAACCACCACGACCTCGACGCCCACAACACATCGAGAAGGCCTAAACCGTTCACAATGGCCGACCCAGTGGCTGAAAAGTCCGCGTTTCTGTGCATGTACATGTCGAGCCACCCCGACACCCTCGTCGCGTACGCCAAATGGTACGGCAAAGTCGAGGAGCCAATATCCGGGGCCAAGATGACTGCTATCGATTCCAAGGTGCGCCCACCGCCGTCCGTGTACCACCAGCGGCTAACCTGAATCCCATACAGTCCATAACCCTCCAATGCACACCCAAATCCAAGCCCAACGAGCAATTCCAGGTGGTGGTACCCATCAACCCACCACTCAAAGGATACGACGACATCAAACCACGCCTCCTCGAGATGAAGGCTATCGCGCAGGAAGGTCTAGGCATGATCAAGGCACCCAAGATTCGAACATACGAGTTCCCCATAACGAGCGGCACCGTGTCCGCTGCCATCTTCGTAGGCCTGAGCGCCCTCGCTTACCTCGTACCAGACGAGGCTACGTTGGAAAACTCGGGGTGGACAGAGGGCCTAAAGGCACTAGGCCCATTCCTTCTTCCATTCTGGAAGGCCAGGGAACTGGTTGGCGCAGATAAGCTGGCTACCAACTTCTGGTCTATCCTCGTGGTACACGCGTTCGAGAGCCTGTACACGATCCACCTCTGTCGGAAACATTCGACTGGCTTCCTCGTTGGTGTGAGTGACACCTGTTCTCAATCTGCGGTCATACAACATCTAACAATCGACGACTAGGCCCAATACGCTCTCTCAACGGTAGCCTTCGGATGGCCAATCTGGTCCAACTTGAGAAGGCGGATTCAGAACGAGAGGATCGATTCCGTGATGAAGGTCGAGTGAAGAGGGTTCTGGCTGTATGTATTCATACCTTCTATACCTTTACGACTCTGTGCACGCTATCTAGGGCTCTGGAACGGCGATGGAGACAGGGCATTCGTCGACCGTCGTCTACCTACCCAGGGTAAACATCAAGAGATATACACATGCACGCGCAATAGCATATTCACATCCATCCAGGACAGGTAAACAATCAATGAAAGCGGACGACGGTGGGTATGGATTCGCTAGAGGGACATTTTACGGTTGTCACGAATAAGAGAGACCCAACAGTTAACCATGAAGCGCCCGTGGCCCCATCCCCAACTTTGTCATGGGAGCTTCCCCGGACGTCGTTTGGTGCGCAAAGAGCCCATTTCTCACCTCCATACTTGGTTATAGGTCTCTGGACTGAGGGTGCGACATTGAGTTATAAGCTCAACCCTTAGCTAATAAGCGCCCGCCGGTGGAAGAATCGTCACTGAGCGAGACAGAGCCTGTGCTATATTCTGCGACTACTCGAATTGACGCGGTTCTGGATTATTCCATCTGGTGTATTTCTGGCCAGCCTGGCCTTCATTCCGTTACAGCCATTTCTCCATCGACATGGGGCAGATGCGTCCAGCACGGAAAAGGCGCTACCCAAGGTTGCACAGAAGGCCCGTTGTAACCAATAACATCACGCTTGGGTAGTAATCGGAGCCACTGGAAGCATTGATCATCATCCTGGCTCTCTGGTGGCGATCCTTGGGGTGTAAATATTCGTCCTGGTAGGCAACAGGGTCCTATTTCCTTCTGAATCCGTCCATGAAGGATGATAAAGAAAATTAGGCGACCAACCTTCGAGCCTTCGACATGAATGACGAACACGACACAACCAATAGTCCGGAGCCTGATTCCGCGGTAACCTCTGACGCTAAGGATCTCGTTCATCCCATTTCCCTAAACAACCAGTTGCAGCCGCTGAACTGCAGGAACTACTAGACCTCAGGGGCTACGCAGCTCATTGCGATCAACAGCTTGGAATGTAAATGTATGGGCGCCCCAAGGCCAAGGTAAAAGTAATCAGTGCAACTCAGGTGCATTGCCTCAGCTCTCCATCGGATGGATATAGGGATGCCCGGGGTGTTCATACGAGGATAAGTACAGCAAGTTCCCCCATGGGCTGCACGAGGCGGTGGTAACAGTCGCACCATATTACATGAACCTCTCTCCACTGACCTGGGAACTGTTCCACATTTTAAGTCCACTCAGATCTGAACCCCATTTATACACACAAGAACGGAGCATTGACTGCAATGTATTCTGAGACAATGAGGGTAACCGTGACCGACCCGGCCGAGAATATTAATATGGGTCCGAACTCGTGAACAGCACCGCTGTATGTGCCCCATCGGCTGAAAGGTCGATACGTTTGCTCCAAAGCACTGGAGTCATTATCACTACCGTGGTGTTCCTGTCCCCCACAACGGTTTAGAGAGAGTCCCGTGGAACTCGGGAACGACAAGATGTTGTATCAGACAGCGCCCGCATCCGCATTTGGAAATCGAAGACCCGCTCAGATAAGCGCCCGTTTCCCAAGTTAGAATGAAACGTGGAGAAAACACCCCAGTGCTAATAGCGGCATTGAACAAGCGGGGTTTTAGGAGAGTTATTTCCCAATCTTTCATGGACCACCCGGGCACCCGGCGCTGGCGTGGCGGTTCGGCGCATGGGCAAATATGCCCTACGGTCTCGTCCACCTGGAGGTAAGTGATGACCATCTTTACTGCGGCTCAGAAATTGCACTTCAATAAGTTCTCCCATATTACATTCCGAAAACAACAAAATTGGGAGCCTGGCGGTTTAATGGCAAATACAGCTGGTTAGATGGAATGGAATGATGCGTATGTACGTACATTGTTTCGAGAGTATCTCAGTTTCATGCATGGGGATTTTGAATGCGATATCTTCGGCAGCGGACACGATTCCCCTCCGTACCGCCCATTAGATTAGGGTACGTCAACAGCGCTCCAAACTCCAACCCGTCCGTTATTAGTCTTGACAGAATCTCCAGCGTAGCTCAACACTGATATCTGAATCATATCCAGATGAACCCACTGGCAGTGAAGGAATGGAGCATTGCATTGCTACGGCACTGTAATTCGATGGCGGTGTTTCCGAAAGGTAAGCAAGGGCTTGAGAAAGGGTATTTAAGGGTCTAGGAAAGCATGGGTAATGCACCCCAATAACTGCCGCAACCAACTGAATCGCTTTACTCTCAACCCCAATCATGTCCACAAACACCTCTGCCCCTGCCAAACCTACCCCCACTACAGGCCTTGACTTGAACAACATTCAAGGCGACATCCTGTACGTATCACTGCTGCAGCTACCTTCCGTTCTTCGGCTAACGAGTCACGACTGAATAGTGGTGGGATGCCAAAGAAGACCGAGCTCTACTACTTCTTCCAAATCACCAACGCGTCAGATTTCCGCAAACATCTCATCAAATTCGCGCCTCTCGTCAAGACGGCCGCACAAGTCTTGCAGGACCGCAAGAAGATCAATGACTCGAAGAAACATGGCGGCCACGGCTTGATCCCCATGAGCGGTGTAAACGTTTCATTCTCCCATCTCGGATTCCAGAAGGTACATTGTCTGTCCAAACACGTGATGTACTAGAGCGTATCTCTGACGACAGTACTGTTACATGCTCGCAGATGGGAATCGACGATTCCACACTCTCCCTCGACGACTCGGACCCATTCAAGCTTGGCCAACGCGTAGATGCCGTCCAGAACTTGGGCGACCCAACCAAGCCCTCCGCTCCCGAGGTCGACCCTCTGCCCAACTGGGAACCCGAATTCCTCAACGATATCCACGGTATCTTTCTGGTCGCGGCCGAAAGCTTTGCCACTGCCCAGAAGAAGCTCAAGGAAGTCGAAGGGTTCTTCCACGTCGGAAAGCCTGAAGCGTCTATCAACAAAGTCAAGTTGATCGTCGGTAACGTTCGCCCCGGCAAGGAGCATGCGCACGAACAGTACGTCTTTCCTCGGTTATCTTTGTTGTAATCATGGGCGTAACGAAGCCGACCTCATAGCTTCGGCTTCCTCGACGGAATCTCTAATCCCGCCGTGGCTGGTTTCGACCCAGTCACGCTCCCAGGACAAGGCCAGGTTCGACCTGGCATCATCCTGACTGGACATCCCGGCGACGAAGACGGCAACGGGAACCCAATCCAGCGTGAATCCTGGGCTGTCGATGGCAGCTTCCTCGCTTTCAGGTACCTCTTCCAGAAGGTTCCCGAGTTCAACGAATACTTGAAGCAGAACCCACTCAACTTCGGCGATTTGACGCCCGAAGAGGGAAGCGAGCTCTTGGGCGCTAGAATGGTCGGCAGGTGGAAGAGCGGTACGTTTTTTTCTTAAATCATTTGGGATGTACACTAAAAATGCGTTATTAAGGTGCACCCATTGATATCACCCCCTTCAAGGATGACCCCGAGTTGGCCAAAGACCCTCAGAGGAACAACAACTTCAAATTCGAAGACCAACTCAATTCACAATTCAAGTGCCCCTTCGCCGCACACATCCGCAAGACCAACCCGCGTGACGACCTTGAGTCACGCAACATCTCAGTCGAGCCACGTCGCATCATCCGACGTGGTATTCAATTCGGCCCAGAGGTCACAGACGAAGAGAAGGAATGCAAGCAAACAAAGGAAGAGCGTGGTCTACTCTTTGCTTGCTACCAGAGCAGCATCAGGCGAGGATTCCAATTCATGCAACAGAGCTGGGCGAATGCGACGAACTTCCCGCCCTTTGAACAACAGCCTGAGGTTCCAGGGTAAGTCTTGCCAAACAAAAAGAAATACCTTCTTGGAAAGGCTGACTCCGTTGGGGATAGATTCGACCCTCTCATTGGTCAAGGTGCCGACCGTAAGATGTCGGGATTGGACCCCAACCAGCCCACTAGGGAGTTGTCGTTCCCTGACTTCGTCGTTCCCCGAGGAGGCGAATATTTCTTTGCGCCCTCTATCAAGGCCCTGAAGGAAACTTTGGGCGCTACTGCTTGAGTACCTTACGCCTATTTAGTTTGATATTATTCATCCAGAGACCACGGACTCGCTGCTGTAGCTCCATGTAACCTTAAGATATGACCCATATTGATATTGTTCCGATTCTTCAAACCCATTTTTCGTTTGATCAGGATGAGGTTTACGAAACAGTCACTTGGCCACCAGCTTGGACATGAGGCTCAAATTCAGCGCTCTTTTACTCGTATACGTCTTGCACCCTTGATCAACTGAAGAGCTGAACCCATATCCGAGGCGAGGCACACGAAGTCTTGGCACCGCCAGTTAAGCGCCCAACTGCATGATCAGATCTCTTGGCATTCTCCTGCTCTCATCTAACACTATCCAAGTCCACCTCAACCCCAGAACACCTTCACGACTCACCAAACACCCAACCAACGCAACATTTTGCAGCATACATCTCCCACCAATACGCATCACACAAGGAATACCACCGTGACGGTGGAGCAACTCACATCCAAGACCTACCCAAGGCCCAACCAAACCCAGAAAACAAAAATGCTAATTCTGCGCAACTGCAACGGGGTATCCAAAAGGGGGTGTAGTTGCATATATCCAACCCATGTAACGATAACACGATAACGATAGAAAAAAAAAAAAAAAAAAAAGAAAAGCCATAGTAGCAGGTAGTACTAGCAGTAATATCGGAATCGAAACGAATGAAGGACCGCTGAGGATATTGGGGAAAAAAAAAGTGGATAATTGCAGCGTAATCAGATAGTATGTAGCGGGAGCGGCGGGAAAGGAAGTGGTAAACTAACACTACTACTACGGCAGGAAAAGACGAGACGATACGTGGGACACGAGCACGAGCACTAAAAAGCAAAGAAAAAAAGTTCCAGTCGACGGATTAAGGAGAGACATAAATCAAAAGCCAGAAGGCGCTTGTACTGATACCTATAAAAAACGAGCTACTTGAACTGGAAGCAAAGAAAGACAGAAGAAAAAAAACGAGAGCGCAGTCGAGAGAGACAGAGAAATAGATCGATCCAGCAGTGCAAATAGCTTGAAAATCTTGAGAAATCCATCATGGAGGATCTGAGAACGAGAGGAAAGAGCGACAATGAAACCATGAACTGTAAAACGTGAATCTGGAAGCAAATGAACAGGTAGTAGGGAATGGAGCCAACCCGGGGAAAATCCAGAAAATACTAGTCTGAAGATAGTTGGTGATCATAGTCGCAGTGGTGGGTAGCAGTGGAGATAATCAAGAAGTTCAAGCGGCGAACGGAGATCAAGCGCAGGGTGGTCGGTGATCAACCAACGGAAGAGACAATACCCCATCTCATCCCGAATCATGTCACGCTTACTCCTCTTCCTCAGGCTCCTCCATCACATTATGTAGCGGCGCACCATGCACATACCTCCCAGGGCTAATCCTCCCCGGATCTTCAAGTGACACAGTAGGAAGCGGGTACCCAGCAGCCTCAGGCGGCGAGTTCTTCGGCGACGGCGACGGCGAAGGCGTAAGCGTAGGCGCAAGGGTAGCAGCAGGCGCAACAGGAACAGGCCCAGCAGGCTGCTCACCACGCTGCAACGACGCCGTCCGGACAGGCAGCCTCGAAACATTCAAAGGCGCAACAGGGATAGACGCCACATTCAGCGGTGCATTCGCACTCCTCTCCCGTTCCCTGTACATCTCGATCAGTGCCGCCGTCTTGCTCGTCCCAGTGGGCGTCTTGGCTGGCGATGACGACGATGGTTCTGGCACACCATTTCCATTGCGGTGGCCATTGGAAGCGAGTTTGGTTGTTGGGATGGGTGGCTCGGGGTTGGTAGTGATCTTGATATCGGGGACAACGCGCTTCTGCGGAGTTTCATAAGCGGGCTTTGGGGGAGCAGGGAGTGGTCGACGTGGCTCTGGTGCACCATACGCATCTTCACTGTCACCCTCATCATCGCTCATACTCGGCCGTGCCAGCCTCTCGCGCGGGTCCTCCTCCTGGTGCGCAGCGGCAGACGAACCAGCACCACCACCCGACAACGCTGCGCGTCGCTCAGGGTGCAGATCAAAGTACCCCATCCTCCTCCCCTCCTTGGCCATCTGTCGCGCATTGAGGATGGGAGCCATAAGCTCGTCTTCGGCACTATGCCCGTCGTTCGTCCCCCTGTCATACGCAAGGTGCGCATCACTCCCCGAATCATCCTCCGTACTCCTACTCTCCATCCTATGCCTCGGCACAGTCTCCACCTCATCCACATCCGCATCATACAAATGTCTATCCATCCCATAATCCTTATCCACCCTCTCCGACGGAATCTCAGGAATACTCGTAGGCGACAACGACCTCTCCTTCTCCTTCACAGCAGCCAACACCTGCGCCACCTCCAAACTCGCCATATCCGGGTCACTCTTCCTCGCCACCCCGCCCCTCCTCCTGCGCTCGTTGGGGTCCAGCGCATCCTGATCGCCCATTCTTCGACTCTGCGTGCCAACAAGTATATCGACCCACGCGTCCGGGCGGGACTCGCGCCGCTTCTGCTTCACGTCCTCGGGCTCGTTGGCGTCGCCGCCCCATTCGTCGTCGCTGTAGCTCGCCATGCGAGTTTCGAACTCCACGGTGGAGTATTCAGCGGGAGGGCCGAGCATTGAGCGACGCATGCTTGGACTCACTGGAAGCCTAAACCGCGACTTCTTCGATGCGGGCGTGGACATATTCGCAGAGGAATCAGACGGGTTCTCGTCGCTTCTTGGCGGAGGTGGGTGGTACTGCGAATCGGTGGGTTCAGGGGTTCTAGAGGTCGTGGCCGCAGGGGTCACAATAGTCGGTGGAGGTCTCGACGGTGCAGGAGGGATTTTTGGAAAATCCGACGGTGCGTTCGAAATGGTGGATTGTACTCTTGGCGCAGAGGCGTCCTTGTTATCTCGCTTCGAGAGACTGATGACTTTGGTGCCCCCTGAACCCTGGAGGAGACCTTCAAACTCGACCTCTCGGTATGAAGGGCTTCGAGGCACGTGGCCAACAACGTAGGGTCGTCCGTTTAGTGTGGCGGCTGGCTTCCACTGCTTCTTGCTCGACGGCGAGAATAAGGATGGCAGACGGCGGCGGCTTTTCGATGGGAGAGCTAGTTGCTGACGGTATTCCAAGGGAACGAACTCTTCGTAGAGGATTAGGGTGACGTCTGTGCGCGGGTCGTTGCCCCCAGAGGTGGTCGAGCGAGAGGGAGGTAGGGATTTATACTCGACCTACAGACAGGGTGTATGTTAACAACAGGTCCAAGTCGGACATTAACTAGACTTACCAAAGCCCAGTTACAATCCCTATCGAGTGATTCACCACGCTCAAGATCCATCCAACCACCGCCATATATGAGATCACAAAAGACGTCGATGAAAGCCTCTTCGATGACTTCTTCATTTCCCACCACCGGTTCGGTGTCCCAGCCAAACGCTGGCAGCGATTTCTGCTGCTTCTTCAGTTTACGGTGTATCTCGACTTGTTGGCTGGGCCAGGATTGAACGGTGTTGACCACGGGTGTGCTGAACTGCAGTGTCGCTGATAGCGGAGCGTCCGTGCGTGAAAAGCCTGATGTTGAGAAATCGTTCCATGTCAGAGTCTGACGTTTGGCAGCTCGTTCCTAAAGAGAAAGGCTAAGTATCGGTGATCATTCAGATATGGAGACGGTGCTTACCTGACGCGCGGATTCCGTCAAGTCAAACTGAAGCTTTTTCTCATCGCCAAGGTTGCTGAAACCCATAGACTCGAATTCACCCCACTTGAGATCGGTAAGACTACGGAACCGGTCATCAACGCGCTCCTTGTCACCAAAGTAGTCCTTTTCAGAACTATCAAGAGACGATAAAGTCGAGGATAGCGAGACCGGGGGAGCCGTTCCAGGTGCCGGATTAGCATTCGGATACGTGCCAGCATGGACGTCAGGATGGAAATTGGCAGGCATATTCATCTTCTTTTTGTAAGAATCGGAATAACGAGGGGCGAGTTTGAGAGTGGAAGGAGCGATGCGTTCCCATTCTTTGGATTGGGCAAAACTGTTGGAGAGGGTCGAGTGGGTGTTCTTCTGAGCCCAGGCGGAGGCGGATTTGACGAGATCGGGTGAGTACATCCGGACGTTGCGGCGCACGCTCATGACGCGGACGGTGCGGGCTCCTTTGCGTGGCTGTGGTTTGGCCTTGGGGTTGCCGGTGAAGGGGAGCATGGCTGGATAGCCCTTGATCCATTCCTTGAGCCGGACGGGGACTCCGAGAGATGCGGCGCTGGCGGTGGAGGATCGCGGGGTGTCTTGCCAGCGGACAAACGCCAACAACAGATGTTCAAAAGCGTTCACTGAACGCAAATAGTGAATGTAGGCATGGTGGAATGCCAGGGTGGCCGGACCGAGACCGAAGAAAAGGGGTCCAAAGAGTGGTGAAAGGGTCGGAGGGGTGTGTCCGGACGACGTGCTGTTTGCAACGAGGCGGGCGAGCAGGGATAGTAGCCGGACGATGATATATTGCAACGGCTCCGGCAGCGCGGGCAGGAATGTCTGGAAATGGGCCGGAGGGTAGTTGTTTGCTACAATTAACGACAATCATTAGCCTCGTGTCAAGAGATTAGAAATGTGATGTCAATTCAGCGTCGAGGACGGAGGTCGCCGTCGTCGCTGTGCACGACGTCGGGCGCGAATGTCGGGGACGACGGGAGACTCACCTGCTTCAGAGTCACGCCATTCAGCGTACTGTTCGTACGAAACCAGCCCACGAACATCCTGGCCGCCCACGGACCTTATCACCCTAGCCAACCCCCAGCGCAGAGTCATCCCCAGCTCATGGGGACCGACAAACCTGGCCTCCTCCCTCCATCTGTTCTCTGCCTCCTGGGCTTGCTGTGCGCTGCTGGGAGCACATGTGTCGATGAAAGAATGAATAAGTCTCTTGATTCCAGAGGACGAAATATCCAGCGCCGTATTTGAGAAAATGAATGGGGTCGTGATGCCGCCTCTTGTTTCCAGCTCGTCGGCGACGACATCGACGAGACGTTCGAGTTGCTCTAGTCCGAGCACGACATGGCGCTCGTAGCATAGGTAGCCATAGTCGTGCTGCTTGGTTGGGTCTGCCGTGTCCGAGTCGTTTCGTGGACGGTCGAGGTTAAGTGGCAGGAAACTTCCATCTGGAAAGGACGAGCTTTCTCCTGGAAATTCTTGGTCTGCGCCAGAGGAAGATAGCGTTCCAGAACGCTTTGCCTGCTCTTTGGCCTTCTTCTTCTTGTCCTTTTTCGAAGGGGTCGCTGGGGCCGTTCCGCTGCGACTCGACAGGGCACCGCCGGAGACCCTCCCGAATTCGTCAAGTCCGTCGTCGCGACTACTGAGAGCTGCCTTCTTCTTGTTGGGTGTCGAAAACGTTCGGGAACGAGAAAAGAGGCTGGCCATCGAGGAGCGCGATGAGGAAAGGAGGTAACGCTACGTTGTTGACGACGACGAAAGGGTATCACCCAAACTCGGAATTTTCCGTGCTATTGAATATTCCCTTGCCCCTGGCCCTATGATGAAAACGGCCAGAAACACTGATCTCTGAGACACTAGTCCACAAAAAAATGACGACGGGTTGGCGTTGAGAGGTTCCACAATTTCGCTATGCGGTTTGCTGGTTTGCTATCTCCTAACCAGAAGACCACTTCAGAACAGGTTCAAGTCTGGAATTAATTGACGCGAAAACTTTATCCCCCTCAAGACCCCCCTTTCTCACGCACCAAGGAGGCTTTTTGTTCTGACGTCGTTGTCTCAAGGGAGAAGCTCAACGGTGGGGACACTTTCAGATTAACATTCACAAGTCGAAGCATCAAGGACAGATAGATTGACGTCTCTCATTGTCACTATCGGTGGACGGAATGGAAAGGCTCCCCGAACCCCGCAACCATGAGGCACTGACAGTGACAAGCGGCGTACATAAAGCCTTGAAATCTACGACGTCGATCCGAGTACAAGTAGATTCGAACCAAATCTCTGTTGTCCCAGGACAAGGTGGTGCATCAAAGAATTTCGAGAACCGAAGGTAAGAAGCTGCGAGAAAACTAGTCTGGTAAGAACTTGATTTCTCGCTCGTGCCACCGTCCAAGATCTCCTGTACAAGGGAAATCTTGAGACTCCCAGACTAGGAAGTAAGCTTTCCATTCATTGTTCTTCTTGCCCCTAGATTTGTACTTCGACGAGTCAATTGTGGATAACCCATGACCTATGGATCATCCTGTACTTGTCCTTGAGGCCTCGTAGCCACTGTAACTGCAATGAAACTAAGCCTTGTTTCCTCTCAAGGCATCGATGCAATTCCAAAGGGGGATTTCTTCTCATCAAACCATTCCTTACAACACACTGGTACTTAGAAAAGTGGTCTTTCTAAACATACACATAGACGAGAACGAGCGAGAGGGGGTGCACGCTGCTTGGAGTGCAGATCCGGTGGCCCGGAATGACTTCCTTTCCTGGAAAGTGGCAGTACAATCGGGATCGTGTTAGCTTCGTCCTCGAGGAGTCCTCGCTTCTCCCTCCACCTACCTCACAACCTATAGAGTAGCGGAATAGGGGAACTCGAGCCCCGAAGGTTTCCAGTAGCTCCATTACCACCACGCACCTCCCGACCATGCAATGCTCTCGCCGCCTCTTTCTACAATTTCCAACGAGCTTCTGCACCAGATTGTCGGTCAAGTTGCAGGCGAGCCCTTCTGCATCTCAGTGGACGATCTTCACAATCTATCGCTGGCCGACAGGGCCTTCACGACCATCTGCCAAATGTTTCTTTACGAAGAACTCAAGCTCAAAGGCACATCTTTCCAAATGGCCAGAAAGCTGGATAGACAAACTGCAGCTCTCCAGGCCAACCCCGATGCAGTCAATTTCGTCCGTCGAATAGTCATAATCTTTACTGGTATAAGCGGCCCCATCAGACAAAATCGAATAGCCGCTATTTGAGAATTAGACATCCTTGTTTCGCGGTTACGCCGCCTACTTCTAAGTTAGAGAGCCCTTGCGAGGCAGTGGGCCCTCTGTGAATAGCCCTGCCCGTAATGAAAAGTTAGGTTTTCTTCTACGATACGTGTTAGTTCGCAGTTAGAGGTCTCCTGCCTATGTCAAGAAGAAGCACTGATTGAAACTTACGAGTAATCTAGCGAACAGCCGTATGTGAGTCATAGTCCTTATTTCACAACTTACAAGTAGGTCTTATTTCAAGGCAAGGCCTATTTCACCGATAGGCTGGAGTCCCGCGATATTACTTCTTATTTCACCAATATCCGTATCTATACTCTAAATACATACCTTACTCTATCAATACCGTTGGTCGCCCCTCGATCAATCCAGCATCCACGGTCCGCTAATCCGGCGCCAAGCCCCACATCGTCAAGGCGAATGGGCGAAAACCGACGCGACGACGAGCGCCAGGCGCGTTTGTGGGTCTCAAGAAGTTAAGGATCTGCGAAGGAAGAGCATATCTTATCTTTGCGCAAAAGAGCGCCCAAAATTGTCAGAAGAAACGGTCAATTTAAAAAACAATAATGATTATTGTCGATAGCCATCCAGTACATCCAGTATGTACATTGGGAACCTCGCAATCGCCTCTAATGTTTCGTGGACGTCCCTCGCGAAGGTGGTAAAAGGTCGTCTCTTAGGCTGGACTTTGTGAGGACACAACATCCGATGTACTGTGTTGCAATATGAAAGTGTGACCTCATACCAGGTGTCGGCGCCAATAATTCTGATGATTGTAAAAACTTGCCACCTGTTATCGGAGGCGGTCCGTCGTATTCTAAGAAAAAGTAAATCGGAAACTCGATAGAGCAGATACGAGGAATGTATTCCCGCAAAGAAGACGAATGCCACGATCAAACTGAGTTCAAACTTCAGGATACCGCGAGCATGAATGGCTGGCACTCGCTTAATGAGCGCCAACTATCCTGATGATCGTAAACAGTGGTCACTGGTCCCATAAACAACGTCCGTGGCGGTCTTAATGCAGACGTCTAGAGTATTGTAAATATCCGAAAGTGAATGCCACGGTCAGAATGAATGTTCAAAACCATCCGTAAATGAACGCACCATAAATTCGTGATGGGCGCTAATGGCAAAGCGACCACCCATTCATCAATCAGAAGCCATGGCCCATTTCTCCGACATCATCGCCGTCCGTTTCGTCATCATCAGAATCCTCACTGCTATCCTCCAGGCTCCGAACCGCTCGAAACGCTATCGTCGTCGCTGGGCACCCTGTCATCATTGTCGTCGTTGACAGCTGGTGCATCCCATGGGTCTCTACCTTCACCTGTTCCCACAACCACGTCTGGGGCTGTCATGATCACATCGTTTTCTCTTCTTCTTCGTCATCCGCATCATCTCCGAGTCCCATTTGATCCTCATCCATCCCAGCATCCCCTCTCCCAAAAATCCGGTCAGCATGTCCCACCCCACCACCAATGTATCTCATTAACACATCTCGATCGACGAAACTAGGGCAGTTAGTTGATTGTCGATCCGAAACGGTAACAAAACGAAGAGGTACTCCCATGTTTACGTAGTAGTTTCAATAGTCTTCGGTTTTGTGACTTTGTTTTCGTAAATCTGGCGAGCGACCTCGCACTTTCCGGGGAGAAGTTCGTCTGTCTGCCGGTCTTGGACAAGGGATGAGGTGACAGCTACACCGGAGTTTAGCGGGTCCAGGAAGTCAAAAGCGAAGCTCGAGATATTTTTCTGTACGGATATGTTGGAGACCGGTCTTGGTGAACAGGGTGGCGACAGGAGACCTGGCTGCGCAGGAAGTGCATCATTTTGACCTTTTCCAGACGTGAGATGGTGTCTTCGTCCACGTCGATAGCCACCTCGCGCACCCATGGGCCATATACCAGAAATTCCGACACTACTGTCGCTCCCCACTTGTTCGTTTTCACCACTTGTTCGTTTTGATGGTGATGGGCCATCGTTTTTTCTCTACTCCGCTGCGTAAGAGCCAATGGGGACACGCCTTTCAGTTGATGGCTCCTGATGGATGTGATGGCACTGAATTTTCCTCCTCGTTCGTTTTCACCCATTCCCCTTCGTTTTTCGTGGTTTAAAGTGCATTATCATGCTTAGAATTACTGAAAATGTCGGTATACCAAGTTATGAGGCGAAAGGAGCAGCGGAAACGGAGAAAACGAACATGTGGTGAAAACGAACAAGTGGGGAGCGACAGTACTGGGCGCCCATTCGCTGACGGACTACATGGCGGGCCGCCTAGCCGCTAGTTGATAGATCAAGGCACATCCCCTCTATCCTACAGAAGTCACAGCAGTAGTTATCACCTACCGTATCCTATAGGAATAGGATTGAGAACATCTGCGCTTAAGTTTCCTACTTCAGATCTCCTTGTAAGTTGTAAATAGCACTAATTGGCAAATAGTATTGTATCTGTGAAATAAGACCGAGTCTCGGAAGTGTCGTCCGTTGCGCGAGTCAAGGGTATTGCTTCAACAAGGGACTACTTTGCAACCGCCGTGAAGCCTTGACATAACATGACTACGAGAAACAAGCACTCTTTGTCAAATAACGGCTATTGGCAAGTTAGCGGCGGTGTCTCAAGAACAGTGTATATTCATGACATAAGGTCTATATGGCATCATCCTGCGTGTTGTTGAAATAAGCCTGTGTAATCGCGAAATAAGATCTATTTATTATTGTCCGGTGCGGTCCCCCATATACTGGTACCAGAATCGACTGGCTATTTAACGACTCAAGGTTCAACGCAATCATTGGGCGACTATCGACCTCGCCTAGGCCACCCGAATGTGTCTCAATTAGAAGCGACGGGACGTTCAAGATGGAAGACCCAACGCGTCTGGTATCCTGGGTCACTCAGTCATTTTTACGCACGACCTTGACCGTCCTTCGGTTGTACAACCTCTCCAACGTTCCATTGGCGCTCTTGTCAGCCTGTCCTAACCTCAGGGACATATACGTCGACTATTGCGATGTCGACAGATCATCAAAAGGCAACAATGGCACTGGCAGTGATGTAGACCGTGAACAGCCAACGCAAAGCATACAAACGCTCGACTATCGTCACTCCCGTCGACTTGTCCGCGCTCTTCTGCAGTGGCCCACTCGGGGGTCATGGTTCTCAAACCTTCAAGTCCTCCGGACGTGCTCAGATGAGCTCGAAAGTTTGGAGCTAGCGAAGGCCCTCATTCAAGAAGCGTCCTCGCTGAAGCAGTTGCTTCTAACACACCGCAATGGTTCATTCACCTGGAAAGGTGAGAACATTCTCTGAATAATCGGTCTATCAAACAAAGCTCTAGATCTGATTTTGCGAACAATGCAGGAACCTACATCCCCCTGTCCAAGTTCTTGAACCTGGGCTCACTGCCTTCCCTTCGAGTGTTCGCCGCCTTCATTCAGATTAAAGAGCGGGAGCGCCACTCGAGCGTTAACCGCACCGTCATCAGAGACATCGCTCAGGTTCTCTCCACCATCCCCTCCGAGTCCAATAATATCTCGAGACTGTCTCTGACTCTCAGGGCAGAAGGATTCCATCCCTTTCAATGCACTCGTGACCAGGATTGGGAGGGCCTATGCAACGAAGTGGCCCGAATTGCAGTCCCTACTCGCCAACTGCAATTTGAATTTGAACTGTTGGCAGTGGACCCAGATCCCTTCCGGATCCCGGTGAGTGGTGGAGAAGAGCTGCGCAGATATATTATGGACCAGATAGGCACTCGTCTCAAAGACAAAGACCATGTCCTGGTCAAATTTGCTGTCCCGTCTTTCTCGTACTAGTAGGTTGTAGGACGCTTCAAATTCGATTCAGGGTTTTTGTGGTTGATTACTGCGGTCTTCGTACAAGGACTCCCAGAAACACAGTTCGAATTGTCAAGAAGATTCACAAGTCTAACATCGAGGGCAGATAGATTGACGTCTCTCATTGTCACTGGACGGATAGAAGGGCTCCCCGAACCCCGCAGCCATGAGGCACTGCTGACAGTACTAGTAACAAGCGGCGCACACAAAGCTCAAATCTGCAGCGTGGGCCGTCGATCCGAGTATAGATTCGAACCAAATCTCTATTGTCCCAGGACAAGGTGGTGCATCAAAGAATTTCGAGAACCGAAGGTAAGAAGCTGCGAGAAAACTAGAGGGGTAAGAACTTGAGCGAGAAACTCGTGCCACCCAAGATCTCCTGTAACTACAAGGAATCTGAGACTCCCAGACTGGAAGTAAGCTTGCTATTCATTGTTCTTCTTGCCCCTAGGTTTGTTTGTACTTCGACGGGTCGGCTTTGGATAATCAATGACCTGTGGACCATCTTTCCTTCTACTCATCCTCGAGGCCTCGTAGCCACTAACTGCAATGAAACAAGTCTTGTTTTAAATTTCTCTCTCAAGGCATCGATGCAATTGCAAAGGAAAATTTCCTTCCGTTTGACCATTCGCTTACAGCAGTACACACTGGTAGCAAAGCGGGGTCTTTCACATCGATGAGAACGAGCGAGAACGAGTGCAAGCTGCTGGAGTGAGTACATCCGGTGGCCCGGAATGACTTCCTTTCCCGGTAAGTGGCACTACGATCGGGATCGTTGGCTTCGTCCTCGAGAAGTCCTCGCTTCTCCCTTCATCTACCTCACAACCTATGAGATGATCAAGTAACTTTGGGACAAGACTTTCGAGCACCCAATACTCTCCTGGTACAATCATGCGCTCCGGATCCAGGGACCTTCACCATCCTCACCATCCCGCACAAACAGCCAGCCACCGAAAATCTAGATCTAATAAGGCCACTTCATTTCAAAAATAACACACCAGAGGACCCGCCTCTGCATGTCACCCAACTACACCCTTGAACCCTAACGAATCATTCTCTACTTGGGACTATGAATTGAGATGGACGAAACAGACGGCGGCCTCTCCCGAATCCTATCCTTCAATCGACCAGCAAGGAGCGGACGCGGGAACCCTCCGTTAGACACGAACGCCGTCCTAGGCGGGTTTCCCTACACTCCCCACCACCAAAAAAACCACAAGGTCAGCACCCCTATCTCTAACATAAACCCATACCACTAAAGCAGAACCCACTCACCGATCCAGAATTAGACCCTGCCCCATTACTGTTATTGCTGGAACCAAACCCAGTAAACGGATACCCTCCCCCCTCCGAAAAACCCGCCTTATGCGCAGGTGCAGTCTGCGGAACACTGCTCGACCTCGTAGGCGTAGTCGGGAAACGGCAGAACGAATTCGAGCGGCTCAGCACGGCAGGGGAAGGAGGCGGAAACGCCGGGGTCTTGGGTCGCTCTTGCTCAGGTTCCACGACCGGCTGCGCTGGTGTCCTCGGCGCACCCCAAGGGTTACCATGACTCTCTGAACCAGTCGGCAAGGGCGCTACAACTTTGGGCGCAGGCGTAACCGGCACAGCAGAGAACCCACCGCTATCCGGACCGATGCTGTACACCCTCGAATGGCCCGTCTCAGGTGTATACGTCGCAGCCAGTATAGCAGGCGGCCCCTCAACCTGGCTCGCCTCGACCGCGACTTCGTTCGCTGCGTCCGCCGAGGCCTTGCGGCTTCTTCGGATATAGAAGATGAGCAGCAGGATGAGGAATACAACGGCGACTAGTAGGCAAAAGAAAGAGAGCGGGGTTAGATTGGGTGATGGTAGGTATTATGGAGGTGATTTGATTGCTTACTGGTCACGACTGCGATGGCTATTTTGGCGCTCTTGGGGAGAGTACCAGGTACACTCTGCGTACCGCAGACTTTCTTGCCGGTTCTACAAAATTACCAACGTCAGTATCAGTGTCGGGAAACACCCCAAACACAATCCATCAGCCCATCAACAACAACCTCCATACAAGCCTTCAAACATTCGACAAGACATAGGACATGCAACTCACTTCTCATCCGTCGTACACTGCGCTCCTCCATCCTCCTTCTTGTTCTTGCCCGCCGCAACGCCGGGGAGAGACGAAAAAGCAACCACCGCCGCTCCAAGCACAACGATTGCACCTGTCATAACACACAACACCCATCGATTCCTCAGCATTTCCTCCACCAACATAGAACTTCATTACTCACTATCAAACATCCTTCCCAAATTCAAATAAAACGTATCCCAACCAAAAATTCCTTCGCTTTCCTCGAGACGAGACCTATACCGTACGAGCGCCCAGCACTAATACCCTCTCGACGACTACCCAGTTGATCCAGCCAACCAATATACAGCCGATATCCGAGTCTAGCTCGTCGAACAACCACCAAGGGGTCTTCAAACGATGCTATCTTCTTGCCTTGTCTTCTCGTCTTCGTGTCTTGTCTCGTCTCGTCTTGACTTCCGCTGACCAGCAGACGGAATGGAACCTTGCGAAAGGTGGGGGAGTGAAAGGTGGTAGGTGATGGAGGTTCGAGGTCAACTCGGGACTCAATCAAGCGGTGTCGTCGGCAGTGACTTTGGTCTCGTAGACAACGGAACTTGTTTCATCAATCCCTGATTGGGGACTCTTTGATGATGGGGTGGATAGGCTGTGCTGCATGCAGCATCGCCATTCGAGCTTCGATGCCTTTGAAAGCAATGGCGCAGTGCATGATGCTTAACGTGAGGAATGGGATGTAGATACTGTATTCAAGTCAAGAACACTTGGTTAGACGACGCCATGAAGACCTTCAAGAGCTTGAGATAACTCGGAACTTGAAATAAGCGCCCAATCTTACTTCGGGATCTCGCGAGGGTGGTGAGGTCTGAGATGTTGACACAATGTCTGGGCTCTTCAACGTGCTCATCGTGCCATAAAAACGACGTACGGAGTTGACGAGCCGATATACACCATGAAGAGACCAGAGGGGAGCAAAAAAGAAAAATAAATTATCTTCTCTCCGTCTGGGAGTCGAACCCAGCTTTCGCGCGTATTGCTTGTGCAATGACAGGCGCGTGTACTAACCGATATACTAACGGAGACTTATCAGACATCCTAAACAAAACATTATGGAGGGTCAAGAAACGCATTTCGATCGGAGCCTCAATGATTAGAGATGCCCCTATCAATATGTTTCCCTCTCCCTCCATGTAAGAATCCCAAAATGTCCCGAATACTGTAAGTTAAAAGCCTCCTTCGCCCTGAAAAAAACCACTAAAAACCCACCAGAATCTCTCCATACGACAAACTCCTCTCCCACTCCCGCTTCCTCCTCCAACTACGTTCCCAAGAAAACGTCTACAGCGCCCTGATCCTATTCAGGCTTTCCTCAAGCGCAGATACCAAAGCCTACAACGACGAAGGAGACCTCATAAAAGAAGCAGAAAATGGATGTCCTTCAAATAAACTACCACCTGCAACCGAAAACCCATCAACCACCACCCGCGCATCCCCCGACTCTCCATACTCCCAAATCTACGTGATGGAATCTGCCTGCCCACATCTAGGCGCCGACATGTCGCACGCAGACATCGAAGAATGCGAAACAGGTGCTATAGCTGTATGTCCCTGGCACAGGTTCGCAATTCCTTGTCTTCCCCGAACACGCTAATCCCCCCGGGTTTGCTAGATATGACTTTGATTTACGCACCGGGAAAAGCGAAACCGGGCTGCAGGCTTGCACGTACCGAGTGGAAGTCGAGACGGATCCAGTGGATGGAGTGGACAAGGTGTATATGGAAGCACCAAAGGGTGGAACTGGCTGGAAGGTTGTCGAGTTGAGACCGGTTTCCGAAGGTACGTCCATCGCCAGTGTCCTTCAGTCAATTCATTTCACATTTTACTGACCTGGGTCCAGAGTTCGCCGATCCCCCACCCAAGAAACCCGAAGGGCCCACCAAATCACTCGATGAACCAGAGAAAGAAGACGAGCCCGTAGTCCCAGTAACCAACCCACCCAAAACCCTAATGCAATGGGCAGTTCTGATCCTGAACACCCCAAATCCTCGGCTGAAAGTCGAGCGTACAAAGCACGCGGTGCATCTCTTCAGGACGGGTAAGCTGTCCTCTATCGGGCACAAGTCGCCTAGCGCCCCCAGGCCGCCCGACGTACCTTCGCGGGAGGAGACATATTCACGGAACGTGGTGGACCCGTCGAAAGTCAAGAATCGAAGAAACCGCGCTGCGATGCTTCATGCCCTCGCGAACATCGAACAATGGGCGTGAGTACTACTCTTTAACAACTTCTGAACAAGACCTTTCTGACGATGTCTCTGCAGAATCGACCTTGCGTACGTGGGCTCCAATCCATAGCCACTCTTAGTCTAACTTCAGTAGTTGGGACATCATGGCCCGTTTCGGACCTACACATCCCAACCTCCCACCAGCCTTCTTCGCAGATTTCACCAAGATGGCGCTGGACGAGTCAAAACACTTGTACGTCACCCCCATTTCCCCCACCTACCTCTGCCCGTCCACCATCTAACCACCTAACTCACCCCCCAGCTCCCTCCTCGTCTCCCGCCTCAACGCCCTCTCCCCATCCACGCCCTACGGCAGCATGCCCGTCCACGCAGGCCTCTGGGAATCCGCCACCGTCACCTCAACCTCCCTCCTCTCCCGCCTCGCCATCATCCACCTCGTCCACGAAGCCCGAGGCCTCGACGTCAACCCCGCCACCATCGAGAAATTCCGCCGCGCAGGAGACGCGGAAACAGTCGACGTTATGGAGATCATACACGCAGACGAAGTCACACACGTTACCGCGGGACATCGGTGGTTCGTTTGGGCCTGTCAGCAGGAGGACGAGCGGAATAGGAAGGAGGGGAGAGAGGAGAGGGTGGATCCTGTGAAGAGGTTTAGGGAGGAAGTGAAGAGGGGGTGGACTGGGGAGATTAAGGGGCCTTTCAATGTCGAGGCCAGGGAGAGGGCGGGTTTAACGCCCGAGTTTTATCAGGACTTGAGGGGCGAGTTGGGTATCGGAGCTCCACGCCAGGATATCTCCAAAGAGGAGAAGGTGGAGGACTCTCTCGTCAACGGTGTTGCAGCACTCAAAGTCGAATACGAGTGAACGCGATTGTATCCTGTTTTGGGGCAATGGGACTGATTGCCAGTTGATTCGGTGTATGCAGCTTGACGGATGTGAGCCATCCTCACTCTGACTGTCGTAATTCTTCTGACTCGCAGCTGTTCGAGAAGAAATCTTATAGTAAAAATGATGAGAATGTACAGTTATGGAAAATACAACATCGAAAGACGCGTTCAAGTATGTTACACAATGTACAATTGGCTTCAAGAATTCAAGATGCTACAAGTCCCCCAGTGATAGATCAATGCGCAGATAACGACATTGCATTCAACCCCCTTGCTGTTCAATGCTCGCCTTAATTCGGTCGACATAGTCTTTGTTCTTCGCTTCATATTGGACACACCACTCCTTCAATCGATTCGCACCCACACGTTCCGCGAACGCTTTCACTAAAAGCCAACAACATGTGAGAAATGGAGAAGTCCTAGCAGAGTGCACCGTGACAAGGGTACCCACCATAGTCAAGATTCAACGGATCAACCAACTTTCTCCTAATAATCACCACCTGGACGTTCTCAAACAAATTAGATAAATCCAGGTAATTCGCCAACTCCATCACTTGAAGCAGGTCCTCCCATTTGGCAGATTCGTCTCGGATCGCAGAATCACCGTCATAGAGGAAATCTACGCCAACGGTTAGCCTTCGACCACGAGCATCAAAAGGACCAAAAAGAAAAGACAACATACCCAAAACAGTCTTGATCGCAAAGACAGAATAATCTAGAGGTACTTCAACTGGATTGGAAGGCGAGGCTTCCTGGCCCTCCGCGAATTCCCCAGTAAACATAGATTCAAAGTATCCGCCATAGCTTGCCAGAAAGGAGCGATGGGCGTAGAATTTGTTTCTTTCCCCGTCCTCCAAATGGTCCTCCTCCTTCGAACGCAAAATCACATCCGTGAGCTGCTTCTTCTCCCGTTGTCGAGCATAGGAAGCCCTCGACCGCAAGAGCAGCTCATGCTCCTTGCCGCCCAGCGCCCCGGAGGGATCGAAATCAGGGTAATTGACGTCCGCGACGCCAGCTTCCTTGAGAAGGTCCTTATACGAGAGCAGGAACCCCCGAACTCGTTGGATATTCGCAACGTCGTGGTTTTCAAAGGCCATCCTACTGGGAGAGATCCACTCCCAGGCATCGACAGCAGGATCATTGACATTGAGAAACAGCGCCTCGTCCTTCAGGGCAGCAACCACCTCCCGCGCGTCGGCCAAGTTCTTGTCTAACCAGGCGTACGTTGATTTGAGGTAGCGCAGGACATCAGGACCTTGGCGCATCGTCTTGAGCTCTCGAAGGTGATCAATCTACGAAGAATAACGAGTTTGAAAAAAATTGAATGTTACGTATGGAGAGGAAAATAAAGACTCACCACGACCGAAACCGGAGGCTCTCCCAATTTTGGATTGGCCAACACAACCCGATTATCCGGTTGCTCAGCAAAAATCGCCTTCTGCGTCCAAGCTACGTCTTCAAACTCCTGACGCACAAGATCATTAGGCGGCACAACCATAGGTAAATTTCGAACGCGCTCGGGGATCTCCAAGGTGCCTCCAGCATACTGCCTCGAAGTCGCCATATTGCGTGGAATGAATCGCAGGTTCTCGACCCGTCTCCATTGTTGGACCGCCTGCGAAGAAATACGAAGTGGCAACTGCTCGCAGTACGCGCGGAAGACGACCCGAGCTCGCTCGACAACCTCCTGGGGATTAAGGTTGTTGTCCAACACATCCTCATCGAGCGCTCTGGCGCATGTGACGAAAATGTCCATGTTTAGGTCCTCTTCTCTGATAATCAGTCGTTTGGCGCGCAGAAGCTGCTCGAAGGGATTCCTGAGCGATTCCAGGAGGAACCTCTCCGGGCGATCGCCAAAGGCTTGTCGGAAGAGGTTCTCTCGCGTGTACAGGGACCGTGCGGGGACGAAAGCACGAGTACCGTCGGGTATCTCCAGTTCGTCGTAGGTGTTATGGATGCCATCCAGAAGGAAGTTGAGAATGCTTCGGTACCCAGGTTCGTCAGGGGCTTCCAGTCGCGGCGGGAATCGTAGCGCAGTTTCCAGTTCGTTTATCGTAAGTCTGTGGACATTGAAATACGTAGGGGGCAGGCCTCGGACGACAAAGACATTCAGAAATGCCTGTGCTTCGAAGTCAACACCGATTGGAAGGAGTCGAACGCCAGAAGCAGACTTCCAAGCAACTTGATGCTGTTTGTGGCCTCGCCATATCGGAAGTTCTCTTGCTGTGCGGATAACCTCGTCCGGGATTCTACTTTGGACCTGTGAGGTAAACCAATGGGATAGGGTCTCCCGTTCATGGTCAGGCCAAGAATCGATTCGTTGCTTGACTGCTTGAATGTCGGATTTCAGAGAACGCAGAAGTCGAGTGATGAAATTGCCCTCCGACGACTTCAAATACTCCTCCATGTTCAAAATGTTCGCCAAAGCCGGTGGGCAGCGCTCCTTCGCAACGACGGTAATTTCAAATTCTTGAATGAGTCGCATCACGTCGTCGTCAGCCAACTCCCCATCGGCAGCGATCAAAGCCCCACCACTCTTGCAGTCCGAAAGGGAGATGTATTCGCCTGCTGTGGATGGAACCAATGGAAGGTCTTCAATCGATTCTCTGATACCCTGAGTTTCGAATGACGGGTATGCTGTCCAAAATTTATTGATCCAGGATGGGAGTTCATTCGTCCGCAGTGAAGTCAGCTCCGTTTGGGTTAACGCTTTGAGACCAGTTGCGTCGAACGGAGCAATGTTCAGACCCCCATCAAGAATCTTTTGCTCCAGAAGGCGGTCCAAGGTGTCGTGATCGACGAAGGATGAAGGGGGGAAGAGATTAATGGCAGCGACGGGTCCAGGTCTCCATAGGTATTTGGGGGGCATGTTGTCGCGCTGTCGAAATACAGTCCACTGTTTACTCTGAAGTCGCAACAATGGCAACCCGATGAGGTTGGTGACATCGGAAGACGCAAGATGGGACAATAGCTCTTGGAACTCTTCATCTTTATAGCTGGTTTGGGCGGCAGCTGGGAGTGCAAGCACCCAATCCTTCACGTGTTCAGGCGTGATAGACTTCAACTTCGCTTCATCTTGATAGCTTTGAGGAATGCGGAGTTCTGTCACGTTGGCCGGCTGAGAGCGGGAGAGGAAGGTAAGGACAGGCCGCGGGAGGAATGGAGGAAACAGCAATGCATTTCCAGGTGTCATCGATGCAAAGTTGTTGCTATTCTTGAAGAATGGCCAACAGACCTGTCGCTCCGTCGAGGGCAAATGGACACGATAGAAGCTCTCGACCAGGGATTTCGTAAGGTCCGCCCCCTGACTCGCTCCAACTGGGGGCTCGATTCGGTCAAGTTTGAAAGCCGCGGGCCACCATTGAGCATTGTCTTGAGTCCGGGCTATCTCCTCAAGCATTGCTAAGTACACCTGAACGAGTGGCTCCGAAAGCAGCCATTGATTGAAGGCAGTCTCAGCGCTGTTGTACGTGTCGTGTCGAATTCCTCTACGGTCAGAGGATAGAGCAAAAGATGCATTGACGTGGACGGGGAGTTCCGTGGTGATGGCGAGGGGGAGAGTTGAGAAGAATCGGCACTGCTGAGCTCGGCGAGAAAATGGTGCAGCCAGACCCACGCGGACATGCTTGACCCGCTTCAGGTTCGTGGAGAGGTTTTCAGGTATGTTGTCCGGAGATATGGTTGCTGAAACGACCAGCCATCGTGCGGGAGTGAGCTGACCCCCAATCCCCTCCTCCTCAATCGACGTATTCGTGACTATGAAATTCGAGTCATCGCGTGCGGTATCAGTCCTGGAGGCCGAGACGATCCAAAGAGGACTGGCTTTCCCACTGTACAAACAGCTGAATGCTTCGATTCTTCTCAGCTTGATGAACAGCAAGCTTTGGGCGGCGGTGCTGCGAAATTCTTGGAGGAGCTGCTTGAATGCGGACGCTTCCCACACTTTCGAAGATATCCCCTGTTCGCTACAGTGCGAGCCTGCTCGAAGAGGTAGCATGAAAAGAGTCTGTAAAAGGGTAAGTTTATCGTTCTGTATCTATGGTACAGGACATGCATACCCCAGGGAATCTACGTGAATCTTGGATTTCCCATGGTAGACCTTTGAGAGGGAGCAGACTGTCTGGATAGCGCCTAGAGACGTTATCAATAGGCAGAGGTACCTACTAGTTAAAGCACTTACTGCGCGAGCTGTTTCAATGGGATTCTCCAGCTTGCTCGGCCCATAGGCAGGTGCCGCTTCGATGGGTCGAGGAACAGCGCCTGATCACCGGAAAGGATGACGACTAACTACAACCCGAACTTAATGTCAGCATCGCGAACCATCAGAGAACAAGACGATTCACCTCTGAGAAATGGAACATAGTCAACGCTCCCAACCCGAACTGCCCAATACTATGCGAATCCTCCCGCTTTCCTCCAACGTGAATACGAAGTATACCCTGAAAATCCTTCTCGGAGAAGAAGCTGTCGTTGTAGACAAAGACATATGGGCACTTGTAGAACTTCTCCATATCCGAGGAGAGCAACCTCGGGCGCCCAGTCGTCATCGCTGCGAGATCCTCGCTGAGTACAACCGAGAATGTCGTTGCCTGAGCATCCTCTGCGTTCGCAAGAAACTCGGAAAGGAACTGCCTCTCCGTGTACTGCTTGATCGTCTCTTGAACTAGGGTGACAGGGGATGCACCCATATCTTCAGTGGACTGTTGGAGATCCCCGAACTTGAGGCCAAGTCGTTCTAGCTTCAGGGCTTGGGCAAGTGGTTCATCAATTGAAGGAGAAGCCATGTGGTAATCGTCTGACGGGACGAGGTCCACCATATGCGGGATGTCGTTGAAAATGACCTCAGACCTGGGTCGAAGGGTATCCCTGTCGTCTGGGATGAGAAGCTGAGAGAGTTGCTCCTCAGATGGCGAGTTCCTCGTGACAAACTTGAGGAGGGACATGGCTATCCTTGTCGTATCGTCCGATGGAGGCCTTATGGACATATTTTTAAGCAACGCCAGAACGGAGTCGAAAGAAGGCCTGGATACCATTTGTCAATAATATTGCTTTTAGACTAGCCCAACGGACACTGAACTCACCTATCTGTGCAACCGAGCTGTTTGAGAAGCGAATATGGGCCCTGTTCTCGTGTCAAGATGGGATGCACCTCCTCAATCTCAGCCTCCGGAATGGCTTGCTGGAACACAGCACAGTTTGGCTGAACGAGCCGGTATCCCATCGTCGGGACCCATCGTGTTCCCTCCAGAGTCCGCTTCAACTGCTCAATTTCGCTCTGCCTCAAAGATCTTCTCCCCAGCTCCTTGAGTATGACCATCACTCGATAATGAGGATCAGGGGTCTCTTTGAGCACCAGTCCGATCTGCTGCAAAATAACGGGTGTGGGGACGGGCTTGTCCCATCCTGCAGCCCTGGCGAACGAAGTGGAAATCGCCGCTTTGGGGTGCAACCTCTTCAAGACACGGTCGAAAAGGGCTAGTTCGTCGCTCTGCCCCGGGGCAGGTCTGCACTCAGACGGCGAGACCAGCTTGTTACATACGGTTGGGAGCCAGTTCTGTCGAGCGTCGTTTGTGTCCCCTAGGGTGCTGTAGTCGAAATTGGCACGGTCGAGGATCTTCAGGAGGTCAATAGAATGTTGAAAAAAGGCACGATCCCTCGAATTGGACGATATCCATTCGATCCGGTCCTTGACATTGACCGGCGAGAGCTGATAGTCGAGGAGCTTGAGAGCCGAGGCGGCCTCGACGATTCCCTTTTGGGTGGGAGTAGATGTAGCCGGGATACGAGAACGGTCTTGAGAGTACAGAGGTCGGAGAGGGTTGGAAGGATCGATGAGATTTTCAGGTGCAGCGAACCTCCCGTTGGCAGCAAGAACGAACTTCTCCCGCTTCAAAGGCTTGCGGAGACTCTCCGGCAGCTTCTCCTCGATCTCGACGAGATACTTCATCAAGTCTTCGAGGATGACGGGAGACTGAAGGGGAAGAGCCTGTTCTTTGAGGGCGAGTTGGAGGACTTCCACTTCAGAGAGTGATTTGAGGGAAGCTGCTTCGAGTAGTCGAAGCATGTCAGATTGAACGTGGGTCGTAGTGAGGTAGGCGATCCCAGGAATGCTGGGGAGAATGGCCTTGCTCGAAACGCCGTAGATCTTGCTATCGTTGACAGGCACCCATTGGGTGATACGCCGGGCTGAGTCGGGAGCAGCTGAGACAGAAGGGAATATTGGTAGTTTCTTCAATGTCGTGGTTTGGCTCGCAGAGAGCACGGTGTGGCGGTTGATATTGTCACTGAAATGCTTGAGTAGCATCGCGGCGTCACTGTCTGCCATTCCTACGGGAAACTGCCCCTGATGATCAGCAAGACAATTCAGCAAAGCCGGGATGTCGTCGACGCTCTTGACTGTTCCCAGCCCTCGCACCACCTTTCGCGCCTTCTCTAAAAAGTCGGGGTGAAGGAAGGGAACTCCCAGTCGTTGCAACAAGGCGACAAGTCGTTCAGGGGTATTGCCGACCTCGAATACCGTAGCACTTGCCTGCCTCACCCCATTGGCGCAAGGCAGAAGGTACATGGGCTGGAGCTTGGGGATTAAGTCCTTCTTCAGCCTCGACCCTCCTAGCCACATCCAAAATGCCGTCAAGAGGTGGACAGCAGGGCGGTCAATTTTGACAGCTGAAAATTCGATGCCTCGTTCTTTCGGTAAGCGATTGAGGTAGGTAACAACGATGTCTGCATCTAATCGTTTCACATCCAGTTTCTTGGGGCCTTCGCGCCGCAGAAGGTCGGCCACTCGGTCGGAGAACACGTTGAGCGCGATTGCGTGGGCGTCACATCCGCCGAAAAGGTCGATATCCTCTTTTTCGAGAAGTGTGTGATGGCCTTTAGTGTTCCTGCTGGCGTGGAGGGCAATGCGTTCGTTCTTGACCGTGGGTATGATTGGAATGTCGACGATATTTCCTAGATTGTTTGTACTTAGCAGGTAGTCAGTGATGACATTCAAATCGATGGTGGCAGTAACCTCCGGTTGGCGAAGGATGTCCAAACACGATTTCTAAAAGAAATGATAGTATCAGACCCAATGCAACTGACTCTCGAGAGAAGCAGTATTACCCTGAGTTCTGCGGCTGCGGACTCCGGTGACAAAATCCTGGCAGCTTTGGCATAGGGTGTGTGAGAAGGCGAGCGATCTCGGGATCTGAGCAGTTTGACAACATCTTGAGGTGGAAGCGTGATGGAGAGGCCAAGATTGGAGAATGCTTGTGTAACCTTGGATGGAACATCCGAAGATGCGATGATAATGTCCCGTAGTCGCTTGTGTACGTGGGCCCCTCCGAAAACTGGCCAGACTGCAGCGTCGGCATCTATGATAGAATGTAAAACGGCCTGCGGAAAGTTGTTCCAATAAACACTCTCTCCACATCGAGACAGCTCTTGGGAGGCAGGCCATGCTTTGAAGACATCGTGCTTGGGTTCGTTCGCGATGAGGGCTTGCAAGAAGCGTGTCCATGCTCGGGGGATGAAGACTTCGAATAGAACCTTGTTCCATTCGACGAGGAGACTGGATAACAATATAACAGGTGAGCACAGGAACACACCAAGTTGATCCTACGTACTGGTCGTTTGAACCCTTGACGATGCCATTATCCCCTGGATTTCGGAGGTTCTGTCTGGAAGGAGTAAGAGCGAAGAAGGCGTGAACATGTGCAGGAAATCCAGTGGCCAGGGGGAGACGGAGGTATGTGAATAGGTAGCCAATACTATTGGTCGTCTTGTGCAAGGGATAAGCAATCCCAACATCCGGACGAAGCTTGTGCTTCTGAAGTATCCGCGGATCGAGCTCCGTTTTAACTCGAGATAAGAGAGCTTCAAAAGCCTCTTTCTCCGAGAATTCGGAGAGGATGACAAGCCATTCCTCTTCGACATCCATTCCGCTCTTTGTGATGGCGACGGTCTTCTTGAACACCTTGTCTGCAATCGGTTTGGGCGTGATATTGCACGAACCCAGCTCGGTAATGGTTCCGGAATCATCGATTTTGTAGAGCGCGATAGACCTAAGGTGTTGCAAAAACAGCATGGAAATGTTGAACTCGTCGTTGATGAAATCCAGCATCAGGTCCTCGATCTCCTGTGGTGTGACGACCCGGTCCTGGATCTCCCCGACATAACGACGAAACGGCAAGCGGATGACTGTCCCGTCAAACGCACCCCCGCGCCAATCCTCTCCCATGAAGTGGCCAAACGGCCTGAAATGGTCAATAGTCTCCGTCACATCTCCGTCAAGCTGGAGTACGAGCCCATCGGAACTCAGTGACTGTTGTGGGTCAAATGTCAAAAAGGAGTTCCCTGAAAGAATCTGAAGATGGTCTGTGATCTAGTTTCGCAGCATTAGAATAGGGCCAAACTTGGAAATGGCTCTGCGATGGGTGATACGTACATGATAGCAAGACCTGATACCGATACCAAACTTGCCGATCTTGGAGGTGTCAGCCTTCTTTGAAGATCTGCTGATACTCTTTACAGCGACCCAATCGTCCGGTTGGAAGGTCGCATTGTTGAAAGCCAATAGAGCTGGTCCCTGAAGATCAGCAAACTCTGCCTTGCAAAGTCTTTCGGAGGGATGTGACCGGCAGTCTAGCACAAAGTCCTGCAGATTTTGGAAGAATCCAGTCAAGCTCGTTATCCGGCTGTCACATAGGCAAGGTACGAACCTGACGCGTGGCTTTCGCATCGTCTGAGTTCTGCAATAGCTCTCTGAAAATGCCCACAGAAAAGGGGTAATTATCCAGAATCCCCTTTATAACGCTAACCACGTTGACGTTTTCCACTGCAGACCCCGCCATCTCTGGTCACGACGATTACAGTGGGTCGTCGAGAGAGGACGAGGGTTTGGAATCTATAGTCCCCGGACCCCTGAAAGGCGTTTCTTCAAGAATTTGAGTGGTAGATTCGGAGAGATGAAGAATATAGGTATCAAGACTCCAGTCCAGGATCGAACGACGAGTTCCTGAAGTGGAGGATTGAAACAGAAAACCAACCTGGAATCTTGATGTCAGAATGTCGCGCCTGAACCGCGTCCGTGTGTGGTCCTGTTTGGCTGAAGCCTCCCCCAGTTCCGGTCGGCTTGCACGGCCGCCTCTCCTTTTGAGTCCACTGGGTTATTTAATGGTAGATCCAGAGTAAGTACCTCCCAGAGGAAACGTTAAGCGTCGTAGATTAGCGGTAGAGTAGGACGAACTCAACAAGACCTCCACTTTCCTCAAGGTTTTTGACAAATAGACCGCTGTCCGCGGCTCGAGTTCATGATCATAGGATCGACCACTGAATGATGACCGTCATGATCAGGGAACCCGATACCAGTAGTAGAGTACCAGATTCCAGAACAAGGTACTCAGGCCTGAAGGACAATGGGACATAGAACATGCTCAATATTAGCAAAAAACAACATTTAACGGAATTTGTCATCTAGTTCCACGAGCCGCCAGCGAGTACCGCAGACCCCTGTGCTCCCACATGTCCGACAATATCATCTAAAGCCATCATCGTCAGTTTTACAACCTTGGAAGATGACAGTGCCTAAAGCCTACATACCAATCCCTGTAGTCCACATTCCAACTACGCCACTGGGCAAAACCTTGCCAACCTGGATAAACACAGCAAGTTCAAAACTGCTCAGCGATACCCAATTCGTAAACGATACCTACCTCCGCCTCTTTCAACGCCTTCTGGAATTCCTGGATAATTCCCACGTGCTTTTCTCTACTGCCCGTGTGATGACAGTTGTCGCATCTGTGTCGTTCCAGCACCCCAAGCAACCTTCCCATCGCGTCGATAACATCAGAGTCTACAGGAAGAGTATGGATTGCGTCCTTGATAATGGTCTTCCCGATGACCAGAGTATATTCCCGTACTTTAAAGTCGCCGTCTGCAAAGGATAAATGAGACAATGGGCAGAAAAGTCAGTTGCACAATGCTCACCTCCAGATAGCTGACTGGGAGGATCCCGAAGAACGCGTAAAGCGCATAGAACCAAGCTTCGGCGTATCGACTCCGGGGACACGAAATGTTCTTCGCACCGGTTCTTATCCGACAGAAAATCAGTCAGGGTGCGGTGGTAAAACGCCCAGGTCTTGGTATCGACAAGCGAGTGGATGTCGTAGAACGTCGCGTGTAGGGTCTCTTCCTTGACATCGAGGAACTTCTTGAACGCCGCCTGTTGAGTGGGCCATTCAAGTTTCGTCACCGCCAGTTCTTGATCCTCCACCCTCCACTCCTCCACCTTCCTATCATCCGACAATAACCGTTCCTTCTTCGCCAGAGCGATATAACGAACCATCTTGACAACAGCGAGGTGGTCGACGACCTCGTTAGCAGTCTCAGCGTACTTGTTCTGGGCGAGCTGAAGGATCTTCTTGTAGAGCTGGTCGAGGAGCTGTAAAGGGTTCTGCGCGATCGTTGAGTCATTGCCAAGGAGAAGCACCATCTTCAACCGTTCGTCGAGCCTCATCCGCCCTTTAGCTATGAACTTGATGACGGTCGCAGCGTAGATGAACTGGCCGGATGCGTTGGCGACGAGGGATTGGAGTTCCGTCGAGCAAGGCCAATCGGCGTTTGGTAATTTGTGAAGCGTGCGTATCTTCTCAAATTCCTGTCTGAAGTATTCAAGAATGTCGGCTGATGCTTGGTACTTCTCGTCGTTCAGGTCGATGTGAATTAGATGGCCGGTGAAGAGGGACTCCAATGCCTCGCGGACTGGGGCCTCTGGGCGACTGGAAAGAGCGATGAGGAAGGGAAACTTCACCCCACGAGCGAAGAAGACCTTGTCGATGGTCTTCAGAATCTCCCGTTGCTTGTTCTGGTCTTCGCGCTTGCACTCGTCGAGGCCGTCGATGCTGATGAGACGACCCCAGTCGTCGGTCGGAACGTTGCGTCGGATCGCCTCCTGCACTGGGTTCCAGCATGAGCTTGCGGAACTGAGTCTCCAAGTCACGCGAAACGACGGTCGGGTCCCTCGCAAATGCATCCAGGATGAACGGGCGGAGCGCTGGGATGTTCGCGATGAGGCCATAGGCCAGGGTTGCCACGAGTTTGTTGTAGTTGTTTCGATCAGGCGAACTGTCCCAAAAGAAGAAACTAGCTGCGAGAAGCCCATGCTCGTGGGCTTGCTTGGCTGCGGTGCGCATGAGCGCAGTCTTCCCCCCACCAGCTGCACCCGTCAAGCATGCCAGCTTGCACGAGGTGCCCGACCAATTTTGCGACAGCTTCAAAAGGTCGCTCAGGAGGTGGACACGGGTGCCTTTGGCGCATTCCGCAAGCTCTTCCGTCTGATGAGAGTCCAGTCCATTGTACACCGCGCCAGGTGCCATGTGCGAAATCAACCGCGTCTGTCGGCCTTCATATTCCATGCGTTGGAGAAGGATGCTTTGGGATATACCAAGGCGTAGCTATGAACTTGTAAATCGGCTGTCAGAACGAATGAAAAGAGTGTGAATACCTGGAAGATAGACAAAGCATCCTGAATGGCACGATTGGAGTCTTTCAAGGCTTGGGTGATAGCTGCAACCCCCAGCGCCCTCTTGACTTTGCCCATATTCCGAATCAGCGATATCTGATCTAGACCACTCTCTATTTCTCTTCAGGAGAATTGTCAGTATCGTCATAGGGGCAGATTAATATGTGCACGTACTCGAATAAACGTGTCAGGCCATTAACCAGAGGCTTGGGTAGGCGCGCTGCTTCCGACTTGTCGATTCCAGTCAATGCAAACTGGATACTTTCATGCAGCTGTTCGCAATGGCGCTGGAGTGCTGCTAGTTCACCAAAGTTGGAATCACACTTCTGAGAAATGGTCAGCCCAGTGCACCAATGTCATCTTAACCAACACTGACCTCCACCGTGTCAATAATAAATCTCAGCCCGGCGAAAACCCCTTTCACAGGGACTGGGAGTCCTTCCAGAACTTCCGTGAGAAGGCGAACCGTCAATTTCAGTCCCTCTATAGCCGTGTCGCGTGCTGAGTCTACCGCTAGTGATGATGGTCGGGCGTGCAACAGAGTAGACACCTCGGTCCTGCGAGGGAATAGGCAGAAAATGTCCAACCTGTGGTATTGAACGCCATCGCGAATCTTTGGCGTAGAAATCCACCTTCGGAGGGGCTGGAAAAATCCATCGTCCCTCTCCAAAGGAAGGGTGGTTACACTGTCGCAAGTAACGGTGATGTTGGGGACCATTTCGTTGACTGAGAACTCAGTCAGAACGGGTGAGGAACATATGAAGCTTCTTTCTTTCAGTGCAACTCTCTGGACAAGCGTAATGACGTCGCCACATCGTGTTCGAAGCGTGGCCAGAAGTTGTTCCCTTCCCCATGCCGGGTTAGCACGCCTGCGCGTACGATCACCGTGGCTATATGAACGAGACCCGGAGCCATATGTGAAGAAACGACCTGTGACAAGGGCAGATAAGTAAAAATTCGTGCACGTTGGGGAATGAGGGCGAGTACGAACCGAATTGGAAGTGTTCTTCCTCTGCCGATTCCGGCCTTGGTAGGATCAAAGACGGGCAGGGACAACATAGATGATAGCGCGCCGGGCCAAGGACGATGATACACCATACCTCTCAAAATGCTTCCTGCATTGAGCATCATAATGGGCACCCAGCCGTCTCGATCGCCGCGTGTGCAGCAAGCAGGAGTCGGCCAAGAGGGTTTCAGCGCTTATTCACGGACCACATGAACAACATGTTGCACTTGTATTGAATAGGTCTCACCTGTGACGGGGATATAGTCATACAGCATCAACTCGGGATGTGCTTTCGCTTTCTGCGAGTGCAGCCACGAGGTCGTTTGGAAACAATTCTTTTGAACCCATCGTCTGCTGGCATCTGTGAGTATCGTGTCACGCCGCTCGCCCAATGCGTCGAGCCTCTTTATTTGGGCAGAACCAATCTTCTGCGTGGGATTGGTGGCTACTTTTCATTTCGTTAGGCATGCGCAGGCCAATGAACGACCCTAAGTAGATCTGGAATGAGATGGTGGAGGAGAGGAGGAAACCAAGGCGAAGCCCGGGTGGGACGAAGATCAAGACCGTGAGATACTGAAATTGATCCGGAGACTCCTCTCATCCGAATCATCGGCGCGTTTGACCGTCTCATGTAAGCTCCGAGTCTGGGTTGGAGTTTACCGTCGAATCGGTTTCATCCAGTCAGTGAGCTGTGATAGTTGAAGGGCACCGTGGAAGCTGACAATACCCACTGTGGGCAGTTGCACAACAGATCAATCACGATTTCATCCACAGAATCACAAACGCAAGCGCCTTGTGGGCACCATTCCCCCCTCCTCCCCACATTCAATTGCAAGTGCAGGGCGCTTAACAACTGTGTGGGAGTGCAAGCAAGGTAATCGCAAACTAATATCAATGGTTATGTCACTTTTCTTTCAGTATTCCGCAATGAACGAGGTGCGCGATCTACGGATGTGTATACCACATTGTAAACCATTGACTAAACTGGGAAAAATGAAGGTGACTATGTGGTGTATTGTTTCATGGATTAGGCGCCCGAAAAACCCTTGTACGAAGGCGTCAGGTATGTCTTCCCGGGCCAATAACTTCGTCAATGTAGCTCACCTTCATTGAGGCAAGCACGTATTCCACATCTCCAATGGGAAGCTAAAGGTCTAACGCCAAATTCAGCAGAATTTCAGGAGCCTCTGGGATTGCGTCTACAGAACTGCATTTGGTTAAACCTAGGTATGTGGCACACTGTATACCAACAACCGCACAACATAACCCAGGGACTCTGTGGGCAATTCGTACGTTAACAATACAATTCCACTCCAGTTGCGTGGACGCTGCTCGTGATTTTGTGGATTCGTCAGTGGGCACTCTTTTCAGCTGCGTAGAACCGTTCGGAGGTGAAAGCAAAGCCAAACAGTCTCTCCAAAACCCATAAAAGCTGGTCTCATTCCTGGCTGGATTCCTCAGTTGATCTCACCTCCCCATTCAGTACAGCAAGAACTCGCCGGTCGAGTTTCCACTGCTGACATCTCCCAATTTACCGACTTCAAACAACAACACATTCGTTCTATCTCTACGCCCCCATCCCTCATCTTCCCGACAAAATGGTCAAGGCTATCGTTGTCGCTGCCGCATTGGCTGCTGTCGTCCCTGTCCTCTCCATTCCCATCAACGTCGAGTATGACCTCGAGCAGTGAGTTTCTTTCCAGGTTAGCTTGGTAGTACTGGTTCTGATCTTCATCCTTTCAATAGCCGAGATGTCTTGGACCTCTTTGAGCGCCAGTACAACGGTGACGAGGGCAGCACTGTCAAGGCTGGAGAAGATAAAGGCGGGTCGGCCGTCAAGGGTGGTATCGTCCCTTCTGGAAAACAGAGGACTGGTCGCCGTTCCTTCGACGACTACGACCTCTTCGAACGCCAGGACCCTAACAGCGGATCCGGCGAGCCAGACGAAGGCACCAAGTCGGGCGGAGCGATCAAGACCAACATCACCCCAAAGGGAGGAAGGAAGGGCCGCCGCTCTCTCGACTACTACGACCTCTTCGAGCGCCAGGACCCTAACAGCGGATCCGGCGAGCCAGACGAGGGGAAAAAGTCAGGCGGTGCGATCAAGACCAACATCACCCCCAAGGGAGGAAGGAAGGGCCGCCGCTCCTTCGACGACTACGACCTCTTCGAGCGCCAGGACCCTAACAGCGGATCTGGCGAGCCTGACGAGGGCACAAAGTCGGGCGGAGCGATCAAGACCAATATCACCCCCAAGGGAGGGAGAAAGGGTCGCCGCTCCTTCGACGACTACGATCTCTTCGAGCGACAGGACCCTAACAGCGGATCTGGCGAGCCTGACGAGGGCACCAAGTCGGGCGGAGCGATCAAGACCAACATCACCCCCAAGGGAGGAAGAAAGGGTCGCCGCTCCTTCGACGACTACGATCTCTTCGAGCGACAGGACCCTAACAGCGGATCTGGCGAGCCTGACGAGGGCACAAAGTCAGGCGGTGCGATCAAGACCAACATCATCCCCAAGGGAGGAAGAAAGGGCCGCCGGTCTTTCGACTACTACGACCTCTTCGAGCGACAGGACCCCAGCAATGGCCCTGATGGAGGGTCAAAGGAACCCAACGACGGCAAGCCCCGTCCCGACCTCACCCCGGGGACCAGGAGGGGTAGGAACGGCCGCCGCTCCTTCGACGCCTTCTTGCTCGATCAACTCGACTGAAGCGCTGGATGCGATGTAATGTAGCGTAGCTGTATCGTTCGAGTGCATCTCCAAACACATCTTGCTGGTCATAATTTTAACTTGTTTGAACAGTCGAATATCTTGAGTCATGCAGTCTTTGAGAGTCTTGAGATACATCGAATCGAAGATGTCCACGAATCAAAAGCAACAAGCCGACTCAGATATCGCACCATGTTCCAGTCCATGACAAAAAATCAAAATTCATTCGCAAGTACTACTAACCCGACGTGCTACAATCCCTCAGAATACGAGACACCCTTCCATCAACCCTAGTAAGCTCCCACACCATCCCATTCTACAACCACACCACATCAGCCAAAGTTCCCACTGAAAACACAACGAATCCACTCACCCAAAACTTCTCCTGCGCCTTCAGCCCCTCCTCACTCAGCGAATAATCACTCGTCTCCTGTGCCGCCATCGAACTGATATACGCTCCTCGCAGGTCACCCTTATCCTTCGTCACAGCCGCCCACACAAGTTGTCGACTGCCTTCCTCTGTAGTCCGCCCAATCAGTAGGTCAAGCAAAACAAAGTTGATTAGCCGGAGGAAATTTGCGTTTCTTCGCAACTGGGAGTAGCAGTACCCTGGACAAACGACGTTGGTGACGATTGGGGTGTCCTTTAAGGCATGTGCGAGGGAACGGCCGATGAAGACGTTCAGGACTGGGAGGTATGTTATCAGCAACAGAGACACAAGCATAGGAACTTTAACAAGAGCGGGCTCACGTTTGGTATCCGCGTAGCGACGACCCATTACACTGCGCTATGACATCAGGACTAATCACCGTCTCGAGGACCGAGAGGTTACTTACGACTTGGTGCAGTACTCTCTACTACTCAGCACCTTGAGAGGGTCATCACTATCAACAACCTTCTTCTCAAACTTTGTCCAGTAATGCATCCCGCTGGAAACGATAGTAATCCTCGGCTGTGTCCCATACTTCTCCGCAGTCTTCAACATAACCGGGACGAGGAGAACGGAGGAAAGGAGCGTCGACAACGCGTTCACTTGTAGCCTGTGAAAAAAGAAGGGTAAGGCGTCGTGCGTCAGCGCTCAGCGTAAACCAAGGAGGTGCCACACACGTCTCCTCCCATCCGTCCTCGGTAGTCTTGTAATGATCAGTCGCAATGGCAGCATTGGCGACTAAAATATCAAGCCTTTCTTCCTCCGCCTGGAACTTGTCCGCAAACTCGAGGACCGACGAGTACTTCGACAGGTCAAGGATACGAAGGTACAAATTCTTGAACCCAGTCTCTTCTTTGATCTCTACAGGTCGGTTTGGAAGAGTCAGCAATACCATGGAGACGATGAAAGAAAAAGCGATCCACCCACTCTTGATAGCCTCTTCACCCTTTTCCCTGCTACGGCAAGCGATGATGACCTTGCCTGGGTTCATCCGGCAAAAGTGCTTCACGGCTTCGTACCCAAGGCCAACATTGGCACCAGTAACGAGGACCGTTTGGCCAGTGAGGTCGACCTTGGGGGCGGGCGGGACGGTTTCCCAGAACTGGCTTCGGAAAAAGTCCCAGAACGTGAACTTCATGGTGTGCTATGAGTTAGTGTGCAATGGATGTCGAATTCATAATGGATCGTCCAATTTATAGGTGCTTGAAGGCAGAGGCTCTACCCACCGAACCATGGACGCGTAAGAATTTACCGACGCATCTCAACAAGATCTCCGGATGTACGCAATGGTTACAAAGAGCATGATCCCTCTGCCCAAAAGGAGGCAGAGTCGGATATGTTACGCCCTTCTGAGACAGAGATAAGAAGCCGGGGTGTTGACGAATCCACGGCGGCCAGAGCCCTCGTTCCTTAGTCAGACTGAAGGGAGGGGGAAGTAGTGAAGCGACACCGCGGCAACTGGTGTTCCCGGTGAAATCGCCTTTAGCGCTCAAAGACGCTTACAAATGACAAACCCCTAGGTTTTGAAACTTGCGCTGGAAAGATAAGGTCAATCGGCGCTGTTATCAAGGGGTTGGATACGCTCACGTACGCTCAGAACCACTCGAAGCAGTCGGGTTTGTCATGGAGCGGAGCGAGGGCGTTGGGGATTATTCAACAAGCAAGTGTGAAACGTAAAACATTGCAATTGGGGCATCGGCCAAAGAAACTGTGCAGATTAATTAAATGATACAAGTGAGAGCCAAATAGAGTCGCAGAACCGAAAGCATGGGTGAATCGTTGAATGGATAAGAGCAGAGCGTGAGCAGTGTGTCGATCAAATGCAATATGCATTTCAATCACAATGGCTTAATCGATGACTTGAGGGGGATGGGAGGCTGATCGGGGAGACGCTGCACATACCGATCCGTTAGGGGTTATTTTCGATGGAAGTGGGAGAACACTCACTCGAAGTTCGTAACGACAGACAACATATCCACTCTTGCCTTTCGCCAAGTAGGCCTAAACGATGTCGTTAGCAAGAAGTTGGATGGATTATAGTCGATCAGACGCACCTTCTCGACTTTGTACAAGCCATCGTACCGATATCTACGAGAGACATTACATCGATGAGCTTTCATCAGGCAATGGAGACTAAGCTTACCCAGTGTGAGGAGCCCAGGGCGAATCAGAGTTCGGACCCCGCACGACACGGACAGGCCGTCCATTCTGGCAGTTTAACTATCGGATTCCAATCAGCACAGGCTCATCGATATCGATGTCAGGACTCACAGCCAACGCAGCGTTATCAGGGTGGCTGAAGCTTTGGTCTTGCTGTTGGCTTGAGGTCTGCGAAGAGTCGTCAATTTTGAACAGTCGTTGGGGAATGGCGCGAGACGCACACCACCGTAAGAGTCGACCTGGCCACCAGTACCCGTGTAGATTCTGAAGGACAGTCAGTGTGATTCAATTCAGAATTTTAACGGACGCACATAAAGTCTCCCTCATCTGTATCATCCTCGTAGCCCCCCGACATACAAATCGAATAGGCTCCATAATGCTTGGAGCCATGGATGCCCGCGACGTTCATGCCATGAACACGGGCTTTGGCGCAGTCTCTCCTGTAGAATATTCAAGGTCAGGACCTGTCAATGCCGTAGAGATTTCCGCACTCACCTGCTCTTGAAAATACTGCCAACTGGGTATCCGGGAATGTGGCCGGACCTTCCACTGGGGTTGCTCTCGCTAGCAACGAGCCCCATGGACCCCTCGTTCAAAAACGATGGGTCACTGGCAAACTGCTTTCGCCTGAAACCGTCCAATCCCCAAATCAAACCCAATCACAAAGGACATTTTGAACAAGAAGGTTGAGATCAACGTCGTTAACGTTCTCGCCAGTTTCAAAGTCAAAGTAGACTTACAATCGTTCCATAGCCATGGTTGGTGGTTGTGGTTGTGGTTCAAGAAGTGTGAACGCCGTCACAATGACTCGAGCTCATCGACCCCTGCATTGTCTGCGTGCCGTAAAACCATTGTTTCTGGGTCTCGCTTGGAGCGATGAAGATGACTAAGCCCGAGCTGTTCCCACGGAGCATGTGCCTCGACGCGTCGCGTCCCCTAATGTGTTCGTTAGGGGCTTCTCAGGGCTTCTGGCCAAGGTGTGGATGTTCCACAATCAGGGATCCAGTAATCTAAATTTCTGTCCAAATCAAATGAGGACCAGGAGACTCTAATAACCGTTACCCATTACTTCTGCATTCTGGCCAGAAAGGATGGATCATCAGGTACACTGCACTGGCCCGGCCACTTATCGGGTGAGTTGTGGAACTCATCCCCGAGAGTTTCATGTAGTTTCAAGTCGAAACAGGGCGTAGATGTAGACCAAAAGAGAGTGTGTGGAGTTTTTGACCACTCCGGCAGCTATTCACGACTCTCGCAGTGCGCTGGGTCAGGTTTACTAGTCGTCAAAGCTAGAGAATTTTGATGTGAAGAGCGCAACATTGGAGTGAAGGGCCCATATCAACATTGCTCTTCCGCCCTTTTATATTCTCACAGACACAACTTGACGTCCATGCATTTAATGTTCGACCGTCACCTCGAGTCTGACGAATTAGGCGCCGGGACCTCAATGGTCACATGACCTTAATACACGTGACGTATTCCACAGGCTCATCGGTTCTCCGGAGGAAACGGCTCAGCAACTTGCCTGCTTACCACCACAACGTCGAAGTTCGTTTCTTGAATTTCCAATTCAACCGCGTTTCTCAACTTGAATCTTTGGAAGTTGCCAGTTTTCTAAGCCCCAAAGGAACTTGGACCATCTCGGTATGCGTGAAGGATGTCGTCATCTAGGAAATTGAACCTGACATTTGAAAGAATAGGGAATCTTCAGATCGTGAAACATGGCTTCACAAGCAGAAGGGTCGTCGAGTAAAAAGAAGCCCATAACCATCATCACGATTGGTATGGCTGGAGCAGGGAAATCGACGTTTGTCCAACGAATAAATTCGTATTTGCACTCCCTGGACCCTCCAAAACCTCCTTACATCCTCAACCTGGACCCTGCCGTGACCCATGTCCCCTACGAAGCGAATATCGACATCCGAGATACAGTCAACTACCAAGAAGTCATGAAACAGTTCGTGTTTCGATTGTTTCACCAAGGGAACTAGACCAACCGAACCTCAGATACAATCTGGGTCCAAACGGTGGAATCATGACCGCTCTCAACCTCTTTACGACCAAATTCGATCAAGTATTGGATTTGGTCGAGAAACGAGCGGACGACGTCGAGTAAGTCCCTCGTTCCTTGATCCTGTTCCTCTTTTTTGATCGTATGGATGCAGTTATGTTATCCTCGACACTCCAGGTCAAATTGAGATCTTTACCTGGTCAGCATCTGGCTCTATCATCACCGATGCCGTCGCCTCTTCTCTGCCGACAGTAGTCGCCTACATTATCGACACACCGCGGACGACTGCACCGGCCACTTTCATGTCCAACATGCTTTACGCTTGCAGGTGCCGTGTTCTATCTTTAGGTAGCAGCTCAAAGGTTGTTCTAATTTTACTGGCCGCAGTATCCTATACAAAACGAAACTTCCATTCGTTCTCGTGTTCAACAAGACCGACGTGCAGCCGCACGATTTTGCTCTAGATTGGATGACCGACTTTGAAGCTTTCCAGCTCGCCCTGGCAACCCACGGCGGTACACGCGACTCTGAAGGCGAGCCTACCTACATGAACAGCTTAATGAACAGTATGAGCTTGGTCCTCGACGAATTCTACAAGAACCTCAAGGTAATATTCTATCGCCTACTTTGACGCATTAATAACACTCGTATCAGGCCGTTGGTGTCTCCAGTGTAACGGGAGATGGTGTCAAAGAGTTCTTCGAAGCCGTCGATGCCTCAAGAGAGGAATATGAAAAAGACTATCTCCCCGAACTCGAGCGTGCACGGAAGCGGAAGGAGGAGACGCTTCAAGCTGCCAAGCAAGATTCTATGAACAGGCTGCTCAAGGATCTCACAATCGACCGGGAAAAGAACCCTGCGTTTGCAGCTCAGGATAGATGGGATCCTGATGCTGAGGATGACGATGACGATGACGATGAGACGAATATCATTGACCGGAGTAAGTGCTTTGTCGATCCTGGGTGGTTCTGTCGTTGATGTCGTTTTGCAGGTGCAGACCCGTGGCCTGGCCAGTATGTCGACCTCACGCGAGCCCAGCGGCATCCAGACGAAGACATCAACTGGCCCAGACCGGGATGAGTGGTCGTTTTTGCAAGTAAACCACTGTTGGAAGGGCAATGCACCCTCGCTTACAGACAGCCAACCTCCAAAGGGAAAGACAAAAAGGGGATCTATTTTAGGTACAGTACACGGGAATTATCGTACTCTGACCCTCGCCTTTTGTGAATGGAACTTGTCTTCTTGCACACACCCTATCCCACGAGACACCATCTGCGCTTATACCGTCCTCGTCGCCCTGCGAGCCAAGCACAACCTCGACCATATCTGACCCTACAAACTCCTCTACAGAACCGAGACATAACAACCGTCGCGCCGTGAGGCCAGTCTGTGGAACATAGATGTTCAGGACGGGAGACCAGGGTGACTCGATCTCGCCGCAGACCATGGGCGACTCATCATCAACAGCGTCAGATGAGAGTAAATATTGTCCACAACCCGATGGACGGTAAGAAACCTCATCTTGTATCACCTCGTTGCTCAAACATCGAGTCAGGATCCGGGCAGCGATAAGGCACCGAAGGGGGCGTTTATCCGTTGCGTCATCGGGGGAAAGTCACCATTCTGAGGTTGTCAAAGAAGTCTCGATTGTTGCTAGGTGGTGTTTGTACCATTGGGGCCGTGGACGGCGAGAACAACAAAGTCTACCCATGTGTGTGGTCACAACTGCTGTTGGGGAATGGAAGAAATGTGCCTCCGAGGTGTAGGAAAGTGGGAATTCAAAAAACACACGTCTGCCATAGAGATCTCGTAAAATCGGTCATTCATCCTGTCCAGATATCCTTCTTGTATTTCTTAACACCGTGTGCTACTTTTGTAAATGGTTACTTCTGGACATATTGAAGACCTATTCGCGCCCACTGTCGACATGAAATTTCGGTGGCAGTGACAGCCTCCCAATGGGGTAAACTTCAAGCCTGCCATTCATTGACCCGCAAAAGTCTCGTTAGCCTCTCTTTCACCTCGACAGCCATCTTCTTCAACCCTTTTCTTTCTCAACCACATTTCTCGACACCGACGAAACGCCACCACGACGGCCAACAACCCAGTAGACCGCCATCGACGACGACCAGCAGCCTTTGGAAAGGCTCCAGAATCTTGTCGGTCTCTTTCCTGGAATCTTGGTTGCTGTTCATCGCCTCTGATCACCGTTCAGGGCTCTCTAGCCCCGTTTTGGCATTTTGAAGACTCGCTACCGACCTCGACATCGCTCAAGACGACCCCAACGACCCGCACACAACGAAACCGCCTTTTGCATTGAACCATGGATCGGTGGGTGCGACGTAGGCGCTGGATGAACGCAACGAGCTGATTGTCATCATCCATCTCTGTGGGATTCATTGGTCGCAGATACGCAAAAATCGAAAAAGTCGGTATGTGGCAGGTTGTCTGCTGGGAGACGTATAGACCACCCACCCTCGAGCGTCCGCACTGTAGGCGAAGGTGCGTAATTGGGGCCTTTCTTCACCAAATCATCACGCTGACACCACGTTGTCTTGCTCGTGCATGATGGCAGGTACCTATGGCGTTGTTTATAAGGCAAGAGATACAAGTACGAATACCATCGTCGCCCTGAAGAAGATCAGGCTCGAGGCTGAAGACGAGGGCGTTCCCAGTACTGCCATTCGTGAGATCAGCTTGCTCAAAGAGTTGAAGGATGACAACATCGTCAAGTCCGTGGGCTTTTAGTGTTTTCATGGAGACGAGACTCTACTGGCATGGGATCGTTACTGACGGTATTCCTGATTCTCAGGCTGCTGGATATCGTTCATGCGGACCAGAAACTGTACCTCGTTTTCGAGTTCTTGGACGTCGATCTCAAGAGGTTCATCGAAACTGGGAACCAGAACCGCTCTCCCATTACTCCTGCGCTCGTCAAGGTGGGTTCCCGGTGCGGCGATTTCGGTTTATTTCTTCTCCTCCCCCTGTCCCGAGGTCATGTGCCGCGCGCGGGCGCCCATAATTGCACGCGTCCGATTCACGCGTCTCGACGCGATGGGGCTATTTTTTCCACTTCCCCTTTGCTTTATCGTCTTCGGGCCACTCGTTTTCAGGCCGTCTGACACAGGACGAGAGCCTGTAATTTAAATTGGCTCGCGACTTTATGACATAAAGTCACGTGGCCTTACCGCGTCGTCGTCCTCGAACTGGAGTCCATCTCACCGCCGCTTTTCTTTGCTAGAAATTCACCCACCAACTGAACTCTGGCCTTCTCTACTGTCACTCGCACCGAATTCTCCACCGAGATCTGAAGCCCCAGAACCTCCTGATCGATAAACACAACAACCTCAAACTAGCTGATTTCGGTCTTGCGCGGGCTTTTGGTATCCCCATGCGAACCTATACGCATGAGGTAAGGGTCCCTCTCAACAGGGAATTCTGTTAGACTCACCTATGTGTAGGTCGTTACTCTCTGGTATCGCGCACCCGAGGTCCTCCTTGGTTCGCGCCACTACTCAACCGCTATCGACATGTGGTCCGTTGGCTGCATCTTTGCAGAGATGGCCATGCAGGGCGCTCCTCTCTTCCCTGGCGATTCAGAGATCGACCAGATCTTCAAGATCTTCAGGTAAGGAACGTTTTCATTAGAAAGTAGAACGTATTGAACGGGTGACGATGTCAGGCTCTTGGGTACCCCCAACGAGGACATCTGGCCTGGTGTCAGCACGCTTCCCGATTACAAACCTACCTTCCCTAACTGGAGCCGGCAAGACCTTGCCAAGGCCGTTCCCACTCTGGACGAGGCGGGCATCGACATGTTGAAGGTGAGTTCCACGATTCAGTCCATCAATCGACGTCGATCGACCTGTTTGGCTGCCAACCCAGCGCACCCTCACCTACGATTCGGCCAAGCGCCTCTCTGGTATGCTCGTCTCAATTTTTGCGATCTGCGGTTGCGGGTAACTGACATCCCTACGAAGCCAAGCGCGCACTCGTCCATCCATATTTCGCCGACTACAATAACAACTACAAGGCATGAACGAGCAAATCCACAAGTGTCACTGTTCCCCTTCTGCCTCACATGTCGAAATAATTTGGGCTTTAGGACCTCGGTTTCGGTATCGAGTGTCTCTTTTCATCACAGTTATGAAGATATATATATATAAGTTGTGCATATCGCTTTCTGATCGCTGTCCATCCCATCGTACTCATATCATCGCAAATGCATGTTTGTGATCACTGTCTTTGTGAAAGAAGTGGCATTTCGTGCCCTTTGACTAGCTGTGGCGTTCATTGTCTTTACTTGGGGTTCAATGAGAGTCGGGTACGGTAGGCATGACGAGCGGATGGGCGGTGTGGACATCTTGGCGTGTCTGACTGGGCAGGGACGATGGCATGCCGCCCTTTCGCCTTCGAGGGCCCCTGTCGACCTTCCAAATTGGGAGTGGACGCTTCCGTTTTTGGAAATTCACTTTTGTGCGGCCTCATTGTCACCGTGCGCAAGGTGGCCCGCGCTTTGACTTTTCATCCTTTATGATCTGATCTTAACTTTCGGTCTTTTTAATAAGATGGGGTATAAAGCGCGCCTCACCGACGATTGTTGCTCCAAGCATACACTGGTTGCCCGCAAACTTTGACCATCCTCATCACGGTTGTCTACTGCGAGCCTCCTGGTCTCTTTGACACTTTCACTTCTCAACTATCCAGGGACCGCCTATCCAGCTATGCCTCGACTTTTTACACGCTTCGAACAGAAGGTTCTCGAGTTTTTGCAAGTGGCCTGCCTTTGTCCTATCATCAAACGGAAGCAAATACTGACTTGTTCCTTTAACTAGCACGAGTCTCGATTTCGGCAAGCCCACACAGTCTGAAAGCGATCTCAAGAGTAAAATCAGGCACCTCGGTCTGGTCGATTGGGTCAATTATCTTATCGACTCGGAATTGACAGAGTCTAGTACAATACCATCTGCCAGATCCAGTGCGAACCGATCCCCCGCTGACGACCTCTCGGCACAATTAAATGAGCAATGGAACATTGCAATTGGCGCGGAGGGGCCACCAAGCACTCCCAGAGCCCAAACGAGGCAGTCTACCCGTTCAACAAGGTCAAAGAAGAAACCCGCGAAGCTCCTCTATAACAAAGACAAGCCTTTGCCGCCACTGCCGGAAGAGAGCGACCAGAGCTCTAGAGGAGGGCTTGACCAGCTGGAGCTCAACTGGGATGGTCCATTAGCCGACAAGAACTTCCTACTGAGCGGTACCGACCTCCAAGCCCGTCGTCGCGCTTCGGTCATCCTCAGCAACCTCGCATCAAGCACCGACGCGCCACTCAGTGAGCGCAGTCGAAAGGCCCTGTCGATCATCTCCGATGCGCTCGATAAAGATGATTGGGCAGGGTTCTGGGACGACACAATGTTCTTGAAGACGGAGCTGACTGACTCGGGTGCCAGGAGCACCATGAAGGACAAAGAGCAGAGGTACTCGGTCGCGACTACTGCGATGTCGGTCTACTCGCAGGACTCGATGGACCATGACTTACAGGGTGGGGAGAAGTACAAATACAAGGCCCCGGCTGATGCACCGCCGGTCCCTGAAATCCCTAAGGTTTATAGGGACCAGGTTACGAATGGGAGCGGGAACCCGAGGGAAGTCAAAGACTCGAAGCCCAAGGGTGAAAGACCCTCATCTGGGAAGGGTCCTTCGAGCCTCTCGCGTGGGTTGACCATGAAGAACCCTTCCGGTACATCAGATGGTTCCTCCTCCAAGTCCAGTGCCTCGAAAGACGCTGAAAGTAACTCGAGAGCACTGTCCAGGTCGAAGTCTTCCAGTAGTAGGATCGAACCTCCCCCTGATAAACCTTCCCGCAGCAAGACTATCCCAGACATCAAAGCCCCCACACCCTTACGACCCAACGCAGTTCCCACCTTCTTGACAAAAGAATCATCCGGGCGAGATTCGACTTCGAACCGGTGGGTGTGAGTAGTACTGTACATGTTTAAGACTATGCAACATCTATGATTTCTGGTCCGGCCCAGTCATTCGTCGAGTTTCTTTCGCAATCTCTTCACCATTTAGATTATGAAATCAAATAGTTATCCTATGTATATGTTATCCTACTATGTATATGCTATCCTATATAAATATCACCCTAATTGCCCCTTTAGTTTGAGTGATCAGAAAAGAGCTATCCTTCCCCACCTTGGATGAATTCAGGTTCACATACCAGCGGGTAATGATATTCTAATTTCTCGTTCGCTTCTGACAGTGACTACTTTTAGGCATTTCAGCCAGCTTTGAGAGTGATTTCAATACTACAACCGAAATACACCCACCACCTCCGTTCTACTCTTCATTCCCAGTTCGTCTGTGGAGGAAGTGGGGCTGGGAGACCCACTCGCTGGGACGTTCACGGTCGTCGCGCTCGAAGCGCCCGTCGCCGAGACCGGCGCTTAAACGTTGCTGTCGTTGGCTCAATCAGGTCAAGGCCTGTGTCTAGTACTCAGGGGCAGGAGTTCTGAAGCTCCAGCTTCCTTCAAATACTCAGGTACTGTGGTAGAAATATAAATGAATACATCGCACATTTATTCGGTACGAAAGTTGGGAGTAAGTAGTACAGGGGACAATCAATCTGACAGAAATAGCAAAGGCATTCAAAAACTGCGGTACAGAAACTTGATGACATGGGTCATGCACTAATACTCAAAGTGCTAGGTAAGAGTAAGTCGAGCCATTGCCGGGAGCAGGGCGCGCAACTCTGCCAACTGCTCCTCCGCCCAGGTGATCTGAAAGTCAATCATCAGTTCCTTTAACGCACACCCACTATCGCGGACTAGTTTCTCGACTTTAGACAAGATACCAGTCCCAAGAACGCGCCGCGCAAGGCGACGGGACCCATGATCGCTGTTCGCCCCTTCAAGTCGAAGGGAGCGCAACTTGGGAAGGGCCAAATTGGACAACAGGCGCGCCATATCCTCAATCCCACCGCTTAAGACTAGTTCAGTGAGGGACTCATGGACGATGATGACCTTGTCAATGAGTGGACCAGGGGGTGCTCCCGTCATCGATGGCTGTGGTGGAATAGACAAGTTGAGCGACTCCAAATCCGGGGCTCCCGAAAGGATAGTGTGCAAATGGTAGGCCGACAGTTCCAATCCATCACGATCGTGAAACGGCACGATAGTGAGAGCCTTGAGACCCTTCAAGTCGATCCCAGCCCAGTCGATGGTCTTCAGACGGTCTTGCCCGTAACGAGGAGAACAGTTCAGCGCCAGAACCTTGAGATTGGGGAATCCCCTTCGGAATGTTTGCGATTGTAATCGAACGGCCATGTCCAGAACATTCAGGGAAAGATATTCAAGGTCTTCGAACGGCTTGACATCCTTCGCTCCTGCAATTTCGAGAAACTGTGTGAAAAAGTCCCAGTCATTGAAGATTCTCCGCGCATCGGCTACGCGGCCACTGCGTATAATCGTTCCAAGATGTCCAAGGTCTACGGACTTTGAAAAGCGAACAGAGAGACCTTTCAGGCGGAATGTAAACCCAGTGTCCAGAAGAAAGTCGTTGAGGATGTTGATTTCATGATGAGGCATATCGCTTTCGTAGTTCAAGCTCAACCTAACCCATTGTTTTTGCGAGCGCTTGAAAAGCTTGCCCAGCTGAGCGATTAGTTTCCTTAGATCAGTGTTGTGGGTGAACACTACGAGCAAGTCGGTCCAGAAAAGAGGCGTGGCGAACAAGATGGTGCGGAAGTCGGTGCAGACACGGGTTAGGTTGGTTAAATCCTGGATTTTGCATCCTGCAGTAGCGAGGCAAAAGATGACCCCAAGGAGCTCCACCGGGAGGGGAAGCGACCGACGCATTGGACTTGGTACTGAAAGGAAGGCGCGCTAACTTAGATGACGGTGAGTGGTGACGGGCTCTGAGGGGCAGGTGGGCGTTGAATTGGACGACGCGTCCGTCAGGGAAGCTGTCTTATATACCTCTCATTTGCCTTTCTCACCGGCCATCCAGTGATCATGATTGCCCTTGGATACCCATTGTTTGTCGTTCAAGAATCAAAGGGGAACTGTCCGTGAGCAATCGCAAATGAACGATCAATTTCCGACTCTTTCCATTTTCGGTCATTTAACCGCCCACCAGACAATGGGTGTTGGCAGCTGTCTGCCGGCGTTGGAGTGAGAAATCATCGGGAGAAGAGTGCCACTTAATATTAATCATTCACTCTGTGAGTCTTAATCCTCACGCCCATCTTCGGAATTGGTGAGAAAGAGAGGGCCCCTTTTTTGTCGGTGTCCATCACAGTCTGTTCGCGCAGGCTATCGGGCGCCTATTTTAGTGCTGCCAGAGTCGGTAGGTCAAAGAATTGGAGCCCTTCTAGATATATTTATCTATGCAAAGAGAAGTTAAAGGACATATTAAAACGGGAGCACGAGCCCAAAGGTCCACAGGGAGGCCAATGAGAAGGTCAATCGCGAAGGGTCTTCGTCTGGGAACGGCTCTTCGAGCTCCGCCCGCGCGTTGAACAGCCCGCATGGTGCACCAAAGGCTCCTCCAAATTCCAGTGCATCGCAATCGAAGGTCGAAGGTCGCTGCAAGTCATTCGAAGGCACCGGTGCAGGTTGCAGTATCCAAGTAGCAGGACCGAGATCCCCGGGTCCACTGCACTGTACTTGAGCTCACTACGTGTTCTTCAAGACATCGTTCAGTCTTCACACACTACTACCAGGCTTGTACTAAGTATATCCATTACTCAACGAGCTGCGTCCAGATCGTGTACAAAGTCCGAATCATGTCAAAATTAGAATAGTCGTAAATATAGAGTACAGATTCATATGGTATCATCAAGAGAAAACGTCCGTGTTTCAATCCGTGTTGGATCCGTCCAGTCCAGAGTCAAGAGACACAAAACAAGCACGTCCCCAATCAGCACGCACAAACCCTAATACGTCGCCCCACGCCTCCTCGATCCACCAAACCTCCTAAACTTTGTACGTCCAGTGCGCCGACTGCTTCGTCTGCTACCGAAGCAGCGGCAGCAGAGGATGTCGGTGATGACGTCGAAGATGGTTACGATTACCTATTATAACATAGGGGGAAGGGGTGTTGGTTAGATGGGAGTTTTTAATGAGGAAGAGTGGAAGGGAGGAAAGGGGGGAGGGAAACGTGAAACGGGGAATGGGAGGGGATACGTACATAAGTTATAGCGCTCACGATAGTCATGAACACATTCGCAATAGCGGAAATGATAGAGTTGATACCCCGACCGATGGCGCTGAATACAGATCCCTGCACAAGATAGAAATACCACTGGTGAGCTCGACCTCCTGCGTTAGGCAATCAAATAAAGCAAATACCATTGTGATTTGTTTGTGGTTTCTCGGGTTGTACTGTCTGAAGAAGAGAGAAGTCGATAAGTTGTTCGCAAGTCGTAACTTGGTATACAGTAGTAATGGGACTTCAAAGGCCAACCCACTAGATTCTTATATACCTCCCAAAGCTTCTCCCCGCTCCACCCTACTTCCCAACTTCATCCCAAGAATATAGTACCTTCTGGCAGGAGCTCCATCTCAAAGAATGCATTACAGGAACGATGACACAAAGTCGTCATACCAGAGGTCTTCCTCGATAAGAGCACTATGATAACTTCACAGAGATCCGCTCAGCCGTGGTCGGTGGTGACGTCATTGGTGGTGACGTCACGATGACTAAGCATTTGCATAGATAGGGGAACACGAGCCTGAGGATACACCACGCCGATGTACTATACTCTACGCCATTGACGCAGATAGTCACTGTGAAGAGAACAGCCTCTATTAATTATTATTGGCACTCGCGGCAGCACATACTGTATACTGTATACTCGTCACTAATTCACTGTTCATCATCCAAAGCAGACCCCCCACCCCCATCCTGAGCAGCACCCCCAGCACCATGACCATGACCACGGCCATCCGCCAACTCCTTATCCGCATCAACAAACCTCTGCGGCCTCTCCACCTGAATCGCCTCCTTGTTTCCTAGAACGATGATCATATTCGGGTTCTCCTGGTATAGTTTATCTATATCTTCGAGGTGGCGGTTGGCGGTTTCGGGGTAGATGAGCCAGATTATCTGTTGGAGGGGGTGGGTGGGGATGGGAGGATAAGAGTGGGGTACAAGAACGAAGAACGAGGTGTCCGGTCAGAGTCAGGGATAAACACGCATCAGACCCAAAAATAACATCAGACGTACTGGGATAAAAATAAAATTGAAAAAGGTCCAGATGAGGTAGAACTTCCAGCCCAAGCTAGCGATGCCGGGAGGTGTGATTTGGACGACGATGTAGTTCGATAGCCTATGACAATACCAATCCCAGTGAGCTCTGTAATAGAAAGGGGAAAGGAAGGGTAACATTTACCAGTTCGACGCAGTTGCGAGACCGGCACCTTTGGCTCTCATCGAGAGACTGTTGATTTCCGTCGGGTATAACCACGGCACACCCTACACTCAATCCCATCAGCACCACCAAACACCAAAAGCCGACTCAAAAGGTCCGTCCACCTCACCTGCCAACAAATCCCAAAAAACAAATAATACAAAAAGAAAAAGAACGTCGCTCCCGCCCCATACGAGTACTTCATCCCATCACCCTCACCCTCCTCCACACCCTCCGTCAACGCCAACAACCAACTAATAAAGACGTAACAAGCGCACTGGCCTGCGGCGCCCCACATCATGAGTTTGCGGCGCCCGGCTTTTTCGATGAGGAGCAGGCCGAAGAAGGAGAAGATGAGGTAGGAGACGGAGTTGCATGCTGCGAGGAGGCGGGAGGTGGTGTTGGAGAGGCCGACGGAGTTTTGGAGGACGAGGGGGAGGCTGCCCGCACGAAGAAGGGAAGGCGAGAGGAGAGGAGTTAGGACTATGTCGGGTATCAAAGAACGAGGGAGATAGAGACGTACTAGTAGCTCGTAACGTTAATCCCAACCAGCTGCTGCATCCACTGCGTGCCCGCACCAAGACACAACCGTCTAATCATCCCCGTATTACCCGTATTCCCAGCCACAACATCCTTCCACGTCACACTCCCCTCCCTCTCCTTCTGCACCGCGCGGAGAATCGCGTCTCTCTGGTGGACGACGCTGGCGGTCTGGGGTGTGGCGTCCTCGCTCTCGAGCGCCGCGAGGACCTCGACGCCCTCCTCGATGTGCCCGTGTGCGAGGAGCCAGCGCGGGCTCTCGGGGAGCCAGGGGATGGTGGATAAGAGGATCGCGGAGAAGAAGAGCTGGAAGGCGATGGGGAAGCGCCAGGAGATGCTGCCTGGGAGGAAGCTGAAGCCGTAGGTCATCCAGTTGCTGAGGGAGAAGCCGGCGATGTTCATGCTGTTTGTAACCCGGGAGGTGTTAGTTCGTTAGATTAGGACCTGATGGGAAGGAGGGAGAGATGGAGGGAGGGAGGGAGGGGAGAAGGCGAACGAACATCATGGAGAACACGACGAGTTTGCCTCGCCAGGCTGGTTTGGACGTTTCGCTTTGCCAGACGGGTGCTGTTGCTGTGTTTACGCTGTCCCGACATCAGAAGGGGGCCAGGAATAGTAAGAAAAAGTGGGAGTGGTAGTCACCCGTTTCCCAAACCTGTATACATATGTACTTTGGCGTCAGTATCGTTCAATAGAGCGAGGGAGGGGTACTAAGACGAACCGGTAATCACTCGCGAGACAATCATTTGCGGGACTGTGTAGGAGCAGGTTTGGAGGATGGCACCGATGGACATGACTATCACCCCAATGAGGAACGATTTCTTTCTTCCGAGGCTTTCGCCTGACATCGTCCTTTAGCCTTGAGATCACGGAAGGAGCCTGGGTGGGCTTGCTCACCGAATGCGAAGGCAGCAATGGCCCCGAGGAAGCTGAGATGTAGTCAGTGCTAGTCCACGGGTTGGAGAGGTTGGCGAGAAAGGGGCTACCATCCGATGTCGTATATCGAGACGATGGTTCCTTGGAGATGTGGATCCGGGTATCCCATGGTCTTGAGGAAGTCCTCTGTTACGATGATCCCGCCGAAGACACCTTGGTCGTAGCCTGGTTTTTCATGTCACATCGGTATAAATCTATTAGAAATACGATCATGGCATAAATAAAGTGTTTACGCACCGAAGAGAGTCATGGCAGCTGTACACGCGACCGTAACCCAGACGTTCAGCTTGGTCCCCTTCATACCGAGATACCGGGTCTTCTGTGGTGAAGGTGACATTATTCCACTTGGGCCTCCTCTAGAACCCGACCTGCGATGAGAAGGAAGGAAAGAAGGGAAGGGAAGAGGTTAGATCATCGACCAAAGGCTGGTATGTATACCCAATCTCGGATAGACTTTGGGCATTGGGACGAGAGGTAGAGATTGATCCTTGTATGGCGTACCTTGAGGTGGAGTCGTCATCGAGTGGCATGTAGGCGTAGGATGATTGGGAAGGCATGGTTGGTTATTAGAGCTCTTCCAGTAATGAGGGTGTGTCAGGATAGGTTCTCGTATGAGCCAAGCAGGGTATAGGTGGTCGAAAGTGCAACTTGTCCCGGTCCAAGGCATAGATTGGGTTGCCTCCAAGGAGGTCAGAGGCGAGCTTGTAGACGAGAAACTCTTCAGAGAACTCTAATGAGATCTAGACGACATAGATAGCTGGGATAGAACAGAATAGTCGAAAGACTTGAGCAACGACACTGTGGTCGTGCACTAAACGGAGCTCGCTGAGAACGGAAGGTCAGGCAAGAATAGCTTCCGTCTGGGATCAGATCCGACTCGGGATGATGTACCTCCACGTGATGTGCTGGGCGACGTGTCGGCGGGCGCGACGACGTTGCGCGAGGAGGAATCACTGCAGGATTGACTTCATTTCTTATCTGCACCGGACACCACCCATTGGTTGAGCGTTTCGAAGAGGCCAAGGACCACATAAACGACACCGGACGGAACGCAAAAAGAGTCTGAGGCGCAATGAGCAATGCACTTACGGACCTTGTGGAGGCCAGAATTGTATGTAGACTCTTTCGGTATTGAATGTGTTCTTTGTACTGAACGGAATGTTTGTCGACTAGGACTTTGTTGGCCAGAATTTGGTTGAGCAGATTGCTCGGGTAGTCCTTATTGCTGGAGCTGTGAGTTTCCATGCCTTGCTTGGAACGGGCTGGAGTGCTACCGCATCCTTCGTCCACCACTTTCCAATCCTTGTCTCTCCATGGCCCTCGAGCTGACTTCTTGTGTTCTATCCTCCGCCCCTACGCGCTTTGGAACCTAGGTCATCTCCTTCATCGCTGGATTCGCCCTCCAAAGTCTCTCAGTCACCTTCGGAGTGTACGGTGCTATCGTTGCTGTATTGGCCCTTGTGAGTTCCAATTCCATTTATTGTCTCCTCATGTCTCAGGAACCCATGGCACCATGTTATATTGATCATGACTCAAATCGAATTCCAATCCCAATACAGGTCATTCTCCCTGCGTGGCCGATGTTTAACAAGAACCCTGTAAAGTGGTTGCCGTCGAGTGAGACGAGTGAGAAGAAGACGGCTGTTGCTGGGTCGTGATTGATTTGGTACTTATCACTGTATATATGGTTTGGGTGAGTGAACATGAGTGCTGGTGTTGTTATTTCTGTTGCTGATTGGATAGTAGATTGGTTACGTTGTATATTAGTATTTATGCATTGCACGAAAGCTCGTTGCGTCTCGGGTTGCCTCGTCAGGGAAGAATGCAACAGGAATGCGAAGTCTGGTGTCGGAAGAATCGCTGTGTCCCAGAAGATTTCGTCATAGGATTCGAGGGACTTAGGTTTAGCGAACGACTCCCGCGAATGCTTCGGTAAGTCCATCCTCCGAGTCCCTGTCCTTTCTATCAGTGTTATTAACGGACTACTAGGTTCGTCGTCTACCTATTCCTTCTATCTGCTGATAGCCGTTCTTGCTATCTTTGCGACGAGAATAATTCCCTGTTGGACGACTGGTTGAGTGATTCCAATCGTTCTTCCATTACTCGGTCCGCAGTTGCTGGACCAATGGTAACCATCCCCTCCCAAAACCACTTTCTGGCACTGGCCGATGAAAGAGAAAGGCAGACAGATAGATGGTCGCTTGTGTAGCGAGACGACGACGTGGAAGCGACGCTTGCGGGGGAAGGAATGATAGAAGAGGGCACCCTGTTTAACAGCAGGAGAAACTTTGGACGGTTGGGAACAGTCGCCGCAACGCTTTAATGATATCGATCATTGCCCCATCTTTCCTGTGCGGTGGGGGCTTCTCACTCGCACGCACCTCTGCCCACGAGAAGAAGCTGAAGCGGCAAAACCTGAGTTCTTGGGAGCTGTGTACCTTGATGTAGGCATGTGTGAGCTCGTATATAGACAGGTTAATACTTCGTGTTTGGAAATGGTCCAGGCGACCTGAACAATTAGTTAAACCTTGGAATAATTCCATTCATCCTTCTCGAGCATTCAGGGGTCCATTCCTGAGCTGTGGGGACCAGAATACGACGTAGGAAGCCCCTAAACCTCGGCTGGGCCCAACGAAATACGATTTTGTGTGAACGCCGAATTCGGAAAGACGGTGATCTGGCTCCGCCTATTGGGTCGTCAAAGTTGTTCCTCAACGTCGAGCACGACGACGACGTCGTCACCTACGAACTACACCACACACCGCCCGTGGACCCGTCCGCCACGTCGACTCCAACCTTGAAGCGACCCCTTCCAGCTGTTGCTGCTGCTGCTGTGGGTGCACGGACCCAACGTTCGGTTTCGGTTTCAGACGAACAATGACGAGCTACCCGACCTCGCTGGCGCCGGTGCTGAAGCAGGTTCCCGAAGACGTCGAGGCTGGCCACACCACACCGTCGTATGGGGGCATGATCGGTGGACACGAGTTTGATATGCCAATTTCGCCGCCAACGCATACGCAGCCACAACAACACTCTGCATCATCATCACCAGCGCCCGTGCCAAGGTCCTCAACTTCCTCCCATCGTCCCCGTCCGGTTTCGATGCCCCCACAAGCCTTCAGCGCGGTCGACCCGGGCTCAGAACGACCTAGGGAGAGGGACAGGGATAGAGAGCGAGACAGGGATAGAGATAGGGAGCGAGACAGGGAGTCGTCGTCTAGGCAGGGCGATGAAAACACGCACCGTCGACGCCATCGAGATGAACACAGCTCCTCGTCGCGGCCGAGCAGGTCCAACCGAATCCTGGGCGACTACACGCTGAGCAAGACACTGGGCGCGGGGAGCATGGGCAAAGTCAAGCTGGCGACGCACAACATCACTGGCGAGAAGGTAAAAGCCCTTTTTTATTTTTTATTTTTTTCCGTGGTGGGCAGCCCTTGATTCATAGTTGGTTCGTTTATAATAGCTGGCCGTCAAGATCTTGCCTCGTGTCTACCCAAATCCCCCGCCACCAGGCAGCTCGGGTCCAAGCGCAGAGTCGGCGTCGAGGCAGGCGTCAAAGGACGCTTCGAAGGAGATCCGGACGCTGCGCGAGGCGGCGCTCTCGATGCTCCTGTACCACCCCTACATTTGCGGAATGCGCGAAATGATCGTCCACCAACACCACTACTACATGGTATTCGAATATGTCAACGGCGGCCAGATGCTCGACTACATCATCAGCCACGGTCGCCTGCGCGAACGGGTCGCCCGCAAGTTTGCACGCCAAATAGGCAGTGCACTCGAGTACTGCCATCTGAACAATGTCGTTCATCGCGGTCAGTAGTAATCTCTTTCGTCCTATGTTGAACAGCGGGATTGATTGAAACCTAGATCTCAAAATTGAAAACATCCTCATCTCCCAGACTGGGAACATTAAAATCATCGATTTCGGCCTGTCCAACCTCTACAACCCTGTTTCCCACCTGTCGACGTTTTGCGGTTCGCTGTATTTCGCGGCACCCGAGCTGCTCAATGCAAAGGTCTATACCGGCCCCGAAGTCGATGTTTGGAGCTTCGGCGTGGTGCTTTACGTGCTAGTCTGCGGAAAGGTTCCGTTCGATGACCAAAGTATGCCCGCACTTCACGCAAAGATCAAGCGGGGCCTGGTCGAGTATCCAGTCTGGTTAAGCGCCGGTATGTCGCCCCTGTTGTTCAAAAATTCGCGCTGACGTCCTTTGCAGAATGCAAGCACCTGCTTTCGAGAATGCTCGTGACAAACCCGGCCGCCCGCGCTACTCTCAACGAAGTTATGAACCACCCGTGGATGATACGTGGATTCTCAGGACCCCCTGAGATCCACATGGTGCATCGAGAGCCGCTACGAGTCGACGAACTTGACCAACAAGTCATCCGAGGGATGAAAGGGTTCGAATTTGGCACGGAGCAGGAGATCGAGCGCAAGCTGGTCGAAATCCTAGAATCGGAGAGCTATCAACGGGCAGTGCAGAACTGGGAGCGGAAACGAGGTTCAAGAGCCAACCTCAACGGCAACGGAACCTTCAACAACGGTCGATGGGGAGAGTCGTTCTCGAATTCCAGTCTCGCCATTTCCTTTGACAGCAACAAATCCGATACCCCCGCCCCGAAGAAGTCGCGTAGATTCTCTGGGTTCGAGTACTACCGCAAGAAGCTGTTCTCGCCGGTTTCGTCACCGCCGGGCAGCCCTATGAGTCGGTCCCCGCCCAACTCGCAGCACACGATATCGACGCTTTCCGATCGTGAGCCGGGCGACCCGACACGAGGATTCCACCCCCTGATATCGATGTACTATCTCGCCCGGGAGAAGATGGAACGGGACAAGGTCTTTGGACCTGGGCAATTTGCCAGCTCTCAGCTGTCTCTTCTCGACCAGATGTCGCCGACTGCGGCTACCCAACCCACACCTCACAGCGGAAACCTCCAACAGCAGCAACATGCCGCGACCAACCAACCGCATTACACCGCTCCCAACGTCGCCACCTCAAGACAAAGCACACTCGGCGCGAGACCGGACTACAGCATGCCTCTCCCCCGCCTTCCACCACCCGAGGCCTCGCATTACTCGGGTACTTCGTACGACAACAGCATCGCTCCGTCACCGACGACTCCTGTGTTCAGCAACCAGCCGCGAGCGAGGGATCCCGGTTTGCCGGTCCCGCCTTCACCAACCGTCGCGAGCGCACCGCCTGCCCGGCAGCATATCGAGATCTCCGAACAGCAGCCTCCCACCGCTACGGCGCCTCGACGGGGCAACCTCCCGCGAGCTCCACCCGCGAGCACGCATAGGCGAAGCCACAGTATGAGCCAGCGCCCGTCTGTCCTCTCGAGAGGATGGGGCACGATGTTTGGTTCGCATACGGCTGAGGGTGTGAATGAGCATGGTGCGAGGATACCCGAGCCGCCCAAGACCGTCGGGCCTGAAGTCACCTCGTTCAATGAGAAGGAGTTGGGTGCGATCTCGGATGGGGAGAGGCAGGAGCATGGGAGTGGAGGTGGGGGTGTATCACCGCTTTCGTCTGGTGCGACCCTTGTTCGCAAGTTTGGAAGTTTGCTGGTTGGGAGGGGTGATGAGTCGAGGAGGCAGCAGCAGCAGCAGCATAATCAGGGCACGATTAAGCGCGGGGCGATTTTGAATGCGCTGTCGCCTTCGCCGCGTCCTTCGGCTGAGACGAGGAGTCCGGAGGAGGAGAAGCATCCTGATAACAATGGTGTGAATGGGTCGGGAGCGGCGGGACAGGGACAGGGTCTGGAGAGTGAGGAGGTGGTGGTGGAGAAGCCGAAGCCTATCGCGACGAGCGTGAGCCAGCCGGTCGGGTCTGCGCACAGGCGTGCAGCGACTCTGCTCGACCCACACGGGAGGGCGAGTCGGCACGAGAGGAGGAGTAGTACCAGTGCTGCGTTTGGGAGCAGCACGGTTGGTACTGGCGGGGGAGGCACGATTGGACGCCATAGGAGGCCGTCGACTGGGTACTCTACTACGTCTGGCAGGCCGTTGGCGGACAGGCTGTTCCCGCAGAGGAGGGAGGGCGATTTGGTGGAGAAGAGGGAGGACGAGGAGGGTGATGGTGAGCTTGTTGATTCGGCCCATCCTGGGTTTGATACCGAGGAGGAGAGGGATGATGGGAATGCGACGGATCGCGACTTTAAGCCTGTGTTCCTCAAGGGGTTGTTCAGGTGAGTATTGCACAGTTGTGGTTTTCTTAGAGGGCAGGAGGCTGATGGACTTTTGGTGTGTAGTGTGGCTACGACTTCGACGAAACCTCCTGCTGCTATCAAGCTTGATATCCGACGGGTGCTGGACCGGATGCAAGTCCAGTATCGCGAGACCAAGACTGGATTCGAGTGTATCCATTTGCCGTCTATCGATATTTCGTCTATCGATGCCACATCTATGAGGCAACCCTCGCACCATCAATCAGCTTCCAACGATAACGGCCGTACAACGCCAACCTTCAACCGACCCTCGCTTGTCAAGAAGGCGTCGAAGCTGTCGTTTGGGATGAAGAAGGGCAAGGACCGGGAACCTTCCGCCGACAAAGACAAGGAGAAGGAGAAGGATAAGACCGGGACAGGGGATGAGGCGCAGAGTAGGCAGTCTACCAAGTTGACAGCGGCGAGCGGGGGCTCGTCGTCGTTCTTCAACGTCGGCAACGCCGAGCACGGAGCGTCGATACAGGACCAGCTGAACCAGCCACCGCAGAGCAACGGGATCGCCTCGTCCATCATTTCGAACGGGGACGAGATGCCCTCGTCTGCGTCTGCGCACCAACAGCAGGGGTCTACCATCTCCTCGTCGTCGTCGCCGCAGCCCCCGAGGTCGAATTCGCCGACGGCGACAATGACGTCGAATAAGGCCAAGGTCCTGCCGCCTATCCCGAGAGATTTTGGAGCGAGTTCGCCAACGCCAAGAGCGAGGAGTCCGAGTCCGCTGCCGTCTGGAGAGGTGGATAGGGAGGTGTTTGAGCACCTTGGGAATAATAGTTTGAGTGTCAAGTTTGAGATTACGATTGTTAAGGTTCGTGTTTGGATTATTTTCCTTTATGGTGTGCGGTGTTGACGTCTTTGGCTCTTTGTTTCTTGTAGGTCCCTTGGTTACCTCTGCATGGTATTCAGTTTAGGCGTGCAAGTGGTGATGGGTGGCAGTACCAGATGCTTGCGAGGAGGGTGCTAACTGAGCTCAAGCTGTGATCCTGGATTCATTCATTTATTCCACATGTTTCTTATAATTATTGGTGAAGTTCAAGTCCAGCACCGGCGCGCCTATATCCCCGTCGACATCCTCTACGTCCCTGGTTAATGCACTTCCACCGTGGTCCCTGATCATTGCCCACCTCCGCCGCTCGTTCCGACCTAAACCATCGACCATGCCCTCCTTTTACGACGTCCATCATTCCCTGTTACCAGCCTCCACCACCTTCCCTTTGTTTCCATCATCTCTGTGCGACAACTTTAAAGCCAACCATCTCCATAATAACCCTTCACCTCTTCCCTTTCCATTCATGTTTCGTCCTAGTAAATTCTAATGACGTTGCATTCCTACTCCTAGTTACTCCTCTCCACGATTTTTAGGATCTGGCTTTGGGCCTTCTATCTCTGTCTATCCTTTCTCCGCCCCTTCTCCCCTTTTGTTGCGGTGCTTTTATTTAATGGGTTCCCGAGTACTTCGTCCGACCAACCCTTCTCCTTTAGCGTTCTCACCTGTTCGCCTCGTTTGATTTACGATCAATTCACGAACCCTTTATCAACTTGTTCTCCTCGCTGGTCTAGTAGTCTAGTCTATTTTGTTTTTGTGATTTTCTCCTAGCTCCTAGTACTACTATTTTCTTTTGGTATGTATGCTTGTTTTCGACTTTTTTCTTTCTTTTGTGTTTCGGGTGGGTTGTTTTTTTCTTCTTTTTCTTCCTCTTCCTCCGCTTTATGTGATGTTTTTCCCTTTCTTTTTTATCGCGTCTCTCTCTCGTCCCTCTTGATAGGTTAATACTACAATCTTCATTTTTTCTCTATTCTGCGGAAATACATACAACATGATGAACAACGACCTAGTTAATGATCTCGCCCTTTTTTTTGGCATGTGGACAAATTCAAGTTGGATGGACTGTGTTGAGAGTGCGATGAACTGTTGTGCCTTTCTAGTGTCGCTCCAGGAAGAAGCCTTAACTGTACTTGTCCGAGGCGGTCAGTCAATGGTCATGTGCTGGGATGTAGCAATCGCTGCGCCTCTACCTAGTCACTCTGCGGTCTAACTTGCCGTGCACCATTCAAGGGATATCTGACGGCGCTTGATCCCAGGCGCCCGTCGGTCACGAAATGGATGACCGTGCGAAACGTGTGCTCCTCAGCTTGCAGTCAAGGAAATGGCTTCTAAATTCATGATTATTCGAGCGACGCGGACTTGACTCTCCGAAGCAGAGAAAAATGGGTATCTACTTATATGACAAATTTATGTTGAAAGGCTGTTCAGGATGTGGGTCATCCTCGAATCAACCTTCCCAAGCTCCTTGACCATCGCAGCCTACCCGAACCGTTAGTTTCCGCTCGTTCCTCGGCGTATAGGAGACTCACCCATAGCACCTCTTGTGCCCTGAGCCCCTTGTGACTGATCGAATAATCACTTGGCTCAACGACAGCCATCGAATCGACGTAAGCCCCTCTCAGCTTCAATCCGCCCTCTTCTTGTGCGAGCGCCGCCCACACCAACTGTCTGCTTCCTTCCTCGGTCGTCCGAGCCATAAACTTCTCAAGCATCTTGAAAGCAAATTGTTGGATGCGGCTGGCCTCCCGTCGAAGATCGGAGTAACAGAAGCCTGGGTCTACGACATTCGCGATAATCGGAGTGTTCTTGAGGACTTCCGCGAGGGAACGGGTGATGAAAAGGCTGAGCACTGCTACCCATGTTAGCCAACATAGACCACAAGCCTAAAGCCAAGAAGATATCAACGTACGCTTGCTGTCGTAGTACCTAGTCGCCATAACCGACTTTTTGCAGTACTCCGCACTACTGAACATCTTCAATGGGTCGGCGGCGTGGATGACATTCTCGTCAAGACCGGACTGGTAGTAGTGTACACCACTTCCGACGATGACGATCCGGGGCTGAGACTTGAACTGCTCCCCCGTTCTCAGCAGTATTGGAACGAGCAAGATGCAACATAGGAGCGTCGAGAGGTTGTTGACCTGTAGACTGTGAACGGGGCATAAAGGTCGATTAGCATAAGATCTGTTGGGTGAAGACCTGGACATACGTTTCCTCCCAGCCATCCTGCGTGGTGCGGTAGTCAAAAGTTGCGATAGATGCATTGGCTACTAAAATGTCAAGTCTTTCTTCCTCTTTCTGGAATTTATCACAAAACTCGACGACTGAACTGAACTTGGCTAAGTCAAGTAACCTGACTTGGGCATTAGAATACCCCGTCTCCTCTTTCAGCTCTGCGGGAAAGGGCACATTTTAGCCTCCAAAGCTTCAAGCCGACGATGAAAAAATAAGATGAAACTCACTCGCAACAGCGGCCTCGCCTTTCTCTCTACTACGGCAAGCAATGACAATATTCCCAGCGTTCATCTTCGCGAAATGCTTCACAGTTTCGTAGCCAATGCCCCCATTCCCTCCAGTCACGATGACTGTCTTCCCTGACAGGTCAGCCGTGAGGACGGGAGGCACAGTAGCGCGCTGGCTCTTGATAATATCGATAACTGAGGGCTGCATAACCTCGAGAGAAAAGGAGTATGGGCAGGCAGTAGGGTAGTAGATGAAGCAGGCGATCTGGGTTTCCTACCCTCAAGGACACTCAGCATTTATAGCCTTGCCATTCCCTTCACTCGAATCTCGCCGTGTAGCCCATTGAACCCTGAGCAGAGCAGACGCGTCATCCCTTTATTAACTATGTCGAAGGCATCGAGGCGTACGCTGCCTTGCGTGCCGGTCGAGTCGTTGTGCTGGAACTGAGACGGTGCTGCGCTTGTCCCCTGCTGTGGAAGTCTTGGGATCCCCGTATGGGCAGGAAATAGCCCAACAAAGACCAAATTCTCCCATTGGACAAGAGAGGGCGCTGCCCAACCTTCCAAGTGACGCGGTCTCACATCTCCTGTGCCACGAGAAAAGATATGAAACGGGGGATATGGCATTGTAATATTCTACAAAAAATCGTACACACAAAAGTGCGATAATGTACACTAATAGCCCGCTCAATAATTTCACAGCGGGGGAATCCAATAGATAAAGGGGTATGTCATTAACATAAATCGTCACAACAAATTGAACCACCACCACCACCGAAGGAGAATGAATCAAAATCAATATTTGAGGAACTTGGGCTTCGATTCAGAGAGCTCTGAGCCATGTGCGGTCAAAGAGGATTGTCCGCTCTCGTTGACAGTCGTGGACAACTCCCCGTTGATCGACCTGTTGAACCGGACTTCCGAGAGGACGAGGCTTGTAAAGTCAAAGTCGGTCTGTGCGGATGCCCGCATACGGAGGATGATTCGAACGGATAGCGTTGCGTGGAGTGCGCGTTGTATTCTAGAGAAGATGTGAGTGACTTCCTTTACCGAATATGGACAACTCAAGGACTTACGGGGCGAGGAGGAACTTGTGTTCAGGCTGGAAGGCTATGGCTCAGTACGATCATTCGGACAGGACACCGAGAGTACTCACAGGCATAGTGAATGACAGAATAAAGTTAGAAATGGTCACCCCTACAATTCTCATGTCAGAACTTTCGATATGGGCTGCGGAAAGGATGCTTGTTACGAACCAGCCATAAGGATAAAGTAGAAGATGCCGTCGTGGTAAAGCGTCGTTGTAAGCGGGCTCTGGGTGTCTTTAAAATGCTTAATGGCGAAGTAGAAACTGAGTGCGGTGAGGACTACAGATTTAAATAAGTGCCGTGTTGGAAGGGGACAAGTTGAAGAGGACTGACCAACTTGATTCAGCAAGATGACACCAAAGGTTCCAATCAATTGGTCCATCTTCGACTCTAGCGGGAAGCAGGGCATGCCCGGGGTAGCAGGACCAACTGGGAGCAAGGCATCAGCAAAGGTCTCAATATAAGTGGACCACACGGTAGGAACATACACTTTAACGAGTCGACGAAAACAAAGAAGAGTGAAAAGGTGAAAATATGGGAGATCTAGTGGCCAGTTCATGTGAGTACTAGCAATAGAGAGAAGTAGATGGCGAAACATACGATAAAGTGAGTGGCTAGGTAGATCCCTACTTTCCGACTTCTCTTGGAGAGTGCATGTACACGCAGGAATAGGATCGCTAAGGTGGTCGTCGCAGGTTAATCTCAAGACCATACCAATGAGGTTAGAGATCACAAACCCTCAGCTAATACGGTGACGAGGTTGCAAATGACTGAGGAAGCGTTAGATTCGAATCACACCGCGAAAGAAAGAAAGCGTACGCGACGTCGTCCCGAAAATACCATGGCAAGCCTATTCAACACAGATTAGACCAATATCCAACGTGCCAAAGAGGAGAAACACACCACTGGAGGCAGTCCTGTCGCCTCATTCCCTGTGATCATGCTTTAGGTGACTAATTGAGGCGCTGAAGAGCCATGTACTCACAAATAATCGTCAATGGAAGGTCGACAAAGCCGATATATCGGATAACAAAGAAGAGCACTTTGACTGGAGTCCATTTACTGCCCCAGATGTATTTCACCTGGAAGGAATTAGGGACATTTTTGAGAATGAAGGTCAAGCTGCGACTCACCTCGGCCTCCAGGGTGGCAAAGTACTCCGAAACAATGTACGTGAGGACTCCAACTGCGATTCATCCCCATCCCCAATTCAGCCATCGTCCATGCCTTCTCAGAGAAGGGAAGCTTACCAGCAACATACTGTAAATAGTAGGCACTAGAGTCAACGAGCAGGAAAAATTATCATGTGGAGTTGGACTCACCTTGAGCTGTAGTACTCTCGTCAAAGACCCAATGAACCATTCATAGAATTCAGCGTCGTTCTCGAAGTTGAACTCCATCCGAGTCGAATCCCATCAATTTAAAGGATGGAATTCGTGGTGATCACCGTCGTAAAGAGGGGGAAGCAACCAAAAGCCGGCGACGAGCAACACTGGCCTTTAAAGCTTCCCTCAACACCGTAATGGTTCCACGAAAGAAACGCAAGGCACCAATACCGTATACCTTGTACGTACTTTACCTGAGAATATTGCCATTTGCGACCAGATGAGACGAGTGCTCCAACAGCTAAGCGGTGCAAACAATACCCCGGAGGAAATAGACACCCCCAGCTGAGCACTTCTATCAAAGTTTCAACTATTCAAATATGTCGCAGCGTCTTCTGTCAGCATTTTTAGCTGCTACCGGGGCGAGTAGTGTTGGAGAAGTCGGTCTACAATACAAATATGATCAACCCGCCCGTGATGAAGAGGAATAACAGAGGATTCTCTTAAGCGAGAGGATTCACCGAACGGAAATGACAGCCCGCTTCCCGACAACCTTTACATACCTTTCCCAGAACTGGCGACCGCATCCGCGTCCTGGGCAGTTTCGATCAAACCACTTATGTACGACCAGGAATGAACTTGGCAGGAACCCGCGGGGTTCACTGGAATCAGATAGCGCCCATCCCCGAACTTCAATTCCGCCAATGAATGGACGGAACGAATTGAAGATCGCTTCGCCATTGCATTCATTTCTTTGCACTCATTCCCATGAAGGATGATCGCCCATCATATAGCGTCGAGCGGTTCCAAACTCCCAGTGGTACGAGGATGGAACTAAGGTCGAGGCAGCTTCAATCACCCAATGCCAGTTCAACCAGCGTGACATCCTATAAGATCGCATCAGCAACGAGACTGACAGGGCTTATTTTCTGCAAGGCATAAGTTTCGTTACCTGGGAACCACGTCTGCGGTTCCGACAGTTCAAGCGCCTGTGCATCTCCTTGTCGCGTTGGAACCTCGATTACTCTCCACCGGGCACTTGGACCGAAGACCTGGCCAATGACAAGGCGAACATGACTGTATCCTTGAGTGTGCTCCGAGTCACATCAAAACGTCCATTATTCCGACAGTTGGGGTTGATCTAGATTTCTAGGCGGTCTAGCAAGACATGTAAAGTGGATGTAAAGTGGAGTAGTAACACATCGTAATGGTAACCTAATAATTGGTCAGAAATATCCGAAAATGAAAGTAAGCCACGCAAGGGTTTCTTACCCTGCTCTCGAAAGCCCTTGTAATGAGATACTGCTGCATACTAGATTAGGAGACCTGAGCCAGCGTAGGTCCGGTATTATCGTTATTATTCCATGTTCGCTTAGCATACTTCAAGAGGTAGACCACCGAGGTTGGCGTCATCCCTTCTATCCGCTTCGCCGCCCCCTTGATGGTGTCGTATCAGAAAATGCCAGACATAAAAAAACGGAACATGTACTTACGATAGTAGTGGGACGCACTCGATATAGTTTCTCGACAACTTCTGAACTCAATCCAGGCACTTCACGATATTCCATCCGAGGATCAAGGAGGAGAGACTCATCCTCCATGAACATTTTGACGTCGGCTTCTTGGCGACTGAGGTGGGGGTGGTAATGGCCTTCGATATCAACACGAGCCAAGACCTGGGGATCCACATCTGCCAGTTCAGGTATGAAGGACTTCATGAATCCAGCCGTGACGCCAGGATATCGGAGCATGTAGTATGCACTAGCGGAAAGATGAGAACAAACTCTGAGCGATTCCTTGGGCACTCACTCTCGCCAAGCGCCATCGCGGTTGACCTGGATTCCGCGCTCGCTCCATCCTTGAGGGCTGAACTTGATTGATTTCAACAGATCAATGACGCTGTTGATAGTGGCTTGTGTGTCCTGGAACTTGACCCATCGGGGATCGGAAACAACACCCGCCTTTCTTCCTTTTGTGGTAAGTCGAAGGTCGGCGTTGTCGCTCCGGATGGTCATTCGGTATTCCGACCTCGATGTGAACATACGATCTGCGAAAGGTGTCAGTTGGGAGCGCACGGGTTATGAAAATGGACTACAAACATGGCTCTTCCGCGCCTTTGACGGTCAGGTCATCAATCATGACCCCCGTGAAACCGTCAGCACGAGTGAGAATCATGGGCGGTTTCTGCAAGGCGGAGAGGCCTGCATTGATTCCAGCCACTATGCCTTGGGCAGCAGCCTCCTCATAACCGGTGGTGCCTGAGGGCGTCGTTCAATTACAAGCTACATTCCCCGAGGTTACCGACTTACCGTTGATTTGGCCCGCGAGGAAAAGACCCTGCGACTAATCAATGTCTGCTCGATTGGAAGTGAAACGAGGACCTACCTTGATGCGTTTCGTCTCCAACGTTGCTGGAACTCAGTCGTCAGCACGAAACGCCAGGGAAACATCCGACATGGAGACTCACGATTGAGTTCACGGGGATCGATGTAATCATATTCGACACCATACGCTGGGCGCACGATCTTGACCTTCTCCAAACCGGGAATGGTTCGCATCATGGGCTCCTGCAGCTCCTCTGGCAAACTACAAGAGATTCCATTGGGATAAATGACGTCTGGGGTTCAGAAGTCAAACACGCGGTAACGGTCTGCTCTGAAATAACGCACCAGAGTCATAACCCTCCGGCTCCAGCCAAACCGTGTGGTGATCCTTGTCGCCAAACCGCAAGATCTTGGCTTCCAATGAGGGACAGTACCGTGGACCCTTCTTCGTTTCCTGGATGTGGACACACTGATGTAAATTATCCTTTACAATTTGATGCGTTGAAGGGTTGGTGTAGGTCTTGAAGCAAGTGATTTGGCGGTCGGCGTTGTCAAGCTTGCTGTTCATGTAGCTGAATGGGAGCGGTTCGGCATCTCCTTCTTGACGTTCAAGTCCTTCAAAGTTGATGGTTTTGCCGTCCAACCGTGCTGGCGTTCCTGTCTGAAGGCGCCCCAGCTTGAACCCAGCAGATGCCAGCGAAGCGGACAGGCCAACGGATGGGGCATCCCCAATCCTTCCTGCGGGAATGCGCTTTAAACCTTGCAACAGGTCAATACCAGGTGAAAGACCCGACAAATGTAAACACACCCATGTGTATTTCTCCAGATAGGAAGGTCCCCGTGCATATCACGACTTGGGAACAAGATATGATTTCTCCGCTGTCTAGTGCGGGATTGTCGGTCAACTGGCACTTGTCGGTCACGTTGAGCAACCACATACCGAGCTGTACGCCCTGTACCCTTCCCCAACCGGCATCTGTGTGCGACCGTTCGATGATAAGGTCGAACACACTCCCAGCCTTGATATCGAGATTCGGATAGTTGTGCAGGATCTTCTGCATATTTTGCTTGTAAAGAGTGCGGTCAATTTGTGTCCTCGGACCCTGCAACGAGTCATGTGAGTGCTTCAAGATAGGAACTTCAAGGAGACAACTTACCCATACTGCAGCACCTTTACTTCGATTCAGGACTTGGAATTGAATGCCAGCCTTGTCTGCGACACGTCCCATTACGCCGTCCAGTGCGTCAATCTCCCGAACGAGCGTCCCTTTTCCGACACCGCCAATGGACGGGTTGCATGAGAGTTCCCCAATAGTTTCGAGCTTCTGGGTTAGAAGAACAGTTCTGGCACCTGTTCTGGCGGCTCCTGCCGCCGCTTCGCACCCTGCATGCCCACCACCGATGATACAAACTAACCAAATCCAAGTTAATTGGGTTGTCAATTTCTGAAGATCACGAACATACATACCGTCGTAGTTAGGGACTTTTGTAGAGAAAGCGCGTTTCAGACGGCCATTTCTCAGTATTCTAGGCGTCCGCAACATCCACTACGATGCCAGGTAATGTCAATTGCCAGAGGATTGCCAAAAGGCTATGACAGAGAACGTTGACGCCAAAAAGAGCGACCGATCAAAATGTTTATTGCTCCCGAGTCGGAGGTTCTATTTTGAGGCTCCGCTCACTTGAGCCGCAGTTTCGCCGCGACACTTGTCTTTCAAGTTCGGCTCAGCTTCTGTGCGCACTTTCTCCTGGCGTCTGGAGGGTACTGATTTCTTCTCCCGTCCTTTAGATACTCCACCTGCTGGCAGAAAGAACACTCGTCTCTGTGCGCCTATCAGCTGAAATCAGGCGATCGTGAGATTTCAGAATGACGGGGAGATTAGCGCCCGCGGTGAGCGAAGGCCCAAGTAATGATCAAGTGAACTTTCAATGCTACATCACATCGCCCGTCTGTCAAGTTTCAGCCAATTAGATCTTCCCGAAGAGACCGACGAGCGACATCCATCAACAGCTTACATTCTCTCCTAGCAGGACTGTGTACCAAGCGTTGCCATGTCCGGGCATAGCCCGTGCCAGCATCAAGGGTTATCCTGCGAATCGTGAACTGCCGACTCACCTCAGCACCTCTTCCCTCACGTTCCTTACCTTTGATACCCTGCATACCCTTCTGCCTTCGTGGCTGGTGAGTAAAGCTGAATGCTCCTCCTACCATTAATTGTTCAATTCCTCAAAATCTCGTCATTCAGGTCTATTCTTTCTTTCTCTTCCTTCCTCAGCAACCCAGCGAGTGCAAAGCGGACCTGATTCGCTCCACTGGTAACAGTTTATTTGCGCGCTGGGATCGCTGTCAGAGCCTGGTGCTTTTCTATCTTTATTTCGAACGGATAATAGCAAAGGCTGGTTCTTGCGCCCAAATACACTTACTCAATCGGTGATCACCCAATTGGTCGATATGTTGTCGTCAATTCCTTCGATTTCGTGGGGTTATCGATGCCTTTCGGCAGCTGGTTACTTGTGGGGAGTTGTTCTACTTTTCTCGCCAACCCTCGCTGGAGCCCAAGGCGTCCGACCCATAAGCGAGCAATTTCAGTGGAAGTTTCATGACGATGTGAGTCCTGCTGTGCATCCTCCTAGTTCTAAAAATTCTGTAATCAAGGGGAAATTAACTTTCGATTAGGCTATTGGATCTGCATTACCGACATGCCTGCCTCTTGGAATCCTAGTTCAGTCCTGGAATATTAACCTCAACGACACGTTCGGTATCCCGCCCTACTACATGATCGCTTGGGCTATTGGAGGCACGCCACAGACCACATTCATCGGGACAGATAACAAGACTCTCAGCTACACCGTCGCCCATCCACCAGGTAATCGATCATTTCGGTCAGAATCGACGCTCGTCCTGCGATGTTGACTCGACACCGTCTAGATACTCAACTCATGCTCAACGTTGTCGACTCGACTGGCAGCGGTGGTGGTATTCCTCCACGTTTATTCAAGGTCGTCCGTGCGTCTGTTCCCAACTCACCTTCTATGACTAAGTGACCCTGATCTTCTTCAATTTCCACAGCTGGTCAGACCACTCAGTGCGTCGTCCCCGAGGTCAAGAAACCCGATTTCACCGTTTCCTCCAATGTGACCGATACCTTGAGCACCTGCGAACCATGGGGTCTTTCAATAAAGGGGGGAGTGCCTCCGTATAAGATTAGCATCGCCGCCGTGAATTTCCCTCTTGTTACCAATGTAACAATTCCTGGTGACCTTGATGCGTTCACCTACGTGAATAGGATCGCCCCAAACGGGCAGGCAATTGGTACGTTCAGGTTCTACCCTCAGTATCGTCCATTTGCTGACTTCCCCTGAAAGCTGCTGTCAGCGACTTGTAAGGATCTCTTTGGGTCGGGGTCTTCTTTCGCATCTGACACTGTTTTGCAGCACAGGACGCTGGGCTACAGGCACCCCTCTGGTTAGAACGATAGGTGAGCGACATGAATGAATGTAATGCCGCTGGTTTCTCATAGGCTTCTTCAGGAGACGAGGATACAGAATGCCGCGGGAGGGCGAGCGGTGCTGGGAGCTCGGCAGAACTGGGCCTCAACAGGTCAGGCGGTAGCCGTTCCAGCCGTTCCAACGCCAGCCTGATTGCTGGAGTCACTGTTCCATTGGTTCTTCTTCTTCTGGGCGGTCTGGCATTCATCATCTGGACCATGAGGAAAAGGAGGAAGGTACAAGAGAGCGAGAATGGTCTTCCTTTCACCCCAGCAGATAAGCCGACCGAGCTCATCACGCCCTTCGAAGTCGGAAGTCCCGAAGGAACCTTCATTCGCACTCTGAATTCGCCGCCCCTCTCAGAGAAACGATTACTGGCCGCAACAACTTCAGACCGTGCCCCAATCACGGTCCAGTATCCTGCCCGGAGTGGATCGACAAGTTCATCCGACACTTTACTCGGGAACAACGTCAGCTCAGGCCCCGCCTTCTCTCCGTCTCATGCTGGTGCCAGCGTCCGCTCTCGTCCCAGCTTTGCGGCTTTCCCAGCTTATCCAACCCGTCGTAGCATGCGCAAAGCTCAAGAAGCTGCACAGGAAGCTGCACGGAGGGAGAGCGTGGCTAATTCCCCTGATTCTGAATACCCTGAATCGTTGATACCGGCTACTTTCGCTCGACAAGGGGAGGAGATTGTCATCCAGCATCGAGATGCAGGCGCTGCAGTGGTTAGGGAGCTCCCTCCTCCTTATGCTGATCAAGGGAGTCGAGGGTGAACACGTTTTTCTTTCTTTTTTCTTTCTGATTTTTCTGTTGTATTAATACACCTTTTGCCGTTACCGTTATGTCATTTACGTTCTCGGGGAGGGGTAGTTACTAGTTACGTTTCAGACTCGAAGCCTTGGAAAACGACGAACCCCTCTCTGCCGTTTGAACGGCATGCTTGATCAACACTGTTCAACTCCGCCATCATTTTCGGCAAGTCTCGGAGCAACTCGGCGCCTTCGGTGCGTCGTCCTACCGTCACCTTCAAGTCACCTTAACTTGAACTTGAAGCTTGTTGGAACCACACGAGCTCCTGGCGGTTGCTTTCCAGGAACGCACCTCGGAAAATCTCGTCCAATTAAATCAAAGGCAACCCTTGTGTTCCCCGCGATCTGTGGCACTCCAATGTGGTCAACAAGCTTTCCTCAACAATCGGCTCTGTGATGCGCCTACTTAGTCGCGACCTCTGCTGCTACTCCTGCGTTTGTTTATTCAAAACATTTGGGGAAGGATATCAAAGGAGCCTGGAAAGGGGATCTGGCGAAGTTCTGCTGCTCCGAAAGCTCACCGCGGGAGGGACACAGTGACACTTTGTGCATGTGCAGAAGACTGAGACATAGGGTGTCTTGTTCCCTTGTCGTTGCCTCCGACATGTCAACACGCTGGCTGGCATTCCCAACATGCTCTGTTCATTGTGAAACCAGTCATTAAACAGCTATGTTGGTTCCCGATTACCATAACCGATCGCGTTCTTTCACCGCGTCGCGTCGATTTCTCACCAGTACCTTGACAATCGATATCCCAGCCCAACCATGCACCTCTGGTGGATTTTGCAGCTGGCGGCACTCGCCCATCTGAGCTCTGCACATTGTAAGTTCTCTCCATCCAGACGTCCTTTACACTGGAACTCATATTCTTTCAGATATCTTTGATACTCTCGTCGCTGGGTCGGTGGTGTCAAGAGCAGCCGTTAGACGACCAAGGGATAATGGTCCTGTGCTCAACATCACTTCACCGGACATCCGGTGTAATGTCAACCTCAATCGTGCAACGGAGACCGTATCTGTTCCTGCAGGCAGTAGAGTAGGTTTCGTCCTCGACAACGCGAAAACGATATACCATTTGGGTCCGGCAGCAATGTACATGGGGAAGGCGCCGGGAAAGGTTGAAGATTGGGATGGAAGTGGTGAATCGTGGTTCAAAGTGCGTCATTTTATTGTTGCTCTCCCTCCTTATTGGACCATAAAGTATCTTGTTAGATCGCCCACTGGGGCGCAGCCTTCTCTCCAAAATTCACGTTCATTACCTTGGACGAACGCGAATTCTATACAACCATACCGAAAACAGTTCCGTCAGGAGAGGTATGTGGCCGTTGTCTGTCTCCGCTAATGTCTCTAATGAAGGGCCACAGTATTTGCTGCGGATGGAGCAGATAGGGCTGCACCAGCCAGGGATGCCCGAATTCTTCATGTCATGCGCACAAATTCGAGTAACAGACGGTGGATCTGGCAATCCGCCAATGTATTCAATTCCCGGGTACCTTTCTCCGGACGGTAAGATACACTCTCCCAACAATTCCTCAACGTTCTAATCTTTCCCAGATCCCGGTTTAACTGTCGATATCTACTGGCCTGTCCCAACTTCCTATGAGGTGAGTCGATGGACAATATATAAATGATGAACACCATTCATGGAAGAACAGGTACCTGGACCGAAACCATATAGAGGACAACCCGACGTCTGTAACATGACAGCAGGCCTCAAGATACCGCCTCGCTACTGATCCGCCTAATACTATCAAACAAGATATCGTTGTCCAACAGCCACCCTATATCTCACAGTAAGCCCGTAACCACCAATTACAGACAATATAAATTCTTGTCCTTCGTTTCATCTCCAACATTTCCGCTGTCGGTGACAGTGTCCCTTCACAAGAGAGCCCACGTGACCACCTCCTCTACAAGAGCTTCAAGTTCTTGCCTCATGTTGGCAACGTTGTCCTGACACTATTGTCCATGCGTTCTCGGGGAGCGCGAGTCCTCAAGGACAACATGCTCGCCACACGATGTGTATGAAGGAGTCCGTGTAACAGAGTTCTCCGCGGCGGGATATGGCTGTGCTTCTGGGTTTATTAAAGTTCAAAGACCAAACCCAGCAGAGGCATTCCACAACCCATTTCCCTGCTCCATTTGCTTACCATCCTTTCGTACTTCGCTGCACATACCATGGAGTCCGTTTTCTCGTCCGGCCGGCCAGGATGCCATGCCCTCTCCGCCGTCTTCTTCCTCCTTCCCCCATGTGTCATCTTCCTAGCCCTGGATCTCGCATTGCGAAGGTGCCACAGAGCTACTATCTCCGTGGCCGAGGACCATACCTCCGAGTCCGCGTCCCTTAAATCGACAACTCTCTCCCTGCCAACACCAAAGGAGACCCTGGCCCAGGATGTCGCAGTCCAGCGAACACAATCCCTACCCACACCATCCCCTTCCATCCACGGATCAGCGACATCCACCCGCACCGACTTCCGTCGTCGCAACAAGCAGCCTGAGATCAGGCCAGAGTTCATGAGGTTCTGCGAGAACCTAGTACAGACGAATCGTATCTGGGCACAGGAGAGAGAGATCAAGCGCCTCGAGGAAGCCTTGGAGTCCGCCACGAAGGCACATCAGCGCGTAGAATTCGACGCTTTGTGCCGGAGGCAATTGCTGGAGAATGAGCTGTCGAGAGCTCAGAACGAGGCAAAGGGCTTGCGAGAAGAGAGGGATAGACTCAGTCTGTTGAACGCCGAGTTTGCCGCTGAGATGCAGAAGAAGCATGCGATCGAGGAGCTGGCGAAGGACGTCCGGAGAGAGGCTGAGGAGACGCGGAGATTGTTGGACAGAAGTCGCACTGAGCACGAGCGGGAGATACGCGAGATGGTTGAGGAATGCAGGAAGGAGAGTAGGCAGCTGCGGGAGGAGATTGCGCAGCTGAGGTTGGCGCAGGAGGCGAAGGCAGTCGAGCAGGCGATATCGAACGAACTGGAGGATAGGGCACTCGGAAGCAATCGGCAATCAGCTACCGGATAGGAGGGCATGTCTGACGGGGAAACATACTTGGAGGAGATGTCTACTCTGTCAAGCTCCTCGACATTCGTGGGTCCTTCCACCCCATCACCCAGGAAAAGGCCTCGTGCTAAACTGTCTGTTTCCCCATCCTCAAAACCTACACTTTCGCGTCGCCGCGCCAGCTCCACGGATTACGAGGGATTCTCCTTTAACCCTTTATTCTACGGAGACCGAGAAATCATCGTCAAGCAAAAGGGGGATTTGCAGGTCTCGCACGATCTGGTAGCGAAGCCCGGTTCATCGCCTTCTCCAGCGCCCAGTCTCAGAAGACACAGCTGGAAGCCTTAGACGCGCGGATTTATTTGATTGTTAGTCGTATCTATTGGTAGACACATCCAAGTTATTTACCCGCAGGTCGGACTCTTAGTCTATGTATGCTACGTATGTTTAAAAGTCCAACTTCTATGGATATATGGTGTATGTACCTCCTGTATGATATCTTCGTTAGAGTTTCATCAAATATGTTGACGCCCTGGCCCAACGCAGCCACTGGTGTTGCCCGATCATTAGTAGGCGCCCAACCGATCCACGGGCGCTAAGCGAGGTTCGGATCAGCTGACCACTGAGACTAACGAAGAAGTGGTCGAGTGAAGATCCTCTTCGTTTGGCGGGTTAAATGCATAGTGAAGATACTCCCAGTGGAGGAAGAAGTGATTTGTTCAGCGACGAAACAACAGGGGCGGCACGTTTACGGTAGCTCGCAGTAGTCACTCGAAACATTTCGACACGGACTGAAGTTGCATATCTTCTATGGCTTCTTATGTCAAAAACGTCTGACATATGCTTGATGATTGAGCAGTCATGACTGTAGTAACGGTAATTAGAGATTGCTCAAAAGATGATCCATTGTCGCAGCCTGAGCGGCGATAAGGAGCTCTGGTTTCCTCCACACCGAGAGTTCCGGCAGCCCTGCGGTTCACACTTACTTCTCCAGGTTGAGTTTAGTCTACAAATGAAGTACCTTGAAAGGGCAGAATGACACCTCGACGTCTTGACAGGGAGGATTCTGTCCCTCCTCCTTCAGTCGACTCATACGGATGTGGAATCGGGCTACTAGCAGATACATACATGGCTTTTCCTCTTGATAACCTGCTTTCGTGGACGAAATATCGACCTTGAAACTCAACCTCGGTGCAGGCCAAAGGAAGAATTACAGTGCAGGCGTAGCCATCGTCGCTGGACCTGTGCGTTGATGCTCCGAACCTTCTCGTCTGCTTCCCAACCGGGGAAGCTTGGGCGACGTGACCACATCGTTAATACATGGGACGGGATCTAATTGTGACAATCCCTCACCACAGTCGGTCTATATTGTGCCCCGACTATGACATTGCGAAGGCCTGCTGCCGTGTCGATAGCCGTCGGAATCTTGGAACGTGGTCTGTCTACTTCGGAGTAGCATCGGGCGACAAGTTAATCCATTTCTGCGACCCCTTGACCGCAGTAACAATCAAAGAAGCAAATACGGGCGGTGCGTCTGGACTTTGTAACACTAACAGATAAGGAAGGAAAGGATGTGAATAGAAAACAGATTTTGGCGTTATCGGCGACGGGTGGAATGGAGTCAGTTCCTGGCGAAATCAAGCTACTAAACGAGTAGTCCCGTGTCGATCAGCCAATCATTTACCCCAATGATATGACTCCTTCCCATCCAGCATCCTGAAACATGTTTCCCGATGAGCCTGAGGGAAAACTGCAATTTGGATGAGCACTGAGGCTTGCCAATGCTTCATCCCTGTTTCGGATCGGAACGTGGGGGAAACGTGGGTGACGTCCAAGTCGAGCTGAGAAGCACCGCGGTTTGTCAATCGCTGTCATCACCGACAAGTTCCAGAGCAAAAAGATTAGTAGTATGGGCACAGGTATGATCAGATTCATTTCTGCCGCATTGATTGCTACTGAAGGACTAAATCCTTTACCTTTGGCCGCAGGCATACTCTGAGCAGATCCTGCCCCTTGAAGCGACTCACGATTGACACGTGTGGAAGCCAGGGACGGCTGCCGTCACAGTTAGGGACAAATTGAGCTCTCCCACTGTTGCTTTTGTCTTCAGGACCCTGATTCAGGATCCTTTCAGGAAAAGGATTGGCGCTCATTTGCCCAATCCGGCGCAAGATCCTACGAAAACATGTGGACGCAATTAGAACCCCGGACATATCGCATGCTCTTGTTTGACAACAGAGCTTCGCGACCTTTTCAATTAGCCATCATATATATCGGCTCCAGGAAGCCACCGACGTCCAGCGATTGCTCAAACCCCAGTCTCAAGGTAAGAACCCATCCCAGATGCCTGCGCTGGCTTCCTATTAACGACCTCAGTCTAAAAAGCCCCACTGCTAAAAACTATGCATCCACCCAGTGGCTCTTCAGGTCCTCATGGCTCTATTCCCGGTATGCGCCCAGAGAACTCGCGTCCGCGCTTGCCAGCGGATACCTTCGAGATAGGTTCGTGTTCTCCTGTAGCGCACTATGGACCATCGATGCTCATCCAGAGGCATCTTTCAGTTCCATCCCAGCAAGGATCTTCACGAAATCCAGGATCTAACAATCCGGCCGGAGATTGGTTCTTTTCGTCTTCGACGGGTGCAGCGACTCATGGCAGAAGTGCCCACCCTAGTAACATGGACACTATGATGGGCACTGCTCCCGCATACTACGCCCCGCAAGCGGCACCTCACGATGAGAGTGTCTACGCTCGTCAATATCAGGAATGGGTGGACTCGTTCGACAGCCAGCAGCAACGACAGGCGACCTTTAGTACCACTCATCAACCTCAGGCAAATCGCAGCGAACCTTCATATCCGTACCAGCAGCAGTACACGGGCGCTGGCCCGAGTCAACAGTACGGCCCGGTCTCAATGGGAGGACCGCAATCTCAGCCTACCGCAGGGGCGTCCAGTTTCGACGGCTCTGCCTCTTACACCTCCCAAAACGCAGGCTACACGGATTACTACGAAGAGATCCTGGCTGCTGGCCGCGGCAATCCCTCAGTTCCTTCATCGCACCCGACGACCATTCCGCCGAACTTGTATCAGAGTGCTGATGCATCGTACAGCAGCACGCCCGACTCAGCACATCGTCATCAGCAACAGACCTTCGATTTTACGCACGCGCCTCATCCCCGTCGACCAGAGCGCCCGACCGGCGCCACCGGGGCAGGTGGTTATGCCCAATATAGCCATCACAATCAGCCCCAGCCAGCGCAGTCCAACGCTTCCTCGACTCAAGCCTCCTCCCGGTCCCCGACATGGGCAGAAGAGTCTCGCCGCAATGCAGCGGACCCGAAGGGCAAAAGTTCCAATCTTCTGTTTAGGATGCACCAGCCCACTGCCAAAGGAGCCGAAAGCACGAATCCGTCTGGGTTACCACATCAAACCTTACCACAGGGACAAGGGATATCGGTTTCAACGATGGAAGAACCTGCAAAGCGGCCGAATATGCGTAAGCGCGCTAGGAGAGACGGTGCTGGGGAATGGAGTGGGGACGACGAGGGGAGTGAAACGGAAAGTGAGGACGAGGAATATGCTGGTGGAATCAGAGTTGGGATTCCAGGAGTCGTGAGCAAAGGGAAGGCGAAGGACAGGCAGTCAAGGCTGTGAGTACTCGTTTAGTATTCCAAATTCTTTTTCTCGCACTGCCCCTTTATGTTCATGATTGAAGGCGAAAGATGCTGACGGATCGTTTTTTTTTTCGTCCCCTCGACCCTGCCGCGATGGTATTTCCACCCCATCTCACCTCCGATCGGGTTTTGTCCATCAACCCTCGGTGCCTGCTCCTTGCCCTTCCCGACTCGAATGACGGGTTTCGGTTTTGATGCGCGCCTCTCTTTGTTTGTCCGTGTTATATTCTGACGCCATTAACCCCTCCACCTGCGACCTTGCCTCACACTCAAAACGATCATGCCTGATGGCTCAATCAACCACCATGAACTCAAATCGTTTTAAACTAAATTTAAAACGGCACACACCCGCCTTACCATCCTTACGTTCGCGATGTGGACCCTCGATTCTCGACGCTTTTGTCACCGGGGTTTGCTCAACCCCGCACTCGCACTGCCTTCATGCACCTTGCTGGTGCCGGGAAAATCTGGTGTCCGATTTTGTGTTTGCTCTGGACCTGCTCTTTCGCTGTCTACTATCGAACCGAACTGTTCGGTGTCTTTTTGGCCTCTAACGTGCAAACTCCCCGCGTACCTCGTTCCGACCTAACCTGCCGCGGTGTCCATCCAACTACGCTATTTGCTAAACTGGGCGGAATTTTGACATATACGTGATGCGACTCTGCAGTCCCGGTGCATGCAGACACTGCAAAAAACTCAAGGTAAGTCATCTTTATCATTTGTGGCGCACTGGACCACCTAGTCGACCATTGATTGTCCGAAATGTACTGATTAAACCTCGCTCTTTTCCGTCCTTCCGTTCACCGTGGGGGCCACTCCGTATTTTCGCTTGCAACTATTGGCTCGGAACCTTCTATCCGTCGTTTACTCCGACCCCTGACTGCCACTTGGATCCCTCTGGTGCTGCGATGTACGCCACAACCTTCCTTCATGTTCTTTCCGTCCATGCGTCGCGCTCGATTGTACTCTCCAATCTGGCTATCGGACCTCGAAAACCTAGATGAAATGCGACTTCCCCAGGGGAGACAACACTTGCAAACGATGCAGGGCCGGGGGACACATCTGTATTGTGGAAGGCCGCAAGCCTCGCACCGCACCAAAGTGAGTCCCGACCGCACTGTACCCGTCAACTGCGTCATTTGCCTTCTCGATTTTCCTTTTTTGAAACCCGGAGGTTCCCTCGGACGGAGTGCGATAACATAACATTCTCCTGAATGGAGAGATCCGCACCTTAAATGCGGAAATCTCGGGGAGTGTAATTGAACAGGTGGCGGTTTACAGTTTGCTATAAAGCCCCTGCTGCACCCTGTCTCTATCGACATCTCTCCTGCAATCCAAGCTTTCGAGATAACTGCTTCCCAATGTCGACTCCTCCTTCCTCCCGCCCTGACTCTCCTGTTTATTGGGATCCGCATAACTTACCATGTCGCGACCATTGTCACAGTAAACGCGAATACCTCTTGGCTCAAATCCGACAGAAAGACGCAATCATTGAATCGCTGTTGAAGCAGGTATGCTTTCTCTTCCCCTCTTCGAGTAAAGCCTCTGAATGCATTGTCCTAGCTTCATAATCCTTACACCGCGACACCGTTATCGATTGCCTCGTACCGGATGGCGACTTCACCTTCGGACCAAAATAACCGCAGCATCTTGGATTGGCTAGACCGCCTACAATCCAGCGTTCGTGATACAGGCTCCAAGGGAGGGCCCCACACATTCCTTGGTGCCCGAGAGACAATCCAAGAAGAGTCTGACCACGAGGAGGAAACCCAAGGGGACCAGGACCAAGAAGGCGATAGCGATTCGGACACCTTGTCTTCCGACGACAAGATTAGGTCATCACTTCCAGACGCCCATGTCCCTCTCGGTCTTATCGCCAATCTGAGTTTGAGCAATTCGAAAACGTCCAAGAAGAAGAAGGACATTTCCAAAGATGCCGTCGCAATCGCCGAAGAAGACTTCAACGACGATAATGTGGTATGTTCTGTCATGCCAGCTGACCAGATAGGCAACGATTGACGCCTTTCTCGCATAGGGCGTTGCGAATGAGGGATACTTCATGCCTGGTAAGCTTCGAAAAAACTCGTGGAAGTTGACTCGTTGAGACTCATGCTTGCTCAGGCCCCGCCACGGACCTTACAATCCGCGCCACTCTTATCGAGCAGCACAGTCCCCCTGAAATCTTGGTACACGGCCTTGTGACCCCGGAGGATGTGGACAAACTCTTCGATATGTACGTGCTTGACATTACATGGAACATGACCATCGTTCTGAACGTCTGTTTAGTTTCTTCAAATGCATCAACGTGCGTCATTCCACAAGGGCCACATCCTTCCGGGACCTGATGGACTCTCTTTCTAGCCCTTCGTCTCCCTTCTCGACCCTGTTTTGCACACTCCAGCTACCACCTTCGCCAGGTGTCCTTTCCTGTTCACAGTCGGTAAGTGCAAACCGACCCCTCCATCTGCGCTAGTTCTCATCGCGCCACAACCAGTCTGCGCTGTCGCATCCCGGTATTATACCGAGAAGTCAGAGATATACCCCATCGCGATGCATTTCGCGAAGCACTCCGCTGCCACAGCCCTGATTGACGGGTGGAAATCGGTCGAGCTTTGCCAGGCCTATATCCTGATGAGCATTTACTCCGTCCCTGCGCGTCGCTGGGAAGAGGATCGCAGCTGGCTATACACCGGTCTAGCCATTCGCATCGCCACCGACCTGAATCTGCACCATGTCCCCACCATCAAGCCCACCTCCGAGAAGCAAGAGCGAGAAATCCTCAACAAGACGCGCGTGTGGATGATTTGCTTCAATTTGGATCGATCAACGGCGACCCAGTTTGGTAAGCCATCGACCATCAAAGAAGACTTGTAAGTTCTTGCCATCATCGTCAGCGAGAGGTCGTGTCGATCTTTGTCTGCACAGTATCGTCCGGAACGCCAAGGAATGGTACAAGAAATCTCAATATAATCATCCTGTAAGCATCGTCACCTAGATCCATTCAGGATCCCCCTCTGACGATGATGTGCCTTCCCGCAGTACGATGTCCACCTCTGCGGATATTCCACTCTCTTGCAAATCATCGCCAAATTCCACGATGAAATCTTCAGCGATCCGTCCCAACCAAGCAGACTCAACAAGGTTCGTGTCCGTCCCTCCATCCACTCGGATCGAACCTCATTCCAAATGCCAGAATGTCGATTTCCGATCCGTAACGCTTGAACACGATGTTCATCTCACCAACTTCCACAAGGAGTGGGAGACCAGGTTCAAAGAAGAGTCCAACCCTGATGGTATGTCTCCTTGTTTGACGCGAAATTGACCATGGTTGTAACCCGCCGTCCCCATAGACCCTGGAGCGGCATTCCGATGCACATTGTTACCTTAGTACGTCGGATCACTCTGCCACAACAGTCCGATAATTTAGTGATGCCCTTCGCAGCCTCGTCGCCTACTCCAGGCTCGTTATGTTCTCCTTTGGGTTCCAGAAGGCATTCCAGCGCGGCCTCCGGTCAAATGACAACATCTTTTTCACCAAGGTAATCTTTTGGCGATTGGGGTGACATCGTGCTCGACGCTCATGCATTCATATAGTGTCACGAATCAGCGAAATCTGTCATCGAGAACATGGTTGATGGACTGGCTCCCGGAGGTTACATGCGCTACGCACCCGACGGACACTTCGTTTTCGCGGCTTTTGCATCCGCGTTCTTGCTCAAGGTAGACTGTTCCCTTTTCACTTTTCTATCACCGGCTAAACCAATCATTAGCTCCTTCGCCCAGAATTCTCCAGCCTTCTCAAGAAGGATGAGGAGAATGAGATCTTTGAGCTCATCGGACGGCTGATTCAGACTCTCAGCTCCCCGAAGATAGCCATTGATGATAGACATACGCCAAAGCTATACGCTCGGTTCCTCGCTGGGCTCCTCTCCCGGCACCGCCGAGACGGCGCCACAGTTGGTCGCCTTCAGACACAACCGCCTCCCCCGCACCAACCCTCTGGAGGAATCCCAGGCACAAGCGCTGGCTCCATGTCGACATTCTCTTCTTCCCCCAGTTCGGGCGCCGGTGGAACGTCTGCGACAGGGGGTGGTGCGTTTGGAGGCTCTTCATACTCTCCTGCTCCAAACCCTGGTGATTCCATCATTTACATGCCAGAGGCCACATTTGCATCTGGCACGGGTCCGATTCATTTCGGTCCAAGCGAGATTAACGCTTATGCCGGCAACACCTTCACTGAAGAGGAGACGTTGGCGACCATGCAAGCTATCAGCAATCCCGCATGGTGGAAGGATATGATGATGCCTGGGTAAGGCTGCTTTTTTGTTCTCTGTGGAACCTCACTTATCATTCTCTGCTCATCCAGATTCCAATGGCCAGAAGGTTCCCCTTCCCCGCCCGTCTCGCAGCAGTCTTCTTCCAACTCGCCTTACTCTTCCGATAGGTCCAATAGCAACAATATGGGTTACAGTTACACCTCGAACATGCCGGGGCTGACAGGCACGTTCGGTATGTTCCACAGTGGCAGTCAAATTCCGCTTCATTGATCGACCGGTTTCTTCACGACTCGTAGCTATCTAGTTCTGGGTTAATGTAGGTTCTTCAGATTGGAACTTCAACTTTTTAGTCAAAAGGTTTCTGAGTTCGCGTGATGTACCCTTTGTACTATATGTATCCGTCGTCTAATGACATGGCCCTGGCCCCTGGCTCTGGTCGCCTGGTAATTTACGGTAATTTCTCTCTGTCGAGCCTCGGCTTCATGTTTTCATGAAAACATAAGTATGAATTACTGATGCCGAAGTTCAGACATGGGGAGGGAACCGAACAAGGTGTATTGCGCCCGGCACCGGATCACCTCACCCCTGCAGCGTCGTCAAGAGGCAGTTGCCAACGCTCCCTTAGTTTTCTCATGAGCCCTGTTGCAGCGCCTCTTTCTTCCTCTTTTCCTCCTTCCCCTTCGTCCTCTTGATCAAGGGCTCGATGTCGTTCCTTTCTCGCTCACATTCCTTGACCCAACCTCAGCAAGAGCATCAGCAACTTCATACATCACCTAAAGACACCGGGAAGCCACTGCCACAACTGCCAACCTTAAATCCAATCGAAAATATTCCTCTTGCGCGGAAGCAAAAAGGACGACCACGAAATAGTAGTACCCCTATCGAGAATGTTGCTCACATCCATAACGGGACTCGTGGTGGCGGGATAATGCGACGCGTCTCGTCCATGTTTCGACCAACGGTGAAAAGGAAGATTCAGCAAGACCCATCATCATCCCAAATCCACCTTCCGGCGGTACCAGACGGCGAAGGTCAATTCGACAGACCTCCCCCTAGCTCGTTCACCCTATACGCCTATTCAGCAACGGGTTGCTCAGAGGAGTCATACAATGCCTCTGTGGATGACATCCGGAGACCAAGTGGCCTCGGGAGAGCAGCTTCGTTCTCTTCTTATCGCTCGATGCCAGCGTCGCCATCGTTCCCACCACCTTCCCAGAATCACTTCGAAGAAAGCGACCTTGGGCCGGAAGAAGATAATACTCCGAGAAGCCGTACCGTCAGCTCCCCCAATCTCTTAAGGTCTCTCAGCATGAAGGCCAAGGCCAAGCTCCGCTCGAAACGAGCGTCCATCTCAAGCGTTTTCCAGCTCTCGCCAGCGAAAGCTGCAGAGGTAACGCTTCCTTCACCCAATCCACCCCATCCGTCGGTTTCAGCTCCGAAAATACCCCAGCTACCGGGGGAAGTGGTGGAAATCGTTTTCTCCCATGTACCCCGTGAGCAGATACCCAAGCTGGCCAGCCTATCCCATGCCTTTGCCGCTGCAGCCAGAGGCTGTCTTTACCGCAGGATCGACCTTCAAAAACTGACCGACAAGCAGCTCGAGAAGTTGCTGGCCTTGCTGGCGTCGAGACTTGATCTGACGGAGCTGGTGCAGCACTTCTCCTGCACGACATGGCCATCTTTCTTTAACGCTGGTCGTCACTCGAAGGCAGTACCGGCGACTGCATCGTCTCCCGATCGGGAGGACCAACTCCGCAACACTCTGCTTACCGCCACCTTCACTCTCGCCTTGCAGCGCATGACCAACTTGACGCATCTCACACTCCCTTCCTTCGACATAGCATTACTTTCCCAACATACTGCATTCGGACTGAAGAGTATCACTTTCCTTAATACCACTATCTCAAGCGAGGAGGTGACCAGCTTGTTGACATGGCTCGATGGCCAAATCAACATCTCGACACTTGCCTTCCCTAATCTCGAGGACTTCTTCCCCTCCCAGCCTTCTACTATTCCCAGCGATAACTCAATGGTCCCTAATACACCCTATGCGACGAAAACGGATACGCCCACATACTACCTACACACCCCCCAAGCAAGTAATACCCACCAACCTAATTCCTCGTTCACACACAACAACCCGTATCTCAAAGTCTCGCCAGTGTCAACGCCGATGTCCCCGTCCTTCCACCTGAGCGTCCCTCAAGCAGCACTCTCTTCGACCAGCCTCGCTGCCCCTTCCGTTCTATTCGACTCCTCGACTCTTCTCCCCATGGTCACTACGCTTCATGTGACGCCTGCCCTCCTCGCGCATCTGATCCCTGTGGCACCCAGCACGTCCACAATCTCCTCCTCGAGTCCCAGGCAGAGCCTCGCCGGACTGGCTCGCCCTTTCCTACGCAAGGTCTCCTTGAACGTCAGCACCAACCTTTACGATGGTCTGAGGCCATCTGCCATCATGTCCTGTCTCAAGGGCATTAACCAGCTTTCGATGCGCTTCTCAGAGAGTGTCGATCGTCGCACGGTGGAGAAGATGTTAACAGCTGTGTCCTCTGCGTTAGGCTCTTCTTCCGATGAAGAACCTGAGCCGGAGAGCAAGCAGAGCGGTCTCGAGTCGCTCGAAGTTATCTTCAAGACCAAGGCGACGCTCTCTCGTGGAATGGAAGATGTGTGTTTTCTACCTCTATGATCCTTGCCTTCAACTCACCTCTCTCTTTTAGATGGTCTACCGTACCCTCCAAAGTACGCTGTCCCGGTACTCAGGCCTTCGAAACCTCAAGCTAGATTTCGTCTCCAACCAGCGCGGCGGGAAGTCGCTTCCTTTGATACCTCTGGACGTCGCAGTCGCCAACTCAAAAGCAACTACGACACCCGGTACAGTCCTGGCGTCACCGGAACCGATCCAGGATGACGATTTCCTCAAGGTGGAAGACTCGGATCCCGGCAACCTGAACGAATCGTTCAAATTCCCCGCCTTCCCCCTTCCACCAGCCTCTCCATCTCTTCTCCCCTTCCCAGTCACTCAATCCAATACCCTTGTCTTTTCTCGATCTACCGACCAGGTGTCCAACCTGTCAAGGCCCAGCTCAGCTCGCTCGTCCCGCGTCTTTTTCTCCAATCCAAGCCGCCAATCGTCTCTCAGCTCTTCCGACCGTAGCATGACAGGTTCTCCGGACAGACATACGACGCAGGAGCGAGCCAAAATCGAGACTTGGGTTAGCCATTGCCCCTCTTTGAGGACGGTTACGCTCTCGGGGATGACTTGGTACAATCCAGTGTGGTTACCTGCTTTGAAAAACACATAGAGGCCCAACTCATTCGAATGTCAGCGTAGACAGAGCGGGGTCCGTTAGGCGCGATACCACCTTCCTCTCGTTCCAACACTTTCCTTCATCTTCCTCTCCATTACTACTGCTCGCTATAGACGATAGACCTCTTTTAATGTTACGGTGTATTGATTACACCTACCATGACTTCGGTGTTGTAACTTTTCGGTTTCTGGAACCGCATAGGCAATTAGTGATACCCATGTTACTGTTACTTACCCGTAATTCTCTATCTCAGGACGGCATGTACTGTAGTCAACATGGCATACCCGGTGATTCTTGAGTGGAAATACCACGAACTAAAGCGCACTTCGCCCTTGCACTCAGTTAGATTCCGAGTCGGAGGATCCTTGGTCTCCGATTCAACGTTCTAAGGACTCCGTGGAGACCGTGATAAGGCAAGTTGCCGCTCGGAGTCGTACTCATCTCAACTGCAGAGAAACTGCCACGATCAGAGGAAAGCATCTAATTTAAGCATAGAGTGTCTCCCCCGAGTATGATGGGATACCTCACAGTCGACGACGGCGTGGCTTGTTTGGCCCCCGTCGACTGGGGCCCTGGGGCGCCTCGTTACCTCCAAAGGGCAGTAGGCCTACATGCACCATACACACCACAAGTCTGACTGTGAGTGACACCAACATGTCAGAGACTCGTCACTAGCCACTACAGTAGTTCTGGGCCGCCGTACCCATTAAGCGCTGAACATTGTGACACCGGGGCTTGACTACCACCGGAATGGCGATCCGAAATTTTTAGGTCACGCTAGATCAATGACTTGATCTTACACTTTCCTCACAGCATCTGCAGGGGGCCCCTCCAAAGGTGGACTGGACCTATAAGTAGGGAGGAGACGGCATGGCCATTCTTCGATTCCTACCCTCAATGGCTTTCACTCGGCGCTTGACTCTCACTCCCTTCAGGCTCTGGATCGTCTACATGGTTGGACTCCTTGGGCTATCTGGGCTCATCATGGCCGCTATATGTATCCCATCGCTCTCCCAGCCTCAGACATACCAAGCACCTGAGCGTGGCACCCCCTCGGAGGTAAGCCCTAGCTTCCAATAGTAGGTGCGCCAACCTTACCGACCACTCGTTCTTAGATCACTTTATCGGCCAAAGTCGTCTCAGTTGACCCAGTTGGAAGGACGATTACCATGGATTGGTTCCCTGCTCTGTACGGGACAGTACTGAACTGCACTGAGCTAACCACGAGGCCCCTTGTCCGAGAGGTATACATGCCCTCGTGAGTGTTTTCACCGTCGACTTTTATCGTCTGATTGGCATCCGTTTCCAAGAGTCCTCATGGATCGCGCAAGCCCAACCTGGCGACAAGAGGCACCTGAAGTACCTGTATTCGTCTACAACAGTGACCAACTGTGTCCTATCTGGCTTTGGCCTTCAGTCCTATCATTCAGGACTGTAACTAAGCTATACTCGGTATCAACTTCAAAAAAATGGGATAGCTATGTTGCTTCTAGGGCTGCGCCTTACCCAGAAGACCGGTCAGTGCCATCTAGCTCATCGTTTGAACGCCTTTCTCAACCTGAAACGATTATTTAGCTATATCGCACCCATCGATTTTACCGTTAGAAACCCGCAGACTGGATCATTGAGCACACCAACCGTGTTCAATCTGACATCCTCCTCACAGTGAGTATGATTTTCCGTACCAACGACCATCATATTAAAAGTGTCCTCTCCAGCGGCTATGAATTTACATACACAGTCCTCGTGAACCCAGGCCTTCGCTCGGGAGATGAAAGGCTCCAACTGACGATGTCGATTGCTCGGTCCCCGTCTACCAAGGTTGTTGCCTACACCACCCTGGCTCTGAGCTGTGAGTGCACCTTTGGCCAAGTGGAAGCGCTCGACGAACGTATCTCATCCAGGGCTCATGACGCTACCCCTCTTGGCGATACTCGGACTCTCGCTCCTTCGGCCGAGTTCCTGGAAAGTTGGCCATATTGAATTGGCCGCTCCAATTGGAATCCTACTCCTCCTTGTGACCACCCGAAACAATCTTCTTGCTGGCCACGAGACCTTGGGTACGCCTATTTCCGGACTGGGGTGGGTTCTACTTTGACGCCTAAACATTTCAGAGAATGTGCTTGGTGCGAAGGCTTGACAGCTACCCAATAACGTTATTGACGTGAACGCGTTGTTTTCTGAGCAGACACGTTTTGTTTCTTTCCGATCCTGATCCTCCTCTTTCTATTGGTACGTACATCGCCTGGAACGATCATTTTTCCCTACAGAATAATCGCCGTCCTCCATAGGCCTTCGTTGCACTCGTGATCAGAGTGAACAAACTTGCTCGGGATACCGTACCCTCCGCGAGGAAGGATCAAGCCTCTGGTGAGTTCTTCTTTTCTTTTTCGACGTCTCAAGCAATGCTCACATAGTATGGGTAGCTTAACACCAGCTGCAACCCCTTCGAATGGTTAGGGGTCTTTTCTCTGTGATATCTCCTCAAGCGCCCACTGATCAATCGATCACAAGTTCACAGGGGAGTGGGGATTACGGCTAGAAACCTCTTCGATTTCCTCCTCACGTTTTTTTTTTATGAAGTAATGAATTAAACTATCGCACTTCCCCGCCGAACTTCGAATCGCAAGAAGCGGCGGAGCTACTAGCTGCCGCAGGTAGCAAATCGATGGCTGTATCAAGCGCCCGTCCAAATCGTCCCCCGTAGACAGGTACGGATGGATCCTCCACGATAGGGTAAAATGGTCTAGTCACTCCAAGGTTCAAGATGAATGTGAGAGAATAGCGAGACCCGAACGCATCGTTATGAATGTGATATGACACTCGGAGTATATCCTATTGTTCTTTTAAGCGCCCATTTGCACTGCTCCAGCTAAACGGTGCTGATTTCATGTCCTCCTACCCCACCGTTTTCAACCCTTGCCCAAAAGCATCCGACAATACATTTCAAAATGCCCCATAGAGGACTAGAAGAAGTAAAAATGACATGTGTAATAGTAATACAAGTATTGCTGTAGTTCGAAGTACATTGTGCTATCGAAAAGGAGAAACAGTGGTATGTATCATCATTCTTGAAGCTTGATCAGTGAATGCGTAAATACAGCCCCCGGGTCGTGTACAATGCATCAGAGCCTGGTATCACCACAATTGTTTGCGTATCATCGATAATCATAGCAGGACCTTGAATTAAATCTCCAACTTCGAGATTTACCAGCAGATATACGGGTGTATTCTGAACGCGTCCGACCGGTGGTTCGAAGTAAACCGATTCAGGAGTCGTTTCTGCCTTGGGATAATGCACGTGGAATTCCGCCGAGCTTTCCGGAGACCAAGGGGTCCTTGGTGTGAGGCTCCTGACTCTGTTGCTGTCATATAGCTCATCTACTTCGTCGTAGATAGAGGGTCCGAGGGTGTCAAATGTCTTTCCGATTCCACGAACCTAGATAGAAGGATGGAGGTTGGTTCTCAGAATAACGATTCGGAATATCGGAAAAGCGGACCTTGATATCATCGACAATCACACCCTTGTTCTCAAGAACGAATCCAAACTCAGTCTTGTAGACCCGTTTGAACGCTTCCATGTAGTCTTCTACATCCCCGTCTTCACCGCCTTCTTTGGCATGAGGCAGCACCATCAAGGCAGTGTCTGTCCCCTCGAACCTCATGTTCAACATCCTCTCTACCTTTACCATCTTCCCTTCGAAACCCTGTGACTTGAGCTCCGTGACGACCTTATCCGTGAGGGCGTCAAGTCGGCTGAACAAGGACGGAACATTGGCTGGATTGTAAAACGTCGAGCATGGCTCTTGAACTTCGTAGGCACTAAAAGCAGTCGTCAGCCTCGCGGCAAGCGCAGAAAGAATAGCGCGCACCGATCGGCAAGTGCCAGTCCATAGGCGCTTAGGATACTCGAGTATCGATGGATGACAACGGTTTGGATACCCAACAACTTTGCGATTTCGCAAGCATGTTGCCCTCCTGCACCGCCGAACGAAGCGAGTCTGGGAGGAAAGTGTTAGCCGCAGAAGCTGGCAAAATCCGAGCAACCTACACATGTTCCCCAGTTGCGTAACCTCTGGCCTCGGTCAGTGCCCGTATCGGTCGGCACATCGTTTCGTTCGCGACTTTGATGAATCTGAGATGTCGAGGTCAGCAGGTAATTCTCTTGAGATGATACCACCAACCCGTATACAATCTCATCTAGTCCCTTCTGTTCCGCATCAGGGCTTTCTTCGTTGATAGTCTTGGCCAGTTTCTCGAACAGCGTTTTGCTGGCCTCGACGTCCAATGGTTCTTTTTCCGTTTTCCCAAAAATGTGAGGGAAGTAGGCAGGGACGAGACGCCCGAGGAGGAGATTGGCGTCGGTCACTGCGAGTGGACCCCCTTTGCTAGAAACGCATAGTGTGTTTAGGGTCAGGGAGATGGGATAACCAAGGGGCACTCACCGATAGCAAGCCGGTCCAGGCTGTGCTCCTGCGCTTTCGGGACCTGCGCGGAAGAGACCGTTGGAGAAGGTTAGGCAGGATCCACCCCCGGCGGCGACAGTGTTGATATCCAACTGGGGGCTCTGGATAGTCACTCCTGCAGTGGTGGTCTCGTAAACGACTTCGTAACGACCGTGGAATCGCGATACGTCCGTAGACGTGCCTCCAACATCCAGCCTAGGGTGAACCTTTTAGCGCCGAGTCATAACGTTGGAAAAGGACGTACCCGATGACCGGTTTCCCCCTTCCAACGCTCTTTCCGCCTTTATTGCTCCCTTCTTCGTAGGTTGTTAATGCGTAGCCGACAACACCTCCAGCTGGACCGCTGAGGATACTCTTCAACCCAGAAAAGTTCTTCAGGTCCACGAGACCGCCATCGGAAGACATAAATTCGACTCGTGCCGTGCGTTTCTCGCCACTCGGCGAGGGACCAGCTTTCAGACCCTCGTCAAAGCCGCTAAAGAACCCGTCCAGGTATTCTTTGAGGATGGGCGTCAAGTATGCGTCTGCTGTGCTCGAAACGCCGCGGGGGACCATCTTGATCATGGGCAAAAGCGCACTACTCTCGCTGACATGTGTAAATCCAACTTCACGAGCGACATTTCCAACAAGCCTCTCGTGGTCAGGGAAGGTGTATGAATGAACGAGGACGATGGCGAGCGAGCGATAGCCTCTGTCGTACAGCGCTTGGAGGTCAGCCCGGACTTTCTTGAGATCTAGGAGGCTGTCAGCGAGAAGACCAACAACTGAGTGAGTAAGACTCACCTGGCTCTTTGATAATGCGAACCGCCTCTCCACTGAGACCCTGCAAAACCCTACCCTCTCCCCGAATTCTTTCGCGTCCGGAATATGCCTTGGAGATAGATCCGTCCTCGGCAAAGACAACCTTGTGCTCTTCAAAGTTGGGGTCGGAAGTGTACCCTACGAGGGTGACACGCTCATCTACCTCGAGAACTTCGGAATACAATGGAGGTGGTCTGCGAATATTGAGGTCGAAGATCTTGGGTCGGGACTGGTTGCCAATCAATAGGAGGTCGGAGAAGCCTTTAGTGATGAGGAGGGCGTGTTTATGGCCCTTCCGTTCAAGAAGAGCATTCGTGGCGATAGTTGTTGAAAGGCGAATGTAGTCGATTTTCTCCGTAGGGAGAATCGTGCCTCGGGGTATATTCTGCCCAGTAACGTGCTCCAGGACACGCCGAATGCCCTCTGTCGGGGCGTCTGCATAGTTCGATGGATCCTGAGAGACTAGGCTCATTGAAAATGGGTCTTTCAATGTCTTCAATCATCAAGAAGACGTACGGAGCTTGATCACCAATTCCTTGCGTTGTGCGGGGTTTTGAGGATCAGGGTAGGAGGCATGTACGTCGCAAAACGTCCCGCCTCTATCGGCGCAGATACGAATCGAACCATCTGGGATCGTAGCAACCATGAGTTATATTCTGAGAGTGAAATAAGTGGGGGGGGAGACTATCAGAACGTTAGCGTGCGCAACCCCGATGCTCGACGGTTAAAAGCAAGGGGAGCCAAGATTTCGGAATACAAGCGGACCAATACTTAGGTGATATCATTGATGCAACCGGTTGATCTCATCTTATCACATTCCCACCAGGCAAAGTTCTTTGATGAGGTCCAGTCGCAAGAAGCACGAAGACATTCAAATTGAAAGTGCTGATACAGAAGAAAGTGGGAAATTACGAACAAAAACAAGAATGAGGAACAAAGGAATCGAACACTAAGGGAAATGGCGCTCACTCTGCGACAAATAGAAATTCTTCAACGACGGGCCTACCAAGCCTATGTACCAAGAATCTCCAGAAATGAGTCAACGGGTCACGAATACGATATACTGTACGCTAAAGCATAAATGATGCAACAACAGTCGAAAGGGAACAGAGGATGGCAAAAGCAGAAGGCATATTTCCAAAAGCGGCACTGCTGTCAAGCTCAGAAGCGCTGAAGATCGGCACAGAGAACGAATCAAACTGGACAAAGCTTCCATCAACCGGACCATCATCTGGTTTACTGCTCGGGCCTTGATAGACGAGCGAGATGGTATGCTCGGTTCGACTGTCAAAACCAGGAGGGAGGACCCGCATTGGTGGAAATTGGACTGTGAAGCACTCTGGATCCTCGGTTGGGTCATCGAGGGGAGGTCGGTAAGTGTCGATGGTTGACGTGGTGTTGAAACCATCAATGAAGACGGCAAAGAGGCCTCCTCTTGAAGACTTCACGGTGTGAACGATGACACTTGGGCCTAGCAGGATCTAGTTAGAAAAATGCCGACGGTCAAAAAGGCTGCAGTACCTGAGTAATTGAAAGAAACAGTTGCGTTGATGACATCGGTAACGTGCAGCGTCGAGGCTTTGGTACGACAGCTTAAGTTGGCTTCCGTCGTATTCCAAGCTTCAGTCGGACTATACGAGATCACTGGTTCGGTACCAGGGACGGCGGAGGCTGGCGGGGTGTCGATCATGACCGAGGTCGCAGACGGATACGCGGGCACTGTAACGCCCATGACATCAACGCACTTGACCACCCCATCCCGGCCATTAGTGAGGCACATAGTCCCCATTGCTACATCGAAAAGGCGACCCTGTCAAGCCATCGTTCAAACCGGTACAGAATCAACACGTACGACAACAGGTCGTAATTGGATCGAGGACATTGCACCGGACTGCAGTCGAACAATTAGTTCAGGCGCACCTCGAATTCAAATAAGATACTTTCATAAATCAGGATCATCACATCGTGCGTGCATATAGCCACTGATGGCCTCTTCCTCTGCACACATAGGTATACCGCGCCCTTGTCTACACTGCAAGCCCGGGCGGCAGCACACCTTGTAGATGCCACCACAGGTCACAGTATCTGCCTCGCATGACTCCTTCAGGTAGGGCATTCACAAGACAGAGTCAGCGTGCAAAGCGATGAGCGGACAATGAGCGTATACTTACTCCTGGAGGTAAAGCAGCAAAGGCCAGTGTAACGCCGAAAGCTATGACCCAGAGTGAGGAGAGACGGAATGTCATGGCGAAGCAATCGAGGAGGGTTGGAATGGGAATTTACTGGTCGACTGATCGCTTTTTCTGTTGTTTTATACTACCGCGTTATATGTAGAGCGATTCAATAGCTTCGGACATGAGGAAATGGGCGCCTGGTACAATTGATCTTGGAATTTCAATGTGCCTTTATGCTGTATACTTAAAGTGCTGTGCTGAAGACGCATTAAACACACCGCGGTGAACAGAGACAATATTTTTCAAAGTCCGTCGTACTTTTATGAATACATGAAGTAGTAGTAGCTACACCATTTCTCATATACATTCATCAATCGGGAGACCGCCATACTTGTGCTAAGGAATCTAAGGGCACCGAATATTACACTTGACACACTCCATCGCAACCGCCATGTTAGAATCTTCTCCTTGATAGGCAAACCATGCAGCAGTGATCCAGTGCTCGCAGGCTTTCGGATCAGGGCAGGCGCCGCACTCACAGCCTCCACCAGGGCCACAGCTGCACCCAGCCCTACTTAAAATATCGACGATACGGAGGGACTGCTGTCGCTTCTCAGCATTCTCAGTGCCGTCCATCAGGGTCCTCCCAGGACCAAGCTTGGGATTGGTAAAAATCCCAACATATCTCCCCAACTCCGGCCCAACAATGGCACGAAAGGCCTTCAACAGCTCCGCAGACGGAACAGGCGTCGCTGTCGCCCCAGGATTAAGGCGCGTATACTCGAACGCAACACCATCCGCGGTCCACCTATCGGGTACGACGGTGGGATCTTGGGGATTAAGGATCTCGGGCGAGGTGACGAGATTGGTGGTGACCATTTGCTCCCCAGATTTGAGTTCAAAGTGTCGGTGGACGAGCCCGAAGGCGTAGGTGTCGCGATAAGCAGGGGTGTTGAAAAGCTGTGTGAGCTTGGGCAGGATCCTATCGCGATCCTGAGGAGTGAAAGCCTCGTTGGCTTGTTCGAGAGTGGGGAGTGCGTTGTACTGCTCGTAGTCCATTGTGGTCTTACAGAACCTTCTGAAATTCGAGGGCTGGGCTTTATACCATTTGAAAAGCATGTTTGCTTAAAACTTTAACCCATCTGAATTGAGTTGACACGAACGTCGAAAGTCTTCACATTTCTTGTTATGCCCCGGAAAGCCCACGAAGGAAAAGAACGACGTCTTGGCCTTTTAGACTCAACCTTCTAATCGAAGAATCGACGCTATCTCTCCAATCGATGGGCACCCAGATCGCCTACATCGACCGGCGCTTGATAACGCGATCAGGAAGCGCCCGTCAGGAAGGGGTGAAAGGCCCTATGTGCATGGCAATCCTTATCGATAACCGTCTTCTTCACCGATGAAGACATTGTCATTCTCATTCAAGCTATAACAACCGGTTTAAAAGACACGTCGAAGCCCATGTACAGCCTCCTGCGGAAGGGGTTCCCGCTTCTCAAGTGCTTACTCTAGTGGACAGCTATCAACCCAACCTCCGACCAAAGTACGAATATATTGTAGAAGTTGGGCAAAGGGTTAGAAGCAAACAGACATCGCTCCAAAACCCAGATATCCAAGATCTCCGTTGTGATATTGCAAAGGGTTGTCCCTGACGAACTTTACTCTACCATCGAAGGTCGCTACAATAGGGCAATACTAGGCACACTAGATACTATCTGATTCAGACAACCGACAACTTGAACTCGTAGCTCCATGGTACGACGAAGCCCATTCAACAGGGCCCAAATGAGTGTCACTTGAAGGTACACTTGACCCCGTGGTCTGCTTGCCGTTTAATTTAGATGCGGCATCGTCGACGTGGAACGCATTTGGGGTATCGATCACCACACCGTTTATCGAAGATATTGCAGTGTCCCCTTCACACCCGTAAGGGCAAGTTGAATGGCGAAGGTGCACTGCAGCCTCGAAGATCAGAGCATAGCCCAAGTAAAATGATTACTACTCACAGAGGGTCCCGATCGCGCTGCTTAGTGGAGGCGAAGGGTCGTACTTGATGCGTTTATACAACACGGCCACAAGTAAAATAAAACTCTGGGAAGAATCAGTACCGGGGACAGAAAGAAGCTCGAAACGGGAAGTTACCGATAAAGACATGATTATCAGCACAGGGATTATAGAAAAAGTGTCTTGAAAGGGGGAGACGGGGACTTGAGTATACCAATACCATCTCTAAAGGCCAAAATGACGAACCAAGGATAGTTCCTGAAGCATTCAGACTAGATGAATAAGGATAGCTCAAAAGAGTCAAAAAGAACGCACCAAAGCCATCTGGGGCCCCGGGTAGATTGGCCCGAATACTCGCAAAAGCAAACAGGGCACCAATAGGAACGACGAACATCTCCGCGTATATGGTATGCGAAGAGTACACGCCTGCTGCCGCGATTATAGTAAGGAAAGCCAGAGTCACAAGCCCTAGTACGATAAAGTGAGCGAACGCGAATGAGCAGTGGCAATGCGAAACACACATACAGCTCATGACCACCGCAGAGTAGACAAACAACTTGACGGATACAGAGCGAGTGATGTGCATGGTGAATTGGAGCTTCTGGTCTTCCGATCGTGGACCCGCCACTAGAATAGTAGATATAGAAATGTCGAATCCCCTAGCAAAGCCATGACATCAGAAGACTGAGCCTGAAGCAACCGTCGAAGCGGAAACTCACAGCGTAGACGAGGTAAGGTTATACACAGTCAGCGCTCTCAAGCGCCCACTATCCGGGTTCCTTACATAGAATTGGAAAGGCGCCTCATATCTGAAGTCAAGATTCAGTTCTTTGCACACGGACTTCATAGCACAGCAAGCCACCGACCGTTCTTCAGGATAAGCCGTGAGGGAAGCAGACAAGAATCCATCGTATGGTTTCCCAGAGGTAGGGAACAGTTTGGTTACGGTTCTGACAGAAACCGCGCCAGGCCAGGTGTAAGTGGGGCAAAAATCATCGGTGTTGAATATGAATATCGGGAGAGGCGGGTCCTCTTGTCGCCAAGTGGGGCTCGACTGGTCCATCAACTCTCTGAATGCCCAAAATTTAGCCTCCACAGCGACACCGAACAGTCACCAACGGGGGAACGTACCGCGCCATGTAGACTTCGCGTATCACAGGGGCATGGACGACCGCACTGCAATTCACATAAGGAGTGTATAACTGTGGAAACCAATCCATCGTAATTGTGCGAGCTGCAGGATCGATGGAGACGGTTTCAGCGGACAAAATAATCTGGTATCAGGGCGTGAGTATAGTGCCAAATTCCAATTGAACGACCGATTCCTACCTCAGTGGAATAATTTCCTTCAGGCGAAGTGTACGACTTGGGCTTGACGAACGAAGGCGCAGCCGTACAAACAGTGACCAGTCCAGAGAAGGTAACGAGGGCGACCATGTAGACCAGCCAAAGCCTGAACTTTTTCTTCTCCCAAAGCTGCGAGCATAGATGTCGCCACCTTGCGAAGAGAGCACGAAACATACTCGACGGTTCTTGGTGTAGGGTCAGAGTCGAGTGCTGAGATCCTGTGCAGACTCAATGAAAGGGCCAGGGCTGTCACTTTTAAATAAAGCAGGGGTTTCGGGGCAGCTCGTCCCCGGACGAATACATACAATGAAGTCCTATCCGATGATAAATCATGATTAGATCCAGTTTTAGACACGAATAAGGGAAAAACATACATTTATTGATTGACCTAGGAAAGGGACGTACGTACCGTGGAGCCAGGGAAATTAAATTCACTGCACGGCACAGGACATACTTGTAGAACGGGTTATACCATGTACGGCTGGGCGACGTGATTGGAGTAGACATGGCTGTACTCCGCTGACGAAGACTGTAAGATATCAGAGAGAAAAAAATTCACTTCCCTGGTGCTGTGTAGCCACTTCACTTCACAGCTGCCCCATCGTTTCATATTCCTGCCCTCGTAGACCAATCCCACTTCCAGGGTCCCTCCGAGATAGGCTTTTCGGCCATACCACCCGATCGAGTACCCCTCCCATACATAGTCGTCGACAGTCACTGCCTCATCCGACGTCCAAGTCTGTTACACACTTTGTCCATTTCGTCAGCCTCTAGAAACAAACAGTGGACCAGGTTGTGGTTGAACGTTGAAGATCAAGTTGGTAGGCGCTCGAGTTGAGAGTTCGGGATCTGCGTGATCTGCAAATCAAGTGTACAAAGTTCACACAAGCGCCCTAGCGAGTAGCGCCGAGTGCCACCACAGCTCAGCGCAATCCCAAAAGATGTAGAAAAAGCACCCACAGAATGGGTGACGAAGAGAAGACGGAACGAGGCGAAATACCGAAGGAAATAAGAAGCCCAAGAAAATTGCTGCATGGCCGAATCGCCGCCTCCGAGTCGTACTACACGCTCGGGGATATTGAAATTCGCTGCCTCGTCACCGCTTCAACCCTCTCACCAGCACCACCACCAATCATCTTCCAACAGCGAGGAAGAAAACGGAATCACAAAAAAATTCAATTCAACTACTAAAAAAAAAAAAAGCACAAACAATCAGCACCACCCACAAAGCCCCGCACCTAACAAACAAACACGTACTGTACAAACAACATTCAGGCTTTCTTGACGGATATCGAAAGTCGAAGACGGAGGTAGAGGGGGTGGTCCAAGTTTCGAACGCAACAAACCAGAAATACCAATGTTGACCAGAAATACCGACGTTGACCAGAATACCGAACGTTGAAGTCGAAACACCGGATACGCCGACTCTCAACTCTCAAACCACCGTCTTCGCTTCGAATCATAAATAACGCATGAATCGCAACCTATCATGACATCGTAAACCTGGACGACGACGACGACAAGCCTCGTGTGCCGCGCCACTGATCCCCATGGATGATGGCAGGGACCACCCAGGAGGCAGCGACGCGTAATCATCGCTTATATAGGCTTGATCTTGAAGTGGAGCGAGATGAGCGAGAAGATGAGGCACTACACACACACACAGAGCATCGTCAGCGTTTGCATGAGCATCGACGAGGAGGAGGAGGAGGGGGACGAGGAATAGGTGGAAGAGTGAGCGGCGGACGCAGAAAAAAACATACCTTCAAATCCTGAACCAGATAATAAAACACACGCAATCCTTCAGGATCCTCACTATCCTGGATATCAACGAGAGAACCAATCTTGGCAGTCTACAACCCACAGCGTCAGCAAAACCGCACAAGGGGTTGAAGAACTTATCCAACACGCACCTCGAACGAAATATGATCATTGCCTATCCGAATCTCCAGCTCCTGCTTGCCCACAATATTCTTCTTGGGCCAGTTGGAATCGTCTTCCCTGTTTACACCCGCCCAACCCCATATCAGCACCAAAAAAAAAAAAAAGTTGGAGAAACAGACAAACGCACTTGGTAATCTCACTCGCCTCTACGATCCTCTTCAACTCCTTTACAACGAGCGGACCAACCCACACTGTATAAAAGAAAAAGGAAAAGAACATCATCAGCCTTCCCATCCTGCACGAACAACAATGCAGAAGTTTCTTGGTGTGGCTCGCTTCCCCTGCGGACATGCACGCCAACCCCCCCCCCCCCTCCCAAAATCAAACCAAAAAACAAAGAAACAAAGAAAAAGAAAACAAGGATGCACGCACTCTCTTTCCGAATCAAACTATCATTCCTATAATTCGAGTTATTCGCATACCTCAACCTCCCATGCGAATACTCAAACTCCAAAAACTCGTGTCCGTGTTTACCAGAATGGCCCGTACTGCAATGAGAAAAAACTATCATTCAGTTTCCTCTTCCCCTTCGCTCCTGTCGTAGATGCACGTACTAGTATCTATAAAACCCCAAATCCCAAATCAGCATTTCATCCAATCATCCAATCAGCATTTCCAAAACATCAAGTCGACAGGTATCGTCGAAGTTGTAAAGATAGAGTGTAGGTGAGGGACGTATACGTACCGCAGGTAGAAAGGATCGTTAGCAGGCGTAGTCATCGTTGATGGTGGTGGTCGATGTTCAACTCGTTGGCTCGCGTCAACCAGGTAAGCGGCTGCTTGGCACTGACCAGTGATCAACATTCCCACGGTCCCATTTACGGACGCCAGATTTCTTGCGCTCCGTCCCAACTCCGTCCTCCAGAGTCCGGATGATGGTTTGGCATGGATTGGGGGACGCGACCCATGCTTCATAGTAGCTTAGTCTCCGTTGCTGACCTAATCGCCAGAGATGATAGTCGATCTCTTGAATAGTAGCTTAAGAAACGAGGTGACCAACCTATTTATACTAATGCAAAGTAGAGAATGAAAGAACCGACATCAGTGTCCACCATCTCTACTACCGTCCCAACCTGCTTCGCAGCCTTTGGCTGTATTTGTGCAGCCACAAGGTCGTACTTCGTGATGCAACGAGGCAGGGCGCTTATCTATCCCTATACCTACCACCTCTTTATATCCCTAACACCTCTTTGTATCCCTAACACCTCCTTGTATAGATCCCCCACCACCACCAACTTCAAAGGGATGCACATCGTCGTCGACATCCGCGGAGAAGCCAAATTCCATCTATGCAACAACGATCCAGATGTAAGCAGTGGTCGTACTCCTAGAGGATTCCTCGATCCTGAATAATAATGTGACTGATCAAACTGCGGCTATACACACAGGACCTAGTATACATCCCACCCGACACAGGCGACTGGCGTCAAAGTGCGTCCATCATCCACACCTCCACCTCCAAAAAGACACGATACCCAACTAACCCACCACACCACACCACACACCCCACACAAAAAACCACACCCAGTCTCCTCCCACTTCCTCACCACCTGGTCCCACCCCCAAAAACCCCTCCCAACAATCCACCACATATTCTACATAACCCACCACACCCCCACCTCCCTCGCACACCTCTCCCGCTTCAGCAACTACTCCAACAAAGTCGGAAACACCCAACTCCTCTTCCACGGAACCCCACGCTCGCCCACCTGCCAGCTCGGTTCCACACCCCAAAGCACCAGGCTATGCAACCAGAGTGAGAATTGTATCTTGTGTTTGGTGTTAAGAGGGTCGTATGATATCGAGAAGGCGAAGAGGGGTGGGATGTTTGGGTATGGGATATACTCTACCACTGTGTCTTCTAGTGAGTAGGATATGGATGGGGTTGCGGTTGCGGCCGCTGGCGGCACTCCGTTCCCCTCCCCTCCCCCATCGCGTCCCCTCCCCGTGCTGACTGGACTGGTCTACACCGCACTGGACGGTACACCGCAGAAGCAGACTGGTACGCTTCAAAACACAGAACACCCAGTAGAGTAATCGACATTCGTGGTGGTGGTGTAAGTTCTGCGCTGGTTCAAGCGGGTCTGAGTGTCGGGCAGGATAAATAGAGAGGCGGGAAGTTGCGAAGCGAAGGTCGGTGATGGCAATTCGAATTGAGCTAGGGTATAATCGATGTCGTGAATCGATGTATATGTCGTGTTTTACCCGCTGGTGAAGAAAGGAGGGAAAAAGTCCAGAACGATGGTGCAATGCGAACAAAATAACCGCAGTCCATTTGAGTCGACAATTGCCGAGATACGACGAAAGAACTGGCGTAGCCCTCAAGCATTGGCGTCAGTCTTGACGAGTCTCCGGGGCGCCCCAGTCTCACGAGAATGCCCTCCTCGAGAGGGGCTCGGAGGCGCAGGCGGTAGCCATCCACTCCCCCTCCTCCTCGACCTTCTCCCGCCCTCCACTCCTACGCAAAATGCTTCTGCACATGCTGCCTAATCAACGCTCCAATCTCCCTTTTAACCGACAAAGGTATCGAATCTGTCAATCCAAACAAAAAACCCAAGGAGGTCAGCGTCAGCACTTCTGTCTTCTTCCAGCCAGCACTTCTGGTGTCTTCTTCCACCCTAGGCCTTCCACACTCAACACCAGCCTCTCGAGAACCTCAACAACACCAGCCTCGAGAACCTCCACAACACCAACCTCGAGAACTCAACAACACCACCCTCGGAACTTAGGTCTCCAAACTCAGTACTCACTTTGAGCAGAAGGCCGAACCTCCTCAAACAGCTTCTCAAACGAGAGCGGGTCCATCTCCCTGGCTTTTTCTGTTGAAGCCGCGTTTTCAGTTGGCATTGGCCGCGGTTAGGTGGGAGTGTGTCCAGTGAGCGAGTGAGAATCCAGTCAGCGAGAATGAAATCCAACGATCAAGAATGAATCCAATGATCAAGAATGAAATCCAACGAGCGAGCAAGAAACGTATCCAGTCAGCCAAAATCCCTCAACCCTCTAAAACAGCCAACAGAAACAAAAACACACCTTTCCCCTGATCCCGCACCTCATCAATCCACCCACTCTCATTAAGCCTGGCGTACATCGTAGTCCGAATCCTACCACCCCATGCATACCACGTTAGCATAACCCCGTCCACGGCATCGAATAGACCACGTCCAAAGCATCGAATAGACCACGTCCACACCGTCGAATACGTAGACTGACACGTCCAGAGCATCGAATAACACCACGTCCACGCCGTCGAATAGACTGACACGTCCAGAGCATCGAACAGACCCCTTCCACAACCTCGAATACACCCCATCCGCAATCTCGAGCAGACCTATCCACAACCTCGAACAGACCCCATCCACAGACCCCATCCAAAGCACTGAATCGACAAGCCAAACTCAAAAAACTCACTGGTCCCATTCCCCCGACTCAATGAGCCGTTTCCGAATCTCAGCGTAGAGGGTTTGGATGTCAGGTGGTGGAGCCATGGATTATGGTCTTTCTCAGGGTCGGTGTTGGGTCGGTGGGTCGGAGGTGGGGATTTGTGCGTGTAAGCGTCCGTGGGGGGCGAGAAGGGCGAACGAGAGAGTTCAGAGACAACAGCTATCGAACGCGGTCACCGACGCGATGCGATCAATATTCGGGTGCTACCCGAGTGCTATCGGTTCCTGTAGGGCAAGTCTAAGCAGACCTCCTCAAATTTCCATGCCTTCCCGAGAGTGAGTTGAATGCTTGGTATGGTATGGTGAAGAATCTATATCCCGAAGGAAGGGGCCTCAATGGACGGTGGCGACCATCTCTCATTCATGTGGAGAGATGCCCACGAGTGACCCCAGAGGAAGGAGTAATAAAATCTCGTACGCGTCTCTAAGGAGGACTCGTCTATTAAGATAAAAAGGATAAAAGAAAACCACTATTAGCAGTAGGTAATTACGCAGCAGGCTTAACCTTTCCCCCCTCCTTCTTCACAATCTTCTCCGCCAAAACCTTAACAGCCTCACTCGGCCTCTGCTCAATCTCCATCCTCGCCTTCGCACTCAACTCCGCCTCCCCCTCCCCCTCCTTACCCGCACCCAACCCAAGTGGCATCCTATCCCACCGCGTAACCTTCAACCCCACCCCCGCCATCGAATGCCTCCTCAAATAGTCACACCACCGATCCACAACCTCGGGCGCCGCATCCCACGCCTTAATCGCCCTCTTATGCGTCCTCCTCTCAAAGTTCTCCTGGCTCTTCTTATGCGCAAAGGGACTCCTCGGGACGGTCCACAACGACCTCTGCGTCGGGAGGTGCGCGGTTTTGGAGATCGGGATCCCCAAGGCCGCTGCGGCGTGTGCTGCAAAGTGGCTGAAAAAGTCGAGGAGTTTGGGGTGGTAGGAGCGGAGGTGGAGGGAGGCGACGGGGATGTGGTAGGGTGCGGGGTGGTAGAGGGGTTCGAGGGTTGATCGGCCGTGGATGAGGGTTGCGGACCATTGTTCTTCGGTTAGGGGCTTGCGGGAGGAGGGGGAGGTGGTGGTGGAGGAGGGGGGAGGGAGGGGTAGGTCGGCGGGGTTGTATTTGGCGTTTGGGGGGAGGGCGGCGTTGGTGATTGGGCCGTCGTAGCCTTCGACCCTGGTGTCGTAAGTTAGGTTAGTAGGTGAAGGGAGGGACGGGGAGTAAACGAACTTGGTCATCTCGGGCTTTTCCATCTCTGCTTCGATGGTTTTGTAGGCGCTGCACGTACAATCCTGTCAGTCGCCAGGTTCTGAAGAATCATATGTATACAATAAAAGCTCACTTGAGGACAGCGTCTTCCCTATACACCAGACGAAATTCGTCAGCACCAACCTAATAAGAAACGAAAGAGGGAGAGAGACGTACAGCATCTTGTCGACGGCTGCGTCAGCTTCTTGGGGGGTCCTCTGCACGGTCGCACCAGGGGCATTGGCATTGGCACCACCGGCCTTCGCTGCTTCGGCTGGTTTACTACCAATACGTTTCCGTCATTCGCTGCTTCCGTTGGTTTACTACCAACACGGAGACGTACCTAGACGCCAACTCAGCCTCCGGAGTCGCTGAGGGTTGTTGAGCTGGTTGGCCAGCACCTGCACCCGCGCCAGCGGCACCAGGACCGGCACCAGGACTACCAGCAGTACTGCTACCAATCGTTCGTTCGTCATTATACATTTCGAAAGAAGTAGAAGAGGAGAAGAGGAAAGACGTACCTCTGGTACCTCGCCCACCTCGCAACGGAGGGCGCAGCCCAAGAGCGCGTGCGTGAGCCCAGCGAGGCGCGTAACAACATCGTTCAGCGTCTGTAGAATAGGGAAACTAGCTCGTGACGACAGTCACAAAAGTTTTGCTGTGAGCGAGTCCCGACTCCCGCGCGTCCAGAATACCACTGAGTTGGAATGTCCGGCGTTGCCGGAAGTCCGGCAGAGCGGCAGCGTCCGTGAGTCCGGCCGTCCGGCCACGGTCTAACAACGTTTCCAACGCGTTTCGCTGCGCCTGGGTCCGTCCACCTAGCTAAACGCTATGACAGGTGTACCCAGTGCCCAGTAGACTAGAAATAACAACCTATATAACCCACCGGTACGTGCTACCCCTGGGTTTAGCGCTCGCGACATGTTCGTGTGCCTTGGAGCGGCTGGCGGATTAGTCAGTCCCCGCCCGCTCCAGGTAAATTCGATCTAGCACCCACTGGGAAGCCTCAGTCCCGTTAGAAATATGTCGGACAGGCCCAAGTAGGCATACCTAGGCAAACTGCTTCCAGTGTACGCCTCTGGATCCCGGGAGCCTCAATTTCGCCCCTTGAATCCGTGCTGACTAATCCCGCGCCTTCGAAGCCTCTGTTGGCCGCTGTCTAGATCTAAATAACTGCCCAGAAACCTCATACCTACTCGTAACTCGTAAGTACCCTCGCGTCTCTCCCGTTTTCTTCTCTATTCAGCCTTGCCAGACTGCCGGACCACCCCCTGCCGGATGCCCGGACTGACGGACTGCCGGTCATTCCAATTCCCAAGTGTTCTCCGCGCGTCTGCCTGTGCCGTGTCCCGTGGCGGAGAGAAATTTCCCAGGAGGTCGGGTGGACCGTGGCGGTGCTCTCCTCGCCCGATTCGGTGAGTTGGGGTGAGTGAGTTGTGGGGTTAGGGTTTGGGATCAATTACGCGACGCGTATGTATGAGGGAGGGTCTTTCGTTTCACCAACTACCTCGACGACCTCCACCACCTCCAGCACAACACTTACTCCACCACCGCCTCCACCACCACAACGCTTACTCCACCACCGATTACCGATACATTCTCTCAACCACCCAGGAGGCCAGATAAGAACCAAGAATCAAGAACAGAATAATGTCAGCTTCAGCTTCGACTTCCAAAGACGCCGCTGGTAAAGCTGAGGTTGCGAAGCCCGCTGAGACCCAACCTTCGCTTGGGGTGTTGGAGGAGGATGATGAGTTTGAGGAGTTTCCTGTTGCTGGTGCGTTGGATTTTGATTTCTGTATATGGGGGTGGTGGATCTGCTATGGGAGGGTGGATCTATCTATTGGCTCTGCGAATGGGTCTAATGGTCTATGCGAATGGATCTATTGCTCTGCGAATGGATCTATTGGCTATGGATCTACTCATACTCCTATGCACGATTCTCAAACCCCCAACCCCCCAATCCTCAAATACCCATAACTAACCCAACCCCTCTCCCTCTCCCTCTCCCCTCTACCCCCTCTCCTACAACAAAAACAGATTGGGACGACGCAGAAACCGACCTCGCGCACCTCGGAGGCGCAGCACCCGGCGCTGCCAAATCGGGCGGCGACAAGCTTTGGGAGGATAACTGGGATGATGATGATATTGAGGAGGAGTTTAGTGTGCAGTTGAGGTGTGTGTGTTTTGAACTTGTTGTTGGGGGTTGTGTGATTTCGGTATCGCTCGGTTGGGTTGGCTGTTTAGTCGGCGCTCTGTGTGCCGCACGCCTTGCGATCCTCTTCTATGTGTGTGCTGCACTCACGCGATGTGCGCCGCATTCTACACCCCTTCCTATTCACCTCTCCTACCTGGTCACTAACAACCATTCTTCCTGATAATACAGGGCAGAATTGACGAAAACCAAATCCTCAAACAGTGACGCTATGGAGCAGTGAAACATGCCATCAAATATCGTCTGTGTAACTGCCTCTCCTCGCGCGCAATGACAGCCCCTCGCGTAACCAATCTCTCTCGAAAGAACAACCCTCTTTCATGTACTTCTAGCCCCCCTCTCTCTTCGCACTCTAATACCACCCAAGATTTTTCCTCTCTCCGCTCGATTTATTTGATTCTCGTCAAGTGCGTTTATCGAGGGACTTGGTCACTTTCCGATTGTCACGGTAAGTTCGAGGTTCAAGTTGAGGAAGGTGAAGTGATCAAGCGGGAGGAAGAGGAGCACTCCTGTAAGCAGATCGCTTCTGCGGTAGTGCAGCATCAGGGACTCTGTGCTGAGAAACACACCTAGGATCTACTTACATGTGTAAGTGCTGGTGTTAATAGCTATGCATGTCCTGGATTGAGTAACCTTCCGAGTGGTTCGAGGGGTGAAGTGAAGAGAGATCCAACGTTCAACGTTCATCCACTGAGTCTTAAGCTTAAGCTGTTCCAGCAATAAGGAAAGGAAACAAGCGAATTCTCTCTTCAAGTTTCCACTAAGTACTACTTAGAAGTATAAAAGCGAAACTTGAAGCTTGAAGGCATGCCGTGATGTAGTATGGGGAAAAAGTTGATCGCGTTCTGACAGTCGCGTCCATTTCTTGTGTCCGTACCACCATCATCATCATTCGCGTCCCTCACCAACCTCCGTCCGCCCATACATTCGTTAGTCTGACCACTAGCACTGGAGAGACTACGACAAAGCTGGGTTTACTTGAATTGCACACAGGTGGGTTACATACATATTATTAGACGTCTGGTCTTCGAACAGTCTAGAATTTCTGACGATAATTTCCTCTGGTACTATGTACTAACAGGGTTGAATAATCTGACTGGAGACACCTTGGACTTTGGAACGGTGTCATAAAACCCTTCCACCTCCAGTCGTCCTCTGAACACCTCCTCCACTCCGCGAAATACCACCCAACACACCCAACCCAACGCCCCAACCCCACTCCTCCCCAAAACCCTCACACAATAAGTATGGCAAACCCACCAACAGCAGCAGGCACAGCCGAGTACCCGCACTACGCCGTCAACGAGCGCGTTTTATGCTACCACGGCCCCCTCGTCTACGAGGCCAAAATCCTCAAAACGACCGACTTCAAGGAGCCAGCGCTCGCCACCGGCCTCACGGGTATGCACTACTTTGTGCATTATAAAGGGTGGAAGCAGACGTGCGTTCTTTTTCCCTCCTCTCATTATCAAAACGAATTAACAAGGGGTGATCTCTCAACTCTGGTACGTATACGTAACGCTGCGAATGCAGATGGGACGAATGGGTCCACGCCTCCCGCCTCCTCAAACTAAACGACGCCAACCTCGCCCTCCAAAAGCGGCTCCAAAACGAGCACCTATCAACTACCCAACACGCCTCATCCTCCGCCTCCGCCTCCAGCAAATCGCACAAAGCCGGCGGCGCCGGGGCTTCCTCCACCTCAGGCGGTGGGGCTGGTGGTGGAGGCAGCGCACGCACGGCCGCGCGCAAGGACGGTCGGGGCACGAAGAGGGGGAGGGACGAAGACGATAGCGCGCGCAAGCCCGAGATGAAGCTGAATGTGCCTGAGGTGTTGAAGAGCCAGTTGGTGGATGATTGGGAGGCGGTTACGAAGAAGTTTCAGGTGCGTGGTGGTCGGTTTTTCGGGGTCGGGTGGTTTTGGAGGAGAGCTGATGTGAGGTGGTGGATTAGATTGTGCCGTTACCGAGAGAACCGACCGTCGCTGAGATATTGAAAGAGTTTTCGGAGCATGTTATGCAGAACAAACCCTCTGGGTGCGTCCCTTCCCTCCCTCTCCCTCCCTTTTCCTTTCTAACCACCCCCTTTCCTCCCTTCCCCCTTCCCCTCCCCTTTCCATCCTCCCTCCCCTTCCTCCCCTAACACCCTTCCCCTCCACAGCCTCCGCGACCCCTCCCTCCTCCTCAGCACCGTCATCTCCGGCATCCAAGTCTACTTTGACAAATCCCTCGGCTCCAACCTCCTCTACCGCTTCGAACGTCCTCAGTACTCAGAGATTCGCAAAAAGTACTGGACGGGCCAGCAGGTTGTCGTCGGTGTGACGGAGAAGGAGATGAGTGAGATTTATGGGGGGGAGCATTTGTTGAGGATGATTGGTGCGTGCAGTTCTTTTGGTGTTTCTGTTGGTGTTTCTTTTGGTGTCTTCTTTTGATGTTTCTTTGGAGTTTATTTCTTTTTCTCTTGATGTGGTGTCCTGGCTCTGAGCCTCTGTCGAGAGTTCTCGACTGGCCGGTGTACTGGTTGCATATATGCGCTCTGCCCTCGTTTTACTCAACACTCACACTCACCCTCTATTGTATTTTCCAGTGAGCCTCCCGCAAATGATCGCACAAACTTCACTCGACCCTGAATCCGTCTCGCTCATTCGTGATTATGTGAACGAATTGTTGCAGTACGTCCTGTCTTCTATGCACATCCTTTCTACTCTTCCTTTCTTCCTTTCTTCTCCCCACACCCAACCCCATCCCTTGTTCTTCCTTTCCGTCCCTTTTTCTCCTCTACTCCTCCGGGTCATTTCTTTTCCTTCTCCGCACCCGTCCCTTTCCTCCCAGTCGTTTCCTTTTTTTAGTGGGGCTTTACCGGGCGACGTCGGTTATGCTTCGAGGGCTGCCTTCGTTCGTCGCCAGCCGAGGGTCCGATCCCTCGCGGGTTTCTACACTAGAGAAAATGCGAATCCGTCTTCCGGACACTCGTGCCATGGGTGCGAGGCGAGTAGTGTGGGGCTTCGCCGATGTTGTTGGTGGTTGGTGTTGGTGCTGGTCCCGGTCCCGTCCCCGTCGTCTCTGTTTTTTCACCCCCCCCCCCCCCCCTCCTTCCTTTCCTCCCAGCCATTTTGCCTACCCCTGTTTTACCTATCCCTATCCCCTCCAACTCGGACATGGACATGGGACTGATCGACTTTGTCTAGGTTCATGTTATCCCAGAAAGACAGGTACTTTGTGAAAGAGTACGAGAATCCTGGTCCGGGGTATATGAATGTTTCCAGGTCGTGAGGAGTGTTGATGTAATGTTTCGAGGTCTTGAGAAGTGTTAATGTATGAAGGTCTCTTCGTGCGTTTTGGAAGCGGTTGTCGTTTTTGTGATACACATCACTGCAAAAGCAAAAGCTCTTGTTTCTCGTTTACTGTACAACTTATAAAGAGTGTAATCTACGCAACTTTGTCGTTTGTTGTTTCTCTGTTCTACTTCCTTTTTGCACTTGGAAGGTTTTGGGAGAACTGAGTGTATACTGAGGGCTCGGAGGGTGCGTTGGAGGGAGGTGGGCGGCGTAGGTCAGCGGCATAGGTGAGTCGTATTACTATATATTCATGTACATCTCGCGGTGGGCCTTTTTGCTAAATACATGCTACCCGGCTGATAGGAAACATACTACCAAGTTCTAGTCACGAGCTGCTTAGCTTTGAACTGGTGATGGTGATGTTATTTTGAGTTCCTCCCTCGGTGGTCTGAGTTCTTGGGATACAATATACGAGTTCAAACGTTCAAGCGCTAAACGGTGACTAATGCAACCTGGGCCTGCCAACTGTGTATACTTGGTGAAAGATCTTCGCGAAACCTAATACAACTTGTCAATGGCCGGTCTGAACACGTTAATCTCGTGCTTATGTACTACCCTCCCGTTTGCGTGGCCCACCGTTTCAGCAAGCATAGCCCACTGTTTTAGCAAATACTATTACTAGTATGTAGTACTCGCCCTTCCATCTTTAGATGACGTCGAGAAATTGAGAAGCATTCGCACTCGCCAAAGGCCCAAATTGCAAAGCAGCCGGCGACCCTCGAGGCTTACGTGGCACAATCGGTACGATATAACAACCCTTCCACGAATACCATTCCCCTGACTTTCGATCCTTTTATCAAGGCGTGGGCACCAAACCCGACATGCTCATGTGCCCAGGCAGGCAACGCCGGCCTCATGATCTCGAACAGCTGGCAGGACATCCTCCTTGAAGGCAAGGCTCACCAGCTCTCGGCCCTCCAACACGGATACTAGTACGTACTTCTGCGTCGAACTCCCCGACGACGCAATCCGAGCTGCCAACCACACACTGCACCCCTCGAGGCTGCAGCGACATGAACTCCAATTCTTCAATACTACATACCGAACCTTGGAACTTGGACTTTCCGAATCGTACGCGCTTGGGCATTCGGAATTTTGTGAGGAGCACGAGTACTGTAGGTTGTTGATTAACCTCATTGAGAGCAAGTGGGTGTTTTATTGTTTTGTTAAGTATGGTATTTATGGTCTGCTTGCTGACGCCTGCCAGCGAGGCCCTGATGCTAGTCTTCCTATCCTCAAAAGGGGAAGTCGAGACCAACTTCTGTCTCTCGGGACAGTAAGTATGGCCGCGTACGAGAGACTCCCGGAGACCGTGCCAGCAGCTCTCGCAGCGTATTGTCACGCTGACGGGCGATTAAGCATACATAGGTTGAAGTTGGAGTATGAACGGAGTCGCTGTGATGCCGCATCTTGAACCGGAGTTGTTGGATTAAGGGTGGTTTTGGTAAACTGGAAGTATTCTCGTTTCTTTCCTTTTGTGGAGCACGATTTGAAGTGTTATGAAATGCATTAGTGTGATTAAAATCGGTACTAAGCTAACACGCACGCACCAGACAGACATGTTTGTATACTAAGTAGTGTAAAATAGAACGGAAGAAGAGTCGATGGGGAACCCACATTCTCAAGTTCATTCAGGACGACGAAGCAAAAGTGTTAGTGGGGTACACCGAGGTACACCGCCTAAAGGGCTCAGAATGAAAACGAAGAATATGTTCCGGCATAAAACCCACCATAACCAACTGACCACACTCCATCTTGGGGCACACCACTTGGGTCTGCATGTCGAAGTGTCCTGGTACCCCCTGCTGACGCCTCTCCCGGGCGAGCTCGTAGAAGGCGCCGACCCCGTGCTGTACATAGACGTGCGTGGCGAACAGCGATCTGTCGACCGTCCTGCAGCAGGCTGTGCATTTGATGTTGTTCGTTAGCGGGGGGCGGCGAGGGTTTCTCGCACGCGGAGTGGTCATACCTTGTAGTGGTCCGAACGGGTGCGTCGTCGTCGAAGACCCTGCGATACTACGAGCGGGGAAGATGTTGCAGTTCATGTGGAAGAGTCCCCGCAGCGCTGCTTCAAAGTCCCTCGGGTTCGCTCGGAAGTGGAGGATAAGCCCCATCGTCGAAGCGGGGGCGTGCTGGATTGCTTGATGGATCGTCTGTTCCTCTTCTTCTGTCAGACCGCTAAATCAAGTAAAGAAAAAGTCAGAAATAGCCCAGGGGAGGGATATATAAAAATTTGAACTTACAAATTCAACCTGCATTGCTCGCTCAAGTGGATATCCACAGCCTGCGTGAACCGTTCTATGTCGAATTCGAATTCGAATTCGGATTCGGATTGGGACAACTTTTCTTCTTCGTGTTCTTCGCGAGGCGTTGCGAGGAGGAGGAAGTCTTTCCAGGCAATCATTTCCTGCGAGCACCGTATCACCACATCCCAGAGGTCAGCAAACAGTCCGGGGTTCTCGGTGGCGGCGTGGTCCACGAGCCAAGTGAAGAAATCGCGGGCGCTCAGGCTAGACATGCTCTTCAAGTTGGGGACGTTTGTACGTTGCGAGCGATTTTCCGGGATTTCAGATAGGGTCGAGTGGTAGTGGTCGGAATGAGGGAGCCCGGTTGGACATTTTATTTTATATGAATGGAAGTAGCCACTCGGTAGAGTGTAGTCCACATCTCACAGGTGGCGATGGGTCATTTTAATGTCAAAGCGCGTCCAAGAGCCTTGGAGCGCGGAACTTGTGGGTCTCCGGATCCAGGCTCTGAGGTTGCTGTACTACACCATCCCTCTGCGCACGGACTAGAGGATCCAAATCGGTGATTAGACGCAAGGATACTGTTACTTTCTTACATTTGGCGGCAACGGTTGAGGTACCAACGGTTCCCCAACTCCAGGACTTCCTGGCTCGATTGAAACCCCCGTAGACGCGTCCAAGCGCCCTTTGGCAGCACCACCGGACCGCTCTTATCCCCTTTGATCCGGGTCGCCCTATTCTCCCCTCCCCCTCACTAATAATGACTTTCGAATTGGACCCGTTTACTAGTAAGTGATGCTGTATCATTGTACGCCCCCAAGTAAGCTCCCTTTCTCCCCAGAGCAATGGTCCGTGTGTGGTATTTTCGGGTTGAACCATGTACCAAGTGTTTATTCCCTCGTCGAACAATGTTTCCGCGTCACGACGTCCGAGTCGCATTCAATCAAACACTTGCCTACCTCCTCAGACTCTGGATCATCGTGACGCTTGGCTCAGAGTCGAAGCGACCTCCATTTGTAAAATTTGGTAGGACGCCTAACGACGGAATTTGCTCCAGCCTGCCACACATAAGCGAATACGGTGATAGCGGACAATGGTCCTACGATAACTCCGGACGCGTTGAGGCGCCTGGATGTCTTGAAGCCTGAAAACATATCCACTTCTGTGTGAGTAGAGCTAGTAAGGTATCATCTCCTTTCCGGACTAAGGCAAGCTGCAAGCACGGACTTCGGATATCCATTGTGCTTGACCACGAGACGTGGTATCCATGGTTCTCTTTTCAAAGCGCGACAAACCAGACGCGTGCACCGTGTACCCATTGACCGCCCGGCGCTTTGACGGACTCAAAGCGCACGACAATGGTACTTCTTTCCTTTGACTCTCTCAAATTTCCGTATAAATACCCGCGTAGACCCAGTCTCCAATTTCCCCAGAACCCACAAGAGCACTACTCACCTTCACTTCACTCACAGACACGGACAGCAAATCACTCATACAAAGTACTTGAACAATGTCACTCAGTGAGCAATCTCCGACTCTCTTTCCTTCTTCTATCAACTTACTAACACCCCCTTCCTCCCAAAGTCTTCAACAAGGACAGACTCTACCTCGCTCTCTACGAGCGCCCGGGGTGGAACCCAGCCACTAACGAAGACAGCGAACGCTTCCACTTTGCCATCCTCCTCATTCCCAAGAACCCCAGGCTCGACGTCGACCCCGACTGCCCCAACAGTCCCCGCGACTCATTTGTGATCCACGCGGTCAGAGGTCCCAACGACAAGTTCTTCAGCTTCAATGCCAAACCGGTCGTGGCCAAGACGACTAACCTCTCGGGTCTGATTTTTCTAGGAAAGGTTACTCAAAATCGGGATTATGTTAGGGATATATTGGATAAGGGCGTGGCCATTGAGAAAGTGGAGGGATACAATTGCAGGACGTGGGCACGGGCTGCTATCCAGGTAAGTCAAAGTCTCTGTTCTACTTTCCTTCTTTGACCGAAAACTAACAACATCTTCCTCTACTACAGCTCCTTCAGAAAGAGAAGGTAATCACCGACCCGGTTGCTTTGGCCACTGACGTTGACCAGATGTTGGAGACGGGCCGCATGCTCACTGCAAATTACATCGAACTCGTGACCCCAACCTTTGTCCCGACTCACCTAGCGGATGGGCACCTCTGTAAATCTGCTTTACAAGGTCTCTAAATCTTTCCCTCCGCTTTCTAAGATTTATTGATCTCCCCATCTGCTTTACAAGGTTTTTAATTTCTTCCGTCTGGCTTACAAGGTTTTTAATTTCTTCCGTCTGCTTTACAAGGTTTCTACTAAGTCTTCCCATCTGAAGTTCACCATGTTTCTAATAGGTCAGTCCCCGGTTGCATTAGCGCCCGCCATGCATATATTCCTACTACAACTTCTGTCTTCTGTACTTTAAAGCCTCTTTAATAATCATTAGTATTTCTGATACAAAGTCAACTCGGAAGACTCGGACTCGTCCACAGTACAGACCCATTGAACCTACTATGCACTCAACTGCATCTACATGCCTTTGTCGAGAGACCATTTGACTTGTAAAATCGACCGAGGTATCAAAGGGAGCATAGACTGGACCCTCGCATCGACGAGACCCACTAGCCTGGGGGGCGGATCCACCGTCTGATAAATCTTATTACCCGAGAACCTGAACGAAACCTTGACCATCTTCAGCGCTGGGAACTGGAGTAGCACACCCTCCAGTTCTGCCCACCCCCTGGGGTCGAGCACCTCGTCCAAGGACCTCCCTCTGGGCGAATCGAATTCAATTTCCACCGTTTTCAGGCTCAATGTGCTGTCCTCGCCTCTGGTGCCTTTCAACTTGGAGAAGAGCGGCTCGATGAGCATGCGGGCCAGGAAGGCGGGGATCTGGAGGTTGGGTGGGGACGAGACGGTTAGTGCTATACGTCGGAATTTGTTTGCGTGGGCAAGGTCGAGGTGGACGTCTTCAAGTAGTGAGGTGTCCACTCCTAGTACATATAACAGGCTAGCTGAGTTCAACAGCATTAATCCTCCTGGAAATATACGCACCTTTATCAACGAAGATGCTTAGTTCCTCGAGATGACCAGATGCAGCGCTACGCTGGACCATACACTCCATAGCTTTCCAAGCGTGTCTATCCCTCGCAATGTGCACAGCAAGTCCACTGATGTTCGAACAGGACTTGCGATCCACCTGCATCGCCGTGAGGAATGTACTCGCCGATGTACCAAGCCAGCGGATCGCCATGCGCCTTTTGAATCTCTCGTCGCTGGGTGCTACTGGCGCTGGTACCGACGGTGCAGGGCCCGTGCGCTGGGCGCCAAAGGTAACAGCCCCGAGCACAGTGGACGCCCGCATACCCAGAATATCAGGCGGGAAATTGAAGCAGCCGTCGAGTTCAAGACGGGCGATGGAGCGGAGGGTGCAAATGCGGGCCAGAGCCTCCGCATGCCCCTCAGGCAGCTGCAACAAATCCACCTGTCCTCTCAGCGAGCTCCTAATCACCACCTCTACGATGATTCCAGCTCCAGAACGGGGTACTCCTACTAGGAGATCCAGGAACGCAGGGAGGACGTCAGACTGGACGACCTCGTCTGCGCGTAGCAATTCGAGGGCGGTCACATATTGGGCGTGTGCGGGATTTCGGGATAGGTGCTGGAAGCGTTGCTGGAGCTGTCGCGTGTTGGATATCCGTGCGAGGTGGTACAGGTGTGGCGTGAAGATGGTGGAGAAGAACTTGCATACTAGCATGCAGGATTGGAGATCTCGGCGCGGAACGCAGTGGTTATCGGGTTCGCTGGCGTGAGTGGCAATCTTTTGCCAGAGTTCCGAAGGCAGGTCAGAGAGCGATGGGGGCATAGTGGTGGTTCAAGAGAGAGAAGATGGGCGGAACAGGAACCAATAGCCCAAGATAACATTTCCTCTTTCTGCTCATCCTCGGCATGTCAAATCTGGGTCATTTGACCATTGCTTCCAGCATCACAGAGCACAGCCAGATACTGGATACAGGCAGGTTGCCGTCATCCTGTCCCTAGGGTCCGATTGTGGTGGTGGTGGTGGTAGAAAGAAAAGGAACGCTGTCAGGTTTTGACGCGGCGATCAAATTTACCTCTTGAACCTCGACCACCGTGACCAACGAGCGCCTAAATACTTTCTGGGTTCGACACTGGTTCGACAAGCACTTCTGGACCTGGATATACTCTCCCACTAAGCATATGTTCTTTGGTGCCGCACGTTCTATCTGTTTCTAGGCCACGTCACTGGAGTGTCGTTCTCCGGAGTCGGGGCCCATACGACGAGCTTGAAGTGGACCCCGAAGCTATCTCATCATCTTCCTTCTGTCCAAGGGGTCCGGTATCCCTGTCTGGTGACACATCTCACCGGCTCTGCGAGTCGACTCCCTTCCAGCGTTGAGCAACCTGAAGTCTGTGTCCTCATGACCTCGGAAACGACACCGCGCGTCTGCCGACGCACCTCGTGCTCGTGACACCCTGACCCCGACATTTCTTTGCTTTGTCCAGGCAAAGATGGCTCAACGCACCTGAACCCAGATGGTTTCCAGCACGAGGCGTATCCCCGTTCGGAGGGGTTCGTCGAACCTATTTTGTTTTGCTCGACCCTTTCGGGAGGACCAAACCCAGCACATGCACACTAATAGGGACACGCCCTTCTGCCACGAGGCAGTCGCGTTTCTCATAAAAGGCTCGAGCTCGCCCCGACGTGGGGTTTAAGCTTGCCCTGTGGGTACATACGCCCGCCCTTCGACGCGACTCGTTACTCGAGATGGCATCCCCGTCCACCGCGTACGCACTTCGATCTCGCCGATCTTTATCGTCGTTGGCTGGGAGCTCGCGAGCACCTACTCCTTCTTCGACGCGAAACATCGTGGGTTCATTGTACCCAATACCATGGACGCGTATTGACCTCGCTCACTATTCAGGATGATGTCGACGGTGTCGTTCCTGGACCTAGAGGTCAGAAACGAAAGCGATCACAGCTATCGTGCGTATCCTTGTTCACTTTGGATTATCCTTAGGCTCTGATTGCTTTGTCTACAACGTTGATAGTCCATCACAAAGCGATACCGATACCGATACAGAAGAAGACGCTGTCCCGGGCGTTCCCACTGGTACAGTCGCCTCAGTGGGCAGTGTTGGGTCACTTGTGGGCAACCTGGACAATCTTCTCCTCAATCAAAACAACATCCCACCACTTGACTCCAGCAGAGGGTCGGAGCGTCGCGTGTGTATCTCTGACATCGAGAAGAATGTTGAGTGAGTTTTCGTCAATGATTATGAGTCGAGTCCTGCTGACTTCCTCTTAGAGCTATTCTAAATCCTTCCTTTGCCGCACTGGAACATATACTTCTATTCAAATCCCCCAGCCCATCTGCATTTGAATATTGCGTCACTCGACTACTCGCCCTCTGTCCGCTCGAGGTCTCGGGACCAGCGTCAAATTTGGCTCTTCACGCGTCCAAATTGATCTCACTCGGGTACAAGTGCAATGAACCACGATTGGTCGCAACCGGGGTATACCACTTTCTCCGATCCGGAAAGACTTTACCTGTCCCCCGTCCCCACGTCAACAAGTTCAACGACGCCTGGGACGACTTATTGAAGCGCTGGAGCCGACCCCCGAATTTCAAAGCCTCGGTTTGCTTCGCTGATTCAGAAGACAACTCTTGTATCAACGGAACAGAAACAGGCTCCCGACGCTTTGTCGCTCGTGTTCAACGCAGGGTCAAGTCGCTGAAAAAGCAGTTCGCGGACGACCCTATTGCCGGGCTCGCCGAAGCTGCGGGCCTTTTCAACGTGACTCCTTCGGTCAAGCGACAGAAGGTCCTCGATCGGGTCGTGGTATGTTCGTCATGCAAGGTAGGCACCAAGTTGTATTGGTCGGCTCAGAAGAGACAGCTTCGAGATAGCTGGACAGAGAAAGTAGAATCGGTCATGTCCTAGCTTCAGAGCCCTTGAGCACTGCTTCTCACTCCATTGTACATTATTTCGATTCCCAACACAATTGCCCTCCTCCGCGGCCTTTACCTCGTTCTCGTCACATAGGGCTGACGATGATCCAAAGTACCAACCCTCGTGAGGCAATTGCTAATTATCGCGACTTGATCAAATGACTTGACACTCCACCATGATACGGTGTTCGAATGGCGTCTTCTGAAACTGTTGGGAGCAACTTTGATCGTTGTCCATAACATCTAGAAGGTTCTCAACACAGAGTACGACACTTGATGGTGCTAAAGCCTACGCAAACGCAACAGTATTGTTAGCGGCTGCCACCATGCGACCGAGATACCATCCAATGCGCCCATAAACGCCATTACCTGGGGTATTCCATCTTCATCTAAGCCAATGAAAGCAACCCGAGCGTAGTAATTAGAAGTCACGTTGCGCACTTGTCCGAGTCCGAGCCCATACCTCCTTCCTCATTGGCCACATCGGGGTCGGAGTATGTCATCCTAACCATGGTGAATTGTGAACCGTGTTATCGACGCTCTTCCTCCGCCGCATGTCGGATATGGCCGAAACATCGATATAAAAGCTCGACGACTTGAGGTTGGTGTCATCATCAACAAGCCTCCTTCTCCCATTCAAACAGTTCTACCTCTCTCGAGCCTCATCCTATTTGAACACCATGTCCGTCATCAGCCTCCAGACTTCCCTCAACAACGTCAAGCCCCAGGCCAAGGTTGGCGATGAGATCCCCGTCTTTGACGTCAAGGAGGACTCCCCTGGCGAGACCAAACCCCTGAAGTTGACCGGAAAGAACATCATCGTAAGTCTGTTGTGTTGTTTGGACCATCGACTCTTCGTCGACGCTCTCGATGATTAGATCGGTCTCCCCGGTGCCTTCACCACTCCCTGCAACGGGCACGTCCCCGCATACATCAGCAACTACGACAAGTTCAAGGCCAAGGGTGTTGAGAACATCTACGTCATTGCTGTGAACGACGCCTATGTCACCAAGTAAGCTATTTTGCTGTCAGAAACATGGCAGATCTAACAGGCGCTTGCAACAGGGCATGGAAGGAGGCATTGGCGCCCAACGGCACCGGTGGGTTCAATGTTTACTTGTCACATTCTAGTTGACAGACTGACGGTGTTGCGACTTTGCTCAGATATTCACTTCATCGCTGACGACACTGGAAATGTCATCTCTTCCCTCGGCTTCTTGTTTGATGCTTCTGGCGGACTCGGTGGACCCCGATCGAAGGTCAGTTGAATTCTGAATCGGCTATTTTTGGGCATCGTTCAGTTTTACTGACAAACTTTGATTTACAGCGATTCGTTCTCGTCACCGACGGCCACAAGATCACCAGCGTCTCTGTTGAAGAGGAGGTGCCCAAAGTCACTGTCACAAGCGCCGATTCCATCCTCGCCAGCTTGTAAATCTGAATCTCCAGCAATTTGTATGTCTATTGGACTTTGGACTGTTTTATAGAGTAAATAAAATGTAGCATTTTGGTTCCCTTCCCTTTTACCTTGCGGATAACTTGGAAATGCAATGCCGAGGCCCGGGTGTTGGTTTAGGGACTTCAAGTTCGGTCAGGAGAACAGGGTGCCAAGAACGATCGGTCTGAGTTTCAATGTGGCTACTTTTAGCGCTCAACGCGCGTCTGGTATTGGATACCTCAAGAACCATGGATTGACTCTCTTAGATTGACACAAGTCTGAGTGAACTGGGAAGATTATTGCCCTCTTCATCATCCAGAACTTCCTCGAAGCGGGGAAATTAGGGGGAAATCGGACCATATGGGGGAAAGGTGATCCGTCACCGCCGTAAATTCCCAAAACATATGGGACGGATCAAATAATCGGCACGCTAGTACTGATCAAGAACAAATCATGAAAGGGCGGCCATCAGCAGCCACATCGCCAATTAAATCGTTACCAAGCTTTAGCCCCGTCGCGTTTCGGTTCTCGCTTGTTTTCAGGCTTGCTCCTCGTCCTCGTCCCCCACTTTTCATCTCCAACCCGCTTGCGATCCCCATTCAACATGGCGACCTCCACTGCATCACCAAGCTCATCAGCATCGACGACTCCTATGCCGCTGACTCCCGAGTCAACAGGAGGGGATATGGCAGCTCTCCAGAGCAAGAAGAACCGACGACAAACCGCAGTGTATAACCCAAGCAAGGCGTCGAGCCTTTCCAGTAACAGCGCACAGAAGCCCCTCAAGCCCTTCAGTCGTAGTGCTGCCAAACGCGAGAGCGTGTTGGCGTTGGGGAGCATCGAACATCTGCAGCACTACTTCTCGCAGACTGGGATCGTCAGCAAGAGGAAGTGAGTATCCCATTACCTTCCTAGCATTGATGGTGTGAACATGTGTTATGAATGGGTTAGCTCATACATCGTGCAGTCCTCTAGTCAACAAGTTCCGGAATCAGGGATTGGTACCAGCCATCGGAGGGCGGGAGCATGTACCGTTGTCCCCTACGGGTGACGGATCCCCTGTTGCATCCCTTGAAGCCCTTTTAGAACGACAACCACCTCCACAGTCCCAACAGCAGTCCCAGCCCCTCACGCCTCACGTCAAGACCCACGAAGTGCACCCTGATTCCCTTCTCCCGGAAGTGATAGACGATCTCACTGCCCTCGTCAAAGCATGGGAGCCCTCCACGTCGACACCAATTGACGTATTATCCCTGCTAAAGACATCAACGCGTACAATCCAAAGCGTCAGAAACTACGTGCTCACCCTCCCGGAAGAAACCACTGCCGCCATTCGTGCTCGTTCCTCCAACCCTTCCCCATCATCGGATCCTTTGGCCTTGATTCGAAGGTCGGCACTGGATGTCCTCGCCAGCCTTCGTGATTTGGAGGAACGGGCGAGGTTGCCTTTGTCCGACGACGCCTACGATGCCCAGAGCGATGGTGGAGGGCCTGCTCCCGGTTCTCGAATCGCGTCGCCTAGCCCTCCAATATCGGATGACTCGAATCCAGTCCACGACCCCAACATCACATTTTCCCTCGTTCAAGTCAATGGCCGCGTAGAAACCGTGCCTGTATGGGTGGACGAAGACGATTTTGATCCTTTCGAAGATCTGACCGAGACCAAGCGGGAGAGATGGGATCAGCGACTAGAGTTGGGCAATGGATGGCTGTACCGAAGGGATTTGAAGCCAGAGGATGTAGAGAAAGAGCGGGGAATTATCGAGGAGTACATCGGACTGGTGGACGATGCTTTGTTTGGCGAGGAGACTGGCGGAGTGGATGGCGAACGGAACTTTGAGAAGGCTCGACGAAGGATTGAGTCTCGGCCTAGCCGACATGATTCCGTGGGTGGGCTGTCGGGACCACGCTCCAAGTCGAAGAACCGCCGCGTCAGTGCAGCCGATGCTATCGCTGGTGGATCTGCAGCTGCTCACGCGCTGTTTATCGACACTACAACTGGTGGAAGGCGGAGAATCTCGACAGGAGTGCTCGGGCTCAACAGAGCCATCAGCGAGGAACCGGAGACAATGGAAGGAATTGCGGAGGAGTGGGGCGCAATTAAGGAGGAGGAAGAGGGTCAAGAAGACGCTATCGCTGACGGAGAGGAAACGGAAGAATTAGACGATGAAGACCTTCCGGAGTGGGCGCAACGCTCGTCCTTCCAAGGTGACGATCTTGGTGAGGCGGCTTCCATTTTCAACTCTGCCCTTTATGTATTGACACCTTCCTGAAAAGGGCGTGCTTTCACCTTCCTGAAGGAATTCCTACCTCAACCGTACCATTACGCTTTGATTCCGCCATCCGACTTTTACGAGCTCCCACCACCCTCCCCATCTCCTTGGCTACAGGAAAGTCCAGCACCGCCGCCGTCTCGAGAGAACTTCTTATCCTGCCTCTCCTCGGGCCAACTTCTATGCCATGCTTACAACAGCTGCGTGCGCAAGTCGAAGCATCCATGGGGCTTCGTTAGTCGAGACAGTGTACACGACGTATTGGGACTGGAGGCAAGGGAGCGGGAACGGGAGGCTGGAGAAGCGGAGAGACCGCAGCCTTCAGGACAGTCTCAGCCACAGAACTCGCAGGGAGCTGGATGGACTTTCAGAAGAACCGACAACCTGAGATTGTGGATCGGGTATGTGTGGTTTCCTTCCAAGCCCTCGACTGTATTGAAAGGAATTTCGCAGGGCTTTGAAACTGCGGTACTTGCTACCTATTCATATGCCTTCACATGTGGTCTCGGGTCTCCCACCGTCATTGCTACAACTGCCTCAGCCAGGATCTTCCCCGGCGAAAGGAAGAAGCCATCAGAGTCCCAGTCCGAACTCGTCCAAACCGACCTCCCCATCCGTTGCCACATCCGCTTCGGCTGCCAATCAGCCGCCGCCTAGTCCTTCTGGCAAAGACAGGGACAAAGAGAAGATCAACTTCGATGCGAAGATTGTGGCGAGAAAGGACGAAGGATGGGAGGATATGTTGGAGGGCGTCCTACTCAGATGGCTTTGGAAGGCTGTCGAAGAGAGAAGGAAAGCTTGAACCTTCTCAGACTTGTGGTCGCAACCATTCAGTCAGCCTTGGATTATACCAGCAGCGACATGGAATAGAACATTACATGGCTGTCACTTCACATACCCTATGCACTATGCATTCCCGCCTCAATTCGGCAGAATATCACTTGTTTTTTGGACGGTGCCTTGCAGTTGGAGAGTAGCGTCCCTCACGCCGCCAGTGAAACCGTCCATGCTTTGCGTACTCGCCACGGTGCCACATCCATTCGACTGGCTAACTTAGCAGGGGGGATTAACCGCCATGCCGTGACCCATGCCTGATGGGCCGGTGGTCTTGGACTACCGAACACAGGCAGCTAGCACGCAAGAAGTGTCTGAGCCTGTCCCTTGGGAAGTTCGAACTCAAGTAACAGCCTCTACGTTTGGATCAAAATACAACAATCCATTCATTCATTCATACAACAACTTCTGAGACTTCATTGGACTACTCCGCACACAGCGAACATGACTTGTCTGGGTTTTCTGGTTTAAATGAGAAACGGTGGAAAGGTTGGTTGGTTGGGCTTGGAAGCACGGTGCTTAGCACTTGCACTCGCCGGCCTTGCAAGCGCAGCTGTGGGGAGGTCGATTAGTATGGATGGCTGGAAGAGACAACTGCGAGATACGAACGAGGCGCCGCAGCCGCAGGAGGAGCTTCCGCAGTTGTTGTAGTTGACGGGGTTCTGTAGGAGAGGACGAGGTCAGCGACAATGGCGACGCATCCCAACGAAGACGAGGGAACACACCATGTTGATTGTTCGAGCGATTGAGTTATTCGATGAAGAGATGACTCTGAAGTCCTAGAGACGAAACTGGCACCCTTTTATACCTTTCGACCTGTATTTTGAGATGTTTGTCGTTTCCTTGAAAGAGAATGACAGATCTTGGGGATTTTGGATGTGGAGACGTGAAGGCTCCAACACCAGGAACCGGTGGCGGTATTGTTCGACGGAATATGGCAAATGCCGTTGCCACTTTTCGACCACCTGGACTTGTTGTGGGCTTGTACTCTGTTGCAGACCGCGCCGCTTCTTGACGTGCACAGCGTGTTTCCTGACATGTACGTGGTCATGCTTCCTAGTACACAGACAGGATGACATACGGCCATCGCATCTGGTGGGTTGAGGCATTTGAAGGTAACCATGATGGGGTACCTTGGGGAAACAACACGCTGAACGGAATGTTCGAGACCGAACAAATTGCTTTCCTGTGCGATCCAAGAAACCTTGTCTTTGGGGCCCAGTCAGGGCGCGGGCTTTGCGGATGGAGAGAACAGGCACTTGCGCCGGGCTTGCTCTGGGAATGAATGGTAGTTGCCCTGAATTTCCATATTTTAGGAACGGTGTGGAGGGCCCCGTCCTTTTCGCCCAGTTGCTCGATCACAAGAAAATTATCTCTTCACTCAATCACCAGTTACCAAACCGAAGACGGTGCCGAGTTGGCGTCCAAGCAGACAAGTCAGGACACAAGTGTCCAGGGTGAGTCAGCCGTGGAGCCTTCCGAGTAGTGCTCAGCAAGAGCTCTTTATTGAACTGTTTCGTAAACCACATACATCTACTTCCTGTCCTGAAACGCGCCTGCTTCGGCGCTTGTTGCTGCAATCATTTATCAGTGGCGTTTGAGCTCTTGTTCACGTGGAGAAACCGTTCTGCCGTCGGTCCCCAGTCGGTCCGGGTATGCGTGGAGGTTGTGCCTCTCTCAACCATAACCGCGAACCAGAGGCTACCAGAGGGGAAAAAATAAATCTGGTGCCTTGTATTCGCTGAAATGGCAGTACTAGGTTGTCAAGTGGGCCAACGGAGAATTCCGCCCGTAGTAATTTTAAAGAACCTGAGTGAACTGTTACCGGACACACCGGACGGCGTGGCTCTAAAACGAAGTAGTGTAAATGTCTGACATCGCCCTTCCCTGTAAAGTAGCCCAAGAGATGGTCGTTGTGACTTGGTTGTGACAGCCTGAAAGAAAGTCTATTCGCTGGGTCTCGTGGTCTCCGAGTCGGGGCAACTGCTCCCATTAGAGCTTAAGAGTGTGAAAGCAGCTCCCATAAGTGTCAAGGACATTTCACCTCTGTCCACGTACCTACTTATTTTGATGCTCTTTGTGGAGTCATATTACTCCTTCGAGTGCTCTACTTGTTCCTAAATATGCTCGTGTGAGGAAAAAGCCGTGCACCTACACTCGCCCTCGCGGGAAGCTTCGAATGGGATCAGGCTGAAGTGAACGATGATTACGGCTCAAATCGGCAACCAAAAATGAGTTACTGGTATCAGCTACACCACTGGTATACGACCCTTTGGTATGCTCAGAAGCCAGGCTACGTCGAAAGGGTTGGATTTTTCGGGCGCTTCGCGACAATCGAGAGCTCTGCGGCCATATCAGATACTCCAAACGGGGAGGGTGTGGGAGGAAAGTAATAATATATGCCTCTCAGTGCAGATATGACTAGCCGTAGCTGATGCTCTCCCGTGGGTGACTTCAGAGCCTTCGATAACTTTGGTGGTTTAAGCGCCCAAAAGCGCCCAGGTGATGCACGTGACTGTTTCAGTCTCCGCTCGAACACGTTCAATGGCCAGGCGATTCCGCAAAGGCAAACTCTGGGCAAACTTGACGACCTTGACAATCCAAATCCAAATACGAATCACACGGCATAAGCTCCTGACGGAGTCCCGAATAGTCTCAAAGAACTCATTTCCGACTGCTGTAACTCACCGAGACTGTTTTGATCCCACGTTTCTCGAGAACAAACTCACAGGCAGACCCTGATCTTTTGTCGACTTGTCAAGGATAATAAACGGGCACTGACCTGTGTTCATTCTTCTGGTATGTTCTTCTTTGTTCTAAAAACACGTTCCCGAGGTAATTATACCACGTTGTAGTCCTCGAAAGCCCCAGGCATCAACATCGTGGTTCGTCCATGACGCCACGGGTATGATGTAACAGTCCACCATGCGGCAGCAGTGTGGTAGTCCTGCACCAGTGGTACTCCCTGAATGAATTGCCCCACAGCCTACGGTCAAACGTATCCCTGAAAACATGGAGTTTGAAGGCTATACCAGGGTCTCTCGGCTGACGCAAGGAACTCGAGGTTGACGTATGTTGCCCCACCCATCTCCCCCATAAGATGAGCTTCTTCCATCGTCGAGGCGGTTGCCAGGCCCATCGTGAAACCAGAACTTGGTGCTTCTTTCCTGTAAGCCCACTCTCCTCGTCTAAGTCTCGGTGGATCTTTCTGACAAGCGATCTGCAGCTCTAACGACCCTTTACGATTAGCACGACCGTCATGTACGGCGCTTTGTCACTTCTTTCTCTCTACTTGCTATCTACCCTGGCACCTGTTGGTGCTCAGGAGCTCACGCAAGGCCAGGTTGACCTCATTGGCCAGCGATTGGCGGAAAGCGGAGAACGCAGGTTCGTTCAGACTTCCCCATTGAACACACCTCCGGGAACTTTGCTCATGCTTCGCGTCCTACTATAGCTGGGAGCTTGGGGTGCGCACCCAGGCAGCGCTTGAGCTCAATGCCACTCGGATGAGCGTGTTCTCCCCCGCAGGAGTCCCTCCTCCCCGCCGTGTTCCCGAAGACCTCAAGGATCCCCTGGAACCCGTCTGGAACATTGTTCGTCGCGTTATCAGCGAACGCGGACCTGGTGATGGTAAGCTCCACACCACCAACTCCACTGAAAGCAACTGAATGCGAACGACCCCTGTAGATCCTCGCCCACTCGTTCAGGACGGCTCCACCGCCGATCCTGCTTCGATCGGTGTTGCGGTTGTCTTGGCCAATATTACTGACCTCGATGGGACCGCGAACGAATACGCCGACGCTGCTCGCGGACAGCTGAGGTTCCTCTTCAGCGACCAAGTACCCAAGACCGACGAGGGTGCGATCAGTCACCGCGGTGAACAGTTGCAGATTTGGTATGTTGTCTGGCTGTATAAACGTGCATTTGGCTAACATATTTGTGTGCAGGTCCGACTCTGTCTACATGGTTCCGCCATTCCTTGCTTACTATGGTGTTGCTACCGACAACAAGACAATCGTCGAGGAGGCCTTCAACCAAGTCAAGCTATATCGTAAACTCTTGCGGGATGAGGACACCGGGTTGTGGAAGCACTCCGTTCTGGGCAACAACTCTGACCCTGGACTCTGGGCTACTGGTAGGTATCTTTTGTTGGCCTCGCGACTTGGTATTGATTGAGGTTGCAGGTAACGGTTGGGCTGCCGCTGGCATGCTCCGTGTCTATGCTACCATCAAACACTCTAAGTTCGGTGATGACATGGATGACGAACTCGATGATCTCGAAGACTGGGTCCAGGAAATCCACGAGGGAGTCTACCGCCACTACTTTGTAAGTCTGCCCTTGATCTCCTCAAGAACGAAGCTCACGCGTTACACAGGACTCGGAGAGCTTGGTTCACAACTACCTCAATGACAACAGGACCTTCTACGATGCTTCCGCCACTGCGTTGTTGGCCGCAACCGTCTACCGCGCCTCTGTTCTCCTCGACGAGCACGACTACATCCCTTATGCCGAGCGTACTCGCATGACTCTCTTCACTCCCCACGGCGGAGTCGGCGCCAACACCAACAGGAGTGCCTTTGAAGACTACGAGTTCTTCACCACCGACGGCTGGCTCCGCCCTGTCGTCAACCCTGTCTCCATCCGAGAGGTCCTCGATAACGGACGAAGCTCAGAGGCACAGGCCTTCGTTGTCATGATGCACGCGGCTTGGGAGGATTGGCGTGCACAGGGTGAAGAGGGCAAGGCTACCGGCGCCGCAGTTGCTCTTAGCGCCCGTGGGCTTGGTCTCCTTGTCCCTGCTATCTTCGCCGTTGTTTCTGCTTTCTTCTAATGAATTAACGACCCTTCACGAACCTTGATGTGTTAATGGACTTCACCCTAGGGATGTAACTTGGTGTAACTATCTTAGCCAACCTAATACTATTGTCTACATGACGAATGTCCACGGGTCAGAGATATGTAACAGACTAATGAAAGTGGGTATGGTAAGCGCGAACAGGGTATCCGGATAAGGCGAGGAAAGATATTTACAGGGATAACGTTAGGGGAAACAACAGCTTCTCTTTTACAAAGCAAAAAGATACATACACACACATCGTGCAGCTCATGCCGAGGTCATTTTGGGGTGTGAGCGTAAGGGTCGTGATCAGAGTCTCGGTTCGGAATCTGGAGGTTGGAAGTTGTCGACGTTTGAGAAGAGTATCACGGTGGCCACCCAGAGGAGGATGGTGGCTACTATACTTCCCAGTACGATCGCGCCCCCCACCAACCCAGACATAGCGGCAGTTCCTGGAGAAAGGAACTCCTTCCTTCCGGAGAAGTTAAAGGTATCGAGGTTTGATGAAGAGAGGACTGTAACACCCAATGCACCTGATACGGCCCCTACTCCGAACACCAATAGCACGCAGCCTAACCAAGCCGCGTACTCCGATAACCGACGTGGGCTGCACAGGTTCTTTGACAATCCTGCGTCCGAATCATCGTCGAAGAAGTCTTGTCCACGGCTGCGTGTATCACCTCGACTCTCTGGCGAGTCTCCAGGGGGGAAGAGACCCATAAGATACACGACCAGGAGAATTGGTATTGCGAGGATAGCACCACCCACTGCGCCAGCTTGAACCGAGGACGTGAGCGTTGTTCGGGAGTAGATTGAAGTCGCTGGCTTTGCAGCTCGAAGGACCGCATGGCCCACGGAAATGTAGATGACGGAGAGGACCAAGGGAACCGCAAGCATGGACCCAATGATGATTGCCGTCAGCGCTGCGGACTTAGGGTCGGAGGGTACGTGAAGATGCATGGTGGACGCGATAGCGCCAGGATTTGACGGCATATTGTAGCCATTCAGAACACCGAAGCTAGCGACGGTGGCCAGCGACTGCCGGCGCTGCGCTCGCTGCTGCTGTCTTCTTCGTCTGTCGAGTTCAGCCTGCCTATCCCCCTCGACGTCTGATAGAAGCGTGTTGGTGGGTAATGCTGTGTTGGGTGTTCTTGGGGAGAGCGATTGCTTCTCATAAACAGCCCCGTTGGTGTGGTCTCTTGAGCCGTTGGCGGAGACGATGGTATCCCTCGCGGCTGGTGGGGGACTTGCGCTTGGATTTGCCTGAGGCGGAACATCGTTTTTGGAAACTTGCGCTGAACGGTAGTTGAAACTGTCGTATGCGGCGAGCTGATAGGGATGAGCCCTCGGAGAATGATTCGGATTGGAATTGACTGCTGCTTGAGAGCTGTTTGCAGTTGAAGCTGTTAACGAGCGGGTGTGGTGGGCATTGGGAGAAGGTGCAAACGAGGACGAATTGCTGAGAGGGGGATATGAGAATGCCGGGGAGCCGTTGGTCGGGTTCAGAGCATCGCTTCGACTCCCGGTGGTCTTGCCAAAGGAGGATGGCTGGATGGAAGAGGATTGCTCTTTGAGGCGCGAGTTGGCGTCCGGAGAAGCTGTAGACATAGGAAGAATCGATTCCGAGTTATCTGAGTCGGTAGTTGTCCAAGAGGAACGGGGTTCGCCACCAGGACCACCTATGTTGCTGCTGGTGCTTGGCTTGAGCAGAAGGAAGGAGCGGTCGTTGGACTGGGGATTCTGAGTCGATGCCATGTAGTAACCCGGTTTATCTTGAGTATCCGGGGGTTGGGGCGATGGACTGTTGAAGGGGTGCAACAATCAGATAGATGGAGAGACCGTGAGTGTCGCGAATTCGCAAGGATCAGGGTTCCTTCGGATGACCAGTAGTTTCGGGCGGGATATTTCGAAGTGCTCTAAGCGCCACCGACGTGGAGTGTCGAAGGAATGGGAAGGTGATGGTATGGGGGATTCACGGCGCCCTTTTCCTCAAGGGCAGCCGCGCTTTCAACAAGCGGTCGTCGCGTTGGAGTCAATGATAGTGATATTGAAGGAAGGACTGTGAACAGTCAGTCAGCTTGTCAAACGTACACCAAGTGACGCCTGCTGGGAACACATACCTGGTGGGTATTAGGTGGAATTAGGATGTAGGCGTTACTCGTAGCGTCGGTGAGAAGGTCGAGTTGGATGGGGCGATAAAATAAATTGTCCAATTGACTCCGACCGACGACGCTGACCGAAGCTTCCTCCCACCTTTTCCTTTCAGAGAGTTGAAACGTTGCAATTGAGATATCGCTATGTTCGCGGATTTCGGGTGGAACTTGCGTGATGTTTCTCCGCGCGCCTTCTGTGGTCGTAATGGGCTGGTGTCTCTTGAATCTGTAATCCGTCGGCGAGGAGCAGCGGGGATAGTGACAACTGAACGGACAACTAGCTCCAACGCCTGCTGAGACTATCGCCACACGCTTACTGTTCACACAGCCCCACGATAAAGGTAAGGAATTATTGTCGTTCTGGGTTTGCTGGACGTTGAGAATCAAGGAAGCGGCATTGCCCAAGGGGCAAGGTTGGAAATAGGACAAATTCCATCCCACAGACTCGCACACTTCCTCTTGTCATGATGTCGAATTGATGCCAGCTGATGTCCCTTGTGATCATAATGATTGGCGCCAACGTGGCCGGCTATTCCCCTGTCTCCGGCAAAGAGCGATAAGCGCCTTGCCGACTTCGGTCCATGGAACAACGCTCCCAGTCACTCTAGTATGTAGCTCAACAAATTATAGACCATATATTCACAAATATGAGAACTGTTCCCTCAGAAAAAAAGAAAATAACGACCCATTGACTACTGGAAGACCTGCGTAAACGTTCCGTCGGGATTTGAAATCTGTGATGGGTGTTGATGTAAGGGATCCCGACGATGACCGGCGCTGCTGGCGAGCCCACACCCGCCCTTTCTCTGTTGGTCATGTCCCAACCGCAGAGTTCCACACCAAAGGCCTCCAGCCGGCAGTTTAGGGCCTGTTTGTCACCCCTCTGGATGCATTGGCTTGTCTCAATTCTCTGTGATTCGAATCTCCTCAGGCCATCAGCGTGTTCCTTGCGGATAATACCTACAAAACCTTGATGAACGTCGAGGAAACCTGCCGAGTTGCTTCAAGACAGAGGGTCCACTGCATCATCAGCTTTTGAGGTAGAAGCCCACTATCTCAACGATTCCGCTCTCAAATCCTGGATGGCCACTCTGCTGTGAAAATTCCTCCGGATTCCGAAGCTGGCCATTGCGCCAAGTACTAATAGCTATTCCTCTGGATTTCTACGCACTCTATTTATGAGCTCATCTGTTGCACTGGGACTCTCGTTTCCTGAATCCTTTCCAATCTGGCTTCCACGTTCATCCCCGAAGTCCTTACTTGAACGGGCTCTCGATGACGTCGTGCTTCATCACGGCGATCAACTTGACATATCACGGTGAGTGGACTGGTGACTTCCGTCGCGCTCATCGAAGCAGGATAGTGGCGGCACAACGGACCTTTAGTGGAACCTTAAGATTTAACCTTCTCCCCAATACTATGGATCATAGAAGACTTACGTCCCGATGCCTAGCTCTGGTCGATGCGGAAAGCCTGTACCTTCGAAAAGATGGGCCATTCGACATGTTCGCCGAATGCCTATGACGAGCGACTCTGTCAATCTGGATGGCCTCCGTGGCTAGGCGACCCTGCATATGCACCGTATTGCCGTCTCCGGGCTTGTTTGCGCGGAGTGACATATGGACGACGACCATCGATGTGTGGAGCAAAGAACCGAATCTGAACGCTCTCTGTTAGTAGTTCCGGTCTTTGACAATCCTGGATGCTCCGTCTGAGGAGATGTCCCAAAGTCTCATCTTCTATCTTGGAATCACTTTCTCGGTTGACTTGCCTCGAGGAGCCTTCCAGGACGGCCTGCTGCGATTGCTCCCAGCATTGCCTATCTATAATCCACGGAGAACTCCGATGTCAAAGCTCCGTTGCTCTTCATCTTCGACGACAGAGCGGCCTCTGATATGGATGCTCGTTTGACCACTGCAGTCTCGACCGGCGACTACATATCCATCGGAGGAATCCATGGCGGCGATTTATCGACAACACGTTGTGGCGCATTTCAACGTTTTTATTGTACCCAGTTGTCTCGTGGTCAAGAGTGGACCATGCCAGAGGACTAGAGGATTAAAACCTCCCGATATGACTTGTGTGACAAGGTATACTGTTGCCTGTGGCGAGGAGGCAACTCCGAGTTCTCCGCAACTGGCGTGCCCTCTTTGGCGTCCATCCTGAAATACGAGTATGAACCCTTCTCCTTACTTTGGGCAGAAAGCTGCTGCCCTGTGGAAGAACTTCGCTAGAAATTTCATCGGCCAAAATTGGGTTGTGTTCGACCACGTTTTCTGGTACCGGTGATGTTGTTCGACCAAATATGGGTCACACTTCATCATTTTCTGCAAGTCGGAAAGAAATCGGTCAGGTGAGCCACAGAATGTGGCAATTCTTCCTGCGAGGACCGATGAACTCTAATCTGTGGACCCTTTCGTCATTGTGGCGGACTTGATGTCGTGAGGTCGTAACAGCAACGCTGTCATGGGATGCACCGTACACGGTTGGAATCACATCCATAAACCCACAACCTGGCTCAAGCATAGGAGCTGCTCAGCTCTTTCACTTGAAGAGTTAGGGATGGAAATGGAAAACGCAGAGGGCTTTGTTGAACCTTGAATGCAATTTAACTTGATAGAGACACTTCCGCTGTGGGCTCCGTCAGCCTATTTCTGGCCAATCACATCACCCAGGAGAGTGTATAGGCAGGCAGGAAAGCAAGTGAGTACCTTGCTTCGCATGCATAGCTATTATGGTCAAGAATTTGATGGTGCGATCTGTTCCGCCTCTCCAACAGGAAGTGCGACCTTCTCCTCAGCGTCTTTATGGCCCGTTCATTTCCAGTTATCACCCAAATACCGATAGGATGAGAACATCGATTGCGAATCCCGTCGAAAATTCCGGTGCGTGTTTTGGAACGTTTCAAATGGATATCGATCCTTTCCGTGCCCCAGTACCTCCAGCCGCGCATCACAGTGAACCCGCCGTTTGATTTTCGTGCTAAGTAACTTCTTGACGCTAACGAACATTTGTTACCTTCTTTCGAAGCTGGGACTCCTTGGAACGATACCGGTCCTGCGGGAACTATACCGAACGAATGCAGGACTACCCGCGATTGGAGAATCTCATTTTTGAGAAGATCACAGTATTGTGGCCTCATGCCCGTCAGATGTGCGTAGTTATGCTCTAAATAGGAATCGAAATAGAAGAATTGAAGGGAGTCACTAGTCACCACGTGTTGCGCCCAGGCTGCCTTTCAAGGTGTTCTTACATTGTGCCTTATGACCACCATCTGAAAACTTTATCCTGCCTGACCCGTTGTTATCCCCACAAAGTTGCCATTCACCAGGTCTTTCCGGGAGTAACCAAGTATCTGGGGCATCTACTGGGCCAACTCCGTCCCTCTAGAGACTTCCTTGTGTGGCCACTTGTCCCCATTCCACTCATACACTGCCTCCGGCTACCGTCTTCCTAGATCCTGTCCTGGAGGTCCACGTATTCTGATTAAACAACATTCCGTGAGCTCCTTTCAGTCCGTTCCACGGGAATATCTCAGCTCACTGTGCGGCGATAATAGTTTAATCTCAATCGCAGGCCTACCTGTCAATTTCGGAGTCCGCATTGGGTGCAATAAGCTCGTTGATATCCCACCTCAAGGGTCGCCTGCTTCTCTGGTCTAACCTCGTCTTCCTTGGTCTAGTATCCTTCAGGAATCCCAGAAACGAAGGAAAACTGGCGAGTTCACCTCTCTATTCAGGCCAACTGGCCGCCCAGGGACAAACTCCCACTTCGTTTCAAACAGGAACCGCCCAGGGGACCCCTATGACGGACAGTATGCTCTTCAAGACCACAGGCCCTAATCAGCCTGTGGATGTCCTTCTACTAGTAGAGAACTCTCAGGAGATGTCGTATATCTGGGACGATCTTAGGGATCGTTACCTCGCGAGGTTGATGGACAGACTGAAGGCGGCAACAGAGACGAGCGCGGTAAGTTCCCTTGTCGAGTTACCTCGTCGGGGAGAGTCTTGGACTTACACGTCGATGACAACGCGAAGAATCCCGTTAATGTATGGGTTCTCGAGAGCCAACCTCTCCAGGCAAGTGCAACCACACTACCTCGGCAATACCACGATCCCCACCACGCCTTGCGCGAGGTCTGCCTCAATTACATGCCTGAAAACCGGATCTCGTCCACAAAGGTCGATTCAGCCATCGATGTGAGTTCTCGCCTCCATGTCACATCTCATGTCACGCCTGATTTGGCGATCAAATGTATTTTGGTAGTTTCTAGCGAGCTTGACAAATGCCCATGCACATGAAGTCCCTGCGCTTCACCTCATTGTGGTAGCGGTATCGACCTTGATCGATAACACGGAGACGAGCGCTATCATAGGGATGGGTGGTGCAGCCGAGCTCTCAACTTGGGGATATCTGGCCAAAAGGCTATCTCAGGTACGAAAATGAGACTGATTCCCCGGAGAGTTATTTCATTAAAATCCTTTTCAGGCCAACATTTATTTCCACACCGTTACTCGGTCGAAAGAGGATATGACGGCCCTGACCACCATGTTTGACGAGACCGTAAGTGCCGGACAAATTGAAAGACACCGAAAGCGATCTTACACTGATTTCTTATATATACCTAGCTTCGTCTTCACCGTGGCATTGAAGACGTTGCTTCCTTCCCTGTCCAATCCGAGGTCAAACTCCGTTTGTCCATGGCACCAATGGCCCCTACCGATAATTTCCAAGGCTATAGTGAGTTTACATGACACCGTTCTTCGACACACAGTGCAGAGCTAAACATTCTTCCAAAGGTCAAGTTAATGTGCGTTAAGCATAGTTCCACATTAATCAAAGCATACGGTCTTTCTAACTTCTTTGATTTCTTATATCTAGCCGCCGCCACGTCCAACGCGTATCATGATGCCTCCTCGGCGAAACACCTTTCCTTTCGACGCCTGTTATACCGAGCAATACTATGACGAGCAGCAGCAAGTATCCCGCCCTCCTGACATGGACACCTCCCCTAGCCTCGTCACTCAACTGCAACAGGTCCACGGTTTGACCAAGAAAAAGGTTTATGGGGCGAAACCACAAAGGAAACCTTTCTTCAAGGACGAGCGGGTCGAACGTCCCGACGGACGCACGTATCACCACGCCGCAACCGCGCTGCATACTGCACCTCCTGCGTACCTCCCTGACGGCGTGGCCCAGCAGCATGCCTCTCTCTCATCAGCCGGTGGTCGCATGCCATCCCTGTCCAAGGTCCATCGTTTAAGCCGTATCCAGTCCAGTCCCGCCGATGTACAACCGCGACGGTACCTTGGATGGGCAGGTCGAGAATCGCGGTTATCATCTCCAGAACCCGTGGAGCCCTTGGGCTCGCCTTCGTCTGCCACAGGCTACAGCGATGTATCACCGACTGCGTCATCATATATCTCATCCGACGTCTCTTCTCCGGTGTCCCCAGCTTCGGTGGAGGATTACTACAGTGCCGGTCAATCAGGTATCGCACATGTACCTGGGATCGTCAATGGCGGTCACTCGGATCCATCTTGGTTGCAGTCGGGATATTCTGCACCGTACGCCAGCCCAAGTCATGTTATGCCACCTATCCAGCAGGGCTACTTTGCACCCCAACCCGCATCCTCGATTCCGATCTACCCAGAGGTGCCGATCCAGATGTATAGCCCTGGCTACCCTGGCGTCCTTACTCCTGGGCACGAGATGTCGCTTTCGGATGGCATCCCGGTCCCGGTTGAGCCGTCCAAAAGCCCATCTTCCATGCCTTTACTCAGTCCCGGCATTAACACCGTTTCTCAACCATCCGTACCCGCGACCAAACCCAACGCTGTCATTTCCGAAGCGATCACCCCAGCTGCCCCACCGCCACCAGCCGCTGAAGCATCCACTAAGAAGTCGCGCCATAAACCAGAAGACGACGAATACATCGAACTAGACCCAAAGTACATCGAGGCCACTACTAATCTCTTTAACGAGCTCTTCCCGAACGCTGGACGCCTTCCAGAAACCTCGCCTTCAGGCACCAAACCGGCTCTAAACGGCACCATCAACTCTTCGAGTGGTTCCTCCAGTCCCAAAGACGTACGAACCTGTCCTCCCGGCTCGAGAGTGTCCAATGGTTCGACCACACCCCCTTCTATCGCGTCCGGTCCTCCTGGCCCCACGCCGACGAAGCTCGCGACATCGTCCACTGTGACATCTTCGTCAATGTCTGCTTCGGCAACTTCTTCGTCCGGCTCCACTGTGGATAAGACCTACTCATCCACGGCCTCTCATGGATTTCAGCAGCCGTACACCACCACCACTTCCTCTTCAGTCTACCCAGTTGCGTCGGGAGTTACCCCAGGGTCACTCGTTCCTGTCGCAGCGGATCCTCAATCCGTGATGCAGGCCATCCCTGTCACAAACCCCTATCACGGCGGCTCCGTGTATCCTCCCGCTCGAGGAACCTCTTCATTGACCGGTTGGGCTGGTTAACATCATCTTCCAGGACCAAGACCGCCGTTTCTTTGCCCTTTAACCTATAGAATACACGAGAACCATTTCCGATTGATTCTAATTTCTCCCTCGGCTGTAATTTCCGCCAGTCTATCTCTCTTCAGCATCCTATGGCCGTTCTTCACCATGCTTTCTTGGGATTTAGTGCTCTTTCTCTTTTCATTCTCTCTCGGGGCTGTTCGTCGCTTACTTTTGTACTGTAGATATTGTTATGTAACCGGGCTGTTTTTTGCTGTGTATCTATCGTTGTCGCACTAGGTGCCATCCTGTTTTCCGTTGCCCCCTTCACTATCCGATTTAATGGGTATTCATGAATAGATCGTCAGTAGGAGTAGATGTCAGCAATATGTTCATCATCTTACAACGAATCTGTATACAACATCCTATGGACCCTCCCTGCTCACCACGATGGCATCAGTTGTGTCCCCTACCGAGATCGAGCGCCCAACCTAGTTGCAAGCAGTTTCCGATTATCCGAGGGAGCGAGCGACCTACTAAAGACCGAGTGTGATCAGCGTCCAGTGTAAAGGGAAAAGTCGAACCAAAGTAACGGAATCAGAGAGCCAAAAAAAGTCACCGTGCAGATTTGAATGGTATATACCCGTTCCAATTCAAACGACTGTGACTGGTCGGGTAAGCGAAAATGCAAGGTGAAGTGCCAAAGAGTGAATGAGCGCATTCTCTATTCAATTTTCGTACAGGCTTTAGATTTCCAACTCAGCCCCCCCGAGGGGGAAATGCGAAGCCTTTCTTCCGTTCAATTGAAAATTACCTTGATGACCGAAGAGCGACTCACTGGGCAAGGGGGACCAAGCGAGGTGACGTATCAATGGGCGACGAAGAAGGCAGGTTGGTCGCAACTTATGCCACAATTTTGAGGATATAGACTTTCAAAGCCAAGGCTCTGGGGAATTTTTAGGGGTGTGCAAACGTTCGTTGATGGAAGGGTCCGAAGCTGTCTTCAAGTCAAATGGACGCGAATTCCAAATCCCACCCCATTGAAATTACGGTGAATGCAAAGTACAACATCGAGAAAATAGATGAAATAAAGAAGGCGAAACAGACGTCCAATGTCAGTGGGAGCTGGAATGTCGTGACGAAAGAGGGCGGAAGAGAGACGCGGTGGAGATTTACTGCGCCTGCTCTGCGTAAACCTAAAATGAGAAGGAAAGTTAGCCTGGAGATCCTGGACTGTGGGGAAAGCAAAGTCAAATAAAGGGAGGTGCCGGAGCTGGACCGCAGCCATGGATATTCCCCAGCGAATACGAAGGGATAGGCGCGCGACCATTCCAGAAAGTGAAAGGTATTGAAACGGCACAATGGAAACTGTGCAGGGTTTAAAGATTGAAGCATGTAGGAACCGGCGTCAGGCTGACATAAAAAGGAAAAGCGAACCTTGATAGTCTTATCCGCGCCACCGGTGATCAGCCGAGTTCCGGTTTGGTCGAATGTTGAGCAGAACACGCCTGCTTCAGCCTCCAAAGATCCAGGCTGAGGAATATCCTCGAGATTTTGGAATGGCGTTCCGGTATTGTAATCCCAGAAGGTTAATGTGCCATTGTCTCCACCAGAGAAGAACACGCCCTCTGCGTTGACAGACAACGTGTTGATGATCGAGTTGTGGCCACTGAAGTTGAATACGAAAGCTCCTTCGGGGCACTTCCATTTCTTGATGTTGTTGCCGCCTGCAGACCCCGAGGCAAACGAATACTCGGTTGGGTGGATGGCCAGCGATCGAACTGACTTTTTGTGGTGAGTTAGGGTTGTCATCGTCTTTCCTGCAGCAAGATCCCATAACCTGACACCGGGAATGAATTAGTGTGAAGCTCCCGACGATGCATTGAACTTACCTGATCGTCGAGTCCATACTTCCGGTGATGACTTGAGGGTCTGAGTCCTGGCATTTCACATCTGCGACGGTCGCCGTGTGCCCGGATAAGACATGGATCTGAGCCTTTGTCCTCATGTCCCACACGCGCGCAGATGCATCTCGACCGGCGGTGACTAGGATGTCAAGCGTGGGGTGTAATGACAATGCGTAGACACCGGATAGATGGCCATGGTAATGGCGGATGACTTTGTTCGCCTCCAAGTCCCAGCATTTCACCATCTATGTAAAATGGTGAGGTCAATCAACTAACGCTCAAGACGGTATTACGCACCTTGTCCTCTCCACAACTAAAAAGATACGGATGACGGGACGAAACAGCCAACCCCCGAACAGTGCTGATGTGACCAGTCAAGCTGAGCTTCAGTTCTCCGCTTGCCAAATCCCAGATTTTAATAACACGATCGCCTGCACCTGTCGCGAACCACTTGTTTCCCGGTTCTACGGCCACACTCCGCACCCAACCCAAATGGCCGGAAATGACTCGCATGAGTTTCCATGGAGGATGGTAAGTTGGTTTGATGGTGTGCGTTTGTTTGTGAAGAGCAAGGGCTTGCGACAATTTCGTGGATGATGAGAAAGTCGAGGGCTGTTGAACTGGTGTCTTGTCTATGGTTGCAATCATCCGGGAGGTACTGGGATCTGCTGGAGGTGATATTCGTCGTTAGTCACGCGTGAATGAAGGAATGAGCGGTACTGAGAATCCAAAATGCAAAGGCCGCAGAACTTCTGAGTATGTAAGTGGAAAAGGGCCACGGCCGCTAGCCGTGTTACCCCGCCGGTTCTTTGTGACGAAGCACGACGATCAGCATCGCGTCCCAGCGTGGAACTGACTTCGTTACACAGGTCTCCTTCCTCCACAACATAACTGGGCCCCTGGCATACCCGTTCCAACGAGCCCTAGCACGCTGGAACGGGTGCATAGCGGGGAATTCCCCGTCACGGTACTATCGTTCCTCTGGAGAAAGCACCAGTCCTGACCAAGGTCCACAAGCTCCAGCTTCCCTCCAGACCGATGCGAGATAAAGAAGCGCCAAAGCCGGACCCAGGGCAGAAAATGCATCTCCAGTCAGAGTTCTATGGTCAAGAGGCGACAATCTTCATGGAGACTGAGATCCCAGGCCCCAGCAATGTCCCTCCACGACGATGCGAACCGTATCTCAAAGCCCGACACCATTGTACGCCCAAACCGCCGTTTCCGACGACAGAAGAACCAAAGAACCAAGAGAAAAGACAGAAATACAGGCTTGATAAATAGAACGATTGCTCACCTTCCCCCCCTGCTGTGATCATCTTTCTCGATTCCTTAGGCCGTGCAGGACCAACAGGACCTTGTTGGGCAAGCAATGTTGAAGGCAGAGCTTTGTAGTCTTTGTATTCATCTCGAATCTTGACCGCTAATCGCAGTCGTGAACTATAAGCGACGTCAGTCCCAACCCTGTCCACGACGATGAGCTCACTCACCTAGTTTCTTCCTCTTTGGCGCCAAAGTCGTCGAGCTCGGACGCGAACGCATCCCATGTTCGCTTAGCGTTTCTCTTGAACAGAGGGTCGAGTGTTGGAAGGCCTGCTGTCGTCGTCATCATCAAGGAGCCTAATCCGGCGTAACGTCGTGTCGGTCGTCGTGGTCGATTAGGAAGGCGCAATTGCTGGCGTCGGCGTCGTCGCGGACGGCGAGGACGAATTGATGCGGAGTTCGAAATCAGTTTTGGTCAGCAATTCCCACGCTCCTTCCACGACGGACCATCCTCTGTCAGTGCACGCGACGACGACGCCAGCCACGACGACGCCGACTGTCATCACGCCAACAACCACAACATTCAGGAGCGACCAGGACGAAAAGCAGAGCAGTTTTGAGCGGGGAAACGGCAGAAACTGGTTCTCGATAGTAGCAAAGACTCTTGTAAATACAGCGACCAGTCCATTCATAAACCTGTAGCCGTAGCGATGTCCAAAGACGTAGTAGAGCTCAAAAAGAATGTCAAGGCGCTTTCCCAAGCTGCCGGCGCCAAAAACGAGGGGGTAGGTGCTGTCGAGCCCGTCCAGGACGTCGTGAGCGGGGTTTTGACCGCGTCGACGGCGTCTTTCGGCCATCTGCGACACCGTTTCTGACTGACACCACGACTTTCCAGGACATTATCTCCATTCTGAAGATCCTAAAGAACGAATTCGACGTTACAGAACAAATCCTTAGGGTGAGTGCTTCATTTTTCGTTTTTTTCGTCGTTGTTTGACCCCATTTGTTGTCGTCGTCGTTTTCCAGGAATCAAAAGCTGGCCTCGCCGTGGGCAAGCTCAGGAGCCATGACTCGAAGGAGATCTCGACCTTAGCCAAGGAGATCGTCAGGAAATGGAAGACGGCGGTGGACAAGCAGAAAGGGGGCAAGACGACATCGGCGGCCTCGACACCGACCAACGCAGCGCCAAAACCAGCCGCGACGGGGACCGGGTCTTCGAACAACAAAGCTCGTGAGTCTATCAGTCGTTTGACTCAAGGCTTGGTCTCAGTTTCTCCTTTCAGCGACCCCAACGTCGGCAGGCCCGCTGAGGACAGCTAAAAGCGACGGCGTTACGGGCAGGACCGGCGACAAGGTGCGAGACAAGTGCGTCGAGCTCCTTTACGATGCCCTCGCCAGCGATTCGACAGCCCGTGAGTGCCAATTTTGTCTCTGTTGGCCATCGCTGACCATTGTCTAGCCATCGAGATGGTCTTGAAACGGGCGTCCGAGGTCGAAGAGGCCGTCTTCAACCTCAAGGGCGGCGCCAACCAGGAATACAGGGGCAAGATTCGTTCGCTGTACGTCAACCTCAAAGACAAGAACAATCCAACATTGAAGGAGGACATCGTCTCTGGTGAGATTCCTGCCTCCAGATTTGCTGTCATGACCAGCGAGGTGAGCGGGCAATCCATTTCTTTCGTGGGCTGCCACTCACCGCCCTTGCAGGAAATGGCTTCCGAGGAGCAAAAGGCCGCGCTAAAGAAGATCCACGAAGAGAACCTGTTCAAGTCTCTGGCCGCTCAGGAAGCAGACGCCGAAACCGATGCATTCCAATGCTCCAAGTGCAAGCAAAGGAAATGCCGATACCGCCAGGCCCAAACCCGCAGCGCCGACGAGCCTATGACAGTGAGTGTCTCCCCTCCTGCTGTCTTTCCCGATGCTGACTATGTCTCCGCCAGACTTTCGTCACGTATGTCCCAATGCTGTCCTCGTACTTAACGGATTCACTGACCTTCCTTCGTACAGCTGCGTGGTTTGTGGAAACAGGTATGTCGCTTTTGGTGTCCCTAACGTCCCCTCACTGATCTCCTTGCCAGATGGAAATTCTCATAAGTTATCATCGACTCTTAATTCTTCTACCTTATCATTATTGCGTTCTGGATTCTGCCCTTTCTCCTTTCTTTCGCCTTCGTATTGTGTATTACCCTCCCGCTTTTCCGATGGACGAATGTTATGCGCTTCGTTTGGTCTTGGACTTCGGTCGTGCACGTTTCGTGAGCCAGTTCTCCCGTGTATGGCAGCCCCTCCGACCGTTTTCTTCAGTACGACAGAGTACGACCATTCCTATCCATGCCCAGGGTGGCACTGGTGAGTCATTTTTCCACTTTATCTCCTCTTCCCGTATTCAATCCAGCCGCACACAGTGAGCTGGGCGCACATTGGAAGAGCAATCTGCGCTGACTTCCGAAGGATCGAAGCCAACAATGGACAAGCCTGAGAAATGCCCAGACCAGCCAACACGTATGGTAGGGTCCTTCCGTCTTGTCTCTTGCCATGCCAAGTTTATGGACTGGCAGGGTGCATCGTCGTTGAATCGCAGAGTCCAAGCTGCCAGCTCTGCTTGTGCTCCATCGCCAGCCTGCGCGAGGAAGGTCAAGGTTGGCGCGATGAATCACCACTTCCAATACCCCAATCGGATGGGAAGGATGCGTTCACTTTACAGGTCCGAGCATTTGACATCACTTGTAGCAACGTGAACAAGAAACGGTAAACGGTCTTGGTCCGAATTGGCTCAAAGCACCTTCTCGTTGTGTCGCAGGCCAATGCACTGTTTGTGAAAGCAAGGCAGCTGAGCGGGTCTCGAGAGTATCCCACAGACAGGTGTTCTGGATGCTGTAATAGTTATTCTGTATTCATCGAGTGTCGTAAAGGACATTGTTGTTCCTCCACGTACACGTCCGCTGGTTGAATTCCGGCTCTCTAACAGCACCCGCTTCTTCGCCCTATTGTCGCGTTTTCTTCGAGATTACACATGCCCAGCGTCTTCCTATCGCCCTGGCTAACCACTTGCCTTGCAGACAGACAACCAGGCTCGTAGCTGCTCCAGTACGCCTCCAGCCCCGTTTCCTTGGCAAGTTGTCTCGTCTCACCGGTACCGTACAGCCAGCGGAAACAACAATCCCCTATCAGCGTAACGCGTTAGATTCGCGTTTCGCGCAGTGAGCACTACGGCATAGCAACGGCAGCTTCTCAGTTGACTCGAAGGAATCAAGATGGACATAACTCGGACCAAGGCTTTCCCTCTCAACTCTAAAGCCGTTCCTGACAACCCCCGCTCCCTCTCTGACCTGACAACCGTCGGATAGGTTTCACCGCTCAATATAACTCCGTTACACCAGGTACCGCATCGCCCCAGACGCTCTTCCCTTCGCTGTCTCTGACTGTCATCTCTGTACAGTTCACGTCTGTTATAGGACGGACTGTCGCGTTGAACGAAAATGCCAGTACCACAATCCCGATCACCAGTGCTTTTGGCGCCTCCTCCGAAAGTCAAACCTCCCCGATCACCACTTCGAATCCAGCCGACGCCGTTCAAGCCCCAGAAATCCTTCCTTATCCTCGATAGCGGGCCTCTCGACACTGACGAGATGGCACCCGTCACGTCCGACCCACCACCACCACCACCGAGGGAACAAGCCTCGTCACCCTCCACATCCTCTCTCTCTTCTTCATACTCAGCATCGTCTGTGTCCATCCTCTCATCCGCGACATCCGTCGAAGGCGGTCGGATACCCAGCCGAAACAACAGCAACGACGAGTCGCGACCACATCGCGATCGAGCGTCATCCAAGTCAAGTCGGGAGACACTGGACCTTGCGTCTGCGACACTCGTGTTGGAGGAGGTGGAACAGTGGTTGGAGTACATCAACAAGCGAATGGGGCAGTTGGAGCGGAGGCACAGGAAGCGGTTGGATTCGTTCTCGAATCAAGCGACGCCTATAGCTACTACTAGAAAGCTTTGAAGAATGGACGACGACTGGATGCAGATCGAGCTGTGTGTTTTTATGATACTGTTGTACCATATAGGACTGCTATATTAGCTTTCGTCTTCGACTATTAATCCATGCTTTTGCGGCGCGAGCGCCCGTTGAAATGGTGGACCGATGGCGGAATGTCAAATTCGGTGTTTCTTCCAGACCTTGATCATGTTCCGGGGTCATCGCAACTCTCATACGACCTCAGTCGATTTCGGACCCAAACGCTGATACAAATCATGGGGCATTGCACTGCGATGGGTTGTGGTCGCTTCCCCAGTCTGTCTCACCACATTTCGTGGGTCGTACAGTTTCAAGAGCAGACATTGTCTCGGTGAGTGAGCCTCGACGCAGAATTGACTCGGACGAGATGCTAAAAGAGCGAACGATATAGGCTCTGCAGAGGTTTTAGACCCTGTCAGCCACATCTGCCTTGGCTGTAGTCCCAATCTAAACCATGGCGGCTGACATTACGGATCGAGCCTCAAAAAGCCCAGTGGCTGCGGTCGCAGTCCTCTACTACGATGACATGGACGACATAGACGAAAACGACCGCACGCACTTTATCGACAATCTTAGGGCGACCCTCGTGGCGACCCTCATCGTTCAGCACGCAATCAACGAGACAGCAGCCACATCATACCCCCATTTCGACTCGCTGCCGCTCAGTCTATTCGTTCTATTGAGCAAGACCGTCGTCCCTGGATTGTTCTTCCTTATCTCAGGATACGCATCATCGATTACACGGATCACAGAGTCCTCGGGGTATTACGGTGGAGGAAGAAGCGATGCAGAGTTTATCTGGAGGAAGACCATCAGGCTGCTCCTACCAGCGCTGGTTTACGGGGGAATTGGACATGTGGTCCTGTGGATGGTGTTGACCAAGAGTCTGCCGTCCACTTTCTTTGATGGTGGTCCTCTAGCCTGGAGTTTCTCCCGCCTCGAAGGGCCCATCGCCTACCTCGCCTTTCTCTACCTCATGGACATGGCCTACGTCTCCCTATTTCCAGCGAGAAGAGGCGCCTCTCCTCTCCCTTCCGAGAAACGACGGAGCCAGCCCCGATCGTTCGAAACACTGGTCAAATCGAAGCGGGACTGGTACACGGCCGTCCTCGCTGCCGTCCTGCTCCTCTCGATATGGACCTTCCTCGTGGCTGCTTCAGGACGAACAGACCAGCCCACGTTCACGTTCCCCATCAGCTTCGCAGCGTACGACCCCATTTCCCCAGTGGCACCCTTCCAATACATCTTTGCCTACATGGCTGGCGCTCGGCTGTACAAGTGGCAGAATCACATCCTCATTCCGTACAACTACGCTGTTCCAGCCTTTGCGCTGTCCCTCGTGACCTCTTTGGGCACCTTTATCCTTGCCCACGAGTATTCGCCCTCCCTCCAGAAACTGCTGGACCTCAACACCCCATCAGCAATCCATCCTTCCTTCGTGGATGGTGGTTTCAACCTCCACACGCTCTTCTACGCGGTCTGGACCACCTGCTCCTTCGTCGCCATTTCCCTGACCCTGGTATCGATCTTCGCTCATTCGGGCTGGACGAGACGAGACTGGGGCGTCGTCACGAAGCATTGCTACCTCCCCGTCTGGCTGCACATGCTTCCGATTGCTGTCCTGACGAGATCGTTTGCCGCGGATGAAGGCCGCTGGGGCGAACTTTGGGAACGAGGTGTTGAGTGGAGGTGTTTCTTGGTTTCTGGGGGTTCTGTTCTTTTCAGTTGGGTTGCTAGTTTTTTTATTGTTTTTATGGGACGGATACTATCATATTAAACGTTTCAATCTACGTTTCATGCACACCTCGACTTCCGTCATGGGACTTTCCTTGGATCTGTATGGGCTTCTTCAATCTAGTCTCAGCGCTCTACCAATGCTGGTGGTGGGTCACTAGCACTGGTTCAATTGCGACTTTCCAACAAAGCGCTTCTGATTTCTGGAGGCTCGGAATGTTTGTTGCCACTTCTTCTGCGGCATACATTCCCCAACGGGGAAGGAATTATGCATTTTTGTTGTGCCTGGTGCAAGAGTGCAGACTCGGTATAGGCAGCACTAAAGTAGGAAGGGGTGACTGATTGGCGTCGATCACGTCCCGAAGGGCTTCTGGCCGAGTCGCTAAAATTAGACTCATTGGTAGGAAACGTATATAACCCAAGCTCACGTTCAAACGTCCTCTGACGCTTCTTTCTTTCCAACGCCCACAATTCCTCTCTGCTGGCAAATGGCACCCGCCCCTCCGTTGGGCCAGACAGCGCCGGTGCGACTAGCTGGATCTGTTCGGGCGTTGTACATCGCCTCGACGATGGGGCTACAGTACGTAGCGCGTCTGGGACGCTTTTGGCTCTTAGGCGATATCGACAACAGCACCACGAGCACGGGGCCAGGGGAATCGGACCACCTTAAAGTTCTTCACCGCCGTACAGAAGGAATCGATCGTCACGATCCAAAGTTTATCGTCTTCGTCGTTCTTATCCCCGTTCTGGTTCTACTTTCGGGCCTCTTCGCCGGACTAACTTTAGGCTATATGAGCTTGGACGAGACCCAATTGAACGTACTCAGCGTTAGCGGCACCCCGTAAGTTCATGGTACTCCAGTTAGCGACTTACTCTGACTCTATCTGATACGTAGTGAGCAACGAGAATACGCGAACAGAATCAAGCCAATCCGCGAGAATGGCCATCGCCTGCTGGTAACGCTCTTGCTTGCCAACATGATCGTCAATGAGACCCTTCCTGTTATCGCGGATCCAGTCCTGGGGGGAGGGGTTCCTGGAGTCGTGATGAGCACGGTGCTAATCGTCATGTACGTGGCTTCTTCACCGTTCGTAGTATTCTTGCCCCTGTTGGCCGCCTGCCGCGAAGGCGAAGCTGATGACGTCACGCGTTTTGATGGCAAGTGCCGATTCCCGACCCCTTCCTGTTGCTTGGGATTGCGGATGAAGTTAATGAGAGCGCAAGGCTATGGATTCGAGCCCGCTGCGTTGGATCTGTTTTCTACTACTTCACCTGACGAAACTTGAACCCAGATTCGCAGAGATCATACCCCAGTCTTTATTCAGCCGACATGGATTGTACCTTGGCGCTAAAATGGCGGGCTTGACGACGTGTCTTCTCTACGGCCTTGTATGTGGTCTCTACTTCCGAATGTAAGTTCAACTAATATCCTCAATAATAGGCAATCATTGCTTGGCCGATCGCCAAATTTCTAGAACTTGTCTTAGGGAATCATCATGGCCTCATCTACCGCAGAGCAGGCAAGTATATCTCCCGCTTTGGTGGTCAGACACGCTCTCATCGGAATGCCTAGAGCTCAAGGAACTCATTGCCATGCACTCGGCGAGTGCAACTCATGGTGGAGACTTGAAGGCCGATACTGTGAATATCATTGGGGCCACTCTCGATCTCCAGGAAAAGGTCGTAAAGCAGGTCGGTTTGCTCTCCAGCTCTGTAACTATCTCTTACCTCTACATCAGATTATGACGGACATCAAGGACGTGTTCATGCTCTCAATAGATGCGAAGTTGGATTATACGCTGCTGAAGCAGATCTGCGAGACTGGACATAGCCGGGTGCCAGTGTACGAAGAAGTCGACATCCCGCTCCCTCCAACATCGGGAGATGGAGCCTCCAGCCATGAGCGGAAGCTAACACACCGCGTCAGACGTATCGTTGGGATTCTTCTGGTTAAAACGTGCGTTCTGCTGGATCCAAAAGGTAGGTGAAGGACTCGTGCGTGGCTATTGTGCTAGCTGATGGAGAGCACCAGAAGCAATTCCAATTCGAGACCTGCCGCTAAACAAGGTTCCTTTCGTCGCCGGGGATGAGCCCCTTCTTGGGATTCTGAACAAGTTCCAAGAGGGGCGCAGCCACATGGCCATTGTCAGCCGTTTAAGCATTCAAAAGGTGATAGCAAGCTTATACTGCGATTCAACTTTCTTAACGGAATCTTGCAGGCAGAAAGTGTAACACGCATAGTGAGGCGCGAAATCACGAATGCCGGACGGGAACTTCTATCGCCCGAAGGAACGAAGGGGGCCACGCAGGGCCTACAAGGATGCCCTCTTCACGCCCCTCAGAAGCAGAGTGAATCAGGCACCGAATTGACGGTTATATCCACGAAGGATCTAAAAGCAGAGCCTTCTTGCGAGGTGTCAGTCCGAGAAGGCAAGTTCCATCAGCTATTCTGCCTCAGTATTTGATGGATAGTCTTGTAGTCCAAAGCTTGGCTGGTACTGCGACACCGCCTTCTGCTCGGGAGTCCCAACTGTCCGCTATCAAGAAGACGTCCAACTTCCTGGAACAAGCCCTGCCCTCGGATGCCATCCTTTCACCTGAAGACGCAGACCACGTATGACTTGAGTCGACTTTGCAAAGAGAATCGATCCTAATTCGGAGTAGTTTTTACAGAATTTTGATCCAGCTATCATGCCGCTCGGCATTGTGACTCTCGAGGACGTGCTTGAAGGTACGTCTCGAAGACTCGGATCCGGAAGAAAGACTCGATTCACGGCCCCTTTGCGCAGAGCTTATTGGTGAAGAGATTTACGACGAATTCGACACCCGCACCGCTCGCATATTGCCCTTTCCTCTTCCACCCAAGAGGACAAAGAGTGCACCGGCAATGTCTGGACAACCCGGTGACAATTTTTTCAAGTCCGACAGCGCCGCAACGAATGACACCCCTGCCGAGCCCTCAACAAGGGTGATCCAGAGCGATACATTGTCGCTGAACAATCTTTGTGGCTCCACCAAAGGCTCCCGGTCGCAGTTACTTGTCAGCGACTTGGAAGATAGCCCTTTATCCAGTCCCTCCATTCCTTCTTTAAATGTTCGGCGACTACACTCGGGCCAAAATTCTCCTGCTCCTTCGATCGAAACGAAGTTGCTGAATTGTCAACGCCGCCTCGAACCTGGAGTAGATCTCCTGCCGCCCGATCCGATTATCCGCCAACACGACCATTCTTCGAGCCCGGATGCAAAACCACCTCCAACATTGATCAAACGGACTTCGGCTGCAAAAGGAACGAAGTTCAAGAGTACTCCATTATCGCCAAGTGAGCGGGGCACCGGTTCAAGCTCCACCAGCAGGCATCAGTCCCCTGTCGGTAGGAGTGTTGCCCTTGAGCCGGAATAGTACGGGTGGGTTGGAAGCCGCGCAGAGCAGTCATCCTCTTATCTTGGTGGCGGTGTACTTTTGCGTGTTACCCCTTGAGGGCTATCATACATACATACCCGAAGAAATCCCATGCTCATGGACCTGCATTTTTGATAACGATGGCCGCGCTGCTCTAAATTTTGGCGGTATTAGATCAGGGCAAGTCCTACCAATGAATCGCGGTCTTCGTTCGTTCTGAGGAAAATGACTGACATACAACTGATATATGGAGCATACTACTAATACACGGTTTAGGATCCTTACCGACAAGATGAAGATACATGTGTTCCGAGTATACCGTACGAATTGGAAGACATATGCCAAGCACTGGGAGTGTCTGTGATGCTTGTTAAAACGTCTGAAGCCGACAATGGAATAAGAAGCCGATGGAACCAGAAGACACGAGAAGCAGGGTAAGGAAAATGATTCGTGTGACCTGAGGGAGAAGAATTATACTCATCTTGAACCTTGAAGTCAGACGGTGCACTGAAATGATTGTAAGCGAATGTTCAAAGGAGAGTGGAGTTGTTCGAATGCGAACTTACTTTGACTGCGGCCCATTTTACGACGACCTCTCGCATCCGCGCATTGGCAGAGTTCTCACACTCCTTGCAAGAAATGCCTTTTACCAAAGAAGAAAGCGCCGATTGGATTCTGTGAGTGGAGACATCTGCCAAGAAAAAGAATTAGAACCTGCAGATTGTATTGAGAACGAGTTCATCGTACGTACCTGGTGTGGCATCCCAAACGAGATACGAAGAGGCCAAAGCCCAAGCTCTCGTGAGCTTCTTCTGCTCCGCAAAGGTGCATTCTTTGGTGGGCGCGTGGGGATGTGGAGGCTGCAAAAGGGCGTCTTTCAGAGCGTCTAGACGATGGACGTGTAAGAGAAAGAGACGCTTGAGATACACGGAGCCAATTCTTGTCGCTAGTTCGTCACTGATCGTGGACAGGGGGAATGAAAGAAGATGGGAGGACACATGCACTGCCAACTCTTCGAGGCAGTGGAACCCGGCGAGGGCGTAAACCTCTATCGGTCGCAATGGTGCGTAGGAGAGCAGGAGCATGTACAGCGGCGTTTTGGGAACGATGAGTCTCTGAGGAGCGATACCGTGAAAAGGCATACGATCAACAGCTTGAATCAAATCGTCCAAGCTCGGTGAGTTTTGTGCGCATGATGTGCCGTATAATGTATGCAAGATGATGTTGAGCGTTGTTGAAGACTCTGGGATACTGATGGGGCCACCGTTGACGATCGACCCTTTCCCAGACAAGAATGCGAAGAATGCGTTTGGGGCAGCTGTCACGATAACTTGAGAATGGAGGTAGAAAAGGACACCATCGGATGAGCAGAAGATGACATCCGATTCGAGGGGGTGTGCGCCAGGACAGAACGACGTAGAGACGGAAACCACTAGTTCTTCCGTTTCGTCCTGTTCAACAGAGCTGGCGTCAGGGACCATCTAAAGCAAAGAAGCGCGACACCAACGCGAAAAGAAAGTGCATTGTCAGCAATTTCTGTAGGGTGAAAACGGTTTGGCTTGGGCTAACCGTGGGCGCTGGGGGTGGGGATATCTGTTTTAGTGAGACTGAACGACTGTACGACCCTGTGGAAGCGGGCGGCGATGGGTATATCGACGCAGGGTCGCTCGCCGCTACGCAGGCACTGTACTGCGGCCAGACAGTGTCATCTTGTACAGTCCATTGCTCAGGGATGGACTGGAACACGTTCGCAGGGTACTGATATTGCTGGGTCATAGAGGGAATACCGATAGGTGGATGAAGGAGAGGGTTGGAACTTGTTCGCTCAGCGTATTTCTCACTGGATGGGAGGAGGATCGATAGAATAGGAAGGAAACGCTTTAAGTATGACCCTCGAACGACCGCAGTATTTCGCTTCCATTTATATTTCAAGATTCCCACTCCATACGAACTTAAGGCCTAAGGTTCGAAAATTGAGCACTGACAGGCGAAAGGTATTGCGGTACGACTTGTCGCCTAACTACCGCGTATGACGACGCGCTCGCAGCTTGATAGTCTTGGCACGCGTTGTTTCTCCTTGTTGACTGGAATGTCGACCTTGAAACGCGACGAGTATGGTTATCTGCAAGAGTTTATCTAGTGGAAGACTCTGGTTGGGTTTGTCTTTAGCATCTACGTCATAAGCATCATGGTGACGTATGGGGAAAGCGAGAGAGATGATCTACCTTATTCAGTTGGCTTCCTTCTTGGTGGCGACCGAAGCGCTCCATGTCCTTGTCACAGTTGGTGCTTTCGGGGTATCCTCACGCAATCATTACGGTACCGCCGGGAGCTAGCCTCTCACGAAATGAATCGTAGTCCCAGTGGTCAAGAATCTAAGCTGGGTTGATCGCCGCACAAAGTGCCACGAAAGGCTCTTCGTGGTGCACCAGGGGCCTGACTGACACCGTCAAATACCAGACTGCGTTGTGCTGGCCAAGTTCTTAGAACATACTTAGCCCTCCTCTCACCTTACTAAACGTGCAATGGCCCCACACCGATTTAAACCCGCTACGCCAGTAGTTCTGATGTCCACATCTTAGGCGCCTTCTTGGTTCGATTGAATGGACGGACTCCATATCTAAATCCAACAAGCAAAGGGTGGCCTTGGTTAGTCATATTCCAATATTCACAGAGAAGCTTCTATACTCCTCGTGCCTTGGCTCCTTGCCCCTGTACTTGAGCTCCAACTTTATTCTGTATCCACAGGCAATCTCCCGCTCGAATTCCGAAGGCTTGCCATTCCACCCAAGCCGTGGCCGGAAATCTCCGTGATGGTCGATCCGAACAAATGTTGGCCGCCAGCGAGTAATTTCTTCTGGCATCAACTCTATCGCAAGGTCGCTTCATTGAGTTCAGCCGCTCGTCTTTGACCGACTTTTTCGTTATGCTACGAGGTCTGTGACAAACTAAGTCGTGCTCGGACCGACTTCTGCCTCATGTTGACCGCCCTATGGACCGCATCTCCGCTTTCTCCCTGCCCGGCACCAGCGCAGAGATTAAATCCGAAACCTCCTCGGAGAACATGGACTGACGACGACAAGTTAAATCCCAACTGTTAAATCTGCGATAAAGGAGAGTTCATGATAAACCGCTCATTGTCTCGGAAAGGGCAGAGGTTATGCTGTTCTCGTGTTCTTGTTGCTGCGGGCTACAGTTGATCTTTCATCGAGGACCAAAGAGAGCGAAAGGGCTTTGAAGTGGACCAGCATATGTGGCTCGGGATATATTTCCACGTCCATCATGTCAGCCTCGAAACGGCCGTTGATCCACCTACACTCTGGCGCGTGTTCTGAGGACACTCCCCCGTTCTTCGTTTCTAGGGTCCCACCCCCAAGGTGTCATCTCTCACAATGACAAGTCTCCCGCCCAATGTCCTGCAGAGAACCTTCAAAATGGCAGCCACGAGGGATCACAGAACGGCGCTACGACTGACGTTGGTATGTCGGGAGGCGCGGGAATGGTACGGTCGTCATCGCCTCAGTGTTCCTGAGCTTAATCCTGGGACTAGGGTCGAGCCTATCTTATATTCGGCAGTCAAGCTCTCAAACGAGGCATCGGTCGAAATCCTTCTCAACACGATGATTACCTCCAACAAACCCCAGTGGTTCTACGCTGATCATGTCCGATCGCTTGTTATCACTCAGAAAGCCCATATCCCTTCCCTCATCCAAATCTTGCTCGCTTGCCCTCGTATCTCGCACCTGACCTTTTGGAGCATCCCTGTACGTTCAAATCTGAGTCGCTGAAGTACAATGACGCTAACACAGGACCAAGGAACACGGAAGTCCTTCTTCAAGATCGACAGTGTTATTGCAATCGTCGCCATCCGGCAGCGGACCACGACTCTATCTGTCGAATCGACAAGCAGCAACCCCGATGCCGGTTTGCCATTACGATTTCCCGGACGACTGCTTCGAGACTATTCGACCACGGTTTCTCACCGTGTCTTTCAGACGCCACGGTCTTCCTCAAGTAATCTCCAACCCCGATTTTCAGCGTGGATTTTTCGCCCAGGTTACCCATTTCTCAGTCCTCAATTCCTTCGAGGAATGGGCCACCTGGAATCATATCCACCAGCTTCCTTCCCTCACCCATCTAGCGCTTGATTTCAACGTCGCCAAGGCAAGGGGCCTCCACTACCAGCACCACGTTCGCCAAATTGCCAAATGCATTCAAGCGATTCTGCGGAAGTGTCTTCGTTTGCAAGCACTAGTCATTCTACTTCTATTCGACGACCAACCACAGTGGACTGCAAGCGAAGTGATTGAAGCGATCAAGGAAGCTGAGGAAGCAGAATCAACGGTGTTCCCTTTCCACAACCCAGTTCGAGTGGTGGACCCCCGATTGGTTTGGGCGAGGAAGACGAACCCTTTCGCTGGGAGAGAAGCGCACTCGGATTCGGAGCAGAATATGTGGTGCGCTGCTGAACATCAAGTCCAAAGTCAGCTGCAGCCCAGCATGGCGGAAGTAGAAGGCGGTACGTCGGATGTCTGATCAGACCCTTATCAACTGAACGAACCCGAGTTGTAGGTCCTCGAGTACTTGAAGTTTAATCTCACGTCAAAGTCTTCGGCGTAATTCTGATCATACTCGCAAACCAGAGTAGCATTGGGGTTAAAGACAGACATGGCATAGTGTTGTACGATACAGAAGAGCTGGCATACTACATAGTCATATGTATGGAGTCCCACAACTACGGAATATGTTATGCATTCCTTTAGTTAAGTTCATAAATAGCTGAGGCCGTCTAGCTAGATGTGGCCTGGGAGACGTTAGTCAAGGGAAGGGGCTCGACGAACGGAACGAGGTGCGGCGGTATCTCCGGTTCCTCTTCAACTCTCAACGAGCTAGGCGGATACCGTTTCCGGGACAGAGCATCAGCGGGGTTATGCTTCGTCCAAATCCAGACCGGCATCAACTCAATCGCATACGTGCGACACAGTGCCAAAATGTGCTCGAGGACCTCCATATCATGGGGAACCCTAATGGTCCGCGTCTTCAAAGCCGTGATAACGCTAGAGTTGTCCGACCGAACACGAAGATGTGTTTGTCGGACGCCGAGTGCGATCGCGGTACGGAGACCCAGCTCGACAGCGGCGAGCTCTGCCCACACCATGTCGCGTCCGTTGGATCTCCACCCATCTTTCAAGGTCCATGCTAGCCATTTCGACTTCATGAGGAACCCGATTCCGGCCGTCGAGGCGTCGACTATGATCTCAGGGACGCTGGAGAGAGGCGGAACTTTGGAAAAGAGTGGAAGCGGACGGGGAGTGGAGGCGGGTGGAAGAGAGTGGCAAACGGAGGAAGATACTCGTGAGGAAGGTCCTTTCCAGGATTTGAGGAGGTACTTCTGTGCAGGCGACCTTCGGGAACGCGGGGTGCGGTGGGCCAAGGAACACAGGGACTTCACTCGAGCCAATGCATCGCGATTGCTAGGGTCACTTGCTGACGAGATAAGTTGCTGGACCTCTTGGATCGTCAACGAATCCGACGGCCTCAGGACCTGTGGGACATGGTCTGCAACCTCATCCTCCACGCCCTCCAACGACGAAGAATCGGAAGAGAAACCGCCTGACTCCCATGAATCGGACGACAGAGGCTCAGAACTTGAGGTCTGCGGATCACCGTCGACGTGCATCCTGGTCTCCGAACCAGACTCAGAGTCATCCAACAGGAAATCCTGCATGTCGACCAGTCGCAGGTCCTCCAAGAAATCTTCATCGGGGTCATATCGATGCTGAGGGCCATCCAGCAAAGTCGCTATCTGGTCCTCGTAGGACAGCTGCATCGCCATGAACGCATCCTGCATCTCCAAAAGTTCCATGCGAAGACTGCGGATCTCGTCTTCACATCGGCTGAGCCGTGCTCGTGCGTCGTCTCGTTCTTGACGATACCGGTACATCCGAGTGCGCTCTTGCTGTGCCTGCTGCCGACGTCCTTCTTCGACTCCTTCAAAGTACCGCGTGGTAGCCAGCCCATCACGGTCCTTAACAGCATGGTGGAAGCTCAGATCATCCGGGTGCCGACTAGCGTCCACGCAGTGGGACTTGTAGCTCCTGCACACGGTGCAACCGTGGCGGTGGACGACACCAAAGGTCGGGTCGCAGACCCAAGCCAAGTTAACATTGCTCGACCTGCCCGCAGGTCGACTTGGGAAGAACTGGTCTTCAGACGAAAACCCCGACGATAGGGCGCTGTCAGAGCTAGAGGTGCCGGAGTCGCTGAGCATAGTTACTGTTTCGGAAGATCAGTCGGCGCTGGAATAGGATGGTAAAGGATGGAGACTCACAAAATGGGAATAGTTTATGGGGAAAGAGAGTAGGAAGAAACGATACCCCTTTCTCCCGGTATATAAAGTGGTATCGTCTGAGCGCGCTGAATCCTCGCTTTGTGGGCATGGCTCAATGCCTCATGTAGACGGACCATACCAATGGTAATCGGTGGCCCGTCACAGGGCCCGTACCTAAGAATACACATGGGAGTAGCATGCCAGGAGGTTGGATTGGGAATGTACATAAAGATCAGCGTTGTTCGAGCGCAGCTTTGAACCAGTCGACGATGATAGGGGTCAGAGCGCCCACTTTCGACGGGGAAGCCGAAAAGAAGCAGTCATAAAGCGGGTCATCGTGTACACTGCCGTCTTGGATCTCCAACCTGGTGTCTGCCTTGGTGGGTTGTAGATGTGTCTCGAAGAACTCGACGATGTCGTCCCTGAACAGCTCGTCGCTTCCTGCCGAGACCAAGACGCGGGAACACACGCGCGACAGGTCTGCGAACCACCCGTTTGGGACGGAGGATGGCTCAAAGTACGACCGTAGAGAGTCTGGGGCTCGCGCTGCGTAACCCGTGCTCCAGCCAGTCACTGTTTTTCGATCGAAAATGTCCCAGGCGTGTGGGTTGACGAATGACGGCTTTGTGCTTTCGAATTTGACGAGTGGCGACATGAGGTAGATGCCACCAATAGCTTCTTTGAGGTTTACAGTTGGGGCGAGATCGTCATTGGGGTGGAGGAGGTTGGAGATGAGCTGGATGATGGTGTTTGCCCCAGCAGAGTCACCGATGAGATACAGGTTCCGGGGGGCAACTCCAGATGCGAGGAGACGATCGACTGCTACAGCCAATTGGCGGAGTTGGATTGGGAATGAGGCTTCTGGCATGAGGGCTAGAAGCGGTCAGACGAAAAATAGCGTCCACAGGTGATCAAACATACAGTAGTTCAGTAAAGCAAGCCCGACGTCATTGACACCACTCTTGACGAGAGTTTGGCGGACATAATGACAGAAGTTCAGGCCGCAGTCTTGTACCGGGAAGTAGAAACCACCTCCTGCAAGAATTGGTGGATGAGAAGCAAAGAACATTCGATTTCGGTCAAAACTCACCGTGGACGTAGACGATGACTTTATTCGTTTGCTTTGGACCAAGCCAAAACAAATTACCGCCATCCACAAGTTCTTCTTCGAGAATCGGGAAGCCATGACGCTTCGACCACTTCTGATAAGTCGAGATTGTGTTTCCCAGAATAACTTGCATCTGTGATGTCGACGTTCTTCTTGTCAAGAACTTGACTAGCAGCAGGACTATATCCCGCAGAACGCCTTGCCGAGACGGCTTTAACAGAATCTTCGGAAGGTTGAGCAGAGTGTACAATGCTTTCGGATGATAAAAGGTCAGAGAGCAACGAAAATGGTCGAACGTGAATAGACTCACGCAAGCTGAGGCCAGTTAATGCCAGTGAAAGCGATTCCTTCATCGTCATCGAGCCATACTTCGCGTTTTGTTGTGACATTTTCCCTTTTCCACCGGTGCTGGCTTGTGCTACTTGTCTCGGAGACCAACCTCTAGTTGGAGAACTCGCGCGTCAGAGAGGCGACGACACTCATCCCAATTCACCCTTGGCTTCAGCATGATGGCCAGGCACACTCTTCTTGTTGAATGGTTTCTTCAGCCGGCTAGCGGGGATAGCCATACCCGGGAGCGAAAAGCTGTGCCCGGTGACTAAACGGAAGACCGGATTATCAGTTCGATGAAGTCACTTTGCTGATAAGATAAGCAGACCTTTCGAGAATTTGCTCGCTCAGCCGCGATCAAATGTTTTGTAGATAACGTTGACCTTGACTCTCTACTTCTCTTCTTCATCCCACCACTAGATTCTCCAAGAGATTTGAAACAATGACTACTGAACAAAAGCCAGAGCAACTGTTTCCGGCTATCGGCCAGGTGGTAGACAAGGAGGAAGAAGAAGAGCGACCGCCAGTAGACGAAATTGATTCACTGTGTATGAAATGCCATGAACAGGTGCGCATGAAATCGCTGTTTTATCGTTCTGATACTCAGCATTACGACCAGTAGGGCAAAACTAGATTGCTTTTGACCTCGATTCCTTACTTTAAAGAAGTCGTTGTCATGTCGTTTCGATGCGAACACTGTGGATGGTCAAACAACGAAATCCAGTCCGCTGGAACGATACGAGGTGAGTATTGAATTTATTGCCTCGTAAACGCAGATTTAATGATATTTGGTAGAGGTTGGAACCCTCTATACGGGGAAGATGCTCGACCGTTCAGATTTGGACCGTCAAATCGTTCGTTCCTCATCCTGCGAGGTCAACATCCCAGAGCTCGACCTCACCCTCCCTCCTACTGAGCGAGGTCAGCTCACCACTGTCGAAGGCCTCCTGCGTGACATTGTCAACGATTTGAGCTTCGACCAGCCCCTGCGCCGGATACAGACGCCCGAAGCCTACGAGAAGATTGAAGAATTGATCAAGAAGATCAAGGCTATCCTGGGCGACCACGAAGACGAAGGCGAGAAAGAGGATGGTCAACCCACCAAGGCGTCAGAGAAGGACCTTCCTATGCCACCTTTCACACTGAAGCTCGACGATCCGGCTGGAAACAGCTTCCTCGAATTCATGGGCAGCATGGCCGACCCCAAATGGCATCTCCGAACGTATCCGCGGACATTCCAGCAAAACGTCCAGCTTGGCCTGGTCGACAAAGACGAAGGAGATGAGGCGGAGAACCAGCCACCCCCGGAGGAAATCACCAAGGACGAGATCTTGGTATTCCCTGGTAAATGCTCCAGCTGTGGGCATGGTTTGGAGACGTACATGAAGAGGGTGGATATTCCTTACTTCAAGGTAAGTCGGAGCAGTCCTTGCCGAGAATTGATCCTGACGGAGCCATAGGAAATCCTCATCATGTCAACGAACTGCGAGCGGTGCGGATATCGTGATAACGAAGTCAAGTCAGGATCGGCCATTTCCCCGCAAGGCAAGAAGATCATCTTGAAGGTTGAGGATCAGGAGGATCTCAGCCGTGATATTCTCAAGGTTTGTCCGATTTGCCTTCATTTTCTGGCGTTTATCTGATATTCGTTTCAGAGCGAGACAGCCGGTCTTGAGATTCCCGAAATCGACCTCGTTCTTACCTCTGGTACTTTGGGAGGAAGGTTCACCACGGTGGAAGGTATCCTGAACCAGATCTACGAAGAATTGTCGGAGAAAGCGCTGGCTGCTGGAGATTCCTCCACCAAGCAAGACAGAGAATCCTTCGAGAGTTTCCTTTCCAATCTCAAATCGGCATGTCTGCAGAACACCTCACAAAGCGCAGTGCTCACGCCTTCCTTCAGGTCCTCAACGTCGAGAAGCCGTTCACCGTCATCCTCGACGATCCTTTGGCCAACTCATACATTCAATCCCTTTACGCCCCCGACCCTGATCCCAATATGGAAGCCGAGTTCTACGACAGGACTTGGGAACAGAACGAAGAGCTGGGTTTGAATGACATCAAGGTTGAAGGTTATGAGGGCGATCCCAATCTTGTGAAGGACGAGTCGGAGAAGAAGGATGAACAAAAGAAGGAAGAGGCCCCAGCTACCACTGCATAGCCTGAGGGAACCTTATAGCTACGAGTGTATTACTACTACTTGACCATGTGCAACGCCTTTTGTACCACTGAACATAATCCCCATGGCGTTTTGGTTCCGTGCTGGAATTTCATGAAATTGGTTATTGAATAGGGGCTGTGACGAAAGGTCCCAAACATCATCACTGCGATCATGGTCACGGTCTTTCGCCGCAAACCATAGGATCGCCTCTTGTCTTTTACTGTCAAACCACCATTCTGAAGCCAGTGTAACTGTCAAGAACATCGCACCATGTCTGACGATCGCCTTCGATGGATTCCTTTGGAGAGTAACCCTGAGGTCTGTCTACCCTCCTCGGTCACCGTTGTTGGATTGGAAGCTGAATCGGATTTAGGTCTTTAACAAGGTTAGCTTTGCGTTTATCCTCGTCTTCGAGGGATAACCACTTAGAATGCGATTTGACAGTGGGCGAAACGCGCTGGTCTGATCACAGGCCAGGACGCGTTCACGGATGTGTATGGATTGGACCCAGAGGTACGTTGTCCACCTAGGTCGCCTTGATCGTATTTCGTTCATCGACCCATGGTTCTCTAGCTTCTGGCGATGGTACCCCAGCCAGTCAAAGCCGTCGTCCTTCTCTTCCCCGACAGTCCAGACACTCATAAGCAGAAGAACGAGGAGGACGCACGGATAGCTGCTCAAGGTGGTCAACCCCACCTCGATCCTACGATCTTCTACGTGAAGCAGAAGGTATCAGAGGGATGAGGCCTCTTCGGATCTATTCATTGACTGACTGGTTCTCTTCCAGATCAGCAATGCTTGCGGCACTATCGCCCTTATCCACGCTCTCGCCAATGTACGTATCTCGTATTTAATGCGTTCAACTTATGCTGAGACTAGGCCAGTCGGATGTAACTTGGGCACCCAACAGCCCCCTCCACAACTTTATCGTTGACGGAAAAGGTACACCGTCATCATCAGGTTAAATTGCCCTCAATCTCATCCCTCACTTTCAGACAAGACGCCAGAAGAACGAGCAGATCTCCTCCAGTCCAGGACCCTGTTCTCCGACATTCACGCTGAAAGTGCTCAGGAAGGCCAGACGATCCCAGATGTGAACACGGATCTCCACTTCACCTGCTTCGTCGCTGCGCCAGATGCCGATATAAGAAAGGTTGCGACCGGAGAAGAGTCGCCAGATCAGGTTTCGACTGGGGGCGATGGAGATACTGGATTGCGCCTCGTCGAATTGGATGGACGACGACCTGGACCTATTGACCATGGTGTCTGCACAGACTTGTTGAATGTGAGAATTTTGGTTACTGTCTTGTTGGGACGGGTGTGCTGACTTGGATTGTAGGACGTGGCGGCCCTTGTCAAGAAGCGATACCTGGCCAAGACTGAAAGTGTTTACTTCAACTTGATGGCCCTCGCCCCACCCTTGCAGTAGAAGCTCGCGAAGGACGGGGCAAGCTTACTCACCTGTGTATATTGCTTTCGAAATGTAAACTGGGAAGAAAACGATGTCAAACTTGTATGCTGGCGGACCAGCTGTGGAAGATGTGCTGCAGGGGACTGCAGTGGACCCCAAGAAGATGTTTATTCCCCCGAATATGGTACTCGTGGTCGAGAAAAAGGGTGATGCTCCTTGAGCAAAACGGTGATACTCCTTATGCAAGGTGGTGATGTCCCCTGAGAAGTCTCTGAGAGAGATCGTCCGTGAGAGGACCCCTGACGGCCCTTACCCCGATGTGGCCCCTTCTGTCGCAGTTCCCGCACGATGCAACCCGCGCCAGTGGAGTGGAGAAGGCACGGTTTGGAGCTGGCTGGGATGAGAACCAGATGTGCAATTTGGCCACCAGGTTTCCAGTCACCTAGCCTCTAGACGGTTGAGGCTGCAATGGCCGTGTTTTGTGTTGATCCAGTGAATCTTGCTAGAGCAGAAGGGCGTTACGCGTTCTCGGATGGGGCACTCGCTTCCTGAAGTTTCTTCTCTCGCTTTTTTGCCCTTGCTTTCGCGGATTTGGACAACTTGCGCGACTTGGGCGGCTGGTATCTACAGGCCCAGCTGTTAGTGAAAGCACTGCACGAATCAGGAACAACAACGTACGTTGCGCCTTTGACCAACGAGGCGGGTAACTCATACAGGGACAATGTGACCCTCATGTACGGTGTTTGCACCAGCTTGACACTGTTATGGACGTTGTTAGCGTCGCGTTCAATGAGTAATATGCGCGTCCCATACTGATTTGTGCCAGACAGCATCTGCACAATCTTCTCCGCTCGTTTCTTCTCTTTCTCTGCTGTGGATACCTCTTCTCCCTCTACAGCCATAGCATCATCTTCCTCCCGCTCCAAGTCCTCCAGGATCCCAATCTCGTTGTATTGGTGCAGGCCTTTCAACCTGACCGACCGCTTCTCCGCCAACCGTTTAAGAAACTCGCGTTTGATGATCTCAACGACAGTCAAGAGCCTTGGAACCGTCGTTACTGACGGTGGCATCTTCGGTGACGCCCCCGTCTTTACATTTTCCGCGTCCTTTGCTGGCAAGGTATGCAGAACCAATGGAATATCTCCTGCTTTCTGTTCTGGGTCAATTTGGGTCGTTCGAATTCGGGTAAAAAAAAAAATGGGAATACCTCTAGATGGGCCAGAGCGAGGCTGACCCAGGTCTTGATTTTACCGTTGCTGGTTATCCGAATGGTCATTGAGCGCTGGGGGTCGGCCGACATGGTGGCGAGAACGAAGAACGCGACTGTAAGGCATCAAAGCTGTATTGTCCTGGCGGATCAAAGGGGATCAAAGCGGTCCGTTTGCCATCTATGGCGACCAATCGTTCCTCTCCGCCTTACTGTTGAACTTGTTCTTCGTTCTCCTTCCATGTTCGCCCTCTGTGTCGGGTTATACATACTATAACAATTCCCACTGCGATCCTTGGCCCACCCTCGATACCATACCAGGATCTTGGAGCACAATGGGCGCTCTTATCGAAATCTGCTTCTCGCAGAGCAATTCACAGCAACCCGCCTCATTGGCTGTGTTTTGGGCGTTTAAAGGCCCATGTTCTATTCATACCACTCTATTAGGCGTAGCCTCTTCCTTCCCCATCAACTGTTAGTCCTCCAGCTTTTGTTCAGAGCTTGAGCACGAACTCTCCTGTCCGAGAAGTTCATGAGAGAACCTCTGGGCCGCCATCGTCAAGCATTAAAAAGCGCTCTCAATCTTGGACAGGTGGGTGATATACCACTATTTTTAGGTTCATCTTCATATCAGTTGCACAGCAGCCATTCGCACGGCCTTCATGCTGTGTATCCGTGACCCTATATATATGTTCAGGCCACGCAGAGAGGCCATCTTGAAACGAAGCCCCCCGGGATCACTGCTCCCACTGCAGGTGAGTTCTCTGCGCGGCATAGGTCATTTTTCTAATGTTTCTTTGGTAGAATGGACGTGGCGCCCACGAATCCCACTCCAGATCATGTGTCTCCCGTCTTCGTCCTGAAGGACAGCCAGGTCCATGACGGCGGCATCGTGGCAAACAATGTCCAAATCTCTCAAATCTTCCATTCCCCTGCACCACCAGCTCCTTCGACAGATGTCTCGAATAGTGAGTATAGATGGAACATCGGGTCGCTTTTTTCAACTCACTGGGCGCGCAGACAATCTAGTTGCAAAAATCAGCGATTGGCTCAAGCTCAAAGTCAATTTTCATGCCATCCACAACGACGTCAAGAAGAAACGGACTGAGGCAACGGGAGATTGGTTCATTAACAGCTCCAAGTACCAGGAGTGGAGAGCTGGCAAGGGAACCGTTCTATGTGGAACTGGCATCCGTGAGTCCCATGTAAAATACGCCACTACATACCTCACCTAACAGCAACGTTTAGCGGGCGCTGGGAAAACGACGTTGATGTGAGGGTCTCATTCTCAAGGAGGTCGTCTTGCGATATTGAAAGCATTCCCTGACAGGTCGCGTGTCATCGATGATTTATTACACCTTGAAAAGTCGAACGATAGCAAGATCTGCGTCCTCTTCGTCTACCACCGTTACGACGATCTGCTATCCACAACCGAGATTCTGAAGAGCTTAGTCCTTCACGCTTCCGAGAAGCAGAATCAGCAGTTCTTGGATGCCGTCAAGTCGATTCAATCGCGCTGCGAACTACAGAAAACCGACCCTACCGAAGACGACTTGATTGGCCTCCTCCAACTACTGGAGACCATTTTCGACCGCGTCTTTTATGTCTTCGATGGCGCAGACGAACTGGTCCAGCCCCATGTCCAATCCGACACTCTTGTCGGGTTCATCAAAGTAATTAATCGACTGCAAGGAAACATCATCATCGCATCCCGACCATTAGAGCTGCTGCAGACAATAAAAGGAGTTATCCGAGTCGAGTTGATGGCTCAAAACGACGATATGCGGACCCTCATTGACGACAAGATTGACTGTTTCCCAAACCTGAAGGAGGTACTCGAAGAGACTGGGAGGAGAAAAGAGATCGTTGACGGGATAATAGACAAAGCCAACGGGATGTGAGTCAGCGCCCCTCTTCGGAATGAACTTTGACTGACTACAATTAATTTCTTCGTCAGGTTCTTGCACGCGGCTCTGCAAGTCAAGGCATTGACCAGCTGTCATACGCCGACCGACGTCCAGGAAGAGCTGGCCAGCTTTCCGGAGGACCTCACGGATATGTATAAGAAGACCTTTCACCGAATCAAAGCCCAGGATCCCCGATCTGCACGAATTGCGACCATGACGTTGGCGTGGCTCGTTCATGCCAAGGCGCCCCTCAGCGTAGAGGCCCTACGAACTGCGTTGGCAGCCCATCCAGAAACGCATAGCGTTGAACCGAGCCGCATGCCACCCCTAAAGTCCATCCTATCTGTGTGTTGTGGCCTGGTAGAACATCATCCTGAAACAGACATTGTTCGCCTTGTCCGTACGTTGCCGGTGTCGCTGTATGCTCGGATTTAGGCTAATGCGTTCTCACAGACTTCACTGCTCGAGATGCTTTGGAACCGCTCTTGCTCGAGGAGCTGCCGCAACCGCACGCGGTGATCATCAAGGTCCTGCTTCAACTGATGGTTGACAATGGAATCCCCAATTGGTTGCAAGGCAAGGACGAACTAAAGGAGCTGCTTCAAAGACCTCTCCTTCGATATGCCTATCAACACTGGGCAGATTATGCCCGGGAATGCAGCAAACTGGCTGGTGCTCGCGAAGACGTCGCCCGCTTCCTGTGCCAATGTGCCTTGTTTCCCTACACCGATTTGGATAGACTATGGTTCGATATGGATATCCTGCAACCACTTCATGTCGCTGCCATGTACGATATCCCATGGTTTATCAAAGACGTCTTCGACGGTCATTACAACCCACTACTGCATAACCAAGCCAACAGGTATCCCGCTTTTGATGGATGGGATGTCAATGCGCGATCCAGAGACGGTGACACCGCGCTTCATTTGGCTGGGCACAACGGCCACGGAACCTGCGTAAACATCCTTCTGCAATTCCCGGCCGCCATCGATGTTAACGCTAGGGACGATAGGGGACGGACGGCGCTGATGCAGGCTGCAATAGGGCGACACCAAGATGTCGTTCAGCGCCTTCTCGTAGAGCCAGGCATCGATGTCCATGCTGTGGACCGGGAGGGAAGGACGGTGCTGATGGAGGCTGCAGCGCGTGGCTTCAAAGACGTCGTTGAGCGCCTTCTCGCAGAGCCAGGCATCGCTGTCAACGCTGTGGACGCGGAGGGAAGGACGGCGCTGATGGAGGCGGCAGTACATGGTCGCAAAGACGTCGTTGAGCGCCTTCTCGCAGAGCCAGGCATCGATGCCAATGCTGTGGACGAGCAGGGAAGGACAGCGCTGATGGATGCGTCACTGTATGGCGACGTATACGTCGTTGAGCGCCTTCTCGCTGAGCCAGGCATCGATGTCAACGCTGTGGACGCGGAGGGAAGGACGGCACTGATGAAGGCTGCAGCGCGTGGCTTCAAAGACGTCGTTGAGCGCCTTCTCGCAGAGCCAGGCATCGCTGTCAACGCTGTGGACGCGGAGGGAAGGACGGCACTGATGCATGCGTCACTGTATGGCGACGTATACGTCGTTGAGCGCCTTCTCGCTGAGCCAGGCATCGATGTCCACGCTGTGGACGTGGAGGGAAGGACGGCACTGATGTGGGCTGCATGCTGGGTTGGTTACAAAGACGTCGTTGAGCGCCTTCTCGCAGAGCCAGGCATCGATGTCAACGCTGTGGACGCGGAGGGAAGGACGGCACTGATGTGGGCGGCAGTACATGGTCGCAAAGACGTCGTCGAGCGCCTTCTCGCTGAGCCAGGCATCGATGTCCATGCTGTGGACCGGGAGGGAAGGACGGTGCTGATGGAGGCTGCAGCGCGTGGCTTCAAAGACGTCGTTGAGCGCCTTCTCGCAGAGCCAGGCATCGCTGTCAACGCTGTGGACGCGGAGGGAAGGACGGCACTGATGGAAGCTGCAGCACCTGGCCACACAGACGTTGTCGAGCGCTTTCTCGCAGCGCCAGGCATCAATGTCAACGCTGTGGACGAGCAGGGAAGTACGGCACTGATGTGGGCAGTAGCGGGCGGCCACAACGACATCGTTGAGCGCCTTCTCGCTGAGCCAGGCATCGATGTCCACGCTGTGGACGTGGAGGGAAGGACGGCACTGATGTGGGCTGCATGCTGGGTTGGTAACAAAGACGTCGTTGAGCGCCTTCTCGCAGAGCCAGGCATCGATGTCAACGCTGTGGACGCGGAGGGAAGGACGGCACTGATGTGGGCAGTAGCGGGCGGCCACAAAGACATTGTGGAGCGGCTTATCGCAGAGCCAGGCATCGATGTCAACACTGTGGACAGGGAGGGAAGGACGGCGCTGATGGAGGCTGCAGCGCAAGGCCCCAAAGACATTGTCGAGCGCTTTCTCGCAGCGCCAGGCATCAATGTCAACGCTGTGGACGAGCAGGGAAGTATGGCACTGATGGAGGCGGCAGCGGGCGGCCACAAAGACATCGTGGAGCGCCTTCTCGAAGAGCCAGGCATCGATCTCAACACTGTGGACGCAGAGGGAAGGACAGCACTCATGTGGGCTGCAGCGCAAGGCCACAAAGACATTGTCGAGCGCCTTCTCGCAGAGCCAGGCATCGATGTCAACACTGTCGACAGGCAGGGAAGGACGGCACTGATGGAGGCTGCAAAGGGTGGCCACAAAGACATCGTGGAGCGCCTTCTCGCAGAGCCAGGCATCGATGTCAACACTGTGGACAGGGAGGGAAGGACGGCCTTGAACCTAGTGCAGCAGGAGGCGATTCAGGCGAAAGAGATAGGGGGACAGTTGGTGAGCGGCGAGTGGGTGCAGGAGCGGATGGTAGTACATGAGGAGATAATCAAATTGCTTGTTGGTTGTCAGACGAATCTACTAGCGCCAGACCCCGTCAACTCTGTTGCCCTCCCTGCTGGCAGCGAAACATTGAACACCGACTTGTGGGGTTTTCTTTTGTCTATTTTCCATTGTCATCGTTCTGACTAGCTCGCTTTATAGATCAGATGCCCTGACGGCGCTATCGGATGACTCCAGCACCGAGAAAGTCATAATCGACTATGCAGGGCCATCTAACAAGGACCCGGAAGCACAACAGGATGTTATGGTTATCGACAATTCGTGCCGTTCGGAGACGTCGCCAATTCACGAGGCTGCGATTCAAGCTGCCGATCGTCCAACTTCCACGGTGCGTTGAATGGTTCCACTCATGTCTCAGGGATCTAACCCACTGCTTTAGCGTTATCGTGTTGGCTTAGCGCTCCTAGTGTTATTTGTCTATGGTTGGACTCCGGAACCGCAGTATTTTCAACAAATCATGGGTCGTTGAATGTAGCCATCTTGTGCATTGTGCCGGGTAGGAGATACATCTTGCGTTGTTTTGTAGCGTAAATACGACCGGCAACTATCAATGTCAACACCCACGTATTGGTCACAAGCCAGCCCCGGTCTTGAGATTATGCAGCGCGCTGTCACTGGCATAGGATCTTGCTAAGTTCTAACATATTTCATTCAACAGGTTTAGAGGATGCGCGTAACCACGAGCCCGGGAGTGGGACCCACTAGTTCTTATGCTAACATATAGATCGGCATCGTTTTCTGCTATTGAATAGGATACAACGAACTGAATTTTACAAACCGATTGTCGCCGGAGATTTATCTGCAGTTGTCCTGATTCGCCATTGTCTGTGGTGGAAATGACCTTGGAGATGAAGTTCGATGGTCTCTTGTGTCCTGGTAGTGGACAGATTCTGATACGTTCTCTCTGGTTGGTTGGTCGTACCCAATGTCGTAGAAGCGCTTACTTTGATTCCATTCAATCCAGACACCTGTAGCTTGTTTCATACCATCTACGCTCGGTGACCCACTGCAGTTGAACCTTTGACCAGATCTGCACCCCCAACCCACTGCCCATTCGACCCGCGCCCTCTCCGCTCGGTAGTCCATTCACACTCCGCGTTCCTCCTACCCTCCCACAGTTTCTGCTCCGCCTCTTGGGTCGATGAACTACAGGGCATCTTTAGTCGGTGAAGAACTCCTGGATCCTCCGCCTCTTTGTTGGCGATGACGGAACTCTCCGCCAATGAGTCAAGTTGGTCAATGATGTGCGTGTCGTCAAACTGGCGGTTGGATTCTTGGGGATGGTCGGGAGTAGATGTGCCATTCTGTAGGCGGCTTGAGGTGTCGAGATCGCTATCGTGGGTCCTTGATGGGCCCGTAGGCGATCCACGCTTCGCACAAGTCGTACCTCGATCGACAGGCAGCAGGAGTTTCTCGCAGTGTGAGAGTGCACTCCTACGCAACGGCGAGGAGGGAATTCGGGATTGTGAGCATTCATTGGAGTGATTTGGGGGCTTGCATGAAGACGATGCAGAGCACGGACACGTTCTTGACTAGAGACGGCAACTTGTATAGAGACAAGGTGACCCTCGTATATGGCATCTGCGCCAGCCTTGCATCGCAGTGAACGTCGTCAGCATCACGATCAAAGCGGAGTTGGCGTACCACATGCAGGTTTGTTCCAGACAGCATCTGTATAATCTTGGTGCAGGGTCTTTCAGCCTGGCTGACCGCTTCTCCGCCAACCGTTTGAGAACTTCGCGTTTGATGATCTCAACGACAGTCAAGAGCATTGGAAGACCGTCGTTGTTGGCGGTGAGATCTTCGCTGACACCTCTGTGTTCGCGCTTTCCGTGTCCTTTGCTGGCAGTAGAACCGCTGGAATTTCTCCTGCTTTCGTATCTGGGTCAATTTGGGTCGTTCAAGTTCGGGAACAAAAGCTGTATACCTCCAGATGGTCGAGAGCGAGGCTGACCCAGGTCTCCTATGTTACCGCTGCTGGCATCTGGACGGTCATTGAACGCTTGCGGTTGGCCGACATGGTGGCGAGAACGAAGGACCGGTGAGCAAACCATCAAAACTGCATCCGCTTGGCGGACTTGTGGTAAGCGGACGCTCTGCGCCGGAATTTCCTCGCCAGAAGCTCCCTGGGCTGCAGGCAAATTGTGAAGCGTACACGCGCACTGCGCAAGCCGCTGAGAGCGCAGAGGCCCGCAACGGCTGAGCTACAGGAAGGAATTGCAAGTTTCAGTCGCAGTAATGACTGAAGGGCGCGCCAGAACTTCGCTGCATTGCTCAAGCGCACTGCGCAAGCCGCTGAGAGCTAAGACAGTGACTTGGAGACTTGGAGGGTGAGATAGGAAAGAGTGAATGTTTCAGTTGCAGTGACGGGCTCACTGTGGGCATCCATTATGTCCATGCCGAATGTGCGAGTCTGAGCCTACACTGATACGAACAAGAATGAATAGTCTCGTTACATCTCACAATACACCCATGATACGAGAGACAGAAAATTGACAACCATCGTTCAAACTTAAACATACCATACCTCTACAGCACCCTCGACTTCTTCGATTCAAAAGTCCGAAGCGAGAACGGCACCGTTACGATCTCTAGAGACAGGAACAGGGTCTGCGAAGCACGGTTACTTCGTTGAAGGAACGAATTCATTGTCAGGGCACTCAAGGACCGCCCATTCGAGCGTGTACGGTGATAATATGTAGATTTCGGGCATATAAGAGCAGCTGGACTGCAATTTGGAACCAGCGCCCCAGTTCAACGTTCTGAGATATTCGAGCATATATTCGATTCAGATGGAGGGGCTGCGACTGTGTACGGAAGAGCAATCGGTTGGGATTGCTCGGCCAGGTCGCTGGCCCATGCCAAGCGCTGAGCGCTACTTTCCGAGGGTCACGCGGAAGTCACGTTGGCTGGAAACTTCCCAAAAGTACCCGACCCATTCTGGCTCGGAATCAAAGGGGATCAAAGCGGTCCGTTCGTGCGGGCGCTTATATGCGTCAAAGGGGTCAATCGAGCCAGGAGTTGGGGAATCTTTGACACCTCAAGGCTACCATCCGCTGCCATTAAACGCAATAAGATAGCAGTATTATATTACACCTAATCACCGATTTGGAGCCCCTAGTCCGTGCGCAGAAGTGATGCCAGGGTACGCAGCAACCTCAGAGTCTGGCGACCGATTCTGCCCTCTTTGACGCGCTTTGGCGCTAAATGATCCATCTCCACTTTTTTCTAACGTCCACTTATATGAAATGCCAACCCGGGCCCTCATTCTCACTACCAGCCGATCCTATCCCGGACAGTCGCAACCAATAAACGTCCCAACAGCGTGTCTAGCGCCCGCGATTTCTTCTCCTGCCTCGTCGACCACGCTGCCACCGAGAATCCCGGATTGTTTGCTGCCCTCAGAGACGTGGTGAGACGGTTCTCTCAGGAAGCTATTGCCTGGAAGGACTTCCTCCTCGCAACGCCTCGCAAAGAATTGTCCCAATTAGAATTCGACATCGAATCTTTCACGCATGCCATGGATATCCACTTGAGCAATGCAGGTTTAATTTGTAAGTCGGATTTTATCGTCCCCTAGGCTATCTCTGGAACTGACTATTTCTTTTCCTTCCTGATTTCAGTGGTCTGACAGAAGAAGAGGGGCACGCGATCCAACAAGCTATCCAGCAAGCCCCTGCTTCAACGACGGACCTCGTCAGCCACTTCCGAGAGAATCCGAGGGGCTTTGAAGCAGCGCTGAGGGGACTCTTCCACATGAACTGCAACATCTTCCCCGCTCGTATTACAGGGTCTGCGACGCACCCGTTCGGACCACAAGGTATGACCACGCGTTCGAGAAACGCTCGGCGCACCCCGCTAACGAACAACATCAAATGCACCACCTGCTGCAGGTCGGTCGACAGATCGCTGTTTGCCACTCACGTCTACGTGCAGCACGGGGTCGGTGCCTTCTACGAGCTCGCTCGGGATAGGCTTCAGCAGGGGGTACTCTTCGACACGCAGACTCATGTGATGTGCTCCAAGATGGAGTGTGGTCAGTGATGGTGGGTTTTATGCCGGAACATACCATTCGTTTTCATTCTGAGCCCTTTATTAGGCAGTATATCTCGGTGTATCCCACTAATACCTTTGTTTCGTGGTCCTGATCGAATGTGGGTTCCTATTGACTGCTGTTCCGTTCTATTTTACACTAGTATACAAACATGTCTGGTGCGCAATAGCTTAGTACCGATTTTAATTACACTAATACATTTCACATCGTGCTCCAAACCTCAATTCCACAAAAAGAAAACAACGAGAATACTTCCAGGACTCCACCCAAAGCTTGAGCCCAAACCGCCAAACCGTCCTCAATCCAACAACTCGGGTTCAAGATGCGGCATCACAGCACTCCGCTCATACTCCAACAACCTATGCTTAATCGCCGTCAGCCTCGCGATGCGCTGCGAGAGCTGCTGGCGCCTGGCCATAATCCCCGGGTCCTCTCTAAGCATCGCCGTCAAGTTCTCACTGTCCATGGCAGCTACGACTTGAAACAGTTTTGTTCCAATTCGGGATGCCAGAGCTTGGTGAAGCTCGGTTTCGATGCTCAGAGGGACGAGGTCGATGAAGCGCTGGAATTAAAGAGGAGTGGTGGACAGTGGGTGGTGAGATTGGGGATTGTGCATTGAGCATTGGATGGTGAATGTTGGGGTGACGGATCATGATGGATGAGACTCACCTTGGATGCAACTTGGAAGTAGGCGTAGATGTCGGCCATGACTTTGTGCTCGTCCGATTCTCGGACGTAGTATTTACCCATCAGTGCATCCGGGGCGTATTCGGCGTACCACGCCCTGCGCTCAGCACCGTACGCGTCCGTGTTCTGCGTAAAGAACGGGACGCTGTTCTCGATGTTGTAAAGTTTGTTCAGCATGACGGTAGTATCTTGGATGCAGGCCTGCTCTTCTCGCGACACGATCTCCCTGCAAAAAGAGGATCTCCGGTCAGGAATACTCAGGATTTCTCGAGGAATATGTAAAGGGAAATGGGCAGTAAATCGAGCGACATATGACTACATACTTGATCAATACCTTCAATTCCGCAAACCGTCCAAAGTTTCCAGAATCCTCGAGGAGTTCGTCGATTTGCCTGTTCAGGTTTTCCGCGACACGGGAGAAGCAAGCGAGGGCGGGAACCTTCCACTGACTGACATGTCGAAGGATGAAGTACTTCGTCGCTTCGAATGGGATGTAACTCGGGAGTTCCCAAGTCAAATTACTGGTATCTCCGAAGTCAGAACTACGACCCCACACCGATGATGCACCAACTCACTTGTCGATAGCAGCGCGAACCTCCTCAAGGGTTATCGTTCCATCATTATTCTGGCGCCTATTGTTGCTCGAGACGCTGAACTTGGGGGCCGTCTTGGCAATCTCGTCCCGAAAGGCATTGTAGTGCTTCTTGTTGACGTGCGTAAACTCCTTGTTCAAGTCTCCGAGGACGGTCCTCTCGAACGCCTTGCAGAATGCCGAGAGTCTAGAGATGATGACAGGGAGGGGGTGCTCCGCGTCGACGGTCTCCGGGAGTCTCTCGTACGCGGCCATATCCTGAGACAGAAGCTGGTCGACTTCCCTCTTGAGGATTGGAAGGCTGGCGTAGCAGGGCGTAAATGTTGTCAGCACCTAGAAAAGAGCAGACCGTAATATAAAGATAAAACACCCACTTGCTCTCAATGAGATTAATCAACAACCTACTCGTGCTCCTCACAAAATTCCGAATCCCAAAACGCGTACGATCAGAGAAGTCTTTCCAAGGTTCGGTGGTATTGAAGAAATGGAGTTCCTGTCGTTGGAGTTCGAGGGGTGTGTGGTTGGCAGCTCGGATTGCGTCGTCGGGGAGTTTGACGCAGAAGTATCCGTGCTGGAGCTGGTGCGCGTTGCCTTGGAGGATGTTCTGCCAGTTCGAGATCATGCCGGTGTTGCCTGGGCTCAGCATGTCGGGTTTGGTGCCCACCCCTAGGAAGGCGAGAATCAGGATGTGGTCTCTGATCACTGGGTGCTAGTGTTATCGTACCTATGGTTCGCAAGCCTCGAGGATCGGCTGCTTTGGCGAGTGCGAATGCTTCTTGGTTCTCTACATCGTCTACAGGCCGAAGGTGAGTACTTGGTGATCAAAACACTGGCCTACGCAAACTGACCTGTCATGGGGATGGTAAGCACGATTAACGTGTTCAAGCCTTTGATGGACCGCTTGACGAGGCGCTGAACCAGCGAGACCATGCTCGTGTCAGTGCTGTGGTGCTGAATGATACCTGTACACCATCAATACACACTAACGACAACGACGAAATGGAAAATCCTCACCCGGCAGATCGACGAAAGACAAATCTGCGCCCTGGGGGTCACGAACATGAAGCTCGACGGTATTAAACGAGAACGCCAACAACGCCCCCGTAGTCTGCATCGTCTTAATCTCAGCCGAGGTCTTCGTCGTGAACGAGCGGACGACGGTTTCGTCGATGTCCCCGGGGCTGAGGATGGCAGCTTGCGCCCTCTTCAAGAATATCTCCACGTCAGCGGGGTCGGTGAGGTCGGCAAAGTGGATGGTCGTAGGAGCGAGCCGCTCGGAGCCGTCATTATCGTATTCGAGGCGTAGTTGGATTCGGCATTGCCAGGGTCCGGAGTGCTTTGTCATGGTGCATTCCATTGGGCATCTGGAAGAGAGGTGGTGAGGGGTTTTAGTTTAATGGGTGGAGGTGGGGAGTGGGTACCTTGTGCAGGTTCCGGCGTCTCGAGGGACTTTGGTCTACGAATGGAAGTGTTAGGCCGGGATAAGTGAGGGAAGGTAGAGGATGTCGCACCCCCGTCACTGCTTCCACGACGGAGCTCTTTCCAGCTACAGGATGGATAATAAGAACAGGCGGCGAGTACGGAGATAAGCATGGGCGTACCTGATTGATTACCGATGAAGACGACACGAGGGATGTCCAGGAGGTGGTTGGCTCTGTCTCAGGGAGTAAGTTTCTAGTCGACATCAGAGAGAGAACAGACGCTACATACCCGAGCGCCTTGAGATCATTGGTCAGCTCGATGAGCCGCCGAGCTCGTTCAGCATAATCTGACTCGGCGAGGTCACCATCATGCAGGACAGTCGTCACAGTGGCGGCCGTATTGGCAGCCACATTGACAGTTGCATTGGCAGTCGTATGGGTAGTCGTATTGGCAGTAGTTGGAGAAGGTGGTGGCCCAGCGCTGCCAGTGCTCCCGCTTCCAGTCGTTCTTCGGCGGGCGATAGGCATCTGGGACAAGAGATAAGTATAGGAGTTGGGAGTGTAACACCATTCCTCTGACTCAGATGCGAGCCTTTATCTAGCAACGAATTCGTACCCACCGAAGTAAACATGTACAACGATACTGTGCGACTGAAGGGCAAAGAAGTACAGATTAGATGCTGCGGACTATAAAGTAGGCCGTCATGTGGTACGTGATTGCCTCGAGCGTGGGCTTCTTCGAATAAGCGCCCACCCCAAAATAGCCCTATTTGGAGGGCAGCAGTATACGAATCCGCAGTCAGATTCTCCCTCGTTCAGGAAGGAATTCTATCGCTGGACGTTTAGAAGCAAAACACGCGGCGCAGAATGCTAGACGTGTGACCTGTCGAGTGAGGCCTTGAGGAGTGGTGGTGCGGTGATGAAGTGGGGGTGTGGTTATCCTTCCTTTCTTAATGAGAATCTGCAGAGCTATTGGATTCTGAGTGGCAGTAATCTCGAGTATGGGAGGACCGCAGCGTCAGAGTAGGCCGTGGACCTGCCGAGTGCAGACGATACGTGTGTCAGAGCCAGAGGTGCGCCAGACTCTTCCCGGAACATTATCAAGTTCCTGTATGGAAACAGTCACGAAAAGAGTACCAGCATGGCCACGCTTACCAGGCGCTTGGTGAGGTCAAAGAGCGAGAACAAGCGCCGAAAACGCTGTGTGGCAGTATTTGGACGAAAAGGGTCCGGTTGAATCTCCGATGCCGGAGACAACCGGCTGTAACAGGAGGCTCGTGATTGGCAGGCGGGGTAGGAGGGCATTGGCGTTCCGGTCGCCGTTTGCATTTTGACCAAAACCCCCCACCAAACAGCTCGTATTTGACCGTCCTCGCCGTCGTCGACGATGTCCGCAAGCCTTGTCCTTCGTTCAAACGTCTCCAGGGCCATCGCCCGTCGCGCCGCTTTGCCCTCTGTATCCCAGGGTGCGTCCGCAAACCGTCATATAGAATCCCAGGTTTATCGTGTGCTCAACCGCCAAACTCTACAGTTCGATATGCGAGCCAGGATCCCAACGCCTATGTGCCAGGAGGACGTGAGTCGTTAAGAAATTCAGAAAAAGCGATTAGGCGCTAACAGAAACTGCAGCGGTGCTCCGAGGAACGGTCAACGACGCTACCACCTTCCCTCCACCATCAAGAGCCGCTGGATCCTACCACTGGGCCTTTGAGAAGATCCTCTCTGCCGCTCTCGTCCCCATGACCGCTGCTGCATTCGTGACAGGCGGAACCCAACACCCCGTCCTCGACGGTATCCTCGGCCTCAGCTTGATTGTCCACAGTCACTTCGGAGTGAGTTTCTCGTGAAATTCCGACCATTGGACCCGGTATTCATGATCTACATACAGTTTGACCAAATCCTCATCGACTACGTGCACAAGCGAAAATACCCCACTATCGCTCCTATTGCTACTTGGTCGGTCCGTGCAGCAACCGTCGCAGCGGCAGTTGGTGTCTTCCAATTCAACACCAACGATATCGGTATGTCGTGTCGTCACCATTATACCGCGTGAAAAGAAGCGTTTTTATTGATGGTTTTACTAGGTCTCACCGAGTTGATTGCCAAGGTCTGGACGGCATAGAGGGTGACTATACGCGGATGGAGCAAGTGCGAGCAATTCACAAGCGTCTCTACAATGACATGTCTACATATCTCTTAGTGTCCTTGAAAGGCTAATTATAATCTTCTTAAACTCAAAGCAGTCACCCCCTCACGTTGTTCGTTGACACAACGTCTTTCGTCAGTTTCAACCGCTGAATGACAGCGCTGCGCCTGCGCGAAGGCGAGAGCTGACACCGCAGTTTCTGGGATGGCGTGGAACTCGGGCGCAGGACGGACGATTGGATGCGCATTGGTCGCGACAATCAAGACAGTAAACATGACCGCGGAGGGGGGCGGGAAGCGTCCCAAATATCAGCGCGTTTAATTTCTACGCCATGGCACAACCGAGGGCCCGAGATTGACGCAGGCAGAGAGTACAACCCCGCACGATTTGGGAACTAGCTGCTCGAGTCGATGTCTCCCAAACCCGGTTCGGAATCGGACGTCCTCTGTCCACGACTTTCGTCCCTTTCAATTATACACCAGACGGTCGAATTCACCGAAGAGGCGCTGCTCGATTTCATCCGAGCTCGAAGGAACAAAGTGGTCTTGTCGCAGGGGGTGGCTAAAATCAAGAAGGTCAAGGTCCTGTTCGCAGTCAATTCGACCGTATCCATCCACAATGGCCAAAAAAGTGGCAGCAAGTCGTGGCCTCTATTGGCAAAGCTGAAGGACGATGCCGATGTTATACTAGACGACTTGAAGGTGGAGGTTCGTCATCCTCGAGACAAGGTCAACGAGTACGCTGCTGGGAGAGTATCCTCAGGTGAAATGTCTTTGGGAGAGGCTCTCATGGACCCCAGAGTAGGTCTTCCAGGCTGGACAGTAGTGATTCCACCAACTTATTCTTGACTTCGTACTCCCCCTGCGTGCGGTTGTGTTCTAACTCGTGTATATAGATGTCTTGGTAGGAGTAATAATGGAAAATTGGAGACAGTGTATGTCCATGATATCGTCAGCGAATTCTAACATAAGTAGTTTCGGATGTTCGTCTCCACATGCCCCTATTCTACATTGTCGCCATCAAATCCATCATCCCAGGCTTCTTGGCAAAACATAGGCATTCGTCATGGCCAACAATTCCGGAATGACCTCTGTCGTTTCAAGATGTCTTTGACCTCGTCTTCGCCCTTTGATCAACGTCTAGGAACGAATTACGCACCTTCAGACGCAGAGAAGGCACAAATCCAAGAAATCATCGCGGAAATTTCACCAGAGATCTCAAAACTTGACGGTGAAATTGAGGCTCTCAAAGAGGCGCTCGAGTCGTTGGAGAAGACAAAGGAGGAACGTTCAAAGTTCCTGGAGGACCACAAAGCGCTCCTCTCTCCGATCCGCGATTTACCCGTGGACATTATTCACGCCATCTTCCAACATTGCCTCCCCGACACCCATAACGCGGTTTTATCGCCTGCCCGAGCTCCGCTACTCCTCACACGGATCTGCAGGCAATGGAGGGAACTGGCCATCAACTACCCACCGCTGTGGTCATCTCTTCATATCCCGATTCCCAATGTTCCGGAGCCTATGCTCTACATACCTGGCTATTACACCAACAATCACGAATCCCGCGTGTTGTCCGAGGAAGAGCAGGAGTATTTCGATGGGGAGGTCGAGAGATGGCATAGCAGGATGGCGCAGAGAACGCAGTCGGTTTCTCTTTGGCTTTCACGGGCCAAAGGATCTGGTCTGTCTCTTTCTATTGTGGTTGGCAGGAAGCGAGATCGACATCCCTTTGGACTTGGAAGACCGGAACCAGAAGCAGTTACGGAACTCATTTCCCTAATTCTCGGATACGCGTCGCAGTGGGAACGGTTCGAGATTTCGGCGCCCCTCAATATCGCCAGCCGCTTTCTTTCGACACCAGCTTCGCGAACGCCCGCCCTTCGGTCTCTCAAAGTCAACACGCCCGATCGCATCCGTTTAGGGGATCCACCGCCAACCAACCCACCGAGCCTGTTTACCCCAGACGGCATCACCACTGCGCCATCTCTAAAGTCGGTTTGGTTCGAATCGATCCCGCTTGACAAGGCGCTGGATGTTCCCATCGGGTGGGGGAACCTCACGAGTTTCTTCTTCGCCCCTGACGATGGAATTCCAGGCCTGCCGACAGCGGGGAGTTTGACCCCGAATTCTGCCATCGAGATCCTTTCCAGGTGCCCCAACTTGAAGAGGTGCGGGCTGTTGGTAGGGAGTGGTTCGCCCTATCTGGCTAACCCGCAGGTCTGGGGCATCAACCCTCCGCAGGAAGACGTCACCCCAGGCCGTCGTGCAGTCCTCGAACATCTAGAGTCGCTCACATTGGAGCAATACGGGACGCGCTCCCTGCACCCTTTTGTAGAGTCGCTCGAACTTCCGGCGCTGAGGTCGCTCTCCTTCGCCGGGAGTACGACTCCTTGTCCGGCCAACCCTTCCCCTCTCATACCTCTCATGAGGAACTGGGGCCACAATCTGAAAACCCTTACTTTCGATTACCAGTTCCTCACGGACCCAGAGCTTCGCGAATGCCTCGAGCTGGCGGTCAATGTCGAAGAGCTCAGCTTATCGCTCAACGGGAGGCTTGGGCGCAGCTTCCATCACGCTGGCACCAACAATGACGAGGACCGGCGCCCTGCCCCTGCTCGACTGGGCAACAAGATGATGAAGGCGCTTACGCCGACGTACGACGACGACGACGACGACGCCGGCTCCGAGTCCGAGTCCGAGTCCACACGGTCTGTTTTGTGCCCTTCTCTCGTATCCTTCGCAGTCAGACTTCCGACAATCGAATTTGGAGAGGACGCGCTCCTCGCCTTTGTCCGTGGCCGACGACACGCCAAAGCAGCGGAGAAAGGTATCGCCAAAATCTCCAAAATCAAGGTGAACTTTGCGTATGATTGGCCGCAGGAAGTTCCTGGGGTGCCAACGCCCGAGAGTCTCAAGGGGTGGCCTCTGCTGGAGACGATACGGGATGACCCGGATGTGGACCTGGAAGGGTTGGACTTGAAGGTCAAGTGGTCGTGGTATGATCCTTCGGTTTATGATCGTGGGCTGGAGCGACCCAAGTCGGATACGACTGCGAATAGGGTGTGGAGTCCCAGCCAGGGACTTTGGAACGTTGGTGTGTGTGGAACTGTTACCGCAACATGCCCTGAGTAACTGACCTCTATTCTAGGCCTGGGCCCGTCTTTCTTGGTAGAACATGGATTCTGAGTAGAGACCGTGCATGTGGAATGTTTTACCCGTGGAACACTGCCCCGCTTCCCTGAGCCCTCACAAATTTTCAGCGCTTCGACGTCAGCGCCTTCGAGTCCCATGACGTAAATTCTTGGTAGCCGTTTGCAGGCGTCGCCGAGAGTTGGTCGAGAGTGACCCGAACCGAAATGTGAAAGTTAATTCATTTAGTTTGAGATCAACAGCAAAGCGTCGGTGGATTGGAGTACAGCGACTCCATCGCAGAATCGATGCCATTTGCTTTCTGCGAGTGGCCCCATTCCGGTAGTGCTTTGATTTATAATAATATGGTACTTAATATGCTCTCGGGCACCTCGACATGGGACGAACTCCGCTCCACATTGGCGCCGGAGGCGGCTTTTGAAATGGCAGTGCTCCGCACTTGACCACTTCAAGCCTTGACAGTTTAACGTCGGACCCGGTGTACTCAGTCTTACCAGCGACCCGTCTCGGTGCCGCCGCTTCATCTGATTGTTCTGCGACGCAGAATCTCGTATAAGGGCGTGTCTTTACGTCCCTCTTCCTCAACGCTGCTCGCGAACTTGATTCCCATGACGGAAACCTCTCAATTCTCTCTCTTCAAGGATTGCCTGGCTTCTCAGCTTCTCTCAAAGCCTGACTTCTCCAACGCTGCCGACGACTCGGAACTGGACGAGTTCGCGTCCTATCTCGCCGAAGAAGCCTGGCCTATCCTTCCACAATCATATCAAGAGGCAACATACGAGGCACGAGATTCCATATTACCTAGCATTGACTCGATATCACTGGACAACGTCTCCCCCTCCTTCGTCGATACCTTCATCTCCTATGGACTCGCTCCTAATGCCGATCACGACGATGCCGTCAAGTTCTTGTACAAGGTTATCGGGGAGTACGTCGAGCAGGCTTGCGCGCCTCCGCCCGTGTGGAAGGCTACGCGAGCCACCGAATGCGAGATCTGCGAGCGCGAGGTGGCGTTGAGCTATCACCACCTGATACCGCGCTCTACGCACGCCAAGGTGTTGAGGAGGGGCTGGCATCCAGAGTCGATGCTCAATAAAGTGGCTTGGTTGTGTCGGTAGGTTTGGATTTCATCCAACTCAGATACCTAGGTGGCTGACGGGGTATTATGGTGACGGACCCTAGTGCTTGTCATTCTGCGGTTCACCGAGTGGCAACAAACGAAGAGCTGGCTCAGCACTATCATACAGTCGAGTTATTACTCGTACGTGAAGACATTCAACGATGGCGTGCCTATGCGGCAAAGCAGAAGTGGAGACCCAGGCCTAAACGCCATTAGCATGACGGGTTTGGGGGGTTGAATTCTGAGGGGAGGGTAGACTACATATAAACATGTGTCTAAATGGACGTTGGGACTGGGGTAGGTCCCGCAGGATATCCCTTGGTAGTCGAGACCGCTGTACATCCTTCCACCATCGTCGCATCTTCGGGTCCAGGTTGAATGGGGTTGCATCCAGGCAGAGCATCGAGGTCTATGGCAAAACCTTTCAGTAAGGATCTCACCGGGCGGGATGAAAGGCAGGGGTGGTGAACGTACACCCATCGACAACCTCGTCAACAACCGACTCCAAGGCGCACTTGTTCATCTCCGTGTCAGGTTGGACGGTGAATTCCTTGCAATAATTCGCGTCCCCGTTGAAGTCTGTGCATTTGTCCATCGCGCGCTGGAGAGTGTCGCCCTCCCACCCGAACACGTAGTCCCCGTGATGGCCGTAACCAGTTCTTTGAAGTAGAAGCGTATCCCAGTGAGTTGGGCATGCAGTGGAAGCACGGGGCATTCAAGTGGAGAGGGACTCACGGATCGCCCATGCTATATACGAATGGCTGCGAACCATCGGTTGGCCACAAGTCGTTGAAAGCTCTGGTCTCCCAGATCGTCTCGAAGAGGATCATGGGCATCCGGACTGGGTGGGATGCAGGACATGTCCCTCGGTAGAAATTGAGACCTGTGAAGTCATCCGGGGGTCCGACTGGATGGACGATGTGACTCTGCGTGTGTTACAGTGCCATGCCGCCACCAATGTACTTAGCATCAGACGCGGTGAAGATCATAAGCGCCAAGCGGCCGTTGGGCACTTACAGCATGGTCGGGACTGTCGATGTTCACCCCGTCCCAGCACTGAGGGAAGTACGTCTGGGACCGCATAACGGCTGGACATGGCTTCTTGGGGAAGTCGACGGGGTCCGGTCTCCCGCCCGGGGGTTGACCGCTGAAGTCCTCCAGAGTTTCGTCGAGGCATCGGAAGCTGGTCACCTTTGGCGGTACCTTGGTATTCTCACTTCGTAGCATTGGGTTACCTGTAATCATCCGGAAGCCCTGGCCAGTGTTTGGTTTGTCAGTCAAAGGCCCTGTTTGCCAAGGAGCTCGAGAGAAGATGGGAATGAACTGAGCTTGAAAAACCGACGCACCTTTGGGAATGCGGTAATCTTTCCACCTCCGTTTTGGACGTAGTAGACCGTCATTCCTCCGTTGGGCTGACCCATGTTGATGTTGGGTTTCTGAGGGACGCGGATGAAACTGCCGTTGGTGTGTTTGAAGAACAGAACGGCGGTCCAGTAGTTTGACTTGTTTTCGACCACCTGGCAGCTTGTACAGGTCGCGAGCTTTGGGAGGTCGTTGTTTGGGTCCATGGTGATATTAAACCTGGTTTATGGGTCAAGAAAAACGGTGTTTGGAAGGTGAAGATATCCTCACGCATTCTATTCACCGTTGCGATTAGCTTGGTTAGGTGTCTTAAATCCCTCATGAGATAGAGTGATACGAACCCCGCCGATGATCTGATGTAGATGAGGAGAGACTTGTCCAGGCGTAACGAGCCTAAAGCGAGTTCGAAATCACGCTGGAAAGAGGATGCAGATCTCACTCACGGATCCAACCGCTCAACCACCAGCTGCGAGCATCCAAAACGAATTAAAGCATTGGTGTACGGTGGTAGGAGTGTAGCCAGGCTCAGTAACAGCAGTGTCTTCCAATGCTTCATGGTCGGTCCCTGGAGCGAGTCGAAGAGAGTTTGCAGAAGCGAGGAGATAAAGCTTTATCCTTAGAACCAGTGTAAGTGCGAAAATCGAGCGGGGTACCTCCGTGCTCCACCCCTTCCAGCGAGCAAGTGGTCTTCCAGAAGAGGAAGTATGTCTTTCGAACCAACATTCGAGCTTTCTTGATGAGGGTGATTGGCTGAGATGAGCTTCTTGTCAGTGTTTCCTATCAGCAAACAAACCAATCGTGGCAGGCCAGCTCTTCATCTGTGCCACTTCTGAGCGGTGAAGGTCGAATCGAAGACAGAATGACTTGCGGCCCGGGAGGTATGCTGGAGAGCAGAGATTGAATTCGCAGCGATGATACGTTGGTCTGCGCAGTGGAATCCAGGTAAATTCAAGATGAATTCTATGCTGTCTAAGGTGAATGTATCAGCAACTTCGCTTCGTTCCACGACATCCTCTCCCGTTCTTTCCCCAGCACCTCACCCCTCCGCTGCTCCTCTTCATCCACCTTCTTCCAATCAGAGTACTGCACCACATGCTTCTTCTCGATTCCTTCTTTCACCTCTGGTGGGATGGCTTCCAAATCCGGCTTCGGGTTGAGTACAGTCTCGTATGTGGCATCGGGCGGGGCCTCGTTGAGATGGTCGTTGAGTATGGTCTCGGCAACGTCATAGGCGTTCATCATGGTCGATGCTAGAACGCCTTTGGCGCCGGTGGCCGCCCACCCACTTGCGTACACGTTCTTGAGGATCTGGCCGGTGGTGTTGACGACGCGGTTGGAAAGCGTGCGCAGGTGCCTGAGCCCGGGGTCATAGAACGACGCTGTCGGCTCGCCGTGGAAGCCAAGAGAGCTGATTACAAGGTCGGTTGTGACCTGACTCGACTCTCCTGTTTCCACCGCGCGTTTGGTGGATGGGTCGACCTGCGTGTGGGCGAGTGAGAGCGTCGCTCGGGGTCTTCCGTTTTGGCTAGGGTGGATCTCGAGGCCTGTGGGTGAGCGGAAGAAGTCTAACGACCAGGTTTTCTTCGTTTCCCCGAATCGGTTCTTGGACCCCTTGGAAAGGAGCTGTAGGACCCGACTTTGCTGCCGAGAAAGGGGCGTTCCTTCAGGCGCTTGTAGGATCGAAGTGTCGATTGGGACCATGGACGCCTCTGGAAGATTGATAAGTTCGCGAAGTTCTTTCATGGTAAATGCAGCCTCCAATGGACCGCGTCGGCCAAAGATAGAGACATGTTCGACGCGTGATTCTGCCAGAACGTCGAGTACGTGTTGTGGGACGTCGTACTTCTTGAGGACGTCGACGTTCGTCAGGAGCATCCGTGCTACGTCCAGAGAGACGTTTCCGTTGCCAATGAGTGAGACGTGGGTGAGTTTGTCGAGTGGTGGAGGTGTCTTTGGAGCGTTTGGATGCTGGGTATACCAGTGTACCATGGAGAGCGCTGGGATCGAATGGCTGGACGGCGGTAGCGCAGAGTGCAGCGTCGGCAAAGTGCACCCGGTTGCGAACACGACATGCGAGTAGTTCTTGTATATCGATGATAGAGGAAGGTTCAGTGCGCTGTGAACAGGGCTGACGCTGTCCCCGACGTTCACATTTCCAAAGAAACGGAAACGCGGATCCTCTGCTGTCTCGTCGAACTTGTGGGTGCAATTCTGGGATTCAAAGGTTAGTTCTGTATATATTGCAGAGCCCGGAAAGCATACCTTGACTTCTGGATGGTCTGGAGCTACCCCATAGCGCACCAGGCCATGCGGAGACCATAAGCGGTCAAATAAATGGACGCGAACGGAAGGCGAAGACTGCAGCTTCAGCAGTCTCCCTGCAACATAGAAAGCAGACGGTCCTCCGCCAACAATTGCTAGCTTCAAAGGCCTCATTTTCCGGGTCTCGTCGTCGTCGGTGGTCGTCGAGAACGAAAGGGAGTCATCGTGGTATTATTCCAAGGGGATATTTCACGAATTTCTGACAAATTCCGGAGCTTGAAAGCGGAGATCAGAGCCAACGGAGATCAAATTCGAGGCTGACGAAGGGCGCCGGCAAGCGGCATTCCCCGAATGACCTCACCGTTGACCGCGACGACGAGCTCGATGTTTCCTCCATGTTCCCCGTTCTACGACGTACGTTCTGCAGGCCCAATGTCGTGGCCAGGACAGTGACAAGACCCAGACCCAGACCGTTCTCTAGCAGCCCAATAGCGCGAGAAATTCGTTATGTTCGCTTCGAGAATCCTAGTCCAGGACCTGGAGGCAATGGCGGCGGCCCTGGTCGAAAACAGCTGCTCGCTGAGATCAGCCCACCAATAAAGTTCCTGGCATTCGTGTTGGGAGTAGGCGGGGTCTACTATGTTACACAGTGCGTCGTCTTGAGGTCAATGCTGGGCTTGGACTGACCTTGGTCAGTTTGGAACAGGTCCCACACACTGGACGATGGAGGTTCATGGCCGTCGGCCCACAAACTGAGGCCCAGGTGCGTCGTGGTTGCGTAAATGTGAAGATAGGCTTATCCTGAACGGTTGGTAGATTGGCGAAACCGTTCGTCGGCAACTTTACCAGACCTCGGGCAATCGAATTCTTCCTCCAAACCACCCTATAACGCGCCATGTACGACGCGTCGTGTCGCGCATTTTGACGGCCTCCAATCTGGGCACCCTGCGCGGGGAGAAACGACCTGAAGATACTATGTTTGGATTTGGGAACGTCTTTGGTGGATTTGGCGGGTTCTCGACTCCTGATTCTGACTTTGGTGCTGCAACCCAGCCAAACGAATCCTACGGCCCAGAGAAGGAATGGGATGTCATTGTGGTGAACGACAGGAACATGGTGAATGCGATGGCTGCCCCCGGTGTGGTCGTCGTCTTCACTGGAATCTTGCCTGTATGCCAGGACGAGGAAGGTTTGGCTGCTGTCCTTGCACACGGTGAGTCTCCCTGAATGCTTTCTCATTCCCGCTCACTTATATATATGTCTTCCAGAAATTGGCCACATCGTGGCGCGACATCAAGCAGAACGCTTATCCTCAGAGGCCATTTGGACGGGCGTGGCCCTTGGCCTTAGAGCACTTGGCCTCGACTGGTTCGTCTCTCGGTCTATATCGACCCTCTTCCTCGAGCTGCCCAACTCCCGGCTTCAAGAGCTAGAGGCGGACCTCATCGGTCTCCGCCTCATGTCCAGGGCATGCTACAACCCAAGTGCTGCCCCTGCCATGTTCGAACGCCTAGGCAAATTGGAACAGGCCCTCCCTTCGCTCGAGTTCATACGGACACATCCTACGTCGGAGAACCGTGCCAAGGTGCGTGTTCTACAGGCTCGAATGCCACCCCTTTCGCTGGTTGACTTTCGTTGAACAGATTTTGGAGAAGGCGCTTCCGGAAGCATATCGTATTTTGGAAGATAACCCTGAGTGTATTGAGGTTCGGAAACAGATTAATTCGCTCCTTGAGAGTGCTAGAGCCATTCGGATTGATGATATGGGTGGTATAGAACGACTGTAGCGTAGATATCGTGTTTCTGAATCTCGATTCGCCGCTCAATTTCCTTTCGAATTCAAGTGTTCAAGACTCTTCTATACCAGCTATCGGGATATGGTGTATTCCAAGTGGAACGTAGTCACTCTTCTCTCCGTTGTCAGGACAGCGTTATCAACTTCGTGTTCCCTTGATAAACCGCCAATAGGGCCAACTTTGTAGTACATCTTGCCTTGTCCAATGCTCTGGCGAGGAGACTGGGGACGGGAATCTTATCTTAACTCCGACGTGACGTGACTTTCCCACGACCCCTCGTCGTCGTCGGGGGCAGCGACGACGACGGCATTTCTGAAGACGACATCGCCTGTCGCCGTTGTCTATGTGCAAGCCGCGATGACCCAATCGAGGCGACGAGTCTCCTACGTGATACCACCACCGACGACCCATGTTCGTCGTCTCCAGCTCCCACCGCACGGCAGTCAACGACTAGGAGCCGTTTCGCCCCTGTTGACCCCGCATCCGACCCAGGCGGCATCCGACGACGTCGAGGAAACCCCGCCATGGGCCAGGCACCCGCGACACAGGCTTGGGGTGTCGGCATTGGCACTGGACACGACGACCTGCTTGGCGGGTCGCAGTGCGCCCGAGGGCATTCTGTACTCCGGCGGCCGCGACGGCCTGGTTATTGCTCGAGATCTGCGGGTTCCAATGAAGAGACGGCGAGCTCAGCTGTCATCCCAGAACCGGTTAAAGGACCGTTGGGAGGTTATCACCGGCTGGGCGGACGACGCGATTGAAGAAGAGGGTGAGGACGGCGAGGAACGCGGTCCCGATGGCGACGTGCTCGGCGAGGTCGCCGCACAAACCAAGAAACAGCGGTCGGCGAGCATCTCGGGCGACGTCCAGCTCGAAAACATGTGGGAGACGGACATGGGTCTGTTCAAGGCTGGCGTTGTAGGTCGTTTGTCTCCATCTTTCAGGATTCACTGAAAGATCTGAACAGCACAGTGAATTCAGGCAATCTGCGCAAGCCCATTCGGACTGGATTAACGACATTCTTCTATGCAATTATAACCAGACAGTCATCACGGCGTCGTCAGATGGAACAGTGAAGTCCTGGAACCCACATTCTTCAATACCTACCGATCCAGTGGTCATCGGCACGCATGTGGATTATGTTCGTTGCCTGTCCTTGTGGTGAGTTTTGCCCTAGGCGGACGAGATTCACTAACTAACTTCGACTCTTGTAGCCGCGAAAGGAATTGGGTCGCCTCCGGATCCTTTGATCGAACTATCAAACTATGGGACTTGAGCAGGCCAAGCTCGCAGTCTCCTGAGCCTTTGGTGACACTCCATCCCGCTGACGCGACGGCTGCGAAAGCGTCAGTGTATGCTATTGCTTCGGATCCTTTTGGTCGGACTATCGCGTCAGGTTCTCCGGAACGAGTGGTCAGGCTTTGGGATCCTCGTACAGGAAAGAGGACGGGCAAGCTCGTCGGTCACACCGACAACATCCGTGCCATCTTACTGTCTGAAGATGGACGCTATGTAAGTGAAGGACATCTGTCGTTAGCGCCTCGATTGACTTCTCATTATTTTCCAGCTCTTGACCGGCTCTGCTGATGGTATGTGTTGCAACCCCTTCGACACTACTTTTACTAACATACCCCTAGCTTCCATCAAGCTATGGTCTCTTGCTTCACAAAGATGCTTGCACACGTTTACCCACCACACGGAGTCGGTCTGGTCGCTATACTCCTCCCACCCCTACTTGGAAACGTTCTACTCGGGAGACCGCACAGGACTCGTCTGTCGAGTCGACGTCGAGGGCTGTGGTGACCTTTCCGATGGAGAGTGCATCCTGCTGTGCAATGACTCGACGGACTGCAGCCACCCTGCATCGGAAGGGGTGAATAGCATCGCTGTCATGGACGACAATCTCTTGTGGACGGCATCCGGCTCGTCGACCATCAAACAGTGGCATATACCTCAACCACGGCGCTCGAGAGTCGTCGAGCAAGGCGATGGAATCATCCACTCACCTCCCATCAAACGGCGTTTACCTGTGTTCCAAACCAGTGGTATTGCGTCAGAAGCGAGCACCCGTCCCTCCACGGGCAGTGGGGAACAGCCCCGCCGCATGTCCTCCGCTCCATCGGTCCGTTCTCTCTTTTTCGACCAACAGAACAAGCCCCGGGATCTCGGCTTGGACGACAAGCTGAACGGTCTTCCACTCGACTCCCTAGTAAAACTCCTTTCCCCGAACGACCCCTTCGCCTCGTTCACCCATGGCCGGACGATGCGGGACCCCGAAGTGGCGACGCTTTATTCTGCTGCATCGATTGCGTCCGTTCCGCGCGGCGCTGGGCGTGCCTTCACCTACCCCGCTCTCCAAAGTAGTCCACTTCAAAGCTCCAGAACGGAGGAGACGGTCATACCTACCAGCATTGCCCGAGCGAACTACGAAGAGCGGGAACTGGCGTCCGATGCCACGCCGTACTGTACGCAGCCAGACGACATTATCAAAGGCGACGATGGCCTCGTACGATCGATTATCCTTAACGACCGTATACATGCGCTCACTGTTGACACTGCGGGAGAGGTGGGGGTATGGGATATCGTGCGTGGCGTGTGTCTGGGTACGTATCACCCTGAGGATGTGGCTGCCGCTAGCCATGCAGGCAGCGTCTCTAGTGGGGCTGGCGATACTAAGGAGCGGAGTCCAAGAGAGGCTCTGGAGGCAGTCAGGGAGAGGATCGAGGGGGAAGGGGTTGCGAATACGTGGTGTGCTGTTGATACCAAGGCGGGTGTTCTCACCGTGCATATGACGGAGCGGTGCTTCGAAGCTGAGGTCTACGCCGACGAAGTTGGGTTTGCGCATGATAAACATATCTCTGAGGAAACTAAACGTATGTGGCCTTATTTTTCTCTCTCCTCAGACAGAGCTCTGATCCGCTTGTCTTATAGTGAATGTCGGGAAATGGGTTTTGAGAAACTTGTTCATTGGTTTCATCAGGGAAGAAACTCGTCCTAAAAACATTCGTGACTCCCCGCCTGGTGGAGCGGAGAGTGTTCTTCCACCATCTATCAGTCGTGTTACCCATGAAGCCTCGCTCGAGTCCCATCGCAAACTTCGCCATCGCCGCACGCATTCGATCGAGTCGTCCAGGAAGGGGTCCAAACACATACCCATGAGCAGTACGGTGATCAACTCTCCCAAGATGATACCTGCTGTTGCGCCGGTTCCAGCGACTGCCCTTCCACGATCATCTCCTTTGCTAACCCCCATGATTCCCCTGCACCCGCCGAAAGAAGCCTTACCCCCTATCACCCAGAGCCCGTTACCTTCACCTGCAAACGAAATGGCTCCCACCACCCCTTTCCACCAACGGACGCGATCCGGAACGGTGGATGGCTCAATTGTACGAACACCATCTACTGGGCCACCAAAGGAGGATTACTTTAGCATTCGGAGACAGTCGTCGACTGCTGGTCCCGATGAGACGCCTACGGCTATGTCTTTGCCCACCCCTACCGCAAATGCGAAGATCGAACCGCCTCCGACGCCTAGCACGCCGAGTGGGCTGATGGGGAGGTTGAAGAGCTTTGGGAAGATGGGCAAGCGGCCTGTGAGTGATTCAGCAAGCCCGGTTCTCGGTGCTGTTACGCCGACTCTGGATACTGTGAACCCTGTCGAGGTACGTTGTGCGACGAGCTGCCTCCCTTGTTCTAGGCTGACCTTGGTTCCAGGACATTCCGATTGAGATTGCCAAGACGCCAATCCAGCAACTCCTCTCTGGGCCTCTGACGCCTCCTGGCAATGCAGATGCGCCACTTCACGCCTTCCCTCCACAGACAGTCGTCTTGATCTCTGAAGAAGCGACGCCGAGTTACAGAACGTTGTATCGGGGATACGTTTCGGGCACACAGTATGACACCAAGATCCTCGAAGAGGTCATGCCTCTCTGGTTGGCGGAGTATTTGTTGCTTAACAAGTTGCCACCGATGGCTCCGTTGCAGAAGATGAGCTTCGTGCTGTTGCCTTGGAATAAGGACCCTGATCAAGAGCCTCTGCCTGAGTTGTTGAACTCGTATGTCGGCGCTCGTTCATTACCTGGCGGTGGACTGATAGTAACCCCTGGCCCTCTAGTGCTCAATCTAAGCTAACCGCAAGTCGGTACCTGCGTATTGCCAAAATTCTAATCCACGTATGTCCCTCTCCTAGTAGTAAGACTGGCCGGTGTTTTCACCCCTGACTCTTTTGCAGGTCCAAGACAAACTCGAGAAAGCCACTTCAGCGGAATCACGCGCGGGTTCGATCCGCTCGTCCGTCGACAGTCACCATGCCGCTCAACAACAACAACAACAACACCAAGGCAACAGATCTCCTCGACTCCGCCCTGACGAACAGTATGAGATTTTGTGTAATGAAGCGGTGTTGCCTGTGGATATGACGCTGGCTGCTGTGCGGCAGTATGTGTGGAGGCAGTCGGCGGAGTTGGTGATGTATTATAGGCGGAAGGTGTCGACGTTGAGCCAGAGTCAGAGTGGGAGGGGGTCTGTCACTGTGAGGGAGGTGCCAGTGCAGCGTGGAGAGGCTTTGTAGTAAGTGTGTGATAGGTTGGTTGCCTTTTTTTGCTTTCGTTTATTGCCCCCGTTGTATGTATGTATTCTATTGCTGTGCTTATAAACCTGGAAGAAGTGTGTCGTGCCGTCTGGGATGGGGATTAATTTTTTGAGCTTTCACTCATGATGACTAAGGGATTCCCACGATGTTTAGACGCCCAGGTTCGGGCGCTCGCTGCGGCGTTCGCAGCCACGAAAACTCAGTGGCTAAAACGTTACAGGTAGAGGAAGTATACGTAGGTCTGTGTGAGATCTAAGCGCAATAAGCTGGTGCGGCTTATTTGGACCTGCCGTATGGTGACAGTAAAGTCGGTCGGAAGCTAGCATGGAGGGCTGGATGTTCGGTTTAGTGGACAATGTGGCAACTCCAAGAGCCACTTTCAAGCAAAAGCTCATTGGGATTAGAAGATTATACTCTGGGGCCCTTTCTACTGGATGACACTGTCCGTCGGATAGAGGCTCCACACAAAGCCATGCGGTCTTATTGTCCGTCGTATCCAGGTTGATGCCTCGCGGTGGGGCCATTGTCTGCTGCCACTGGTCTTAACCCTCGACTTTGAATTTCCGTTTTGGGTATTTAACCTAGTCTTTCGTGGGAAATCTGCGCTGATATTAAGAAGCAGCGATTTAAAATCCGTGTAGAACCGCTTTTCTTTCCCTCCATGCCTACCATGACTATTCCCTCCGACGGTGTGCAGATTCTGCTAGAGAGATTTGGGAGGGATGCGGTGAATGCCTATCTGGAAGCTGTGAGTTGTCTACTTATTTTATGGATTGAAGGTGACTTACGACCATGTTCCACAGAACTTCCCGCTAGAGACGATTGAGAGCTTGAACGAAAGCAATGCTCATGAATGGCTCAGAAACCCGTCTGAGCTTGAGGCTTGGGTTATTGAATGGAAAGGTCGTCGCTTGATTGCTGGTCTTTCGGACGACGACTCGGGCAGTACAACGAACGCGCTCCCTCCGATGGGAACTCTCATTCCTCTTTTCAACCGAAGGACTGCCGCGACTAATACTTTGGAATCTCGTGCCCACCGACGTGGTTTGTCTTTCTTGAGGTCTAAGAGCGCACTTGGAAAATGTCTTCTTCATGGAATTAGCTGCGGGGGCGATGGAAGGAGACGAGAATCGCCAAGGTTTCATCCTTACAACCGTCCCCGGGCCAGGGGTCGACCTATTTCGTGCTCTGGATGTGCCCCCACTGCTGGTTCGCAATCCTCTTCCTCGGTGTCGACTCGACAGAAGTACCAAGAGTATGCTATGGATAATGTCTCGATCGGTGAACTACCTAGGGATCGTGTTGCTGAAAGGGCCATCAGTGGTCCGAGCATCTCTAGGGACAACGCGAGCTCAGCGGACGATAAAGATTTGGCGGACACCGGCACAGGTTCTGACTTTGGATCTTCGCCTGTTACCACGGCAGGTGACAACGCGGGCCCTCCTTCCGTCAGGTAAGTGCTTTCTTTTATGCCCCAACTAGCTTCTTCGAGCTCATGCTTACACACCTCTTATACATTCAGACAGGACTATTCGCCCGTTTACGATCCCAATCTGGTCAATTCTCGAGGACAATACGACCCATCCAGCCTCATTCCTGACTCAATCCCCTGTGGCTTCTGCATTGGAGAGACGGAGACTGGCGAGCCAATTCCCTGTGGTCAATTGATCAACTTCAAGCACCCCAAACGGCTCGCCCCCAAAACTGCCATTCAAAAACACCTCATCGAAGTGCACGGAGAGAACTTACGAAATGTGGCTTTGCCTGGTCAGGGCGCTAGGTTAATTTGTGGATGGGCCAGGAAGGGAGAAACTAGGCCCTTGCTTGCGAAGTGCAATGCTATGATTAGCCCAGGTTCGATTGGGCCACACATTTTCCGCGAGGACCACCTCCTTCCAGACGATTGGCCGTGCCTCGTCTGCCCTTTTGTCGGGTGTAATAAGACCTTTGGGGCTAAGGTCGGTGATGATCATAAATCAGTTAGGCACCATGTTGCGAGGGAACATGGCGCTGGACACTCTGCCAAATTGTTTCCGAAGTCGGTAAATTTGTAGTAGACACGCATATTATATATACCAAGTCGTACATAGTACATGCTCTCACTGGTCGGTAGGACAGAATTAGGACTAGGAGAGGACATCAAGAGGAATAGATCGTGTAGATCATACTAAAGCCATGTATCCGAGTCGGAGGAGTATACACTTTCGTAGTGGAGTGGGATTGCGAATATTAGTGGGATTGAAGACTCATTGGGCAATGCCTTTCGTAGGATGACTGTATCTTGAGTGAATTTTCTCGCTTTCAGGTGAACTCCATGAGTGCCTCCTCGGTAACCATATTAGGGGAGGGCATTTTCAGCTTGAATGTCAACAGCCGTGGGCAAAGGCCCCTGTCATCCGAGGTCTGCGGTGTCAGGGATTCGTCGACCTCGCGGTTATTGGCTCACCTACAACTCGACACTATGGCGTTAGGTGACTCTGAGCGGCTTGATTGGTCGTCACCTACGCAACTAGATCTCCTATGCCAACAGTGTCAGCAAAGCGTGGGCATGACCTGGATACACCGCTTTATGGACTTGTATGCTCTGCGGGCACGATTCTTATCCTTCTCACCGATGCTTTTCCTGCTAGCGACGCTCTAAACTTAGTACAACCACCCTTGATTCACACATCCTCGGTTCGTGCCAAGCCCCAGCCAAGGAGTTACACATACACTCTGCCAGCCATCCCCCTGAAAGTCTGTCGATTGCCATCTGGTAGTCTACCTTCAGCTTCAGCCTATCACAACTTATGACAGTTGTCTCTGCGTCTTCTTACGCGGGCGCTGCTTTTGAGACAGCCACGGGTTTCTTCTACCGTATAAAACGCTGGGATGGTGAGCCGAGGATAACATCACCCTCATTCGTTCTTTTCGTTTTCTTTCTTTCGCTTTCCTTCCCTTCGTTCCTTTTGGCCAGGTCGCCTATCTATCTTTACCGATTTTTACCGAGTTCGTCTGGACAAACCGACGCCCCCTCACAAGACCTTTTGAGATATCGCCACAATGATTTCAAAGATCTTCACGCTCTTTACCGCCCTCTCCATTGCCCTCTGCGCGACCCAGGCTGCTCCCACCAACCACGAACAACCCGGTATGCTGATTTCACCGGCTTTGTTTGACGCTCAGACAGTATGCATAATCTAGCGCCCGTTCACGTTCCTGCCCCTGTTCACGAACTTCCCATCCACAAGGCCCCTGCTCACGAACTTCCAATCCACAAGGCCCCTGTTCACGAGCTTCCCATCCACAAAGCCCCCATTCACATCCCTGTTCACAAGGCACCCGGCGAGATCGGTAAGGAGTCCGGACCAGTCAATGTTTCATTTTTTACCAACGCCTCGACTTCACTTCAGTGGTCCCCAAGCATCTCACCTTCGACCGATGGGGTGGCTTCGACTCCTTGAAGGGCTTCGACAACTTCTACGGCATCGATAACTTTGATGGACACAGGTTCAACCAAGTTCTCATCAAGCCCAAGCACGAGCTTGTCTGCCGCGTCCAAAGGGTTGAAATTGTCCAACAGCGCTTGCTCGTCCTCCAGGAGCTCGCCAAAAGGTACATACCTGCGTTAACCCCATGATCATTATCTTCGATTAAACTTCTCTTGTCTCAAGGATCATCACCGAAAAGGTCTGCGAAGTCGAGGCCCAGACGATCCTCTTCGAGCAGTTCCACGGTGGCTTACGCAGCTTCGAGCGGGACTTGCTCCGCCTCCCCGGCGCCCACGAGGTCGGCTATGACGAGAAGATCGTCGGGCACTTCCCCAAGTTCTTCAACGAGGATGGCTCGCTCAATGATGACGACTGGGGCTTCACCGGACACGAGCTCGGCCGCCACACTGTCATCGTTGGAGGCCACAACTGGGACGACAGCCGCTCGTTCAGGACTGTCCGGGATGCTTGGCACAATGCCCGAAATGCCTGGGCGAGGTTTTGGTAAAGGGCTAATCTTCAAAGTTGGACTTCCCTTCAACATTCTTCTTTGTTGTCCGCGACTCGGGATTTTCGGTGGATAGATGCCTTTAGTACTTTATTACTCTTGTATTTCTTCGCTTGTTGAATTTCGAGACGAGGGTTTATGATACAAATCCATGGGTCGGGATGTGCCCGAGTCTGTGCGTATCAAAAATCTAGTTTTCGGTCAGCTAATTGTCAGAATGAAGAGACACCAACGGCGCACCTCAAGTTACGGACATCCTGCATCTTCCAGCGGTGCTGAAGTAGGCACAAGTACGGGTATAAGACAAGCATGACCAAGAAAGCAAAATTCCAAAGCTGGTGCGATAGCAAAAGCGAAAGCATTAACAGAGCTGTAAGAAGCAAGTACTTTTCGTCAGCCATTGCTCCCCACCACGCCGGGTTTGAGTTCGATCCCAAGGTCCTCCAGAGCACGTCGTCCTCGATCAGTCCAATAAGCGAAAGCATCACGGTTCTCGAACCATAAGTTCACGTCGAGCGGTACATTCGTGGCTGCTTCCGGTGGCTTCACCTCGCCAGAGACATCGTGAACTGGCGGCTGATCATCCGAAGAGGGTGGCGGGGATGGTGGAGGCTCCTCGAGAGAACTGCGCGATTCATCCGATACCCTGCGTCTCTTGGTAAGCTGACTTGGTCCTGGGGATGGGCGGGGATAGTGGCCTGACCTGACGAGGCCGCCATTTCGCATCCAGCCTGCGACGTTGTCTTCATTCTTGATGGTATCGAGGACGCCGATGATTGCCAGCAGCGTCTGGTCGTATTCCAATGGACGGCCGCCTGCGTCCATTGGATCCAGCGCCTCCGCTTTAGCCGACGCGAGTCTCTCCGCCTTCTTCCTCTCCTTCTTTGCCTTCCTCTTTCGTTTCCTTGAATCCTCCTCTTCTCCCTCTTCTTCGACGGGAGGAGTCGTCTGGGACTGCTCCTTCTGTTCCCGCAAAATCTCAGCATCGCGAACCTTGACATCTGTCTGACGCATCTCCGCCACGTATTCGCGTATACAGAGGTGGTTCCACGGTTGCAAGTGCGCTTTCAGAGGAGAATCGTCGAGTAGAAATGTCGTTCTTGCCGAGTGACCCAGCGCTGCCCAAGGCTTCTCCAAATCCTTCGTCGTCTGCGTTTTTCTGACTGGCAGGCGTCAGTTCTCGTCCGCAGCAGCGCAAAATCACCCACAGTATTGCTCGGGCGTCAGGCCCAGTGTATCCCTCGCCCAAACCGCCTTCAGCCCGTCCTTGCTGCCAAACGTCTTGCCCACCATGTCGTCGACACTATGAGGCTGCGCAGAACTCCAGACCATCGTGTCCAGCCATTCTGTAACCCTGGGATGGAATAGGTATTCCTTGAAAGATGAGAGATATGGACGTGGGTGCACCGAGCGTAAAGGTCTGGGGACGTGATGCGGCTGTTGATAAACACTTCTTCGCTGGTGTGGGCTTCGATATACCAAGGTACCGTTCAAGTCCAGTATGAGCAGTTTCCGTTGGGAGCTTGGAGTCTCAAGTTTCGAGCTTGGCTCTGCTGATATTGAGAGGTATTCCTTTGAAGGTTCTCGTGGTTGGATTGGCGGCGGCGGTGGTGTAGGGGATCTCCTGGGAGGTGATTTCTGTCGTACAGGCTCCTGGGGACTGCCTGGGTCTGTATACGGGTCTGGTTGCACCAAAGAGGTGCCCTCTGGATCGAAATTGTAGTCGAAATCGTATCTCCTCGCCATCGAAGCCCTAGTCGGTGCAGCTATCGTTGAATAAATACGGTATGCGCGAAATAGCTGGGCCAAATCCATGAGTGAAGATTGGACAAATGGTGCATTACTACTCACCAGTCGGTTCATGTGTAGAACGTCAAATAAAAATCAGTTTTCTGCAGAAAGAAACTCTGAGAAACAGTCTGACAGGGACACCAGGTCGACGTCAACAGCAAAATTTAGCGCCCAAAAGCTCTAGTCCTCAGAAACCTATGAGCTATCGGAATGAGCGAGTCTGAAGTCTGAATTTCAGAGTAGTGGTTAGAATATACCCTTATCTTCGTCGCCGTCGCCCTGGCTTTCGTCCTCGCTGTCGTCGTTGCCGCCGTTATCGCGATTGAGGTCGTCGTCGTCGTCGCGAAACAACGGCGCGCGATGCAATCGCAACGAATCCAAAGCCGTGCGGACTTTGAAATAATTGATCTCACGGGGATGATAAGATAAGATGTCGCGCCCTAGGATTCGTGGATTCGTCTAAGCTTTCCAATCCAATGGCGGGTCTCGTGGATGAAATGGACCATCGTTCCCGTGGAGATTTACCCATAAATATTTATACAGAAGAAGAGGAGCTTAATAACAGAAGCAATCCAACTTTCTCACTTCCTACGATACTTCCCCGCCTCCGAAAATAACCGATTATAATGCTCAAGCCCATGAATCTGCTTAACATGGCGCTTAAGTACACCAGCACATCCACCGACCTTATCCGCAAAGGTATTCTCGCAGCCAACCAACGGGCACTCAAAAGACGGCCATTCAACATCAACGAGGTGGTCTCCGCGCGTACAATGTTTCCCCAGTGACTCTGAAGTCACGACCTTGGTGCACCTCGCAAGCGGCGGAGCCCCGGGGTCTTCTGAATCCCGCTTCGTCAACCACCCACAAGCCACTTCGACGTTCAACTTGGAGGAGGTCGAGGTGGTGGAGATACTAGACACCAACGCTGCCCGGTGCTCCTTCTCGAGGTGTTTCTTGATCAAGGTGGCGGGAGCGGTGCGTTTGAAGTCTCGCAGGCTGATCGGTTTGCCGCAGGGGATGGGCTGGCCGGCGTGTGTTTCGCCGATGCAGAAGTTGCAGGGGATTGATTCCGGAACGAGAGCGTATGAGTCGAAGAGACCGTCAGAGTCGACGAGGTAGGGTTTGTAGATGGGGTGATAGCCCTGGCTAGAAATTACCCAGGTAAGCATGAGGAGCCATGATATCGGACTCATGGGTGGGAGACCTACTCGGTTGAGGAGGAACCGACACTCAGGCTCAAACTAGCCGAAGATGAGGAGGATTCCGAAGAGCCATCGTAGTCGCCCACAGAGCTAGCATCGTCGCAAGAGATGTCCGAGCCAGAGGAAGCGTCACCAAGCAGAGTTCCAGAAACATGGAGGGGAGCCTGCGGTCGCGGATTGGCGAATAGATTATCCATCAGCGCTTTCTGACACGATCCTTTACCAGTACAAGCTCTGGGGGCACATGCAGGACATGTGACTGGAGGTTCTGAGCGGTTGTAAGGACGGTATCGAGTCTCTTGCAATCGTGGAGGCAAGAGTCCTTGTTCGCCACGGGTATTCCCAGTATCGCGCAGGAGACGCTCGCGAGCTAGCGCCCCCCTAGATTGTGGGCCAGCCCAGTCATAGCGGTTGGAAGTCGAAGTCATAGTCGCAGAAGCCTTCCAGTCGAAAACGGGATCGAGATGTCGGATCGGAGGGAGGGCAGTACCATCTGTTCTATTCCACTCAACACCGGAGTAACCTGCAGAAAGCAGGCGACAGCCCTTCCATTCCATAGCCCAGCGTTCGTAGTGATGAGGGTTGAGCCAGAGGTGCGCGTTTTCCCTGGTACAGCGGCTTCTCCGATCTTCAGGGAAATTCTGTGGACGCCAAGTTAGTTGACGAGCTCGGTTTCGTGGCGGGGTGTCAGGTAACGTACGGCGCTCACATAAGCGCTTAGCACTTCATCGCTAAATTTTTCAAGAACAGCGTAAGCTTCGGGGGAGAGCGACATTGAAGAAGGTTCGAGTGTAAAGTGAATGGAAAGATGGTTATAGATCTACTCTAATCCTCTCAAGGTTACCCATTTATACCTGCACAACTGTGGCCCTTCAAGCTCGCGTGCAATTCAAACCCACAAGCTCAGTTAGCTGTGCACAAAGTACGTTGTCAAAAAACGTGGATTCGAAGAGAAAGGGAGAACATTGAAACAATAAATACACAATGTCCATCGAATTTTGGCCATGAGGCTATGAAAGACCCCAAAAGAGTGCACAACTGGCCACAGCAAGTGACACACTTCCTGATTTGGGGTTTGCGACTGGTGCCGGCGGCGCCCAATCCGGCGGCTTCCCACTTGACCTTGTGGTGGGTGGCTGTAAAGTCCTTTGTGAGCCACGATCGAGAAAAGACGGCACCCGCAGAGCCGCAGCCTCAGTTCAACCCGCACTAAGTAAATCAAAGGGATAAAGGGTGTTTGATTCGGATGAAAAGAGAAGGTTGGTTGTTTGAACGACGAACAAACCAAGGTCGCAGACAGGGATCAGATACAGGTATCGATATCTACAGGGCTTTCCTGACAGCAAAAATCTGCGTTTCTCCACGAGAACGAACGTGACGGTTTCTGTAGAGTCCTATTATGTAGCAGCTATCCTCCATTCTCTGCATAAAGCACTTGTTCGATTCCATTTTGAACGCGTTCGCAGGATTGGTGATATAGGTTCCTCAGCGTCCTCTTCCCTCAACTTTGGGTCGAAGGAAATCCGAAAGCGCCTTGGTGGTGAAATTTCCGCGAGTTCAAGTCCAGAAGTAAACATTCATTTGGCAATGATACGAAACTATCTTAGAATACGCTGACAGTACTAGTACCCGAGTTAGAACACACCCGCATGTAGAGGGAGCTCAAAGTCAAGAATAAATTGACTAGTCACTGCTGCCGACCAGCCTGGAAGGCCTACTCTGGGGTCCATGAGAGCTTCTCCCAACGTCATGGCCCCTGAGGATGCGTGCGCAGCGGCGTGCTCGTTGACCTTGTCTCGGGGACGACGAATCTCCACCTTCAAGTCGTCTAGAATAACATCGGCATCGTCCTTCAGCTTCTCCAACAAAGGCCACGACTTGCTGCCACTCTTTTGGCCATCGTGGTCAGATACGGTCGAATCTACCGCGAACTGGACCTTGACCTTCTTGATCTTAGCTACCCCCTGCGACAAGACGTCTTTGCTCCTTCGAGCTCGGATGAAATCCAGCAGCGCCTCTTCGGTGAATTCGACCGTTTGGTGCTTGATTGAAAGGGACGAGAGTCGTGGACAGAGGACGTCCGATTCCGAACCGGGTTTGGGAGACATCGACTTGAGCAGCTGGTTCCCAAATCGTGCGGGGTTGTGCTGTCTGTCCGGCTCGACTTCGGGTCCTGGGTATGCCATGGCGTCGAAATCAAACAAGCTGATATCCTGGACGGTTCCCTTGCGCTCCGCGGTCATGATGAGTTCCTTGACGTTCTTCGCCAGCCTCAGGCACTCTACCAACTCGGTTGGCGTGAGCTTCGTGTAGTCGAATGAAAGAGTTTTGATGGTCTCTCCCCATTTCTCCAAAATCGCAACAAGTGAAGACGGAACGGCTGCGCATGGGAGGATGCTGGTGCAGAAATGGAGTGTTCGAAGGGAGGGAAGGTCGAGTGACTCGATAAAGTGTGTGAGGTTCGTTCGCTCTTGCATCAGCGACAAGCGGAGGAGGTCGGATAGAACGATATGTCTCGTGCGTTCCGTTACCACTTCAGCCGGTTGTACTGGAGGTATATGTGAAAAGAGGTGCGAGCCTTGAGCTTGGCCAGCGGGACGCTGAGGGCGTAGAGTGAGTGCACAACGTTTGAGCTTCGGACATTTCTCCAGGATGTCGAGGGCAATGTCGACGGGAATGGCTGTGAAGATGTAGGCTGGGGAGAGGTAGAGTTCGGTCAAGTTCTCCCATATGACGGGAGTGTCGAAGAGTTTGGGAGGAATAAACTTGAGCGATAAGCTTTGGAGGCTGGGCGAAGAAAGGATGCCGGCTGGGGGAGTGAATCCGCGATTTCCAAGAGAAGGAAGAGCTGCTACGTGGAGTTTCAGCTGCTGGAGGCGGGGTGTCTGGGATGCCGGAATAGCGATGATTTGCGAAGCGATTTCTTCGGGAGTGGAGATATCGAGTCGCTCCCACTGGGCAGAGTATGACTTTACGACATCAAGGAGTGCCTTCAAGAGCTCGTTGTCCTCCTTGGAGATGCGCGAAGGGTCTGGCTGCCCACCACGAGGGTGCCCATAAATGATCGAGATGGACAAGCCCGACCCCTTTGCTCTTTCAAGCCAAAGTGACAGGAGATAGCTCCGACGGGCGAACCGAGCCTCGAATTTGCTCAGTTCGTCCTGGTAAAAGGACAGCTGCTCCTGCGTGGCTTTGTCCATCACGGACACGCCGGGAACAAACGTTCCTATCCCTGGACGTCTGGGAATAGGTAGGTGTAAGGACGCCCACAGAGAAGGGTAGCCAATGGCAACCTCTCTCCATTGTCGACAGATGTGAGTGAGGAGGAGAGGGGGCTCGGAAGCCGAAAGGATTGGGTTGTGGTCGCTGGGAAGACAGTAGCTGAGAATGACCTGGAGGATGTCCAAGGGCAAGCGCCGTATCGGTGAAATGAGGGCTTCGTGTTGTGCTTTGAACTCGAGATGGGTCTCCTTCTGCTTTTGCAAGGCAGCTACCGCCTGCAACGCTCGATCAAGGTCGATATCTAGAGTCGCGATCTCTGCATCCGCTTTCCCTATGACTTCTCGGATCGCCGTGATCTCTTCGTCTGACGGTGCATAGTTTGTCCCAAGGTGCTGTTGGAATGGCGATGAGAAGGGTAGAGCCATGTCGCGAGGATGAGGTCGTAAGAGAACCTTTCAACTTGAACCCAGAATTAAACCCTGGATTTTGATGGCGGATTCAATGTCCGCACTCGGTATGTGCAAACTAACGAGCCACATAACCCATCATGCCAGTGCTGTATTCCAACTTCCAACATCGTCGCACTTAGATCTCCACATTCAGGTGTACCAACTTCCCATGCCATACGAGCCCTCGTTGGTTAGAATTCCATTCGTCAGATAACGAGTCTAAGTGATTCTGTCAGGGCCATGTTTTACAACACGAACGTCCGAGGCTACCCACATGTATCCGCAGTCTGAATTAATGTCTGGGAGGTAGAATCATTGTTAGGCTGGGAGGTTCTCGTAACAATGCCATACCTTCATCTTTATCCAAGGAACCCACTCGCCAGGTTTATACATCGTCAGAGGGGGTATAGTCCCGAGGAAAGGTAAACGTGTGGGAGCCAGCATCCAAGCAATAGCCGATATTAGATAGGTTCATTTGCTGCCGACTGCGTTTGATCATCCATCGTGGGCTGGGATGGCCTTTGAGAGAGAGATAGGTGTCCAGAAGACTCGTGCTGCGTGCATTCGAACAGGAGTTCGCTTGCCAGCGGAGGACATTGGGCAAATACCTCCGTTGTGTTCGTGAGATTCCTATCGTGCCGGCCTAGTATGAGGCGGTTAAGAGAGACAGAGTGCGAGAAGCGTGGAGGACCTGGAGGTAAATGAAGTGTAAAAGGTTCGAACAGAACCTTCAGATGAACTTTATTGAAGCGAAACCAGCTCGTCGGTGATAAGTTGGGAGTGCGTTCAAGGCGATAAGCAAGGGTGTGCGAGTTTTGATGTGAGTTCAATCGGGAGTGCCTAGGAATTCCCAAGTTGCATATTCTCTCGTCCCAAAGAAGAGTCGACTCCCGTGAGTTGCCAGATGCATGAGAGATAAGCGGCTGCGACGGTGTGAGAGCTTAAGCTAAGACCAAGAAGTTCCCTGAGATACCCGATGCATAACTGGAATTCAGATACGTAAGAAAGTGCGGGCTCGTGGAAGGTGGCAGGCTTGTCAATTCAGCAGTCAGACATAGTCCTGTAGTCAAAGCCAGCCTGTCGCCATGAATGCCTATAACTCTACGAGAAAGGGAGGGTCAGAACGGTCACCGGTGGACTGAGATCGGTAGTTTCTTTGTGTTGCGATTACATCGGGTTATACCAGTTGTGAACTGCAAGCTTCAGTTGGGCGAAGCTGGGACTGGTCTGCCTTATTTTCGCGCAGACAGCGAAATATTGAGTGTTTAGCACTGTCAGCAAACAGTCAGCCCCTCTCATGTCAGAAACAGAAAATACATTGACCATTTATGTATGAATGGGATATAAGATAACCCTTTTTAAACTCCAAGCTTCGCTTCTAGACGTTTTCAAGCGCGGAAAGGGGTCAGAGAACGAAAAAGCGAGAACCTTGCCTAAATAGGGGTGTTTGGCTTGGCGTGGGTTCGCCACCACAAGCACGAACAAACAACGGCGTTGTCAAACGATTTTGCGACCGTTTCGCTACCAATTCAGTTCGTCGTCGTCGTCGCCGCCGCCGTCGTTGTCACCGTCGTCCACGTTCCCCACAGCCAGTTCCAGGATGTCTGCTCTCTCGACTGCACCGTCTGTTGACGGCATTGGCATTGCCAACCTCCCCAACCAGGTGCGTTTCCCCGCCAAATCTCCAGTTTACCGCCAAGTTGTGACGCGATATCCCCCAGAGGCACAAAATCGTTGCAAAGCGCGGTGCCCACTTCACAATCATGGTTGTCGGTGAGTACGACGTTGTCTGTGAACAACGAGCTCAGTACTAACAAATCGCCTAGGCGAGTCCGGTCTGGGGAAGACGACGCTCATCAACACGCTGTTCTCGACAGAGCTGTCGCCCCCAAAGAACTACAGCAAGCGCCATTTCAAGCAAATGGACAAACTGACCGAGGTCGAGATCATCAAGGCTGAATTGGAGGAGAAGCAGTTCAAGGTCAAGCTCACTGTCATCGACACCCCTGGCTTTGGCGACTACGTCAACAACCGCGATTCCTGGTTGCCCATCGTCGAGTTCATTGATGACCAGCACGAAGCCTACATGCGCCAGGAGCAGCAGCCTCAGAGGTCGGAGAAGACTGACTTGCGTGTGCACGCCTGTCTGTACTTCATTCGCCCAACTGGACACACGTAAGTCTCCTGAACTTGATTTATGATCATTCTATAGACCCTTGATTATACAGATTGAAGCCCCTCGACATTGAGGTCATGAAGCGTCTGGGAACACGCGTCAACCTCATCCCCGTTATTGCAAAGGCCGATACCCTGACCCAGAACGACCTCTTCACCTTCAAGCAACGGGTGCGTGTGCCTTTCTGGTACCTGGGCGGCTGATCTCACGTTGTTGTTAGGTTCGCGAAGTGATCGAGGCTCAAAACATCCGAATCTACACCCCTCCTCTCGACGACGACGAGAATGCTGAGCATGCTCGTATGCTCCTCGACGCCATTCCTTTCTCCATCATCGGTTCGACGGAAGATGTTCGAACACCCGACGGCCGTGTTGTGAAGGGACGAGAATACATTTGGGGTGTTGCTGAAGGTGCGTCGTTTTGTTCGATGATCTCTTGTTACCACGCTGACGCCACGCTTCTGTAGTCGAGAACGAGAACCACTGCGATTTCAAGAAGCTGCGATCTTTGCTGATCCGCACGCACATGCTTGATCTCATCTCGACAACGGAGGAGTACCACTATGAGAACTACAGACAACAACAGATGGAGACACGTAAATTCGGCGAACCCAAGGTCAAGAAGCTTGACAATCCCAAATTCAAGGAGGAGGAGGAAGCACTCAGGAAGAAGTTCACTGAGCAAGTCAAGGCTGAGGAGGCTAGGTTCAGGCAATGGGAGCAACACGTGCGTATCTCGATATCCATTCACATTCGGCGTGGCTGACTTGTTGCTTTACAGCTTATTGCTGAGCGAGACCGACTCAACAAGGATCTCGAGTTGGCCCACAGCGCAATCAAGGCGCTCGAAGCTGAGCTTGACAGCCTTCAAGTCGGTTTCCGCGGAACGGGCCGTCGATAAGCGACATTCACCCTCTTCCTGCTCTATTTCTTGGTCTTTTCGCTGCGTCCCCTCTTGCATACCGATCCAAAACCGTGGCGTTATATCTCTCGTCCTCCCTTATACCCCCCTCCATCTCGAGTCGCTCCTTCGGTTTTCTTCCCTAATTGGCTGGTCGGCGCCCACCTTTATGGGGTGAGTTCCTTGCAGACCTTGTGGCCTTGTGATCTCTTCCTCCCTTGAACACTCGTTAATTTTCCTCATTTTTTGTCTACACATACGGATACTGTCTTTCCTTTTAGTCTTTGACGCTCTGTGCTTTTCTTCATTGTATCAGCACGATGGATTAATCTACGCTCGCATGATATACTACTATACCGGCCTCCAACGCTCTGATATAACCCTTTGCACTGGGATTTAGAGGTCAACGTTTAACGCCAGTTGCTATTGGATCTTATGGATTGGGGACGCGTGACATTCCTTTGAGCCTTTCAGTGACGCTGATAGAACGTCCTTGCGACATAGAACCAGATAGTTGAAGGCTTCATAAAGTAAGCTAAGGTACCCGTGTCGTTTCTATCTTTCGACTACTTCGACACCAATTATAGTCTGTCAGATTCGGGAAGGCCAGCCGTATTTGTTGGCGGAAGAAGAGACTAAAGACTAAGTGGCGGCACTGCATGACGAAATTGCAAAATCTTTGAAAGCACTTGTCACATTGCAGGAGAAACGGCGAGTTCACTTCGATGTCAGGAATGGGTATGTATCGAGCCAGGTAATCACTCCCCAAATCGCTCTCATCGTCTTGGGAAAGGGCCACAAGCTCAGGCACTGCACTCTGGTTCTGTTCCCCGTGCTCGCTCAAGAGGATTGCCGATGAAAGCCTGTGGACGTTGTTGGAGACTTTTTCCAGAGGATTTAGAGGTTAATTTGGACGGGATGAATGTGCAAGTCGGGTGTCCGAGAGTCGAGATGATGGATGTGGGCTGTAATCTTCAGAACTTGAGTGACGAATTCCAGTGGAACGTGTCGTCGGGGTTGCATATGGGTATGGTGCGTTCTATCTTAGGTTGAATGTCTCGTCTCGCTGAGGTACTTGCTGACCTGAGTCGTTTAGTAGGCTTTATGACTATTGGATGTTGCAATGAACCTGCGTAGAATGGCTCCTTATACGTAGTACAGTGGGATGGAATCCACCACAACGATATCATGATGATTTCATGAGACTACCCTCGACTCTGGAACGAGCCGCATCGGCCCATTTGAAGAGAGAGAAACGCCCATTTTACTTTACAAGAACTAAACAGCGTCCCACGGGGGCTTCGAGTCTCCAACACCTTTCAGTGGTTTGCGTACAAATGACTCGACCCTCCGAGTCGGAATCAAAGTTACCTCGAGTGGATCCCTCGGAGTCCTCCCATCCTCATGCGAACTCTAGGTCCCGATTCACCCACCCCCAATGCGCCAATTTCGCGTCGACTTAACTTGGGCTAAGGCATTTTGAAGATGGATCCCAACGTCCCTGATTGGCTGCGCACATTTGCCTCAAAGCGGGGTATGTCATCAAGCACAGCCACTGATTGAGGTATTTCGAGAATGCACCTATCGCACGACGAGGTGTTCTTTTGGCTGAGTAAAGGTGTAGGTTCCGAAATGGGATGACAGATGAGGGTAACAGGTATAAAAGGACACGCCAGATGCTTGCTCTTTTTCCCAGAATTCAACGCATTGCGAGTATCGGAATCTGAACTCGACGACACCGACGAACTTCGCCACTTATAACCCTAATTCATGATGATGGTAAGTTTCTCCAGGCATATTGGGTGATAAAACTTCGGCTTACAGCTCGATAGTTTATTGAGAGCACCACCCCTGTCTCTTTCTGCTCTAACTGCAAGTGCGGTAACACCTGCGGCTGTGGTAACAGGTTCGTGCTATATCTCCTTCTCGTCCAAGGTTCATTCAATTCTAACAGACTGTTTTCTATAGCTGCGGTTGCACAAAGGACCAAGCGAACGAGGCTAGTTGCGGATCTAGCAACTGCGCGTGCACCAAGTAAGTTGGCTTCTCTGTGCCTTGAAATGAGAACGATACTGACGATTGCCTTGCTCGATTCGATTAGCTGTGCTTGCAAGGCCGACGATTGCAAGTGCTGAACGCCGCTTACCCCCAGTTTTCCTCGCGGTAGTGACATAATTCGAGTTCCTTATTCTACATGCTGCGACTTGTATCGTCGGTCCAGTTAGATGGAGACAGTCCTAACTGCATAGCTGCATAGTAGTACTCGGAGTCAGCACCTGCATGCAATGACAATTTGTGTTCTGGGCAGTTAATCCTTGCGACAAACTAAGAAACGAGAAAGTATACAAGTAGGTAAAGATTGTACAGTACAGCAACTATCGCAAACATCGAAGGAACCTCTTGATCTGCTGAACAAGGACATTGGTGTAATACGATATCTCTTCAGCGGCGAGCTCTAGTTCGTCCTTTCCAGAGTATGTCCCAAGATGCCCGTTCATGTGCGAATCCGATGTTGACACCTCGACTGCGTCGCGTAATCCGATGGAGTTACTGGTTGTGCGGCGGACAACTTCATAACCCGTGGCCGCAGCATATTTTTTAATGACATCTCTAACCTTCTCGCGGGACTCCTCGTATTCTTCGTCAAACTGAAATCCTCCTTCTTTCAGCGCCTTACCACGGGTTGCAGTAATGCACGCTTGCTCATCAAACCAAAGCCCGTACTTCTTGAACTCTCGCTGATTCTTCTCCCACCAACTCTCCATCGTGGGTTCTTCGCACTCGAGCCCAGTCACCACCAACACGATCGGGACGTTTCCCTGGCAAACGATCTTGAAGAAGAGATCGTAGTTGTCCTTGACGACCTGTCGGAAACGTCTTCCGCGAATACAGTAAACGAGGAGGTGTATACCTCCTTCGAGACCCTTGAGGAGGGAGGCGAGGTTGGATGTCGATTGTTCGTGGTTGACTGAGCCGCGCTGGCCCTCGTTGAGCCCGGCGGTGTCCCAGAAGAGGTATTCCTCCCCGTCCAAGACGGCCGGATAGCCCTGGCTGGAGAAGGTGCAACCAACGGCCCTACTCGAAACGAGAGCCTCGCCATGGGTGCTCGAGGCACCCTGGTCGTCGAGAGCCGTGGTAATCCCCTCTCTGATCATGTTGATGACCGAGCTCTTCCCTACACCAGTCTCTCCGAAAAGGACGACATTTTTGATCCGAGGACGATCTACCCCTGGTTTGGGGTTAGATTTAGGAGGACTGTCGTGTGAACTCTCGGAGGATATGCTGTCGAGGTCAGGGGATGGTTCTCTACGGTGTGGTTTCGGGGGGAGGTCAGGCAGAGGTGATGAAAAGCCTCCAGGTATGGGTCGATGGAGATTTCCACAGGATTTCGTCACTGTAGGCTGAACGGTGGTAATCGTCCCAACCGTTGTGGGGGCAATCGTCTGGCTACTCAAGCAAGTATGACGCATTAGCAGGTCACACCTGAGGGTAAACGGATGCCTGCTGACCTAAAAGAGGGGTACGCGTCTCGCTGGTCGAGTTGTGTGGTGTATCTTCGTCCTGGAATCATCATGATGTTGAAGAACTGGAGGATGGAATGGGAGTCAGATACGTGAAATAGAGCGATACACCGACTTACGATGCTGCTCCGCTGGATATTCCCTTCCTCGAGTCCTGGATCACTCCCTTTTCTTTCGGCGGCACTTTATGAGAGCGACAGGTCCAGTACCATTTCCCACTCAAAACTCGTGTATACCGCGTGGAATGCCCTTATCTTGGCTATCTGTGAGAGCTCCGTGCTTTCAAGGTGTAATGAAATCATCCGCAGCGCGAGAAGGCATAGTTCACTTCCAAACGAGCTCGAGTTCCATTCAAACAACCACGCCAAAGCCAGGCCCCTTGTTCACATGTCCATTCGCGCAGTATGCAACATGCACCTCAAGGCATCATCGAATATAGAGAAGAAGTCATTCTTAGTGCGGCCTATCGATTGTTTGAATGGAAGTACGAAACTAGGCGCCGGGGTGGACGATAAGGGCAATCACATTAAAGCGAGCACCCCAATCACACTAGGGGCACCTGCCCACATGCCAAGGTGCGCAGTTTCTTCTTTCTTATCCAGGGAGGCCTCGTTTTAATAGAAGCTCCTACCGTCCGATTCCGCAGGCATCATTAGAGTTCGTGAAGAAAATAAACGCCGGAGCCAACGTAAACGCAACGTGCAGAAAGCGAGGCCAGTCCACCAGGATGGGTATGAAACTGAAGCCTTCAGTTTAGCATCAACAGGCTCGACGTCCTTCTACTGCTGCAGTTCTGCCTTCCAGCCATCCTTGCACGCGTTTCGTTCTCCAAGCTACTTTGACATGCAAGGTGGGTTGGATCAGTCCTTAGGTCTTCTTCGAGCCCACTGATCCTAATCGACTCGGAAAACTAGTTGACGTGCCTCCACGCAACATAGTCCTATTCGGCGAGAGCGGCTGTGGGAAGAGCTCTATCGTCAACATGCTCTTGGAGGAGGAACGAGCACAGACCTCGAGCTCTGCCGTCGGATGCACCGGGAGATCCACTCCCTACCGCTGCAACCTCCGAGGCCACGAATTTACGATCTGGGATACCTGTGGCCTCAACGAGGGCGAGCAGGGGACCATCCAGGACATGCAAGCCGTAGCTGCACTCTACCACCTGCTCAAGAAACTCCAGGATGGCGTCAGCCTCCTCGTGTTTTGCATGCGCGCTCCACGCATCACCGACACGGCGCACAAGAACTGGAAGCTCTTTCGGGAAATCGTATGCCAGAAACGGGTGCCCATAGTCGTTTCCGTCACGCATCTCGAGAAGGAGGAGGATATGGATAACTGGTGGGTCGAGAATGAGCGGGAGTTTCGGCGCTATGAAATGAATCCCGCGCGAGACTTTGGTACGGGGGTGGCTTGTATTGTCGCTACCAAGGGGAAGATGAAGAAGGGGAGGTTTGTGTACCAGGAGGAGTATGACGAATCGAGGGAGAAGATGAAGGATCTCATCGTGGACAACTATCTGCGGGTGCCTTGGAAGGTCTCCCCCATCCAATGGTTCAACGAGATTGTCACGACTTCGTACGAGACCGACTGGTGCGGGAACATAACCAAGGAAATCCACGAAACGCATCGGGTCGAAGGGCAAGGAATCTACGAGCTGATGTCTCGATGGGGAGTGACGAAGGAAGAGGCCGTGAAGATCGCTCAGATTCTTGAAGGGCGCAAAAAGTGACGGTATCTTTCGACCAGTACAACGTATATGTACATATCGTATGCTAGACAGTTGAATTCGATTATGCCTTCTCTACCTGCGAGAATTTATTAGGGTTCTTCCATTCCAACAAACGACTCTACCCCTTCAAGAACATTCTCCACAACACCCTGGGACGATGCCGTGCTCGAAGGGGTAGCCTCAGGGTGTCCGACCTTCCGTTGGAGTTCTTCGTCGCCTTCCAGCAGAACATGGACGATATCCCCCGTCTCCTTCGCAGCGATCGAGGAAAGACTTGCAGGAGGAACGTAATTGCGAACGGCGACGGCTATGGCTGAAGCCAATTCGCTCGGTGGAATGCCAAAGGCACTCGCCAGGTCGGTTATCTTCGCTTCAATCGAACCCTGGTGTCGCACACCCCCTGCGGTGGGCTGCTGCCATTGGGTTTCAACGGGTTGGGTACCAGTGTGGGCCTGGGGAGGTTGTCGGCCTAATAGCAAATTCCACCAGCCCCCGACTGCGGATTTGTGTTGGATGATGCGGTATGAGTAGAATGCGGAGAGGATGGTCGTGAAGAGGACCAGGATGTAAATTAGGCGCTTGAGACTGGTGTTCTCCAGAGGGAGAGGTACTGGTTTTAGCGCCCTAGAACGGCGAGGAGGTGGTAGGTCTCTGGAGATGGACCGTGTAGAAGGTGTGGAAGAGCCAGAGTTTGTGGATCGTCGTTCAGACATGATGTTTGGCGACTGTAGTTTGGTTGCCAGTTATATATCCCAGTTCTCCAAGCGCGCCCGTTGTGGAGTGTGTTTTCAATGACGAAAGATGGAAGAGGTCATTGTGACGTTGTGGTCTCTCGGAGCCTATATACGTACCTTCGATCAACGTAGCCAAATCGGAAACGCATGGCCAGTGGAAGGCAGGCTTCAGCGCAGGAAAGCCAATAGTATTATGTACAGTAGCGGTATACAGTTGAGCACAAACTAGGACTTAAAGTCAAGGAGGAGGAGGAGAAGTCCCTCCAAGTGTGGCAAACAGACGGCGCACTCAAAACGCTATCATCCTGGTCTTTGCTTTGCGCTAGCTTCAGCCCGCGTCCTCTTTGTTTCTATCCTCACATATTCATCTTCCGGGTTGTAATTAGCGGCTACACGGCTCACCAGACCCATCAGTCACGCGAATAGGAGGAAACGAGGGATACTCACCTTGCGGATTTCCCATGGGATTCTGCATGGAAGGAGACGTCGAGTCGGGGTCCGGCTTGACGTTCATGTACGCCTCTCCGAGCATCTGCAGGGCAACAGCTCTCAAAGCCAGTTTGTCACGCGAGAGTGACGGCTCTGAGAGGACGCGATCGCAGACTTCACGGAGGATGGATTCGATCTCGAGTTTCGTGCCCTGAAGGGTTCTTTAGTCGACAATCATTTACGATAGAAAAAAGTCCGCACCTTGAACAAAGCCTGCAAGCCCTTCTCAGCAGCTTGCTCTTCGAGCTTCCTGCGTTCCTCAGGGGAGAGACCGTTGGCGGATTTCTCGGCCGCGGCGATTTGGTCGAACACGGCCTTGAGTTCGATGGCTGCACGGAGGGTGGATACGCTACACCGAGATCAGTACGGGTTAAGAAGGATTAGCAAAAGGTACATACGTTTCGCTGAATACATGGTACTTCCCCTGCACATTGTGCAACCAGCCGCCCATTCCGAAGATAGTCTGATTCGTGGCGAGATGGTGTTTGGCTTTGGCAGCGTAGACGAAACCGATGGCGTGCAGCAGGTCCACGCCATAGGATTCGCGTTTCAGGTCCTCAGCCTCAAGCTCGCAGATAGTCTTCCAACTCCGCGTAACGTCGGGATCGTTCGGGCCTGTTGCAGACTCGGTAAATATGCTGAGTTTGCGGATGAGGTTCTCGACCAATTGGCCAACTCGTTCAGCGCGCGCTGCTGCTTTCTGGATATAGGTCAGTGCTGGACTAGATGGAACAGCGGACTCCTCACCTCTGCGTTCCTCTGTCTCTCCTTCTCCGCCTTGATCCTGTCCTTCTCCTCCTTTCTCGCTCGTTCCTCCGGTGTCATCGTCTTGGGATCCTTCTTCTCCTTCGTATCACCTTCCTCATCCTCCCCGTCCTCCTGCATAGCTGCCTTCATCTCCTGCGCCAACCCGATGTGTCCAATGATCGGTACGAACCGCTCTCCGCCAAAGATAGCCCCGAACACCTCCTCCGGATCCACAAAACCTCCTTCAGGCTGGCTCTCCTTTGCACCGAATTCGTTGTATTTCTTGCGCAGGGCAGGGTCAGAGAGGGTTTGGTAGGCGATGCCGATTTCGGTGAACCGTGCTGCTGCGGTGGGGTCATCAGGGTTCTTGTCTGGATGGTGCTTGATCGCCAGTCGACCTGGATTCTAATGTCAGTAGGGAAATCGACACATCGACCTGCAACTTACGATACGCCTTCTTTATATCGTCCGTCGTAGCGTCCACGGGTACGCCCAGGATGTCATAATAGCCCGTTTCAAGCGGTCGTTCTTGGGTTCCGATTTTACGTGTCCTGCGCTGGGCATTGGCGCTCGAACTGCTACCCCCACCCCCACTTTGGTGTCCCGACGTCGATACGGTGGATTGTCCAGACGCTGGTACGCCTGGTATCGCCCCCAGAAGCTGTGAATAGTGCTGTGGCACCTGGCCTGGATAAAATGTATGGCTGAAGACCGAGTTGCATTTCCAGCACCGCACATGGAGAACTGTTCGTTGTGGTGGTGCCGGTAGGGGTAGAGGGAATTCTATAGGGACCCCACAGGTTCTATTCGAGCATGTCGTTGGGATGTGGGGATGTATCGGTCTAGACGGCAGCGGGTTCGCTGCGGACGTCGACATTTCGTAAAATCGTGCACAGATTCGTTAGGAAACTGATGATTTTTGTTAACCAAGAAAGTTGAATTCAGTTGGAGGCGGTATGAGACTTACAAAAGCCTCAGATAATCAAATTGGCTTCAAATCGACCGTCGAAAGGTCGACCTGTAGAAACGATTGTGTTGGTAGATGGCAAGAGCCTGGGGGCACAGCCACCTCATATTGGTTTTTAGTGTCAAGCGACCAGAAGGGGTATTCCTCATGTTTATGGGTCTTGATGGCACTGAGTGAGTCAAATAATTCTACTGAAATGCAGATGGATTTAGAGTCTATGGTACAAGGTATTTCTCTTCTTCTACGACGTGGCAGGGGGCTCCACTGGGAGTTGCTTGGCTGCCTCTTGCTCAGAATGCGATGGAGCTTGTCCATCGGCGGCTGGTGCAGGTGCAGCCTTAGCGTTCTTACCCTTTCCTGGGGGAGGAGGGTGGTAGACTTTCTCCTAAGGGAAAAGAGTGGTCAGTCGATGATGGAATCCATTTCAAAAGGGAATAGGCACCTTCTTCTTCTTCTTGACCTCGACCACAGGCGGAGGGTAAGCGAGGTCCGCGATCTTCTGCCACTCTTCACTCTCCTCGTAGACCTTGCGGATGGGCTGCAAGAGGTTGTTGATGTACTGAGTGACGGCGCCCTTCAAATCTCCAGGGTGGATCTTCTTGTCCTTGAAGTCGGCCTGGATCTGGGCAAAGTCGGTGTAGTGCAAGGATCCACCCCACTTCTCATCACGGGCAATGGAGAACACGCTGTCAGCGGGGGCGTCGTCGGTGACGAAAGGCTTGGGGAGATCGTCGAGGCTGCTTCCGTTCTTTTCGGCTGCTGCACGGTGGTCCTTCCTCAACTGGCTGATGGGAATTAAGACGGCGCCAACGAATGCGAGAACGCCGTTCTCCTCGATGTTACCCTCCTCGCAGAAAGCGGCCCTGATCTTCTTCTTGACGACCTCGGGAGGATCGAGGAGATCAATTTTGGAGTTGGGGTCTGAAGCTGACATTTTCCCTCCGCCGAGACCTGGGACCATGGCGTTCATCAAGTGGGCACGTTTGCGGTATCCTAGTCTTGGGAGGTAGAGTTCGGCGAAGGTGAAGATTTTGCGCTGTGGGATGTGAGTAGGGTTATTAATCAGTTGGGAATTTGGCGCGTACCTGATCGACACCTCCGAATTGGAAATCACAGCCGAGGTACTCCTCGTCGAGGGCTTGGAGACCAGGGTACAAGAGGCCACTGAGAAGAGGGCTCTCGACTTGCTTTACGACCTCGGCACCTGCCTTTTTGGCATCGTGTTCGGTCACGGTAGCGCAGAGTCGGTAGTTGTCGAGGTTGTATTCCTTGGTCAACTGGAATGTGGATCCTATGGACCAAGTTCAATATCTCAGAATGCGTAGCAAACTGAACAGACCGACGCACCAGTAACGAAAGTGAGCTTCTCCGTAGGGATATTCAGAGATTTGAAGACCGATCGAACGATGAACTCGTAGTACTTTGTTCGATGGGCGACAAGGTCCAAGGGCGCTTTCAAGTTGTCCAAGAAAGCATGGACGTCCGCAAGCAAGATTTTGACTTCGACACCAGCGCGAAGGAAGTCAGAAATCTTTGTCAATGGCACAAAGTAGCCGATATGAGCTGGAATAGCATCGTCATTTGGGTCAATTCAGAGATATATGAATTTCGGCCGACGTACGTCGTCCAGTCGGTGCAGTTCCTATAACCTTTGCTTAGATTTTGGGGCTAAGGAAAGTAGAACAAGACATACCCCAGTAGCACTTTGGATGTCTTCCCTCCGCAAGAATTCCCTTGATCAAATCTCCACCGAGAACCTCCTGCAACCGTCTGGTGATCAATTCGTATCGTTCCTCGGGCGTCAATTGGCCATGTTCGTTTTCAAAGGTCGTGGTAGTTGCCGGTGTGGTATCAGAGGTAGACACAGGGTTCGCAGTCGCCATATTGAACGGAATTTAAACCAAATTCCAGCCCAGAGATCGGTTTAAAGAAGAAAGAAGATAAAAGTCAAATATTATCTGACTCGTTCAGGGGCTCGGCAAACTCCGTGATGCGATCAACCTCGTTTTCGCATCCGCTCCGTAGGTTTTGGCTTTGCAGGCATTTCATTTTCCTTTCGACCTCCACAACAACGCCCGACGACGGCGAGTGTGCCCCGCCACGACCCCGACGACGAGCAAGCCCTGTAGATACCGACGACGATGACCGAGAAATCTTCAAAATCGTCGAGCAGCAAGCTCAGCGCCAACGAACTGGACATCATCAAGACCAAGGAACCGCTGTTTGGTTTGATGTCCAGGAAAGTCACTGGCGACCGTGTTAGGCTGGCCCTGGTACGTGTTGACGACGCTGTTGACGACGCCAAAGGCTGACTTTAAGCAGGAGAGCGATGTGAACTCGTTCACCAAGAGACCGCATACCCCACAATACAAAAAGATTCTCGAGGCGCGTAAAAAGCTGCCTGTTTATGCCCAAATGGATGAATTCTTGACGATGGTGAGCCCACCTTTTGTCAAAACCCAATACTCTTACTGACTTTGTGCCCAGTTTAATGAAAACCAAATCATTGTTATGGTTGGCGAGACGGGCTCAGGAAAAACAACACAGTGCGTTCTCAACGAATTCGTTATTCAGTTATCTCAAGATTCTAGGGTGTCTAGCTAACAAATGTTCTTCGTGAAAAGGATCCCGCAATTTGTAGCATTTTCAGACCTTCCCCACACAAAAGGCAAAATGGTGGCCTGCACGCAACCTCGACGAGTTGCTGCCATGTCCGTTGCAAAACGTGTAGCAGACGAGATGGACGGTAGGTCGCTTGCTGTGTTCTTCATGATATCTCAGCTGACCCGCTGTATAGTTGAGCTCGGTCGCCATGTCGGTTACTCGATTCGATTCGAGGACATGACTGAACCCGGTACCACATTCCTCAAATACATGACCGATGGTATGCTTCTGCGTGAAGCCATGAACGACCCGGAGTTGACCCGGTACAGCACCATCATCCTCGACGAAGCCCACGAACGTACACTCGCAACGGATATCTTGATGGGTCTCCTCAAAAACGTGGCCAAGAAGCGCGCAGACCTCAAAATCATTGTCATGTCTGCCACCCTCGACGCCCTCAAATTCCAAAAGTACTTCAGCATCCGCTCGAACACCCAGGCGCCGCTCTTCAAGGTCCCTGGTCGTACCCATCCTGTCGAGGTCTTTTATACGCAAGAGCCGGAACCAGACTACGTCGAGGCCGCTATCCGCACGGTGTTGATGATCCACAGAGCTGAGGAACCCGGTGATATCCTCCTCTTCCTTACCGGTGAGGAGGAGATCGAGGATGCCTGTAGGAAGATCAAGCTGGAGGCAGACGACCTGCTGAATCAAGACCCTGACTCTGTCGGCCCCCTCGTCTGCATTCCGCTGTATTCGTCCCTTCCTCCTCAACAGCAGCAGCGGATCTTCGACCCACCGCCACTATCACAGTCTGGAGGTCCTCCAGGTCGGAAGGTGGTCGTTTCCACCAATATCGCCGAAACCAGTTTAACGATCGACGGAATCGTCTACGTCGTCGACCCCGGTTTCTCGAAGCAGAAGGTGTACAACCCCAGGATCCGTGTGGAGAGTTTGCTCGTCTCGCCTATTTCCAAGGCGAGCGCTCAGCAGCGTGCTGGTCGTGCTGGTCGAACGAGACCCGGAAAGTGCTTCCGTCTCTATACCGAGAAGGACTTCATGAAGGAGCTGGAGGAGCAGACGTACCCTGAGATCCTTCGAAGCAACCTTGCCAACACCGTTCTCGAGCTGGTTAAGCTGGGTATCAAGGTCCGTGCTTCTTTTCCTTCTGTGATGGCCGAACTGAAAGTTAACGGTGAATTTCAGGATCTCGTTCGGTTCGACTACGTTGATGCACCCGCCCCTGAAACGCTCATGCGAGCACTCGAGCTGCTCAATTACCTCGCGGCTCTTGACGACGATGGCAACCTGACTGCCCTCGGAAGCATGATGGCCGATTTCCCTCTGGATCCTCAGGTATGGATGTTCTTTGATATCCGGACGTTGATCACCTTGCTCACTGGTCGAACCTAGTTGGCCAAAATGCTTATCGTCAGCCCGGAGTTCCGATGCAGCAATGAAATACTCACCATCACCGCCATGATGTCAGGTTAGTGCGAGTCTACATTTCGTCTATCAACCTTCTCAAGTTCCTTTTCAGTCCCCAACGTGTGGCTACGACCCGCTAACCAGCGTCGGGAAGCTGATGCCGCGAAGGCCAGGCTCACGGTTCCTGATGGAGACCACCTTACTCTTCTGAATGTTTACAATGAGTACAAGAACAGTAAGCTCTTATTCGCACTCTTCGGCTTGATTAGGTTTTCATGACCTTTCTCCAGATCAGTATGATAAGAATTGGGCCTGGAACAACTACCTCAACTCTCGAGCTCTGGCTCAAGCTGACAACGTTCGAAGTCAGTTAGAGCGGACGATGGAGCGGTTCGAGATTGCTAGTGTCTCGCTAGCCGACACGAAGAAACTCTATGTTGCTATCCGACAGGCGCTGGTCAACGGTTTCTTCATGCAGGTGGCCCATCGTGAGGGCGAGAAGGGCAACTACCTCACCGTCAAAGACAATCAGGTTGTCGCCCTTCATCCTTCTTGTGGATTGGAAGGACAGCCGGAATGGGTGCTGTTTAATGAGTTCGTGCTAACGACTCGGCCGTACATCCGGACGGTGACTGAGGTTAAGCCAGAATGGTACGTCGATGGTCTGGTTTGGCGGGCCTGATGCTGATGCTGAGAATTATGTAGGCTCCTCGAGTATGCACCCATCTACTACGATTTGAAGACGTGGCCGGATTCCGAGACGAAGCGAGCTCTGCAGCGCGCTGCGAACAAGAAGTACGGCACGACATATTCCAACGCGAGCGGCAAGCGCAGTGGGAGCAGCAGTAAATCTGGCACCCCAGATGCCCGTGAGACCAAAAAGGCGAGGAAGTAGATGATAGATGAGAGTTTGTTGTGCGTTTATCTAGTGTGAGTGTTCTTTGTCCTTGATGCCCGTTCGGTTTTTGATTGACTGTTGGCCACAGGTATTCTGTTGTAGACTGTCGTAATGTATTGTCGTGCTCAGGAGTGTCTCTCCCTCATTTGTTGGCCGTCGAACTCGGCTCCATTCAGACCATCTCCGACAAGTGAAAGTCCTTCCCATGGCGCTCTCTAACTTGCATTGCAATAGGCATCACATTTGGAATTTGACCCCTCGAGGTGATAATTCATTCCCGAACAATGGTCAGATGCTTACCAGGTTGACTGTGACAGTGCCAACAGTATGTCCATGCCTTGATGAGGTATGGCCGCTTTGCTGTGAACTGCATTGTATGCGTCGGCCTCGTGTTCGCGCGGATGTCGAGGAGCGATGTAACCTCGCTTGTCCACGCGCATTCACTGCGACCCGCGGGTTCCGTCTCACAGGGTTGGGCGACTGTATTGACTTTATGGCCTGGACCTCTGGCGCTGGTGTCACCGTGGATACCGGAGCAGTTTGTTCACGAGTTAGTGGATGGCGTTGGATGTCATTGCGGGTCGGGCTGCATGTGGATGTGGAGAACCTCTTCCCCACATTTTTTTCAAGCTGCCGAGCCCAAGCCCCAAGACCGCCTCCTGGTATTGTAGGTCATTGTTGTTCCTAAATTGCCGGTAATTGAGGGATGATCATTGTGCAGCATCGTATTCGGCATGCTAGGCGCACACCGCCTCCCGTCAATCATCTTGGCGGGTTTGGCAACCTCCCTCCCAGATTATCGTGAGCTTGAAACCCGACTAGGCGACAGATTGGGTCTAAACTCTCAGAAGCACGGCATATCGCTCACGTACGAGTCTTGGTTTGTGATTTGGTTCTTCCTCTCTATCCACCATTTGGCTTCTTATCGTAAATCCCAGTTCTATCGGACCTCATCATGGCCAGATGATGTTATGAAGCGCCGTACTCGGCACAAGTAAACTTCCGCCATCCGTATTCAATAGAGGGACATGGTCGTACTCCATCTAGCTCCAATGTTTGCGAGCCAGTTTTAGTCTGCCGTCAAAGGTAAAGGCTTCGCTGCGCTGGGTTTCAAGGATGCGACTGACCACTTCAATTTTTCTGTAGCTATAGTTAGTCGTCCGACCCTCGTTGCGGAGTTGTGAGCTTTCCTCGATGTACAATTCTCTCGCTTTGGGGTGCGGTGGAGCCAGAGTCCCCGAAATTTGGACTTCACCCGTGTTCCATTTATTCGGGGTTGATGTTGTGATCGAATAGAAGAACTTCTTTGGGCAATAACCGCCCGTTCCGTACGTCATCTTTTCTGGGGTACACACTGTAGTCCCTATCAAGGGCCGAACCTTGAACATGTCCTCAATTCTTTCTCTCATCAAGAGGGGACTCGGAAAGCTTCCTGGTCGCCCCATGACCGCGGGTGTCAGATGGCGAAGGGCTCTGGCCCAGTTCCCTAACTCCGATTAGGTGCGTGGATCTTTACTTTTGGTCATCTCGAATCTAACAAGCTCCAAGCGATGGGCTCAAATTTAGAGTAGACAATGCTGGGCAACGCAATCGTGTTCGAAACGTGCTTGATCGCAACAATTTTTTGGTTCTTCCACTGTCCCATTGAGGAGTTTTCGCATGACCCATCCCTCTAAAGTATTAAAGGGACGACCCGGTTCGCAAGGGGAAGCCCAGGACTTCTTTCCGCTTTCCCCAAGTCCACCCGTACACCTCTCGGGCCCTGAACAGAGCCCCGCCGCCCATGTCTACCGACAAGCATTTAGGAGAGAAAGCGGGCAGCGATCATGATGAGAAGGTTGTCGCCACTGTGGCTCATCGCTCGGTCGATCTCGCCAACAACGTAGAGGCACGGTACGAGCAGCTCGTTCGTTGATTTGCTATGGTGGTCGCTGACCTTGTTCTTGTTCATGTAGGATCCAGAATCCGCTGCATGGTATCCCGGAGGCTACCCTCCTCAGGCAGGCTGAGGAGTTCGCCATTGATCATGGTTTGGAGGACAAAGTTGACCTCTTCAAGAAGGGCGCCCTCCTCGCTCAAAACCCTGCCGATTTTGAATCCATTCCTGGAATGACGGAGGAGGAAAAGGAACATATCCGGCGGGAGACCACTCGTTCGTTGCAACTCCCTTTTGAAACGACCATGATTCGAAGTGACGCTCCTCGTTTCAGATCGCTGGAGTCAATCAAAGGCTCTCTACATGACGATCGTGATTTGCAGTTTGGCTGCTGCAGTGCAGTGAGTACTATACTCATCTGGTTTGCGCTCAAAGTGACGGTCTTGCTGACTTTTTGTCTTTGCATTTTCGAACAGGGGTTGGGATCAAACAGGTTCCAATGGCGCCAACTTGTCATTCCCCAAGGAGTTTGGAATTTATACAGAGGATGAGAATGACCCGAACAAGGACAGATATGATTGGATTGTGGGTATCGTTAACGCGGGGTAAGTGGATACGCGACTTGCTTCCATGCTGTCGATTCACGCCATCGCACCCCACAGACCCTATCTCGCCACTTGGGCCATCGGTTGCTGGCTGACAGATCCTCTGAACCATTTCTTTGGTCGACGTGGGACGTTGTTTTGGTGTGGTATCTTCTGCACGTTCACCGTCATTGGACAAGGTTTGGCCCAGACCTGGCCTCAGCTTTTCGTGAGTCCCTTAATCCATATGTGATCTGATAAATGCAGAGTACTAACTTGTTCAAACACAGGTTTGCCGACTTCTCCTGGGACTTGGTATGGGGCCGAAAGCCACCACATCTCCCGTCTTTGCCGCAGAGAATGTCCCTGCCAACATCCGTGGTGGTCTCGTCATGTGTTGGCAAATGTGGGTGAGTGGAGTTGGGGTGCGTTCCCGCGTTCAGGCGGTTGACAGGCGCTTTAGACTGCTTTTGGTATCTTCCTCGGCTTCTCCGCCAACTTGGCTGTGCACAAACTAGGCGATATTGCCTGGCGCTTAGAGCTGGGTTCTGCCTTCATTCCTGCCGTACCGTTGACGATCGGAATCTACTTCTGCCCTGGTGAGTTTGCCGTTGAGCGCTGGGATCCCAGTACATAGTAACCGCGACTTCTAGAATCGCCGCGTTGGTTGATGAAGAATGGACGATACAAGAAAGCCTTCCGATCCTTTGTTCGACTCCGGAATAGCGAGCTGCAGGCTGCTCGCGACATGTACTATGTCCATTGCCAACTGGTCGAAGAGTTCAAGGTCCTGAAGGGCTCCAACTATTTCACTCGATTCTACGAGCTCTTTACTGTCCCTCGTGTCCGCCGCGCGACCCTGGCCAGCTGGGTCGTCATGATTGCCCAGCAAATGTGCGGTATCAATATTATCGCGTTCTACTCGTCCACCATCTTCCGAAATGCCGGCTACTCAATGACTCAAGCTCTTTTTGCTTCCTGGGGCTTTGGATTGGTGAATTGGGTCTTCGCTTTTCCGGCGGTGTGGGTGAGTCTTGTGTCCTCGTTGCAGAGTAGTCCTTCAATTCCTAATGTCAATCCCCAGACCATTGATACCTTTGGTCGAAGGAACTTGCTGCTGTTCACATTCCCCAACATGGCGTGGACACTGCTTGCCGCTGGTTTTTGTTTCTTCATTCCCGAAGATAGTCCAGCTCGAGTTCCTTGTGTCGCACTTTTCATCTTCATCTTTGCAGGTCGGTTTCTTTACCCCTCTTTTTCCAAGCCGTGGCTCACCCAGTTTTTTCGTCAGCCTTCTACTCTCCTGGTGAAGGACCTGTGCCCTTTACTTACTCTGCCGAAGTCTTCCCTCTGACGCACAGAGAAATGGGAATGTGAGTGTCATCGCTGTGCCTTTCCTTCATGGGCTAAACCTTCCTAGGTCCTGGGCCGTCGCCACGAACTTTTTCTGGGCATCCGTCCTCTCCCTGACGTTCCCTCGCATGCTGTCTGCGTTCGGGTCTGTCGGTGCATTTGGGTTCTACGCAGGGCTGAACGTCATGGCGTTCATCATGATCTTCTTCCTTATGCCAGGTGCGTCATTGGTCTTTATCTATTACTATCTGTGGAACATTCAGCTGACCATCGCCCTTCATCCGCAGAAACGAAGCAGAGAACGCTGGAGGAGCTCGACTACGTCTTCGCCGTTCCAGTCGCACAACATGCCAAGTACCAACTGTCGGAATTCTTGCCTTACTGGATTCGACGTTGGGTCTTGTTCAGGAAGGACGCCAAGCTCCGACCACTTTACGACTTTGAAGAAGTCGAAGGTCGTCGTGCGAGCGATGAAAAAACATCTTCTGTGTAATGAAGTTATTCTTGGCCTTTCAGGACTCCCACATTGAAATGCCTGTTGCTATCTGACCTGTATATTGGCTGTAACATTGTAATACTACCCTTGGAATTCTACATTTTCTTGTTCGTCCTAGATCAATGCGTGATGGTACTGGCTGGACTGCAGTAAATCATCTTGTTGATTCGGCCGGACGTCCTCAAAATGGCTTTCTTCTACTTCACCTCGCCGATCGTTCTGGGTAGGCGAATGCCGAATCCCAACCGTAGCCCTCAGGCCTACGTTGGGCAAGGACCTACCAGTATTTGACAAGAGACTGTGGAGGACCACGTGGACCATACAAAGAACCGGGTCCCACAGTGGGAATCGAGGGTGATTCCGTGTTTCCATAGGGAGACTGAGACCTGCCTCATTGAGAGTGAGATGGTCGCGACTAGTCACTCAATGGCGGTTTATACTACAGCGCTCAGGACCCCGCAGAGCTCTTGTATTAAACGTGTTTAAATTACGGCAGATATTACATGAATTATGGGGGATAGTAGTATATGTGAAGGAATTAAAGAATCGAATACTAGAACACTTATCTCAAAGTATATTACTCAAAGCAGCCCCTGCCAGTCTCCCGAGTTCAAGCCGCACCGGTACCACCATGTACGGTTTGCACATGACGCTGTATCGATCCCTCGTTCCCTCCCTCCCTATCCGAAAAGGGACGGCAACCGTAGGGGTCAATAGGACACCTAGCACGCGGGATTTCCGGCATGTAATGTTTACCTCTCAACAAGTGTCTCCTAAAGCTCCTAAACTGTATATCTTGGTCGCAGATTGGAAGGAGTCCGCCTCCTGCCACGTCCGATCCGAGTCTAGCGGCGCGAGCTCTGGGCCCGGGTACGGTCAACCAGGTGCAACGAACCCTATGGGTGGAGGACGTGGAGCCACCAGGTAGATGGACGGTCTGAACGTGGTTTACGATACTTCCTGCGGGATCGCCTCTGAGAACAGGGACGTGTTGTCCACAGGCGATCCATTGGTTGGTGTTGGGATCCAAGTTGGCAAATCGGCATGTGACGGTTGTAGTGGGCGTAATGTTGATAGGCTGGGGAGGGTTTCCGCCGCTGATGACGACAGGTGCCAACGGTGGGGCGGCGGCTTGGGCCAGCGCCAGAGGTCCGCGGTTCTGTTGGTGTGGCGGATGGGGGAGGGGATTCGAGACTGGGTGTGGAAAGACAGGATGTGGATAAAGGGTTGGTGGAGCCCACGTTTGAGGTGCTTGTGTCGCCAGAGGAGCTGCAGGAGTGAGCGGTCGACCACCAACCTGAGCTTGAATGTCACTCGGAGCCGCTGCGTCGCCAGAGGGAGGATGGAAAGCAGGAACAGCCTGAGGAGGAAGAATCAAGTGGCCAGAGGCGCCCGCAAGGATTGGTTGACTGAAAGGACCAAAGGGAGCATGTTGAAATGGGGGTACGTAGGGAACGTGAGCCAGATTTCCGTTGTCATTATTTTCGGGCCCAGAGTGCCCCAAAGCCTGGAGGAGATCATGAATGTTTGTATTCTGTTGATCGTTTTGGACACCTTGTTCTTGCCCGCCTTCAGAGACGTTCATCGGAGCGCTATGTTGGAAGGGCATCATTTCTAGAGATGGAGCGTAATACAAGGGCTTTGAAGGTGTGCGTATGCTGTTGGGCGGGTATCTCGAGAGAGTAGTAGGTCGATGCGGGTATGGATTCCAATTTTCCAGTCGAGCGAGCTTAAATAGACGTCCTAGAAGTACGCTTTGACCGACCTCTTTGACCCTCCTATCTTCCCTGTCATTGTCCACTGTGAAATGCCAACGAAGAACTTGACACCGCCTCGAGCCTCGAGGTCTACCAGGCCACGGGACCGGTTTTCCACCAGGTTACTCATTGTTGACAGCGGTTTGAACCAATAGTCGATTGAGTGCTTTTATTCCTTTGTGTGGCACCCACTTTGACCAAAGATTGTTGCTCTCTGTTGTTTGTGCCATTCCCTTCTGTTTTTCCCCGTCTTGAACGTACTAGAATTGAGATTGCCGATTAGTAGTCACGAGGTTGAACTTGCCCCTGCCGGTGTCATAGATGGAAGAGCCCTTGACTGCTGGCAGGACCTTGATTCTACTTGTGTGAGGTGGGTATATAAGTCCAAGACTTTACCGAAGTGTTCAGTTCCTTGTATAACGCAGTCAAGGGAACGACCTTATCCTTGCCTTATCCTGGAAGTGGGCTAATTTTGATGGAGTCGTGATCAACGATGACTAAGCCCCGGCGCTTATATGTGATCCGAAAACATTAGCGCCAAGTTCCCCACAGCGCCTAGCGGAATTTTTTTGCCCTCGTCGCTTCTGCGTCAGGTGTCGGGAGTACATGTACTGAATATACATCCAAATTATCCAGCGTCTGGAGCGATCCCAGTTTATTTTCGTTCAACAGACATGATTTCGGGAATTGATGCCATCAATAGCTGCAAACCGGTGGACGACAAGAAGTACCCCTGGAGAGATTAGAAGTTACAGAGAAGATCTATATTTTTCCCTCGCCACGTTGATCTTATCTGCGTGAGCATTGGTGATCGCAGCCTCCAGCGCCTTGGAATGCGCCGCTGAGATTCGATGATGTGCGCATACGTCATTCATTCGCTCAGGGCGATGATCTCCTCTGTAAGTCCACCCAACCGCGCTCCATTCATGCGTAACCTGTACCACCGATTTCCGTCTATACCCATAACAAGTCGGCTACCTTTGCATCATAAATAAGTAACCATTTTTACATCGGGAGTGTACCAAAATTCTTTAAATCCTGTGCCATAAGAAACAGTTTCTGTGCACAGGACGGTTCAACGGCTGCTGGCTCGCCCCAAGTTTGGAAACACCCAACTACACTATCCGACATCAACCATCAACTAACAAGCGTGCCGGACGCGAACCACGATGCTTCTCCTCTCCGTCCTCCTTATGCATGTGAGCTACCCCGTTCTCATTGACGACGATTCAAAAGAGCTGATTTCTTGTTTCAAGACGAATATCGATGGGGGTGAGGGATTTGAGGCAGACCTTTGTAGGCAGTGTTTATCGCAAGGACATGTTCTTGGCATTGACCAAACTTCTCGTTCCCAGTACAGGACCACCTGAGCTCGATCCAACGGTTCCCTGAATCGTCTCAAAGGTCGTCCCTCGTCTCTCTAGCTCGTCCTGGGACCCGACAAGGTATGTCGCCCCTCGTCCGCACCAAAGACGGACTCCTTAACGGCTTCAGAAATTCGATGCACCGATCAACCACCTTCACCAAAGGTTGCGTACCGGAGGATCAACGAGGTCTTTTCCTCACCGACTCCTGAAAGCGAGACGGAGCTCGAGGACACTACTACCCCACCTTACGAACTTCCTAGTCCCGTCATCCAGAGTGCATCGGTACGCAGCCCACGCTCTTCTTCAAGCGGTCCTTCCCAAGCGGACGAACCAGGGTCCCCGACAGAACGCACACCTCCCAGCCCAGTAAGCCCTTCCTCTCAGGACAAGGTCGGCCTTTCACTTCCTTCCCTCCTTCTCCCTCGAAAAACCCAACCTGGTATCTAACAAAACTATTGGACCTGCAGCCCAGCTCGGCATGCTTCACCAAAGTGGTGATGACGAAGTACAGCAATCCCCCTGGGTATCGTGCGAAGAAGGTCAAGTTCCACCAGTGTACAGTCTGCGGCAAGGCTTTTCCTCGGTACGCATCGGGGCTTCCATGTCGATTTGAATGACAAGCCTTGACTGAATATTTCCCTCTCCAACAGTCCAAGCGGCCTCCGTACCCACATGAACACGCATACCAAGGCTAAGCGTGGGTCCCCCCTGGTCCGACCCCGCGTCCCCAACAGCTAATAGTAACACTCCCCCCTCACAGCCTATCCCTGCACTTGGGAAGGATGCGACAAAACCTTCTCCGTAATCTCCAACGCTAAGCGACACTACCGCACCCATCTCTCCGGGGGAGCACCCATCGACGACCAACTAACCGGCCCCTACGTCGTCGACTTTAGCGAACCAGTCGTCCTAGACGCCTCGCCTCCCGCCAGCCTGAGCACTGGCACCAACGGAATACCCAGCAGCAGCAGCGACTCTCACGGCGAACAAGGCTCGCGTCGAACGCCGGAGACGCCAGTCTGCCTCAAATGGCTACCTCCCGGCTCGGATACCCGTCGTTCATTGACCAAGTCTCCGGTAGTACCCTTCTCATTCTACTCGCCCTCGTGAAGCGCAGAGAGTTTGCTCACCAGATTCACTCCACACAGGTTTCCAACCGCCGTTGAAGACTCGTTTTCTCAGCTTTCATGAAAGGACTCTTGCACGGATTTCCACTCATATATGAATGATCGTACGTAGTTACATGTAACACTAAGGGGTAACAGGCGTCGTAAAAAACATAGGGTACTTATCTTTTCGTGGGGACAGTCTTAAGTACACTTCATTTACTGTATTTCTACAATACATGTGGTGTTTCGGGACAAGACTGAATGTACCGTACCCCCAGAGGTGGCGCTTGAGATAGCACCAATCCGCAGAACCGCAGTGACGAGCTTTTGTGCAAGTTGTGGTCCAACATGACGCAAACCAACGGGAGTTGTGCAGGGGCTGGTATAAGGAAGGCGCACCAATTCTGAAGACATGTCCACAAGCCTGGCTCCTCCCCGAATTGATAAGATTTAAGAAGACTAGCGCTGGAACTGCCAGTGAGCGGTGGTGGTGGATTCTGGGGTTTGAATCCAAATATGTCACGACGGCCTAAAGCGGCGTTGTAACTCGGGTGGCCCAAGAGTGGGTCCGAGAAGCGTGCAATGAACGTCCCAGGACTCCAAACGCCCCAGATTTATGTAAACGATGCGGGTGAAAATCGGTGGGATGCCCGCAGGTGGCACTGGCATACCCTACTACCACGACGCCTGCTTTAGGTTAGCCTCCGAGAGACCATGATGATCCAATCGAAGTAACCCAAGGTAGTTGGATGTTGCAATGGATGACGAGGTATTTGGGGAATTGCAGCGGTCTCCTGAGGAAAGATTAACCTGATGTGTGGGTCACGACGAAAACGTTCATACCTAGTACGTGCGATTATCCACCAGTATGGAAGCGAAACTCACTGATCCCCGCGCCTCGATAAGGACATCTAGATAGGTGGAAATAAGGTCGTGAAGCGGAGACATGATCATCTATTAAGGCAACGTTGGAGGGAGCATCATCAGACGGGTGCATCAAGGCCGCCGACCTGCCATTCACACTGGCCGTCAGAGGGCCAGATGAGATCCACGGAACCAGCTTACCTGGCTTTGTGCAGCGATACCTAGGGGCTCTGATTCATATTGGGCCTGGATTATGCTATCAGCCGTTTCCGACTATCGCTAATCCTGGTCCCCAGATTGCAGGACTAAACCACGATGTTGATCATGCGACCGAAAGACCGGTAAGAGGGGAGATGCCCGTGCTGGCCACCCCTTGAAGTGTCGCAATGCATGACGAACACCCACTGGGAGAAGAGGATTCTATTATCCCGATGGGAAGGGGAAATGGCAGAACGGGTAGAATACAAAAGCGCACATCGCGCATCTTTGTGGTTTGTGGAGCATCCGATACTGTGGGATCCACTGCTTTCGTCGTCTGACAGACCTGAGGCCAAGAATGAACAAGAGTCAAATGGACAAGCGTTCACTATCTCCAACTTCAAGTCAGTGGAATCGTGTCATCGTCCAGCAGAACCCCGCACCATCTAGGCACCCATAGCAGGATTCCATTGGAGAGCGGCCAAGGTCGTGGTGTCTATCGCTGCCCAAGCTCCCAGAGGTTTTCCCCATTCGAGCTTTCCCTCGAATCTATCCCAGTCGATACCGTCGTCCTGTGACATCGAGGATGAAGAACCATCCGCCTTCGGTTCCCGCCAGGGGAAGATAACATTGACTTTGGACAGCGTCGCAATGTCACCACCGGGCTTCCCGAACCGCCTACGCCCACGGATGAAGTCTTTGATCTCCTTGCATCCGACTTCGTCGCGAGAGTGGAGTTTGATTCGGAAAGACGAAAGGCGGGGGCAAAGAACTGCCGTAGATGCCTCCGTTGGGGTCAACTGGGCGAGAAGATCAGCTTCAAACATCGTCGGTTCGGCTGTCCAGTCAAGTACTTCCTCGTCTCCAAAGACCATGTCGAAATCGCCATACCACGATGTGTCCGCTCGAGGACGGACAGTCTGTTCCGGTGAAAGATCGAGTTCCTCGACATTCTTTGCCAATTCTAAACATTGGCGGAGTTCGGGGGTCTTCAGAGTCAGATAGTCGACCTTCAGAGTCTTGAGGTTCGGGCCACAGTGACGCATGAGTCGAATTAAGGGAGATGCCTTCGTTGAAGGGAACTTGGAGCTTGAGAACGAAAGGGAGCGCAGTGCTGGTAAACGAAGAGAGTCGACCAGTGGCTCCAACATAGCCCGATATTCCTGCTGAAGGTGAAGAGTTTCGAGATGATGGAGCGTCACGGTCCTGCCGGTTTCATTCTCCATGTCCGGCTCAGGCTCTCCCAGTGGTACAGCGTGAGGCATGAAGTGTATCCGGAGACAACACGTTTTGAGATTGGGACACCGGCCCAGAATGTTCACAGCTTCGCGTGCCGTGAATCCCTTTACACCACCATCTTCATCCAGTGTGACAGGGAAGCACGTCAAGTCTGTTATGTTCTCCCATTCTACCGATAACTCTATTAAACGCTGCGGGATGGATTCGACGTGTACTGTCCGCAGGGTCGGTGAGGCGATGATACCGTTGGCAGGGATGCGCGACGATGCATTGGTCGCGGGGAAGGGGAAATCGGAAAAAGGGTTATAGATGTTGATATGTATGACGCGGAGTTCTGGCACTTGAGAAGGGGGGATGGAAAGGACCCTGTTAGCGATACGTTGTGTGGTCGAAAGCTTGAGACGCTGTAGCTGGGATGCCCGCTCTTTGAGGATATCTAACAACTCCGCGACGACTTCCTGGTCATCCTCGTCGGAGAAGGATTCGTCGTTTGGGTCGGTAGCAAGGGAGATTGAGAGCTTGGAACCTTTTGCACGGTTGAGCCAACGGGTCACGGCTTGGTTGCGATGTTTCATCCGTCTTGTCCAGCTGTCGATTGGCGGTGTTGTAGAGCGGTGGAAGAATCGCATTGCAGGGACAGTGACGACGGGAATGTGAAGAGATGACCACATGGCCGGAAAGTTCAGGACGATCTCTCGCCATTGTCTGCAAACCATGGTGAGAAGCAGCGGTGCTTGGGAGGTGGACATAATGGCGTTGTGCTTATCGGGCAAGCAGTGCTGAAAGATGGTGCGGGTGACATCCAAAGGCATTCTGCGTATAGGGGACAGTAGTGCACGGTGGTTGTCCACAAATTGAAGGTATCCATCTCGCTTCTTCGCAGCAGCAGCCAGGGCTCGCTCGGCGGCTTCCACTTTCCCTTCCAAGTCGGCTAGATGGGGAGTGAGGTCGCCAATGTAATCTCGAAGATGGGCGATTTCTGAGTCAGAGGGCGCATAATTGGTCCCTAGATGCGGCGAAAACGGGGACGACGCGATGGAATCCATGGCGTTGAAAGGGTTATTTCCTGTCAGTGCAGTTATACGGAACTTTCAGCCCAGTGCCTCGACCACGCGGAACCCTTTGCTTACGTATGTCCATGACTTGTGCTTGCTTGCCGGGCGCCTGGCAGCTGCGTCAGACTCAGATTGAAGTCGCGCGGCGCGTTCTTGTCAAAGGTAGGTAGACGCTAGTAAAAACGTGCCACAACGACTTTGTATCAGTAGTCAAGCTCACCGTTGATGGAATTCTCTGGACAGAGAAGGCCAGGAAAAGAAAATGGAGAGATAAAAGCGAAGCCGTCTACACAGACTTGACGGCGGTGTTGGCCATCATCCATGCAGAGAGTCAAATTTCGCCCAAGATATGCGCCTAGATCTTGAGCGCTTATAACATTCAGACTCGTATCCAGGCCAAGATTGATATGGGCGGGCATACACATACGATTAGAGATGGTTGTGGTTGCGGGACAAGATGCAATTTCGTCTCCCAAGACCTTCATGCGTATTTGCAACTCCGGTTTTAAATCAAGCGGGCTCTTCCGGAGCGGTCATTTCGATTCTATGACGTCATCGTTCGATTCCATTGCTTAAAGGCATTGCTTAAAGGGGCACTGGAGCCCCTGTCAGCGTGCATGAGATGAGATTAGGCGCTCAGCGCTTACACCTGGACCGACCCAGCGCAGCTACTGGCTCATAGCCACACAGGACCCCCTATCTGAGCAGTGGCCGTGCTCTGGACTTACACAGACAGACAAAGGAGCTAGTCTACCTCAACACATAGTAACCTACACGCGTTAAGAACTGTTGGTCGTGAAGCTTCGAAGGGTTATTCAGATTCTACGTAGGTAGATTTAATGGTTCCCAGACTATGACGGCGCAACACCGAAGACGACGACGCCGACGACCCTGCCCAGGCGGGCCGCGGGGTGGTGGACCTCTCGTCCTGCTCATGCGGGATGGAGGCAACCGCCTGTGTGGGGTCAACCTCTCTCCTGCTCGCGCGGGATGGAGACAACCGCCTGTGCGGGGTCAACCTCTCATCCTGCTCACGCGGGATGGAGGCAACTGCTCATGCGGGGTCGACCTCTCACCCTGCTCGCGCGGGATCGAAACAACCGCCTGTGCGGGGCCGGTTGTCGAAACCCGCGCAGGCGGGACTCATCCTGCGTCGGCGGGGACTCGCCCGCCCGCGCAGGACACGCAGGAGTTCCCCAGGAGATTCTCCTGGGGGGCGGACTTATAGTGGGAAAGCGACACCTTCTGTGGTACGTGATGAAAGAACGGTGCAAGCAAGGCACCTGCAGGCAACGGCTATTTGGCTCTGTGTTGCAAAGTTGGAGTACTCCTGGGAAGCCTTGGAGGACCATGCTTGCTGTCAGAATTAAATAAGCGCACGGTAAGCATCATCGAGACAATAATGGGAGAAAGTGTAGACGGATAGAGGAGCATCCTTGGTCCGGTCTAGCCCACCGTACCTGTCTGTGGTAAGGCGCTGAAGGAAGGAGGATTTTATTTTGACTAAGTGGACAAAGAACCCCGCGGAAGGTATAGAGATCTCGTCGGGTTAGTCGGCCTCCGCACAACAAAATATGCGGATGGCGAGGTAGACTCTCTATTTCCAAAGGGCGACAATACCTCATCGCTGAAGACCTCACGCTTTACATCGATTCCTTTCTCAGAAACTTTCGGAGTTTTTTTCAGGTTTGCAATAGCTGTTGCCGTTCACGTCCTTCGAGTTCATCTATATATGTATGCGATCTCGATCTCAAAACATTAACCCTCCATCACAACTGTAACAAGGATTAACTGCACGGAGGCAACAAAGTGAACCTTGCGTTAGTAAGCGCTCAGAAAGTAGACCGTGGCCCTTCGTCTGCATTCCTTGCCAAAGAGGGGGGAAAGGGGATGAGTACCATGATACAGGTGACCCAGTGGAGTAGAAGTACTGACCAGAAAGCAATTACAAGCCCATGCAAGGATCCCAGGTCCTCTTTTCTATTTCGGCGTACTTCAAGTTGTCGTCCCTTCTCGCCCATTGAACTTCCACTCTCAGCCCTCCCAAGTCAACATCTGGGCCCTCGCGTAAGGTGTCCAACAGGCTCCCCTGTACGTCTTGGCGACTGCTTTCCGAGTTGAGGTTACGTATGGCAGGAAAGAGTACCTTTACGCAAGTGAGTCTAGGACCCCCTTCGCCCATTCCTCCCCGAAGGCGCCTCGAACGAATGAAAGCGACCAGGTCGTCTTGGTTGAACTCTTTTCTCGACCCGAGTCTGACACAGAGGGTAGACAAGTTGGGACAGAGTCTATCCGATGATGTCGCAGCCATCGCCGCCAGCACGGAAGCGTCGAAATGGGCGGTCTGCGGACGTAGCGCTGAATCACTGTCTTCTTCGTAATGATCGTCCGAGCTGTCCCAGTACCCGTCAGCGCAGACCATTCTGCTTCCAAAATGGGGAGGCGATGGACCGATATCCAGCGTCTTGACATTTTTCGCCAGCTTGAGAACCTCCCGAAGCTCCGTCGTTGAGATGTACCGATGCTGGAACGAAAGGGTCTTGATGGTCTGACTGTATCGCTTCACGAGGCCTGGAACAGGTGAGCGACCTATCGCACGGACGTCATATGCATTGAAGACGGATAGGGTGTGTAGGGCAGGGAGGTCGAGGTCGAGGTCGGACAAAGGCGGGAATGGCGCGCCTCTCTTTTGGATCCACACAAGCGATTCGAGACGAGGAAGGGTGACATGGATTGGACCACTAGGTTCGGGCTGTGACGCCGTTCTGGAGGTCCCACTGATTGTCATGACACAGGTCCGGAGGTTTGGGCAACGAGAGAGGAGCTTGAGAGCCGACCGTGTATCCAGGCTTGCCTCACTGCACATCTCGTTCCGGCTTGATAAAAACGACAACTCGGTGATATTCGACCAGGAAATTGGGATTTGGAGGAACGTGCGAGGAGGCACCCAAACAGACGCGATTCGGATCGAGGTTAGTGCTTTTGAAGTGATGAGACTGCCCGGGGTGAATGAGGTGATTTTACTCCTGGGTTTGGACCTACAGAAGTCGAGTTCGAGAGAGCGGAGTCCCCGTGTCTGCATGGCTGGCGTATCCATGAAGAGAGCCAGAAGGTTGGTGGGGGCCGAAATTTGAAGATTCTTCCATTGTGGCGAGTATCGTTGGAGCAGGGAAACCTGCGCCTTCACCGGTTCCTGAGAGCATGCTTCGTAGAAATACCCTGACTCTAGTCGGTCCACTGAGATTGAGATGGACAGCTTGAGACTTTTAGCGCGACTGAGCCATCCTTCGACAGCGCGATTCCTTTCTTCCATCCGCTTTGCCCATATCTGTTTTAGAGCGTCGGTTATAGCGCAGGAGGGCGCACCTCGCCGGGTTTGAAGGCGGGGAAAATCGGGGATAGGAATGTGGAGTGTTGACCAGAGGAACGGGTCGTTCAGAGCCACCTCGCGCCATTGACGACAGACCAAAGGCAACACCAACGGCGCCTCGGATAACGACATGATTCCATTGTGGTCCTCGGGTAAACAGTGTCGGAATATGGTGATCAGGACGTCCGGAGGCAGCCGCCGAATGGGAGACAGTAAGTACCGGTATTTTTCGATCCTCGAAGAAAGGTCGTCACGCCGTTGCTTCGCAGCCTCCAAAGCTTGGAGAGCAGCCTCGACGTCGGCGTTGAGAATCGACTGTTGTTGAGCCGAGATTTCCAGATATTCTTGGATCTGGGTTCTTTCCCAATCTGTGGGTGAATAGTTTGTATCTAGAAACTCTTTCAGAGGTAAGAGGTCCATCGTCGAAAAATGCGCTGTGGTGGTGGTTGCGAACCTAGTTTTAGCGCTCAGCCAAAATCCTCGATCCTCCGTATTTGGATTTGTTGTGCATGGCGATCCGAACGAATCGGAAGGCTGGAGATGGCCAGGAGAATTGCAATCCTATACGTTTATTGCAACTCGCCAGGCTGTGGTTTTTATGTAGTCGCTGTAATGCCCAAATAGGTATCTCTCTGTCTAAGACGCAGAACCTATTTTACCAGGCCGAGCTGAAATCAGAACCCCTTGGCAGGCCTTGTGACCAGGCTGTCGACCTCTGACCGCGATGGTAAGAACGCTGGGTACACATAAAGCACTCCTCATACTAATAGTGGGGATTTTAACATTCCTACACCTGTCTCAAGGTCAAGAGCTCTCGAATGCCCAGATTGAAACCATCAGCGAACGCCTAAGGGAGAGTGCACAGGCAAGGTACGCATCACATCACATCAGCAATCATGGACCCGTTCGCAACCGATGGTTTTCTGTAGCTGGGAAATCGGCACGAGAGCACAAGCTATCCTGGAGCTCAATGCAACGACATATTCCGTCTTCTCTGGATCTTCATTACCACCACCCTCGACAGTTCCGGACGATGTGGCAGGAGCCATGCAGCCCCTGTTCGACATCGCTAGAGGCATACTGGAGGGTCTCAACCCCTCTCAGGATAGTAAGCGTTACATTCCTTCTCAAAGTCGCATTCTTGATACCCATGACCGGACATTCAGATCCACAACCATTGATGCAAGACGGTTCCGCGGCGGACCCAGCCGCGAATGGGATCACAATCCTCCTGGCCAACTGGACCCAACAGGACGATGGAAACGGGACGTACGCCAAAGCAGCTCAGAATCAGCTAGCCTACCTCTACAGCGACGCTGTCCCCAAAACTGGTGACGGCGCCATCTCCCACCGTGTCGACCAGCTTCAGCTCTGGTGCGTTTTCTCGCCATCTTTTCTTGGACCGCTTCTTAGCCCAGTTTGGTATCTGTTTCACCCATTTAGGAGCGACTTCGTTTATATGGTTCCTCCATTCCTGGCATACTACGGGGTGACGACTTCGAACAGAACGCTGTTGACTGAAGCATTTAATCAAGTAAGACTGTACAGGAGTTACCTGCGGGACAATGAGACTGGGATGTGGAGACATATTCTGTTGGGAGAATCTGGAAATGACGAAGGATACTGGACAACAGGTCAGTCCTACACCGTTTCCTTGAGTCGAGGCATGGGATTAAAGGTTCTTCCAGGGAATGGATGGGCCGCAGCTGGGATGCTTCGGGTACACGCAACGATGCAGAACTCGCAATATTCTAATTCACTGCAAGAAGAACAATTCGCTTTAGCTTCCTGGGTGGCAGAGATTCACGAAGCGATTTACCCTCACCTGGCGAGTCCGCATTCCAAAAGTGGATCCACCGTCTGACTAGATGAATTTAGCGCTCGCCAGAGGATATCTTCACCAACTACGCCGACCAACCCGCGTCATCTCCAGGAAACTTCCACGATGCGGCCTCAACCGCGCTCTTAGCCGCCACGGTCTATCGGGCGAGCGCACACCTGCACCAACACACGCACATTCCATCTGCTGAACGGTCGAGAAGACGGCTCTTCTCCGTCGACGCAGGCGGACGAGACGCAAACTTCAGTTCCTTGGAAGGATACAACCACTTCTCCCCGGATGGGTGGCTGACACCCGTGGTCAACCCCCATCAATACGGGGAAGAGGGTAGTCAGAGCGCGGAAGGCCAGGCGTTTGTACTGATGCTTCATGCAGCTTACAACGAGTGGAAAGAAGATGGCAGACAGGGAAGCGGTGCGTCAAGGGCAGCTAGCCTCAAGTATTGGCGCAGGTTGATACCGTTTGTGCAGACTGCAGCTGGGACATGGACAACTATCTGCACAAGCGTCCGCCTATGTAAACGAGAGGCAGCTGTTATCTTTGAAGATCTTTGAATGGAAGCGGGACGTACCGTAGACAGTAGAAGTGACCTAGTGTATTCTGGGTTCATGGCTGCGACCGACCCGCCCAAGAAAGTAACTGTAGCATAAATCAAATTTACGTTACTGAAAACCAAAGGACATTACGCAGCTATAAGTAGATTAGCAAGTATCAAGATGGGTATTTACTTTGACAAAAGCGAAGAGATCTGGCACGAACTAAATACAATATCGTTTCACCCAATCAACCGCATCCGGACAACAGTACGTTCTCCAGGGAAGAATGGATGGGAACGATCAACAATGACAGCAACTTCGAGTTCACCCTGCATCAACTTGGTCCGCTCCTCAGGCGGTCCACCAGGTGTCGGGGACGGACAGACGATCCTGCATTCTCGAGCGCAAACGAATCGAGTGACCATGCCGTAGTCGAAAAGAGAGACGAAACGCTTTGGTCTGTTGAGACAGGATCGTCAAAGCTGGCCCCGGGGAGGAAAGGATAAAGACGAACCCAAATAGCAGCTGAGCAGCCTGCTGGCTTTCCTTCTTGATGCGATTGACCATCTGATCGACAGCATGCTTTCGAGAAACGATGTCAAAGTCCATCGCGACTTTGGTGAACTCGCCGTCGAAACAGAAGAGAGTCGCTGACAAGTCCGCGGAGTCATTGTCAGGCTTGGCTCCGGCAGGTGTTCCTTCTTCCTGCTTCACTTCCGCCTTGTCCGGTGATGCGGCGGCTTGGACATCTCGCTGATCGTCGGTGCCGCTTTTCTGTGGGTGTTCACGTTCGACAGCGGAACCCGAATGGGGAAGCTTGCAAGCGTAGTGTACGATCTGGGCTTCGAAGAAATCTTTGCTCAGTTTTCGGAAATTTTCGAGGAGCGCGTCCAGTCCTTTGTACTCGGGATACGGGGTAGGCGGGCGAGGCTAGTAAGAATGAATTTACATCATCAGCTAACAACCTAAGGATGAATGAAGATGGGCGCACCTTGGGCTTTGGAGAACCCTGCTTTAACGACGATATCCTCGACGAGATTTGCGAAGCAAGTCCAAACGTCTTGCTACCAGCACCATCAACCCGAGCTTTCTGGGTCAAGATATCGATACGCGACATGAACGACTCGATCTCCTCAACGCTCACGCCCTCCTTCTTCATATGTCTCCTCAATGCTCGTACAGCCCGCGTCCGACACTGTTGGCAGTACGCAAATAGTAGCCCAGTATCTAGGCACACCCCGCAGTCAATGCTCAGACACCGACCGTCATTACGTTTCTAGAGGATGGCAGATTGTCAGAATAGTCAGGTGCAGTAGATAAAGATACTCACGTTGATCGCCTGCAAACATGCCATGTACTCCTGTTGTCCCCGAGCAGCCTCAGCGGGGTCAGGCGTTAGCTTCTCCCTCCTCACCCGCGCATCATTGCTTCGCTTGCGACAACGGGAGCACATCCTCCGGGGGTATTCCTCCTTGGACGGAAGGATATGAGCACATTGCTTAACGGAGCAAAGTCGAGCACCAGGAACGAGCTGCTGCCCGGTAACATCGGCATAGGCGGCAAGGTCAAAATCATCGCGAGAGGTGGGACGTGGCATTGGCGAGGCAGAGGTGGGGGTAGGGAGAGGAGCCGAGGCACTGGTTGAAGATGTCGGCCTCGTTCCAGAGCCGGATGTCGGTTCGGAGGGAACACTGATCGACGATGATTCTGTGGACGACCCACCCGCCAGTCCCTTGAATATCGCCAGCTCCATTTCAAGGTGCCTGTGGGACCCTTGCAGATTCTGGCGCTTGCGTTGGTACTCTCTCGTCTTGGCACGACACAGCACGCAAGTTTTCCATTGATATTCTCGGTGAAGGACCTGCTTGCATTTCGGTGCATTTGAGCACCATCTACCTCCGTCGGCGAGGATTTGAGCTGCAATCTTGGAAGCAGGAACAAGACGCGATGTCGAGGATGCAGGCATAGGCGATTGCGGAGCTTCAGAAGGGGCTGGCAGTGGCTTGGGTGTAGGCGTACAGTCGGAGGATGCAGGTGGAGGCGTTGGTGTGGGCGTGGGCAAAGTCGAGGCGGGTTGAACCTTTAGTGATGGGATGCGGATCTTCAGGGTAGGTTTAGGCTTTGCTTTCTCTTTCAATACCAAGGAAAGCGGTATCTACATCACCAACTAATCAGCTCACTGAGAAAGTTCGTCAGAAACAATCAACTTACGTCCTCCTCCGAGCTCGATGAATCGGCATCGGAAGCGACACCTACTTCGTCACTTGAGCCTTCAGGTTCTGACGACAGCTCAGTGAGATCGCTAAGGTCGCTGTCCCAGCCGGTGATGGTAGACTTCACAGGTGAAAGGTTCAGGCTGGCGAGATTGAGCTTGATCTTGAGCTTCGTGGGAGATACGGTCTCGAGTTTAGGAATCCTCAGCTTGAGTGATGGTTGGGGCGATGTCGGTGACGGCGGGGTACGGACATCCCGGGATTCTTCCGCAGAATCAACCATCTCGATATCACCTTCTTCGTCACTCTCTTTCACAAACACCCTCTCCTCAGCGATATTCTCCGCCCAACTAACCGACCGACCCTTCTTCCGATTTGCCTGGTCAAACGCCCTCGCCTTCTTCGACTTCCAGTCCTTGATGATACAACTGGAACAACGCCCTGTTCCGACGGCATTGGGATTGTCAACTGGATTGGCGCATTCCGGAGTCGAGCATGTACGAGGTGTGGAAGAATCTTGAGCGTGGGGATATGCGAGCTCTTGCGACAGGGGCGAAGGGATTCCAGGCCCTGAGTGCGACACCTTTCTCCGCTTGTGGTTGGCCACAGGTACCATTCCACTAGCTGAGCGAGAGTGGATACCCTTGTGCGTCGTTGGAGGGCGAGAAGGGTGGATGGGGCTGGCCCGATCCTTCCGCGGCGTTGATTCGATGATCGTCATCACCAAAGGCTTCATATCTGTAACGGCTGGGGACGTCGACGCCTCTGGGTAGGAAAAATCAATTTCGCCCAGGTCGTCTTCGCTGTCGGTGGATTTCGTTGGCTCGTCCGCGGGCGCCTGGAAAATATCATCAGAGGGGTCGTAAAGACACTGCTGCAAGCACGTACATCGGCGAGGAGAGCGTCGATGCTCGGCGGGGGTAACGGGACGTTGACGGGTTCGGTCTTGATCGTAACTGGTGGTGATACAGCGGCTGAGACGCTGGCAGGAATGGGTGGAGGCCTCATATACGATGAGGGTGGCGGGATCGAAGTCGTCAAATGCGGGCCATTGTGTCGCGGTGGTCCAACGTTCGGTGTCGGTCGCGCCTGTCGCAGGGTCCCAAGCTGAGCACTGGTGAGCACGCCCCTGAGCTCTGGCCTTCGTGGTATGTTGTTCGTTCTGCAGCGTCCGCACCGAAGGTGAGGATACTGGGCAGGGAAGACGGCATTGCAACCCATTCCCGCGCACGTCCTCAGACTCGACGGAGCGGTGGAGATCTTGTACACTGGTCAGAGGGTGTTATCGAGACAAAGAGTGAGCTATGTACCTGTCCTGAGCCATCTGAAGGCCGTTCTGCGACCCTCCCATTGGGTCCAAAGAAGGGTAGATGCGGTTCTGCATGCTGCATCGTCGAGCTGATAATCCTGGTCGGCTACGCAACCCACATCATCTCAGCAACCTGACCCCGCTCAAAGCGCAAAATAAACTTACTAGCGGTGGCCCTTCCGACAGGGCTGCTGGTGGTTTGAACATTTTAGAGACGCCATTCTACGAGCAACATCGTCGAGGAGTTGAAAAATTTTACAATCAATTTTGAATCAATTTCCAAAATGCCTCCATCGTGATTAGTCAAAAACGATCGGAAAGCAACTCACAAAATTGGGCGGGTACGCCATCGGATACGCGATCGAGGGCGTGCCTCCGGGATGACGCAAATGCGCTGGGGGTGGGGGTAGACGAGAACACTCGTCGTTGCTCAGCACCGTCGGTACCTGCTCCGGGTACATTGGAAACTGTAGACCTGGATCATACTGAAAATCGTCAAAACTGATTAAACGGAGGAAGGAAGAGGACAGGGTCAACGCACCTGATGAAACGCGCGAGACGCGTTCATTGACGCGTTTTGGAACATGACTTTGAGCAAAAACCACCTCTAAAGCCGTGCTTTGGACGGTCTGGCAGCTCGGGTTCAAGTCTGATATCGATATCTAGGGGAACTGCGGGGTAGATATGGAATCAACCATGTCATTTAAACGAGGCAGGACCCTGAAAACACAAATAGAACGCACCATGAGTTGCGCAACGTGCTACTGGCCTAGAATCCTCGACATCCAACCTCAAGGTTGGAAGGAAAACAGGTCCACGTCGACGGCCAGGGCCCGGAAAAAAAAATCGCGTCAATACTTGCCATCAAACCCCTAATCCCACTAAGGAGAACCAATTGGGTGATGCCGCCGGTTGGGATGGGGATACGGCGGTTATGTACAGTTTACATACGCGATTCAGGAACAGTGGCGTGAAGCGGGGTAAGAGGGTGGGCATCCAGAGTACATAGGTAGTTCCAAGTAGGGTGTACAGAGGCATTAAAGATAGGATAATAAATAACGAGGATAGATGTGCCCCAAGTTAGATCTTCAACCTCAACCTCTTTTTCGGGGCAGGACTGCCAGCAGCAGCAGCGCGCTTGCGCTTTTTCTTGTCTTTTTGGATCGGGTCCTCTAGCGTCTGCAGAAAGTTGACGGGAGACAACTTCTCTGTGATCTGCTTAATGAGCTTCATGTTCAATGAAGCGATGGGGTGCCCCTCCTTGTCCGGATCCTCTTCCAAGGCCCGCTTGAGTTTGGGGTCGGCGGGAAAAGAAACGATGACGCGCAAGAGGCTGTAAGCACCCGCGTCTAGGCGACGACTGGGCAAGGCTTTTAAGTGTTTTAGGGTATCCTCAAATAGTGTGGGATGGCAAGGGGGCATGTATCGGATGCCGTCCTAAAGAAGAATCAGTCAGTCAGCACAAGCAGACAGACTGACAACTTTACCTTATCCATAAAGAACTCGGACGGCGTCACACTTTTAATCGCTTTTCGCAAGGAAGAGCGGACCAGAGAACCGTTCTTCCCTTGGCTATACTTCGCCTGTAACGCGACCCAAACCAAAGATTGGTCCTCAAGGCGAAGAACGAAGAGAACGTCAGGGCCCATCAAGTTGTGAGGAAAGCACATCGGTGCGTACTTTCGACACTCGAGCCAACTCGACGTTTCCTCCGGGGTTTCGGCGTTCAGGCCCAGGGTGACAGACGGGCCACAAGAGGCGCAGTGCTTGACTATACTTGATTCGAACTCGCCCCCAGTCTGGACTCGGTGGACAGCAACAAGCTCGGCGGTCTGGTTTGTCCAAAGTGGTGGCTCTCCGACGAAATTAAACACAGAATTGACAGCGCGAGGAGTTGCCGACGAGAAGGCCATGTCGATGCAGTAGGCGATGTAGTTTTCGAAACCGTTCGAAGTGGTCTCATGGATCCCGATTTGCTTCGCAAAGTACTTGTAGCTGGAGCGGTGGTGCTTGTTGATCCAGTGCGTCGCAGCGAGCAGCACGAGGGGTTCGTCCACTGCCACAGTCTTGGTTTCCGAGTCGACGAACCGAGCGAAGCCATATTCGACGTAAATGGCTTCATCCTTCCCCAGGGTCACAGGTAGAACAGACCGCATGAGGTAGTGCGTCGTAAGTTGATGAATGGTGCTGAGCATATCGGAGTCTAGCATGCATCAGAGGGGGTCACAGGCGCGAATGGAGAAACGTACTTTTCTTCAGCTTCGAAAAGTCGAGTTTGAGCTGGGAAAACACAGGAAGGGGGAGCGGTGGCTCGGCATCGACAAACGCCTGCGCATCCGTCACTCGGAATTCGGAAAAGTGTCGAATATAGGCGTTGAGAAGTGTGTGAGGCCTCTGAAAGCCGTCGGATATGGCCTCGGAAACATAACCTGCTGTAAAGCGATGCCTGGGGTGTTGTTGAGCAAGCGCCATCAAGAAAGATGTTGAACATACCTTCCATGTAACCAATACCAGACCCTTTCCAGCAAGCGGGCACCAGACTTGGTCCCCAGGTACTTGGGCGGAAAGTACTTGCGCAGATACCGTTGCTGCACCTCAATACTGTCAAATGCCCCTGTATCGGAACACCAGCGGTAGCGCGAGTCCTTCATGATAGCAGACGCCATGGCCTGGTCAACGACGTCCTTGGAAATCCCGGTACCAGCGACCACCATGAACACACCTTGCCCCGCACACTGGCTTTCCCAAGCGCGAACTATCTCACGCAGGATGGGCCGGTGCGCGCCGTTGTGGTCCGAGCGAAAGGCAGGCAGGTGCTGTGTTGCTGCGTGCTGCGCCTCATCCAGCACGCAAAAGAAGGGCATATGGCCGTCCTGGGACAGGATGCTGCGAACTTCGCTGAGTAACGTTTCGGTCTGGCTGTTGAGATACGCGTCGGAGGCGGTCGAAAGTTCGCGCGCAAGGTGATGGAAGATGTCCCACACGCGCGGGTTGAGCAAGCACGGTTGGAGTTGAAGGAGCAGCCATCGTTCCCTGAGAGTCTGAGGTGGAGTCGAACGGTCCATTGTCGTGACGAAAAGGTGAAATAGCAGCAGTCGTGCGAGAAGAACTTGTCGAAAGACGCGGCTGGCGATCTGGCGGTTGCGCTTGAGACTGTCCTCGTAGGTCTTGGTGCCTGCAGGGGGAAGTTCGGCGCGGAAACCTGGCGTATCTGGGACGTGGGTGCTAATGGCGTTCTGGACGTCGGTTGAACCGAGTAAGCTGGAGTCCACCAGGGACGTAAAGTAGAATCCCCAGTTCTGGCAGAGGCCTTCCAACAGGATACGCGTCTTTCCCGAACCAGAAGTGTTCACGAGGAACCTAGAGTGGCGTGTCAGCTCAAACAGATGCGTCAAATTTATATATGCACGTACGTGTGGTTATTGGCCATGAAGATGTTCTTCAGCCTATCCTGGAGAACTTTGTCTTCTTGAAATGCTCCAAGGTCATGGAGAAGAATGTTGGGCTTCCCCTTGAGCGACGGAATGCGCAACCCAACCAGATGCTGCACGACCTCCTCGTCCAAGTCATTCGGCGGTCTCCAAGAGGGCAATGCGATCTCCCCATCGACAAGGCGCAGCATATCCGGACGCAGCTCGTTCAGGAACCGGTCTACCTTGGTTTCAACGCTGTCGAACGACGCGTTTCGACCTTCCTCTGGTCAATTAATTAGCATATTCCCATCAAGCTAAACGAGAGAATACGCACCCCAGGTTTGAATACATTGATAATTTTTGGTTCTGTGGGCTTCTTTAAGGGTTTCATAGAGCCCCTTGTCTTCAGCTAGCGCAGAAATACACGCTGGGAGAGACTTCTTATCCTTCCAAATGCACCAGAGGACATATGAGGCTTCTTCCAGGATGTCGACATTGAATTTCGCGCATTGCTGACTGATGTCATGGTCATTGGCCACTAAAGTACTGTTAGTAAAGTTTCCAAACCAAATTCTGGTCCTTACTGCCTCTACCGCATCGTCGCCGTCGCTGTCGTCGATGAACACAACGCGACCGCCCGTTTAGAGACAGAACAGCCCCTGACATCTGTTCAAGCGGAGTCAAAATCTCACGGCATTCACCGAAAGCCGAGCCTGAGAGGCGATGAAGTTTGGTTGAAAACAACCCAAAAACAACCGTTGCCAAATCTTTCCGTGACGCTGAGCGGCGTACTACATAGCAGTACTCACAGTAGCCTAACCTTCGGTCTCGGCTATGGCCCAGGCCAAGTGACCGTCTGCAGCTCCAACGTGACACCTCTGCCGCTGCGATATCGCCCAACGTTACCCGGGCCTGCATTTGTTCTACTTGGACTGCGGGTATCTCTTAACAAGAAAATGAAACAGGAAGGAAGTATACCAGCTGATTAGCATGTGTATCTTTCGTATGGACTTACGTCAGAATGTTTAAGATGAGAGGCCATTGAGTGGCTGAAACTGCGAGTGATGTTTCTGGAGTCCACATCACAAGGACTGACGCCGACAGTGAAGATCTAAGCTCTGAGTACTCGTCTCACCCTCCAGAACAGATACAGGGGGGCTAAATTCAAGTCAGGCTTGACTGGTTCCATTATTGGTTCGGTTTAACTTGAACCAGGGTAAGCGCTGATTTAAGCGCCCGTCGTAATCATGTCACTGTTTTGGCCAGGAGTCTACTGCACGCAACCATCAATTAGAGGTGGCAAGTGGGAATGGTCGAACTGGTGGCATGAATACTCATGATGACGGAGATCGTGGGTCAATTTGCGCCAATGTGGGTGCTTCCATCGAAACATCACCGCTCAGAGGTAACCCACAATTTGAAAGGCGCGGTGATCAGGAGCTTGACTTATACCCGTCATGTCGCACGATAAAGCCCTTGACGCTTACGCCAACGGCGACCTCTCCACCCTCAAAACCATTCTATCCGACTTCCCCGATGAAATTACCATCTCATTTTTATCCGAGTGCTCTATGAAGCTGCACTGTGCCGGAGAGACGAAATCATCAAGCATCTCTTCGACACACACAATCCAGACCACCTCGACGACAAGGCTTTTCGTGGGGCGGCGCTAAGCCCCTCCATCGAGACATTTAACCCTCATCTACGCCAGGGATCCATCCTGCATCACCGAATTCCATGAGCGAGAAGGGACACTTCTGGCACTCGCCCTTCGAGGGGCGGCTCCCAAAGCGTTCATCGAACACCTTCTCTCCCTGGGTGCCGATCCAAACATAATCTCCGGCGACGCCATTGCTCCCCTGGGTTATGCCGCATCCCGATACGGTGACACTCCTGACATGGTCGCACTGCTGGTCAAGAATGGGGCGCGTATCGACCGTGGAACCGCCCCCCTTGCGAGGGCAGCCTATAAGGGCCACCTCGCGATTGCCCAATACCTGCTGGATAATGGTGCGGATGTGAACGATCCTGGTAACTGGGACCTACCTGGGTTTCCTCTGCTCGATGCAGTCGATGGTGGGCTCCGGAGATGGTTAGTTTCCTGTTGCGGAACGGAGCAGACCCCGCGCTGGTGGATGGCTGGGGGAAAACGGCGTTCGACATTGCGCGCGAAAAGGGTAGAGAAGAGATCGTCAGTCTTTTGAAGGAAGCGGTAACGGGTCGTTGAATGTAAACTGTATTTTTGTGCACAAGGGCACGTCGAATGTAAGTAGTTGTCGTTAGAGCCCATTCGTGACTGTCCTCCATTCCCCCACTCGACCCCGTACTCTAGCTGTGTAAGGTACATGTAATGCTGTATCTCAAATTCTAGTTCCAACCACGTTCCACGTCAGATCCAATTCAATTATTCTACGTTGGGTATCAACAGTTGCAGTTCAGGAGCTGTGCGTACGTTGATGTCCTTCGACAGAGATCTAGTACGGGCTGCGTCAGACAAAATTCCACCACGACAGCTACGGACCTACAACGTAAACGAATGGGAACTGGGAACGAGGCAACGGAACGCCAGTGTCTAAGGGCACGAGGATGAGAGGTTTACGGTCGTGTATGTACCCAAGCCGCCAGCAAGTAGCAGGCCAAGGCTGCGACGATCGAGTGGGTCACTATATATAAAATTGAGCATGTCCAGGAAGATCATGAGGTGAAATGAGTGAGGTAAAGGCCATTCACTGACATACGGTCCACATTACTACAAGTTTTTGACAACGAAAGTGATTCTACGACTACAACGGTAGGTGATGGTGTCACACGTCGAGAAAGCGAGGTTGAAAAAGCAAGCGAGGGACAGCAAAAACGGATAGCGAGAACAAAGCAGGACAACGAGAGCGAAAAAAAAAGGCAAAAAGGACAATCGAAAGCTTTAGAAAAACACCAGACCCCGTCCCCAAAATCAAAGCACCGGTTCGGCTTCTTCTTGGATTGAATAGGTCGTCCTCGATCGCGACGCTTCGAGCTCGGCAACTGCAGTGGAACGGTCGGCGGGTTCGGGTTGGATTCGAGAAGGTTCCTCCTCCTCTGGCTTGGGGTCGGCGAGCCATGATGGGTCCTTGAGAGCAAGCGGGCCCCATGTTCCCACCGATGGATTAATGAAGGCAAAGAAATTGAGGAAGCCGGCGCAAGCATCGCTGTACTTCCGCAGGTCGCAGGCGTCGTCTGGATGGCGTCCCCTGTACTCCGAGAGCAGAAGATCTCGGAGCTCGTCAAGTTCAGTGATGATGTTTTGGAGAGACGGATCCATCTTGGCCTGGAACTCATCCCCGAATCCGAGCGTGAAGCAGTTGTAGCGTTCCGTGGAGAGGGTAATCGAGCCTTGGAAGATCGGTTTAGCAGCATAGTATGCGTCTTGAAGGTCCGTTCGCATGGTGGAGAGCCACAGCGCCATCCACCATATAGATTCCAGATCGTGCTGCAAGTTGTGCATAACGGCCCGTTTAAGGCCCTGCTTCGGCTCGCGCTCGGGTAATATCTCGCCAGGGGCGAAATATTTCGTGGGCCTGGTAGTCTTTGGCTCATAAAGTACCGCAGATGCCAGGAGCTCGTGAGCCATAAAGTATGGCGTTCCCTAGAAGTGAAAACGACTGTCACGTTTTGCAACATAACTGCAAGCCCAAGAGCGACGCACCGTTTTAGGGTCAGTGCGGACCTTACCATCCTCCGGAGGGAATTTCCTGGCATATTCCAGATCGGAGAGCTTGACTTGCCACTGACCATCCGGGGTCTTATACGCCAGTATATTGCCGTGGCTAATATCTCTGTGGATCCACCCAGCGCAGAACATCATCATCAACGCTTGACTGAGGTTAGACCAAGACTAAGGACAACCACAGGCGACAGACGCACCATAATAGGCTTGGTAAAGCACGTCCATCGCGTCTCCCAATGTAGGGAGATTGCTTACGCGCGTGCAGACGAGTTCATATACAAAGAAACAGCGTCGCTTGCTCTCGAACGCCCGATATTCTCTTTGCTTCAGGATGTCGCCATCTTTTGTGACGCTTCTCTTGTTCGAACCGCTCTTGTCACCCGATCGTTGGGTTGATGTCGTCGTCTGCGGTCTTTCAGGCTTCACCTGGAAAAAGACGTCCAGAGCGGTCCAACACGCCTCTTTTGACAACTCCTTGTTTGGTTTCCCCACATAATGATGTCGAATGAGCGAGAAGTAGTTGGTGTAGTTTTCGAGTGCCTTCTCGAACGATTTAAGTGCAGCCTTGGGAAACTTTTTCAACAATTCGTCGGAGGCCCATACGGTATCGCGTGAAGCGAATTTTTCGATGTCGCCGAAAACCTTGTCCTGAATCTCCTTCTCGGTGTCAGCATCGTGAGTGATCCAGGCGTCCTTTAGGATTAGTGGCTCGGCGTTGGGATCTACAAGCTCAAGGCTCGACCCCTTGACTTCCACTACCTTCCATACGCGGGTGGAGCGTCCAGCGATGCGAGTGGAACGGTACTCGTCGACTATCTCTGTTGTCAAAAAATATCGGCGCTTGCCTTTCGGTTTGTCGCCTTTCGCTTCTGGGGTAGGTGGCAATTTGTATAAAAACTGTTTGCCATTGGCGGCCTTGGGGATGGAGATGCAGGGATCGAACCCCAGTTGCTCCTTTTTGGCGCAAAATAGTCGGATAAATAGTTCGACCAATCGATGGGGTTCCTGTGTGGAATGTGAATAGACCGCCTCTTCCCGATGCGAAACAGGCTCACGTGAACAAAGTCGAAGGATTTCGACATGACGGAATGAGAGCGAGAGTAATACCAGAGTGTCACTCTCTCATTCTCAACGGATATCTGCAAATCGCCGATCAGAAGCTGCCGCGTTGGACCATATGAGCGAAAACATACACCATAGAGGAACATTCGGCGGACATCGTCGTTCATGATATGGTTAGCCGCAGCTGTGACCTGCAATCGATTCTGTAACCAACCCGTCGTAAGGAACAGACTGAGACTGTGACAGCAAGTGGGTATCGTACTGACCGATCGTCTTTCGGAAGAAGAGATTTTCCATTCCATTGGAGTTACGATGTTCCTGACGTGAAGCCTTTTGCCTTCGAGGTCGGGCTTGCCGTCGCTGTCCACTTGTGAAGTGGTACAACAGTCGATTCTGAAGTTGGCGCCGCTGACAGCGGAGCCCAGCCACGTGTCAGGGCACAGAGCAAGGGGGAAAGGGTTAACATAAAGGCCAGGGATACAGAGCAGACAGTTTCGTATCTCGGTGACGATTTTTCCAAACGAGGAGAAGATTGTCTTCTCGTTGACCACTGGCACAACTTGGCCCGGTTTGGCATGGGCCTTGTCCCGTTCGTATCGGGCTTTGAGGCCACTTGGGGTGATATTCCGAAACGCAGTGAAAAGGCCGGTGGTCATGATTTTTTTTTCGGTTAACATCCGAGACACTTGAGCGGTCAAGGCCGGATATCCTGGTGGAAGGGGAGGAAGGTATTCTTTGAAGAAAGCATCGCAAGGGCAGGTGACGAGTTCATTTAGCATACTCCTCCCAATTCTATCGCGAATCTCGGTTTGCTTTTCGTCCCCTACGGCATCGGGGTCCTGACGCGGGGTGCTGCCAGTCATCAGCGCTCATCGAGAGTCTTTCAAATGCAAAGTGGGACGCACAATATCTTCACACTGGCATCGTTAACAGGGGCGCTGTGAGCAATAGGCGAGGAGGCAGGAGTCCTGAACCAATCCATCGTGAGCCCCTGAAGGAAATTGGGCAAATAATAAATTATTCAACCCACTGTGGGTGACTGCTTCCCTGTGCCCGCACCTCAGCTCGGACAGCTCCACGGGTTCTCGGTCTTTCCATTCGCTGGTTATGAAATGGGCGGAGGTGGTCGATGGTCCTGGACAAACCGCACGTTCACAGAACAACAAGAGTCATGTGATCTAGCGTCTTCCCGATTCGGATTCTGTTACCAGAGGGTGCCATTGATGGGAAAATTGATGTCGGCCTGAAATAATTCTTTCCGCGTCGCGCGGAAGGTCGTCGACGCTGTCCACAACCATGAGCTCGACGTTGGCCGCGTTCCAGAGAGGCCTATCGAGCAGCTTATTCCGCTCATTGACGCCGCGAGCCCACTGTCGCTGTTGGCATGTCCGCCAGTTCTCAGCGTCAGCGCGGCGGTTCGCCAGCGACGCTGGCATCGTTCCCCCAGAACGAATCCGCAACATCGCCATTATTGCCCATGGTGAGTACAATGTCTGTGTGGAAGGACAACGTTAACGGCGCTTACAGTTGACCATGGCAAAACGACGCTCGTCGACCAGCTGCTTCGCCAGTCGGGGACGTTGAAGCAGGTCACGGACCCAGCGCAGACAACCGACGCCGCGGTTGAGGACGGGTTCGTCACCCGCGTAATGGATTCCAACGACCTCGAGCGAGAGCGGGGCATCACGATTCTGTCCAAGTGCACAAGCATCAACTACGACGACAATGTGATCAACATCGTCGACACTCCCGGTCACGCCGACTTTGGCGGTGAAGTCGAGCGTGTCATGAACATGGTGGACGGTGTCGCCCTCGTCGTCGACGCGACAGAAGGCCCGATGACCCAGACTAGATTCGTTTTGGCCAAGGCATTGAGTCGGGGACTGAGGTAAGTGTCTCGAATCCTTCGCTTTCAACGTTGTTGAACGTCCTCAAAGGCCTCTCGTAGTCTTGAACAAGGCTGACAGGCCTACAGCACGGCCAGCTCAGGTTGAGAGCGACCTTTTCGACCTCTTTGCGACTCTTGGTGCAACCGACGAACAGGCAGATTATCCTTTGCTTTATGCCTCGGCTAAGCAGGGATGGGCTCAGGACAAACCACCGCAGCCGGCTCCAGAGGCGTCGTCGATGGCGTCCCTGTTCAACCTGATCCTGAACCACGTACCGGCACCTCGACACCTTGACCGATCCAAGCCCTTCTCTATGTTGACTGTTCAAATAGAGAGTGACCCTTATGTCGGCGTTCTCTACCTCGGAAGAATCGAAAGCGGTACCCTCAAGGTCAACGATACGGTTTGGGCACTGGATCCTCAAGGCAACAAGGTTGGCGAAGGCAAGGTCAAGAAGATATTTGGCAAACGGGGCTTGGAAAGGATCGAAAAGGACGTCGCTGCCGCCGGCGAGATTGTCAGCATTGCCGGTATCAAGAATGGCGGTGTCAATATTACCTTGATCCATCCTGAAGGATGGGGCGAAGAAGGTCCTAAGCCGCTCCCTGTAGGTGCCCCATGTTTATGTACGTATTCTTTCTGACCATGTTTTCAGACTGCCCCGATCGACCCACCCACCATTTCCGTCGTCCTATACCCTAACGACTCGCCACTTGCAGGACAGGAGGGTAGCAAGCTCACCTCCCAGCTCATCCGTGACCGAATCTACAAGGAAGCCGAAACCAATGTCGCCCTCATGGTTTTGCCTGGCCCGACCTCTGAATCCCTCGAAGTTCGCGGACGTGGCGTACTGCACCTCGGCGTCCTCTTCGAGACTCTCCGTCGCGAAGGTTTTGAACTTGGCGTCGGACCTCCCAAGGCTGTCATGATTCCCGACCCTAGCCAACCTGGCGTCATGCTCGAACCCATCGAAGAGTGCACCATCTTCGTCTCGGAGCAGTATGCCGGCAGTGTCGTACAGAAACTCACCATGCGCAAGGCGGAGATGGTCAGCTACGAGGCCGATGAGACCCAGGAAGGCTGGGTCAAGATTGTCATGAACGTGCCTGCGCGGGGGTTGATTGGATACATGGCTGGCGAGTTCAAGAATGACGTTCACGGCGAGGGTACGATCAACCATATCTTCAAGGGCTACGAACCGTACAAGGGTGCCATTGACACTGGTCGTAATGGTGCTTTGATCTCGATGGCGTCTGGCGAGTCAAGTGGATACGCTATGATGCCTCTCCAGGCTCGTGGTACCATGTTCATCCACCCTCAGACCCAAGGTGCGTATTCCATTCTTCTCTTCTATCCTCATTCAATTGTTGATTCTTTTCCAGTTTATCCCGGCATGGTCATCGGCGAGTCCTCCAAGTCGCAGGACCTGTATCTGAACCCGTGCGTCAAGAAGCAGCTCACCAACATTCGCGCGGCTGCAGCGGACGACAAGATTGTGCTCGCGTCGCCCAGGATCATGTCTCTTGAAGAAGCGCTCAGCTATATGGCTGACGATGAGATTGTCGAGCTCACGCCCAAGACGATACGGTTGCGCAAGCAGCTTTTGGATGTGAACAAGAGGCAGCGCATGCTCAAAAAGTAGACGCCTAGAAGATAGATTTGCTAGAGATCTAGAAGATACCGTATACTTATGGCTAATCGTAAAGTCCTTAATGCTAACTGACATCCCCTCTCCGCTCCCCCTTGTGACAATGGCTGCAATATGGCAATTGAGAATGACAATGATGGATGAGGCTCGGATATGCTCATCACAGATGTCCGAGGAGAGTTGGTTCCACGGGTTTGATCCAGGTAGCCTCGTGGCTGCAATCAACGGGCGCTTGTGTGGGCGTGCGGAGGCTCGACAAACAGGGAAACGGCGGTTAACAGCAGTTCGAAACTTGACTCGAAATAGGCTCAATTTGGTGATTTCCTTTTCGGATAGCGCCCCCTCCATCAGCTTCCCCAAGGGCGCTTTGACGTTGGAGTGGCTCTGATGGGAGGAGAAGCTGTGGGTTCCGTGCAGGGCTGGCGGTTCTACTAGGCTGGGTTTTTAAGCCGTATATGGTGTTCACCAATTATGGGGTATTTTCAGTGGTACAGCCGCGAGTATTCCAGCGGTATAAAATGTGGAGGAGAGCTGCCTAGACGCTTCAAAGTTTCAGTTAAGCCTTCCAATACTTTCCACTCATATACGCGACGACCTACAAGATCATGTCCAACTTCAGCAGTTCCCCAACGCCAGATCGATATGTTCAGAACGCCATCAACGCAGTCCTGGACGTTGCCTCTGGACAACTTCGCCAGCACCTCACGCGACTGTATGTTGTCTCTTCCATCTTCCACTTCGCCCTCCCTCCTCGGCGGGGACCCGTGTGCCCTCGTATTGAGTATTTGCACTTTAGGGACAATCAAGGACCTGTAGCTGCTAGATTCAGGTCGTTAACTCCAATAGGTCAAGATTTGGTGTTTCGCCACGTGTGTGAAAAGTTGAGGGAGAAGTACTATGCGAACGCTGTTGCCCTTCAAGCCAGTTTCCCCAATGTCGATTCTGCGTGGAATGACATCACAGAAAAGGTCGATTCTGGCTCTGGCCAGGCAGCCCACATTAGGGTTAGCTCTTGCCCGCCATGAACTGACCCAAGAACGTCAGCATGCTCTGGACTGAGCAACGTTAGATCACGCTAAGTCACGCCGACGGGCGCGAGCTCAATACCAGAGCCAACGTCGAGCAGGTTGCTCTCGCCAGCCCCTGTCCTGCGCGGATCCTGCCTTGGGGGTTGGCATCCTGCCGACGGCAGCTCTGGCTTGGCTCTGGGGACGGCATGCTGCCTTCACCGAAGCTCCCAGAATCCATCCTCAGAAAGATTATTTATTTATAAAAATTACAGCTTATGTTGAAGTCGCCTTCCTGGTAAGATCTATGTACAAAATCGACACCTCAAATCGACCAAAGTCAAGCTTCAGAGAAATAGCGGGAGTGACAGCTCGGATTTAAAGTCCGACCGGCGATCAACGGAACATGTGATCAAACCACATTAATAGGCACGACGCGACGCGTCGTCCCCATTTCTCTTCTTCCTTCCTTTCTCCCATCATCCATTTCCTCTTCCGCCCCCAGAACCAACGTGGAATAGCGAGACAACAGCGACGGCAACGAATACGCGCGACACGAGCAGTTCTCGTACGAATACACTGCACAGTGCTCGAACTGGGGGTTTTGGGTCTCAGATGCATCGAGCGGTGGGTTCTGTGCATCTGGTATGTTCTGCGTGCCCTAGCTGACTGGGCGATGACCTTGGAGCCTGTTAATCGACTTTTCAGATGCTTTCAGCAAAGGCGGGGTGGCCGTTTGTCTCATAGCGGCGTGTCAGCGTTTTCTTCGATGGACTGTAGCAAGGGACTCGGGTCACTGCGAGGGGTGGTGGGAGGTTAGGGACGCGTTGAAGGGTCCCCTTGTTGCCTTGCGTTGCTCGATGACCTCACTTCTGGATGCGTATCAAACCCTATTGGTCGCCTTTCTGTGAGTCCAGATTTCTTCATCTAGTCTATGTTCTATAGTGTACCTTCAATGTTGTATTACAACCATAATATATTCTTTTTTTAACTGTATTTCGCTCTCGTGAACCCGTAGTGAAGGCGCCGCATCCCATATGGTGTATAGATTCCCCGAACCTGCTCAAGCCATGCTCCGGGAAGGTCATCCTGCCCTGGCCTGCTCAGCGGAGGGCAGCCTGCCCAACTTGGGCAGGCTGCCCACTCCCGGCTAAGGATCCCGAACTTGCGCACTGGTTGGGCAGGTGGCCTACCCCATGGCCGACCTGCTGGGGTTGGTCCGGCCTGTTCTTACAGGATCCCGGATCGACTTTTTTTCTGATGGATATGCTGGAGTTGGTTGATGAATGCATAGTGAGTGTGTATACGTGGAGAGTCGGGTCTGGGTGGTACATAGACTGACTGGTTCCCCTAAGTTTCACCCTGAAGTGTTTGAGGATAGCTCAGAGGCGGAATCATGAAGGTCGCTTGGGGGACCTTCCCTCGGCGCTTATTTCACATTTTGATTCTCTGGTCTTCTCTTGTTCGAACTTGTATTATATGACTTTGTAATTCTCGTACTAAGCAGTACTTGTCATCACCCAAGGGGTTCTCCTTACTATTACACTCGGTTTGATTCATTTTGTAACCTTCAAATTTCAAACTCTGAAATCACAATCCGACTCGATTCTATGTATTGTACGCGATCACGTGACCTCATTTCGGCCACGATGCATAGTCCGGACCGTATCACTCTCGTCCTTGGGCTCGTGCCCCAACGTCTCGTCGCCTCGTTTCCAGGTCTTAATTGCAACTGCCATGTCGGACAGCGAGGATGAAATTGTCCAATCCACTCTGTCTTCCCCAGCCAACAGGTACGTGGTTTCTCCGCTTTCCAGGCTGGAACGCTAAGAATACGCCCTCACCCAACCTCGTTAGCGACGGGAATTTATCACATTCAAATGTCGACTATGAGGACTATGACTCGAACGCCGACTCCCTCCCTTGGGTAGAATTGTGGGTTGTTCTACGATTCAATACTTCACTGTCAATTTAGTAACTGATTGACAATGTCACAGTGGGCGTCCCATGCCGGAGGAGACAGAGCGAATGAAATACCGAGATAGAGTCCACGAGCAAATTGGAGTGGAGATGATAGGCGAAATATTCGTCTGCCCCGTTGATCCATTCCTTGACCATTACCTCCCACCCCTGCCCGGTTCTGTGGACGTGGCTGCTGTGGTGGAGGAGCTGGCGAAGGCGAATCTCCTCATTAAGGATCACACTACGCAGTCCTACCGCTTTGCAGGGTTTGAAGAGGGTTTCGGTGCGGAAGATGATGACGCCGACGAGGTTGAACGAGAGGAAGTGTGTTTCACTTTCTCCCCGTTGACGGCCATCGGCGATGCCATCCGTGCAATCCTGAAGGGTATGGGAGTCAGGATCAACCCATTCCGCCTTGCCCTGTGCCTCAATCCGTGGCTTAAGGGCGGACACTTGCCTTTGGATGCTATGGCATGCAAGGTTGACGGGTGCATAACCTCCGCGAGCTTGGATTTCGATGGAGCTGTTGTACAGCCTGCCGGAGAGCTCTGTCCTACGGATTTAGTCGTTCCTATCGCGCTCAAGGCGTGTCGTCATGATTACACTACTGTGAGTTAATTACAATATTTCCCATTATCCAAGTTTCTCATGCGATATTCTAGAATAACCTCCAGATTGTTGTATCTGCTAACCATATCTTTAATGAAGATGCTCGACGAAGATTCAGTTACGGCGTACGTTCGTCTAATACATCATCCCCGAATTTGCTCTGACATGCCGTAGATCTCCATTGAGGGCGAATACGCCTCCATTTGGTACTTTTCTCGTTCACATTCTATGAAAGCTGATAGCTTCAACTTTATCGAGGTCAGTTTCAGTGTACTGAAAATAAGAAACGTTCTGCTGATACTCAACGCACCATAGGAGCCGGAATTGCTGGTCAAAGTTCTAGCATCACTCTTCTGTGCCACGGAGGAGCAGCTCGGATTCGATTCACACATCACGCTCATTCCAGGTCGCGACCCCAGGACGTACCTATACGAACTACCCGCCGACGGGGTCACGAGGCTCGAATCGCAATTCTTCAAGACGACACAGATAATCCACGAGCCCTGGTCCAACCGAATAGCGGGGCGCATCACTCGAGTGTGGAAGGTCGTTCAGGTCAAATCGAAGGACGATTTGGACGCCATCGACCCGAAAGCAGCTCCCTTGGCACTGAAGGACGCCTGGATTAAGGCCAGTGCCGACGATGAGTACCAAATCCAGCAGAACGTTTTCCGCGACATCGACACGTTTTACGCTGACGACGGTTGGCGTTCCCATCCCCTGCTGTCTGACATTGCGAGTGACGACGTGGAAGATATCAAAGACGTACTCGAAAACTATAAGAATTTCTTCTCTGTTATACGACTTCACCACTCGAGTGAACCGAATAAGCCAATCTCATCGGAGGGGTGTTGGACCGAAGAGAATCTCTTCTTTCCTTCATGGACGCGGAGCAGCCCGTTCCAATCCCGAGATACATCCTGGCAATTGGAACGAGAGATTCGGGCATTTGAGAGCAAGCGACGGTGCTTCTTTGTGTATGAGCACGTCTGCACACGGATAAGCGATCTTCCTACTTTAGGAGATGCGATGGACGTACTATTCCAAGCGTATGCTGGTGAGCCATAATTGCATCTGGTTCTCTCTGGGACTAATGTTTTGGTGCAGTGCTAATGGTGATGTTCTGTGCTGGGTGGGTTCACCGGGACATAAGCCACGGGAATATCTTGGCCTTCAAAGAGGAAGGGGTATGGCAAGTGAAACTCTCCGACCTCGAATATGCCAAGCGATTCCCTCCGGACAGCGCGCAGACCAGCTCTGCCCCTAAGACGGTATGACGTACTTTTTCCCCAGCGTTTCGCTTCATCCTGACATCCCTCCGATGCAGGGAACGCCTTTCTTCATGGCACACGAAATCTTAACCTCCTCGTCACTCTCGGGGTTCTACCACCAAAATCTCGCCGTCCCGAAGCGCACATCCAGGCGCGCTGCCAGGCGCGGTGGTGCGGTCGAATCCAGCCCCCCAGTCATCATCGTCCACAATTATCAGCACGATCTCGAATCGTTATGGTGGATGGCTCTCTGGCTTGTCACCATGCGAATCGACTACGAGGAGTCCTACGACGCTGTCCAGTCCATATTCAGCGGCTCAACACCCATTTCTACGGAGCGTAGGAACTGCTTTACTCTAGGCATCACCTCAGATATTAAGGACGAGTTCCATCCGTCCACTAGAAATTTCGTCCCCTCTCTCGAGATCGTCCGCCGTACCTTTATAGCTGGTTACAAGACTCGCCATCCGAAGGACGTGTGCAAACGGGAGCAGTACAGCCTCGTCTGCGCTGGGTTTTTCAACTTCTTTGGTGAGATAGAGGAAGACCGAGATGTTTGGGGGCCGCTTCCCCTCTCGAATCCAACGTGATTGACGGTTAATTGACCCCGACAAGGAGCAGGGCGAAGCCATCTTGTGTTCAGCCTGGGTTGGTTCCATCATCAATCCAGTGTTCTACGATTCAAGCCTCATCGATATCACTTTGCATAACCGTTCTGTATTTCTCGTCTTTATGTACCGTACAGGTGTTCTTTGCATTACTATACATAAGTGTAATCTGGAGCTGCGAGCGACCTGACAGTGAGCCAAAGACGCAACTTGATCTTGTCTTGATAGACTCCCGCAGCCTGAGGCACGTTTGTCCCAGGATCGCACCGACCTCAGCCCATCTTCTCTGTGACCACCAATAGCATAGTGAGTACCTACCATATGTGGTTGGTCCTGGGCTGCAGAGCGATAGGTGCCCACAGTTGCATCTTGAAATGTTTGACGATAGTTCAGAGGCTGAATCACGAAGAGGACTTGGCGGGCCTTCCCCGGCGCTTATTTCTCATTTTAATTCTCTGATCTTCTCTTGTTCGAAATTGTACTGAACAACACCTATTAAGCAGTACATCTCTTCACTCAAGGGGCTTACTTTACCATTCCACTCGATTTGTTTTATCTTGTAGCCTTCAGACTCGGAAATCACAATTTGAATCCACGGACTCCAGTCGATTCTAAGTATGGTATGCCATCACGTGAACTTCGGCCACGATGCATAGTCCGGACCGTATCACTCTCGCCCTTGGGACTTCAAGTTGGGCTCGTGCCCAAACGTCCCTTCGCCTCGTTCCCAGGTGTTAACTGCAACATCCACTGGCATGCCGGACAGCAAAGGCGAAACCATCCAACCCACCATGTCTTCCCCAACCAACAACAGGTAGGTTGTTTTCCGCTTTCTTGGCTCATAGCAATACGCCCTCACCCAACCTCGTTAGCGATGGGAATGTATCACATTCGAATGTCGACTATGAGCACTATGACTCGGACGCCGATTCCTTCCCCTGGGTAGGATTGTGGGTTGTTCTATGGTTCAATACTTCACTGTCAATGATTGACAATGTCACAGTGGGCGTCCCATGCCGGAGGAGACAGAGCGATTGAAATACCGAGATAGAGTCCACGAGCAAATTGGGATGGAGATGATAGGCGAAACATTCGTCTGCCCCGTTGACCCTTTCGTTGACCATTACCTCCCACCCCTGCCCGGTTCTGTGGACGTGACTGCTGTGGTGGAGGAGCTGGCGAAGGCGAGTCTCCTCATTAAGGATCCCGCTACGCAGTCCTACCGCTTTGCAGGGTTTGCAGAGGGCTTCGGTGCAGAGGATGATGACGCCGACGAGGTTGAACGAGAGGAAGTATGTTTCGCTTTCTCCCCGTTGACGGCCATCGGCGATGCCATCCGTGCAATTCTGAAGGGTATGGGAGTCAGAATTAACCCATTCCGCCTTGCGCTGTGCCTCAAGCCGTGGCTTAAGGGCGGCCACTTGCCTTTGGATGCTATGGCATGCAAGGTTGACGGGTGCATCACCTCCGCGAGCTTGGATTTCGATGGAGCTGTTGTACAGCCTGCTGGAGAGCTCTGTCCTACGGATTTAGTCGTTCCTATCGCGCTCAAGGCGTGTCATCATGATTACACTACCGTGAGTCAGTTACAGTCTTTCCTTTTATCCCAATTTCTCATGCGACATTCTAGAATAACCTGCAGATTGTCGTATCTGCTAACCATATCTTTAATGAAGATGCTCGACGAACATTTAGTTACGGCGTACGTTCATACGTTGTGTCATGCCGGACCTTGTTCTGACGTACACCGTAGATCTCCATCGAGGGCGAGTACGCCTCTATTTGGTATTTTTCTCGTTCGCATTCGATGAAAGCAGAGAGCTTCGACTTTATCAAGGTACGCTTCAGTACTGAAAATCAGAAAACGTTCTGCTGATACTCAAGGCGTTATAGGAGCCGGAATTGCTGGTCAAAGTTCTAGTGTCACTCTTCTGTGCTACGGAGGAGCAGCTCGGACTCGATCCGCACATCACGCTCATTCCAGGGCGCGATTACAAGACGTACCTATACGAACTTCCCCCAGACGGAAGGACCAAACTCGAGCCTCAGTTCTTCATGGCGACACACAAACTCGACGGGGACTACCCCGCTAACCTCGCTGACCCGGCCACCCGCGTTTGGAGGGTGATTCAAGTGGTGTCGAAAAGGGTATTGGATCCAGTCCCGGGTGCCACAGAGCTCGTCCTGAAGGATACTTGGATCGGTTGGAAGATTGACACCGAGTACGATATACAGCAAAGGCTGTTCTGCGACATCCGTGCTTTCGCTGGCGGCGACTGGGGTTCTCACCCTCTCCTGGAGCACTTTTCGGCCAAACGTAAGGCCGAATTTAAAGAAGCGCTTGCCAAGTTCGAAGATTACTTTTGCGTTATTCAGCAGCAACACATCGGGGCCCGAAGCAAAAGGCTCCTGCCAGCCACGTCCGGGGTGGTCGTTCAAAAGCCCGATTGGAGCCTGTTCTTTGGCGAAAAACCCTGGTCTATGCAAAGGCAAACCTTGATTGAGGACGAGAATTACAGGCCCAAGGGTTGTCGACTATTCAGGGTTGAACAAAGGTGTTTTTTCATCCTCCAACACGAATGCCCGCGGTTGGATGAGCTTCCGACGCTGGGTGATGCGATGGACGTTGTTTCTCAAACATGGCACGGTATGCTTCGCTGAATTACACTTCACCGACGACGCTTTGTTCAACAAATGATGATTTCAGCGTTGTTGATGATGTTCTGCGCTGGCTGGATTCACAGAGACATATGCCCGGGCAATATATTAGCCCTTCAGGAAGACGGTGGTCATTGGCAAGTCAAACTGTCTGACCTGGAATACGCCATAAGGTTTCCTCCAGACGAAGGAAGAAGGTCCGCGGATAAAGCTGTACGTGCACCGATACCAGTCATTCAGCACTCTCCTACATTCCTTATGGTAACGACAGGGAACACCAATTTTTACGGCACTCGAACTTCTGAGAGGTATGCATTATTACGAACCTGAAATAGACCTAGATGCAGTCGAAGACTCGGACACGACCGATTTACAGTCTTCCCATCACCGTCGTTCATGCCCTCCGATCCCAAGCTCAGTCACGCAGAATCTCCAACATGACCTGGAATCTTTATTCTGGTCGGTTCTGTATCTCGTCACCGTACGGATCAGTCACGACAAATCCCAGTACTTCGCCAAGAAGCTTTTCACCGACACAGAAGGCGCACTCTATCTGCGAAATCGATGGTTCACTCATGGCTTCAAGGGACAATTCTGGGAATCCATCCATCCGCCTGTGAAGCGTTGTGCGACAGCCCTGGACGACCTTCGTCGGGCACTATTTAACATTTATAGACTAAGACATCCCATTGATTGTTATGATCTCAGCAAGTATAGTTACATTTGTGCGTACTTTATCAATTTCTTCAAGCAGTTAAAAAAGCCACGTAAAAACCGAGACTGGGTACTACTTCCGTTGGCATAACCGTCCTGTGTTTCTAGTCTTTGTGTACACTTTCTCTTTGCATCAATTGTAACTGGAGTGAGCGACCTGAACCAAAGTCTTTGGGGCCCTCACTGACAGAATCTCTCCCAATGTCCGCTTCCATCGGAAAAGAAGCGGGTCACATGATTGGCGTGATCACATGACGGTTGAAGCCCTTGTTGCAACACAACGTGTGGGCGACACGGGTTGGCCATCTACCACTATCTACCACCATCGCGCCTGCAACGTCTGAACTACAAGAGGGATATGGGGAAGGGAGAACCTTCCAAAAAAAGTCTGGAGACGGGCGGGGGCCCCCCTCGGTGAGTTCGACGCCTGATTCTCAGTTCAGAGATGTTAATTTGGGTTTCAGGACTCCCGCACGCGAACTCGTTTCCGACAGTGCCTCACAAGATAACGGGGGCTCATATAAACCGTAAGAGTCTTATTCACTGAATACGGTTGAAATTTTGACACATGTGCCTCAGTACGCCACGGGACTTACCGGCGGATGCAGGGGATGAAAAGCAAACCAAATTGCGGGACCACATTGGGAAGTGTATGATTTATGAAATCGTCACTTGTCCAACGAAGAGCTTTTTCGACGATTACCTTCCCCCTCTTCCAACGAAGGGCCCTGTTCCAAAAGAGAAGATAGTGGACCTCGTCAAAAAGGATCTCGTGGCGGCAAAGCTGTTATCTGTCAGCGGGGGCACAGTTCAGTTCACTGCGTACCAGTTGCCACCCAGTGGCCTCAAACATCTCTCCAAGCTGAAAGCCGAAAAGAAGAAAGGGAAAGCGCCCAGCAAGACTCGCGCAGGGGAGGAAAAGGACAAAGTTGTCGACGAGAAAACAGTTTTCGCTGCCTTTGCGACGATTGGCAATGCCATCCGGAGTAGCCTAAAGAAGCACGGTTTCGAAATCAACCCCTATCCCATTGCAATGTGTCCTGACACGTGGCTTGATTCTGACATCCATGGTTCCAACTTCCGGATCGACGCTTGCACGACATCGCAGCTTAAGGAGGGAGAGGTACCCGATATTGTGGGGAAGAAGCTCCACGTTACCAACATTATCGTGCCAATGGAATTCAAACTCCATGACAAAGATCATCAAGAGGTGGGTCCATCCAATCCCTGTATTCAGCCCGTTGCTGATGTTGTCCGCCCAGAATCGACTCCAAATAACCGCTGCGGCTAACCACATCATGAACGACGACGTTCGGCGAATGTTCATCTACGCAGTATGTGGAACCCAGCGCTGATGGAATTGTAACATCGTCTGATCAACTCACAGATCTCCGTTGAGAATGACAAGCTCACGGTCTGGTACTATTCCCGCTCTCATTCCGTCCTTTCAAGATCATTCAGTTTCTGCTTGGTAAGGTTGCTCATCTTTGAAACGGGAGTTCGCCTTACATTTCGGTTCAGGAACCTCTCCTGCTGGTCGAGTTGTTCATAAGACTCTTCTGCGCCTCCAAGGACCAACTGGGGATCGACAAATACGTCTCTCTTTTAGATGGACATGACTCGAAAACGTATCTTTACGAACTACCTGCCGACGGGGTCACGAGACTCGCATCGCAATTCTTCAAGACGACAGAGATAGTCGACGAGCTCCGATCCAACCGAATTGCGGGACGCAACACCCGAGTATGGAAGGTCGTTCAGGTCAAATCGAAGGACAATCCGGATCCCATCGACCCGCAAGCATCTCCCTTGATACTGAAGGACGCCTGGATTAATGCAAGTGCCGACGACGAGCACCAAATCCAACAGAAGGTTTTCTGCGACATCGACAAGTTTTACGCTGACCACGGCTGGCGTTCCCATCCCCTGCTGTCTGACATCGAGGGTGACGACGTGGAAGATATTGAGGACGTACTCAAAAACTATAAGAATTTCTTCTCGCTGATACGACTTCACTACTCGGGCGAACCGAACAAGCCGATATCTCAGGAGGCACATTGGACCGACGGGAGCCTCTTCTTTGACCCTCCCAAGGAAGAGATGGGGGTATCGTCGGGATCGCAACGGACAGGTAGCCTGAACCCTTCAGGGAAACGGAGTAACCCGTCCCAATCCCGAAATACCTCCAAATTGGAGCGAGAGTTTCGTGCTTTCGAGAGCAAGCGAAGGTGCTTCTTTGTGTATGAGCATGTCTGCAGAAGGATAAGCGATCTTCCTACCTTGGGAGATGCGATGGATGTACTATTCCAAGCTTATGCCGGTAAGTCATCGTTGAATCAGGTTCTGTCTTGGAACTAATGTTGTATTACAGTGCTAATGGTGATGTTCTGCGCTGGGTGGATTCACCGGGACATAAGCCACGGGAATATCCTGGCCTTCAAAGAGGAAGGGGGATGGCAAGTGAAACTCTCCGATTTAGAATATGCTAAGCGATTCCCTCCGGACAGCGCGCAGACCAGCTCTGACCCTAAGACGGTATGACGCACATTTTCCCTAGCGTTTCGCTTCATCCTGACATCCCTCCGATGCAGGGAACGCCTTTCTTCATGGCACACGAAATCTTAACCTCCTCGTCACTCTCGGGGTTCTACCACCAAAATCTCGCCGTCCCGAAGCGCACATCCAGGCGTGCTGCCAGGAACACTGCCAGGCGCGGTGGTGCGGTCGAATCCAGGCCCGTAGTCATCATCATCCACAATTATCAGCACGATCTCGAATCGCTATGGTGGATGGTTCTCTGGCTTGTCACCATGCGGACTAACTACCAGAAGTCCTTCGATGCTGTTCGTCCCATATTTAGCGGCTCCAACCCCGCTTCTGAAGAACGTAAGGATTGCTTTACTCAAGGCATCGCCAAAGAAATTAGCGACAAGTTCCATCCGTCCACTGAAAATTTCGTCTCCTCTCTCGAGACACTTCGCCGTGTCCTCTTGAACGGTTACAAGAGTCGCCATCCGGAGGACCTGTGCAACCCGGAGCAGTACAGCGATGTCTGCTCTTGGTTTCCCTTTTTCTTCGGTGAGATGGAGAAGGACCGCGATGTTTGGGGGCCGCTCCCCCTCTCCAATCCCACGTGGCTCGTTGACGTCAAGGAGGAGCAGGTGAAGCCATCTCGTGTTCAGCCTGAGCCCGGGTCTGTTTCGAGCCGACGCTCCGCCAGGATCGCAGAGCGCTCGTTGCGCCAGGGTGCGAAGTCCCAGTCGATCGCAGAGGTAGAGGGCGCTTGAAGAACAAGCATTTGTACCGGTGTCCATTCGCTATACCTTTCTCCGTTACTCGAAATTCCTTTGCTTTCAATCACTGTTTTCGTCTTTGGCTCTCGGTCGCTTTCGTCCTATGTATTGCTTTCTGACTCGCTTTCCTCTTATTCCACCCAACGCAACCATTAACACGGAGTAGCTCGTCGATGCTTTCAATGACTAGATGTATTTTCAAGTAATTATTATTGAATATAGGCTTGTTCTGTCTCATTCCATGTACTTCTCTTCGCAGTAAAATGACGTTTACCGGGACTCCGAGTCTGCCAGAGTTCGGTACGACCCAATCCACACCTCTGCGCGCCCAATAACAGCGCTCCCGATGCGGACTGCTTCGTCATTGACGAGGAAGATTCTGAGTCTGAGAGGCAGCCCTCCAAGAAGTCTCGACGCCACTGAGTCCATTGACAAGGATTCTGCTTAAGTACTCCCTTTGCATATTTACTTTTCCAAAATCCGAATCTTATGGTAATTGCAGCACGAATCGATATCGTAGTCCATTGTGTGCGTCGCACTCCGAGATGTCCAGATAAATAATATCAGAAGAACAGAGTCTGGCCAATATCACATACGGTAAAGTCCTCTTCGTTGATGCCTAGTTTCCTGCACTCTTCTTTAAGCCGTTTCGGTGGCTCGAGGATGTCTTCCGAGGTCAGAACCCAGGCCCTGAAGTGGAGAATTAGCAAAAGAAATGGCTAGTGGGACTTGACGCATACCCCCAGTGCATGCCGAGGGCCTTCTTCGCCTGGATATCCTTGAAGAGCCGAACGCTATCCTGTGGGGCACAGTGGATGGGTGACATGAACTGCCGGGGAAGGTAGGCACTACGGCGGGTCAGAACATGCTTCCAAGACGACGGGCTTTACAACATACCCGATAGGGATGAGGGCCAGATCAAACCCTCCAAACACTTCTCCAATCTCCTTGAACGCCGGGCAAACGGGCACTTCGTCCTCCTTCTGGTGGTCCATGACACTCCTGTAACCCGTGTCTCCGCCAAAGAAGAGCTTCACGGGGGTCGCCGCGGCGGCCGTGGGCGGGACGACCTCTTCCACGGACCAGCTGGCCCATAGAGTCGTGTAATACGCCGAGAAGGTTCGTCCGCTAAAGTGCTGCGCTGGTGTGCAGGTGATGTCGACGGCTAGAGAGGCGTCTGCGGAGGTCTTGACCTCGAGCCGCTTGGAGTCCCACCAGTCCATGATGTGTGTTCTGGATTCGGGAATCCCGAGAGACTGGAAGAAGGGCCCGTTGCCTAGGGGCGCGAAGATGTGCGGGGAAGAGGGTCCATGTGCGAGCGTGCGAATGGAATGAACGTCCAAGCTGTGGCGAGATGTTCGTTGGTGTGCGGGTTGAACTGAAAGACAGTGGGACTTACTGGTCGTAGTGGTCGTGCTGAAACGTGATAATTAGCGCCCAACGAAAAAGCCAAATCAAGGGTTATCGTACCGAGATAACTATGGCATCAATGTCCGGTAGCTCCTCGAGTTTGCAAGGGGGTGCTATGATCCAAGTCAGCCGGCGTCCACACCATTCAAGCATAACACCCACGAGTAAACCGCTTGGGTCCTATCAGCTGGCTAGGCGAGCACCTATTGCTGAAGACAGGGTCGAAGAGGATCCTCAAACCACGGTTCAAACCCTTGGAATCCTCGCCCCCCGCGGCAGGCCCAGGGGCAGGATGAGTCCGGTTAGGGAATTCCACGAGGAAACAGGCATGTCCCAGCCATGTGGTTTTAATCTTGTCGCTCGCGCCCTCCTGCGCGGCGCCGTTGGCGTCGTACCCCCAGGTCGGGGTTTGCGTAGGCATTTCGGTCTCCACCCTCTTTGGGTCAGGGTTCTTCCATGTTATAGCTTCTTTGAAGAGCTACAGTAACAGTACAGGTCGCGCGTTGGGGTGCAATATGGGTCGAGGAAAGTAATTGTTGGAGTCAGAGACGGTATGTTTGGGATCGAGGGGCCAAGCAGCTCACCTTGAATCTCTCCCATTTTGTTGTATACCTCCAGCTCGGCCAAGGGTTCGTGAATGAGGTTCCGGCAGTGTCGACCCAGTGGTCGGGTTTCGAATCACTGGAACCCTTGTTCTGTCTCTTTGGAGGGTTGTTTGAGACTAGAGCAGTCGACATTGAAGATATGGGTGTCTTCCAGGGGTATCGTGGTTCTGGGGAGAAGAGGTCGCGACTGGTGAAAGAGCGTCAGCTAATAAGGTTTCAGGCACGCGAAACACACACGCAAAACACACGGCTCGGCAGAGATTTATGGGAATCGAAATTGCGGCCGCAGTTGATATGGTCAATGGTGTTTGTCATCGACATGACGAGGGGCTAACGATGAAACTCATTCTCAGCAAGCTGTCTGCCCAACCTCGAGATAAGGAGTATATGAAATAAGACACTGGATAACTAATCTACGGCGGGAGGAGAAACGTAGATGAAAACATACAGGGAATACGAAAGCGTTCTAAATAGAGAACACACATCACTAAAGGAAATCGGTATGGACGTGCAGAAACATATCGGGAAGTATCCATCGCTCTAATATACACAGAAGCTCTCCTACGAGCCATTAACGCCACGAGCCCCAATTGCCGCTCCCACTATAGCTGTTTCCTCTCGATGGCGGGTTAGGTGGCGGCTGCCCACCTGTCACGTATCGTGTCGCGGCTGGGTATCCATTCGCTGTCGCTGTCGAGCCCGAACCTCCAGTAGGGTTGTATGTGTAAGGCGAATGCTGGGGTTGCTGTTGGGAATAGTATGGCTGTTGCTGCATCTGCCCCTGTAGCACACTGTGGCTTTGGGGGCCAGTGACGGCACTCAGTGATGAAGGGAACGTGAAGCGTTGACCAGGGGAAGGCAGTTGCGGTGTTGGAGGATTGGAGGAGACAGATGATTGGCGTGTTTGACTGGTGGTGGGAAGGGAAGGTAAGGATGGCGGTGTGCTAACTCGCGCCGTCTCGCGGAGCGCAGCTAATCGACTGCTCCCACTCGAAGATGGCAGCGAAGGAAATGAGGGTGGTGGTTCCTTCTTCATGGGAGGTGGTGGGGGCACCTTTTTGGGGGTTGGTGCAGGTTTGGATTTCTTAGGTTTGGCCTTGGCCGGTCCTTCGGCGTAGTCCTCGTCGCTCTCGTTGTTGCTCCCCGATTCGCGCTTTCGTTTCGACTTTGGCTTGGCCGGTGCTTTGGTTTTGCCCTTGCCTTTGGCTGGTGCCGCTGCCACAGGTTCTGAATCCTGGTCGAAATCGCTACGCTTGACCGTCCGGATGTAGTCCAGCATGGTTTTGGCGACGCGGTTGTTCATTCGGATATCGACGTGTTCTTTGCGTACCAGGGTCCGCATGGTCCCAATTGCGCTCGAGAGCTGGCCCATCGAGAGGCTGGTCCTATGCACCGCGATGAGTAGGCTGATCAGGATAAACTCTATCGGCGAGACTTTCGTCGGTTTCTTGAACACCTTCCCCAGCTTGGGGTCCTGGACCAGTTCCGAGAAGATGCGGTAAGTATCCGTCGCCTTTTCTTCGAAATCTTCGTCAAGTTCGGTTTCCGAGGTCAGCCATTTTTCTAACTGGCTGATTGAGCCAGCGTTCTTCAAGTTGGGGCCGTACTTCTCGATGCACCAGAGAGCTTGGGCAAGACAGCGGAAGTCGCCGCCGCGGCTGCTGTCCCATTCCAGATACGCGGATGATAAGCCGCCGTCCTTGACATGTTCGTTTTGGAGGTCTCGGATGAAGGCCGCTCGTGGGGTATTGATGACCTGCAACTTCTCGGCAGGGGTGAGCGCCATGCCCAGTTGCACGCGCTGCAGTTATGCAGATCAGTACGGCGGACACACGCAGGTAGCCTTGGTCATACCTTGAAGATATCACGTTCGTCGTTCTCTGTGATGTTCTGGTACTCGACACAGACAATCTGTTTACCTTCAAAGATACGGCGTGTCTTCTCTGGAAGGACGTTCCTCGCCTTCTTCTCGGTTGGGTCATCTTTGTACCACCATTTCTCCATGGTTATCCTTCAGAATGTATCAGTAAGGAGCTCCAGAAACTGCGCCATAGCTGCTCACGGGTCTCTATCTGTTCCCAGCGTCTCTAGTCAGCAATGCAACGCTTGGAGTCTTGCAGGCGACTTACGAGGAATCTGTGACGGTTAGTCAGTAACTGGGTCCTTCACTGGGTCAATAGTGACACGTACGAGGCCATCCATGAATCTCCTTATCGAGGTCAGCCTCTGCTTTCCGTCGATGCAGATTTTGGTCTCTGAGCCGTCATCGTGCGTCTTGGTCGCAAATATAACTGGAGGCACATAGAAATTGCGATATATAGAGTCTATAAGACTTATTTGCTTCGCATCTGGCCAGACAACATCTAGCGAAATTCGAGGTTAATAAAAGTCATGAATTCCAACGAAATCTGTGCTCACCGCGCTGGTATTCGGCGTCTAAGTTGATTTCCTGGCTATGCATCTGATCTACAGCGTTCCAGTCAGTTTTTCCGCCGCTTCAGAACCAGAAAACTAACCGTATAGAGCCTTAGCAGCGTATGTCGTCGCTCGAGGCGCGCTCAACGTGTGCCGGATTGTATAGGTTGATGGGTCTTTTTTGGCTTTTTTCGGCTTCTGCGACGTCGTGTAGGTCTCGTCATCGTCGCTGTACTCGTACGGAGTGAGGTCCTCGTCGTCAAAGTCCATGGGCAGCGTCGGCGGTGGTGGCGGTCGAAAAGCAACTGTGTCGACGACACACAGTACGGCAGACAACTGTTACGCGCCGCCCAAATTAGATTCCCACGCCTCTTGACCGTCGACCACGACCACAACAACGTTCTTGAGACCCTGACCGTCACCGTTCGATGATCTTTCGTCGACTACGACAACGACGACGACCATGAGCGGCGAAAACTTCAAAACGCCGTTGTCAAAACTTCGTTTTGACCCGAAATCTGCGCGGTCGACCGCGGCGAAACGCGATTCCTTGGCTGCAGAACTGGAACGAGGTGAGTCTTTGTCTTCACGATGTCGACCGCCATGGTCGTCGTCGACGGCAATGACCTGATCACTGAAACTGTTCTTAGACCCACAATTGTCGACTGCCAAACGGCAGCAGCGAACTCAGGTTTTCAATTCGACGATATCGCATGCTAACCTCGAGCGACAGCTGCTCGCTGCCCAGACCGCCAACGCCGAGCTCGAGGCCAAACTTCGTGAAAAGGAGTTGCTCATCGAACGTCTCGAACGAGACCGACGATGGTTTGCCGACCGCGAAAAGGAAGAGCGTGAAGAGAAAGAAAGGGAACGAGAGGCCCACGATGAAGCCCAGGTGTGTCCTCGTTATATTCCAGTCGTTGTGAAAGAACCGACAGAGCCTTTAGCGCAAAGCAGACAGCGACATTCGTAACCTGAGAACGTCCTTGACGACCCTCAGAGAAGAATATGCTGATCTTCAGGATACTCATTCTGCCCTGGGACGCAGCACAAGCCAGACTATCGCGTCTCAGAAAGCTCAGATTACGACACTGAACCACCGAGTTGACCTGCTTCAAGACGAGCTGTCGCAGGCTCAGCAGATGGCTGACGAACGTGATCGAAGACTGGCCGACCTTCAAGCTCGATATGACGACCTGGACGCGCAGCAAGACACCCTCGTTCACTCTGGAGCGGAGCAGGAAAGCATGGTCATCATTCGGGAAGAACTACAGCGCCAGGCCAGTTACCTCCGGACTCTGGAATCCACCAACGCGAAACTATCGTCGGAGCTCACCTATCTGCGGGAAAGAAACACCAACATCGAAGTCCTCAGGGAGGAGAAACGTGGCTTGGAACTCAAACTAACCGTTCTCGACGAGCTTCGAGAGAAGGTCGTTAGACTGGAAGCTGAGGTCGAAGCAGCACGACGGGAACGAGAGGAATGGTATGTACTGTTGTTGTTCCCACTGAAACGTGTTAACGTTCTTCCAGGGCGAGCAAGGAGAGCGGGGAAAGCAAGGCTGCGTCTGCTGCTGTCTCCCAGAATCTGACTGAGCTACGACTGGCTCACGCACGACTGATGGAGGAGCACGGTGCTACCGTGGCATCTCTCCGCCAACGCGAGGTCGAGGCTGCCCACCTCGAAAAGCAGGAGGCTGTGTCTCAGCAGAAGATCCAGTCTTTGGAGGAACAGCTGAATTCCATCAAGCAGGACCTGGCTCGCAAGGACTCGGCAAAACTTCTCGCTGAGCGAGAGGTGCAGTATCTGCAGGCACTGCTGGTATGTTCATCCATCGCTTACCTGACCAAGGATTGACATTGTCGCAGGCGAGCTTCAAAGCAGAGGAAGAGTTTCTGGAAAACCCGCCCTCGGTTGACGAAGCGAAAGCTCAGAAGATGGAGGAACTGGAGAGCCTGCTCGAAGAATACAAGGCGATCAACGTACAGCTGTCGAATGACGTGGAAGAGCTTCAGGCTGCTCAAGCTTCATCATCGCTCGTCTCAAACGAAGAGCTAGAGAAAATGGAGAAGGAAAAGGCTGCCTTGCGACAGAGTAAGTCATGATCTACTGCTAATGGCGCGGGCTAACTGTTCTCTAGCTATTGAAGAGCACGAGGCCGAAATCAAGGAGCACCTCGAGAAGATCGACAAGCTTGAGCAGGAGCTATTCGACCTGTCCGGCGAGATTGCCGGCGGCCGCCACGTACCTCCCAAGACACGAGTGCTCTGCATGAAGGAGAACCCTGACCAGGAATGGGTCGACCTTCGACAAGCCACGATGGACCGCATCAGGGCCGAGAACGACGCCCTCATCCAGCGGCTGAAAGAACTCGAGGCAGGTCGCGCTGTTGCTGCAGACAGCAGTCAGGAGGAGGCCCTCCCGAAGGAGAGCTACGACCAGCTCAAGGCGGAGAAGCTGGCTCTCGAGGAACTGGTCGAGCAGAAGGAGAAGAGGTTGCTTAGGCTGAGGGAAGTTTTCATTGCCAAGTCTGCCGAGTTCAAGGACGCGATTGCTGCCATCCTTGGTCTCAAGTTTGCCTTCTATCCCAACGGCCAGGTTCGGGTGACGTCGATGTACGACGTGAACGCCGCGTTCATCTTCCAGCCTGTTAAGGGGGAGGACTCGATGAAGATGCAGTTGGTGGCGCAGGGAGAAGGAGGGTTGGAGGATCTGCCGAACATGGTCCAGTATTGGATCGAGGGAGAGCAGTGTACGGCGGGATTCTTGGCCAGCGTGACGCTGGAGTGCTATGATATCTGGAAGCGGAATAATGGTGGGCAGGGTGGACCCCCGCCTATGTCCTGATCGCATGCCTTTTTCTTCTTCTTTTGCTTTGCATCCGTTACGACTCTCTAGATTAATGACATCTTTGATCATTTCTGACCAGTGTTATGCATAACCATTTATTCATTCACGGACGTTTTCTTCTCCCTTGTCGATTTCGATTCAAGGATTTGTATTTTTCCCTCCCACTGGGGGAATTCAAGCGTCGCATTACATACACCCTCCTCGAGTCTGGACTTCAGCCAGCAGTAATGCACTCTCCTGGCTGGAACTTTAGACTCGAGGACGGTGTGAGCGACGGGCTACAGCACGTGTTCCGGGACGCGGTAGGGTCTCGCACACGTAACCATGCTTTCCTCAGGCTCATGTTGGCTGGACAATGTGCTGCGCGTACCCCCAAGGGAGATAACGTGGTGAGTCAACGATAGTATCGGCAACTAGCACCGCATTACTGATGTTTCCTCCACAGCATTGACGAAAGAGTCTGCCTCCATGTTTCAGGGTGCATTGATCTCCATCGAGCGCCCGAACGTCAGGGATGAGGGGACACTGGCAGGCCAAACTCAAGCACTTGTACAATAATGCCTCTGTGCTAAGGATTGACTAGTGAAGTGGTATCTGACCCGCTTGGGGTTCTCGAGGTAAGATGTGCGAAACGATCAGACACTCTAGTCTAGCGACGTTGTCCTTATCCTTTTCCACTATCAATGAAGGCAGTGAGTCCGTTTTATCACGGTCTATCGTGATTATCATACTAACGGCAGCTACAAATCTCCTTTTAGACGTTGCGCCCTTGAACAGGCGAAAAAGCTGTAAACCTTTGGTTCTGAGAACCTGGTGCCATCTATTCTCTCCGGCGTTGAAGGTGAAGACTTTACAGCACTTTGTTTTAGATTCCGAAGCAATCGCTGGACCCTCATGTTTATAAGGTATTCCGGTGCTTCGACGCGCACATTCCTAACATTTCCCTCTCTGGATGTCGTCAAATTATTCCAACGACCGGAACCCGCCAGTGTTGGCGATAGTCGCAATCGTGGTGCTCGTTGTTTTCGTCATCGCCGCCGTGATTCTGTATTCACTCAGTAAGCCGTACAGTGCAATGTTCTTACGCATGGTTCTTTCTAACAAACCACTTCCAACCCTAGAGTCTCGGCAACTCGATCGTGAAACAGCTTCCGCTACCGCGAATAGCCGACCAATAGCTCTCCGGAGGCGAGGAAGTGCACGCTCGGTGAATAATAGACCGGATCCCGAAATCCTCGCCGATCCACCTCCTTCGTATGGTGAACACAGCGATGGAAAGTTGGTGGAGGAATTCGACGCCGAATACGACGTACCTGCGGCCTTCGAGCTTATCAGGTCGATAGCCAAGGCTGTCACTCTTCCCGTACCAATCCTGCCAACCGAAGCGCCACCAGAGAGCAGCCCTCATCCATCGTCAACAGAAGGCTCGGCGGAGGAGGTGGAGACGCTGACGACGTACGAAAAGATGCGGCGAACTCAGCGGCTGGTCGGGGACCTCAAAAGGCTTAACGCTGCGGCCCCAATTGAGGGATACCCAGTTGGCTCTCCCGAGTATTGCAAGGCCAATCGACTGAGAGAGTCGATTGCGAGCCTTATGGAACCTCCATCCTCGCCTATGTCTTCGCGGGCTCCCTCGATCGTTATCTCGTTGGCGGGTTCGGCACATTGGCCTGACTCACGGCCGAGCTCTTTCGTTTCAACGTCGTACGCCTCGTCGGTGCCTTCACGACCTGGGTCTTCCAACGGCCACGGCGAATCCTCGTCATCACCATCATCAGCTTCCCACCACACTCACCCTCAGCGTGCATCCCTATACGAGCGTATGCTCGAAATCCAAACGCTCCTGGATCGGATAGACGAAATCACCTCCTCTTCCAGTCCTCCATCATCAGCGTCTTTAGAACCTCGGCCACAACCGACCTCGGAAGAAGTGAATGTAACCGTGAAGGAGCTTCGGAGGAGGATTGCGGAATTGATGGAGCAGCCGGAGAGGTCTCCTACGTATTCTGAGTCTGACGGTGGGGTTGCTGGAGATGCGAGCGCGAGCTCGAGCTCGAGGATGGGTGGAGTGGACCGCGATCGCTCTTCACTGCCTCCGCCGTATCGACGGCCTACGTTGGATACTGCACACGGGCCAACGCTGACGGCTGAGCCTGAGTCTGTGATCGCACCCTCACGGACTTCATGATATACGATTTTTGGTGAGTCTCCAAGTATCTCTCGTTTATCGTCAACGAGCTCACATGTACATTTGATGTTAGCAGTTTCTATGTGATTTATATGGGGAATGACAATCTTCAGCCATTCGCCCTGTTTTATCGATACCCCACCCCCACGAACTTTACGATACCTCATTGCATTGACGAGGCTCTTCACTAGATAAAAACTTTGTCTGTGTTTTGTCGTCCAGGGACCACTATTAACCGCCTGTACAGTATATGAAAGATTTAACGCCTTCCTGCTAGAGGCTATCGGGTATTCGGTGAGTGGTCAACAATTTAAAGGCTTGATCGCTCGCAGCAGATTCGAGGTTCCTGGGCGTCTAATAGAGAAAACAAACTCGTTTGGCTGAAAACCTACGGTATCTGCTATGACTAGGCATTCGCCTTTCTTCCAGTATGATTGAATGTACAGTGTATTATCAGGTGGGGTACTCTAGCGGGTCAGTGGCGGCGCGACTTCTTGAAAGGCTGCTCCTCGGTGACATCTTCGTCGTCGACGAAGAAACCGCTGCCGTGTGCTTCGTCGATCATTTGTTGATGGATGGATTTCCGTTTCATGAGGCCAGATTTGCTGCGCTCGCTTGAATTCGAGGAGTCATTTGACATATGGCCCGTCGTAAAGGTGGTAGGAGGACGTGGGGCCATCCAAGAGGGGCTTTTCAACTCAACCTTTCTCCATTGATCCCCACCTCGCTTGATCTCCTTCCAGAAGGCTGCGAACGCTGCACATTCGGGGCTGTAGTGCTGAGGATGATACAAGTTGTCTGGGTGTCGATCTTCATATCCTGCAACGAGCCTTTGGCGGAATGATTCCAGTGGGTGGAAGAGAGATTGGAGGTCGGGATGCAAGGACTCTTTGAGCTCACGGGGAAGTCCACCAATGAACGCCGTGATTCGCTCTGCCGAAGGGGGCACAGTTCCTGTGAATATATCATCGGCGGCGGTGTACGACGGTTCGTGGTCGACTCGCATGGTGATAAGCCACAATACAAGCCACCATATCGATTCCAAGTCATGCTCGTAGTTGTGCGTGACGGGAGTGTCGATAGGCATGAGTTCGTTGTTCTCTGTAGCTTTCGTTTCCTGTGTGTCTTCCTTGCTCTCGCTCTCAGAATCGGAGTCGGAGTCGCTTTGGGGGGCCAGGATAATCCTTTCGATAAGGCGGCGACGGAAAAGTGAGCGCGATAGCTGGATTTCGTGGGCCATGAAATGAGGCGTTCCCTATTGTGGCATTTGGGTTAGGAGGGAAACAGTAGTAAAGAAAAAAAGTCACGCACTACTTTAGGTTCCGAGCTTGCTTCACATGAATCTTTTGGTGGAAAACGTTTGGCATATTCCAGATCGCTGAGTTTGACTTGCCAACTACCGTCTGGTTGCTTGAAGGCCAGTACATTGCCATCACTGATATCCCTGTGGATCCATCCGGCACAAAACTTCAAAAGCAGGGCTGTACATCGAAGTGGGTCATAATCGGGTTCGGACTTACAGTATAGAACGTGAGTACTTACCGAAATAAGCCTGACGGATGACGTCTAGAGCGTCTCCAAGGGTAGGGAGGTGGCTCACTTGCACACATACATGCTCGAAAACATAGAAGCAGCGGCGCTTGCTGGGAGTGTCCTGGCTGGACCTGGCTTCCGCGACGACCGATTTGGTGGGCCCCTTAGCGTGAGCGTGTAGGATACACGAGAAGTAATTTCTGAAATCCTGCAGAGCATCCCCAAAGGACTTCATCTCAGACTTGTGGAATTTGCGAAGTCCCGCAAGAAGGGGGTGCGATTTCCATTTTTTGGTCTTGGAAAAGGTTTCGATGTCTTGGAAGAGTTTCGCTTGGATTTTGTCCTCCGTGTCAACGTCCTCGTCGGCCCAGGTGTCTTTCAGTACCATCTCGCTGGTCCCGGGTTTCTGTTCCAGTTTGTCCTTCGAAATTACCTCTACAACCTTCCAGACCCGCGTGCAGCGTCCCGAAATTCGAAGGGAAGGCTTTTCGTGGACCGTATCCGTGGTCATGAAGAACATGGGCTCTGGTCTGTCCGCGCTGTTTGGAGGGAGCTCATAAAGATACTTCTGTTCTGATAACAGGGTGATATGAGGATCGAAGCCCAGTTCTTCGTTAGTGGCACACGCCAATGAAATGAAGATCTTGACGAGGATGTCGGGGCGCTGGTGGGGAAAGGTCAGATCCGAACGTAGTGCCAGTGAAAGAGTATCTCACCTCAATTAAGCTGAAGGACTCTGCTTTGACGGTGTGGGAACGCGAGAAATACCACAGGGAAACGTGGTGGCCCTCAATGGTGATCTGCTATGTGTCAGCCGAACAGATTGAGCGGAAATGAGGAAGATCGACGTACACCATACATAAACATTCGCCTTGCGTCGACGTTCATGATATGGTTCGCGGTGGCAACCAGCTTAAGCCAATTCTAGTGGCAGGTTCAATGAACATACATGACGGGAAACCACAATAACCAGAAACCTACCAGGTCCTTATCCTTGTCGTCGTCGATATTACATTCCAGGGGAATGGTGATGTTGGTGGAATCGAGTCTTCCGTTTAGGGTTTGCCATTTCCCGTCGGCAACCCCGATATTTGTGATATAGGCCTCAATCCTGAAGCTGACGTCGTGCGTGCCAGCCTCGAGATGGGTACCAGGACACACCGCCATGGAGTATTCATTAACAGAGACACCTGCATCCTTCTGTAAGATATCTCGAACAGCGTTGAAAACGCGTCCTATTGCGGTAAGATGTGTCTTCTCGTCCAATGCGGCAGTATGACCTTGAGGTGTGCCCTCGTTTAGTCGCAAGTCATATGAGCTACGAGAACGTTCAAGATCCTTGAACTGATAATTCGGACGTCCAGGAAAGTCCTTGTCCGAGAGAGGTACCAGAGTACCAGTTTCGATCAAGGTTGCTATGACCTGGTCAAACACTTGCCAACCTTCGCGAATTGGTGGAAGGTAATATTCGCAGAACGTGTCGATTTGGAAACCAATAATGCCAGCAGACGCGTCATACGACTCGCCTGTCTGGCTCTCGGCAGAGACAGAGTATAAATCTGTTGCGGTGGTTCTGCTGGACAAAGGGTTATATAGGCAGAAGTTTAGAGTGGCAATGTGCCACATACCTATTAGTAGTATTAGGAACGGATTCCCCTATGCGTGCAGTCTGCATTTCGGAGGCGGTCGTTTCGCGTTTGCACTTACTTGCTGATTGGGGGTTTGTGAACAGATATCTGTTCTTCGGTTCGTTCCCGCCGTTACCCTGTCGCTGCAGGGCAAGGAAGACAGTGGCCAATGTTGGAAAGCATTCGGCCATCAGGGGTACATGATGCCATCAGTGAACAGTTCCCACATACAGGGGTGGTGGCCCAGGGGACGCGAGGCGGTCGATATGGCACAGTTCACGAAACAATGCACTCTAGTGAGGTCAATAGAGAGGGGATATATATCCACCAGGCCAGTTATAGGTTCTATAAACTCCATTCCTGACATCCCTGGCCTCCTTCATCCCTGTCGAACCTGAGGCCGCGCTCTGCGTGATCTCGGGGACGGGCGCTTATCGGGCGCTCGCTTCCAAGTTCAGAGTTGCCATAATCTTCAATATCTAGGAGTTTTGAGAGATTGAATATACCGGCTCATGGAAACCTTCTGATATTCCCTCGATGGTACTTATGTTCCATCTTGACAACTTTTTATACTTCGGGATTTTAAGCACCCCTCTGTACGAAGACTAAATGGCAAGCTCATGTCATAAACCATTGACAGATGTCGTTTGGCATGTTTCGCGCATCTCATATGAGAGTTCTGTGCTATTCCGTGGCCCTGATTGGCCCCCTTCGGCCAACTCCTCCCCTCGGGACAGATATTCCACCGGTTCCTTGTGGGGTCACTGCGTTCGTTTAGACGCTGCCAGAGCAATCTGCGTTTTCTCAGAGTACCTCGCACTATTACTGCTGTATATTGTCCTTCATTGAAGCCTTCAACTTCCTCGCCTTTCCGAACCTCACCCAGCTGCTCAGCGCCCCAGTGAAGTTCCAAAGAGGAAGGTGCTTAGTCAGCCGGCCTTTTACAGAACCAGCCAAACCGATGCAACTTGACCAGGTACACACCGCACAGAACAGCATAAACAGCTAGAAACCCATGCCAGACGCAAAGGTGAGTCTGTATGGCTCTTTGGAACTCAAAAAGATACTGACTTGGCCGTTTAAATAGGTCAATATCGCCAGTAACAAACTAGCCATGTCTCGGGCACTCGGGGCTGCGTTTCTCAACCACCAGGTCGAGCAGCTCGAGAAATCCGTGACTGGGACAGGCTCAGGAAACTGGAGAGATCGTCGAAATGGCCAGACAAATGGCCATGTTGCTTCTAACTCACCAAGGCGGGGTCCGAACTCACCCGGCGCCAAAGTGGCCCCCACAAGAAAGAGGGGCGAAGCTCCTGTTGCAACCACACCCGGGACCAGAGATAAAGCCAATCAGAGGGAGGCTGAGCAGCGCAGGATGACCAGCGTGAGCCCTACAGCTAGGAAGAGGGCGGACGAAGAAGCAAAGGACGCCGACGTTGTGGTTGTGGACGCCAGCGTCCTTGTTCACGCACTTTACAAGGTCAAAAAGTGGTGCAGGGAGGGAAGGGAAGAGATCGTTATTGTTCCTCTTGAAGGTAAGTAAATTCCCATTACGACTGTGGATTTCTCTCTAATTGATATCTAGCCCTCAACACTCTGGATCTCTTGAAGAAAGGGAACAGTTCGCTCGCCCAGCGCGCCCGTGCCGCCTCTCGCATTCTCGAAGCCCAGGTCGGAACAAACCCTCGCATCCGGGTTCAACGGGACGACGCTTTCGTCTTGTGGGACACTATTCCCGTCAAAGAAGCCACCACCTGCCCGGAATGGGTCCGACGAGTCATTTGCTGTGCTAAATGGGAGTCTGAACACGTCAACGAGGAACTGAGCGGCGCCGCGCCCAAGAATCCCAAAATGGTGTTGGCTGTGCTCTCCTCGTCCCCGAACGTATCCCCTCAAACGACGACGATGCGACTCGAGAGTGACTCCCCAGTTCCGCTTCCAGCCCCGAATCCACACCATCACAACAAACACGAGCCTAGGTCGTCTGGATCTCTCGTCTCAGCCTGGGCTAGTCGTGCCGGCATTCAGCTCCTCGAGGTGGAGCCTACCATGCCAGGCCGCGGTGCAGTCGAGGACGACGATCGAGCGAGACGTCGCCGCCCTTCGGGCAACGCACTAGTCGAACGTCCCCCTGCTGTGATGACCATGATGGAGATGGTAGCTCAGCCCAGCAAGACCGTCCGTCTCCTGGCCCGCGGCGAGAAGCTTGACCCAGATTCTTAACTCAGGACCGATCGGTACGCCAATCCCACTTTAGGATCGTCGACCATGCTGACCTCCACGCTACAGGCAACCAATTGCAACTCTTAGAGCATGTCTCGATAACGTTGGCCCATGTTCCGGTCTCCTGGCGCCCGTCGACAGCCGACACGGCGTGGAGGCTTCTTCGCATGGCCAGTTAAAGCAAGTGTTGACGGTCATGGATGGCCAGGAACACAAGCAGGTCTGTACAAGGTCCCCGGATACCACTTTCAATCTTCACCGCTTCGATCGTGAACGCTTATCCATTGGTTTCCTCTCAACATTTCTCTTGTGTTCCTTTTAGCTCCATCCTAGCAGGCTTGTCCACACCCCTGTCCCACCATCCCGCGACGGTTTTCATCACTGCTGCTTTACTTCTTTCGTTTCATTCAATAGGATGTATTGGCGAAGGGTCTCTGCATTGGGTACTCTGACGACGTTTCTGCGTTGCTCCCTTTCGTATCAGAACCTCGCAATCCATTCATCCTGGAACGATGTCTCCCCATCTCTCCCTTCCTTGTCATTTATCAATGCTTTCTTGCTTATCAGTCTCATGTCTCTATCCACTATGTATGATCACGTCTTCGATACCTCTCCATGCTCTTTCAGCGTTTGCCTACGACTGGGTAGTTTTGTCCCGTCTTTATGAACTACCTATGGACTACTGTGGCTCGAGATTTGTACCTCGTATGTTTCTAAGTAGTGCAGTGAATTCCTATCGCGATTTTGCAATGCGTGGAGCGTCTGCATTATTTGGTTTGAAAGCCTTTGATAAACAGAAATCGTAATCGTCCAATCGTCGTCGAGAACGTTGAGACAGTCTCCCTTCGACGGCGATAGGCGAAACCTCCAGATAGCGGAATCTCCTACACATCTTAGCAGAGCGGGGCTCATCTTGAATCAGTGAGTTTACTGAAGCATTTATGCCTTCCGTCTGAGGGCTAATCTGTCACCATACCAGATAATGGAGCGAGGAACTTTGCGCTGTCTATTCCTGGAGATGCTACCTCATGAAATCCTATTGGAAATTGTGACGCTGGCGTCTGCCTATTCCCAGAACACCTACCGCAGCCTCCTATTGAGCTGTAGACTCCTGTGCAACCTAACTCGATACCCCTGTCTGCCACACGTGCCCATCAGGATCGGTGCCCATGGATTGACGTCCTTCCATGACTCCTTCACCAGCAATCCCAGCCTAGCACAGCAGGTGAACCATTTATGGATCACCGGTCGCTCTGAGAAAGTGGCTAACGCTGTAGCGCCATGCGTCAACCTTGTATCTCTCGCGTGTTCGAGCTATGTGCTCGTTTCATTGCTCATGACGTACTCGCTGACCTCCCCATGCAACAACGTCGGGCTGCTTGGTCCAGGGGAAATACGACACCGGCGTCTTCGAGAGCTCACGCTGTTCGACAACTGGGACTGTTGGTCCTATATAGCGCAGGCTAATTGTGGAACCGGGCTTCAGCTCTGTCGCCAAATTACCCATCTCCGCGTGCACGATACCCTTGCCCCCGATTTCCCGACCAAGGCGTTCCCGTCGTTGACCCATTTCTCGTCGTCCACGAGGCCTCTCAGTATATTCTTCACGAGGGAAATGGAGATTCTTTCGAAATTGGAGAGGGTGGTCGAGATTGTGAATTGCACGTACTTTTGGAAGGCATCGGAGCCTGACGAGAGGACGCAGGATCTGGCAAAGAACATGGACAATCGGGTGCGCTTTTTGTATTTTGGTCAAGACGAACCGGCGGAATTTGAGCTGTGGTGTGGAAGAGTGCGGGGAGAAGAATCGATTTGGACAAGGAAGAGAAGGTTACAAATGTTAACGTGAACAACGTGCCCATGACATGTATTGTCATTGCTTCAACTTTTGTCCTTACCTGGTCTCTGCGAAACTGTTTACTTGTTTGCATTCCTTCAGTATTAACCCATTCAATTTCCCCCCGGCATTTCATTACGATACTATTGTACAAGCGACGCACAGCGCGCTCTCGAGCATAATCATAGTAGTCCATAGTAGTAGTGGCATAATAAAGGTCATACAGTCCGTGATGATTGCGACATAAAGGTCATCATAAAGCATAGACGAGGGGGATCCTCGCTACAATTTGGCCTTCAAAAACTGAACCAAGCAATTAGTTGAGGGCTGAACGACGACCGATGACCGGCGTACCTTTGAACGAGGACCAAATTGAAACGACTTGGGCCTTTGATTCTTGATCCCAAGATCCTTGATATAATCTTCAAGGAGCAAAATAAGTCGCTGGTTTTCACGCGCAATATCGTCTTCGCTCCGAGTCAATGTAACCTCCTCGAGAGCGGTCTGCGGAACTATAGAGATAATCGATGTTTCCTCCTCGTCGTCGTCCGAGTCGTCGCTGAAATATGATCGTCCATCCCCTTCTCGTTTCTGACTGTCGAACGAAGAGTCGAACTCGTCGTCGTCATCGAGGGATTCACTCGGACATTCGGAAAAGTCGATTTCGCTCATCAGAGGTGCATCCTTGTGACCGACAATAATCTGCCAGGCGAGAAGCTCGTCTGCCTGCTCTGGAAACAGGTCGACCCAGGCGACGGGCTTTCTGGAGATTGTTTCTACCGGCTGGGGCGATTTGGGTATTACCTCCAGGTTGGAATCGTAGGTGATAGGCTTGTCGTTGAGATAGATAACGGGAAATTCTGGGACGACGGGGGTGTTTGGGAAGGACATGTGGGTCGGGTGGCAACTAGTAGTAGTCGATCTCTGAGAGGATGATTTCCAGGAGGTTGGTGAAGCCAGGAGGTTGAAGAAGCCACAGAGCAGCGAGAGGACGGTATTTATGAGGTCCCAGAATTGTGGAAACGGGCGCGATGGTGGGGGCATAATGGATGGGACTCGTATGGGTATGGCCACAGTAATCGAGGAGCGCGATTTAAGTCCATTGTATCCTCCGCCGTCGCCAGGTTACAGGTCAATGCCACAGCGGCTGCGGGGTGGATTGTCTGCGAGCTTGGACCACCAGCCAAGAAGACGTCGCGTAGCCATTTTGAAGGGTGCAGTGATAGTGGCCTGCTGTGAAACATAGTGTTGGAATGTGAGGCCTTGAGGCCTTGAGGCCCCATCGTACAATAGTAACCACTTAGAAGATCTGGTCAGGGTAACTTTGGCTGTCACGGTCAAGCTGACGATTGAATCGTGCTCCCCGACTCGGTTTTTGCCGTGGGCATATCAACTCCGCCTTACATAAATGCGAGCGCTTGAACCTCTTTGGTCCGTGTGGCAGCAGCGACACTGCGGTTGAAGCATAGAGCACCTACACAAATTTGGTCTCGTCCCTCCGGCACAGTGCAGCTTCATAGAGCATGTCGGATAAGAATGTGATGGTATTTTTGACGGTGTTCACTCCACCATGCCGAACTTGGCAGTTTGAACTTTGGCCCATTAGGAGCTCTTACCGCGCGTGATGATGTTCTCTTCGTTCAAGTTAAACGACTACTGTCGCTCCCCACTTGTTCGTTTTCACCACTTGTTCGTTTTGATAGTGATGGGCCATCGTTTTTTCTCTACTCCGCTGCGTAAGAGCCAATGGGTATGTACACGCCTTTCAGTTGATGGCTCCTGATGGATGTGATGGCACTGAATTTTCCTCCCGTTCGTTTTCACCCATTCCCCTTCGTTTTTCGTGGCTTAAAGTGCATTATCATGCTTAGAATTACTGAAAATGTCGGTATACCAAGTTATGAGGCGAAAGGCGCAGCGGAAACGGAGAAAACGAACATGTGGTGAAAACGAACAAGTGGGGAGCGACAGTAGTACCATTAGCGGAACTTCAGAGTTCAATCACTAGAAAGGTATGCGATCACATGCAGCCATTTCGGCCACTATGCACGCTCCGGACCGTCATCCTGGTTCGTGCGGCGTGCCCCAGCGGATCGTTGCCTCGTTCCCAGTTCTGACTTTAGCTGCAACAGCCATGTCGGACAGCGAAGGCGAAGCTACACAATCCGCCCTGTCTTCCCCAACCAACAGGTACGTGGTTTCTGCGCCTTCCAGGGCTCACTAATAACACAGATCCTCACCGACTTCGGCAGCAATGGTAATTTAACAGATTCAAATGTCGAGTATGATGGTTATGACTCGGACGTCGACTTCCTCCCTTGGACGGAATTGTGGGTGTTCCACAATCCAAGCCTTCGCTGTCGGTTTTACTGATTGACAATGTACCAGTGGCTGTCCACTCTCGGAGGAGACAAGGCGGCTGAGATATCGGGAAGGAGTGAATGAGCGAATTGGGGTGGCGATGATCGACGAGACATTCGTGTGCCCCTTCGAGCCTTTCTTCGCCCACTACTTCCCGCCTGTTCCTGATTCCGTGAACCTCGACTCAGTGGTGGAGGCCCTAGCGGGAGAGGGGCTCCTCTTAAAGACCCGCGATACGCAGTCCTACCGGTTTTTTGGGTTTGAAGAGGGGTTCGGTGTAGAGCGGGATGACGCCGACGAGCATCAACGGGAGGAGAGGTGGTTTGCTTTTGCTCCTTTGGCAGCCATAGGCGATGCCGTGCGAGCGATCCTGAAGGACATGGGGGCCAGGGTCAACCCGTTTCGGATTGCGCTGTGCTCCAAGCCATGGATAAAAGGGGACCCCTGGCCTTGGAAAAGCATGGCGTATAGGGTTGACGGCTGCATGGTCTCTGCGAGATTGGATTTCGATGGGGCTATCCCCCAGCCTGGTAGAGAGCTCTGTTCGACGGATTTAGTCGTTCCTATAGTGCTCAGGACATGTCACGATGACGCTGCTTCGGTGAGTAGACTTCAGTTTCTCTCCTCAGCTCGAACAGCTTCTCATCGAATATTGTAGAATAACCTTCAACTTGTCGTTTCCGCTAATCATATCTTCAACGAAGATGCTCGACGAACATTCGTTTACGGTGTAGGTCCGTCCGTAGTTGTCGTGCTGGAACCTTGTCTGACGCAGCCCGTGCTAGATCTCTGTCGAAGGCCAATACGCGTCCGTTTGGTATTTCTCTCGCTCCCATTCTATGAAAGCGAGGCGCTTCAATTTTGTCAAGGTCAGTCGTGAATGCTCAATGCTGGAAATGAGAGCATTGTACTGATACAAAATGCATTACAGAAGCCTGAATCGCTTATTAAGGTCCTGGTGTCGCTTTTCTGTGCAACGGAAGAGCAAGTTGGATTCGACCCACGCATTACGCTCATCGCCGGCCGTGAGCACCAAGACCGAGCGTACCTGTACGAACTGCCACCTCATGAACCGACGGGACTCGAGCCTGAATTCTACATGGCGACACCCTTACTTGACGACAATCGCCTGCCTCACCTAGCTGACTCGGCGACCCGAGTTTGGAGGGTCGTTCAGGTTGCATCTGAAAGGGTGCTGGATCCAGTCCCGGGTGCGAAAGAGCTCGTTCTGAAGGACGCATGGATCGATATAAAGGCTGAAACAGAGTATGATATCCAACAAAAGCTTTTTCACGACATCCATGCTTTTGCTGCTGGCGACTGGCGCTCTCATCCTCTTCTGGTGGACTTCCCGGACAGCAATAAGAACGAATTTGGCGAGGCTCTCGCCAACTTTGAAAATTACTTCTGTGTCATTCAGCAGCACCATATCGGCAGTCGAAGCAAAGGGTTCCTACCAATGGCGCCTGGAGTAGTTGTTGATAAGCCCGATTGGAGGCTATTCTTTGACGACAAGCCCGGTTCTGTAGAGAGTGGATCATCCTGGCCTGGGTATGGTGATGACGAGACCACATCAACACTTTGTAGGCTGTTCAGATATCAACGACGATGTTTTTATATCCTCCAAAATGAATGTCAACGGCTGGACGAACTTCCGTCGTTGGGTGATGTCCTGGACGTCGCTTCCCAAACCTGGCACGGTAGGTCTCATGCTGGTCCACTGTAATGTGTCGCTGAGCTGTACTTTTATGTACTTTTAGCCTTGATGATGATGTTCTGCTCGGGATGGATTCATAGAGACACAGCTGCAGGTAATATACTGGCCCTGCAGGAAGCGGACGGACGCTGGCAAGTCAAGCTCTCTGACCTGGAATACGCCACCAGGTTTCCTCCAGCTGAAGGTCTTGTCCAATCGCAAAGTCGTGCGTTTATAGCTTCCATTTTCATTCCCTTCCCATGCTCACTTTCAACTCTACTTTCAGGGAACACCAATATTCATGGCTACCGAGCTATCCCACGATTTATACCATTACATGCCTCCAGTTCCTCAGAAACTAGAATCAATCGAAATCGAAAACGAGGACGAGTCCGACCCCCCTCGGACCCTGTCTCCCGACTTAACCGATATACAGGTCACACAGAATCTACAACATGACCTTGAGTCGCTGTGGTGGGTCATGTTGTGGATGGTATCTGTGCGATTCGGGCGAAACAGCTATTCCGACTACGTCGCCGATACACTTTTCATCGACACCAATGAAGCACGTCGAAATCGAGTTCGGCGCTTCAGACACGGTCTTGATCGGATAATTTGGCATTCTATTCCCCAGTCAGCTGTTCCTTTGGCAAATGCCTTGAACGACCTTCGTTCGGTTCTCCTTCAGGAATATATCGAGCGACATCCTCGTGATGCTTTCGATTACAGCAAGTATAGTTACGCTTGTGCTTACTTTATCAGATTCTTCAGACGCGTGAATGTAGCTGGGGATGTGTGGAGATCCCTTTCTGTGGATCAGAGGTCGTGGTAACTTAGAGAGTTTGTATGTCACGTCTTATGAATCCGAGTCTCATCTTGACACGCCAGCTGATTATTCAATACACCTCGGACGGGTTCTATACGTGCTATACGCCCATAGAGTCCCTGTATATGGTGGCGACGTCGTGCTTTACGACTATGGAGCGTGGCTCGAGCTGAAACGCCTTGAGATGCACTGTACCGTCATTTCTATCAGCTGGACACAGGTCAAGACAAATTCAGGATTTCGACACACAGGGCACCGACCGATAGTCCGGACGAAATTGAATAGTTGAATGATGATACTGTTAGACCTGGGTAGCGCCTCTCACTTTACTTTTGCACTTCGACAAATGGTCGACAGAACAGAGGCCCTGACCGCTGAGCGACAGTGAACGCTAGTGAAATTTGAATCCTTGGGCTGGGCGCTAAATAAGATCACGTGGGGAACAGGGTCACGTGACCGAATCTACGTGGGAGTCGCCAAGGTCATCAGTGACAGTGTTGAAAGTGCGATGTCAAGGCTTCACTTGAACCACAACCACAGTCAAACGGTTTTTTTATTTTTATTTTTTTGCCGCCGTCTCAGGAGGCAACGAAGCGGTCGGCTGAAGGAACGTTGCTGAGGGAAGGTACGTTGGCCGCCCAAATTCTAGTTCGAAAACGGCTGATAATCTTGTCTTGTAAATCAGTGTTTGCACCCTTCTGGAGAAGAACAGAAGAAGGGTTCTCCAATGGCAGCGACCCCTGGGCGGGTTGTCGCGGTAAATCCGTATGTCTGAATCTCTTGTGATGCTGTCGATTCCCCTAACAATGTCACCGACAGCGACGGGACACCACGGATTGACCACGGGCATGCAGGAACTGCGAACCAGACAGACCAGCGACCAAAGATTGGAGCGGCCATGACCTATGAGACACTAAAATGCTCTCACGAAACATTTGTCGAGAAGTACTGGCCACCACTTCGCGAACGGAGCCGTTTCGAAGAAATCATTTCCGAACTAAAGAATGATGGAGTCCTCGTTCACATACCAGAGGGAGATGTGTGGCGGTTCAAATGGTGTCCGAATACACCCTCGGACGCAAGGCGGAGGTATGATCAACGCAAGCGAAGGGGGGAACGTGTTCCCGCTAATCCTCCGGATGAAAAAACACTCTTCGATGGAATTGGCGATTTTGGCCTTGCCATTCTCACAGTTTTGAAGCGCTTGGGTATCAAAGTAAACTCCTCCCGCATTGCGTCCTGTCCCGACACACATCTCGATTCCGAGATCTGGGGCGCAAACTTCAGGATCGACTCCTGTACCACAAAGGTGGATTTCAAAGTTAAAGACGGGCGGCTCATTCTCGGTGAGGGCAAGCGCCTCCATGTCACAGACATCCTTGTGCCCATGGAGTTCAAGATTTCCCGGAAGGATCAACGTTCCGTGAGTCCTCTTCGCTTCCTTCACTCCTGCATGTTGTTTAACGACTCCTCTCAAGAATCGGTTACAAATCGCTTCCGCTGCCAACCACATAATGAACGACGATGTACGGCGAATGTTTATCCTTGGTGTAAGTTTTCGCTCATATTGTACGGGTGATGTCTCATCATCTATTCCGTTTCAGATAACCATCGAGGACTCGCAGGTGTCGCTCTGGTACTTCTCTCGCTCTCATTCCATAGTGGCGGATTCATTCAGCTTTATCCGCGTAACGTCACTCTTACCTTTTTCGCTGCGCCGATTCTGAACTCTTTGCAGGAGCCGTATCGCTTTGTGGAACTACTAGTGGCACTTTTCTGTGCCTCTGACAAGGATCTCGGTTTAGATCCTCACATCGAACTCTTTGGCGAACCGGGATCGAAGAAATATCTTTACGAACTTCCACCAAACGCCACCAGACCGGAATCCCAATATTTCTTGACCGAAGCAATTGTCGACGAGTACCGCTCCCACCGGATCGCGGGACGTTCAACGCGGGTGTGGAAGGTCGTACAAGTAACCTCGAAGGAAGACTTGACCCCAATACCCGGTGCAAAGCCAGTAATCTTGAAAGACGCCTGGATCAACGAGGACGCTGACACGGAGGAGGACATTCAGGAGAAGCTATTCCGTGACATCGACACTTTCGTCGCTGGCGATTGGCGGTCTAATCCTTTATTGAAACACTTCCCTGAACCCGCTCTGGAAGCCTTCGGCGAAGTCGTCAAGAACTACAGGGATTACTTCTCTCCTATCGCTCAGGGTCACTCGGGGAAAGCCAGCAAATCAGTTGTGAGCGATGCCAATCCTGTCCCCCGTGACTTCTTCCTTGAGCCGGAGAAGATGGAAAACCAGAAATCCAACTCGTCTTCACGCACAGGTTCCGTGAACCCATCCGTCTCCCATCCCTCAGGTTCCCGCTCCTCGACCCTAACCGTACCCACTGCTACTGTCTCCGGAAGTATGCACTCTGCCGCATCTAACAGGGAACCACCTCGAAGGAAATTCACGAGCAAACGTCGCTGTTTCTTCATTTACCAGTACCTGTGCCAGCGCATTAGCGATCTCCCTACCCTTGCGGACGCATTGGAAGTCCTTCGTCAGGCGCATCTTGGTGAGTCTCCAATGATTTTTTCGAGATTGAGACTGACTGTTATCGCCCGATAGCCCTCATGCTTATGTTCTGTGCTCGTTGGATCCATCGTGACATTAGTCATGGTAACATTCTGGCGTTCCAGAACGCTGATGGCTCCTGGCGAGTCAAGGTGTCTGATTTGGAGTATGCCAAGATGTTTCCGCCCCCAGACGGGTACCAGGCGGGCACAGACCCGAAGACGGTATGGTCCCATCTGCAATCCTCGCCCCTGTATCCGCCTGATGGTTTTCTAGGGAACGCCCTTTTTCATGGCTTATGAGCTCCAAAAGGGCTTGTCACTTTATTCGCCAGCCTCCAGTGGGGAGCCGCCACCGATTGGAACGAGGTCCCCAAGTGGATCCCGAGAATACCCCGTTATCCACAACTATCAGCACGACGTGGAATCTCTGTGGTGGATGGCGCTCTGGCTCGTAATGATGCGGACCGATCACCAGGATTCTTACTACATCGGCCTGAGAATATTCCAGGGCTCATTGACCCCGTCGCCAGAGAGAGAGATGTATGTCCTCAAGGGCCTCCCTGAAGGCCTTCGACAACAACTGCACCCCTCTGCCCGCTGTCTTTTCGACCTGCTTCAAGAATGGTTGACCCTGATGTTTCTTGCCTACCAAAGACGATCGCCAGCTCAACTTTCGGATCCCGAGTCTTACGCCTACGGTTGTGCCACCCCGATCCAGCTCTTCGCTCACCTCAAGGAACATATTCCCGCATTGGCAACAATCGAGCTCAAGGATCCGTCGTGGATGGAAGGTACCGATATCCCTGATGCCGAAGCCTCCAAACCACGTCGAGTTCAACCGCCCCGCCGCTCCACGAGACTCGCCGACAAGTCCCGTAGCGGTAGCCAGAGCGGTGCCGGTAGCAGGAGTGCAGGTAGCCGGAGTGCTGACCGTGTCACCGCGGGCAGCAGGAGTGGAGGCACTAGGAGCGCCGACCGTGCCAGCGCAGGAAGTGGGAGTGCTGACCGTGTCACCACACGCAGCAGGAGTGCAGGCAGCAGTAGCGCTGACCGCGCCACCACAGGCAGTAGTAGGAGTGCAGAACAGAACAGCAGTCGCCACAGGAGTGCGAATCCGCGCAGCACCGGTAGCAGGAGCAACACTCGGATCCATTCCATTCCTGAAGAGTGATAGAACGCTCGTTCCCATCAACCCCCAAATCATTTTTTGTGTTTACTTATTTCTAAGCTCGCTTCCGCTATCCATCTTTCGCTATCATCTTGCTTTCGTGTTTTGTTTTTTTGTTGGTTGGCTTTCTTTTGCCATCGTTACCCGCTCTCTTCAGAATATTGCCCATCAATAATAATAGTTAAGTCCCGTAACAATAGCATCTAGTATCGTTGAATTGGACCTTCAATTATGATCCTCTGCTCAATCATCGGCATCTCTGCCGCCCTTGCTGAATGTCCATCTCGAGTCGCAACCTGTCAAAGAAGCTACAATTGACACAGAAGGGATCGACATCCCAGTGATAATTCTTAGTCTATGACAAGTAATCCATCATGATCCAAAAAAACGAATGAATTGCGAAAGTATGCGACGAGAGGATATGAGTGTTTTACAAGGGGTCTATGAAAAAGGAATGCTGGGCGCCCAGCGCAAATATAGGTAAATGTACATACAACGATGCGGTCGTAGCTTTTCGTTAACTTATGCAAAGATAGCATACTTAGATAGCGTGGTCGTGACTTGTGAAAGCAATCGTGAAAAAATCGTAACAAAATGTGCAAAAGGATGCGTCGTGAAATGCGTCGATAGCAATCCAAGTCCGAGTTCTGAGTTCCGAGTCCGAGTTTGCCATGTCAGGAGGGTGGGTGGGTTGTCGTCGAGCGAGAATCTTCTTCATACTCCCCTCAAAACTCCCTTCAAAACCTAAAATTTCCACCAGTCAAAGCTGAAGAAACGTCGCACAGGCGCAATCGTGGATTTATATACCTGGCGATATGACCGGACCTGTCCCACAACCACACCAATTCCAACCACCACGCATGCACCGACGAACCAGGCTGTGTTGGCGATGAGCCCGTAGGCACCAGAAGTCGCGTTGGTATCTGTCGTGGCGACCGTGCTGGGACCTCGCAAGTCGAAGTGGTTGACGACTTCGCGGGGCTTGTTGGCGGCGTCGGCGTCGGATGAGGTGGAGGCGTTGCCGTTGGCGGTGGGGAGACCTTTGCCCTGCTCGGCCGCGTTGAGGTTGGGGCTGGGCACCTCGATCGGGAGGGCGGAGGCGGGGGTGGTGTCGACGGAAAGCTTGGAACGTGGGCTAGAGGGCGGTTGACTTCCCTGAGACGAAGAGGCAGCAACCTCGGGGGCCACAGAAGTCTGAACAGGTTCCGGTGCTGAGACAATTGGCTCTGGCATTGAAACGACTTCGTGGACGACAACTGGGGCGGGCTCCTCAGGCTCCTCGGCGGTAGTGCTCGAGGCTGCGAGAGGTGACGATGCGACGGGCTTGTCGTCTGAGGTGATCTGGATCGACACGGGCGCGTTCTCGTCGCGTGCAGTCAAAGGAGACTCGATGATGGGGCTGAGTTCGGCTGTGTAACATAATCAGTAAATCAGTCATCTGGAGAAGGAAATGGACATACCAAACTCGGAACGAAGGTGGCTGGCGGTGAGGTGGGTTCTCGACAAGACAGTGACATCGAGGGGAGGAAGCTTAACCTCGACCGGGGACTCCGGCTCGACGATAGCAGGAACAACGAGGATATCGTCGACCTTGGATGGAACGGGATCCTCCTCGATGACCTCCTTGGCCTTATCATCGACGACGGGCGAGGATTCGGCATCGACATGTTCCCAATCGAGACCAGTTGTCGAGGCTGCGAGCTGGAGCTCTTGAGCAGTCGGCTTCTCCTCTTCGGTCGAGGCCGCTTCCTTCGTCTCCTCCGTCGGCTTGGGCTCAGGGTCTTCAGGGTCCTTGGCGACCACAGCGTCGGGTTCGGGAGTGGGTTGGGGAGCGGGCTCTGCAGGTGTCTCCGTGGGCTCCTGTGGCGCTGAGGCCTGCTGCTCGGTGGATGAGGCGGCCTCTAGAGTTGCCGAGCCGACAGGGGGAGGTGTTGCGGTCTGTTCTGCGGCGGCCGAGTCGGCAGCCTGGATGCTCTGAGGTTCAGAGACAGCCTCTGCACCACCCTCGACCGACTTGGTAGCCGACGTCGCAGAGGCAACGGAAAGCTTCGAGGTTGTTCGCTTGAGGGCTCCCTTCACCGTCTTCCTGACGCTCCACGTGCGCTTGCCCTTGTCGTCGTGTGACTCGGCAAAAGGGTCGAAATCCGATGCCTTATCACTGGTTGTCTGAGTTGAGGGAACGATGGAGACGCTGGCGGAGCGACCGTGGCGCGATGGCCTGGCGAGGTCGAGGGATACACGTCGAATGGAAGGAGTCTTTCGTGGGGAGGCGGGTGTCGAAGTGGTGCCTGTTGGAGGGGTCGTGGTTGATGCCGCGGTGGAGTCGAGGGACTGTCGAACAGAAGAGTCGCCGGATGGTTCGCTGGCAGTGGCACCGATCGAATGCCTAGAGTTTCGACGGAGAGCGCCCTTGAGCTTGGTGAGGCTGAAGGATCGTTCGGGCTTGTTGGCGGGCCCAGGAGTAGAAGGGGTGGAACTCATCGTAGCTAAACCAGCAGCTGGACGATCGAGGGTGGATAGATAAAAGTGTAAAGGTTAGAAAGAGATGGAAATGGCGTGGATGTCACAAAGCCGGTTGTGAGGAGGATGTGGTTGGAGGGTGAGTTGTGTTGGACTCGAGATGAAAATCGAGTCTGTTATCAAGGGAAAAACCAGGAGGCTGCCTCGTTGTCGTGACTCGTGCGCAAGCCGCAAAAACTCGTGTATTGTCCTGAAATGAGGTAAATCGTTCATTACCGATGTCAAGATCAGCTGGCTGCCTCGTGTTCGCCTGACATCACAATTCTGGAAGTTCCACAGAAAACGTGTTGTTTGGGCTCTCAGAATAGAGTTTCAGGCGTTCCGAATCAAAGAACGGCCCCTTGACATCGTAGCTCGTGTTTCTTGAAACTCGCGGTGGGCATTCGGTGGACAGACGCAGTGGATGGAGGACAGCCTTGGGACGCACACTGACCCCGGCGGAGCCTCCCTTTTTGGAAAGAACAAACAAATATCATTTACCAAGACTTTTCTGAATCCACATCGTGTAGACCCGGACCGAACAGCAAACACAAGGGAGGAGATTGGCTGGCATTGTGGTCGAGTCAGAGAATAAGAATAAAAGAAGTGCATTGTCTGTGATTATGCCTTGTTTCCTAGTTTTGAGCGGTGTGTTTGGCTTGTATAGTCCAGATCACCGTTCGTTGTCCTATTTAGGCGCCCAACCAACCCACATCCAGGGGGTTGAGCGACTTTCATCTTGGAGAACCTACTGTTCCTCGATAGCACAATGGCTAGGACTGGGGTGGGGGCAGTACCTTGTCGCTGCCTCGGTTAGGTCATTTCACGCGTTCATCTGATACAGCCACTCATATTAAAATCTCTAATTAAAGGAGAGATAAGGATGGATAATGTACAAGATTAAGGTAACCGGTCTGAAAGTAAGCACCGCTTACTTCTGGTACACCCGGATTCCCCGCAAGTCAAAGAACGCCTTCTCAAAAGCGGACGGGTTGTTGTTAACGAAGTCTGGAAGTGGGGAAGTCAGTTGGTTGCGTTGTGAATGAAGGAAAGAGACTTACCGACGCAGGTCCCAGGGCAACCTGATTGTTCGTACGTCTGGCCAGCCCAGTCGCCACAGAAGGTGAGGTTGATGACGATGTTGTGGGGACCAAAGTGCTCGTTCATGTTGCATTGGTTGTCGGGGAAGAACGCAGTTGGGAGGCCCTAGAACAAAAACGATGGGCCACAGTTGCAAAGGGAGGCACGAAAGAAACTTACCCAGTGATCAGGGTTAACGACGCCAGCTGCGTACTTGACCTCGTCGGGGACAGAAGGATCATCCCGAGCCCAGAACCAGATCTTAATGTAGGTCGGCGAGCGCTCCATCGCATACCATCCACCACCAATCTCGTTGAATGCGGGACCGTAGCTCTGAGGGGTAGGGAATTGAACTGGACAGCCGATGTTGGAGTTGATGGTCGCATCGCAGTTGTCCAGGACTCGAATTCCCCGTTGGTCGCTCCTCGAAGCGGGCATCCGGCATCCAGGGCTGGTGTGGAGGGTGGCGGCGTTGGGACCTTCGTCGTTGACGCCTTCCAAGATGTCGACCTCACCGCCGTTGGGCCAGTTGTCGCCTTGGACCTCCCAGATGGCTGGCCATGTTCCGCAACCTTGAGGCATGTGCTTGACGTCGAAGCTAATACAAATCGGGTAAGTGACGGAATAAAATGAAGAATGAAAAAGAGGGACTTACACAGCAACATGGGTGGTGTAGGTCTTCCATGAGCGAATCCTAACGGAGTTGCGGCCAGGACCATTGGGATCGAGGAAGCTAGTCGAATCGGCGCGGAGTATGAACTTGTCGTCGACAGCAAAGGTAAGATTCTGCTGCTTGGAAGTCTCCATGTCGACATAGTTGACCCTACCATGAGTGGGATCCGCGATGTTCTCCCACTCAAAGGCGTTGTAAAAGCCGGCACCTTGGATGTTGTCGCTCATGAAGTAGACGTTTCCTTTGTGACCGTCATTCTCGGCGAGGGCGAACCGGAAAGAGGCGGCGAAGAGGGTGAGGAGAGCAAAGGTTTGGATGAAAGAAAGTGGGACTCGAGAAGCCATTGCGACGATAGATATAGACCAGAGCTCTACTCTGATGGATTTGGTGCAAGGGGGAATATGAAAGTTGAGTAATGAACGTGACTGTCCCAAGCGATCTCCTCCAGAGAAGACGTCGAGACCGATGTGGGGAGCAGGGGAGAGCAGAGACGCCGCTATTTATATACACTCGTGTCAAAGCGCTTTCTTGTCCGACCATCGTTACACCGGAAATAAAGATCCTTGAAGCCACCGCCTACCTACGCGGTTGGACCTTCCGAAACAATCGTAAAGTGAACGCGGCAACAGGGTGGCATTTTTTGGTCAAAGGGCGCTTTGCAATTTGAGGAGCTATTGATCAAAGGTGGAATTGCGCTGAAAGGGTCTACGACGGGAAACGAGGCAGTGGCCTCGTCACGGTGCCGCTCAGCCAAAAGCGCCAGGAAGCAAGTGTTCTGTCGGTCGGTGAGCGGGCCCAGAGCCAGAATCTCGAGTGCATCTCCTAGACAACCGAAGGCGAGGTGTTATAAATCGCTTTATTATCCAGATTTGTTTCCAAGTCGATGGGTAAAGGAGCAATCAAGCTGTCGTGGAAGTATCGGATAAAGTGGGATTCCACGAACAAAAGAAGCGTTCGGCCTTGGCCGGCTTCCTTTCACGGAGATTGAAAACCTCGGATTTGATCCGTCGACAGTCGTAAGCGCCCATAAGCCCGACGTCATAATTTCAGAGCGCTCGCATTCTCTCTCGTTCCTCAATTCGGGAGATAAATGTTAGATACTGATAAAAATAACCTAGTCTACTTGTAGATTCTAATCGAATTAATTTCCCAGCGGGCCTGACTGAAGGCCTGGGGCTGATTGTTGACGTGGTCTGCAGGAAAATTCAGTTCACCGTTGGATGACGACTGAATTAGTGGATATGGTCTCTTACCGACACAGGTTCCTGGGCAGTCCTGCTTTAGATGGTAGACAGCTCCAGCCCAATCGCCACAGAAGGTCAGATTGATGACAATCCAGTGGGGTATGAAGAATTGGTCCATGTTGCACGTGTCTCCAGGGAAGAAGGCGCTCGGCTCTCCCTGGCGTAGGGGAAGTCAGAATGCGTGAAAAAGGAGTTTCTACTTCACTTACCCATTGAGAAGGGTCTGCGGTTCCGCCGGGTGTTCTGATGCTCTCAGGGACGTTCGCATCGCTGCGGGACCAAAACCAAATCTTGATAAACGCGCTGTTGCGCTCCATGGCATACCATCCACCGCCCGCCTGATTGAAAGGTGGACCATAGCTGAGGGGGGTATCAAACTCTACGGGACATCCGATATTGCTGTTCTGTCTGGCGTCGCAATTGTGGAACTTCCGTTGTCTGAATGGAGATTCAGAGTTTAGTTAAGTTACTATTAGGTTGAGATGCTGCTTCTGGACGTACCCCTTGTGAGCAGCGTCATTCCCTGGCATCACGCAGCCTGTAGACAGAAATGCGATTACGCTTCTCTGCACAATCAGAGCTGCGTCGTCACTCACCGGTCCCTGTGTGTAATGTCGCTGCGTTTGGAGTTTCATCGTTAACACCTTCCAGTATATCGATTTCTCCCTTGGGACGGATCAACCTCTAAAATTTCCCCCATGTATGGAGAGCACTTACTCCGTTCGGCCATCCTCTACCCACTGTCCACAGAGCAGGCCAAGTACTGGATGGGGGTTGAGTCACATGAGCTCGTCTGGTGTACCGGTAGGCAGTGCATTTGAACGAACCCGCAGCCCACAGGCATATGAGCGATGTCGAACCTGTCTTACCTTTATGAGCTTCGACTCTAGAAACTGAGTAAAGAGGACTTACACAGCGACGTGAGTGGTGAACTGCTCAACAGATCTTATTCGCACAGAATCACGACCTCGGGCTTCCGGACCCACGACTTTCTGGTCATCGGCGCGAAGAACGAATTGGCCCTCGTCGTTGACATAGGTGAGTCTTTGTGCTATTGAGGTCTGTTTATCCACGTAGTTCCTGCAGCCGCATTAGTGTGTTGACTTTTCATCAAAAGAGATCAGACCTACACCCTCCCATGAGTGGGATCTGGCATGGATTCCCATTCGAACTCATTGAAGAATGCATCGCCACGTATCTCCTTGTCAAAGGTATAGGTCCCACCCTGGCCTAGAGAGCATTGGAATAAATACGCTGAAAGGAAGGCAAATGTTAAAGAGCGTGGGGGCCGCATACTCGTGAGGTTGTGGGGTACTGAAGGGAAAGACACGCCGCTTGTATATAAACCACCCCGAAAATCATGGTGGGCGCTCTGTTTATGCCAATTCGCCCATCTCGGCGGGCGCGTTCTGCACCAACAACTGCGACGATCATGAGAGTGATTCGCACAGCCATCCACCAAGCTCGGAAATGTCGAAGACTTTCAGTGCAATCAATCAGAGAATGATGCGCTGAGGCCAGAATGGTAGTTACTCAACGCTGTTGACTGCATCCAAGGGCCCTACTTAGGGGCATCCACCATGGTCCTACCCCGAGAAGCGCACAACTGGAATGCCGCTCACGGCACGTCTCGGGTGAACGACTGTACAAGCTTACAAGGCTGTAGCTCGCTGGACCTACAGGCGTTTTAAACGGTTCTTCCGCGTTCTATAAGTATGGCAGTGAAGTCGTTTACACAAAACCTGATGTGTATGAGGTATCGCAGGTCATAAAGCGGACGAGTAAGGTATCGTAAGCGATCGTAACTGTGAGTATCGTATCTTGGTCAAGAAAATAGAGGACCGGTTCATCCAGATGAGTCGAGCGAAAAGAGTCTGAATGGCTACTAGGTGTAGATTCGAATCTGCGCAATGTCAAAGTATGCGTTCTCGAATGCCCATGGGTTATTGTTGACATGGTCTGCCGGAATTTCCGGGTGAGTCGGCTGTTAGAAGGGATAGACAGTACGAAACTCACCGACGCAGGTCGAAGGGCAGTTGCTATACTGGTACACAGTCCCCGCCCAGTCCCCGCCTACGAAAGGTTAGAAGGGTCCGAACAGATTCGAAGAGAAAGTGAGTACGAACAGAGTGTGAGATTGATTACAATCCAGTGAGGAGCAAAGAAGTCACTCATATTGCAGCTGTCACCAGGGAAGTATGCACTAGGCGTTCCCTACGATTCTGTCAGCATAGACGAAAGATAAGACACAACGAGACGACCCTACCCAGTTCGAAGGAGCCACGTTCCACACTGGGTTCTTGACGTCCTCGGGAACGTTGGGATCTTGGCGAGACCAGAACCAGATTTTTATAAAGTCGTCGTTGCGTTCCATGACATACCAACCGCCGCCTGCGGCGTTGAAGCCAGGGCCATAGCTGTCGTGACTGGGGAAGTCGACAGGACACCCCACGTTGTTGTTGACGCTGGCGTCGCAATTATTCAACATTCGGTGACTGAAGAAAGGAGGTTCAGTTGAACCGTGGCTTTGCTACATGGAGTCAAGGACTCACCCTGTCTGAGGGCCATTCTCGGTAGGCATAGTGCATCCTACAAGACCTCAGAAAGTGGATCGCACAAAGGGCGATGTAGCTCACCTCGTCCAGTGTGCAACGTAGAGGCATTGGGAGCCTCGTCGTTGACTCCTTCCAGAATGTCAATCTCTCCCTGAGGCCAGCGTCAATGGAAAACACTGAAGTAGCGAAGAGTTGGTCCACTCACCCCGTGGGGCCAGTTTTCTCCAACGGTCCAGATCGCGGGCCATGTTCTAGTACAGAGATGATTACTTTGCAGTATGAGGCAGACCTAGGCGTACTGACCCGCAGCCGACAGGCATATGACGAACATCGAAGCTAGGTCGGGCGTCAGATCGGTGAGGGTGTCGATAGCAGATGGCAGCAGTACTCACATGGAGACGTGAGTCTTAAACTTTTCCTTCGACCGCAGCCGAACGGAGTTGCGACCGGGTCCGTCCGTAGGAATGATGTTGGTCGAGTCCGTTCGCAGGATGAAACTATCCCGAGTGGCGAAAGTCAGATTCTGCCACCGCGAGGTTTCTTGGTCGACGTAGTTTCTGAAAACACCGTAAGTCATGGAATGAGAGCCTGTCAGTGGATGGGACCTACACTCGTCCATGGGTGGGATCGGCAATGCTCTCCCAAACAAAATCATCATAGAAAGATTCTCCTTGGATACCCTTGCGGAGACTGTACGTCGAAGGATGCCAGGCGACACCGGAGTGGGAAAAGACAGCAAGCAGAGGCACGGCCCTGATCATGGAAGAAAGCGGGGATCGCATCGGGAATTACAGCACTGCTGAAGCGAGAAAGAATTCCTTAAGAGTAGAAACGAAAAAGGGTGTCGGAACGATGCACAAGTTGGAACCGGCAACAAAGGCAGCTCGAACGACGAAGAGGGAGATCGCAGAATCGCAGAACCTTCAGGCTTTTAAAACGCAACAGGCTGTTCATTTTGGTGGCGCCGAGTCGATATCAAGTTTCCGTTATTTCTCACCAAGAAACGAACCGCCACACGCCCGCCTTGGAATCAACCGGAAAGACATCGCGACAAAGCAGTGTCAGCGCAGATATGAAAGAGGGGACATAGGGGCTAAACTTACCAGATCCGGAGCAGTGATATTGCAAATGATGGCTTGGCGCAGGCTTCGGACCAACTTGATTCCTCTTGCCGTCGATAATGGAGGAATCCGTTGCCCTAAATTGTGAGGATACAATGCAAGTGAAGTCCCTCAGGATTCATGGCCCCTCATAGTACCTATCGGGTGGCTTCCTCGTACTCTTTCACAGCCGTTTTCATTGCCAGTCAACGGGTTTGGGGATCGGTAACGCCGATGGCTGATAAGCGCCTAGCCCCACATTTCAAATCTTGCGCAAATCTAGGGATCTGTCAAGGGCTGTCCGCCACACCTAATCAGGCCTGATCTGGGGGAGCCGAATCTAGCTGTCGATCCAAGATGGACCCAAGAAAGAAAGTCCAGTGTCGATCATGCTCGTTTATCATTCGCAGAATGTTAACCAGTGACCATTGCTGAGTCGGGTAGCAATAAGTTACAGGTCGAGTCTAACAGGTCTAGCTTGACGTGTTGACGACCTGTCCCTCCATGAATCGTGCGAGGACCGCGAGTCGTCAAGTGTACACCCGGATGTTCGCGATATCGAAGTACGCGTCTTGGAATGCCCAAGGATTGTTGTCCACGAAATCTACGCGTCATAATCAATCAGAAGTCATATCCACGGATATGCGAGTAGGTTGGTGACTTACCGATGCAGTTGGAAGGGCAGTTGCTCTGGTGGTAGACGTTTCCGGCCCAGTCACCACCTGTTGCATACAGATGAATACAGTTTCAAGTGCGAAGTGAATAGTGTATAACTCACAGAACGTCAGGTTAATCACAATCCAATGTGGTCCGAAGAACTGGTTCATGTTGCAGCTCCAGTCGGGGAAGAACGCGGTTGGAGCTCCCTATCGCAGGTTTCAGAGCATGTTGAGCAGAGTTGGAGCACAAATACACCTACCCAGTTTGCTGTGGTAACGGTCTGTCTAGGGGTCTTGACTTCCCAAGGAACATTGGGGTCGTTTCGCGACCAGAACCAAATCTTGATGGCGGAGCTGGTACGCTCGAGGACGTACCACCCTCCACCCGCACGATTGAACGCTGGTCCGTAACTGTTTTGTCCGGTAAAGTCGACGGGGCACCCAGTGTTGCCGTTGACAGTTGCATCGCAATTGTTCAGAACGCGTAGTCTGTGATGCGTGTACTTATCAGCGGCATTCCATAATAGTAAGTATTTGATAGAGGGAAGACGCACCCTCGATGGCCGCTGTCACCTTGTGGCATCGTGCAGCCTGGCAGATTCGTGTCAGACAGGCTTTATTTGGTATCCTGCAATTAAGCTTACCTCGGCTCGTGTGGAGCGTCGCTGCATTGGGACCCTCGTCATTGACGCCTTCGAGGATGTCAATTTCTCCCTATTAATCTGATTTAGTATGAGTAGAGTTGGATCAGAGAGATTGCTCACCCCGTGGGGCCAGTTGTCTCCTACAGTCCACACAGCCGGCCACGTCCTGTGGTAAGGACAAACACATTCAGCACGAAGTCGAAGAGAGCGGTATTCGTGTACTCACCCGCAGCCTTCAGGCATATGTCGGATATCGTATCTACCAGGCCAGTTAGAAAGACGTCACGACGCGATGCGTAACAATCGAGAACTCACATCGAAACATGGTTCGAAAACATTTCTCTGGACCTGATCCGAACAGAGTTCCTGCCTCTGCCGCCCCATACCACGTTGGTGGAATCTGCACGAAGGATAAACGAGTCCGGAGTTGCGTATGTGAGGTTCTGCGCTCTCGATGTCTGTTGGTCGACGTAGTTTCTACAGGATAGTTTAGCGACGCTGCCGTGAATGGGATTAAAGTGCGACGTACACTCGACCGTGAGTTGGGTCGTTGATATCCTCCCAGACGAATTCTCGATAGAATCCTTCACCGCGGATGTCTTTCCTGAGGTGGTAGGTCTGCGCTAGGCCGAGCTGGACCCAGGACGCGAGGAGGACTAGGAGACCCAGCATTCGGGATAGTGAAGGTGAACTTGCTGGTTGCATCGTGAATCGTAATCGTAGACGAAGACGTTATGAAAACGAGAAACAGAGATAGGAATAGAGGTACAAGTTGAACCGGCGATTAGGACGTCGTGGCGCGCTGGCGGAAAAGACCAACAAGCGGGAACGGAGATGAATATGGCAGGTCCATTTTTATAAGGTGGCCTGTCGAGGCCGAAAGTGGGTCCACGTCGCAAGGGGTATGTAAACTCCATCAATATATCGCTTGTTTATCTTGCCCACGGCCGTTGCGATAGCCATGTCTCCGAATAGTGCCTGCCCGCAGCACATCCAAGCAAGGAATGGTCGGCGCACGATTTGAGGACCTTGGAGGGCTGAAAGGTTGACTGGATAGGGTACATGGTGCAGTTAGAGTGTGACTGGTCGTCTATAGTGTCTTGGCAAGGGCGCCCCTGAGGCAGATGGTATCTCGATCAGACTGGCCGATGATGGTTTTATGGAGAAGTGACTGTGGCAGTGCGGGCGCCAATCGTCATTGCCTGTCGTTGCCCCTGCCGCTGGGTGTTTCTAAGAAGATTCGTTGGCATATCCTGACTTTTGTCTATGGGCCTCACTTAGGTATGATAAATACAGTACGAAATCTGACACTGGTACAAGGTATGATATTAACTTGTCAGGCCCGTCGCAGTAGTACTATACTCGCTCTTAAGTCGTCTTAAAGTCTAGGCTTCTTCGCACGTTGCACATCTCCAGAGGCCTCTCCAGTCCTCGAAGATGATCCAAACGGCGCCAACGGGTCTGATACCGCTCGTACGGAAGGTACTAAACGCGAGGTCGCGTCTCCCAGTAAGCCTTGGTATGCATTCGGCACTTGGTGCCCCAAATTCGGAACGGTAGGTCCAATTGGCATCGTTGGGGGAATCAACAGTCGAGGGAGCTGGATAAAACCAGTTGACGCTGCCGAAGGTGCTTCGTATGGAACGGGCAGGTAGGGTACTGTGGATGGTCCTGCCATAGTAGGGTACATCGGGTGTACTGGCACTGGAATTTGGATAGGCTTCGCGATTCAATGATTTGTCAATGTCAGAGATGGGACGTGGACTGAGAGGAAGTAGAGTAAACTGACCATTGAATTGGACTGGGGGCGCGAAGATTGACCGAGACGTCGTGGCACTTGGGCGTTAAAGCCGGTGGAAGGGTGCACTGTCATTGCTCGAGAGGGTGCAGGAGCAGCGGCTGGAGATTGACCGTTCGCTTTGCGTTTTGCCTTAGTACGCCTTCGGGATTGAGGCTGAGAGAAAGTCGCGCCAGAGTCCAGGGCCGGAGTCGTTGTGACTGTTTCGAGCGCTGTAGCAAGAGTGGTAGATGTTGTCGCTTCAGCGGGGTTCGAGGCTTCGTCCGCTCTTTCTTCCTCTGCTAGTAGCCCTTCACGGTAATCTGAAGAGGGCTCGGGGTTTGAAGAAGAGTGTGGACCGTCGACATTGGGAGTGCCTGAAGAGATGCCCTGAGTCGAGCGATGGAGATTTCCATTGATGATATCTGGGCCTTCCCCAAGGCTTACGAACGGGTCGAACCAGTCGGGACCAACGTTGGGGAAAAAGTTCGACTGTCCCTGCGGTGGCCTGGACATTATCCGCAAAAAGAGGGCAAGAAACGCGGCTACGAGGGAAGACGGGGATTTGGGGATTGGGTTGAGGTGGGCGAGCGGCCCTTTATATACATGGCACCTATGTCCATGGCTGGCCTTCCCTTTCAGTTGACATCGTTACACAAGCCACGATAAAAATGAGTACCAGTCATCCGTGGCTTTTACTCTCGTGCGCGCAGAAAGGGAGCCATCGGTGGTTACTAGGTTGAGATTCTCAAAGGGAGGGTGAAAGGTGAAGGCAAGGACGAGCTCGGTGGATCCGTCCTTAGAGGAACACCGATAACCCGACATGGAGTTGCGACCACCCTTCTCAAAGGGAAAGGAAGCATTGCGGCATAAAAGCACATAAAGAATAGCGACTAGGCCTTTGAAGCTGATATGCCTTTGAAGTCCCTTTAAAAAAGTTCTGTGTATGGCTCGGTGAACGCTGGTACCCCCTGCCAAGCAGTTGTCGGCACTGGAATGGGAACAGTAGTGCAACGGATGTGAGGGTACACTCGACTTATCGCTGAGCCGAGGGCTGCTGTGAAGTTGGCATGGTCGAACATGGCGTGCCATAGAAAGAGGTTGAGGCATAGAACGGGCGCTTAAACTTGAAGGTCCGTCCATTCTTTTCACGCCGAGCGCTCTTACTACTACTAGCCCCTCTGACGATCACCGTTGGCCATGATCGAAATGGTATGACCTATGGGACGCCCGTTAGAAAAAGCGGGTGGGGTGCCTTTAAGACGTGTGTTTCTCAATGTCCTGCAAAAAGTGGTTCCGACACGGGGAATCGAACCCCGAGCTACCGCGTGAAAGGCGGTAATGTTAGCCGTTACACCATATCGGATTATAGAAGGGACTTGCGTTGTAGCATCATGACCTCTAATTGCCTCTCTTCGCTGTGCTGAATCCTTGATCGCCCTCGACCGATCATCATTCCAACCTTCGACCTGCACCATCGTCATGCTCAAATAGCCCCCACCATCAATTCGTTCACCAGCCTAGATTATCAGCATGGCCAAAAAGAACGCCAATACCGCTGCCGCAAAGGCAGCGAAGAAAGCCAAAGCTCAACAGAAATCCGAGAAGAGAGAGAAGAAGAAAGTCTTGAAGGAATCTGGTAATCTTCCCAATGGCGCGAAGAGCGGGAGCGGGAAAAAGGGAGGAAAGAAGAATGCAGAAGATTCGGACGATGATCTGGAGGCCATATTGGCTCAGGTGTGTGTGTAGTCTATCCGTCGACTTGCTCATTCTTACCTGAATATTCGATATGAACTTCTTAGATGCAAAAAGAATGGGAAGCTGCCCACAAGGTGACTGAAGAACTTGTCGAAGGGCCCCCTTCTCGACGCGCGAATGCGACGCTCACAGCGTGTCCAAACGGCGGCCACCTATGGTGTGTAGGAGGGGAATGGTTCAGCGAGGACGGGCGGGCTGTAAGCTTTCAATACACGGGATCCCTGAACCACCGATCCTGACTTGAAATCTATTCCACTTTGGTAATCGGATGGTCCACCACCACCAACGAACACCCTCGCCGGTCCCAAATCACATAGCACTTCTATAACGATACTTTCCGGTACACGCCAGAGAAGGACGAATGGCGAAAGTTCGTCTCTCCAACTTGTCCTGGACCACGAAGTGCGCATGCTGTATGTGCAACGCCCGCTGGAGGAGGCAAACTATTCCTGTTTGGTAAGTTTATATTTCCCTGTTCGAAGTCTGATGCCGAATACTTACTGACGAGATTCCATCTTGCGGTGCAGGGGGCGAGTTTTCCTCGCTTCACCAAACATCATTCCACCACTATGGCGATTTCTGGGCATTCGACGTGGGGACTCATAGCTGGGATCGGATTGAGACCAAGTACGTGATTTCGCTCTTTCCCCTTCCACCAGTTCCATCTCTGTCGTGCGCATTCTGCACTATCCTGACGACCCGCGACATCCGCAAGTCCGCGGTGCCTACGTCGTCGATCTCCCTTCCGAACTGCTTCACGTCCTGTCAACTTACACTGATCCATCCCATCACATAGGATTCGGCCAAGTCCTCGCTCGGGACACCGGATGGCGATGTGGAAGCACTACGTCGTTCTTTTCGGAGGATTCTATGATCCAGGGATTACCAGTGCGTGCCATGTTCACGTCGTGGAAACCAACCTACTGACGTCGTCCGAACTCTCCAGCGCGCTACCTGAACGATCTCTGGGTTTTTGATACCCAAGAATACACTTGGAAGCAGGTGGAATTCAAAGAGACGGAGCTGAGGCCATCGTGAGGATATTTTCGGTGCGCATTTGTATTGTTCTGACCAATTTCATCCCTAGCCCTAGAAGCGGATTCTCGTTTTTACCTTGTCCGGAGGGCATCTTGTTGCACGGTGCGCTTCTTTCCTTCGGCGCCAGCAAGTTCTCGGCTCATGCTCTATCTGGAAGGCGGCTATTGCAAACAATATTCGAAAGGGAAGCGACCTGTGGGTGTCATGTTGGAAGATACGTGGCTATTGAAGTTGTCCATTCCCGAAGCATCCGAAGCCGCTACTTCCTCGTCGAAGGCCCAAACGTCCAAGGCAACGCCGTCTGCCTCGAAGTCCAATAAAGGGAACAAAGGCGCATCGAAAGGCACCCCACTGAACCTGAATGTGAAGTGGGAAAGGAGGAAAAGGCCCAGTGACGCGTTCGCGCCGAGCTTGCGGAGTGGGTGCACGATGGCATTGTGGAGTGCAAAAGGGATGGGCGTGATGTTCGGGGGAGTCACGGACGAGGATAAGAACGAAGAGGTGTTGGAGAGTGTCTTTCACAACGATCTGTGAGTTATATCGTTCAGGGTGGCTCCATCTTCCGCTGACGATCGTTTCGCAGATTTGGATACCAAATATCAGGGAAGGGTCGTTGGATCAGTTTGAACCTGAAACAACCAAAGGCGAAGGGGAAGAAAAAGAAGAAAGACGCGAAGAAGAATAGCAACAACCAAGACTCCGGGGATGAAAACGACGAGGCGAGCTCCTTCGCTATATTCCTGCTATTGAAAATCCTGATAAGCCTTCTCAGGGGCATCAACCACCGGCACCACCGAACGGCGATGCGTCGAAGGTTGAGGCGGACGATCCCAACCTGACAGTTCCAATCGCGAGATACAACGCCATGTTGGCTGTGTTGAAGAACACCTTGTACATGTGTGACATTCTTCCCTCTCACCTTTCGGATTTATGGCTAACATTCATTCAGCTACGGTGGTATCCTCGAGAAGGGAAGCAAAGAGTACACCTTGGACGACTTCTACTCCCTCCAGCTCGATAAATTGGATCGGTTTACATGCCTCAAACCTTTGTCGTTCGAGATTCCGGCTGGGGAGGGCGAGAGTAGCAGTGAGGACGACGACGACGACGACGATGACGAGGACAGCGAGGACGAAGACTTGGACAACGGGGAGTTCGACGATGAGTCTGAGCATGGAGAAAATGCGGTTGATAACGACGACGACGATGACGAGGCGGGAGAGGAGGCAGAGGTCGATGACGGAAGCGAAGGAGACGACGAGCTCGATGCAGACGATAAACCTGTGAAAGAAAAGGTCGACCGCAAGCAGAAACGCAAAGACAAGAAAGACAAGAAGAAAGCCGCCCTGGAGGAAGCTGCTAGTGTTGCTATCGAGGAGCTGAAGGAGGAAGTTTCGGAGCTCCGCCAGCAGGCCTCGTCGTTTATGAACAGCGCGAAGGATCCAGGGAGGAACGCGGAGGAGGCGCTGAGCACGCCGTTGCCTGGTGAGACGCTGGCGATGTTCTATGCGAGGTCTCGTAAGTGGTATTCGCAACTTCAGCGGCTCGCTCTCCTCATGTATCTCGTTGTAGGTGACTACTGGACGCAGAAAGCGATGCAGCAAGACGAAGGCGACAACCAGGGCAAGGAATTGCGCAGGGTTGGGTTTGCGTTGGCGGAAGAGCGATATGGTGTGTGGCTTTTCCTGGTCCTTTTTCCGATATAGTTGAGTGACGCATGGGGTGCAGAATCGTACAAACCGCTATTGGAAGAAGTCGAAAAGATCTTGGCTGAAGCGGGATTGAACGAGGAGGAAATGAGGATGAGTGCCCAGGCTGGTGCTGCCCACATGGCGGGACAGGGTCAGAGCCGGAATCGACGATAGCAAGGTGTTGTATTTTGGGTATGCATCAATGATATTGCTTTGAAGCTCTCCAGCTCTCGATGCAACTTGCCCGTATACTTCTCTCTCGGGTCCATCGTGCCGCGTATCTGGAGCTAAAAATAACACCGGCGTATTTGAGGCTCGAGAGGTTCTTTTCCGACATGTGCCAGGGAAAATTGAGGTCTATATGGCAAGATGGACAACGAAGCACTGTTCCTTGTCCGACTATGGACGAAGAAGGGATGGCATGAAGAACTATTGGGCGCATGAAACGAGGAGGGTGCGTGAACTGTCTTCTTTAACTATTCCATCGTGACCTTGCTTCTGACTTCGATTTCTCCTTGCTCTTTATCAGTTTGGGCGCAGGCGCACTTCCCAGTCAAGAGCTGACACATTTCCCTGCGTTGCAGGACCAGTCAATGTGTCAATTTGGGCGTGGCTACATAAGTAGCTAATGCTGATAGAGATGGCTAGAACCCCAAGTCCTTCGGTCTGTGCGTCCCAGGACCGACTTCACCCATAACGCCCACCTTGGCAGGTCGAGTCGCCACCATGGCCCCGCAACCAGAGAAAGTCACTCAGAGCCATCCTCTGTCCGCCGACGAAATCGACTCGGAGAAAGTAGAAATGGGCCTCGAGGTCATCGAGGATGTTACTAATTCCCCGTCTAAATTCGACTCGGACGATGACTACATAATTGACCCTATCGAGGAGAAGAAATTGCTCAGGAAACTGGATTGGATTTTGCTGCCGATGTTCACTGCAATTTGTGAGTTTTGATTTCTACTGTTCCGTGAAAGTGTGCTGACTGTGATAGATTGCTTCAATTTCATCGACAGGTGCGTTCGATCCAGGAGGTTGGAAGGGGGATTGATGGGCCCGTGTGATGCAGGACGTCGATTGGCAATGCTCGTGTCGCGGGTTTGGAAGAGGACCTGGGGATGCATGGGTTCAACCTCAATGTTGCCCTCACGATATTCTATATCTTTGTATGTTTCGCCTCGTTCTCTCCGAATTAATACTGAATGGTGTTTTAGTACAACCTGGCAGATATCCCCTCCAACCTGGCCTTGAAACACTTTGGGTCCAACTGGCTTGCGTTCCTCGTCATAACGTTCGGCCTAGTCTCGCTCTTTTCTGCGTTCATGCACAACTATGCGGGATTGATTGCCTCCCGAGTGTTCTTGGGTCTGGCTGAGGGAGGGACATTGGTTAGTACGCGCTCCCTAATGAATCATCAAGCGCTGATTATCAATGTCGTAGTCTGCGTTGGTGTATATCATTGCAAGAGTTCGTCGCATTCGAGTTTTGTATACGGCCCGGAGCTGACATGGGACCCTCGAAAGTATTATCGAAGGCATGAACTCGTTCTCAGGATTGGCATATTCTTTGGAGTTTCGCCGAGCCTGGCTGGAGCTTGTGAGTTCTGACTTCTCGATTACAGTATCACCATCGCGTGGCTCTGGTTGCATCCTTCTAAGTTCTGAACGTATGTGATTTGCTGACCTTGCCATTTCTTCGGCAGTTGGTGGACTTCTGGCCTCGGGACTGTTGAGGATCAAGGATTTCGGGATCATCACGACCTGGAGAAAGGTAGGCATATTCTCACTGTCATTGTTTTCCAACCCTTACTCGAACATGATGCTTAGATCTTCCTGATCGAAGGTAGGATTTGGGATCCAGTTCGCATTCCATGGCGGCTACACTCAAACGAAACTAGGAATCGCAACGACACTTTTTGGAATCCTGCTTATATTCATCCTCCCGGAAGACCCTACGAAATCCAAGATGTTGAACGAGGCTGAAAGGCGACTGGCTCTGGCCAGGATCGACGCTGATCAGGTCATCAAAAATAAAGGAAAGAAAGAGAAAACAACTTGGAGCCTAATCTGGAGGTCATTCAACTTCATCGTAAGTGCTGTACCCCCATCTAGACGTGCACTGACTTTTCCGATAGACCATCGCGTGTACATTATGTTACATGATGCTGAACATGTCATTTCAAGGACTGAGCCTGTTCTTGCCTTCTGTGATCAATTCTCGTGAGTGTTCAATGATCTTCTTTTCCCAAATGGTATAGCTGACAATCATCTTCCCAGTCGGAAAATACAGTGGGTATATTCTTTATGTGACGAGAATTGAGCTTACGAAGGAATCAGCCGTTATCGAGGTCCAGCTACGCACCGTGCCCCCTTACATCGCCAGTGCAGTATGGGTAATCCTCAACGCCTATATAAGCGCCCGTATCAGGATGCGCTTCCTCCCGCTCCTCTATAATCTAGCTTTAGTGGCAGCTGGATATGCGATATCGATTTCAACCAAGCATTCTCAAGCCAGGTATGCAGCGTGTTTCTTGATGCTCATGGGCGCTTCGGTTGGAGGTCCGATGGTGGGTTCCATTTCTCCCATCGTTCAGGGTGATGTTCATCAGTTCTGTAGATTATGACCTGGGGAACGGATAATGCTTCTCCCGATACCATGAGAGCTGTGGTCACGGCGGCTATCCCTGGTATCGGCGCTCTTGGAGCAATCATGGCGTAAGCGAGTCCTCTCTCCCGTTTTTAATACATAGTCCTCATCCTGCGTGTTTCTTCAGTGTTTGGACCTACCTCCCAACGGATGCCCCAGACTACCGAAAAGGAAACACAGCCAACCTGGTATCCATATGCTCCATATCCTGCATCGTCGTCATCACCGCCGTGTACATTAAATGGGAGAATGCGAAGAGAGATAGAGGCGATCGGGACGCGAGGTTGGATGGGGTATCGCCCGAGAAAGAGACACAGATGGGATACAGGCATCCGAGGTTTAGGTATCAAATTTAGGTGGTCAATGCATGACTTTGAAACCCTTTACTTTGAAACCCTTTCAAGCGTATGGATGGTTGAAATTCCTCCCGTTGTTCTAGATTGTTGTGCTGCGTCTTTCAGTCGCAATTCTGCGGCTCGGGTTTGGAGGAGGCCCCTAACTCGGGGCGCGTGGACCCAGGCCGTGAAGCGCCCAAGTCGAACGTCATCATGTCATGTTACCAATTGATCCATCAAAAGCTGATAAAGACATGGGGACTGACTCTCCCGTAACTTAACTACATATTCTCAACATCAGTCATCCTTTCCTTCTCACTTTCCCCCCGCGAACAATGTCCCAGGGTACCAAGAAAGCACCGTATGGCACATGGGAGTCGCCTGTTACCGCTGAAGCCATAACCAAGAATGCAGGTCCTTTCACTCACGATACCTACGATGATTCCGGGCGTTAATCCAAATCTAATCTCTGAAATCAATCTAGGCCAATTCGATCGAAGCCCTCCTCGTAGATGGCGTAACTGGAACGGTATACAACCTGGAAAGACGTCCGTCTGAGGGTGGAAGGTCTGTTTTAGTTGAGACACGGTCTGGGAAGGATGTATTGGGTATGTACTGGGCGTCGAGCGCTTTTATTCCAAGCAACTTTAGCAAGTTACTGATAGCCATTCTGAATAGGCCCTAAATCAGATGGATCCCGATGGAACGTCAGAACAGGCGTACAGGAATACGGCGGATCACCGGCTCTTGTACACAACAACATCGTCTACTTCTCTCATTATGATGATGGGAGAATCTACAGTAAGGAATTGGGAACAGAGGGCTCAAAGGTCATTGGAGTTACACCAGGTAGTCGTTTGCCAATTCGTATGTCATATGCGTAACGCTGACTCGTCCAGCCTCCAAGCCTTACCGCTTCGCCAACCTCGTGTTGCACCCCTCAGACTCGCACCTCCTTTTCGCAGTCCTCGAAGACCACACAGACGACACGCCAGCAGGAGTCGTTACTTCTCTTTGTGTTATCGACACATCGAACCAGTCTGGCGATGATAAAGTCTCCGTCATCGTGAAAGGTGCAGACTTTTACGCGCTTCCTTCCTTCTCACCCTCGGTCGAGGGGCGTCCATCAAAACTGACTTGGATGGAATGGTATCACCCTGACATGCCCTGGATTGGCGGAGAAGTGTACGTTGGGGACGTCGTAATCGAAGGAGGTGAGTTATCATCACTGGCCTCGAAGACTAGATCTAAGCCCGAGGTAAAGGGGCAGTGAAGGTCGTAAACCGAGTCAAGGTATCAGGCGAGCGCACGAAGATCAGCGCTTGCTACCCATCCTGGCTGAACGAATCGGCCTTATTGTTTACCAACGACGAAAGCGGGTTTGTCAATCCCTGGATCTCAAACCTGTCCTCCGGTACGTCAAAATCTCTGCCCGTCCACGTTCCTTCTTTAATCCATGGATGCAGCTCGACCCGTCCTCCCAACTCCCTTGCCCGAGGACTTTGGGTATCCTTTCTGGTCTCTCGATGAGTTCCCCTACACTCTGGTCTCTGCCGGAGGAAAGAAGGGTGCAGTATGGAAGGGCATTAAAGAAGGACGGGATGTGCTCTACTACATCCCTGTAGGAGAAGGGAAGGAGCCGGCCAAAGCCCACTTAATCCCATCGCCCTACGTTTCACTCGGGCCTTCCATCCTCGCCTTGCCCGGCGGTAAGGAAGTTGTGTTTATCGGTCAGAAAGCGGACGAAGAGAAGACCATTGTTCAAGTCAGTGTAGAGGGGCTGATTGAGGGTAACGCGGAGTTCGTTGGTATCGCGGTGAAGAAGGAGAAGGAGGAAAAGAAGACGGAGTTGACGAAGGATCTGGTTTCTGCGCCGAAGCCCATCACGCTGAAGTTGGCCGATGGCCACCCTTTGCATGTTGTCTATTACGCACCATATAATCCGGCGTACGCAGGTATGTTTTCATCAATTATAGGTGACCAGATAGATAATTAACCGCATTCTTCAGGCCCCAATGACCCCAGCGAGAAGCCTCCGGTCGTGGTGAATATTCACGGCGGACCTACTGCGCACGTATCCCAAGGATTAGATTGGAAGAAACAGTACTGGACTACAAGAGGATGGGCGTGGTACGTGGCATCCTCTTCCTACTTCCGAAATGACACCTCTAATCGTCCCCCAGGCTTGATGTCAACTACCGCGGGTCATCCGGATATGGACGTGCCTACATTGAGCAGCTCAACCGTAACTGGGGTGTTGTAGACGTCCAAGACTGCATTAATTCGGTTCGTCTTCTGTCTGGAGGCGAGCACGATTTGGTGGACCCCAAGAGGGCTGTGATTAGAGGAGGATCTGCGGGCGGGTTCACGGTCCTGGCCGTTATCAGCCTTCCGGGTACGTATGGAGCCAGCGTATTCAACGGAGTGGGTGTTTCACGAGCGTTATCTTACAGAGAAAGAAACCGACAGGAAGACATTTGCTGCTGCCCAAGCCAGCTACGGCATTTCTGATCTCAAAAAATTGGAAGAATTTACGCACAAGTTTGAGAGCCATTACTTGAGCGGTTTACTAGGTCGGTTTTGTGCTAACTTATCCACGTTGGGAGCTGTCTCACGTATAAAAAGGAGGATCGTCGGCTGAAGTCCCCGAAACATATGCCAAGCGAAGTCCCATTAACAGCGTATCCAAGATCGAGACCCCACTGCTTGTGCGTATTCACTTCCTTCTGTAATACTGTAATTGTTCATTGGAGTTTGTAGATTCTTCAAGGATCTGCAGACAAAGTTGTCCCACCCGCTCAATCTTCATCCATCTACGAGATCCTCAAGGCCAAAAACAATGACGTCGAGTACAAGGAGTACGAAGGGGAAGGCCATGGATGGAGGAGGGAAGACACCATGCGGGATGCCATAGAGAGAGAGAGGGCGTTCTATGAGAGAGTTCTGGGATTAAAGAATGTAGCTTGAGTGCCAGGGAGAGTCGGGATGCTCGATGTGAAGGAGGAGAGGATGAAGCTCGCTGGAGGTTTATTTCCTAGCCGTGTCATCAGTTGAAACGAGGATATCGAGGTATTTTGTCAGATTCCAGGAGCCAACCATAAGGCATTATCTCTTGGCGATTCAGCGTCACTATTTATTTTCAAGGAATCGGGATAAAGTGTATAGCAAGCAGCCCCAGTCTCAGGGATGCTATGCAGACAATCGACTCCTCGGGGAGATCAAAAAGGGTCCTGGGCGCTCGTTTCATATGAGGCCAATTCTGGATATGAGCCCAGGACCTCGGAACTAATACATTCGGTGAGGAAGAAATGCTTGAACGCCAGCTGCCCTCAACTGTTCCAAGACTTAGCGCAAGGAGACTAAGTGAATAGCAGATTTGGACGCGCTCAACAGAGTGGTAGTATCTTGTACTGTAACTTTAAGTACCCTCCATTCAAGTAGCGGGCCGTATTAGCGCCAGGGGTAAAAAGACCCTTTTAGGCAATGTGCGGCACGTGCCTTTCAGGAGAAGACCTCGTTGGTGAGGCGTGTTTTCGATTCCCGCTTTTGCCACCTCTTTTCCGCCTGCTCATCTCCCGACTGCTCTGTGTGTTCAAACTTCACTGTCAGCGCTGACCGAGTCGCCCGAAGTTTGAAGATTATCTTCACTGTCGAAACCCTGACGAGGCCAATCACGAAGTTTTCTTTCGCGAAGGGTCCATGTCTTTGTCACAGAGGCCTGAATCATGAAAACAGTACTGCCCTGCACGGCCTCAGACTCGCTGGGATCAAACTGGCCTCTCATTGGTTCTTCCTGTTCAATACCTTTGCGGCGACTGAATATGCTCTTTTATCCGGTGCCGAATTCAAAAGTCAATCTTCTGTAGATGCATCAGCGCCTACCGCTATGTATAGGGCAAGAATGAAACGTAGCAACGGCCGCTCTCACAGGGGCTCTCCGTTCTGTATTCCTCGCAGATCACCTCGTTCAGCGCTGTACCAACAAGGCTCGGGTGGTGTGTTGGAAAGCTTGGACCTTGCGGCGGTACAAACACCTTCACCCCGTGCGCCATGTCCATTCTGAAAAGGGTATAAATGTGTCTATTGTCCTGCGCCTGGTTTTCCTCAGCCTTCTTTTCTCCCTCGCTCTCGTCCAGGCTCGACAGCTTTGGCCGTTCTGGATTTTTCTCTGCTTATTGACTTCACCCTTAAAATCAGAATGTACCCCGCCGCTGTCGCCCTAGCCGTCGCCGCGATCGTCCCTTCCGCTGTCGCTGTAACCTACGACGTTCAGGTAGGACCTGGCGGCCAGTTCATCTACGATCCCCCCTACGTTCACGCAGAATATGGGGATATTATCAATTTCGTTTTGTACGTCCAGCCTGCCCCCTTTTTACCCTGCATTCTCGCTCATATTCCTTCTCAAGCAATCCGAAGAACCACACGGTAACGCAGTCAGCCTTTGACCCTCCTTGTGTCCCTCTCGCGGATGGATTCCGCACCGGATTGTAGGTTACTTCCTGTCATCCTCCTCAGATAGCTTGACGAATGCCTATCTCACAGTGTTCCCGTTGCACCCGAAGCCATTGGCACTGAAACACGCCAGTTCCACGTTCCGGACAACCACGGAGAACCAATTTGGTTCTATTGTGGCCAAGGAAATCACTGTGGCCAAGGCATGGTGTTCGCAGTTAACCCGCCCGCAGCTCCGAGCGAACGTTCTTTTGAGGCATTCCAGGCGCTAGCGATCGAAAGGAATGGGACTGGAACACCACCTACCGAGACTAGTGCGCCGGGTGGACAGGAGACGTGGACGCCACCTCCGCCTCAACCTTGGTATCCTGCAACTGCCACCGTGACTTGGGGAGGATCCTCCTACACGACTGTCTATACCAGCTACGAAGGCTCACCTGGTACGTAGAGCTTAACTGACGCCGGATTCGCGCGAAGCTTATTGTGTATTAGACCCCACCCCTGCGCCTCAACCTGTCGAGCACACTATCCAAGTCGGAGCTGATAATGGTTTAATTTACCTCCCTGCCAGTATCAGTGCTCGTGTTGGCGATACTGTCACCTTCGAGTTCCGTTCCAAGAACCATACTGTCACCCAGTCCAGCTTCTCGAGCCCTTGTGAAGCTCTCATTCGCGAAGATGGCACCACCGGTTTCCGATCTGGATTGTGAGTTTTCTTCCATTCGTTGGCGCACTGGTCGACTTAATCCTTTTTAGCCGCCCCGTCCCATCTGGAACCACTGATTTCCCCAGATTCTCAGTCAGGATCAACGATGTACGAAAACTCCTCTCTCTCGCTCATTTCGCTCGATGCTGACTCTTCACAGACCGCTCCAATTTGGGGCTACTGCGGACAAACCGGTCACTGCGCCCAAGGCATGGTCTTTGCAATTAACGCGGTCGAGACCGGCCCCAACAACTTTGAAGCTTTCCAGCAGCTTGCCAGGCTGTCAGCAAGTGATTCTGCAGGTGCCTCTTCTGCACCACAGCCTTCTGGTGGCGCTGGAGGCGACGATGATGATTCCGAAGGCAGTGGTGCAGGTGGCATTGCTCCTGCTACCACAGTGTTCTCAGTTATCGCTGCTATTTGTGGAGTAGCCATGGTTCTCTAAGTCCATACCATTTCTCCTCTTCATTCTCGTTGGACTCTTTCGGACAGGTAGTACCTGCTTACGACCGTTGCTTTATGATACGCACCTATTATGTATTCATTGACCATAATTTTAATATTCTAAAGCTTTTCTGACATATCCTTTGGCCCACAGTAGGATTTCACACCCGCACCTCCTTATCTCGAGACTCTGGTGCCCAGGACTAGTACTCAGAACCCCACGTGTAACAAGCGGTCGAATTTGGAAGATCGAGCACTTTACCGTATTTGTCAAGCGCCTCCGAAGCAAACAACGCGATTTCAGCGATCAATTCTCCGAAATCTCAATTTGATCCCAAACCACAACATATCCTCTCGCCCTTTCGAGATAATTTTTCTGGGGACCAATATACGAAATGTCAGACTCTGAGGACTTGGATCTCTCCCTTGACTCTGTCTTTCCAGTTAGTCTGCAGTTCTCTCGACTTTCAACTGGGCGTGCCTTGATTCCGGTTCTTCCATGCCCGTCCCTGCTGTCACTTGAAATCTCCTGCAATCCATCGTAAACGCCTATCTCAACATCCACAAATACGGTTGCGAAGGAACCGCCTCGGCCTCCTACACCAGAACCAACCACGTCGACGTACACACGAGATTCGCGATATGTCAGGAATGATGCAGATTGGACAGAGATTAGAATAAGACTTGTCGGGGATCATCCTCTATGGGGACACTACCTGTAAGCACCACCGTTTTCCTCCTTTTATCACATCTTTTCTTTTGGAAGAGGATGGTGTAGTTGGCATTCGTATTGACTCTTATGTCTCGGCCTTCAGGTGGAACGCCGCGAGATCATTCGCAACATATCTCGATTCTCATCCGGAGATGTATAAGGACAAGAATGTCCTGGAATTGGGGGCCGGTGGCGCACTACCCAGCCTCGTTACTGCCAAAAATGGCGCTGGTGCTGTACGCCTGTCCCCGACATCCTATGCTAAACGAACTAACTATAACGTCGCTAGGTGGTTATCACGGATTACCCTGACAAAAGCCTCATTGAAAACATCGACTACAACGTCCAGAGTAATCTGACCAGCGAGGAGCAAAAACATGTATCGTCCAAGGTGTGTGGGGGCTAGAATGGAGAAACAAGTTAATACATATTCTGATCGAATCTAGGGATACATTTGGGGCCAGCCAACCTCCGGGCTTCTGGACTGCGAACAACCAAAATTTGACCTCGTCATTCTTTCTGACCTTATTTTCAACCATTCTCAGGTTCGTCGGCTTTACTGTAACGTCCGCCTATGTTAATCTGGCTCTTGATAGCACGATGCTCTGCTGTCGACATGCGAAAGCGTCATTCGGAGTGATGCTTCGCAGGTGTTGGTATTCTACAGCCATCACCGCCCACACCTGGCTCACCGGGACATGTTATTTTTTGAGAAGGCGAAGGAGAGGCAATGGGAAGTAGAGAAAGTGGTTGAGGAAAAGTTTCCCGTAAGTTGTCCGCCATTGCTCTTTGGCCTAACTAACCAAGTCGACAGCCGATGTTCCCTGAAGACCCGGGTGACGAGGACGTGCGAGCTACAGTGCACGGTTGGCGTCTTACCAGAACAGGCGGCATGAAGACGACCTAACCAGTAGATTGCCTGAAGAAATTACAAGAATTTTACCTACAATGAAATGACCGTGAAAGAGAAAAGAAGTTGAGAACCACAACGACAAAAATAGCCCGATTCAGCGAAGATCCAGCGCATGAAGTCGTTCTCTCCATCCACTCTCCACCATCCACCCTTCCTGCAAAATAAACCTTTACTTCCTTGCTTCGCCTTCCTTCCAGATTGGCCAACCGTTACTCCTCTTTCCAGATACTCAGCTCACATGGCAAACCGGATGCGTCCACTAGCCCTCGTTCACTTGCCATCAAAGCAGGGATTACGTCGTCCAGACCTGGTTGACGTTGTAGGGTGTGCAACTCCAGATCTGAACCTGGTTGCCGTTGCAAGTGTCGCCGTTGGTCAGATCCACGCATTGACCTGTACGTCAGGAGGTCAGGAGGAGGGGGTTCGGAGAATGGAGTGATTCGTACCTCTACCAGCCAGAGCAATCCTCTTATCATCGGTGTAGAACCAGCTCTGGGCAGGGATGTTGTCGAAGCACTGCCAGATCTTGAGTTTAGTGCCGACCTGCGGCCCTGATATCGAAGCTTCAGCGGAAAGGTTCAACCAACAAGGAAGACAAGGGTACGTACACTCAGATCCGGCGTCCAAGCAGTAGTTCTGACCTGCAACCTGAACCCTGGTGTTCCCGTTATTGATCATCCAGTTCTGCGAGGGCGAGTTGTTACAGTCGAGGCTGTCAACAGAGTCAGAACGGTTTCAGCACGTTAGCGAGAACGACTCACATCTCGACTGGGGCCCCATTCCAGAATTTACCGTCCTTCACGTTCAAACACTTGCGCCAGTTCCCATTGGGATGAAGCTGGACGACGTTCCCCCACCCATTGTTGTTATTGCCCCATCCACCACCGTTGTTGTTATTCCCCCAACCATTACCGCCCCCGTTGTTATTCCCCCAACCATTATTACCATTGTTGTTGTTGTTGTTACCGCTCCAGCCATCGTTCTGCTTGGGCTGGCCACTCCAGCCGTTGTTGTTCTTGTTGCCGTTGTCCCAGTTCTGCTTGGGTGCAGAACCGACTATGAAGCTGGGCTGGGCTTCGGGATCATCGTCGACCGAAGTGGTTGCGGGAGGGGAAGGGGGTGGAGGGTAAGGTGGGGTGCTGGAGTCTCCAGTAGAATCGGGTTTGGTGTCCGGATCGATGTCCTTGGGAAGGTCGGAATCGCCGTCGTCCCGTTTGAAGCTGGGAGAACCCCAGGAGGCAACAGCACTGGAGATGAACAGCGAACTGAGGAGGGTCGCGGCTGTGATGGTACGCATGTTGAATCGATGATTAAGACGGTTAAATTTCGAAAAGTAGAACTGAGAAAGGGTGGTGCGTAGAAGGTTCGCGATGCAGAAGTGTGCAAGGGTCAAGCTCTGTCGTTCGAATCAATCGAACGATGGAAGAGGTTTGAGTTTGGTAAAAGCGACGAGATGGAGGTTGAACGTTGTCAAAGCCCTGCTTAGACGATACGATGAAGTTGAATTAAGGGTTGATAGAAGGGTTTAAATCGCGTTTGAAAATTAAAAGAAGTGGTGGATGGTGTAAGAAAAAGTGGTTTGAAGAAGGGTCTGGGTGAAAGTTGAAGTTTAAAGGCTCTGAAGAAAGAGTCGACGGTGGTAACAGGTTTATATACACTTTTCGAATTGGCGAATAGGAGAAAAAAAGGGGGATAGACTCCATGCATAGTAGGCGGAAATAGTCTTACAATGACGATGTTATCACGTATCGGCCTGCAAGGTCTCCAAGTTGCGATCACATTTAGTAGGACAATTCCAAATCGACGTCAGCTGCATTTGAATCAGGACCGTGCCCTTCTCTATTCCCGGGTTCCCCTTAACCACTGAGGGAAGACGGTAATGACTGGATCAACTTGGTCTTGTAGTTGGAAGTAGCTAGCACGGTTCATTATTCTGGTGTGAAGTAATCGTGTAGGCGTCATGTTCTGTCTTCCAAAGGTCAAAAAGCATCGTGTTAGCGCTCTGTGCGTAGCGGATCGCTGTCGGGATGAGTGAGGCGCCGAATTCACCACGTTGACTGGCGCGTAGGATTCTGATCGCTTGAAAATTGCCATTCATCGCTGACAGGAAGCACGCGTTCTGGGTGCCTAAAGTCTTATCATCCGATGTAAGTCGGACAGGAGGTTTACTCGCTGCGTTTGCGTCCTCAGGTCTGACGATTTCCTCGAAGCGAAATCCTTCCCGCTTTGGTAGGCGGCCTTCTTGATCTGGAAGGTATTCCGTTGATTAGGAGGCAGCGGTTTGATAGGGTCACTGGCTTACTACTGACAATAACATAGCACTAAGAGTTTCTGAAGAAGAGATATTCACAATCTTTCTGGGAGAACTCCTTACCCAAGGAACGAATGTGTAGCCAACGATACCAACCCTATTTTCGTCATCGCTGGAGAGACTAGTGAGAATCCCGTCCACCCGTCCCGGTCCGGGATCGATGCTCACTGTCGTAATTTCATTATTCTTCTGTGGAGGAAACTGTTACCAGCATATCGACACCCATGCGAGTTTGTTCGATCTGGACCGCTTCTCTTTTCTGCAGTATCCCAAGTTTGATTTCTTTATCCCTGCTGAGACCGGACATCCGATTAACTTTCACCTCGACGTGGCAAGCGTAAGAAAAGATACAAGCATTCATTGCCAGGCGGGTAAGGGAATTAGCCAATATTAAATTCCGTTGTCGAGGGAACCTCTATCTACAGTGTCCCTAAGTTACAAGACCTCTAAGCAAATGTATATGATGGATATCATAGCCCAATCCCGAACTCCAAACTAATCCCGAGGACATGATCAGTCGATATGTTTTGGAAGAGAATCTAAACACCCCTTTATCAGCTGCAATGTAATCAGCTTGTCAAACCGTCGTGCGCTGCACGTTTTTGATGGACAGATGGCGTCCCAACAAGCCTTCGCGTCCAGCCACTCCACCTCTCCTCTCACCAAGGAAAGCACGGTCGTTCCACACGGATTCTTCTTCAACTCGTCCACCAACACCCGCTTGAACTCCGCCCACAGCCCGTCTTGAGGGTAGAACCTATCGCAGGGATCGCAATAGAACATCGACCTATGTCACAAAGATCCAATCAGCCTTCTCCCGTGAAGCAAGGCGCGTGCCAACGCCACTTCCAGTATACCGAGATCGAGTACGTACCCATTTCCAGACGGGAACCGATGAGGACTGTCCAGTAGTTGCTTGAAGATAACACATCGTTTTATCCGGAGACTATGCAAAGCTGTGACATCCGCCGTATACATCGAGGCCAACACCCCCGCATTGATCGAGTTTTTGAAATCAAGCGCCAGTGATGCTGATGAGGCATGTCGAGCTTCGTTATCCCAGCCCAGGGAGCGGGCGATGGAAAAGGTCTGAAGTGGGTAGTCGCTGATGAATTCTGACAGGCTTTGACGGAGTTGGTTGAGGATGGAGGGGCAGTCCCACTTCTCGGCGAGTTCGAGAACTGACGAGAAATCGTGGAATGACTTCCAGGGCTTGACGGGTTTCTTGTGCATCATCGAAAGGATGCGACGGACTGTGGAGGCTTTCTCCCAGGTGTCGATGTATTTATCAGGTCCATGAATGGGTTGTGGAAGAGATAAAACAGTGCGAAAGAGTCCCGAATGCTGTAAGAGGAGAGTGGAATCGGCTTGGTAGACTTGACCTTCAAGCGTCCTCAACGCGATAAGTGGCAGAGAGAAAGGGACCGCGAACTCCATGGGATGAAATGAGTGGGGATGGACACATCGCGGTCGCCTGTTTAAATAACGCGCAAGACCCTTAGGCTATTTTGTTCCTGGGGCGTGTTAGAGCGAGCGAAGATGGCAGGGTGCTGTGCGATCTCACCTCTCCGGCATCGGACAAGAACACGATGCAAGGCATCCTTTCCAGCACTTGGGCAACTTGCGTAACGAAGATACCAAATCTGTATCCTTGTGTGAGCGACCTGGACGAGATCCCTAAAAATTTTTGCTCTACCTTGAGGAGCGTGCTATAAAAGTCACTCGATCCAGGTTGTCACGCTAAAAGGGTCACAGAAGCCATCACGAAATGGGTCCATTGAGACCTGTCACCAGGCTAGAAACGACGCGCTACTTCGCAGCTTGGACGGCGAAAAGATGAGAAGGTTGGAGAATAGGTTGAGCAGGGCCCAGCACGATGATGGGCCAACACCCTGTAAAGTTACGGCACCAGCAACACGCCCCTGAGTATTGATTCAGCAAGGCTAATCTGGGGGCCTAACTGGACATGCTTTCAGGGTCCAGTCCACGAGACCAGGACGAATAAGCTGGGTCCCTGAGGCGAATGAGCGCGGCCAAGACACTTTTTCGCAATACAACTCCCTAGAAGCCAGTCGGTTGCAGCGATGTTCACCTCCCCATGTTTCGGAAGACCGCTGACATGTTGAAAGGATGGCCGATGTGACGAGAGCAATATAGAAATCTTACAACCTTGGGCCAGACGGTGTCTTTAGGCTCTTGAACCACTGTTAGGTAAATCCATGAGAAGGTTGCTTATGTCCGACGAGGAGCATTTTACAAAGATTTCGACGCGCGAAAGTACCTTGATTGTTCGACGGAACGTGAGATAGGCAACCAAGTCTGAGCCAAAAAGCATACGAACGTTGTTGTATGAACTTCGCATGAACTTCTACACGAAGCCACGCGGTGTGCCAATTTGAGAATTTGATAAGTGTACACATTACTGGGTTTCATACAACTCGGCGAATGGGTCCCACGTAGAATCAGTGTGTCGCTCGTACTCCAGCCAGTTCGCAAGAAGTTTGGCGACGGGCTCTCCATAAACCTTCTCGATGAATGCGAAGATAACGTCCAGTCCCGCGGTAACCCCCGACGAAGTCCAGATATTTCCGTCAACTACCCATCGAGCCCGGCCAACCCACTCGACCGATGGACACAACCCAGCTATCCTCTTGAACGAAGCCTTGTTGGTTGTCGCTTTCCTCCCATCCAAAATCCCAGCTTGGGCTACCAGCCACGACCCAGTGCAGACGGTGATAAGATGCTGCAGGCGAGGGTAGACTTGGCGGATGTAATTGATGACGCTATCCATGGTCGCTGGCGGACGGTTTCCCATTCCCCCTGGGACGATGAGAACATCTATTTCGGGCACGTTTTCGAAGGTATGGGTCGGTACAATGGACTGTGCGAATGAAGATGCAGGAAACTCGAAGTTCTGTGGGGTCTTGGTGGAGACCGGTTGGAGGGTATCGGCGATGATGTAGAGCTTCGTTGGGTAATGGAGGGAGAGGGCATTGAGAGCGTCCAGGGGCCCAAAGGCGTCCAAAGCCTGAAATCCTGGGTATAGGACCACACCGAACCTCAATGGTACGGAGTCGATAGGCGCAGCACCCTCCGGGGTTTCTTGAAAGGGCGCCATTGGAGGTTGGGAGAGAGGGTTTCGTGTGTAGTTTATCTATCAGATAACCTTGGCGGTGTTTGCCGAGATTGGGTAGACGCGGCCCCACTAGTAACGCCGTGCGCAGAATGACATCAGCCTCGACCTGAGGATAGAATTCACCAACCCATCCAAAGAATACACCGTCATGGCCAGAATATCTTCCTCTCCACCTCGACAACTATGTCACGGCGAAACGATCATACCGCAGAGCGAAAGCTGAACGTGTTGCTGAGCAATGGGCGGTTCCCAGTAACGATAGACTTGGCGAGGCAGCTGAGACGTGCGAGACATCGCGTATTCGTAGCAGGTCAGGACCGCGTCAAAGGTTTTGGAGGATAGGTCTACTCACCTGGACGGCAGACCCGATGTACTATCATGTGTGCAAGTTCTCGAAGGTAGTCTCAGCATCATACCAGGTTCCAGCGCCTCGAGAGGATCCCGAAGGCTTCATTACCGAGATCATGAACGCCATCCACGCCTCCGACATCGACCTGGTTATCCCCATGCACGAGGAGATATTCTTCCTTGCCGAAGCAGCGCAGACGAATGAGGAGCTTCGAAGAAAGCTCCTCGCACCCGACTTTCGAACACTCGTGACCCTGCACAACAAATGGCAGTTCTCCCGGTTCCTTTCGAAGCTCGGACTTCGTGTCCCGACCTCGAGGCTTTGCCGAACGTACGAATGCATCCAGGATTTGGACCAGGACAAAGAGTGGGCGTTGAAACCGGTGTATGGACGGGCTGCATCGAATGTCTTCCATCTGAAGCCGGGTAAGCCGCTGCCAGGACGGGAGGAGATTGATGTGAGCGAAGAAACCCACTACATCGCCCAAGAGTGGACCAAGGGACAACGGTACTGTACATACTCCGTGCTTCAGGACGGGAGAGTCGCGGCGTTAGCTGCTTATCCTGTTAAGGATACAATTGACGGTAAGCTTTCGAGATTCGCCCTGGTAGTCCAACAAACTTACCCAGTGTTAGGATCATCCTGTGTGTACTTCGAGTCGATAGAGAAGGAGAGCATTCGAGACTACATGGGCAAATTGGCGGCTGGGCTTCCTGGGGTATCAGGACAGATTGCACTGGATCTGATCGAACTCGATGATGGAAGCCTGGTGGCAATCGAGTGCAATCCCCGCGCGACATCAGGGATTCACCTCTACTCGGGGACAGCGAAGCTGGCGTTGGCTTTGACCTGTCGGTGCCCCGTTGATGAACCAGCTTCCGACAATCTCCCCGACCACGTCGCACCACCTCCTCGTGCCAAGCGCAAGGTCGCACCCGGGATGCTGATGTGGAAGCCCTTTCCGTCAGATCAGAAAACGTGGGCCATCGTTGGGGAGTATGCTGGCCATATGAAGCGTCTGGTTGCCAGCAGAGACGTGATATGGTCATGGAGAGACCTGCTGCCATCTCTCATGCAGCCGTTCCTACTGACCAGTTACTACGAGATTTGTCGCGAGAAGGGACTGAAATTACCCACCATGTTCCAGTATGATCTCGTATGGGAGCCCAAAGGCGACCACCTTCGACGGGTACGAGAGTTGTTCACAGAGGAGCCAGAGCCTGGCGCGTCGTAGGCTGTAGACATTTTCCGTGGACGGTTTTGCTTTCTTCGGTTTCTGTCGTATTTTCTAGTATTACTAACCTATATTCACTTTGGCATGGACACAATGATACATCCATGTTGGTTTACTGTGTCTTCCGGAAATCCGGATCCCACAGTTTAGCACTACCAAAGGCGTTTTGAATGAGTTTCCCGACCAGCAAGTTCATCGTCAATGCGCGTACCTTTCAACCTGCAAGGTTCTATTGAATGTTCAATGAAACTTCATTGACGAGTTATGAGGCTCTATGGCCTAAGACATAAATATGCAATTCGTGTCGCCATGCTCGGTGGCTGTACTGATGTCCGGGAGCCGGCGGCCCGTCGGGATGCTTGCCGGAATGTTATCTTATCAGATCAAGTTACAGGTCTGTTCTGACGAATTCAGCATTTCAGGCTTTCGTTTCGACCATGGCCATAGATCTCGCAGCGCTTGAACAGGCCATTAAAGCAGCAATCCCAGTAACCCACCTCGAAATCGAAGACCAGTCTAGTGGATGTGGTGAGAACTACGCGGTCTTAATCGTCAGCGAGGTATGTCCCAGTCGTTTTCACGCTTAGTAAATCAACCCCAAATGAACGGAACAATTCGACAGGCATTCGTTGGAAAGACGACATTGGCGCGACATAGAATGAGTGAGTCTAATACTCGAATACGCTGTCCATGACATTTGTCTAACGGATCTTTAGTTAACGAGTTGTTGAAGGATCAGATAGCCCAGATGCACGCGTTCTCCCAGGTATCTCAATCGTCCATAGCTTCTCCCTATCCTTCAGTGGAACAGTACTTAACTCGCTTTCCTCTGGGTAGAAAACCTACACACCTGCGCAATACGCTCAGCTAACGAAATCATAGAAAACCACCAACGAGATCCCCCCACCTATTGCTTCATCTTGCCTAGTAGTACTACCCCCTCCCCTGGAACGATGTCGAATTCAGAGACTCCCCTAACTTGGAAATGTAGCTGACACATGTCACCCATCCGTCCTATCTCCTACCTAATGCCAACGGACTTCGGAACTGAAACGGAAGAAACGGCACATCTCGTCGTGACATCACCAGTCGATTCAGAGAAGTCGCCCAAAACGGTACATGTTATTTCCAAGGACCAGCCTTGGGCTAATGTCGGTAGGCCGAAGCGGTAAAGGCACTATTACATTCCTAATAATTGTTGTAGCACTGGCAGTTCTTTTTGCAACTGTCGGGTGTTCCACTTCTCCATTTACACTTCGTACTCCATGGTCCCTTGTTGCCCTTCCTACAATGGCGGTGGCAGCCTGAGCATCTGCTAAGTGGCCTTACGCCACATTCCATGCTTCGAAACTCGAGGAGGGATTCATATTCTGCCGCGAGAGAACGATGATGGTTAGCTCTGAGTTCGAGCTCTTCGTGATCCATGCGACGCTGTTGCTGAGCGAAGGTGGTCGATGCGCCAAGGGTTAGGACGAGAAGGATGGGTGCAAACTTCATCGTGCTTTTTGAATGAGGCATGCGTCGTGGAATTAAATTTGGATGGAATTTAAAGAGAAAAGAGCAAGCGACGCACGATTATTTGAGAACGGAGTACGACGATCGACTAGGCGCTCGATAAGATATCTTGGGAACCAATTTGCGACAATGTGTCCAATACATTCGCTTTATATAGTTCTTGTGTCATCCTTAATCGAGCTCTCAGCGCACCACCGCATGCACAGAGAAGCGCCAGACTTCTTGGCGAGTTGGAAACCTCAAGCAGCTGGCACCCTCATCACGGTTGCTGGTGTTAGAGGTGGGATCGCTGTGCACAAAATATGATCCACGGTTAGAATGTACCGAAGAGAACTACCGAGCCCATATTGTAAGGGAAGCAGAGGTTGTGCTGCGGTTTCGAATGTCGGATCGGAGTAGGCCAATCGTGAGTTTACAACTGGAAGTACCAACCCTCACGGGCTTAAGAAGCGCTGCGGAATTAGGCGCCGGCTGCTTGAGCGGGAAAGTCCGACCACTGCCACAGTCATACACCAAGTCACAAGTGGAGTTTTTCTAAAGCCTGATTGGCATTTCAACCGAGGATATAAAATCTTTTTTACAGATCAAATCGAACTATGTACTCCGAGAATGGACAAAGGAGAAAGATTTCCACTTACCATGCCAGTCCGAGGGGCAAAAGAGTTAACGGAGTCAGCGGATGTTTAAGTGAAGTCATGACGATTATTCGGAAGAGCAGGACACCAGATCCAGATTAGAGTGGCAGAATAGCGACGACAGGATAGTAAGCGGGCCAAATTTAGAGGAAAATAACAGCCCCTGGACACGAAAGCGAAAAAAGCAAGAGGCAGAGCGATGGATAATGCTACAGAAGCTATAATAATAAGCTGTACAAGGGCGTTAGACTTTTTGAAAGCGAAGTTAGAGATACAACTGAGAGCAGTAAGCGGTGGCGAAAAGGCGAAAATAACGTTACTGATACATGAGTCATGGAAGAAAAACGGAGTCCATTGTTCGAAAAGGTTCGAGGCGCGTTAGATCGAGGTTCGTTTCATGCAGATCACATTAGACTTTCAAGGTCAAAATCGTTAGCATCGTCGTCGTCGGAGATGAGGCTTTTGAGGGTTAGGACCGATTTAAGCGCGAGCTCCGGTTGGGTTCGCTGTCCGCCTCCACGAAGGTGCATTAGCACCGGTTTTCTTGCCACCGCCGATAGGGGCTCGGTATTTGGGTACCGAAGGTGGCGATGGTGCCTTGGCAGGCTTAGAGGGAGCAGCGGAAGGACGACCCAACATAACACCTCCGCCGAGCGTGTTGCTGACACCGCCCTGGTATAGGTATTTGGTGACGTTCTTCTTGGTAGTGTCGACAAAGACTCGAGGCTCACGGGATGCAGTGGCCCGAGGAGCGAAGCGTTCGCTTTGGCAACCCGAGCTGACAGAGGTGGCCGAGCTCAAGCTCTCGTCGTCGGAGATGGAGAAGGTTGAGAATGTGGAAGAACGGGAGCTGGGTCGGGAACTGTCAGGGGAGGAGGGCTCGGGCGAAGAGATAGGGGAGAACGAAGCGTATGGAAGCCTGATGTGTGGTTGAGAGAAGCTGAACTTCTCCCTAGTGGGAGTGGGTGAGATGATGGCGGAAGTGGAGATCATGGCAAATAGTTCGTCGGTCTCCTCCTCGCTGTCGGATTCGAGAAGCTGCTGCGCCAAGGTACGGGGAGGAGAAGGAGGAATGATGACTCGGGGTGGTTGGACCGAAGGACGCCCTGTCATAGTCGATTGCTGGCTGAGTTTACTGATGGGAACCTGTGGGACGGAGAGGCGAGAAAGGAGGGACTGTCTGGCGAAGGTAGGTTGAGGGGCAGTCCATAGGACAATAGGTTTGTCTTCAGCGCCGGCGTACTGAACGACAACAGAGCGCGCGTCGATGATCAAGTCGAACTCGGCGTTACCGAGAATTTCCGCCCATTCCGCCCATTGAATTCCGAGGGCGACGCATGCGGCGAGCACGGGACGAGGGGGAGTTGCGACAGTGAACGTCAAGAAAAGCCTCTTGTTAGGGGCAGTAAGTGCAGATGCACTGAGTGTGGAACGAAGAATGGTTTGAAGAGCGTTGACGGTAGCAGGGTTGCTGACCAAAGCCAAAGGGCCTGTAATGAAGTTGATGGCCTGGGAGATGCTTGCAGAGATGCTGAAGGACATAATGTTGATAGTCAAAGTATTGAAGTCGAAGTGGGAAAGGGGCGTTTATCGACCGGCGAAGGTTTAAGAAATGGGCTAGCGTCTAGAGGAAATATTCGTAGTAGACAAGTCCTGGAAGCGAGGGGCGATTAGTATCTTGTGAAGATAGAATAGAATAAGACACAAAACTCACGTCAAGAAATGTCAGAGATTCGTAAAGAGTTTGCAGTACTGAATGGACTTTAAGAAAGGAGGATAGAGATTGTCGTTAGAAGGTTAGAACGAATCAAGTGGCAGAGAGGCTTTGGTAGTCAGGATTCAACCCGAACTTGGTGAAGAAACTGGAGACACCGACGCATCCTTTATAACTAACCACTTCAATAGAAAACCCTTCACGAGGAGACAATGTAGCTTGACCGCCCATTGTGAGGGCCCCATTGTTGCAGCAAAACGCAAACATACAAACTGCCAATTTGATGCCAGACAATGCGGGACCAATAACAAGCGAGAACAATGGCTCGGAGTTTGCCGACCTTCCATAACGGGAAGCCATCCCCTGTTCTAAGCGCTCGCGTCAAACATGGCCAAATCTGCGCTGCGTAGCATTGTCTAACGACTGTCAGTAATGCTTTGACTTTCATCGCCAGGTTACTTTGTCAAGGGATGGCTGGTACGTCCTGATTCTTGGATTATTATCGCACACCTCACCTGAGATCGTCGACATAGTCACATAGACCTCGTCAAACACGAGGCCATTGAAAATGACTCATCTCCACTTCGGGGGAGCAATCTCGGTTTTTGCTACCTCGAGGCTAGTCTCGTCTGATACTCCCAGCATTTTTAACTCAAGGATGAGGTGTTCTGCATCCGCAACAACCTGCAAGAGCCCCTCGCCGGGTTAGCACCGAGCCTACGATTTGGTGTTTGCAAATTGACTGCGTCTTCTGTCGCTTCGACGTCGCCCAAGGGCCTCTTCAGGGATGCTGGATGAGGTCTAGAGTGCCTTCTTCCCGGAGTCTGACCCACGGTACATGGCTGAGATGAACGAAGATGTCGGATCACATTGCAGCGGCGCCGTTGGGAGAAGCCCCTGCGGTGAGCTCGCCATTGGCCAGACGTATCTGGTCGGGTCACCAGACATCCCGAGGCTTTCCTTTCAGGTCAGTTGCGATGTTTACTCCATTCCACGGCCTTCATTTGACAGAGATTAAAGGAATACACAAGGGCGATCCCCGTTCGTGATTTACGGCCAGAAGCCAACCGCACCCAAGTATGACTGCACAACTACGAAACAAAACACGTCACGATGAGGTGTTGGTTATAGTTTTTGGGTCTGGCCGCTCTAGCTACTGCTGGTGTCAGCATCCGCAGCGCTGAGCCGCACAACAAGCTTGCTTCCGCACCCCCTTCGATTTGTTCTCCCTCTCGAAAAACCAGCTTTGGTTGCCTGCGTGCAGCAGAAGGCATGGGCAGAAGCGTGTAGTACTGCCCACAGGAGGCGCCGCTCGCGGTGCCATACCACCAAGCCCGTGCTTCGAGCTCCAGGAAGAAGACGAAAGCTCACACCACTTCCTCTCCATGGACGACAACTAGTTATTGCCCGAGATATCCTCGTTCTCCCGCCTTCTTTACATGTTAGCCTCTCCGGCGGAGATACACTGCTCTCTGGAGCCTAATGCGACGAGCAGTCGGACCATTGTCTCTCGTTCAACATCGATGCTTTAGGACATCGCCTTTCCAGTCCAAGCCAATTGGGATGACTAGCCTGGTCTTCGTCGCATCTGATACCTTGGCTGGCCATATCCCAAGGGTGTCCATCGTCGATTTCAGCCTCGTGATGCCAACGATATCGACTGCAGACGATTGAGAAACAGAAGAACTTGACCAGGGTTTTACGACTCTCACGGCGAATGAAATAATCCTCCGACGACGTTGCAGGTGCCTGATAAATTGTGATAGTTCTATGTTGAGCTGTCCGATGTCTCGCCTAAATCACTCTTCAAGGGCCATCATACATGATGGAATTGTCCCAGAACTCGCCAGAAACGGGATTCAATTATAATTGCACAGGCGCTAATTGCGTATCATCACCTAGAACAGCATGTTTAAGCGATCTTTACGACTTGAAGTATTAGGATCGCGCTTACAGGACATGATCAACACTCCTAGGAGATTGTTAGCGTGTTCTATGGGCCAAGGGACAACTTCTGGGGTCGTCCAGCTGGGTTGATATCGCCAGTTGCTTGTGGAAACAACCTGGCTAGAACATGGTTTCGCTGTCTATCTCCTTGGAGGGAACCACCGGAACGTCAACCGTGAACTTGTATGCCCCACTTCAGCCCCCGCTCAAGCTCGAAGTTCTACGTCTTCAACTCTTCGCCATGTCAATCCTTCGCCGCGAAGTCTCGGAGGATATCACTCTGCGACGAGAATGGGTTTTAGCAAGGGAGAAGGCTTTATAGGAGATAAACCAATACATGAGCATAAAGTAGGTATAATAGATATTAAATGTTCAAAGTAGATGCATTGAGATTGCGACCATGGCTCCCTCCCATAAATAAAACCAATTTGATGTCCTCCGATAACAACGTCAAGTAGACTTTACCCTGTACTGGTCAGCTGGACGCCTGCGAGCCCTGCCCTTCTTGTCGCGATAAAACAGCACGTCGCCTTCTCGGACGGAAAATTCTCGTCAGAGTACGACCCCGAGCAAAAAATCAAAATGCTCACCCTCATTCTCGACAAACTGGCAGTTATTATAGTTGTCCCAGAGAGCCTTGAACACGGGGATATCGGAGTAGACATAATGATCTCCAATGAAGGCCTTCAGGTGCTGAGTGGCTTGCGGGCCGTGGTCTGAAAGGGAGAAATGTCAGAGTAAATATAGAAGCGAACACAAAGAAACGTACAGAAAGGCATCTTTGGGAAGAACTAAAGTCGAGGGGGTCAGCATGGCGCATGACAAAAAAGGGTACGCAACGCACATGGTGGATGACATGGAAGTGAGCCACATCATGAAGGAAAAAGCGGCCCTGCCATCCCAGAAAGTTCCTATCCACAGTGGCAGCAGCCCCGCGTTGGAAATTCCATTCCTTTCCACGATAGTGAGGAAGAACGGGATCAGTATGGTGGAGATAAGTGATCATAATGACTGGCGAGGTGAGAAACCGAGTTAGAGAGTACAATGTGAAACGGCCCGCGCAGAACTTACACCAGTGGGTCACGCACAACCAAGGAATTCCGTAGAACTTGGTCACTTGGGCAGCTCCAAAGAGCGAGGTGGCGTAGGTGACGCCCCAAACCATCGCAGCAATACCAATGTTGGATAGAATAACCGCGGTTCTTTGCTCCTTCGTGAAGAGAATTGAATTGGCTGCATTTGCGACGCCATAAGTGACGTCCTTGCTTCAAAGAAGTGAATAGAAACTTACGATCGAAATGATTGGTCCACTTTGGATAGTTCTTTTGGCCAGAGACGTTGTAGACTAGGGTGAATTTGGTTAGGATGAGTGGTTCGACAGGAACGAGGGCAGGGAAAGTCATTTAGACATAAACTTACGAAGGTACGCTGGGAATGCGAGAACCTGCTGGCGGATCAAAAGGAATAGAGTATAAATTGGGGTGTCGCCGAATATTTCGTCCCAGTCGATTTCGTCGTTTGGCCTATCGGGAATTCCAAGGTCCTCGCGGGTTTTCGGCACGTAGACTTCATCGCGTTCCATTGAAGCATGGTTTGAATGGTGGCGGTGGTGCGAGATTTTCCAAGAGAAATAAGGAGTCCATAAGAAGCTGTGAATGATCTTCAGACCATTTGGGAAAGGCAATTAGCGGTGGATCAGCGGGAACTTGGAGAATCAACCCACGAAACCGAGAACATCATTGACGATCTTGTAATCAGAGAACGCGCCGTGACCACACTGTGCGCAAAGTGAGCAATATCGTAGACAAAATATCCGACTTTACCGTACCTCGTGGCCAATAACCCAAAGCCCGGTGAAGATGAGTCCTTGGAACCACCAGCTATTCAGATGTCAATTGCTAAAACGACTATAAAGTAAGGCGGATTGACGTACTAGACACCCCATGCAATCCAGCGAAGACATTCTGCACCGACAGGGGTAATGATAGCCCTGATTGTGGCTTGCTGAAAGAACGGGTCGATCCTCAAAGCCAGTGACCACGCAACCGCAGCGAGAAGAATGTCACGGAGGAGATACAAGAGTCCCTTCCCCAAGCTTCTCACGAACATTTCGGGAGGAATGGCAGCGCGTATCTCTTTCAATGACCTAAAGTTAGCTGTGTGAGCGAAGCTGCAAGTGGAAGAGACGCTACGCTGAATGGCCTCACCATGGCATTGGCCGAAAAACGGGAAGGTCGTCCTCGACGTATCGGTCGTTTGGTGAGCCCATTGCTACGTTCCGTAAAGTTGACGAGAAGCAAGGGTAGTCCTTATGGCCAGTGGCAATAGCCAGGTAAAAGGTAGGATGTTCATTGGACTGCGTCCCGGGTTGTATTTATGTCGAAGGTCGATTCGAAAGTTTGTGTGAATCAGTCAATACTGAATGGAGCTACCCGAAACCTCTGAACGGAACCTACCTTGGCGCTAATTCTGGGAAATCAAATGCTTCTTGGTGGAGAGGGAAGAAGGCATACTTAGAAACGGCGTCTTGATGTGGCGAAGTAAACCTGAACAAGAAGTTCGTCCGCGCTGCGTTACGGAGTAGATTAGGGAAAACGATATAGATTCTTATGATGTACGTGCGACTAGTATTCCCGTGACCCCGATTAATCTTCTGGTTGCCCCTAGTAAATTTTGCAAGCATCTTTGTTTTTGCAGACTTGATACAGATCAAGTAACCGAAAGTCGTTTTCCGAAAACATAGCCGCAGTCCACGGCAGATAATCAACAGTTGATGTTCATTTGCCACAGAGTGGAGGGTGGGACCGAGGTGGCTTGGACGACCGTGCTGATCATGTCAAGATGGGTGTTCAAAATTGATTGAGATGGGCTGTAAAGTCTTTGTGACAAAAATTGACATTTCGCACTGGAAATATCGAGGAAAGGAACTTGAATCTGGATCGTTATATCGCGACCCCATCGGCTGACGGGGCAGGAAGTCTGAATTCCCGAAAAGGTTACTCCGGACCCTTTCTCCCTCTCACGAAGCATTACTCGGTGCTTGGTACTCTTCGAAGCCTTTCGAGCATGAATCGGGTACCATGACCTCGTCCAGAAGGCTATGATTGCATTCGGAGCACATGCTGAGATCTTCGTCCTCATAGAATTTCGTATTTGTCACTAAACGTCCAGATCATTGGCCACTTGTTGACTACCATTTGGTACGCTGGATCTAGAAGGTCATGGACACCATGTATATAAGTGGTTCTGACACAGCCTGACGGAAAGCAGCCTCCTTCACCGCCCAGAAAGTCGCACTTCCACCTGGACGAGTGTCTCCCAACGATGTACTCTCTATTCCGCGACGGACCCGAATATATCAAGCGCAAGAACACGCCTTTCAGACCCTCCGACGTGAGTGCCAGTAGGATTAAGGACGTAGTCCCTGTCCAAGCGCTAACCCTCGCGTCAAGGTAACGCTCTCCGAGCTGCATTCTGTGGTTCCCAAGCACCTTTATAGGAAAAGTACCGCTAAAGGGCTGGCCTACGTCACTCGCGACGTCCTATGTGCTGTGGCTGTCTATAAACTGGGATGGAGAATCGAGCCTTTGGTTCAGCACTGTATACACCACTTCCAGATCTCACCACTCTCGGCGTGGGCTCTCAACTGGACTCTCTGGGGCCTGTACTGGTATCTTCAGGGAGTGATTCTGGCGGGGTGGTGGTGCTTGGCCCATGAAGCCGGACACGGCACACTTTCGCCTCAGGGCTGGGTGAATCACCTGGTTGGATTTTCCCTCCACACTGTTAGTTTCTTTTCTCGACTCTATTTACTACAGTGAAAAACTAATTTTTACTTCAGTTTATCCTAGTGCCCTATTATGCCTGGAGGTCAACGCATCATGCTCACCACAAGGCGACCATGTCCATCGAAAGGGACGAGAACTACGTCCCTCGAACTCGTTCCGACTACCGTTTGCCGGCAGAGAAGATAGCGCTTGTCTCCGACTACCATGAAGTCTTTGAAGAGACCCCCATCTATACTCTTTGTCGTATGCTCTTCATGCAACTTCTCGGTTGGCAATACTATCTTCTCACGAACATCATGGGAAACCCAAAATATCCTCCTGGAACTAACGTAGGTGTCTCCATCTTTCAGCTTTGGACGTAACTGATAGTCGTTTCATAGCACTTCCAACCGTCGTCGCCCCTGTTCAAGCCACATGAGCGCAATGGCATTATCGCCTCGAACCTCGGACTTGGATTCATGTCGCTTCTACTCTGGCGATGGGGCAATACCGTCGGCTCCGGCTACTTCGTGAAGCTTTATCTCGTCCCTTACTTGGTGCGTCAATCCACAACCTTCTCCACTAAGGACTATGCTAACATCACTTCTTAGCTCGCTAATCATTGGATCGTGATGCTCACCTACCTCCATCACTCAGACCCAACTATCCCGCACTACAGAAAGAACGAGTGGACATTCCTCCGTGGGGCAATTTCCACCGTGGACCGCCCTCTCTTGGGATGGTTCGGTCGATTCTTCCTCCACAACGTCTCTCATGACCATGTAAGTCGCATCTTTCTTTGTTCAATTCTACACGGTTGCTGAGACCCCTGGCAAGGTCGCGCATCACCTGTTTTCAACAATCCCGTTCTGTAAGTGTCGGTGTTTTCGGTGTCCCAGTGTAAGACTGACGTCTGGCTCAGATAATCAGCCACAAGTCACTGAAGCCATCAAGAAAGTGCTGAAGGATGATTACAACTTTGATTCTACGGTAGGCCCTTTCTCCAGTGACGCGAGAACAGCGATATTCATAGATTGCCTTTATCAGAACACTTTCCGGGCTCTCTATCGTACATTCACGCAGTGCTGCTTTATCGAGGACGATGGCGACGTCGTTTTCTACAAGAACAGAGACGGGGTGGCCATCCGTGTTCTGGCACAGAAGGATTCCGACGGGAAGGGTAAAGAAACAGGCAAGGAAGAGAACTCGGAGAAGGTTGAATGGAACCCATTGCACATGTAGCTTGTTGTCTGCTACAGCGGGCCAATTTTCATTATCGTATCGACACCGTTTAATCTAGGTTTGTTCTTATTGATAGGATAGCTATAGCGGAACATATGCACGTCGGCAATGGATCGGATAATACATACCCATCTCTTAGCTCTATGCAGCTCCCTCCTTAGTTACCATGACGCTTCAATCTGCGACAGCAGCAAACTAGTTCCTGAAGGTCCTTTGAGCTCGTGGAAGTGCCGCGTCCATTGAATACTGACATAAATTCCAATCTTCCGCCTTGACGTCCCGTTGGTCATGATATTTCCGAATTCCAACACAGCCGTCGCTCTTCTTTTTTTTTCTTTTTTTTTTTTTTTTCGCTGAAATTTCGTCTCCGTCTCGAGCATGTGGATCGCTGGGTCCTCTATTCCGCCTAGGTTACACCGGATAGTGAATTGGGGGCGTCAAAGGGAGCAATTTCGCCGCTTCGATGACTTCACTCTGAAAGGACGAGCGGCCAACCGCTTCCAAATCTGGACCCACCAGCAGTACAGGGTTAACCCCGTACTTCTCACAACAGCGTTGTTGTGGGCGTCACGACGTGGTAATCAGGGTTGGAGAGATCGTATCTGAAAGATAGAGAAAACTGGACATCCGGTGAACTGACATGTTTGAGAGTTTTCTCGATGCGCTCCGTTGTTTGCAGATAGGTATGTATCACGGGCCACGGAAAACGCGTTTCATTCGTTTCAGCTTAGTACAACACCGTGCTTGATGCCTATCTCCCCGGAAACATATTCCCCAAAGTCAGGTTCATCGTCATTCCAGTCATACATGGACCCACATTGCGAGGGAGCCCTGTACTATAGTAGCATCTCGTCATTTATATCCGAATGCCACGTTCTCGAGAGTTCGACAGATATGATTCAAATTCCAAGCCGGAAGTGCACTAGATCTACTCTTACGACACTACATTCGGGGATCTGAATCGGAAAGTTACTCTGACAGGGGAACGAGTGGCTAGAGAGCTCGGGCTTGAGTCACCAGTGAGATCGGACCGAGCTCTGGGTCCTCAGTGCAATCAGCGTAGCGGGAGCGAGGTGGTATGTTTCCCAAGGATAGAGGTCCCATGTTTCTGACGATCGCTCGCGCTGCGCACGCGACACTGTCAAGGTAAAGCCTCACTTGAGCCCAAGCTCTGCGGAAAGAATGAACTCCAAATCGACAACTGAATCCTTATTTTGAAAAAGGTACAACAGTTTAAACATGCTTTTGTCCCACAACCACAGAACGGGCTGTGGGGATCACAATGTTCACCTTGGGGCGTTCGTAACGTTCAGGGCCAGGTGTGTCGAAGTCGTACACAACAGCGTTCACGCTCAAGAGCACCAAATGCTGAATATAGTTAGATACAACGGAAAGTACATGCACAATTCTACTGATACAGATTCAGATTCAAGTTCGTCATTCTTCTACACGCGCCCATGCAGAATGTCAGTGGTGATAAAAAGGGCATAGAGGGGGGAATGGCACAATTCCAAGGCGATGCTGTAGGGTGCCTCGCTGCGATGATAGGTAGTGTCTGGAGTAAATGAGATCGCAGTCCGTGAAATGAAGGGGTCTGGAGCCAGGTGGGGACGACGATGATAGCGATCCGAGGCGAGGTGAGATCAAGGGTTCTTCATGCCTCCCTTTCGGTTCCTAGAGAAAGAGGAAAAGACCGAGTCAGAACAAAAGAGTCTGGTGGAGCAATAATGGGCACGTGGTAGCCAGGGATGCGTACCAATGCCAATAGTTCTGCGCGAACGGGATCGAGAACGCCGTTCCGAAGAACAACAAGAACTTGAAGGCGATCGCTGGTTTGCTTGCAGTCGTGTAGTTGAATGGCAAGTGCTGTGATAAAGATGAGGATTAGATGGCTATGAGGAGAGCTGAGACGAGATAATGCCGCCGCCGACACTCACACTGTTGGGACCAGAGTGGGCATGTCTGACGGCGGATGGGGCGCTCTTCCTAGCAATAGAGCGAGAGCCGCGAAGGGCAACGGTGGCGAGTGAAGACATGGGGGAAGAGTGTGGTGATTTGTGGACGACGGTAGTGAAGGATGGTCCACGAGCTGACCACCCTCTTATATCCACCAACTATGGGAGGTCTCGACCAAAACGGTCCATACATGACGGAAGCCTAGGTCACGGGGTATGTCAGAACGTATCACATTGCCTACCTTCACAGGGCTTGTGACATGTTCGAACCACAGGAACTGCATTAAGAACCACTGGTTGCACCGATCGAAGCTGCTTGAGCTTATTCAGGTTGATGCAGGATTGCTGACCATTAATGGCCCCTGTCCATTCTTTGTGGCTGTGTCCGAGTCTGGGCGCTTTATAATGGGCGCTTGGGGTGTCTTCCAGGTAGTCATGGGATGATAAAAAATCGATACGAGCGTTGATTGTTACTTCAAGTATGAAAGAGGCTGGATGATGGAGGAGATTCTAAAGTGTTGCAGTCCTGAGGCATCGAGCACGCACTAGCAGTATGCGGGCAGATTTGTCGTTGTAATCTTTTATTGAAACTTCTACCGGTAGAGTGCCCCAGTAGGGACTCATTTATCTGGCAATGGAATGTATAATCAGTACATGAGAGAAAATCTACAGATACAAGTTGAATATCAAGTTCGTAATTCTTCTACCCTCGTCCATGCAAGTAGTGGCGTTAAAAGGGGGCGTAAGGGGTATATGGCAAGACGATGAGGACGTCTGAAAGGTGCGCCGTGGCAGTTCTAAAACGATGCTAGTTGGAATGAGAAGGCTGTCCGAAGACTTCATGGCTGGGTGGAAACGTTGACGATGGCGAAATGAGGTGAGATTTAAGGGTTGTTGATGCCTCCTGGTCGGTGCCTAAAAAGAAAAAGAGAATGACGCGTCAGAACAACGCTCTATTGGCTCGAACATGAGAGCACAGTAGCAGGGAATGAGCAGTACCAGTGCCAATAGTTTGCAACGAACGGGATAGAGAACGCCGTTCCAAAAAAGACGAGGAACTTCAATCCGAGCGCTTGTTTGCTTGTAGTCGTGAAGTTGAATGGCATGTGCTATGAAAGGGACATGGGTTTGTAAATATGAGGGGAGCTGAAGAGATAAAAGGCCTCCGATACTCACGCTGTTGGGACCAGAGTGGGCATGTCTGACGGCGGATGGGGCGCTCTTCCTAGCGATAGAGCGAGAGCTTCGAAGGGCAACGGTGGCGAGTGAAGACATGGCAAGAGCTTAGAGAAACGGGCGTTGCCTGGCAGATGATAGAAGTGGAAGTGAAGAAGTTGGAACGCACTGTTCACCCTCTTATATCCCAACAATGGGAGGACTAGACCAAGGCAGACCATCCGCAACTGAAGTCCAGTTCACGGTTCACGTCGGAAGAGATTGTATTTGCCTGCCCTCACAGGCGTTCGCGGCATATTCGACCCATACGGATAGTTACGACGATACGAGATCCGTTGATAACCACTGGCTGGGCTAGTCGGAGACGCTCGAGCTGATTCTGGATTGATGGAAATAGGGCCCCTGTCGGTTCTTTGTGGCTGTGCATGGGCGCTCCTCATACGTGAGCGCTTGGGATTGTCTAGACCGATCATCATAGGAGCTCTGTAGGGTGCATCCAGAGTGCGGCGAATATCATCCCACGAAAATTCTACTACAATACATTACGATGGCACTCATGACTCCGTTTTTCTCCATTGAAGAGTCCCAATGGCGATGAAAGCGCCATAATGCAGGAGGATGACCTGATAGGGGTGATCCAGGCCGCGGCCAGCCCCGGATCCCGAGCGTGGTGCCCAATTCCATTAGTATTCCAAGTAGTATTAGTACAAAAAGCAAAGTCCTTAGTCAAGTAGATTTTACTGAGAGAACACAGCTACGTCAGGCCTTGCGCTGGGGATGGTCCAGACTAGCAACCGAAAGTAGCTCTAAATCTGCCGGGGAAAACTCGACGGCACGCCCGCGAGACGCGTCGTCGCCAAACGCCGCTGTACGGTACTCTTCAGAAAAGGGGTGGTAGTATGCATCACGAAGGTTCAGAATCAGTCGACAGCCCAGCAATGGGGGCGCTATTGAGGATAATTTCAAGATGATGGTGATCGATCCGGGCTGGAACTTTTGGTTCAGATTCAGATAGAAATCATGTTACCCCCACAACTTACCGGGAGTACATCGAACAGTGCCAACAAATTGAGCGGGCATACGACAACACTGCTGTTTGGTGGGTCAGGACCTAGTCCAGGAAAAACAGGAAAGTACTACTCACAGAAATGGCAAGACCATACTATCCCGCAAGAGAACGCGAAGCAAATTAGGACGCGGGCCTAACGCAAGCACTAAGCTCGCACTGCCAGACTCGGAAGCAGCAGTCTCCCTTGCCGTCCGTTTAGGTTGGCGCCAGACGAACCGAATGCCTTCCCACAATGCGAGCACAAGAATTAGAAAGTCGAACGCGGCTGTCAAGCACCAAAACAGCCAGAGGAACTTCGGGAACCCTTTAGGGATACAGATAGCCCATTGCGTCCCAGGGATGGAGAAGTTAACTGGGTCCAAGTGTTAAATCGAGTCGAAAGAGGTAGACGTGGTCGCACCTCCTCCTGTTGCGGGGTCTAAACCGACGATAAGACTGCTTCCACCAACATGTATGACGAAAGCGATTCCAAGGACACAGAATATTCTTTTAGATCGTTCGTACATGCACCATATGCGGATGGCAAGGATGACTAGGGGCTGTCAGCATACGGTCATTCACAAAGGGGCGCGGAACTCACACTGCATCGTCCATAAACCTATAACACTCAGCCACGCTTGAATTTGTCCATGAATGCCCGATTTGCCTATAAATTGGTTAGAGTCAAGCTTTAGACGGCGAGAAGGGACTCACAGCTAACGTGACATGTTAATTTTGACCCAGGGTCGGATAGAGAAACTCACGCCTTGAGCAGGGACGTCAGGATTCTGCGATATCAGGGGAGCACTTCGCGGCTTACTCTCTCGAACGATGGATCTCCCGGCCGTGCGGAGAATTGATCTACGGGGATGGATCAGAGCCAGTCGAGAAACACGGTGGGCAGACAACTCACGAATTGTGCCATGTCTGGAAGTGAGCCGGTGTCAACCACTCAATATACGGTTATCGCAGAGCTCGAGGAAGTGAACGCACAAGGCGAGGGCGTGGCCCGCGTAGCGGTTCTGCCTCGATGGTGAGCCTAGTTCAGGAAACGGGACCAAGAGACTCACAATAACGTATAAGAACTGTCCAAGCGTCCACTTTTTCTTCCGCTTCACATAGGCATTAGGACAAGGTCGACGCGACATAGAACATGCAGCTTGCCCATATCAACTCCACCTAGACAAGCGATAAGAAACCGAGTAGTCGCGAATATTACAGCTCAAGCACTGACCTCCAGGTCAAAAGTCGTCACTGAAATTGAAGTCAGCGCTCATTCAATAGAATAAACCGGCTAGCTCACCGTGATCGTATAGCAGGACTGACGTAGCAACGACTAGAAAATGTTCAGCACCTACCTGTCGAAAAAAGGGCGTCCAATCCAACTAACCTTGCCAGTACAGTCCCTGTTGGACCGTTCGCAAAAGTGTAAGGAGATCTTCCAACGACGGCAGCGGCGGCGGGGGAGTCCCGCTCATTATTTCGCGCGAGTCGACGGCGCGAAGGGCATCGAGAAAGACGTGGTGGGAGTGAAAGTAAGAAAACCGTACATTATGTAGCTTTCCCCGGATGCAATTCTCGCATCGGTGTTAGGCAATCAGAAAGCCTCTGTCGCCAAGATGGCTGTCGATGTGGGGGCTGACTTCAAGGTTTGTCAATGATTTGAAGGCGTGAGAGGTGCTTGCTTCTGCTTGCTACTATTGGGCGAAGTGGAAGATGGCGCACGGTTGCCAGTTGGGTATGATTCTCGGGGATTCTCCGCGTTCCGCTTCCTTCGGCACATTCTTCGAAAGGAAGGGCGAGGATGGGGGTAAGAGGTGAGTGAAGATACCGACCGAAAAGCCAGACTCACTCGTATAGTTTACGGGCCTTGCTAATACACATCCGTCAGTCTTGACTACTAAGCCTAGAGCGAGCCTTGGGAATTCCGATGTCGGTTACCAGCGTAGTGGGTGTGGTGGCGACAGGACGTGGGTTCTCCATTTCAACATTAGAGGAGGACGACCGCAATGGCACTGTGGCAGGACCAAAACGAGTCAAATGGGCGTCGTTGTCAGTGTCAGAGAAATTGATGTGTCTTCCGTTTGAAACAATAGGACCAGACTTTCTCCGTACCTAACACTTAGTACTTACTAGTATGTAAGTTAGGGAAAGCGAAATGACAGTGATACTGTTTGTCCGCTTCTCACCACGGGAGCCAAGGCCGCCGTGGCATGTCCAACCGCTAGAGCGTGCCAGAGAAACTGTTCTAGCTTCCTAGCCCCTGGATTTCAAGGCAGGTAAGCGGAGTAGCGGCTCGTGAGAAGCTAGGGATGAATTTGTCGTCGAGATCACAGAAGCATGGGAGGGGAGGGGCAGAATTTGGAATCAGGTGCACATCGCGACAATTAAGCTTTCAGCGTGTGGGGAGTTCGGTACCACTTGGAGCTTGTGAGGCTCCGGGTTGTTTCTCCCCATTGGTGTTACAATGCCGTTGTCGGTGACCTAGGGTGACCTTGATGGCCTTCTTGAGCCTTCAAGCCTCCACGCCGATCGTAATGGGATCTGGGGAACTTGGTGCCGCGGTGAAGGAACTGGAAGGATAAAAACAGTCTATTTCACAGCTTCCTGTGACGATGCGACTCGGATTGGCCCCTGTTTTTTTGGTACAACTACATTAGGCTTTGAAGGGTGCGTGAACGTGAACAGAAACGGAGTCTAGGTCCATATCAGCGGCGGTAAAAACGATGGCGCAAGCGCTAGCGGCCCCGGGGTCGAGCAGCGGCGGCGGAGAGTGGGAGCGAGTCGGAGGAAGGGAAGATTGACGCGTCCCAGGACGACTCGAACTCAGCTACGAATCCCGCTGGCCCAAGGCCAAGTGATCGAGGATCGTCTGTTACTGGTGCAAGCGACGGTTGTCGTTAGACCCGCATCGTTGGTCCAACGACGACAGCGATAACAGGAGCAGCACACCCAATGTCGGCGGAAACGTCGGCGGAATAATGGGAGGGGTTGTTCGTCACTCGCTCTCTAATTCTAGTGCTGGTCCTGGTCAAAACGAGGAGGAGGGCGAACACCTGATGGCGATGATCGACATAGTGCTTGTATTCATGCGACTATCCTATCGTCCTTGCCCTAAATTGAAAAGTTAGAAAGAGTAGAATATATCATAATTGATAGAGCACGTGCCAATACATTAGAGAACTCAGCGTGAACACGACTGGTGATGGAGTCCAGCTCCAAATCGCCGGGGATAAACACGGGGCAGGGGTTGGTCCCCTCGTCGTAAATCGGTACTGTGTAGTATTCTTCGTCAAAGGGGCGGTAGTAGGCCCCTCGGAGGTTCAGGATCATCCGACACCCCAGCAGTGGGGGCACCATAGGAGTCACTTGGAAGACAAGTGCAGACAAGGTCGGCTGAAGAGGTGTAAAGGAGGTGTAAGCAACGGCGAAGTATACAATCGAGAGATGGACACCTTACCGGGAGCGTGGTGACTATGGCTAACAAGTTGAGAGGGCAAACGATGAAGGTACTGCACAGCGGGTCAGGACACGGGTTCAGAATAAAACAAGGGGGGAGTGCCGAATGCTCACATGAAGGGTGCGATCATGCTATCCCTCAACAGAACGCGAAGCAAGTTTGGAGGACGCTGCAGAGAGAGCACCACACTGTCAAGATCCGAATCCGCATTCTCTGCTTCTCTTTCTCTTGCACTGCGCCGGCGCCGGCGCCTGACGAAGCCGATGCCCTCCCACAAAGCGAGCGCGCACACGAGCGAGTCGAATGCGGCCACGAAGCACCAGAACACCCAAAGAAAGTCGGGCACGTCGCGTGGGACGCAGAAACCCCATTTTGTTCCTGGGATGTAGATGGCATCTGAATCGCGTCCATTAGATAGTGTTGAAGGGTTGTTTTGTATAGAAGGAAGAAAACTTCTCGCACCTCCCTTCCAATTGGAGCTCAAGCCGTTGAGAAGGCCGCCTCCGAGAGTCTGGAGCACGAACGCGACCCCAACAACCCAGAGGAGAATGATAGACCGGTCGTACATACACCAGATGCGGATGACAAGGATGACTGCGGTGTGTTATCAAGTTGCCAGGTCCTCCAGGAGCAGCAGGGGAGACGTACGTTGCATCGTCCATAACCCGATAAGACTCAGCCAAATTTGCGAGTGTCCATGAACGCCAGATTTGCCTGTGAATGGATTAGGAGGTGTGCGTCGGACGGTAGTAGTGATAGCGGACTCACACCTAACAGGACAGATTATAGTCGGGTGCGCGCGGCTGATAGTAGTACGACTTACGCCTGTAGAAGGAGAGTCGTGAATTGAAAACCAGAGGGAAAGAGGTCACGCTTACTGCTTCAAACGCGGGATCCCCGTGTCGCCCGGAAAGCATGGCTGCAATGAACGAATGAGCAACGAGAAGCAGGAATGCCAATGGGGGTCAACTGACAGATGGTACCATGTCTGGAGGTGTGTGTCAGCCATTTGGCATGGGAATGACGGGGAAAAGTCGACGTACATAAATAAGGCATCGCCAACGTAGCGGTTCTGTCTCGACGTGAGGTTGGGACTCAGGGGACGGAATCGAAGAGCTCACAATGAGATATAAAAGTTGGCCAAGTGTGAACCTCTTCTTCTGTAACGGCAATGCATTCAATTAGGGATATACCGATATGCCATAGGGCGCAAGATACTTGCCCATATTAACTCGACCTGGACCAAAGAGTGAGTACATATCCAACAGTTGCGAAGGTTTGGGTTCAGTACTGACCTCGAGGGCGAAGGTCGTCGCTGGAGACGAGGTAAGCGATCCATGAAATATATATAAGAGAACTGGCTAGCCCACCGTGGTCGTAAAGAATCACCGTCATAGCACCAACTAGTCACTGTTCAACGTCTTTTCCATCCGAGCAATAGGGGGGCAGCCCCCGACTGACCTTGAAAATATATTCTTTGCTGTGCCGCTCCCAACAACATTTCGATGACTTCATATGGCGGCGCCTGCGGGGCAAACCCGCTCTTCATTCTGCCCGTGTCGTCGTCCACTGGCGCGAGAAGACGATGGGCATCGACAGGTCGAACGTGGTGAAGGTAACTGAAAGACAACCGGCAGCCCGGTGATAAACGCTCTTTCGCCAGGGGCCCGGAAGCCCCTTTGGCATGGCGCCTCCGAGCAGCTCCAAGCTTTTGATTTGTCGGGTTGGCAATGTGCAGGGCGTGGGAGGTGCCTGGTGGATGATTTCATGCTTCGGTGCCGAAATTCTCGTGGTGTTGTCTGGTGTGTGCTGCTGACTCCTGAACCAGAGGGACGATCATCGGGAAATAGGGCTATATCCAAAAATATGGTATATGAATCCTGTCCAGTGAACTCCATCCAGAGCAATCGAGGCCAGACCAAGGTGCGTGAACCGGAAGAGGTCAGGAACTTTGATCAATGGCGGGGGCGAAACCATGGTGAATGTGGACGCCAGCGGCCTGGGTCGACGAAAGCGCTTTTCTGGAGGCAGTTCAGACTCCAGTGGATGTTGAACCAGCTTGCAGACGAGTAGTCGCGAGAGTGTCGTTTCGGTGGTACCCACCTGCGACTGCGTCGAATGACAAGAAAATCAGCATCGTTAGTTTGCGACTGGGCTACTTATTGTACATTAGTTACGCGAATGAGGTAAGAAATGCGGGCGGGACGAATTATTTATAGCGGTGTGTACGAGTGGGAAAGGGGGAATAGTAACGTACAAGAATCAAGGCTAGTAATTGGCTGGCAACGTGAAGGGACCGAGGAAAGGATCATGATGTGGAGAAATGATAAAGAACAGGAATAGCCAGGGTGATGTGGAATGTTGGTCTGCTTGATGGAGAATGGAAACGATGAATCGCTGGCCAGGATGCCAAAATGATGGCTGTCGCCCGAATGGAATAGGGGAAGATGTGAATGCTGACGGGAAGGGACGAAGGGGAACAAGAGGAGCAAGGCTGGTTGTGAAGGAGACGGGAAGGACAATGATGCGCGGGCTTGAAAGAGTACCCTGAAGGCAACCCAGCAAAAGGATGCGGAAAAAGGTGGATGAATGAGGACGACGGCGAGAAACCGGGCGTAGATGGATGAGGGGATAGCGCGACAGTTGGGTGGGCACGCGTTGCTGAAAGGCAGACGCGCGCGACATCTTGGCGAGGAAGACGGCGAGGGGGACTGCTGTTCGGCGAGGAGGGAGTCGCATTAACGCAACCTCTGGGTCGGCGTCGTATGCTCAATCGAAACGATTATGCGCTGGCCTGGAATACCACAAGGATGGCTGTTGTCCGACTCGACGATGACGGAGACGACCCCATGACACTCGATTCGGACCTTTTCACTGGAAGTCTGCTCCTTCCTGACGCCTCTAGCCCACTTCAATAGGTTGCTCGTCTTCTTTGGAGGCGCCAGCGCCGTCTGTGAAACTGTGGATTTGAAGCCTTTGCAGGTGCACAGAAAGCTTTTGATAGACTTGGTCGTCGTCGATGTTGTTGGGATCTGTTGTTCGCGTCTGTGCGAAGGGGTCAGCGAAGTCACTTGGGTGTCTCGAAGGACGTACTGGAAACGGACTCCGGTTAGACCACGGATGTCTCTGATGACCATGTCGAGGCGGCTAAGATGGTCGCAATCGTTGGTTTTGATGATCGAATGGTAGCCACGGAATCGGAGGAGACTCGACGAGCTATTGGCATCGATTACAGCCTGGTTGAGGGCTCTGTAGAGGGCAGACGCGTTTTGGAACTCTGTCCCTTGGAAGGTCTAGGATCCGGTCAGCCGCATGTCAAGTCACTAGGAAAACGACCCACAGGTAATCCCGGAGACTGAGCCAGGTAGCTCCTTTGGTCGACAACCTCCCGTATCCTCGCCTTCATCATCTTCAATGCTACCTGTCGTTCGTCTCCCTCCAGTTCCTTCAAGCGTTTTGGCGGTCGTTTCTGGACTGGAGCGGCATCCATGGCGCGCTGTTTTTGAACAGCTCGGAGTCGAGCATCCAAGGAGAAGCGACGTGGGTCTCTATTCTCTTTGGGTCGAACTGGGGCGCTAATGGACTTGGGCGTCGGCGTCGTCCTGCCTGTTGGGGTTGCGCTGCCGTCCTCGGTGTCGCTGGAACGCGAATAAGCATCTGAGCTGACTCCAGCCAGTGCCTGCATGAATCTTAACTCTTTCCTGGCCTTCACGAGCTGTTGTTTCTTCCTGTTTTTCTCTCGACAGTTGATGCAATTAACCCGACTCGACCAGGCTGGAACGGGGACTTGCTTGCACGTTTTGCACGACTTTGTCCTCGACCTGCTGCTGTTGACAACCGCAGAAAGGCTGTCGTCGGAGCTGTGGGCGTCCATTTTTTCGACGATTTTGCGACCAGAAACGACCTGGAAATTGGAGTAAATGGGTAGAGAACAAAGGACGCGACGCCTTTGCGCGACCCCACCGTTGGCATGCTACCCAATCCGGCAAACGCCGGATACAAACGACGCGTCGCGACGCGCGCCTAACAAGCGCGCCAACACGTGCCATTCGCATCACGCGCTGTGTCCGAAAGGGGCGTCGCAGCGAGGACGAAAGACAAGCCTTGGTGCATCAGTGGGAAGTGCCCGAATGTCTAAAGATTGGGTATATAACTCAGAACCATCTCAGAAGATCTGAGGCCGAGCACCGGCCGTGAAAGATTCACTGTGGGTGGGCGGGCGGTAATCACTTCAATTCACGTCATGATCACGAAAAAGCAAATAAATTCGCGCCCGCTAAGGCGACAGCGGCTACCGTCCATACTAGCCTAGGAAATTGGGTCTCCTGTATCCCCTTTCCATGGTGAAACAGGCAATCCGCGCTTCGCAAAATAGCTTCATCGTCCACTCGACGATCACATGAGCTATAAAGGTCTGGCCGTGTCCGCCTTTTTTGCCCCGGCCATTCACGTAGAGTCGATTTACAGACCCGCCCACAATCCAACGATTGATGATATTTCACTACTTGGTAATATGTGAAACATGTCCATCTCTTCCCAATTCCCTTCCTCCCTCTTCCCACTCGCACTCATTTGCTCCAGAGGGACAGCCTTTCCCTTTCATACTAATTTCAAGACTATGCCATGTTAGTGACTGAACTACTCCTCGACGATACCGACGGAAGGGTGAAATACGGCGGCCAAAGCGAGCCCGCACACGTCCAGTCCGTCGGTGACCGCGGAAGGCGCTCATCGCACGGTGGACCTACAAAATCACCAAATTCCTATTTCAAGGCGCATAACCGGTGATCCATTCCCCAAGAAACACTGGAATAATCCAGCGGAAACTACAGGAGCGGTGGAGAATTTGCCGTGACTACCCATGTTTGTCCCCAGCGCTTCACATCGAGCCGTTTGACACGCCCGCCCACAATCCGACAGCTGATGCTAGCACACATTTAGTTACTTGGTGATGTGGGCTCTGTTCCTCATCCACAATTCCTTCCTTTCCTTTCCTCTTTCCTCTTTCCTCTTTCCTCTTCCCACTTACCACTCAACCCCAGCTTTCGACTTCAAGCTCCAAAGGGACGAATTTCCCCTTATCCATTCATTTAGCTAAATTATGTCTGTCATTCCTTTCGACGATACCGACGGAAGAGTCGCATATGCCGGCTCTTGGACTCGTTTCTCGAGTGGAAACGAGCACCAAGGAAGTGCCGCCTTTACCAACGAAGGCGGCGCGAGCGCAACAGTTCGATTCCTCGGTATGTCAAGCCGTCCCCTGGTCGATCCACTAAACTAACCTCAAAGACAACACCACAGGTAATAGCATCACCATCTACGGCTCCATCCCTCCCAACACCATCCAACGCGCAATCTACGTCCTCGACGACCAGCCTCCGCGCACCTTCACCTCCGACCGCTCCAGCGCCGCACGCTCCCTCGTCGAGTTCATGTCCTTCACCAACCTAGTCGACCAACAGCACAACCTCGTTATTACAAACTTGGATGGCTCGGCATTGGCCATCGACAGGATCCAGATTACCAGACCGGAGGGCTTGACACCGCCCCAGCCCACAACTTGGAGCGTGACGACGACGACGGGTGGTGTGAGGCCGCCTGTGGGGACTGGTGGAGGGAGTATTGCTCCCCCCAGCAGTGCGCCAGACCGTGGAGATCAGAACGAAAACCAGAACGGCGGTGGGACTGACCCGGAAGAGTCGCAGGGAGGGAACAATAACCCGTCCCAGAGCGCTTCAGGCCCAGGTTTGGGTACAACGCACTCTCCGCGGCCGGAGCCCAGCGATAGAGCATCTGGCGCCGTTGGAGACGACGAAACGCAGGGGGAGGTCACTCTAACCATCTCCGGCCAGATTGTCGTCAAGCCCACTGGCTCAGGCAGCGGCACTATCCTCGAACTCTCCGATACCTCTAACGACGGCGGCAATGACAAGAGCAGCCAGCCAAACGTCGGTGGGATCGTCGGCGGAATTCTAGGAGGGTTGGTCGTCATCCTCGCTCTTATCCTGGTGTTCGTGTTGGTTAAGAAGAGGAAGAGGCGACAACGGTTTACGATGATGACCGAGAGGACCTTCTTGGGATGAAGGCTTTGCATCATTGTTTATCTAGAACGTCTGTATTGTAGCCAGCCTAGCGACTGTCCTCTCGGATACCTAGTACACCGGACAATGTGAACCACCTGTATCTCCCTGTAAATCTCATTCAGTTCAGCATACACAAAGACTAGATCTCAATGAACACATACCCTGATTCGCTTCATAATCCCACTCCCTCGTCCTCCTCAGCCTCTCCCGAATGGACTTTGCCTTTCGCGCAAGAACAGTTATCAAAAGCACCAGTATGAACGCCCAAAATATCATCAACTCCATAGAACGATACGCAGCAAACCTCCCAATCTCCTTCATCCTTCCCTCAGCACCACCACTACCACTAGTACTAGTATGATCCCCGAGGAGAAAAGTGCTCAACTCGAAATCCGGAACAGCCTTGGCTCCCAGTACGTGAATCTCGTCCAGCCAAACCGTCCCGCTCCCAGACTCGTTGGTGATAACCAGCGTATGGCGTCCATACGGCAGCCGCGTGACTTCGTAGAATTTGACGTGGTATTGTACGCGGTCGGGGAGGAGCCGCCCTGAGAACGTACGTGGTGGTACGGCCGACAGAGAGTTGGAGTCGAGTTCGTAGGTGGATACTGGGGCATTTCGGGGATCTGATGATTGTCCTAGCGTTCCTAGCACCGTGATGCCTGTGCCTAATCATAGTAGATGGTAGAAAAAAATCATGGAAGGTGAACATTAGCCTGAGTAATTGGACAATCATACGAAACAAAACTTCACGAACCGTAAAAGGTTATCGTCGCTGATGCACCTTCCACAGAAGTTGCAGAGGTGGTATGTTGGTACTCCAGGTGCATGCCTTCATGTCTCCAATGGCCTGGACTATAGGAAATAGCAGGATCACGGTCGTCGAGGATGAGCTTGCCCATTTCCTTGTCCAGATTAGCCCAGTTTAAGCTTCGTGAGTGCCAAATTCGTGTGCGCAGAGAGCTCCAGGTTTGGAAGGACGACAGTGAACAGTCAAGCAAAGGAGGTATCCTGAGCGCCCTGGTTGTAACCTTCTTTCGGCCACGTATAGAGCGTAGGGAGCATGGACCCGGCGACAGGAGGAGCTGTGACTGAACAGATGATGGTCTGCGGAAGAAAAACGGCTGGCTGGTTCTGTGCCGACCCCGGCCCAAGTGATGGGTGCATCAAAGTGCGACTGATGCCCCTATTTCGCGTCATTTATCGTCGAACTTCCCGTCCTCGGGACTCGTTAAGCAGGAATATTCCTTTAGACATGGCCTGGACATATATGGTTTCCGAGTCGTACCTTTGCAGAAGGAATAGAACATCTACTCGTTATACATATATCAAAGCGAGGACAGCGGAAACGCTCAAGGATACAACGAACCCCACTCCTTTCCCGTACGACCCAGCACCATCCGCGTCGTCCAACTCAGCCGTTCCACTCGAAGCTCCGCCAGTCGGGCGGCCCGCGCTATCAGCAATAGACTTGACTATAGCCACCAGAGTCACGGAATGGATCAGATAGTCAGTAATCAGAGAGTAGAGTCGAATGAAGGAGATGGGTCATACGTTGACTGCAAGTATTCGCAAGACCCGACCTCCAATGCTCCTCCGTCTCGAATAGGCCATTGCTACACCCAATCTTCCTCCAACAGCCCACCATCTCCTTCACGTAAGCGTCTTGAACGTCTGGCCTGCAGAAGCATTCCTCGGGGTTGGATCTGAGCTCGACGTAATGGTATTGTCAAGCATTAATTAGAGGGTCAGTGGAAGAAGGTAAGCATATGCGTACGTAGATTTACACGGCTCATAGGCCTTTGGGAAGCTTGTTACACATTCGTTGGTGGTGCTGAGGCAGGGATCATCGTCGCTTGATTGAGCCAGAGCACCGCCACCGAAGATGGCGAAGCACAAAAAGAGAGTGGTGAAAAGAGAGAGGAAAGGGCAGATAAGATGCATCGCTCTGCGATTGGAAAACGACAAAGGAGTGGGTGGGGCTGTAACTACTGGATTGGTTGAAAAGGAATGGGAGCTCGAGGATGAGCTTTGTACGATTTTATGCTACGGGTTCTAAAGGCGATTGTTAGGTTCTCACCTGGGAATCGAAGACGAGAAGAATTGTTCTCTGAAGTCAAACTATGTGATGCGACGGACGCTTCACAGGTCAACTGATTTTTACCTTGTCACTCGGATGTCAATCAATAAGCGCCCGTCGGGATGGTACCTTTGTTCAAGTTAGTTACGAACTTTGACATTACCACGCGATTGATTTACACTTGTAGAAATGCCTAGCAGTCTATCCTTGGTACGTTTAAGTTATGAATGACATACGTCAGACGTCCATGAGTCGACTTGGTGGATACATACCAACGGCCGATGGCAATACCAATCACCCAACGCTGGTTAGGTGGTCGATCAAAGTTTAGTCTCAGGAACAGGCTTCTTTGAGTGTCACCACCAGACGCACGGGACAGAATATTGATTCACAAGAAGGGCACACCAAGTCCACAGTCTGATACAATCAAGGATATACACAGAGACGAACTAAACGAGGCAGACGGACTAACAATTGTGCACAAGAGCGTTGAAAGCACCAGCAACACCCAAAGCGGTGAACAACCCAACCCCGTAGGCCTTAACAGCCGCACCATCCGCATCACCGTCACCAGTAGCCGAAGCCCCTCCCGCCTCACCCGCCTCGACTATAAGATGCAAAACAAAGTGTTCGACAAGGGGTCAGCAAGCCGCACAACAGACTCCAAAGCCCAAAGTCCAAAGAGTCAGGGCGAAACGGAAGAAGAAGGAACGTACTATGACCCCTACATATATCCTCAATCTCCTCCTTCCAATACTCCTCGGTCGCAAATCTACCGTCTTTGCACCCATTGTCCCGCCAGCAGCTGGTCATTTCGTCGATGTAGGCTTTGCGCCGCTTGGGTTGACAGGTGCATGCGTCTGGATCGGGTCTGACATCGTGTTAGCTTCAATAGTAGGAGGAAGAGAAAAGGGAGATCTCAGATGATAAATTTAAACACGCACTCGGACGCACACCCGCTGAACGCAGCTGGGAACCCCATCCCGCATTTACTCTCCTTGCAAGGATCACTCTCCTCGGTCGATTGAGCTATCGTTGCCCCGAAGAGGTTCAAAGCCAAAATGAGAGTGGCGAATAAAGATAGAGTGCGAGTTTGGACCATGATTTGAAGTGAGTGTTTGTTAACTTGTTGATGAATTGAGGATTGGAGAAGGAAAATTCTGCACTTTTATACCTCCAAAGAGCGAGGGTGATATGAGGCTTTTAGATAAAAATAGAGGAAAAACTCTTTTTGAGTTTGAGAATTACGCGGGCTACCTTGATCTTTGTCGCTTCTGTTGCCATCTGTCACAATTAAGCGCCTGTCGGTACTATGGAGGGACAGTCCTCCTTTCACCTGAAGACGAGGTTCAAGCCATTCTACAGGCTCCTATCTCGTGACGAAGATCCTCCTGCAGAAATTCTGTAGCAATTCCAAATTTAAGTGGTGAGGCGACTCGGAGAAGAATTCGTTGGCAACGATATCTAAGCGCCCAGAGTATGCCTGCCTTATCACTGAGTCCGCATCAAGACCAAGCTTCTTTACCTCCCACCTCCAAGCGCATTGGACTACCTTCGGAAAGGTATCCACTGCGTCCCGAGACTTTCCACCGCCAATCACGGGTTCAATGGGCTACCATCCCATCCACGTCAAGGTTGGCTTCGAAATGTGACCTTGCGGTGGTAAGGGTGCCACCGCCTAGTACGCCTTGATTCTGACGGGGTGATCAGCCTGCTCGGAGACTGGCACCGGGCCAGGGCCCCAAGCCCCGTGTCAGTGACCAATGCTGTCACTTAGTAGGAGAGGTCAGGAGATATGATGCTTTCATCGCTCCAATTCCATACATCAGTACTCTATATAACCATAGCACCGTGGACACAAGATACACGATGGTTTCTCAACACGTAGAATATTCCAAAGGAAACCTTCAGCCTTGGGGTGATCTGCAACAGCGGTCTTTGCATACGCAGGAAGATAAATAAAACTTGGACGACAACGAGGAAAGGCGAGTAACAGCCTAGTCGTATCCATAGCCGAACGTCTCCACTAAAACCGAGCACCCTGGCTGCACACTCGTCCTCTCATCTCCATCATTCACTTCCTTCGGCAGTCACAAGCCTTCCTACAGGCATCCGGAGTGCCCCTATCCCAGGCGCATGTCACTCCAGGGCCCGAGTCACAGAATTTATCGCACACTGGTAGACGTGGTGGTAATGACGGCGACGAGGGCGAGGATGTTGGAAAATTTCATGGTAGTAGTGGGCGGTTGGCTGGATTGAGAGGTTTGTTAGGAAGGGTAGTTTGAAACAAGACGAGACGGAGGGCTTACAGCTCTGTGTAGTGCTTGCTACTTGAGAATCTGCAAAGGCTGCGCGGGAAGTGTATCTCTGGGAGCCTATCGACTGCAAACGCAGCGTTGTCCTTTTATACAGGACGAATGGATGTTCACAACCGACTGCAGGGATGTATAACATAACGGGTTACGCTCAGATGCGGATCTCACTTCGCTTGTATGGTCCTCAGTCGAGTATACACCCTTTGAACGTAAGCCACGGTTTCTTGTAACCGGCCCAGTCTAAGTGCCAACAGGATGATAGTTTAATCATACTAAGTTACCCATTGACAAGCTTCTCTAGGTTTCCAACTGTCTTACATAGTGGCTGTAGTACTATGGATTCAGATCGCTTATTATATCGACAGTCCCAGCATGTAGACTTGGAGCCCATCAGCAGAAGGTGAGCTCAACGGTCACCCGCTCTGGACCCAGCAGATCCACTTTGAGAGGAATTACTGCCAAGCTGTCCGAGTCGGCTCTCGTACGGGAACTTCGTTGAACTGAGGCTGGCTAGTCCCGAATCCCTCGTAATCGCAGGCCGAGGTCGATTTTGACTTAGGGTAGCTCACAGGAATGGCCCAGTCGGAACAAGAAGATCAAGCAAGTCCCTAAGATCTCGAGATGGTATTGCAAGCTGCAGGTCGACCTCAAGTCGTAGATATTATATGTCAAATAAATAAGAGGAAATAATTAAGAAACAAGTTGGACCAAACAAAAATCGAATGATTCTATTTAGGAGGAGCACCTGCACCTGGTCTTGCACGAATCAGGAGTGCCAACTCCCCAAGAACAGCCTCTACCACCCATACGGCAGTACGAGCCGCAAGAGCTAGGGCACTGAGAGCCACTGGCGTGGCATGATCCAGCTCGGGCAGCCAAATTGGCTTCATACTCCTCGATGAGGGAGCGAGCGAGGAGTCGGATGTTGTCTTCGCGTCCGTATTGAGCGAGGACGCTGGTGGACGTGGTGCCGAGGAAGGCTGATAAATTTCATTTGGGGATGGGTTGGTCGTTTGAAGACGGGTTTAAATGCGAAGGACTTTGATGAGCAACGTGTGGGCACTAGGGAGAAAGAAACTCGGGCACTTACCTTTGGCACGAAGCTCGGTAAGGAATGGTCGATGGGGTTTTTAAACTTGATTCTGAGGGCTCCCCTCCACCAAAGTTTCTTCTCTTTTATATGCAATGAAGTCCAGCCCACGCAATCTACTCGGATGACCAGAGCCGAGCACTCATCGATCGTCTCCTTTCTGTACGTCGGCGTGACGCGTGAAGTCAGCGCTCCCCAGTCTCCATCTCAGCCTCACCTCACTTCGGTAGATAATTTGGAAGGCTACCATGATTGTCACGGAGACGGGCAACGGTGGAACACCGCGAAAAGAAGTACGCACATGGCAGTCAAACAACCGATGGGAATTATTGACCGTCGTTGCAAAGGACGCATCCCAATCGGCAGTCGCTTTACCTTCAAACGAAGGTCAACATGAGTCAGTATCAGGAGTCCAACGACATGAACTTTCACAGTGTACATGAAAAGGACGGATGTTTCTAACCGCTGCCCAAGTGCTGCAACAAACGAATTCGAGGCCAAATTCTCCGTCAGCACTTCATGGACGGCTGCCCCTGGCCGACGCGTGAGATGGATCTCCTTTGCATCTGTCGCGTTATCTGGGGACGGGCATGCGAAGATCGCTGGCCATAGGACTACCCTCAAAGGCACGTTGAAGGGTCTTTACATCCGGTATCCGCAAAAATGGTTTCTGCAATGTCGCCGCAGGGTTTCATGATCTCTTTGTTTCGAACAACTCCAGACAACCGCCATGTCACCAATTGTTATTCCCATTCGAAGCGGGACCTAAATACATGATATTAGTCTATACTTTGATTCGTTAATTTCACGCACGAGATCCAGAAGATCGACGTGCAGTTAGAACTTCTAGCCCTACGGTGGTCACATCCCACCATTTCACCCGTCCGACTCTAGTTTACTTGCTCCTGCCGTAGATCTTCTCCAAGAAGCTGGTGAAGACATCCCGCTTCAACCCAGTCTTAGCCTCGTCGACGCTCGCGATTCGCCTTCTCACCTCGCCCACGACACCCTCCTCATACCGCTTGTAGTGGGCGGCGATATCCAACTCGCGGTACACCTCCTTGACCTTCTCCTCGTTCTCCTTGCTCTTCTTGCCGTAGTTGTCGTCGAGGATCTTCCTGAGCTCGGCCTTGCGTTCCTCGGAGAGGTTGGAGGTGGCTAGAGAGCCAGAGGCAGTAGGAGCGAAGGGGGTGGAAGCAGAAGCAGATGGCGAGTGGGCAGGGGCGGTGAGGACGAGGGCGGCGTTGACGACCCAGGAGCATTTATTGTCGATGATGTCGGTGCCGATCTTGCCGAGGACTTCGGGAGGGGCGGAGTAGTCGAGGTAGTCGTCCTGCACCTGGAAGTACTCGCCGAGAGGGATGAGGATGCTGAGGGCGGTCGTGTAGGGGTCGGCGGTTGGGTCAAGGGGTGCTGTACAGGAATTCAGTGGACAGCCAACACCAAACAGATAGACACTGACCTCCACCGAATCCACCGTTGAGGAAATCGAACCTGGGCTCCTTCTCGGGGAAAGGAATGCCGCAGATCATCATCGCGCATGCGACGGGGAGGTAGAAACTGTAGTAAGCGGTCTTGTAGACGACGATCAAACTAATGTCATGGTTAGATTGGGGACTGGAAACTACGAAGAAAGCACACACCGATGTCTCTCCAACGAGAACTTGGACAGGTCGACGACGTCTTCGGGAGCAGTGATCAGATCGACGAGTTGACCCATCTCGGTTTGGTAGGTAGTCTCGTGGAAGAGATCGACGAGGTCAGCGTAGAAGGACTCGCGTCTGAAAAGCGGGGTGAGTACACGACGAACATTGTATCCAGCGCGTAGAAACATACCTGAAGTACTTCTTGATCAACCAGTAAATTGGAGCTTCGAGCATGAAGCTGTCGTTGATCGCCAGCATGCCGACCTTGGGCACGCGATACCAGCAAGGCTGGCCGCGGCGAGTGATGGAAGCGTCCATGATGTCGTCGGAAACCAGGAAGAAGCCTTGGAGCTGTCAGTAAGGGGACAACACGTCAGTAATTCCTTAATACGGGATACAGGTGGTCAAAAACGGGAAGGAGAGGATCAGTTGATTGATGAGAATGTTTAAAACTCTCGCCAAAGGGGCCTTCCCCAGGTTCGAACGGTGAGGAAGAGAAGGAAAACCAAACAAGTTGAGTTGCCTGGAACTGCCTTGGTAGAAGAGGGAAGGGGCCAGGAACGTGATGGGGGTAGATCGTGGTCGAATTCATCTCGTCCGGGGAACCGTAAAGGCGACCATATGGATTCAAGGATGTAACCAGGTTGTGCACGCGCCGTCGCTCTTTGCAGGCCCTTGGGTAGACGGAACATAAACTCACCAGCTCGACACACCATCCCAAAACAGCTGCGCGCTTGTATTCTTCATCGGTGAGCTCACGTCCCTTGAGGATCTGGACAGTGTCACAAACGGACATGCCACGGTTGAGCTTGCCACCCGGGACGTTGTAGTCAAGGTTCTGCATCCGATATCCAATATCAGTACCAGTACCAGGATCGAGAAAAAGGTCACGCACGTTCTTGTACCATTCGACGGCCTCGGGAGGCATATGCTCGCCTTGGAAGTAGGCAAGGATCTCATCCCGAATCTCATTCCAAGCACCCTCGAACCTGGCCCTTCTCGCTGCTTTATCCGACATTGTGATATCTGGTGGTGGTGGTGGTGGTGGTGGGCGGTGGCGAAACCTGGGGTAACGGAAATCGACAATCAGCTCGGATTCTTCATCTTTCCCCCGTTTTAAAGGGAAAACAGCTCGGAAGCAATGTAGCTAACCCCCCGATTCAAGAACAATAAATGAGACGATAGGTGGATTGGGGTAGGGATGGTACGATGTGTAATAATGACATGACTGAAACGCGTCTTGTCATCGAAACCAGGACCGATCGTCCGCAGGCGTTTGCGAAGCTGGACCTGGGTGGACGTTGTAATATCGGTGCCATATAGGCTGGCACGGAGTACATCGAGTCTCGGTAGCCATCTCTCCAACGATCGTTACGCACCTTTGGCCGGTGCTTCCTGGTCCGATTCAGAGAATGACAGCAAACATCTACTCACCGATGAAGTTTATTGGATGATTCTCTTCGGATGCGACGAGGAAGGAGTGTCGACACGGAAGTAGACAGAAGGATGTGAATGGAAGAGAAAAGTGGTTCGATGGCGATGTCGGGATGATACCAACAAGATACCAATGGTAAAAATCAATTAAGCGATGGACCCAAGATTCTGATCCATCGCGGCCATCTCCTGCCCCTAAGTCGGTTCCTGCCGCAAACACTGAGTCGAGTAACCTTGCTGCAAAAGCTATAGCATATCGGATATGGTGTAACGGCTAACATTGCCGCCTCTCATATCAGAGAGTTTGCCCGCGGCAGCTCGGGGTTCGATTCCCCGTATCCGAATTTTTTGTTTTCATCCATGGACCTATGTCCCCAGTCCAAGCTTCTTCGCAGTCATCCCGGAACAATCATGGCGAATCGAAAGAAGATTGAATAAGGATCGACGGATGCTCCACTGCAATGGTCACAGGCATAGGCTGAACAACCACCCACGAATTCGTTCTTTCTACTGTTGCCAACTGCCATAATGAAGTTCACACTGCATAGAAGACAAAAGATACGGTCAGTTTCTATTGTTACCAACTGCCATATTATCAAGGAGAGTGCTCTCACAGAACGTACGTCTCCCTCGGATAAAATGAGAATGAAGGTCCTCCTTGGATTGTGTTGCATCCACACTTCCGCGAAATGACCCTTCTCTTCTCATTTCTGGCTCTCCCGAGCATCTTGCAACTGATCCTAGTATATCCCAGAGCTTCAGTCGCACTTCAATACGGCCTCGTCGAAACCTGGATCGGACCTACATTCTACGAGAAATTCGACTGGTTCTCCATTCCAGATTGGAGTCATGGGCGCGTGTAAGTAACTCACCGATAAAGCCTTGCGGAAACCTAACCTGTTACATGTTACCTCGGCGCTCGATTGGGACAGGAACTACACCGATCGCGAGACATCTCGCACTCTCAACCTCACCTATGCGTCAAGCGACACTTTTATTCTGCGTGGAGACTACAAGTCTGTTTTGTCCCCCACGGGACCAGGAAGGAACAGTGTAAGAATTAGGTCGAAAAGGAAGTTTAGTACCCATGTTGCTGTGTAAGGGATACCACGCTGAATCACCGAGATAGGACTCGCGCTTACATCTTGCCCAGATTTGATGTACGCCATATGCCTGAAGGATGTGGGTAAGTGTTGTAGCCGACTATGGGGTTCAAGATACGAGGAACTGATACGTCTTCCGCCAGAACGTGGCCTGCAATTTGGGAAACCGAGGAATCTGGATGGCCAAGCGGGGTAAGCGCTTATGTTTCGACTGCCTTTTACAGTAAAATTCGAACCTCAAGCGGAAATCTAGGGAGAACTCGACATCGTCGAAGGAATCAATAACCAAGGTCCCAACCTCGTGTCAGTGCATACTAGCCCTAGTGCGTACCTTTTTGTTCTTCCACATTTTCTCTTCTCTCCGGAATCACAGCTCGTACTACAGATTGCACCATGCCGAGAGAAGGAAGAGATATGAGCGGGTACATTTTCAATATTATATCTTGGCCATTGCGAAACGCTGACGACCGCGATTCGACAGTGCGCCGGTGAGCCTTACCTGCCATGGCGGTGGCTGCAACGTCCGCATGCCCAGCCAGAACAGCTTTGGGCCTGCATTCAATTCGAATGGCGGAGGATGGTGCGTTCGAAAATTCAATACATACTCCGCCTGTCAATCAGGCTTTGCCTGACGAAATGGGTTCTATGATCACACTTAGGTTTGCAGTGGAACGCCGTCCGAGTTTCATCAAAGTCTGGTTTTGGCCGAGGCGGGGAGCGGATGGGAGCTCTCCGCCGTCGAACCTCCCAGCTGATATACGTACCACAACTTCCAATAGGGTCAACACAGATAATTGGGTGCGTAGCTGGTTTTTTAAGCGTGAACTTTGAAGGAGGAGCTCAGCCACTTCAAGAGACGGCCGGCAGCGCTCTTCAACAGCGCCGCTGGTTCTTGCGACTTGGAATCCAAGTTCAAGCCAAACAATATCATTATTAATTTGAACTTCTGTGAGTGTTTCTGCTTCTGAATGTCAAGACCGCTCGTTCGAGCTTTCGTATTCTAGGCGGTGATTGGGCAGGGCCACAATATCCAGCCTCGGGTTGTCCAGGGACATGTGTGGGTGGGTATCTACGAGCATCTCCTGGAGTCTATGTCTAACGAGACAATCCTGCGATGAAGATTTTGTGAACAAGAATTCGAATTATTTTGGAGATGCCTACTTTGATATCGCTTCCATCCGAGTGTACATTTCTTGATTATCTACTAGTACTTGGAGTGATCATCTATTTGTACCACTATCAAGAATTTGAACAGAATAACTGGAATTATCGTTATAGAGTCGAAACTCCCTCCGAGGCGTGAGGATCTGGGAAATCCTGGATTCATGAGCTTTAACTTGGGTTAGGCCTCGTCGGCGAAGATCTACTTTGACCACTCAATGACTTCTTTGACAACAATCTTAAGGGAATAACATAAGGCGCATAATTAGTCAAGTGTTGAGATGGAAGGATACTTAGAGACTGTGTATAAGTGGCTCCGAGCGAGGACTGCGGACTTCAAATACTCCGGTTTCTACTCTCATATAATGGAATCCGTGACAAAAACATTCACCTATGATTAAGCGCCCTGATGCGGACCGGCGCTTAGGTGTGCGATGCATGGTGATTGGACAGTTGTGACCGGTGCCTTTTCATTCGTCAATTTCTGGAGGTGCGTAGATTAACCGTTACCCAGGAGTAATAATACCTCGAGTGAAGAAGGTGACAATAATCAGATAATCGGAATCGAGTCGAGCCCCCAGTGACAAACATCACCGATCGGGTTTATCTTGGTGCCAACTTATTACCATGTCTCTCCCCACCTATTTCCTTACAACTTCCCCGAAAATCTCAGTGGATGCGCGATTGTGTCCGGATACAGCCCATTGGCAGAATAAGCCGTGGGATAACTGATCTCACTCGAGCCTTCAACAACAATTTTACCCTCACTCCCTTCTTTCACTCAGACGCGGCTGCATTCTCTTGCTCACTCCATCTCTCAGCTGGAAACATCAAGAACCAACTGATGTCGAGCCCTCACGCGGTGTTCGTCGACAACTCCAACTTTGACCGAATTGTCTACCTTGGGCCGTGGCAATCGCTAGGTACCGGGGTCATCGAGACACCAGCCTGTAATGGCGGGTCTTATCAATGGCTGGGTACGACGAGTGAAGCTACGCGTGCCTCTGTGACTGTTTAATCGTACGCCGTTAATTATCCTGTATGCCTCCGGTGGGTGGTTGGTTAACTTTGCTCATCCGAGTCCCAACACCGAGATGGAACCGTTGTCTAGGCTGCTGGATGCCCGCCGGAGACGAGGGCGTAAAAAGTTACTTTTGAAGTTAACGTTGACTAACTTTGCCCGCCTAAGAACATAGAGCCTAACTTTTTCCCACGCATTCGAAAGTAACGTGCTAACTTTTGGCTAACTTTGGCTAACTTTCGTCCCCCTTACTGCCAGCCTGAGACGTACTTTCGACTTGGTAGGGAGGGGTTGTGTACGGGGCTCAAGAGCTACTTTATCTGGGGAGGGATGATGGTGCGAAGCCGAGAACAAAAGAAGAGCATGATAGTTTATTGTGCGTGCCAACCAGTTACCAAATGGATTCTTGAATATGTTGGCTCTTCTCGCGCAGTGATACACGATCCAGTTAGCACATCACGTATACAGATGTGCTAGGCCGTCTGTTTATTCTGGAAGTAAAAGGGCTAACTGTGGCTTCATTACATCGCGGTACAATCTTGAATCAATGTTTGTTGCCCTGGGCACCTCGACATCAGGACTCGGCTACCGTCTGCACTTGCCCCCATGATAATGAATACACAATTTCGGTCACAGTGGGGCAGAATCCAGTGTAAGTTCTTGATCACCCCGTCATGCGATGTGGGGACCGTGCCATCTCTTAACCCCTTACTGTAGAAACGAGATCCTATAGCCAGCTGTAAGTATGTACTCTCAGTCGTGCATATACTCTGAATCGACTGAGGTGTCCATTATAATAGGTGTCTATAATAAAGGGCTTTGCCCATTACAAGTCCGTTATGCCACCCACAATCGTGGTCAGAGGACGGTTGAGACACTTACAGGCCACCTCGTACTCACGCGACCCTGAACTCTTCATGCAATCCATCGCGAGAACTTAGTGCTTGACAACGCACGAAAAAAGTTAGCTTCACTCCAGTTACTTCCGCCTTACATTCCCCATATAAAAAGTTACTTTCGGCTAACTTTACGCTAACTTTTTCGGCAAAAGTAACTTTGCTGAAAAAAGTTAGAAAAAGTTAGTTTAGTAAGGAAAAGTTAGTTGAGAAAGTTACTTTTGTAACACCCGCCGGAGACTGGCCCTGCCGGACTACTTCACCTTCAGTTGGCATGTACTTACATGTACACCACTCCCATTGGCAGAGTTTCTCGCGGCAGAGGAAATATCAGTAGTAGAGCAGAGGGGTCTCATGGCCGAGCCAAGAATCGAACTTCGCTTAAGGATGCCATCAGTGTTTGGAATGCACATCGATGGCAAACACGGGCCGTCTCTGGAATCGTGACTCGCGGAGGCGAACTATCGCTCTTCCTTTCATCGCCGTTCACTCTTCTGTTATTTCTGCCTCGCCGTGCCCAGAATTGAAGAGCGGGCCCTTACCACAGACTCGGGCTTGAAGGAATCTCGGAGCGCCCACCTCTGATGGCAACAACCACGCGCACCGCCTCTGATTGTACCAATCATGGATTCCGAACCACGATGGGGCTTGCAGTTGTCCCCTACACAGCGCGCATTCACTCTTTCTGCTCCACTGCAGGATTTCAAATTCCCGAAGCCATTAGGCAAGACCTCTTGGGTTGTTCACCGCAAACCCTCCGAAAGCGCCACACCAACACAACCTCGCTCTTCCCTGATACATCCACGGTATCGAAACTCTGGTAGCCTTCTACGACGTACATAGTACTCTCTGACACGTCGACAAAAGCCAAGATGCAGCTATTCTCAAAGGCGGGACTGGTCAACTTCCTCGTTGTCTCTCTAGGCCTGGCGAGACTGGCAGCCGCCTCTTCCCCCGAATCGCTCGTGGAACGCGACCTGGATGCAGCCGAACTCGAAGCGCGAAGCGGTGCATCTTTCGAGGAAGGTCTCGGTCTGAGAAGCGTCTACGATTTCGAGGACGACATTGGTCTGAGAAGCGTCTACAATTTCGAGGACATCGAACAGCGCATCGATGGCATCCTAGAAGACATCGCGCTGCGCGAGCCAGATGTCGAACTCGACGCGAGAGAACCCGGCCACCATTCGCACGACCACCACCACCACCATAACCGCCGCCTCCACGACCACTCGCACTCCTCCCGCCACGCCCACTCCCGCACCAACAGGCACCGTAAGCCCAAATCTAAATCCCAGTCGACGGCGGACCACGAGGCCTACTTAACCGACCCACACTACAACCCACGCCTCCACCGGCCCCCACCTCTCAAATTCCACCCGATAAAATGCAAAGCCGTGACCAAGCTCATCCACACGTACCACAACGTTAACCGGGCGTACAGGATCTGGGGCGAGCGGTACCGTGTTGCGCGGAGGCTCGTGCGGACGGGGAGGCTGAGCGATGGGCGGGTTGTTGATGAGCGCGTGAGGAGGAGGGTTGAGAGGCTGATGGGGTCGATTAGGGAGAAGATGGAGCAGAGGAAGAGGTATATGAAGAAGTTGGTTTGGGCGTTGTTGATGCAGGGAAGGCCGATTCGTTGATTTTACTTTTATGAGAACGGTGCTTGTGTGGGAGACTATTTCTCTCTCTTTTTGTATGATAGAGGGATAATGTTAACTTATTTTTAGAACTTTGGGACCTGGAACTCGGAAGATTAGCCCTGGAGAAACGACGTTCTGCCCTTGGAGTTGGAGGATCGTTCGAACATGATGCTCTCGGGTGCATTTTCTCTTTTGTTGCTGGGAGCACAGCTGGGTCGACAGGTCGTCGCTGTGACCCTCTGTGACCGCTCACCGCGCTCATCATCATCAAGCCACAAGGTCCAATCACCCCTTTGACGAGAGAGCCACAGATGTGCCAGACGCCGTTCGGAAGAGCCATGATGGCCTGCTTCGTAAATGCTGCGCCGGCGCCTCGACTGAAACACCATCGAGTGATGGGCGCTCATCACAGGCTTGGCTCTTTCAAGTTGTAAGTATCCAGTTCCCTTCGGTTGTTCAGCTCATGCACCTATACCCTCACTCATCCTTAGATAGAGTACCCAATAAACAACCGAAACTCCCCATATAAAAGAAGCTACAACTACGAATACGTCCTGAGGCCCAAAGTCCAGAGAACCCAGAGCAATGGGGGTAAAAACTTCCGACAGCCGACTCATCGTCTTCATCAATCATTCTCAAGCACCCAAAGCGGCTAGCTCCTCGAGGGGTTGCAAACACCCGAATTTCGCACCAATTGATTGAAGAGTTTCAACGCAATGCCGCAATGATGATTCCACGAATCGAGCCTAGATTCCATGGGCAATGGGACACCGGAGCTCTTGGTTGGCGCTCTTGGCTCTGTTGCATGAGGCACCGCCCGTACCAAATTAAACACCAAACAGCGGGCAGAGCGCATTTCGGTTATACGAAACCCTATAAGATGGTGGTGGTTTTTCCGACGGTGGATGGTTTTTGCTTTACTGGTAAAGTCACCCATCCACTGCCCCACTCACTCGCTCGCTACAGGATTTGCATAATTTATCTCGTTTCAATTACGTCCTGTAAGTCTTTCCTCGCTCGAGTCTGTTTCGTATGGAGAAGTACTAATCGCCTACGATGCTCAGTTTAGACGCGCCACCACCACCCACAACTCACACCAAATATCACACATACCACCACCCACGCCAGAACCGCACCAATGCGATTCAACCTCTCCCCCTCCTTCATCCTCCTCTCCCTCCTCTTCTCCTCCTCCACCAACATCCTCGCCTTCACCCCTCCCTCCGATGACGCGTTTGACGCCCGTGCAGTAGGAGGCGCGATGTCCCTAAACGACGAGCTCTCAGCTCGTGGGATGCTCAAGCAGGAGGTGGACATGGAGTTGAGGGCGTTGATTGATGAACTCAGTGGGTCTTATGAGGCGAGGGAGTTTGGGGATGTCTACGAGCGGGATTTCGATGGTGAACTCTATGAGCGGGACTTCGATGGTGAACTATATGAGCGGGACCTCGACGGCTCGGACGACTGGTATTCTGCCCGGGACATCGACGACGACCGGTACTCCGCTCGCACCTTCGACGACGACAAAAGCACCCTCTTCCTCCGCGAGCTCAACGACGAAATCGAACTCGCCCTCCGCAAAATCGAGTTGAACGACCGGATTGACAAGGTACTACGCCAACTCGAGCTGGTGGATGCGATTGAACTCGCCGCGCGTTCGACGCCTGGCTCCAGTAGTAATGAGGACGCTACACCCAAGGCACCTAAAGCGCGTAAACTCCTGCGACAAACTAAGAACTTGCGAGGATCCACCTCATCCTCCGCCTCCGAACCACAACTCCCAGCAGACGTCGAAAAGTTCGCAGCAGAGATCAACTCTGAGCTAGCCTCCATACCCGATTCGGAAATCGCACCCATCGACGCAAATCAAGTCACCACCAACCTCGTTCTCTTCCACAAATCCGCTCTGATCTTGAAGAAGTGGGTGGATAGGTTGGAGGAGGCGGAGGAACAGGGTGATAAAGAGGGTATTAGGGAGGCGGAGAGGAAGGTACAGGATTGGAGGGTTAATACGAGGATTTATATGTGGGCTGTTCTGGCGAATGGGGAGAAGGATCCGGAGAGGTATGGGAGGAGGAGAGGTGGGGGGAAGGGAGGGAAGGGGAAGGGGGTGGTGGGGAAGAGAGCGGAGGTTGTGAAGAAGGCGGAGGAGATGAGGAAGGAGGAGGAGGGTGCGAAGGGGAAGGCAAAGAAGACTCCGCCGGTTAAGAAGGATGCGGTTCCTCCCCCGCAGAAGCAGAAGCCGGCCCCTGCCCCGTCCAAGGAGGCTCCGTCGGCTAAGAAGGATGCGTAGTACTTAGGCGACTTTGTGGTTTGGGGATTGTTGTTTATTGATCTATATGTATACCCGATCTGTATAATACCGGTTACTTTGTTGTAATTCCATTTTACTTTTCGTTTATTTATTCTTGACACTGGACCATGACTTGATGGACGACGGATCTGCTGTGCGCCGATTGAAGATTCAAAGTGTTTACTCGTTATCCAAGAGAATAGGTAGATTAAATTTAAAGTAACAAGTGTGTACTTGTGCGGTAGAGTATGTAAGACTAATATTTGAAGGTGTCGAATGGAACTAGTAAAGACAATCGATCGGAACTAGATCCAACCCATTCAACGCAGGCCTACACCACCGTACACGTATTTCCTGCCTTCAAGTTCTGCCTTCTTCAGCTTCTTGCCTTTGGCGCTAGGAGTCGAACTTGCAATTGCATTCGGCTGAACCACGCCGCCGGCAGCCTTCAAGGTCAAGTTTCGAGAGCTCAGACCAGTCGGATTTCCAGAGGTCGAGTTTCGAGAGCCCTTCAACATGGTCAAGTTCCAGCGAGAGCTCAACACTGATGACGAGGTTTTCTGTTTAGCAGGATCCGGCTTCCAGTTGATGACATCGGGGCCATCTCCGATGCAGTAAATGGGGTCGACCCAGTCTGCGGGGACGGTGGATAAGAAGATGGATTTTCCGACGGTGCGGGGCATGGTTTATTTAAGGTGCTTTCTGAATAAGCTTCCTGAGAGGTCTTTGAGAGGGGGGTTCTCTGAGAAGCCTTTTAATTTTGAGAGGTCTTTGGTATTAGGAGCGGGTTGTGTGTTGCGACTGTGGCGTGTTCTGAGGTAGATGCTGGGGTAAACGGGTAAGAAGGAGGACGGTGAGCGTCATTTTATTCTTTTATATGGGAAGTCCTAGGAGAAGAAGTGGAAACAAAAGCAAAGGCTAGGGTCAAGGCGCTTTGGATCCGATGGTCCAAGCATAGTATCGGCGTCCGAGGAGGATTGTTATTATTTCTGTTGGTAACGCGAAAGCCATCCTCAGCCTGAGCGTATCAGAGTTTAGGAGATGGTTTATTATAGAGTCAGTTGTGACTGATAACAGATGTATCGAGGTCCTTGTTATTCGACCCCAGTATGCCTTCAAGTCTACTTGGACGTTTAAATTGGTCGTCAGTGGAAGGCAGCAGGAGTCCATCCCATGCTGTGTTCACAAATCACTGCCGCTGTGAAACTCATAGGCAGGAAATGGAAGTTCAGCGATCTATTTCGCAAATGTGTTCACGATACAGGCGTTTCTTTCACTCTTCTGGCGAGGAATTTCAGACCTTTCTCTAAGATTCGGGGCCGACTTTGATGGCCGTTGATGGGATCAGAGCCTGATGTCATGGGCTTTTTGATGCCGAGCGACCGCGTCTGCGCTGTCAACTTTTGCGTCGGTCGTCACCCTCGTCGTTCCTCTCTCAGCACCCACCATGGCCTCGTCATTCCTCTTCCGCCGCGTCGCCCAACAAACTGCACGAACTGGCCGAGTCCAGTGGGCCCCTCGATTCTACTCGACTGGAAAGCCAAACCCGTACGGATCCTCTTCCTCCTCGTCGTCGTTTGCTGCTACTTTGGCGATTGTAGGCGCGGCGGGAACCGGCGTCGTCGCCTACAATCTGCTCAGCAATGACTCTCTCAAGACTGTTTATGCTGACTCTGCTGCTTCTTTCTCTTCTTCGTGGCCATGGGGTGCAACCAACGACAACAACAACCTCGATGACGGAACCGCCAAATTCACGTACCATGTGTCGAAAACGGTCACCAAATCTGTTACGACTACCGACTTGGATGGGACGTCGACTACTACGACTGCGTCGGCTACTGCGTCGAAATCCATGGAACGTGACGTGCCTGCTACGTTTGCGATGAATTGGTGGGGTTGGTGGCCTTTTGGCGGTGGTGGTGACGCGACGGCGAAAACGGACGGCGCTACCGAAACTGCTCCTGCTCCTGCTCCGCGTGACTTGAGCAGAGCGAATGTCTACGTGAGTCTTCGTTTTTCTGTCACTTTCTGAGCTCGTTCCCCACTCCCACTCACGATTATGTCACTAACTCGTCCAACAGTTCAACATTGCCATCAACAACGAGCCCAAGGGTCGCATCGTCTTCAAGCTCTTTGATGACCTTGTCCCCAAAACCGCCAAGAACTTCCGTGAACTCGCTACTGGCGAACATGGCTTCGGGTATGCTGGCAGCGGTTTCCACCGTATCATTCCCAACGTGAGTCTTCGTTCTGTCTCTGATTCAGGGCGAGACGCGGTCGGAGGTAGCAATATGGCTTTGAAAGCCGGGTCAGACTCGGTAATCATGCTCTCGTTGCCTGAAATTCGACCTGGCTCTTTTCCTCCGTGCCGCGGCTGATTCGCTACGTTTCTCGAGAAAAAGACTGACCGAGTTGGTGCGTGTAGTTCATGATCCAGGGTGGTGACTTCACCAACCACAACGGCACTGGTGGCAAGTCTATCTACGGTCCTCGCTTCCCTGGTGAGAAACATCCCTTCCTTGGTCGTGACAGTGACTCGTGACTGACGATGCCCTAGACGAGAACTTTGCTTTGAAGCACAGCAAGCCTGGTCTCCTCTCCATGGCTAACGCCGGTCCCAACACCAACGGAAGCCAGTTCTTCATCACCACCGTCGTCACTCCTTGGGTACGTGTTCTTCCCCTCACCGCTCGACTCTATTTATGCTGACTGTCTCTCTCGTCTAGCTTGATGGCCGCCACACCGTCTTTGGCGAGGTCGTCGAGGGTATGGAGCTCGTCAAGGAGATTGAGAGCGTTGGATCTGGCAGCGGCCGACCCTCGAAGAAGGTTACCATCAGCGAGTGTGGTGTCCTCGACCAGGTTGACTAATCCAATTCCATTCGTCGTTTACCACTGCGACTACGTCGTAATCCAAAAGAAATATGTAGCACATTTCGTATAATGCATTAATTTTTCTTGACATTTGCAGACTTGAGAAGTGAGGGTGGTGGGCAAGTACGTGAAGCAATGCCCTCCTCTCTGGGATGTCCATCTACACGAGGATTTACCTTTCTAGATGTGGTTGCCCTTCGGGCATGTTCATTATGGACGTTGCGCATGCGGGAATGCATGGCGCTGGTTTAAGCGCCCTGGTGCCTGAGGCCGGCGTCTGTCTATATCTACTAAGGCTGCTAGTGTAGACAGACCACTGGTGACTCTTGTTTCATAGACGAAGCCGGCGCTTGGACGCGCGGTGACCATGATTGTCTGAATCGGGCAAGTAGCTGCGCGCGGACAAGCGGGTGGTCGAGGACCCACTGGCAGGAGAACATACATGTGCGCAGTGAGGTGTCAAAGCGGATATGCGCTTTGACGATATCTCTGGTAGTAAGACTTGGTACTACAGCGACGGGGCACCTGTATTTAAAGAGCCAGTTCTAAAAAGAGAACTCCCTGTATACTTCCATCCCCCGTCCTTCCATCCATATCCGTTGTTGAACTAATCTCAGATCTGCGAAAACGAATCATTCAATGTCACAGTCCCGCCAACGATACAGATTCCCCCCTGGGCCCGCCGCTGACCAACGATTGGCCCGCTCCAATGAACCTGGACACCCGATCCTGGACGTCTCCGGCCCAGGTCGGTGCTTGGAGTTCATCTTGGTGATTATCACCCGAGCACTCTTCCCAGAGCACACCCACAAGTCCTCTGCAAACGCCGGTGGGAGTAAAGGTGTCAAGACTCGGTAAGTCAACCGCTCACAAATAATATAATACATACTAGCTAATGGCCTTAACTAACGTTACCCCCTTTTTTCTTTTTCTTTTTCAAAAGGCTCATCGAAAAAGCATTCTACAAAGCTCTAGAACGGGTGAGGATTCACCACTTGGAATGGTTCAGGTTGTACACCCGGCCTTCCTTTATGGCTGCTTACTTTGTCTTGACCGTGTTCAAGGGGCATCATCACTTGGAGGGAATCGAGTTCAACGAGCCGTTGGAAGAGTCGGTGGCCGAGGTCATAGTGCGGACGTTCGCTCTGTTCTACACTATCGCTTCAAAGTGGCAGCACGATCCGCACGGCGCTCATATCACCAGGTGAGTTTCTTGTTATACAATTACCTCAACTTTTGTTGGACAAGGAACAAGTACTAACGCGTTGGTTATATCCCTTTTTCTCTCTTTTCCACAGCACTAAATTCTTTTTCGGAGATTCTCCAGCCTTGACACGCGAGTGGTACAAGCGGTGGGTGCGCGACCTGGAGCGCGCCGTCCTGCCCGTGCTCGACTACAACATCGCCGTCACACCAGACTCGCAGTGGGCCCCCTTCCTCGCGTACCTCTTCGTCCTAACCCGCGACGACGACGCTCTCAAGGTGATCCATGAGTCCACTTTGCCCACGCTCAGGTGCCTGGAGGGGTGCGAGGCGTCGGTGGCGGGGCAGGTCCCGATTCCGGGCAGGCTGCTCCTGATGGATCGGGGGGAGCTCATGCGGGAGGTGCAGGAAAGCCGGGCTGTTGTTGGGGAGGCTGTACCGTGGTTTGTTACGGAGCTTTGTGGTGATGTTGCAAAGTTTACTCAGTGATTGGGCCCCTGTCACTCGGGCGGATTTTCTGTGAGTTGGGCGCGCCTCGTCGGGTTTGTCAAGGGTTTTCTTTTGTTCTCTCTGAATAACCCTGAATCTCTCTCTCTCTCTACGTCTCTCTTTCTCTCTCTCTCTGCGTCTAGATACAATGACGGTAAATTCTAATTCTTTTGATTTCTCCTTCTTACCTTTTTAATAGTACATGCATACGACGACGAGTGATGTTTCGAGGAGAAAACAATATATCGAAGAGTTAACTTTGAAGGAAAACAATAAATCGATGAGTTAACGTTGAAAGAAAACAAATATATCAATGAGTTACCTTGACTACTCTCTACTAAGTAGGAGTGAATCGACGTGAAGCCACATCCAATGACCACATGGCATGGGAGTAAGTTAAGAAACGAGCTGAAACGAGTCTCAAGTCTCGACGTAATTGAGCCAACCCTCTATAAGTATAAGTATACATACTAACCGTCAACCCAACCCTGGCAATCAGGTGAGCCCGGGCCCGGGGTGGTTGGCAGAGCTAACAAGCCGTCAAGCCGTTTAAAGTTTAAAGCCTACCCGACTCGGACAGTAGATCCTAATACATAGCTATTAGCACCTTTGGTGGGGAGCAGACTGAGAATTTCGGAAACACACTATATGTGGGTCGGCCTCAGGCTGATCGGCCTGTCTGTCCTGTCTCTCTGCGCCCAGAATCCACAGTAAGTATCAAGTAACAGCCACTTTGAACACGCGAGGCGACTCGGAGAGCCAGAAATCCAGATGATATGAAAGGCGAGTGCTTACTATGCACCTAGTAGCGTACTCAGAAGTACACACTTGATCGGAAAAGTTGGCGCCCAGATTGATTGTTAATTGGTACATGATGTAACCATGGGCGTCTATTGTTATTTGTCAAGGAGATCATGATGGTCACGGGTTCTTCTCTCTCTCTCTCCCCTCTCTCAAGCGGGCCGGCGCGCTTGGACACACTGTCTGTCCCGGACCATCGCCATTGTCCGAATCGGGTATGCGGATGTACGCGGAGAGTGGCGAGGGCCCAAGATACACACCATACGCGCCGTCAATGGCCAGCGCGGGGTAATAGTTAGTAGTGGGCCACTGGTTGTGAACTCGACCTCGGTGTCAAAGCGGGACGCGCTTTGACACTATGTCGCCTGGTAGAGACTCTCGGCGCCTGGCAGTCACGGTGTATTTAAAGAACCCAGGTCTAGACAAAGTGGGATAATCTACCAGTGTGTACCACAACATCGATATATCCCAACCCCGTCGTCGACCTTGAACAGAAAACACGAATTGAATTGAATTGAATTGAATCGAATCGAATATCCCATCTCGGAAACTCGATGTCGTTCAACAACGCTGCTGCTGCGCAACGGTTGGCCCGCTCCACCGAAGCTGGGCACCCTATCCTGGACGTCGCCCAAGGTCGGTGCTTGGAGCTCATCCTAATCATCATCGCTAGAACGCTCTTCCCCAGCCGCGTCGCCGAAGGCAGCGGGCCCAGGGCTACTCAGTAAGTCTTCGTCTTCAACTCCCCATGACCATAACAACAAAAATACTAACGACCACCCCTTTTTGTTATTATTCTTTACAGGCTTAACGCCGCTTTCGGTATAGCTTGGAGACGGCTGAGCATTCACCACTGGAACTACTTTGGTTTGTACGCCCGGCCTGCTTTCATGGCTGTCTACCTCATCTTGGCTGTGTTCAAGGACCACAGTTTGGACGGGATGGAGTTTTACGAGCCGTTTGAAGAGTCCGCGGCAGAGGTTATCGTGAGGACTTTTTCCCTCTTTTACGTCGTCGCTTCAAAGTGGCAGCAGGACGGGCATAGTGGGCACATCACTCAGTGAGTTCTTATTTACTTACATAATTTATCATCTCAACTCCCCTGATATAAATCGTTGTACTAACCCGTTATTTTTTTTCTTGCAGCACTAAATTCTATTTCGGCGAGAAGAACACGATGGACCAGTGGTACAAACGGTGGGTCACCGACTTGGAACGGTTCCTCCTCCCCGCGCTGGACTACAACATCGCCGTCACGTCCACGCAGTGGGCACCCTTCCTCGCCTACCTCTTCTTCCTCACCCGCGACGACCCGGGCCTCACCGCCCTCCACCAGCCCACTCTACCCACCCTGCTCTGCCTCGAGGGCTGCTCGTCCTCGATCGCAGGGCAGGTACACATCCCCGATAGACTCGCTGAGCTCCAGTCGATGGAGGAGGTGAGGCGGGATGTGGTCCATGGACGGAGGGTCGTTGCGGACGCTGTACCCGGATTTATTAGGGAGCTTTGCGGCGACGTTGCAAGGTTTAGGTGGGCCCCTGTTACGCGGATTGATCAGTTGGCTGTAGTCAATGGGGGTGAGCTATCCGTGGCCGGTTTGAGGTTCTAAAGGGCGAGCTTACTAGAGTTTTCTTTCCTTCTTTCTCTCTCACTCTCTCTCCCTATTTCTCTCTTTCTTTATCTCTCTCTCTAATTTTTCTTTCTCTCCTTTCTTTCTCTTCGCTCCCAGACACAAAAAAGGCGCGAAAACGCATCGTATATCATGAAAGCGACGGTATCAATCTATACTCCAATTTAATATTTCCCCTTTTCACCTTCTTAAGTTGATACATACCCATACCCATAGAGTGCACTGACGCCGTTGAACGTTGAACGCCGAGCACCGTCTCAAAGCGCGAACGATGTCAACGAAAGCTTAAGACACTCAAAGAGTTCGCCGAAGGATATCAAACATAAGACATAAGAAATAACTGCGGGAGTACCAGTACCACTACAATACAGTAATATACACACAATTACAACCAACCTATTGTTATCTCATCTATCTATCCAACACCATCCCAAAAATCGCAATAACAAGTTAAATGGCTTGCAGTAAGGTACTAGTAATCCGCCGAAGAAGGGCCATTGGGCGGAATACCGGATCCGACTTACCTTAGGTCCTGTAAGTTACATAACTGGATGCGTACCCTAGGTCCTGTAAGTTAACTGCGTGAAGCGCCATCTGAAGGCCGTTGAAGCCTCATCTACTACCTAGAGCCACGACACGACTCCCTTCAATACTACGACCACAGTCTCTTCTCCAATCTCATGTCTTCAAGGTGCCACTGCGCGGACGGCTGTACTAAAAGTCTTATCGCCAACGCGAAACGCTGTATACAATCATATATGCATATTCTACATCATACATAGTCAGATTGACATTGATCAATCCAAAAAAGAAATAAATAAATAAATATTCAATCTTTGAATACTTCTCTTCTCGCTCTAAACATCGCACACCCCTAACACCACACCACACCACACCCTCTATCTACACCCCTACACCTCGACCTCCCTCTATCCACACCTCTACACCTCAAAAGCCTTCCCAAGCGCCCTCCTCACATCCCCAACCAAATCCTCCCCCTCCTCAACACCAACACTCAACCTAACCAACCCATCCTCAACACCACTCCTCCTCCTCTCCTCAACCGGTATACCAGCATGCGTCATACTAGCAGGGTGCTCAGCCAAACTCTCCACTCCTCCCAAACTCTCAGCTAGCGTAAACAACTCGAGCGACTGAAGGAACCGAAGCGCATGCTCGTACGTCGGTAGGGTTACCGTTAGCATACCGGTATATGGGAACCCAAGAGGCGGAGGTGTGGTTTTGGACGAAAGAGAGGTGATAGAGTAGAGTGACGGAGCGGTACGGATGAGGTGGAGAGTCTGGATCGGCCGTACCTCCTTCTCAACCCACTTCCGCGCAGGCGTCGAGAGCATCTCCCACGCCAAATTATGCCGCCTCGTCTGAACCGCAATCTCCCTCTTCCTCGCCTCCTTCACCTCCACCCTATCCTCCTCAAACTCGGGGTCATCCTCTTTCTCAGCGGGCAGACCGGCATAGCCAATGCCAACCTTGACATCCGCCCTCCCAGCACGCCTCTGCTCCTTCACCCACTCGCGCACGCCCAGGGCCACAGCCAACGCGTTCGACCCGTGCGCCTTCATGCGCAGGTGCAGCGTCTTCAGACCACGCTGCGCCAACCACGAGTCGTACGCGCTAGGAACAGCACCAAGCGCGTTCTGCATGAAGCGGAGGGTCTTGTAGTAGTGCTCGAGGTGCTCCGGGTTGGGGTGCTTCACCGGTCGCTCGGTTCCACGGCCTTCCTCCAGCTCGCCATCGAGGTGTTCGCCAGTCGTCGGCGGGAGGATGACAGCGCCCATCACGACGTCGCTGTGGCCGTTCACGTACTTGGTCAAGCTGTGGAGCACGAGATCGGCACCGAGCTTGAGAGGGTTTTGGTAGAATGGCGAGGCGAAAGTGTTGTCAACCATCAGGAGAGGAGCCGCGGGGTGGGTGTGCGCAATTCGAGAAAGCAGAGGGATCGACACGACTTTGAGGGTGGGGTTGGTGGGCGTCTCAACAAGGACGAGCTGCAATAAAAGGTGGGTTAGTGAATCGTTCGAGCCATAGACTGAGGGATGTAGAGGTAGATTGAAAAATACAGGCCGATAAGCTGTGTGCAAGAGGCGAAGGGCCCGACAGAAGCAATCGAAGTGAAAGTCAAGCAGAGCTCCCAACTCTTAAAAATAGCCCAATAACACGGGCCAGACTATCCACCGAGAAAAGTAAAGTGAGAGAGCAGGGCAGCTCCCGTCCAAAAACCCAGACAAACACCGTCCCTGACCCAAACGACAACGACTCTCATCCAACCAACTAAAGAAGGGTTCATCCAACCAACCAAAGAAGGGGTCATCCAACCAACAAAAGAAGGGGGGGGGAAAATCAAAAGCAAGAAACGGAGCTCGGGACGAAGACAAACAAATAACAAAAATAAATCGTCGCCCCAGACCTCCAGACAGCCCAGTGGTCCCAAATGGCCCAGTGGGATGCACAACAGCTCCGAGCCCGTCAAACGTCATCGAGCACACTACCCACGGCAGGAATGAACTACAAACAGACAGGGAGAGAGAGAAATGGACATGTCGAACGAATGGCGCCAACTAGTCGTGCTCACTCTTCCCCGTTCCAGTCCAAAGCGTAACAATAACGACAACTGATTGGGATGGAGGCCAGACAGCGCTGACGGAATGAATCCTATCAGGTCGGGCAAACTAACCGTCCAGGCAGCGAGCCAGGTGGACGGCAGCGACGCAGAAACGAAGGGAGCAAACGATGAAATGAACGGAAACATCGAAAACGATAACGAAGAGCAAGGAGTCACGGATCATCACCAAAAACACTCACCTTCGTATCATCCCTAATACCCTTCACAATCGTCTCCTCATCAGCAGTCTCCATATCCACAAACGTCACTTCAAGTCCTTGCACTTCGTTTCCAACGCGCTTGAGGTATCGATAGGTTCCACCGTAAACATCGTTGATGGAGAGAATGTGGATGGGTTGGTGGGCTGTTCAGGAACGAAAATTGGAGGTTGAGGTTAGTGCCTTGTTCATATAGCGAGAAACGGGAAGAGAACGAAAAGGAGGAATAATGTGGATGAAAATGAAGGGAAGATGAAGAGGGAACAAGTAAAGCTTGTCGACACGAAGCAACCCCAACAGCATGAGTCAAGTGGCGAGATGCTACGACGACGATCCAGGCAACTCGATCGACAACGCCGCCGCCGCCGCCACCACTGCTCGCGGAACCATCCGCATTTACCGCAACAAAGCGGGTAACAGTGAACCGAGACTCGTGCAGAACATCGTCAGCCCAACCCTTCTCCCGCCACCCTGCCTTCCACGTCCACAGCAAGGAGGAGAGGATGTCTATGGTAAAAGGCCAGTTGGCGGTTGTACGCTTGCTCGATGCCCATAGCGCGAAACGTGCTGGGCCCCCGTCCAACCACAGGCACGTCCGACTTCAAAAAAGGCATCCTTCTCCCGCGTGTAAACTCATCCATCCATCGCCCACGGGACCCTGAAAGTCGGACCATCTTCGTCCACTCCACCACCGGAACTACCACCACGGGAACTAAAGCACGGGAACAAGCGGAAGACCGTGAACCGAGAAATGGACACGAGACCAGAGTTTGACAAACTGGTAGACGTAGAAGGGAAGGCTCGACGTATGAAGAAGGAAAGGAAACGAGAAGGTAAAGAGGGAGATAGGAGGAACACGAAAGGCGGGTTAAGCTCGGGTTCACATCGCCCCATTTTGAGGATCATCAGAAGACGAAGGAGCTGCCCAGCGAAGATAGTGGAGAAACGGAATGGGCAGAACAGAATTCATCGAGAAAGCAGGAAGAGGATGAACGAGAAGAGAGGAGAGAGTCGAAAATGAAGAGCAAACAGCTACTCACGTCCATCCTTTTTCAAAAACTGCAAGCTCTGGACGACGGTCGCCAGAGCAGCGCTTCCACTCGAGAAAGCAAGAGCTTCAACACCTTCTTCGATAGACGCAAGGGCGTGTTCCAATGCTCGTCGATTAGGATTGTCGGATCTCGAGTACTCGAAACCTAGTCGCCAAATGATCGTTAACTCCAGCTACCCCGAAATCCAAAACAAAACACACGCACCACTATGCACACCAGGTGCACTCTGCGCAAACGTCGTGCTCAACGAAATAGGCGGGATAACAGCTCCCGTCGTCTTGTCCGGCTCACTGCCCACATGGATCGCCCTCGTTCCGAAGCCCTTCACGGTCTCAGCGGCAGCATAGTCGGTGTTGGGTTCAGCTGGGGAGGAGATCGCTGGTGTCGTAGGGGCGGTGGAGTCGAGGCTGCGGTCGGCGGGGGTGCTCAATGCCGGTGTCTGGTTCGCCGACGTCGAGGGCGAGGAAGTCGAGGATGGGATGCTCAGTCCGAGTGTCATTGTCGTGACGGTGGTGTCTAGGAACGGTGGTGTCTGGTGATGGGGGTGGAGAAAAACGTCGGTGAGCAAGAAGGTTATGTAAAGAGTAGGGGAAATGAAATGAAATGCGAAAAGGGGCGTACCCTTTTTATAAAGTATCCCTCGAGGTGAATTAATAATCGCCTTGGGTGATGAATAACCGAGTAGCGAGGGTGCCGGGTCTAGAGGAGAATTTCCTCACTAATAGAAACAGTAACGCGATGATAGAGGATCTATCAGTCAACTCGAGTCAGGCTAGTCAAGTCCTCCCGAGGTGGTGGTGGTAGGGAAGAGAGAAAGGAACGACAGGGAACGACGGAAAGAGAGATAAAAAAAACAACGGCTCGGTTGCAAGATCCATCTTCACTCGTGGCTCGCGGTGGTCCACATGCCCCAATCCCACCTAAGAAAACGTGTTCATATGGGCTTTCTTGTTCCGGCAGAGCGGGATACAATTGTTCAACCCTATTTTTGCGATGGAGCGGTGTGGACACTTCTGGCTGGGAGGGCTGAGGACAACGGCCTGAACGTATTGCTCACGATGGCGAATCCGATGAATAATTGCCTCTGTCATGTGATGTCCTACTTTTTTGGGAAGATCGTTCCCCCGCTCCCTACGTTCCGCGTTTCCTTGGCGCGCGTCATGGTCCATTCATATGGCAGTAGGGGCGGATGCCAATGGTGCTCCCAAAGGCTAACCTTTTATAAGTAGCCCACCCAATTGTGTGGGAGCTCTTTAGACGGCTCGCTCGGAGTTTTCGAAGACAGGGTAGGACGAACGTGTCCTGTCCGAGAACTGAGAATTCAAGGAATGGGGCCATTGAGAAGACGGATGGTGCAAGTTGCGAGGGTACTTGCGCCATCCCTTTTTACTACGTCGCGTACGAGGAAAGTGGGTGGTAATAAGTACTTAGGGAAATAGGTGGCCTAAAGATAGTGTCGCTGACAATGACGACTCCCTTGTGCACTTTTGACACTCAGATGGATCTGCGATTCTAGGTTTGCACGGTAGGATCCACAATCTCGTCACCCCTTCAATCGCGGAGTTTGCCTCAAAGTGCTAGATCCGTGCCACCAGTGACCCTGCTATACATACATCACATACATTACTCAAACCGTACTATTCCCTATTCCCAGCGATCCTCGCCTGCAACCGCGACGGCTATTTATACCCCTCCAGGAACTTACCCGCCGCACCTTGAAGAAACCTCCCTCCCTCTCTCGCTCTCCTTCTCATCTCATGTCGTATCGCATGCTGGAGCCCATACTCTCCTTTTCTACTCCCTGCTTCAACCTGACATTCAACGTCCAGATCTCTCATTCACCTCGACACAAAGTCGACCTCTGTCTGAATTCCAATTTCAGAGGTCGACTCCAAACTCACACCCACGCCCCCACCGGCGCTTAAAGCTTAAGCATTATCTGAATCATGAATGGTGAACGTGAACATGAGCATGTGATGCATCCAGTCCCGTCGGTCCCTAAGGACTCATCCAGTAATAATCCTCCCGCAGCACTGACTTTGAAATAGAGCCTCAATGACTTCGAAATCAAGTCTCAATTCTCAACGACACTTGTCTTTTTATAGGCCGGGATGCAGTTTCTCCCGCCTGAGATCCGAGGACTATACACCATCCGTTTCCTCCTCAACGCGAGCACTAGTGAGTAGGGATTTTCAGCTGCATTAATTACATGAAATCCGGAAGGATATATCTTAGTCGCTGTTAGCCTCATTAAGCGCCAAGCATCGTTCCCAGTTCGTGGGCGCTTAGATTTTTAAGTTCGCCCAGTCCGATAATCTCCCATTGCGGCGAGCGCGAACGATCGGCCGGCGGTTCATGTCACGTCTTTGCAGGTCAAGTTAAATCTGTGCAACTCGAAAACGATGTAACTCGAGTTAGGACTTGAAACAACTTTTTCGCCCATCAGTGGGGTTTTTCGTAAGGTTAGGGGTAGCGATTGATGCGCGGTGCCTTGAACCTGAATTTTGAAAACCTGAATCAGGACCATAACTTCAACCCTCCTCCTCCCGACCCACGGCTCGATCTCGCGCTCGCGTTGCCGACGTTCCACTATTTTCTCCAGCTCGGAAGTTAGTGCGGATACGACTGGCCAACACCTCTCTGGGATCACTCTCTGGAAAGGAAGGTTTATCTTTGTCAGTTTACATAGCGGCGGTCTGTTCGAGGCCAAAACAAACCGTCACAAAGGATTATGGCTGCCTCATCAGCACTCCAGGAACACTCAACTGTCAATTTTGAAAAATTTTACGCCACCCTAAGATGTATTTTCTGATCTGGATTTGTTTGGGAACTGGGGTTTTGTTCTCCGAGCAAATCGACAGGAAACTCTTTGTACTCCGGGGTCCGTTCTGATGATACGTTCGTTGATACTTAAAACTTTGATCTTTCTCGAGTCTCGCGCCACGGCCTCCAAAAAATGACCGGTGCCCTGGTCGAACTATTGTAGCGTATCGACGTGTTCTGTCTGCTCCGAGTCTTTCTCCAGTCTAATGGGTACTCATGGCCTAGAGAACGCTCATCTAGGACTAATCAGAGCCGTAGGTGATAATATCGTACAGCCCGAGCTCGAGGTGACCATGCCCAGCGATAGCCTGAGACTCCCGCAGCCGGCCACCAAGTTTTGCGCCCCGCCCCTGGCGCTCCCCCCGATCTCGAGGTGGCACCATTTTACACGCCAACACTCTGCGTACGTGCCTTGCCGTTCGACCCGGCGAAAGCTAATTCGCGTTCTAAGTATATAAAACGCCCCAGGGCTGCCATCCCCCGTTTCTGGTATCGGGTCTCGTTCTCCCGTCCCTTTCCACTCCTTCAACCACCTCCTTCAGCCCTCCCCTCCCTTTTCTCTCTTCGAGTTCCCCTTCCGGTCCTTTCATTACACCCGTCCCTCTCTCTAACACTCTCCCTAACCCTTCGCGATCATCCACGATGAAGACGTTCGGCGGACTCTTGGCCCTCCTCCTCTTCCCACTCGCCACTCGAGTCATGGCGGCACCCACCAACGGCACCATCAACGCCGTGCGCGACGCGCTCAAGTTGCACGCCCGTCAGGGTGGGCCACAGGCGACTGTCTTCAGCCAATGTACCGTTCCCAACCGTGTCGCGCTGACTTTTGTGAGTTGCTGTCTCGCTTCCTCTCTCTCCATTACTCGCTCTCTCTCTCTCTCCCGCTTCTCCACCCGAGCAAGGTTGTCGCAGTCGCTGTGGTGGTTGTCCGATTCCGAGTCAGACCATAGACGTCTCCTGATGCTTAGGCTTTCGCTCCACCGGCACTTCATATACTGTACACACTTTTGACTCGTCCTTCCCCGCTTCCACTGAACGAACTGATCGGATGGACGAACGAACTGACTTGTTCTTTCATGAATCATCGCAAAGGATGATGGACCGTACTGGTACACGTACGTGCTCCCTCTACCTCTCACTTTCGAGCCACTTGATCCCTACTTACTTACCTCACATCTCTGTCTACCCCACTCACTTACAGCGAACAAGTCGTCGATATCCTCGACAACGCAGGTGCCAAGGGAACATTCTTCGTCAGTACGTACCTCAAGTTTTGCTTAATTACCATTCCGCTGTCAGGATACTCCACGATACTCGTACTGACCCGGGTTACCTTGTTCTATTATAGACGGCGACAACTGTAAGCTCTCTACCTCTCATGGGTTTTAGTTTCGAAAACGGAGAACATGGCAAGACTGACTGACGTCTCGATTTGCTACATTAAAGGGTCCTGCATCTACGACACCGAAATGTCGCGACAGCTCAAGTACGCATACGACCAAGGCCACCAAATCGGTTCGCACACATGGGCACACGAGAACCTCGCTACTCTTAGCTGGGATGACAGTACGTCCGAGCTGTTTCATTTTATGATTCTTTCGAGTTTATTGTGCGGGTTGAGTGGTGGAACTCATATCGTTTTGTCTTGTTCTATTTCTATTTCAGTCCATCATCAGATGTGGTTGGTTGAACGTAAGTCGCTTCGTCGTTTCTCGAGTCTCTGAATTTGAGTTGCTGAGTTGCTGATCCCATGTGTAGAGGCCGTTATGCGTATCACGGGCGCGTACCCTGCCTTCATGCGACCCCGTACGTCCTCCTAACCAGCGTCTCCTCTCACGGGGAATGTGCATATAAAAGTATTTCCTTCCAGCGTTCGGAAGCTACAACAATCTCGTCCTCGAAGCTTCGTACATCCGTGGTCAGCACGTCGTGATGTGGGATATGGAGTACGTCTAAATCCTCTCCTCTCCCTCCCTTCAAATCAGCATTTCGCTTAACGCTTTCTTTGTTTCTTTTTTCGTCAGTTCGGGCGATAGTGTGGGCGTCTCCATCGCGGACCAAAAAGACCGATTCGACGATCTGGTTACGAACTTGCCTTCTACTGCTCTCACTCTCCAGCATGATACTCAATGTACGTCCATCCCCCCTCACTTGCTCGTATTATTAGATCTTACACTTGCTAATGGACGTTATCCTAATTAGGGACCGCTGTGTACGTCTAGCTGCCCTCGTTCCTCCTTGATCTACTATTCCTGACCATGATGGCGCCGATTTGTAGCCAAGAGGTCCTCCCGCACGCTATTACCGCCCTCCAGGGAGCAGGCTACCAACTCGTCACTGTCGCTGAATGCTTGGGCATGTCGCCGTACCAGTGGGTCGGGGCTCCTCACACTCGAGACGTACGTTCTCGTTCTCATTCGACATACCCTCGTATTATTTGTACTAACGGCTACTAATCCCCTCGTCGTATCCTCTCTGGAACACTTGCAGGCGAGCTGGGTTTGTTAAATCGGCTCTTACCACGAACGTTAACCCTGCGGTTACGAAGTTCAGTTGGGTTGGTAAGGGAAAGGAGCAACATCGGACTCGTGTCGAAGGGGTTGAAATGGGACTTAATAGGGGACTTTTGCAACGTCCTCCGATCTACCTGAATTGGAGCTATATGGGATAAATATTCCCTTCCCTCTCCACATTGGGACGGTACTTACCCTTTTTTTGCTATCGCTATTATCAGTTATCAGGAACTCTCGCAGACCACCCACCCGTTCCTACTCCCATTCGTTCATTCCCTCACTCTTTTCCACTCCTTTTCGCTTTCAAGTTGCATTCTGAACTTTAGTCTTCTACTTTCTAATCTCTTCTATTGGACTTTCCTAGTATTCCACTCTTTTCTATTGGACTTTTTCGCTTTCTTTTCGGACGCTAAATTGTACTTGTAGAGATAGATACCCACCCCGTATACCCGTATATGTACCACGAATATCACTTGGGACTATTTTGGAAGAAGGGAAATAATCTTTCTGTGCTGAGATTGACACAACTCAGGCTTATGATGGGCGCTTAACGTACTTATAACCATCTCCAGGGTTTGTTCGCGAGTGAGTTATCATATCGCGGACAGATTCTTCAAGAAAGTACAGAAAGATGAAATCGAATTTCTAAACTCAGCTCCAAAGTGCTGTTACCCGGCGTCTCGACGGGCGCTTAATCATAGACGAAGGATGACTGGGGAAGATTCTCATTCCTTCGCCGCTAAGCTCGCTTAGGAATTCAATGTGAGGTAGAGTAACGTCAAATGTTACAATTACATGTGGTAACAGTCAATACACTGGAGGAGAAAAGGACAGAATAAAGCCTATGTACAACATAACACTAGACCGGACTCTGTGCGTTCGTTGCATCATAGTCACCGGTGGCCACTACGGGCCCAGCGCTACATTTACTGAACGGTGACGATCAAGTGGCCGTTGCCATACGCAGCTTCAGTGCCTGAAAAAGAAACGTCACGACGTGCACTCTCAGTACATTGAGAACAAGCGGTGGAGAGGTTCTAAATACGTACCACCGAATTGGATTCTGTAAGGGAATGCAACATGTTCGCAACGTGTTACGAAAATTCCACCCCTATCTTTTCTCTTCGCGTCCTTTCTCTATCACATGACTCATTTTCTTGTTCACATGATCTCTTTCTTTATCTCGTGACTGTTTTATCAGTTAATTCTTCTCTACTGCTGCGGCGCAGCCTTCTTTGACTCTTTATGACTTCTTCTTGCTGCAGGCGCAGCCACTCTCTATTGTTCTCTAATTTATCTCTGCTGCGCTCCGCAGTAACCTGTGCTCGCGCAGCCTTCTTCTCTGACTTCTTTTGACTCATATTCACGTAGCTAGACAGGTATATAAGCTCTGTAGATACCTCTCTTGTTCCTTAGCTAGTTCTCGTGAATCATACCCACTTCTCCTCTTCTCTCGAACTCGCTCTAGTCGTCTTAAGACAATACCTCTTGTGAGGCACTCTTAGACGCCTATATCATCGAACTCGCCTCGGAACCACGACTCTACGGTCGACGTGCATGCTCACTCGAGTTCGCGTCCCTTGACCGTAACAGAAGAACTAGCTCCAACACATCGTCACTCGTACTTACGGGTGACGACCCCATCGACCACACAGAATTCCCACATACTCGGCATCTGATCCCCCGGAACGACTCCCTACACCACCGCCATTTGTCGACCCAGTAGCCACCCTAATTGCCTCAACACCCGGATCCCAGTCAACCACACCCAGAGGACGTCTCCGAGGGCTTACCCCAAGCTCTACCAGACCATCAACACCATCTTTACTAGCGGTTAACCAATCGCTCCCTGAAGAAGAAACCGAAGAAGAACAAGAAGACTCGGAAGACAAGACTGACAACACCGACTGCAGCAACTTCGTACACCAGTTTAACTGTGAACACTACGACACCAACGAAGAAGACTGGTTTAACTGCGCCCAACAACCTTGCCCCAACTACCCGGAAGACCCAAGACATCGACCAAGCAAACAAGAACCCTCAGAAGTTTCTTTTGAAGAAGAGCCTTCTGCAGAATTCCAAGACGCCCAAGAAGAACCCAGCACTGAGCCACAGCATCAAGAGGAAGGACCCTTGATTCCAGAACGTGAAGAGGAAGAACCCTTTACGCCAATCACCCTTGACCAACCAGTCACCATGGTCAGCCCAGCCAACCCAGACAACGGAACCCGAGACGTCGTAATGAGCGACGAAACCAACCAGAAGATCCCCGAAAGGCGAATCAATCCGCCATCCCCTTTCACCGGCAAAAAGGAAGACCTCAACACCTTCCTCAAAGACGTGAAACTTTACTTGAAGGTCAACAAGCACATCTACACCGATGACGACAGCAAAATCACCTATCTCCTTTCGTTCCTCAAAGGAGACGAGGCCTCTGCTTGGAAAGAAGCATGGCTACGATCCAAGGAGACCGATTCCGATATTGAATTGGGCACCTGGAAAGACTTTGTCGCCATCTTCAAACAGGCATTCACCCCAATCAACGAACAAGAAGATGCCTTACAACGTTTGAAGACAATGACCCAAGGAAAGAAGACGGCCGAAGAACATGTAGCCGACTTCAAGATTGTCCTATCGAAAACCAATCTCCTCTCCAAGGATCACGCCAACAAGACCGAAGATCAAAGAGTTGCAGACGCTGGAGACACTGTAGCCAGAGACTACTTCCAAGCCAGTCTGAACGATCCGCTTCGAAAGAAGCTCTTCGACCTTGAGAAACCACCTCAGACCTTCAAGGAGTGGACAGAGAAGGCCATCGAAAAGGACAACAACTACCGTCGCTACTTTGCCCTCACCAACAAGGCTCCTGCCAAAACCTCGACCTCTACCCGACAGTGGAACTTCAGTCGCCCCACTCCTGCCAAAGATCCTATGGCTATGGATATCGATGCCATCATCTCCAAAGTCAAGGGCTTAGACCAGTCTGCAGGGACCGCTTTAGAGCAACACATCAGGGCAATCGGTCTCGGGAAGCTCTCTCCCCAAGAAAGGGCTGACCTGATCAAGAGAGGAGGATGCTTCCGTTGCCGAAAAGACGGACACCGCTCCTGGGAATGCCCCAATAACTCCACCAACAATCGCTCTGCAGGGACCAGCAACCAGAACACCAGTAACCGTCAAAACTGGTCTTTCCGCCCAAAGAATGGCAAGGATCTCTACACCAACATCCGAGCCGCGATCCAAGAAGCAGGAGAGGAAGTCGTTGAAGAATTTTACAAGGAACTCGAAACCAACCAGGGTTTTTAGAATGGAGACCTGCATCGACGTCAGTGTCTCCCTATTTATCGATTCATTCTGCCTTAGTAGCCCGAAAGAACAATAAATGCTTATTTATTCCAATGCATCTTGAGGGCGAAACGGAGAGTGGAAAGATAATCGTCGACACCGAAGGAATGATAGATTCTGGAGCTGGAGGGAAATTCATCGACCAAAACTTTGCCCGAAACAAGAAACTCCCACTCCAACTCCTTCCAACACCTCTGAAGGTCTACAACGTAGACAGAACCCTGAACAAACAAGGAACCATCCGATACTCAACCACCATGAACGTCACAATCCACGGACACACACGACCCATTACCTTCTACATCACCGGCCTTGGAAAACAGAAAGTCATCATGGGTTTTCCCTGGCTTGAGGAAGCCAACCCCATCATCGACTGGAGGAAGGGTACCCTTGAGTGGCGACAGAACCCTTCGTCAACACCACCGATCAGACCCACCAAGCCTTACACCCAGATCTTCAAGACCACCATCGAAGAAATCCCCGGACACTGAACCTCAGAACCTCGACCCACTACCTGATTGGTACCCGACCACCTCTCCTATGATACCCAAGGATCACTTCAACACCTTCGAAACCTACGTCAACAAGCTTATGGAAGGGAACTTCCATTGGGATAATGACGAGGGATCTCTCTTGACTGACGACCTGGTGATCTCATTCATCAATGGAGAACTTTCTGACGAAACGGAGGACATCTGGATCAACACCACCCTCACCCACTCACAGGCCTTCGAGCTCAAGTACAACCAGCGAGAAGAAATCAAGGACATCAGGCAACACGTACCTCCGGAATATCACGAATACCTCTCTGTCTTCGACGAGAAAGCGGCCTCCCGATTCCCCGAGTCTCGACCTTGGGACCACAGGATAGATCTGAAACCAGGATTCGAGCCGAGGTCATCCAAGGTCTACCCGCTCACACCAGAAGAAGAGAAACTCGTCAAGGAATTCATTGATGACAATCTTGCCAAAGGATACATTCGACCGTCGGACTCCCCACAAGCATCTGGATTCTTCTTCGTCCCCAAGAAAGACGGAAAGAAACGCCCATGTCAAGACTATCGCTACCTGAACGAATGGACCGTCAAGAATGCTTATCCCCTTCCCCTGGTTACGGACCTCATGGACAAACTGAAAGGAGCCAAATACTTTCACCAAGCTCGACGTCTTGAAGGGTTACAACAATATCCGTATACGCGACGGAGACCAGTGGAAAGCGGCATTCAAAACAAAATTCGGCTTACACGAACCTACGGTCATGTTCTTTGGCATGTGCAACTCCCCAGCAAACCTTTCAAGCAATGATGGACCACATATTCATCCATGCAGATCGAAGGGAACTTTGTCATCATCTACATGGACGACATCCTCATCTTCTCCAAGACTAAGGAAGAACACGAGCGACACACCAAGGAAGTCCTTCGGATCCTTCGCGATAACGATCTCTACGTCAAACCCGAGAAGTGCGAATTCACCAAGGAAAAGATTGCTTACCTCGGGTTCATCATTGAACAAGACTGAATCTCCATGGACCCAGCAAAGGTTAAAGGGCTCCAAGACTGGCCCGCACCACAAACCATCAAACAAGTCAGATCTTTCCTTGGCTTTGGAAACTTCTACAGGAAGTTCATACGGAAATACTCCGACATTGCTCGACCCCTCAACGAACTCCTCAAGAAGAACCAAGCATTCAAATGGACCGAGGAATGTCAAGAGGCCTTTGACACCCTGAAGAAACGCTTCTGTGAAGAACCTGTTCTCATGATGCCCGACATGTCCAGACCATTCCAGATCGAATCCGACGCCTCCAAATACGCCTCCGGAGCAGTCTTGACACAGATGGACTCCAATGGTAACCGCCACCCAGTCGCCTTCTTGTCTAAGTCCTTCTCCCCCGCTGAACGGAATTACGAGATCTACGACAGAGAACTCCTTGGAATTATTCGAGCACTTGACGAGTGGCGCCACTACATCCAAGGAAGCCCCCACGAAACTCTGGTCTATTCCGATCACCTCAACCTCACGTACTTCCGATCTCCACAAAAGCTCAAACCCCGACTAAGCACGTTGGCAATTGAAACTGACAGAGAGCGCCATCAAGTTGTCGCATTTACCTGGACACAAAATGATCCTATCGGATGCCTTGTCCCAACGCCCCGACCTGTGCCCCGAAGAAGACCACGATAACGAAGATATCACTCTACTACCGGAAGAACTGTTTGTCAACCTCGTCGACTTGAAAACCCTCACCGTAGGACTCATCGACATTGCTCTACAAGAAGAGATCGCCAAATGCCAGGATTTCGACACGGAAGCCACTCGAAGCCCTGAAGATCATTCTAGCCGATGGACCAAAGACCATGAAGGACGACTTACAAGATTGGACAGTAGAAGAACAAGACGGATTCCGACTCCTATTCTACAAAGGGAGAAACTATATTCCTCAGGACCTAGACCTTCGACGCAAGATCCTACTTCGATACCACGATTCCCTAACGGCAGGACACCCCGGAGAACTGGAAACCTTCAATAACGTCAGCCAACACTATTGGTGGCCAGGAATCAGAACATTCGTTAAGAACTACGTCAAAGGATGTGGTGTATGTCAGCAATTCAAGATCAACCGTAACCCATCAAAACCCGCTCTCATGCCCATCCCACCGGCCAAATCACTCCGACCATTCTCCCAGATCTCAGCCGACTTCATTACCGACCTCCCTGAATCTAACGGATACAACTCTATCTTGTCCGTGGTGGACCACGGGTTTACAAAGGGGGTAATTTTGATCCCATGCACCAAAGAGATCACGGCAGAGCAGACCGCACAACTCCTTGTCGACACACCTCTTCAAACGCTTTGGTCTCCCAGAGAAGATGATCTCCGACCGCGGCCCCCAGTTTGCTGCTCAGGTTTTCCGACACTTCCTCCAACTTCTCGAGATCGAATCCGCACTGTCCACCGCTCACCATCCCCAAACTGATGGCACCACGGAACGTTTCAATCAAGAAATCGAGACCTGGGTTGTCAATCTATTGTCTCGCCTTCCCCACAAGACTGGTCCGAACACCTTGGCATCCTAGAATTTACCCTACAACAATCGAAGACACTCCGATCGGCCATATACCCCATTTGAACTCATGATGGGAATAGCACCCAAAGCGATCCCAACCTCCTTCGAATACACTCAATTCCCATTGGCAGAACAACACATCAAAGCTCTCGACCGAATCAGACATGAAGCCCTTGCCGCACACACATTGGCCCAGCAAAGGATGGCTCAAAGGATCAAGTCCACCTTCAAACCCTTCAAGAAAGGCGAAAAGGTGTGGTTAGAATCCAAAAACCTCAACCTGGGGATACCACAAGAAGATCAAAGCCAAACGAGAAGGACCCTTCGAGATCTTAGATGTGTTAGGACCGACCACCTATCGGCTCAATATCCCCGATCACTGGAAACGAGTCCGAGTTCACGACGTGTTCCACGCCACCCTCCTCACGCCATACGTCGAGAACGAAGTCCACGGCCCCTAACTTTCCCAGACCACCTCCGGAAGTGGACGACATTTACGAAATCGAGCGCATTCTGAAACACCGCAAAACCCGAAGCGGACTGGAATACCTTGTGCTTTGGAAAGGTTACTCCGAAGAAGAAGCAACGTGGGAAGATGAAGACAACCTCTTGACCCGGAGCAAGCAAGATCCTGACACAATACAAGACGACTCATCTGAAAGAAAAACCAAAGAACCGCAAACAACTTCGGAAATAAAAGGACGAACCAGTCAGACTCACTCCCCCAGCAAACCACCCATCTGCTACTTCACCTCACAAATCCACTTGCCCCTCTTCGCTACTCTCACACCTTCTCCCCTTCCGAAATGACCAACATGATCATCGACTCCGGTGCCGCCTTCACCTTCGAATTCCCTGTCCCTTCCACCGAATCAGTCACTGAAACCACCGCCGTCGAAACATCTACCACTGAAAACCCCCCTGCCAACGAACCCACTGACCCCTACAAAGGGGGTAACTCCACCTTTATGACCTGCGCTGCCGAACTCATCCACCTGCTCGCCGACCCCCGCGATCTGGACTAACCTCCAAGAGATGTGCAGGATATGCGCATCACATCGTCCTAGACCGCCTCCGAGATCTCGACCGCCACATGGTCCGAGATTCACAGAGCCATTCTTCGCATTCCCCCTCAAGACCGGCGCATAGGTTCCCAAACCCGAGTCACCCTCATCAACCTCCGCCTTTTCCTTTGGGAAGAGTTCCAAGAGAAATGCGAGGGATTTGTCTACAAAGCCCTTCACAAAGCCATCGTCCCCGCCCTCATCGACCTTCGTGATCTCTCGGCGCGCAACGACTGGACAGGCAGAGAAGAATACGCCTGGATCACCTACACTCCCCCTTACGAGAATTCCCCCTACCACTCGCCTGCCAGCCGCCTCAAGACCTGTTACCCATCCGTGAGTGCGGGTTTGAGAAGGAACGACGGAGGGCCCATCATCGCAACCGCTACCAACGATCGAAAGCCGCCCACGATTATGCAAGGACGACTCAAGAAGCCATCTCTAGGAGGTCCGCCGGGATCAAGATCCCCCTCAAGTTCCGACAAGCTGATCGAGGAAAGAAGGTCCGCTTTGAACGAAACCCCCGCAGGAAACAACAGTTGGGATGACAGTCTGATCCCCGATTGGTCTACCCCTGGTCCCGACGCTAGTAGTTGGGATTGAAGGGACTTCAATCATACAAAGGGGGTAATGTTACGAATTCCACCCCTATCTTTTCTCTTCGCGTCCTTTCTCTATCACATGACTCATTTTCTTGTTCACATGATCTCTTTCTTTATCTCGTGACTGTTTTATCAGTTAATTCTTCTTACTGCTGCGGCGCAGCCTTCTTTGACTCTTTATGACTTCTTCTTGCTGCGGCGCAGCCACTCTCTATTGTTCTCTAATTTATCTCTGCTGCGCTCCGCAGTAACCTGTGCTCGCGCAGCCTTCTTCTCTGACTTCTTTTGACTCATATTCACGTAGCTAGACAGGTATATAAGCTCTGTAGATACCTCTCTTGTTCCTTAGCTAGTTCTCGTGAATCATACCCACTTCTCCTCTTCTCTCGAACTCGCTCTAGTCGTCTTAAGACAATACCTCTTGTGAGGCACTCTTAGACGCCTATATCATCGAACTCGCCTCGGAACCACGACTCTACGGTCGACGTGCATGCTCACTCGAGTTCGCGTCCCTTGACCGTAACACAACGGTTCAAGAGGGAATCGCCGGCCCAGGCTACATGCATGCTATCAAAACGGCGTCAGTAAAAAGGCTCCAAACACTGGGCCATAGGAACTATATTTTGACTAGAAATAGTGTAACAAAATGGTGAAAATATTTTAATTTTTTTCAAAAATTTTCGGTCAAAAAATCTTGGAAAAAATTGCAATATAATTGAACTATTTTTTGGGTTTAAAATATGGAACAAATATTTTTCTCCGGGCTCCAGATGTTTAAGATACACAGAGCAATTTCCAAACCCGGAGAAAAGTATTTGGTCCATATTTTGGGCCGAAAATATGTTCCAAAAATATTGGGAAATTTTTCAAGATATTTTGACCGAAAATATTTTGAAAAAAATCAAAATATGTTCAAAATGTTTTTACAGTATTTTCATTCCAAATATAGTTCCTATGGCCCAGTGGAAAATTACTTTCCACGCGCACTTGAGAACAGCTCCATGGCGGAGTAGGCTTTAACTAAATCTGGGATGGATGATATACTCACCACCAGGAGGCAGCAGTTGGAGCACCATCAGGTCTACCAGTCCAATACACTCCTCCAGAGTGGCAGAAAGTGCTTCCACCACTGGGGACGTAGCACGAGGTTGTGCCCAGGCCGTTGAGGGAGTCGTAGCACGCATATGCAGCGGCGCGATTGATGATTCGGTCGTGAAGGCACGCCCCGACGTAGCGTTTCTTGAGGTTCTCGTTTTCGAGGGCTGAAAGTCAGTTGAAAGTTGAATACATACTTATCAGCCATCCGCTTCGATACTACGGGTAATGGAAGATTGGAGATGAAGTGCGTACATGATTCGGAATTGACTGGGGAAACGCGCTCGTGCTTCTCAGCGTGCTCGCGCGCCTTTGCCCAGAGACCGGCAGAGGTGAGTCCGAGGGACTCGAGGCTGGGCAACCCAGGACCGGGGACGACCTCTGGGACGTCTGCATCAGTGAGCTCGACGGCTGCAGGGGATCCCTGAGGCAACGCTGCAACTCCGCTAAGATGATTGAAGGCAGCGAGGGAGAGGAGGACAAGCGAGGTGAACTTGGCGAACATTGCCGAGGAGTGGGAGAGTGTTGGTAAGGAGTTGCGAAGTAGCTTGGGTGCAGGTAGCTTGGATAACTGGCTGGTTTTCCGATGCTGAAGTTTGGACGACGATTCCGAGAGGCTTTTATACGAATTTTGAGCCCTTTCGTGTCGGAATGCCAAACGTCAAGACGTGTCCTTGCGGTTGCTTTTTTTTTTTTTGAGTGAACTATCAAGGCGGGGAGGTCGGACAGGTACAGTTTCAGAAGTGACGGAAGGCGGGGATTGCACGGGTTCAGCTCGCTGAGCTTCAGTTGGTGGAAGTTAGGCTGGCTTTGCAGCACACTCGGGCTGGATGTATCATCCAGTCGCCAAAGAGGATTGACGCTGGGTGGGATGGTTATACCATCCGATAGCCATAGTTTATTGAGGATGCTACTACTTTTCGACTCTGAAGGGTACATGGTCACTCTTCGCAGCTAACGGGCTCTGTCAATCCCTCGCTCAAAATCAAAAGATTCCGCGGCTCCGTACCCCCCCGATGATGGATGATGGATCACTACACCTATCACTGAAGGATCCAAAAATCATTCCCACCTGCCCATTGTCATTAACCGTTGGGGTATCGATCTCTCCGAAGTAAGAGTCTCTCCCAGCATCATGCCTCAGCTATGTACACCGGGCTCTGTACCCTTTGTTTTTTGTTCCCGCTGGTCTCTACGGCTACATATTCCCATTGGGCGTAGACACTGTGAAACATCCGGTTAGAGAGGAACAATAATTAATAGGTTGTTTGGGATCAGAAAGTCGAGGGCTTTTTTCGATTCGATGTATGTAGGAGGTTAGCTTTTCTCGCAGATATCGAGGTCTGAAACGGTTTGGGATAGGTGTAACAATTGAACTTACGAACCGCATAAGTACAATGTATTGGGCGCTTAACGATCGACAGGCGTATCCTGGGCGCTAATTTGGGGTATGGTGTATCAATCACGATTCACCACCGGCAATAAGTACTTAGACGCTCAATAGAATTCAAATGGCACCATACCACCGGACCAGCTTGACCTTGCGCAGGTCGAAAAGGATCAGAAAAGGCACCGCGGTATGATCACCAGAACCCCAAACGGGCCCTTTACCAGGACATACGCGTTTGGGATTTGAGTTGGTTTGGGAAGGGGTACTATGCCTCATGAACGAGCACCCACTGGCAGGGGAGAATGGAGACTGATATCATGATAAGCTCGAGTCCCATGTTCAGTTTGGCGTCGCCGGCGCACTGAACAGCCTGCAGCTGAAACCCCACTGACGTCGGGAATAATGAATGGACAACTTGGTCCGCGATGATCGAAACTTTGCTTGTCTATCACTAGGACTTACTATATCTAATAGCGCGTTTACGCATATCAGTAGCGCCCAGATAGAATTTACTTACTACAATAGACACCGGACGTGACCCCGCCTTTATCCGCCCATGGAATTGAAACTGTACCTGTCCGCGCTCACCGAATGGGTACAGAGTCAGACCAACTTAATTAATAATTATGAGCTAGGTGTCGGTCGAAGCTGCCCTATGCCTCTGGCGAAGTTGTCCGCTCTGGAGATGGAATGTAAAATGCGAATATTAATGTGAGTGAGTGGTCATACCTGTAAGACTTATCTGAGCGTAATTCACTCATCTCAGATCTGGGTGTACTTCGCCATCCGACATGCAAGGAGGAGGGCGATAAAACGCTGCGATATGGGGGTATAGATAAGTCGTCCAGGTATAAGCACTCAGTCGATCTTCGAACTGGTTGGGAGGGTATTATTGCTCGACTGTCCCGTCGATTCTCGAACTCACTCATCCACCTGCAGTCAGAGAAAGATGTTCGTTAAACTCACCGCTAAGGCTGGGAGTCTCTTCCTCTTTCTCCTCCTATCCCTCGCGCATTCGAGCTCTATCGCTGGAGTGGCTGCGTTGCCTCAAGCTGGATCGGCCAATACTCTTGATGTCGCATCCTCAGGCTCCATTGTAGCAGAGGATGTCCCGGAGGTGATCCTGGCCCTGGGATGCCGAGCCTCGAGTTCCTCGGGCTCACTTCTGCAGGTCTGTGGGCGCAAGCGCGGCAGAGTGCGGAGATGCACAAGAGGATTTCGGCGGTTGGGAATGAGAGTTGTACGTATGATGCATCGTGGCATTCATCATTCCAAATCGTCTCACGGGCGCTTAATAGCAACACCAAGTCCATGTCCTACCAAGGTCGCTGTCCGAGGTAAAGAAAAATGAGGATTACCAAGGGCCGCGCCTCCACTGGAGACGCCTCCCTTTGTAATTGGAACATCGAGGATTCGAACCTCGCACCCTTCGACCAGGCTCAGCGCCAGCGCGTATTTATAGAAACACACGCCAGCCGGGCACCAGGATGGGTAGTCTCCCACTAGACTATGTCCCTGTGGGTGGGGGAAGAGGGTGTATGGCGATGATAGAAGTGTTGGTATGACAGGACTAGTGTACCGAAGGTGCTACAGTACTAGTAAATGGAAGGTGCTGCGCAGAAGTTAAGCTTCGCCTCGTGGTGTGATGGTGTGATACGGGAGCCCTAGGTGGATGATAGGCGCTCAGGAGCTTTAGCGCTCGAGTTGTCGATTTGTTGATTTCTTCATGGTCACCTCTCGGAACTCGGAGTTCTCGCCAAAACCTGGGGTAACATGGCCCATTCTGAATCCGCGTGTTCAAGGAACTCAGAAGAGGACCCTGACCATTCGTCCTTTCGTTCTCCCTGCACTATTCCTCTCCATAACCTCCCTTTCGCAACTCGCAATCTTCTCTTCTCTGGATACAAGCGCCTTCCCACCCGCTCCCGCCTTTTTCTAGCACATTCCACCAAAAATACGACAAGCGCTTGCGGAACCAATCCCCCCAAAGTGATCGCCATGGCCCGGCGATCAACGGAGGACCCTTGCGCTTGCCACGCTGGCGCCCTCACGTGACGTTTCTAGATTTTTCGCATGACGGGTTTGCCCAAAATTTAAAACCCCGGTAGCAACGTCACAGGCCATCCTGTGAGCTTCTTCCGTTGTCTTCCTCCTCCTCATCCTCCCAAAAAACTCGACGAGTTGCCCTTTATTTTTCTAACGTTCGACAATGCACCGCCTTTCGACGACCTCTTCCCGCTCGCTGCGACGTGCTGCCCAGCGCCAGTTGGCTAAGCAGCAAACGCGGGGTGCGCATAAGGAGATTAAGTTCTCTAATGAGGGCCGGGCGAGCATTTTGAAGGGTGTTGATGTTTTGGCAAACGCTGTTTCTGTTACGCTGGGTCCTAAGGGTATGTCTTTACTGTCCTAGGTGTTGGTTAGATACTGACAACGCGTGTAGGTCGCAATGTGATCATTGAGCAGCAGTTTGGTGGTCCAAAAATCACCAAGGGTGAGTTGGCGTCACCACGCCCTCTTCGTGCCTTTCATGCTAACCTACTCGCGTAGACGGTGTTACTGTTGCCAAGTCCATCACGCTGAAGGACAAGTTTGAGAACCTCGGTGCTCGGTACGTGTTCCCGCATTCTCCCGCCATATGCGCCCGGAATTGACGCCCGCCCAGTCTCGTCCAGGATGTCGCGTCAAAAACGAACGAAGTCGCTGGTGACGGTACCACCACGGCCACCGTCCTCGCCCGTGCCATCTACTCGGAGGGTGTGAAGAACGTTGCTGCTGGCTGCAACCCCATGGACCTCCGCCGAGGTTCCCAAGCCGCCGTCGACCGCGTCGTCAACTTCCTTTCCCAACACGCCAAGACTGTCACCACCACCGCTGAAATCGCCCAAGTCGCCACCATTTCTGCCAACGGCGATACCCACGTTGGTAACCTCATCGCCCAGGCCATGGAGAAGGTTGGCAAGGAGGGTGTCATCACTGTGAAGGAGGGCAAGACCATCGAGGATGAGATTGAGATTACCGAGGGCATGCGCTTCGACCGTGGTTTCATCTCGCCCTACTTCATCACCGACGTCAAGACCCAAAAGGTCGAGTTCGAGAAGCCCCTCGTCCTCTTGTCCGAGAAGAAGATTTCCCTCCTCCAGGACATCCTTCCTTCCCTCGAGGCCGCCGCCCAGCAGCGTCGACCTCTCATCATCATTGCCGAGGATATCGATGGCGAAGCTCTCGCTGCCTGCATTCTCAACAAGCTCCGTGGCCAGCTCAAGGTCTGCGCCGTCAAGGCTCCCGGATTCGGCGACAACCGCAAGTCCATCCTCGGCGACATTGCCATCCTCACTGGTGGTACCGTCTTCACTGACGAGCTCGAGGTCAAGCTCGAGCAGGCCACCGTCGACATGCTCGGCTCTACCGGCTCCATCACCGTCACCAAGGACGACACCATCATCCTCAACGGTGAGGGCTCCAAGGACGCCATCCAGGCCCGCTGCGAGCAGATCCGCTCACTCATCAACGACCCCACCACCTCTGACTACGACCGCACCAAGCTCCAGGAGCGTCTCGCTAAGCTCTCCGGTGGTGTCGCTGTCATCAAGGTCGGCGGTGCCTCCGAGGTCGAGGTCGGTGAGAAGAAGGATCGCTACGACGATGCTTTGAACGCCACCCGTGCTGCCGTCGAGGAGGGTATCCTCCCCGGTGGTGGTACCGCCCTCCTCAAGGCTTCCCTTCAACTTGCCACCACCTCCCCTTCCGCCAACTCTTCTTCCTCCCCCACCTCCCCCTCCGCCGAGCCTATCCCCACCGCCAACTTTGACCAAGAACTCGGTGTCGCCATCATCCGCCGCGCCATCACCCACCCCGCGCGCACCATCCTCAAGAACGCTGGAGAGGAGTCGTCTGTCATTGTCGGCACCCTTCTCGAGAAGTACGGTGGTGAAGACCAGTTCAACTATGGCTACGATAGTGCCAAGGGTGGCTATGTGGACATGGTTGAGCAGGGCATTGTTGATCCTTTCAAGGTTGTGAGGACTGCGCTTGTTGATGCTAGTGGTGTTGCTAGTTTGTTGACGACGAGTGAGGCGTGTATTGTTGATGCGCCTGAGGAGGAGCCGAAGGGCATGCCTGGTATGGGAGGGATGGGTGGCATGGGCGGTATGGGTGGTATGGGAGGGTTCTAAGTGCCTAGTCAGGGTGCTTAGACGTGCCTTTCCGTTCACTTTTTATCCCCCTGCTATTGCATAACCACCACCACCTATTCGACTAGTATACTAATTCTAATCCCACTGTTATATTCGTTAGATTTAGCATTTTTTTACGTACGCATAGTAAACACCCCACTCATCCAACGCATTGCATTTTTGTCTTTTTTACGGTTTCTAATGGGAGTTTGCACGAGTTGTAGGAAACGATGCGAAGTAAGAAATGAGAGTATTGTCTTTTCATGCCCGACTTAGTATTGAGGAGAGAAGTGGCAGCGATCCGCTAACTTTGTTCCGCCCAGTTCACGCGTCTAGTCGTCGCAGATCGAGAGTTGCCTTGGACATGGTAGTGGACAGCAATGTGCTTTTCTGGCGTGACAGAGTCGTCGGACATGTTGCAGTTTGCCGAGCGCTTAATCACTTATGCCGGGCATTGCGAACGATAAAAATGTTCCTCCCCTCTTCCTCGAGGCAGAAAAAGGATTTGACGAGAGTGGGATTCGAACCCACGCCCTTTCGGACCAGATAACTGCACGTCTGTACGTGCTGGTCTCCTTAGTCTGGCGCCTTAGACCGCTCGGCCATCTCGCCCCTTGAGCGCTTATTCCTGCTTGTCTCTCCGAGCCACACGGTTAGATTTCAGCTGAGCAGCCTTCCATTTCACTGGTTTGGCTTATTCGCAGGTCGTAGCGAAGGCCTGAAATACAGGGAGGGAAGCCTTGCATTAGCAGTCGAGGCCAGCACCCTTTAGGCACGTCACGCTCCGATCCGGGGTGCCCTTCTGGGCGCTCCCCTGAGACCCGACTTTGCGTCCAGTGACTTTACCTGTAACGAATAAGTCACCGGAGCCGCTGGGAAAATAACATCAGTGACTCAGTAAATGAGTTCACTTAGTCATATTAGGACCGCAATGGGCGCTTCTCCTCCTGTAATGCCCGCAATAGAAGGACATAGATGTCTTCGATCGAACGCGTTGTAACTTTAGGGGGATAGATAAGGGATTTGCTCTTTGAACTTGGCGGTCAACATATCCCGGAATCTCCAGTGATGAATTCAAATGGGTTTCGTGCATTCCTGAGGGCTTGCCGGCTAATGACGTCGACATCACGCCGAGGGCTGTCGTCGAATGCATAAAAACTCGTTCTCCACTCATCTGGAGCACCACCACTCCCTACAGACTCGTATCTGCAACTCAGTGCCCTATCATCTCTGAACCACTGTATTATAGCATTCAACCAACGATGGCCGAATACTCAAAACCCAAGATGACCTACGGTATCCCTGATTTTACTTACTCGTGAAAAGCGCGTCCTCACGAGGGCGTCCTCATCATTCCAGTGAAGCTGGGTAATTCTGGCCTCAAGGTGTCCAAGATCATCCTCGGATGCATGTCTTACGGTTCACCAAAGTGGTCGGAATGGGTCCTCGATGAGGAGGAGTCGTTCAAGCATATCAAGGCTGCGTGCGTATCTCTCTGCATCACTTCTGACAAGAGTCTTTCCGCCCGTACAGTTACTGAGGTTTCTCTCCGTCCGCAGTTGGGAGGCTGGAATCAACACTTTCGATACAGCCGACGTTTGTTTTCCTCCTTCTTAGCTGCTGGGCCTGTTGGAATCTGACTTGGAGTATGGTGTCTATTACAGGTCTATTCCAACGGACTGTCTGAGATCATCCTTGGAAATGCTATCAAGAAGTTGAACATACCCAGGGAGGAGATCGTGGTTCTCAGCAAGGTAAGCAGCGCACTGGAAGCACCGTCACCTCTGTAATCAGATACTAAAAGTGCTTTTCAGGTTTTCTTCACAGTCGCGAAGAAACCCGAAGAGTACTGTTTGTTCGGGGAAGGAGCAGACAACACTGGATATGTCAATCAATGGGGGCTCAGTCGGAAGGTTAGAGACTTACTCCATCATCGAGAGAATGTCACGCTCATAATCGTATCGCTAAATGTTTGTCATGTAGCATATATTCGACGGCGTGAAGAACAGCCTGAAGCGACTTCAGCTCGATTACATCGACGTCTTGCAATGTCACCGATTCGATTATGATACGCCCATCGAGGAGACGGTATGTATGATTATCATTCTAGAGAGACACAAACTCTGAGTTCTGTCGCTGCAGATGCAAGCCCTTCACGACGTCGTCAAGGCTGGATATGTGCGCTACATTGGGATGTCTTCGTGTCATGCCCATCAATGTAAGTCTTACATAGAGTTAACTTGGTTTGAACACTGAAACTGACGGTCCTGACCAGTCCAAGCCATGCAAAGTACGAGTGGCTCGTGTACAATTCCATTGGTTGTAGCGTCTAATGGTTCCTCTGACAGACTATGCAATCAACAACAACCTCACGCCGTTCATTTCAATGCAGAACCACTACAACTTGCTTTATCGCGAAGAGGAGAGGGAGATGTTCCCCGCTCTGAAGGTATAATTCTCGTTTGTTTCCAGGTGTACTTTTCCCCTCACATCTGCCTTTTTGTCTTAGGGCTCCGGCGTTGGAGCTATCCCGTGGTCTCCTCTCGCTCGTGGACTGCTTACCCGCCCTTTGAACGTCGAAACGCACCGCTCAGGCACGGACCTGTAAGATCATCTCTTCTTGCTTCTTATAGCTTGTTTCGGACTTAGATTACGAACTCGACATAGGTTCAAAGGTTACAAAGTGGAAGGAGGGGGAGAGAAGATCATTTCGAGGTTGGGTCCCATTTATTCAGTGGCAACTTTTCTCCTACTAAGCCTTCGTTTGCACGCAGTGTCGAGTCGATTGCGAAGAAACGCGGTGTCAGCATGGCGCAGGTGGCGCTTGCTTGGGTTATGTCCAAGCCAGGTAGGCTGTCATGGACTTGTGTCATCGCCCCGACTTTCTGACTGGTGTTCAAATACTAGGGGTCAGTGCTCCCATTGTTGGCACGACTTCAGTCGACAAATTGTATGATCTTCTCAGTAAGTCACGGTATGCACTCTGGATGTGACGTATCGCTTACGGGATAAATTCGAATAGAGGCCATCGACTTGAAGTTGACAGAAGACGAGATCAAGGAATTGGAAGGTCCTTACGAGGCTCAAGGCATCTTCGGACACTGGTAACAGCGCACTGCACACCAACCCCCATCCCCATGGACATGTCGATTCCGGTGTATATAGTGCCTTTCGAAACTTCAATGTCATGTTCATGTTTATTTCCGGACAGCTGATGGAAGGACACTCTACCTTCCACGGGCGGCTATCAGCAGGAAGCACGCGTCTAAGCTTATCTTGACGATCAATCAAAAGCTTCCGCTAACTGGATGATTAATAAACATCAAATCCGGGGAGCTACCCGCCTCTCGGCTTACTAGATGAGGGTCATGAGGAACAGGTTTTAAAGTCTCCCAGCGACGTCAGCTGTGACACACATACTTGACCAGTGACCCCCAACTTGTTGGCCAACCGATTCACTCTCTGTCCTTCGAATTAACAAAGGCTTATTAACATTGCGACATGGCTTCGGACGCACAGAAGACCAAGATGCCTTATGGTAAGTGCTTGCAGGTTATCGCTACGATTATGATACCAGGAGTTACGGTTGAACCCACACGAAACCTCAGTTAGGCTTGGAAATTCGGGTCTGAAAGTCTCCAAGATCATCCTTGGAACTATGTCGTACGGCGATCCAAACTGGCAGGGATGGGTACTCGACGAAGAGGAATCATTGAAGCATATCAAAGCTGCATACGATGCGGGGATTAACGCATTCGATACTGCCAATGTGCGTCTCCTCTCAGTTTCATCACCCGATCATTCACAGCGTAATGGCCTCACCGTGACGAACATGAACTTCAACACAGACCTATTCGAACGGTGCATCCGAAGAAATCCTCGGCAAGGCGATCAAGAAGTTCAATCTTCCTCGAGACGAGATTGTCGTTCTCACCAAGGTCTGGTCACCACCATCTCTTTACCGTCGCGATCAAGGAAGGTTCTTACGGGGCCATTTCGTGTAGGTCTACTTCGCGGTTGGAAATAAACCAGGAGACTTTTTCCTGGCTGGAGACGGCGCTGACGAAAAGGGGTATATCAACCAGCACGGATTGAGCAGGAAGGTGAGGGTCGGATGGTCGTTTTTTTTTCGCGTTCAGGCTTGCTAATGCATCGAGGTACATAGCACATCTTCGACTCTGTGAAGAAATCCTTGGAACGCCTCCAGCTTGACTATATCGATGTTCTGCAATGTCAGTCGAGTTTGACCGTCGTGATGCCGAGTCCCAGAAAGTCTGAATGTTGTCGTCCCGAGCAGGTCACCGCTTTGACTACAACACCCCGATCGAAGAGACTGTGAGCGTCATGGTGTTGAACCGTTTAGCCTCACTGCTGACCAAAGCTTTCTGGGCTCTAGATGCAAGCTCTCCACGACGTCGTTAAAGCTGGATATGTTCGTTATATCGGAATGTCGTCTTGTTGGGCGTGGCAATGTGCGTCTCCCAAGAACCTAATACCACCTACACCCTGACTCATCACTGACGCTCACATCATGTTAGTCCACGCTATGCAAAGTCAGTTCCTCCATGAACCCCCTATGGGCCAAAAGACTGACGTCAAGCCCCGATAGACTACGCCATCAACAACAACCTCACGCCCTTCATCTCGATGCCAAACCACTACAACCTTCTGTATCGTGAAGAAGAGCGCGAGATGTTCCCTACCCTAAAGGTGCCTTCCTTTTTCTGTTCTGCGAATTGTCTCTTTTAAATCGCTCGTCATGGAACAGTATCTCGGCGTTGGCGCAATCCCATGGTCGCCTCTTGCGCGCGGACTGCTCACTAGGCCTCTGAATGCCCAATCGACAAGAGCTGGAATCGACAGGTTAGCATACTTTACCTCACTTTACAGCGAACGGATTGATCGCTCACCGGCACCCTGGATAGGATGTTGAAGGGATACAACGTTGGCGAAGGAGGCCAGAAGATCATCTCTGCGTAAGGACTGATTCTCCGTTGCATTACATTGTCATCTATAGCTAATGAATGATTCCTCAAGCGTCGAATCGATCGCGAAGAAACGAGGACTTAGCATGGCTCAGGTTGCTCTCGCATGGATGCTTTCAAAGCCAGGCTCGTCCCTCTCATTCATTGCCTTGTACCGACTGGATCTCATTGACCATTGTCTTGCTTCCAGGTGTCACCGCTCCTATTGTCGGCACTACCTCGCTCGATAACCTGCGGGAGCTATTGGGTGAGCTTCGCGTCCAGTTCAGGCCTTGTTCATTGCTAACTAGTGTCCGTTACCCCTAGATGCTGTCCATGTCGCACTCACAGAAGAGGAAATCAAAGAGCTGGAGGAACCATACGAGACTCAGAATGCGTTCGGGCACTTCTAGATGTCAAGATAGACACGTCTGTACGCTTCGAGTACTAGGATATGTACTTAAAGAATACGACTGAACAACCACAGAATGGGATCTCTGGATAGAGTATTAGATACCGTGAAGCGCCGATTAGCCTCAAAACGGGAAAGGGAAAAAAACAAAAACAAAAACAAATACGCTAGCAATCCAACCAAAGAAATTCGGATACGGGGAATCGAACCCCGAGCTGCCGCGGACTGACTCTCGTTCGATGAGAGGCGGCAATGTTAGCCGTTACACCATATCCGATGTAATGGAAAGACTCGTCGTTGCTTTTTTCGCAGAACCTTCGTTGTTTCCTTGTATACTACCAGGATCGAAGGTATGCGTCGCTTCAACCCTCAGGCCTCATCGTTGGGTATTATGTATCACTTAAATGCAGGGGTGTTGTCATAATAGACAACGGTTATTAAAAAGGCTAAACGAGGAGTTATCGCACCTACGTATGATCAAAGATGAAATAAGGACTTCTGGATTCTGGAACGTATAAACACGAGCTCCTGCACATTTAGGCGACGCATGAAATTGACTAGACTAGAAGCGGTAAAAGATGCTGCCCAGCCAGGTGTCCAGCCCTGTCACTCGGAACAACCAACAGGAATAAGCGCTTAAGGGGCGAGATGGCCGAGCGGTCTAAGGCGCCAGACTAAGGAGACCAGCACGTACAGACGTGCAGTTATCTGGTCCGAAAGGGCGTGGGTTCGAATCCCACTCTCGTCAAATCCTTTTGCGTCTTCGTAGAAGGAAACATTTTGCCGCTCACTGTGTCCGGCATAGGGATTAGGCGCCCGGTAAACGCGTGGTGTCCGACCTTCTGCTTCGGAACGACCAGCAGACATAAGTGCTCAAACCGTTAAGCATTGGGCACTACTGCAGAGAACGTGGACTATACGAGAGGATCAGTGCCAGAGTTAGACCGACTGGAAGACCGAGACTAGATTAGATTAATTAGATCATTAGACCACATCATCAGTTAGATAGACTACCAGAATGGGACCACGACCATCCCACCCGCTCATCCGTTCGTGCGTCTCCAGCATTCGCGAGGCCGTCCGCTCAACTGAAGTCCAGCCCGTCCCTGGGAACGACCAGCAGGGATAAGCGCCCAATGGCGAGATGGCCGAGCGGTCTAAGGCGCCAGACTAAGGAGACCAGCATGTTCAGACATGCAGTTATCTGGTCCGAAAGGGCGTGGGTTCGAATCCCACTCTCGTCACATCCTTTTGCGTCTCCGCAGAAGGAAACATTTTGCCTCTCGCATTGTCCGGGATATAGCTTAAGCGCCCGATAAGAGCATGCGAGTCCACTTTTTCCTCCCACATTCTTATCGACTTTCCCCCTCACCCAGACCTGGAAATGACCTCATCATAATTCAAGCAGTCCCTGTTCACAGCTAAGTAGGTTTGTACCAGCAGAAGTCGAGACTCCCATTGGTAAAACCACCGACGCTCTGACATTGATGGCATCCCGATTTGGGTTGGGATGGGCGATATGACAATCAAGGACAAATACATGGCGTGCTCGACGAAGGCGTCATTGAGCGCTAAGTTGCAACTTGGTTCTCCTCCTCGTACCTTCCCAATTGCAGCTCCCGTCCCCAGTACACAGAATACACCATGAACGCGACTTGGAATTACTTCGACCCGACGCACCACATCTGGCCTCTTCTGGAACCGACAGCACGTGGACTGCTGACCTGATGCTGACAACCAATTCGGAGTGCTGGTCACGAATTCGGAATACCTAGATCGTGGTTATATAGCGCGGTTCGCTTGAATTCGGAATTCCTCGAGCTCCCCCACTCGTCCTCTGCACACCTCTGTCCCTGGAGCGTGACCTGGTTTCGTCTTCCTATCTTCGTTTCGCTATGCAATTTTCAGCCTCGACTTCGGGAGTTTTACGATACTGCAGACCTAGAACACTTTCACGAGCACTGTCTCGCCCTATTTCCAGACTTTCGTCCCACTCCACGCCCACCCTCGCTCCACGAACCGCTCACCCAGGCCTCCAAATATCAGTTTCGACGTCCACCTTCGTCAAGACATCTCCGTCTTTCCAAACATACTCCAAAATTGCGCGGCGGTACAGCTCTACGCGGACTTCACTAATGACGGCCACGGAACCCACCTGTGTCACCCAGTCCCAAAGTCCAGGAGACGCTACCGTCTATTCGTTCTTCGAAGATGCGACCTCAACGTGGCAGTACATCGTCGTGGACCCTGCTACTAAGAAGGCTGTCATCATCGACCCCGTGCTCGACTACAACCCAGCGTCGGGCGCCATCACCACCGAGACTGCTGACGGTCTCCTCGCCTTCGTGAAGGAGAGAGGCCTTGACGTCATCATGCTACTCGAAACTCACGCCCACGCCGACCATCTCACGTCGGCACAGTACCTCAAGCAGAAGTTGGGTGGGAATGTTCCAGTTGGTATTGGCAAGCGCATCGTAGGTGTGCAGAAGCGGTTTGCGGATGTGTATGGGGTGGAGAAGGAGAGGTACGAGGGGGCGTTCGACAAGCTGTGGGAGGACGACGAGAAGTTCAAGATTGGGGAATTGGAGTGCCAGATTGTGCACCTCCCCGGTCACACTCCTGACCACGTCGGGTACCAAGTCGGAGGCAAAGCTCTGTTCCTTGGAGATACTCTTTTCTACGTGCGTATGTTGCAACCTCTTTATGGAACCCCTACTCACGTTTCTCTAGCCTGATGTTGGATCGGCTCGCGCCGACTTCCCTGGTGGTTCCCCTGAAGATCTCTACAACTCCATCGAACGTGTTCTCTCCCTCTCTCCCGATACTCGGATCTACGCCGGCCACGACTACCCACCTGAAGGCGCGGGTCAGCCAAAAGACCGATGTTGGTCCTTCGTCTCTGAGCAGCGAGAGAAGAATGTACATCTCACCTCGAAACTGGGCGACATTCCCAACCTCGCCATCAACTCTGCTGAAGAGAAACCAGAGGACGTAATGAATCGCTTCATCCAGTGGCGTGCGAAGCGAGATAAATCCCTAGGTGCGCCCAGGCTCATCCACCCCTCCCTTCAAGTCAACATTTGCGCTGGTCGACTCCCCGGTCGCGACGAGAACGGTCGAAGAATGATGAAAATCCCCCTCAAAGTACCCGAGGGTCTGTAACTAGTTTTCCATCGTGTTCTATTTAGTTCGTCGTTATGCTTTCGCCATTGTACTTTTGTATGTAACCCCGTTCGCAATTCATCTTCTGTGTTCTGTTATCGATCGTTCTTGCCCCACCGGATCGTCTTCTGTTCTTCGTCATCGGTTCCCGGCCCTGGGCACTTCTCCACCCCCGTTTCGATTTGAGCGATTTGACGGTGGCGTAACTGGTGTTATCTCCATTTCAACCCCATTCCTTCTCAATATGTTCTTTTCAGGCTTTCTTTTAAATCTGGTTCAACGTTGAACCATTCTCGATTGGTCGCTTCCCGGCGACATTCCTCCGAGAAGTTCAGTTCTGTGATCGCTATCACATCGAGCTATGGCACTAGGCTTTAACATTGTATAGCTACAAAACGTTACTCAAGTCGAACAGGAGCGAAAAGGGACTGAAATCTGAGTAAATCTTTGGGGAATAATGGTCCCAATCCTCGCGTGGGGATGACGTCGTTCTCGTTCGGGGGGTAATAGAGATTTGCCCCGAATCATCCCCCGTCCGCTTGGTTTAAGATCCGCCCTCCCGCCCCTTTTCTTTTGTGGATGGAAAAAGTTCACGCGACGCTGAGCCAAGCCACACAACCACGTTGCTCTCATTACAAAACAGGGCGTGCGATTGCGTCTCATTGTAAGCCGGCATTATGGCTTCCTCGACGAAATCTCGGAGTTGGAGACACGGCTGACTGGGCCAACTATAAGTAGCCCCCTCTCCTCTTTCGACAGCTCCTTACTTCCCCACCACACTTCATCTCAGTTCAAGATGGTTCAGGTTCCCAAGATCAAGCTCAACAACGGCCAGGAGATCCCTCAAGTCGGGTTCGTTCCATTTCATTCGCTCGCGGGTGTCACTCTTTATCTTATCTCTAATCGCGGTTTTCTTCTTTAGATTCGGTCTCTGGAAGGTCACCGAAAACACCGCTGATGTCGTCTACAACGCCATCAAGGCTGGTTACCGACTCTTCGACGGTGCCTTCGGTAAGTTTACCTTTAGATTGGCTGGCGATCTCTTTCCCTGACGCCGATCTCTTTCTCTCGATTAGATTACGGCAACGAGAAGGAGGCTGGCCAGGGTATCAAGCGTGCCATCGATGAGGGCATCGTCAAGCGTGAGGACTTGACCATCGTCTCCAAGCTCTGGAACACCTTCCACGAGAAGGAGCGCGTCGAGCCCATCACCCGCCAGCAGCTCGAATGGTGGGGAATTGAGTGAGTACAGCCTTTTCAATCATGCCTTTGGTTTCTGATTGACGCTTTCTCCTTCACAGCTACTTCGACATCTTCTACATCCACTTCCCCGTCGCCCTCGAGTACGTCGACCCCAAGGACAGCTACCCCTCCGGCTGGACCAACCTTGAGGGTAAGGTCGTCGAGAGCAAGGCCTCCATCCAGGAGACCTGGCAGGCCATGGAGAGGCTCGTTGACCTCGGCTTGGCCAAGAGCATCGGTATCTCCAACTTCCAGGGTGCTTTGATCATCGATCTCCTCCGATATGCTCGCATCCGCCCCGCCATCCTCCAAGTCGAGATCCACCCCTACCTCACCCAAAACGCCCTCCTCGACTTTGCCAAGTCCCAGAACATTGCCGTCACCGCCTACTCTTCGTACGTCACTCTTCTTTGTCTTTTGTGTTATATATCGCTGACGTTATGCGATAGCTTCGGTCCCCAATCCTTCGTCGAGCTCGACTGGGACAAGGCCAAGGATACCCCTCCCCTCTTCGAGCACCAGGTCATCACCACCATCGCCTCCAAGCACAACAAGACCCCCGCCCAGGTCCTCCTCCGATGGGCCACCCAGCGCGGCTTGGCTGTCATCCCCAAGTCCAACTCTCCTCAGCGCTTGAAGGAGAACTTGGAGCACACCAACTTTGACCTTACTGAGGAGGAGATCAAGCAGATCACCAGCCTCAACAAGGACCTCCGCTTCAACAACCCTCCCGACTACCTCGGCACCCTCTACATCTTCGCTTAAGCGTTGGAACCAAGGGTTAAAAGGGTAGAAGTGTAATAAGTTATCAATGGAAATGTATTATTATTGATCAATCGTATACGATTTGTGGACATCGAAAGTAATGGCTTGTGTCTTTTTTGCTTGAGTCCGCTCGAGTTACGCGAGGTAGAGCGCCGGCGCTTAACCTGGGCTTGGCGTGATGGGCGGCCTTTGCTTTTACTTCCGATTCGACCATCAAAATCACTTCACGTGAGCTGGGGATGTGATGGAAGGCAATTCCATTGATTAGGTGACCACCGTCGTCGACACATCTCTTGAACCAGTGCAGGACACTACATCAAACAAAAAGCCCAACTCCTTCACCACCACGTAGCATCCCTTACCCCCCCCCCCCGTTTCACCGCCCAAGATGAGCCTGGAGGTTGAGAAACTCATTCTGGAGAACCACGACGACATTGCCTCGGACGACGACGAAGGAGCGCCCATCTTGCAACCCATAACGAAAGAAGAGTTGCGCGCTATCCGCGCAGAGAGGAGAGCGCAGAAAGCTGCCGAGATTCATGCAAAGGCTGAGGTGTTTAGACGTATGGTGCGTACACGGTTTCTCATTCCTTTCGTACGACATGGGGCTTAAGCAGCGTTTTGTAGGGAGACGAGCTGTATGAGAAGGAGAAATATGAGGAAGCGCTGATTCCGTACCTCGAGGCTACTCAGATTTGGCCTTCGAATGTGGAATATTATATCCTGCTCTCTGCAGCGTATACGAAACTCAAGTGGTGAGTGCGCCTTTGGGCTCGTTGGGAGGACGACTGACAAGGATCGCAGGTTCGAGGAGGCCGCTCATGCTGCGACCCGCGCACTGACCCTTGACCCTAAATCCATTGAGGCTCGTTACACCCGAGCTTTGGCCCGTCTCGAACAGAGATTGCTGACGGCAGCTAAAATAGGTACACGCTTCCTCCCATCTGTCCTATTCATGTTCACCCGGCTTACTTCCCTTTGCCTAGACCTCGAAATCGTAGTCGAGCACGAGCCGACACATGAGAAGGCGAAAACATCTCTCGACGAACTCAAGGCGACGCTCGATGCAGCCGCCAAGCCTGGATCAGAAGGAAACACTGCGGAAGCTGCCCTACCTACCCTGCAAGACCTCGATTTCTCGTACCCTCAGTACGACGATAGTCCTCTGGACGTGGATGAGGTTTCCAACTCTAGTGACTGCAACCATCGAGGCAACGGCGTTCCATGCCGATACTATAATCGAGGTCGCTGTGGGAAGGGTATTGCCTGTCCGTATTCGCATGCTCCGGACGAGAAGAGTGTGCGAGACGATCTGTAAGCCATTTCACCTTTTCCGGTGTCGCTATTTTGGTCACTGACAGGATTCCTACAGCGGGCACAACGTCTGCATCTACTTCCTCCTGGACAATTGCAGGTATGGAGAGACGAAATGTGTCTACTCGCACTCCAAGGAGTTCCTTCCGAACCGTGGATGGTGGTCGGACCCCGAGCAGACCGAGAAGATCAAGGCTATCGTCGAGCTTACGGAAAAAACTGCGAAAGAGCAGCGATCGCTCGCTCAAGTGTTTAAGCGCCAGTCCAAGGCATCGGCGCTTTCGAAGCTCAAGTCGAGAGGCAAAGCGTACAAGACGCCCAAGACTCCTAAGACGACCCAGGAGAAAGCTGAAGGGGAGGGTAAAGATGGGAACGAGGAAGAGAAGGGTGGGGAATCTGGTGATAAGAAGCCCGAGAAGAGCAGACCGAGATCGAAGAAGTACCACAGGTACCCGGGCCATCGAAAGCCCAAGTCGAACGCGACTACTGGGGGACCGGTGACTGCTACACCTTCTAGCTCTTCGGTGGGGGAACAGACGTCGCCTACTACTGCCCACCCTGAACAGAGCACACCAGTTCCGGCAGTTGGCGCTTGAAAGCGCGGATTCTCCACTTATAACTTGTGAGTTCTTCAGCTCCAAGATCCCGTGGATTAAATTGCTGACGGCTTAACCCCTCTGTAGAACGCCTATCCAAGTTGTACCTGCTATGTAACGCCAATCTACGAGAAGTATATATATCACGATAATTTATTTGGCCACTATCCATGCGTTGGTGTTAACCGCCAGCGACATCCTTGAGCGCTTGAGCATCTGAACCACTATGACGTCACAGAGAAGTCACCTATATCATTGAATCGTCCTCTCACCACGCAGTCGCCAGTACCTTTCCCTCTTCCACCGTCTAGCTGACTCAACGACCAGCAATGTCACACTGTAACTCAACCGAAGTCCCAGGAGATCCTCTTTCTACCAAGTCCAGGATTCTCGGGACTGGGGCATCGCTCACCCAGGACTTCGAACCTGTCAAGAATATCTGCGCGTTTCTGAACGCGTTTCACTGCTATGCAGATGAACCTGGACGCTATGTGGAGGCTTCGCATTACTGTGCGCATGTCACTGAAGGTAATCATTTCACGCACTCTATTACAATGAAGAATGTGCTGATACGTTGGGCATAGATGTTCGTCAATGTTTGATTTACGACTCGCCTGAACGCAACGCGCGCTTGATTGGAGGTGCGCGCCCATGTTTCGGATGGTAGCTCTCTTCTAACCTCAGGCTGAAGTCGAGTATATGATTACACCCAAGCTGTACGAGACCCTCGACCCGGAGGAACGCAAACTCTGGCACTCGCACGTTTTCGAGGTTAAATCGGGTATGCTCATCATGCCCTCTCCTCTGAAGACCTCGGGCATGCCCATTCCAGAAACCGTTTGGGAGAAAGCGGAAAACGCAGAGATGGAGGAGGTGATTGGTTTGTATGGAAAGACATTCCATTTCTGGCAGGTCGATAGAGGGGATAAATTACCTCTGGGGATGCCGAAGTTGATGGGTTCGTTCACCGAGCGCGAGAGTATGCCCAAGTTTGAGGAGGTCGTTGGGGAGAGGGATAAGCGGTTTGGGAGTGATTGGAAGAGGAAGAAGGAGATTAGGGGGTATATTCCAGTGCCGGAGTTACATCCAGGTGAGTTCGGTTCGGCGCTTCGCTGTAACAGGAAACTAGAGCATCTCTTCCAGACGCTGATCAGGCCAACGTAAACTCCAAACGCAAGAAATTGAAGAGAGCAGATGTATTGGTTACATAGAATGGTGGCATATACAAGACGTTTATCCATTTCATCGAAACTAGAGACCGAAGAAATCCATAGCTACGACTTCAGTTCCACTCTCGGGCAAACCATGGCCTGCACCTTGGCCAGAGAAAGTTTCGACAAGCCCATTTCCATACACCTGTTTGGTCCACCCCTGCCTAGGAGTACTGGGTGAAGTGGAAGTAGGGGTCTGCGAAATGTTATGGACGTTCGTCCACTGCTTCATCTGCTCCGCCAAGTTCTTGTGGTCCAACGCAAAGTCGTTCGTTCCATGCCAGATCTGCATCCTAGGCCACGGACCGTTGTAGCCTGGGTAGGCGCGGCGGACTCTGTCGCCCCACTCTTGGGGAGTGCGGATGACGGTTCCGGACTGGCAAGGATCGGGAGGGAATTGGGGTGTGTTGGCGGAGAGGCATCCGACGGCGGTCCCAGCCCAAACTGCGCCGGCTTTGAAGAGGTCGGGGTAGGTGGCGGCCATAATGTTGGTCATCATTGCGCCGCTCGAAGTACCAGTTACGAAGACCTTCTCGGGGTCGACGTTCCAGTTCTGGAGAGCGTACTTGACGGCGGAGGCGATGCCGGTCGAGTCGTCACCCCCTTCGCGAGTGAGTGAGGCGGTGGAGATGATGTCCCAGCAGTTGGAGCTGCCAGGAGGCGACTGTCCGTAGAGAACGATGAAGCCTCTTTGGTCGGCGTGTTGGCGGAACCCAGGGAAGCCGGAGAAGTATTGCTGGGAAGATGACAGTCGGGTGAGATGAGGTCATTTAGTTGGGCGTGGCTCGACTATCCTTACCTGAGCAGTTCCTCCGCACGGGTGGAGGGCGACGAGGAGACCAGGGCGGTTTTTTACGTTCTGGGGCTTGTAGACGAACATGCTGATATTACTTGGGTTGTTTCCGAAGCTTCGAAGCTGGGTGAGCTGCCCAGCCGGGATCTCAGGGGCGGGAGGTCCTGTGGCCACAGGAGGAGCAACTGTAGTAGTCGAAGGAGGAGGAGAGACAGTGACCGGGGGAGAAGAAGTGGTAGTGACTGGAGGCTGAGCACCTCCGGATTGACACTGCGAATACCCTGGAGGACGATTTTAGTCGCGAGGACACGGAGTCACTGGCTGACGAATCCTACAGTCGTTCAACTTGACGCAGACCAAGCCAGGGTCGCATTGAGTAGGACCTGTGTAACCACTTCCACCACCTGCACAAAAGCAATTCAGTATGTGACCGCGCCGCAGGGTCGATGGTTCCTACACTGTCCATACATAGGAACGGCAGTTGCGGCGTTGGTCAATGCGACCAGAGCAACGAAAGCTGAGAGACGAGGAGAGAAGACCATGTGTCTGAGCGATTTAGTGGGTTGTGTAGCTCGATGTGAGGCTGCCTGTCTGTGCTTTCCAGAATACCTGCTTTTAAACCTTTCGTTCTTTGCTGGATCCTCTATATTCCTGGCCAATGCGAAGACGCTCCTATCCGACGAGCTTCCGACATTTTCACCCACTTGGAAATAGTCGCTCAGGTATTCTCGCAAATTCGGATACTTGAAATGCAGTAAAAATGAAGCAGTCGCGTCGCTAATCTTGTCCCGAAGCGCTAAAGATTTTCGAGTTCTTTGATAGACTATTGGCGAAGAAGATGCGTCGGTAGGCCTCGGTGCCGACGTCCAATTCAATCGCGGTCCGGCGGACATCTCAGGAAGCATCATGGTCGATGCCACGCGACACACACACGAGACGATTTCGACCAAAGTGGGAACCAGATTGTCTGGCGGGCCGATCTTGATACACCGACCATTCTCAGAAGCCAATCGATGTCCTTCGCGAGCCCACGCGACAGAGAACATAGCGCCTAGATATGAATTCTATTCAGTTTCTGAGAAATCTCGTGTCTCGTCCTTGCGCGACGGCATCGGGCCCAGAGATGTGACAGAGGATAGGGAGTCGCTGGACCTGCGTGACTTTCAGTGATCCTGAGCTGCTGAAACACTGCGCTCGCGGAGTAATAATCTTCTTGGTATACGTTATCCCGTCAAAGATTGACTGGGCAGTACTAGGACACTGGATAGCTGAAGCCGAAGACTTTCCGACCTGTGCATACCTTGTCTATGCCATTTGCATCCAAAGTTTCTCACTTCAAACTCACAGCCAACCGTGCACTCACCCTCGGCCTTCTCCGTCGCTTTTGTTGCGCTCAGAGCCGTCGTCGTAAATCCTGTTGTCTTCATGCCCTCTCCAGATGGCTACACAGATGGATCTTATGCATTAATGGGTCCAAGGAGGATATATTCAGTTAAGAACCACAGCGTTCGAAGCCAGAATTTGCCTTGACGTTCGACAAATACGGCAGAGCCGAACCTCGGGCGCCGACACCAAGTGTCAACCGTGATCGACCTCGGATTTTAAAGATACTAACAGAGCGGATGTAAATTTCCATTTCAATGGTCCGACCTTCCTGTAGAATCAATGGGAGGATCAGCGGAACGCTCTGTGCTCGTACCCGGGTGCAGATTTGCGAAGGACTCCAATAAGCGCCCATAAATTCGACGCCGATTGAATCTCCGCTTCAAAAGCAACGTCACCGCCAAACGGACACGTTCGAGTCTTGGCTAAGCACTTGCCGTCTGCGTTATCCCAGCTGCCTGGGATCTTCAATAGAGATGCCGTTCGCCTCCAATATCTAGCATTCCATCTTCGCTGTTATACTTGGCTTAAAAGGTGAGCATTAAACGTACTGGTAATATACAAGAACCTGACGAGATACATGCATAGTAGATATGAGTCCAAAAGGTACCTCAAGTACCCCATGTCCATTTCGCAGACCTGGCCATCACCCGACTAGACCCTACGCGCCTTCCTCATCCTACCATGGTCCATGATACCAGGGATCCCCATCCGCTTAGGCTTATCCCCGCCACCGACCCCCCGCAAACTCCTGCCACTTCCTCCGTCGCCAATACCACGCACACCGCTGGCGTACGGCTTCCCGTTGTACGCCTGGTAGACCTCGTATCCCAAGACCCTCAACGCTTTACCTTTGCTGTGGGCGCGTCGCATGCTACTGCTGATGCTGACGGTGGGGCTGATGCTGACGTTGGTCGTGGGGGAGAGAGGAGCGGAGAGGCATGTGGAGGCTGAGGGGGTGGTGGGCTGCGACATCTCCGAATCCTCGTCGACGGCGCCGAGCTCTGTCGGGTGATAATGGCTTCGGCTATCGTCGAACTGGTCGATGTCCTCCATGCTCACGTAGGCACCTGGGGCGCCCTGTCGAGCGTCGACCAACCCCAGATCACGCAGTGCTGCGGTGGTGGACAGGATGTTTGGGTTGGTGCTCGTCATGTCGGGTGCGAGTGGGGAGATGGGCATCGGGGAATAGGGCTCTGGTTCCTCCGCTGGCACCTCTCCCTCTTCTCCATCGTCGTCGTCGAATAGATCGTCGTGGTCAGGATCTCGAAGACGACTGCTGGAGTGTCGCATCTTCTCCATCGACTGGGCCTGCGCAAGCGCGAACCCTTGAAGAGGTGCCGAATCTGCAATCTCGACGTCCACGTCGGTGTCCCAGGGCTTCAATTCCAAGTCGATATCCACGTCCCTATCTGTCCCTCCCGCTTCACCCGCGCCGCCTCCACTCGTTTCGCACTTGGAGCTCCTCTTCCCGACACTCTTCAGGCCTCTCTTCAAGGGCTTCAGCTTCTTGAACACCATCCCCATCGGAATCCTACCCAACACACCCAACGAGATCGCCTTCGGGTTGGGAGAAACCGTCTTCTTGAGGATGCGCGGCGTCGAAGGAGAGCGGGGAGTGACCCGGCGCGGACTGACTCGCGAACGAGTAGGCGAGGGCGAAGTCAACCCACCGACACCCTGATTCGAGTAGATCCGGGCTCTTCGACTGGTGCTGCTCGCGTGGCTCTTTGCTGAACCAGGAGAAGTACGACGATGGGGAGAGAGCAAGAGCGTGGTTGGTCGGCGCCGAGGAAGGTGTGGCTTCGGTGTCTTCCCTTTGTTCGCGGCAGTCGGTGTGGTCTGGTTCGAACCTCCATCCTCACCTGCACCTACTGGACCTGGTACGCGGCGTAGAGGTGATTGGAACGGACCACGCGTGGAGAGGTCGTAATCGTATGCATTGGAAGGAGGGAAGATGGACGGGTTACGTGGTGTCGTAAGCGCGTCGAGGTGGCCACTGCTTGGGGGTGCGAATGGCGTTCCATCGATCGACGCGACGCCTGTGGCATTAAAGGTGTTAGTCGACTTGCCATTGGGTGGGTCGCTGAATGGGTCGACGTTGTTGGGTTCAGAACGGGCGTTGTAGACCGCCGTATCGTGAGCAGGGTGGTAGTTGTCCGTCATGAAAGAGTCGTTGACCATCGTGAAAGGGGTGATTTCGTTGTAGTGATGTGTAGTTCAGATGTCGTACGAAAGGCGTTATAGATTAGTTCGCAGTGAAAGAGTTGAAGAGCGCGACTGTAACCAGTACAGAGGCCTGAAGGAAGGAAAATAAAATACAAGTCTCTTTGAAAGACGAGACGATGGAGAAGGGAGGAAAGCAAGCTTAGCCACTGACTCCCCGCGACGAAATCGGTTTATAAACGTCTGTGGTTCTACGACGTCAGGAAACGACCGGTGCATTGTTCTTGGACCGCGAAGATCACAGGTATCCAGGTTCCCTTTGTGGTTTAACTTCAAGTCCCCTGAATCAGAATTGCCACAATTTGCAGGGGAGATGAATCGGCAGGGGACAAAAGGCGTTGTCAAATCAGAGGCTGAAAGGACAATCGATGTTTATCGGGGCCACAGAGAGGGATAATGGAACGAAACAAAAACTATTGACGAGAGTGGGATTCGAACCCACGCCCTTTCGGACCAGATAACTGCATGTCTGAACATGCTGGTCTCCTTAGTCTGGCGCCTTAGACCGCTCGGCCATCTCGCCCATGAATGAGACATGAGGCAGGGTTTGACAGCCGCACGATGAGAAGAGGCTTTGGGTGCTCAGACTTCCTGGAGACCGAGAAAATAAACTTCCAATTCGAAGTTTGGTTTGGGCATTCAGAACTCTGCACAGACCCGGATTCACAGGCACCATCACATCGATTTTCGATTTCTGACTTAGAGAAAAGTCTGTTATTGGCTCAATGGTTGGTCCCCTCGCAGTGGATATGCGTTCGACTATCGGATGTCCTCCTTCATGGTCAACGCCGATACCTCCAGGCCATCTCCACGAATTCCAGCGCTTTCCCGCCCCCTCTCCGCCTCCGCATCCTCGTGAAAAGCGGGGAGCCTAGCCGCCACCCCAATTACGCCCAGTCGACATCGCGAGTGGGGCTTGGATGAACTTTCAGCGCTCGTCAACGTCAGGCAAATACCAAGGAAAAGGTATTTTAAAAAATCAAACGACGGTGCAAGTGGCGGCGAGACTATTCTGTAAAAACACGCAGAAGATGGAGGGAATCGTTTGGAGCTCGGGATTCGGACTATCGCGCTGGAACTTTGTTATTGCGCGAGGGTGGTGGTGGCAAACCCGAAAGGGTTGGGATCAACTGATTTGCCTGGGTCTCGCACGGCAACTATGTATAGTAAAGGGGTCTACTGGATTTGGGAACGTGGAGTCTGTGAACGTTGAAGACTGTTCTGAGTTGTCGAAGGTTGGTGTATTCTAGTATAAATAGGCATCGTCGAAGTTCGAAGCCATGGGTGCTATTTTGAACATGTCGAGGAAGGAAGGATGTCCGGATAAATAATTCAACCTTAACACACGCTTTTCTTCCCTTTTTTGAGTATGATATTTGAAATTTCTATGTGACGGATGTTTAAACCAATTTAACCACAACTTGTGCCAGTTTTGGGAGCACAAGCCTTGGCAATGGTTCGGGTGGATTGAGCTCCTGAATGATTGCACCCTCATTCGGTTCGGTTCTCGCGCCAAATCTACGGGTCTGGCCTCCGAATTAGGCGCCTCTCCTTGGCACTGTCCAGCGCTTATGCGACCTCAGCGTACGCAACGTAGTTAAAGCCGTTCTTTCAGCGCTAGTTGCGACGTTACATTCTTTCTCAATGACTCCTCGGACCCGTGTCCCAGTTGCCTTCTTCGCCAGCCCCGTTAGGCCGACGTCACAGGAACAACATGTAGTGAGGAAAGAATGTGCGCAAAGGTCGAGACAGGACCAGAATTCGAGAAGCATGCACTCGTTATGACGTCAAAGAGGCCTGTCAATCCCTACACCGTGACAGGATCTTTAGAATTTCTTCGAAAGGGCTTGTGAGGGCTTATGCTGGGAGTTTCGGTTTTACGGAGGGTCTTACCTGGTCTTACTATTAGGTTTCACAATGCACAAGTTCCTTCGGACTCGTGTTCTAGTGATTAATTGACTCGTTATAGGACGGTTATCTCCACCGGCTATGGAATGAATGCCCCTCTGTGCCCCTGCATCAAGGCTTGATGCTCCACATCACAGCCCTTTGGAGCAGCTGCCGTACGCTGAGTGCCTTGGTTTGGTGCTATCGAGGATCGTATGACTCGTCGTAAGCACCGTGGTTTCGCCGTTGCTGTTCAAAGTGCCCCTCCCCCAGGAGTGAGAAATGGAGCGCTCCTTTCTCTCCTTTCATTGAGAAGAGGCCCCTCGGACATGGATCTGAGACGGATCTGGAGGCTGGGACGCTCAGATATCACTGGACGGACCGTGTGTGAACGGCTGTGAACGGCGGTATTATGTGGGGAACTGTAGATAGCAGAGCGCGCCTTCGTTACCAATCGATCGTAAAGTGAATGCTCCCAGTTTGATGATGAACACTGATGCAGTATGTGCGACGAGGCTAACGAATGACTGTGAGAGCATGTCTGCCATTGTGTCCGGCGGTAGATCCACTACCAGTGAGTAAGTAGTTTCAACCCCTCTGATGGGATGTCTGTATGAGGCAGGTATCGTGGCAGAGATTCTCAGCGTTGTATGTTTCTCAGGCTACCGTACCCGTTTCTTTCTACACCAATCCCACACCAGCGGCAACTACTAGGGAGACTTTCGAAGAACTGGATTTCCAATCGTCGACACCGTGTACTTTCCGACACAATCCGGGCGGGAGCCGCAGATGGTTGCAATACTGGCGCCGTTCTCAGGTTTTCTTGTGGCATTATTGAGCGTTACATATCGCGAGGTGAGTGGAGATGCCTCTCGGTGCCTAACCGCATGGGTTTCCCGAATGAAGGCTCCATCTCAGATTCCAAGACTGCGCTAAAGAGACGAAACACCCCCTCTGGTGTAACTTCGGAGAAAAAGCAAACGCACTTTGGAATCATACGTCGATGTTTACGCACTAGGCCTTGCAGCATGCTAGGGCTGATATTCACCAGCGCCCATTACGGATCTCTGTTCTACCCCCAAGAGTGGATGAGGGTCGATGATGGCACGGATGCCAACATCACATCAAAAACAATGAAGCCGACGCGGGGAAACTGTGGAGAAACCAATCAGATTTTCAATTGGTGGCCCATGGGAGCCCATGGGCCATGGGGCCCCAGACTTGAAGCGCGCAACGACATGGGGTACGGGAACCGGTGTAGACGGAGCCCACGGAACCACTCAGGCTCAACAACGCCGTGAAATCTCGTGAGAGCCACAACAATGGTCAACAAACCAGCCCCTTTCTCGCTGCTGGCGATCAAAATTCCCTCTAAAAGCTCCTTTTGCTTCCATATCCCATGGCTATATAACCGCGAGGGCTTCTCTTCGGAGAGGTTTCGTTCGTGGCCAACTCCCCGGTTCCATCTCCTCCCCCCTTCGCCCTTTTCCCGTGACGTTCGCTGTACACGTCGAACTCTAAACCATGGCTGGAGGACCTATCGCCAAAGAAGATGGAAACATCGACTACCGGACGCTCGTCGACCCCAACAAGAAATGGTACAATAACAGACGGTGTGTGAAGGCACTTCCACTTCACAAGTTCATGATCAACTCATTACTATGTCTTCAGATTAATGACCCTTAATGCTTGGATGGTGTTGCTGTACGTCGATCGTTTGATGGCATTGGAACTCGGACTGACTGTCTCCTTAGTCTCATCACCTCCTCAACTGTCGGTTACGACGGAAGTCTTCTCAACGGTCTCCAGTCCATCGACAACTGGCATGAGTACTTCGGTGATCCCGATGATAACATGCTTGGTTTGTTCTCGGCCATCCAGGTACGTTCAGGCGGAACAGTTGACTCTGCGATTACTTACTTACCTGCTCGACCGCACAGAACATTGGCTCGTTCTGCGCATACTTTTTCGCCCCCTACATCTCTGACGGACTCGGACGCCGTGCATCAATCTTCGTCGGATGCGTTATCATGATTGCTGCCACTGCTATCCAAACCGCCGCTCAGAATGTCGCCATGTTCTTGGCCGCCCGTTTCTTCATCGGTTTCGGTGTCGCTTTCGCTGCCTGCGCTGCCCCTCTGCTCATTTCGGAGATCGCCTATCCTACGCACCGTGCTCCTCTCACCTCCGCCTACAACGCCCTCTGGTACTCTGGATCCATCGTGTACGTCTTATTTGATTCCTCTACGCGCTTGGGAATGGTTTGCTGATCTCATGTCAACAGTGCCGCATGGACCACTTACGGAACTGAGTTCATGAGGAACAGCACCTGGGCATGGCGTATCCCCTCCGTCCTCCAAGCTCTCCCATCTATTATCCAGATTGGATTGATCTTCTTCTGCCCCGAGTCTCCTCGATGGCTCATCAACAAGGGTCGCAATGAGCAAGCTCTTAAGATTTTGGCCTACTACCACGCTGACGGCAACGAGTATGTCCCTCGCTTTTCAATTCCTGATGTTTGGAGGCGCTGACCTGTCTTTTCGCTGCTCAGGGAGGACCCTCTCGTCAAGTACGAGTATGAGGAAATCAAGGCTGCCATCGAACTCGACCGTCAAGTTGCCCAAAGCGTCGGCTGGAAGACTCTCATCGCCACCCCCGGAAACCGTCGCCGAATGAGGATTATCATTGCCCTCGCCTTCTTCTCTCAATGGTCAGGAAACGGTCTCGTCTCCTACTATCTCAACAAGGTCTTCGACACTGTCGGTATCACCAACTCCTCGACTCAGCTCCTCATCAACGGTATCCTCCAAGTGTGGAACTTGGCCTGGGCTCTCGGCGCTGCATTCGTTGTCGAGCGCGCCGGTCGACGACTCCTCTTCCTCACTTCTCTCGGAACCATGACCTTGTTCTTCACCATCATGACCATCTGCGCCGCCGTTTACGCTCGTGATGCTGAGCGATTCGAAAAGGCCGGACACGCCTTCATCGCCTTCATCTTCTTGTACTACGCCGCTTATGAGTGAGTTCCTCATTCTTCCTTGTCCTTGAGATCTTGAAGCTGATATTCTGTGCGCCATTTTAGCATCGCCCTCTCCCCACTCATCGTCTCCTACACGGTCGAGATTCTCCCCTTCCAAATTCGTGCCAAGGGTCTCTCTGCTTTCAACATCGCCATCTCCCTCTCGCTCGTCTTCAACCAATACGTCAACCCCGTCGCTCTCGGCAAACTCCAGTGGAAGTACTACATCGTCTACGTCTGCTGGCTCGCTTTTGAATTCGTCTTCTGCTGGTTCTGTGAGTATCGATGCTCGACTCTTTATCTCCTCACCTATATTGACCCGACCTTTTTCCAGTCGTCGTCGAGACCAAGAACCGTACCCTCGAAGAGACCGCTGCCTTGTTCGATGGTAACGAGAAGACCGATGAGTTGGCTGCCAACACCGCTGCTGCTGTCGACGACAAGGATGCTTCTCAGGATGAGAAGCTCTCCATTCGTGGCGAGCAGAAAGCTTGATTGTATCCCTTCACTACTTCTTATCTTACGACGCACGCCTGTATTATTACGACTTTCTGCATAAAAATATTTAATTCTCACAAAATCCCGAGTCTGAGAGTTACGATCGATCTTCAACGGCCCTCCTTTGTAACTATCGACTGAGCATCCTGTAACCGATCTTGTAACTGAGGTACTGACTCTGCAGTCTGAACGCCTTATCAGCGAGGAAGTTCAGAATCGCGGCGAATTCTCCATGCATTGTATTCATTTGGCATTTCTGGGGCATTGAAGGGCACTGAATGGAGACAGAGCTGCGGGCCGACGGCTGTACTAATTTTCCTTCTGCTTTACAGGCATGTGGTTTGAGAAGAGCAAAAAATATTCCGACACGGGGAATCGAACCCCGAGCTACCGCGTGAAAGGCGGTAATGTTAGCCGTTACACCATATCGGATCTGTTGAATGAAGGGAGGATGCGTTTCACCATCTACCGTTCAGTGAGGAATCGCGCATATATCGGATAGGAAATGTATACAACAGATCTTTGTATAGTGGTTTGAAAAGAAGAAGACTGAGAGAAGGGTGTACGTCGACTATCCGAGAACAATGCACACCAAAATTGCTATCGACTAAACCTTACGCCAATTAGATCGGAGTCACCACTGCAGGCGGCAATGTAGCCTCCGGAGCCTCAGGTTGAGGCGTCTTCACTGGAATCGAATCGCAATTGGGCATCAATGGATTTGGGTTGGGAGGAGGTCCTGAGTAGCAGACTGTCCATGGAGGAATTACAACCTCGGGAGGGTGAGTCGGCGAAGGCGCAGCTGTGGTAGTGGAAATAGCATTGCAGTTGGGTACCATCGTAGCTGGTTCGGGTCCTTCTTGGATCGGGTTGCATCCCGGGAGTTTGTCCAAGTCTGGTGCGACTCGATATCAGAACCATGCATCCTCTACGATACTGCAGAATTTTACTTACATTGGCCTTCCACGATCTCGTCGATCTTGTTGGGTTGTCTGCACTGGTTCATGGAGTCCATATCTTGGACGGTTAATGCAGGGCAGTTTGTGGGGATACCGTCTCCACCGGTGCAGACCTCCATAGCTCGCTGGAGAGAATCGCCTTCCCATCCGAATACGTAGTCGGCGTGCTGCCCATACCCGGTACTACAGAGATATCTTAGTTAGCATCCCTGCAAAGCTATGGATAAGATAAGGTTAACGTTTACTTACGGATCGCCCATACTGAACACGAACGGTTGTGAGCCATCTTCGGGCCAGAGACTCAGGTCATTGAAAGGCCTCGTATCCCAATTGATTTCCATGAACAAAAGAGGAAGTCGGACGGGGTGAGTGTCAGGGCAGTCCGTTCCAAATATCTGGAGACCTTCGGGACTTGGAGGTCCGACTGGATGAGCGACATGACTCTGAGGTACCAGATCGTAAGCTTCTTCTCAGCTTTCGTTATCACGAGCGCCTACCGAATGATCAGGGCTGTCGAGATTGACGCCGTCCCAACATCTGTTAATGGAAATCAGGACACGGAACGCCTCGAGAGTCTTGAACTAAAGCTTACTGAGGGAAGTAGATATTCGAACGAATACCCTCTGGGCAGGGCGTGGTTGGGAAGTGAACCGTATCTCCCGGATATCCAGGGGTCCCACCACCCCCAGGGATCGGAACGCCGAAGCACCTCATAGTGACTGCGCGAGCAGCAGTCTTGCTGGGGTCAATACCTTGCCGAAGCATCGGGTTTCCGGTGATCATTCTGAAGCCCTGTTCAAGAAGATCAAATCAATACACCACATTCGAGAGCTCAGTGGTCGCGTTACTTTAGCGAATGCTTGAATCTTGAGGTTCTTTGTAGGAGCTCTTGGCTGGAAATAATAGACCGTCATTCCTCCCGCGGCGAGACCTGGTCCTGTGTTATGGTTTGCCATTTGGGGTACCTAAGAACGAGAAAGTATCAGTCACATCGCTATGCTTCATGTACTACGGAACAGAAAAGCATACACGGATGAACGACCCATTGGGATGCCTAAAGTACATGACAGCCGTCCAGTAATTTGATTTGTCCTCCACGAATCGGCAAGTGGTACAGGTAGCCGTCTCGGCAATATCAATCGCTGGATCTATAGTAAAGTTGAATCTAACACAATAATCAAACAAGGATGTTGTATCAGAATAGAAGCAACCTACGCATTCTGAAATCGTTCGACCATATGGCTTAAACATTCTTCTTGTTCACTGATCAAAACTTACCCCTCCAATAATCTGATGTAGATGCGGCGAGACAATGTGTGGTGTGACCAGCCTGGACGTAATTGGAGTGAATTAGCTTTGGGTAGCTAGTCGAAATAAGCGCTCGTACGGATCTGAGCGCTCTGTTACAAGCTGTGAGCACGGAAAGCGGATGAGGGCCTGAGCCACTGGCAGCGCCAGGGCAAGCCCTATGAGGATCTGTGGTGAGAGCATGCCTTCGAAATGGATGCAGAACTGTCCATGATGGAAGACTTGAAGTAATTATACCCGTGCCCGGAATGAGGAGTAAGGTTTTCCCGAAATGAGGCAGTCTACGTTCTCTTCCAATCGTGGAGTAGACGTACTTCCTCTGAGCCCTTGAAACGATTCTTGATATGATTCAAATGTAGACGAGTGGTTAGAGAAGCGACAGGAGGCGACTCACTACCCGTTAATCCACCGATTGGTAGTGGAAGACTAAAAGACATCAAGTTCTACTGGAATTCCGTACATTCGAAGCTTCCTTGGCTTCTCGTTATAAATCCAGATGTAATAAATATACTTCATTGCTGTCGCTAGCGCAAGGTACCAAGCTCGATATAATCAAAGAACTGGAAGCAAATACCGTATCCCTGTGGGCCAAACGGGCCGTGGCCATCGTTGATAACGATCCAGCCGCTTCGAGATGGGCGCTTGATAATATCATGTTAGCTCGCCCTCTGCTATTGATTATGGTCTGAGGGATGCTTACCACTTGAATATCTCGTCAACCCGATGCTACGGTAGCATACGAGGGATGAGGAAGTCCTTCTTCCCTTGAAGAACGATCTAATGGGGCTTGAGTGGGTAGAGATAGACGTGCGCTGCTCCCCCTAGCTGGAGGAATGGCGGTGACCGCCCCTTTTGATCCCATTTGTACCGGTGGCGATTCCACGCCTGCGTCTCCCCGCACCGAGTAAGGTTCCTGTACATTGGCCGAAGGGCCGGGTTGGCTCTCCTTTCTTATACGAGACCGCGCTCTCAGCACTAATATCGCAATGAGGACGAGGAGTGACAACCCCGCAACGGCTCCTAGAACTCCACCTACGATAGCACCCACATCTCTTTTCGTCCCCCTTGCCGTCGAATCATCGCCTCCATTATCAATATCGCCTGTGGGACGTGCGTCCGGCGGGGAAGTCGAGCGATCACCAGAGGGTGAATCTCCTTCATCAACTGGCACTGGCGGGGGAGATCCGCCTCGAACGAGAAATAGATCAAAAATGAGGGGAGCAGGGTTGTTGCCCTCCCCGTCATAGTGTACCTTCAAGGTGTGATTCCCAGGTGATAGACTTCGTGTTTCAAAGAATGTGAAGGGTGGATATCGATGGTGATAGGCCTCAAGAGTTGGAACAGCGAACGTTCTAGGCTCGTCATCGTCCAAGACGAACGATGCGTTTGCCTCTCCGAACTCGCCAAACGCTCTCCACCCTACGAAGGAGGCTTTCGTGCCTGGGAGATATAGGTTAGCTTCGACTAGGTGACCCGGTCGGCTCTACTAGCGCACATACCTGAGAAATCAAGAGTTAAGGTCGCCCCGTTGGCGCTCGTTGATCGCATGGATACATTATTGGCGGATGACTCCCTAAGGAGGTCCCAGACCCCATCGTAGGTTATTGCTGAATCGTCGGCCTTGTATTCCTTGACTTGATTCTCGTCATTTCCCTCGCCTTCGTCGATAGGCGTGTAGAAAATGCCGTCGAATGCAAGGAATGTATCTGCAGGCTCGCGAACCAAGGTAGTAGTAACTGTCAGTTGGTGCTCCCTCGGATCGAGATCATTGGCCCAGCAAATCCGCCCGTAATTCTCGGGCAAGTCATTCCTAGTTAAATTGAATATCTCTATGGGAGTGCCGTCCACATGACATGCAAGATGCAGGTTGAGGACTCCTGTCCCACCCTCGGTTGGTTCAGGAGTCGCTCCCATCACCCAAACGTCCGTCCCTAGGCGAAGAGGTCAGTTCGCATCGACGATCGGAACTTAAAGCAACACTATCCCAATCTCACCGTTGAAAAGATAAGACGCGCTCCCGCTTTCGCGCACCTCGTGCCAAGTGTTCTCTAAACTTCCGTATCCACCTGGCCCAGCTTCCAGGGCTCCCGAGCCTGCTTTGACCCACGGACCGGCAGAGTAGACGATGCGACGATCTGTATCGTCGACGAATACACGGCGAGAGGACGACATTGCTTTGCGAAACGAGGGTGCTTGGGCGTAACACCGAGTGATCTTCGATATTTTAAGCAGTGTGTAGACTTCAGGCCGCTCTAGCGTCGCTTTTGGGAGTTACAGTGGAACCTCCCCTTCGCATCGCAACTTCTCATCTGTCACTTGCTACGCTGTGTGTCTGTGAGAAGATCGGGAACCCTCTGTGTTGGGCGCTAGGGAGAAGGTGATGTATCGCTCGCCGCTGACCATGAATATATCTCTCTGCTTGGATCCGGTGTCGTGGTCGAAGGCATGTTCACCTATAATTCATTTTTGCGAACGGTCTAGCAGAGCAATTGGCCACAAAGAACCACTCACATTGCACCTCGTCTCTTCGCTACGAGGCACAGCTAGCCCCGAACGATGATATATACGCCTGATTGGTGTCAGTCTCACGGGGGATTTCAGGCAAGCGCCGAACATTTCTGGCGAAAGAGAATATTCGACTTGTTCAAAAACAGATGCTGGAATCATTAGTGTGTACTGGTTGTCACGGACCGTCCCGTGGCATGTCCGTGGGTCCTCCGGACGCAAGGGCACGGACTCCGGCGTTTCATTGCGACGTTTGGCCTTCTGGAGATTTATTGGAGATAGACTCCTCGGTTGTAGGTTTTAGTGAGTTTGCTGGAGTTTCGGCAGCGAGATTTCTCTCTTCATAGACTGTGGTGAGAGGGGCAGAGATCCCCTTTGCAGGTGGACAGGCCTGAGATCTGAATAAAATTGGTAAAACATGTCCAAATATTGGTAGATTACTTACACAGGGGGTTGGGGTACCTGTTCGTAGTCTGCCGCCAAAATTGGAGAAGCGCTTCCAAAATGGCCATTGGTCAACTTCATCTCGGTGAAGAGGCTCAAGAGTGCGTGGAGGCGGGAGGCTCAGACCTTGGTCGTCGTTCTCGTCACTATCAGCAAGACGTTCCACCTAAGACGCACTGAGACGAGCTTCCTATTGAGGACGCCTAGGATAACAGAGGGAAAGTCAAATCCAACTTGTCCCTGGGGTAAATTTCAGTCTAACCGTGACTGACCTATGTTTTGTCAGCGAACGGCGCTACGTCGCTCTACACATCCAACGCGCTGCCACTGGGAGGGAGGGAAACAGGAGTACAATACTTTCGATACCATGGCGGACACTGCAGCAACGTTAATTGCGAAAGACTTCCTATAGGAAGAAATTAACAGCGGTAAGGATGGTGGTTCAAATCCAAGATGAGGTGTCGTCACGTGACTGTCTACCTTAGACTCGAAGACGCACTTGCGCAGCTTGAACTTTAATCAATAACCTACCTCCCAGTCCATCTTGCTCCCAACTGCAGCTTCAATCCTACGGGAAGGGCACCAGCCGCAGAACTATTGATTCTCTTGAACATACCGCTGTTTCAAGATCAACTACAACTCCAGTTCACTTTAAAGTCACGGTGGACTGTATCGGGTCTTAGGAGGCTTCTGTGATCGTCTCCTCTGTTGTCTGGGGCTCCATTTTTCAGCTATAGCACCTTGGACTCGCGATCTGCCGCCTATTTACCGAGTTCCTCCCACCAGTGAAGAAAATTTTGGTTCCGGGATGGGTAGTCCGCTCGGTCAGTCCCGAGTCCCCTTCAACACTAAAGGCCTTCTCTCCGACTGAAGTGACTATATGAAACCTTATCTGACGTTTACCTGCCGACTACTTGATTGAAAACTGCGGTCCTTTCCATTTCAGAGACCGTTTGAATACACGCCTGTCTGCGCAGCTGTGAAAGACCAAGCACGAGGCCGAAGAAGAAGATGCAAGTGTCATCGACGGCGTTCAGGGTCGGCCTTGGCCTCCTTGTTTCGGGGGACAAATGCGACGGGTCTCCATCATGGTATTATAGTTCTGTCAAAGAAGCGTTGTTCACAGCGGAGGTCAACTTGTCCTGGCTGAAATAGGTGAAACGGGGGGGTCCCTTTCGAACCAATACATTGGTAACCAATGGTGCATACGCCGCTCATTCAATGAAGTCACCCAATGAGGGCGCGATGCATGATACCAGTCGCCATGTACATGCACGCTAGTTGCCGGCCTGGGAGGTTTTCGTGAGGTTTCTTTTTACAAAGTTTCTTCTCTGTTAATATTTGAACATAGATTTTTTTTCTGTCCCTATATCCCTCATTGGCGAGCGATAGGGTCCTACACTGTGCAGCGTCTCACACTCGTAAGTGCACCGTGCCATTCAATCTCCCTGATTCGACGCGTTCTATAGGTAGCACCCCATGCCTTTCTCACAAGTTCAAGCTCTGCCAATATTCCATAATGGCATCCTTTCCTGCATCGACCCCACCATCCTCGAAGAGTCCGATGTGCACCCGTCGGCTTTGGTTGACACCATACGCGCGTACAAAAATCCTCTTGGCCCTCTCCGCCTCGTTTGCAGGAGCTGGAACGACGCGATCACCAGACACTCCCCCATGGCATCACGTTTAATCATCCACCTTGACCGGACCTCATTCGACAACCTGAGGCTTTACGTCGAGGCAACTGTAGAGCACGCCGTTTGCTCTGATAGACCCTTGGACCTTTATATTCTTCTCAAATCAAAATATTTGCCCACGACATTCAACCTTGGCGAGCGGAAGACGCTGATGGCGATCCTTGGTGCAGTTCACCCCTACTGCGAACTTTTCCGAACGCTTTTCATCGAAGTGAGCCAGAGTTCGTCCATCCCGCCTTATACAGCTCATTATCTCGCCGGAAATTTATCATCGCTAAAGCACTTTGCGCTTGTGTACCACGCAGACGACTCAGGCCTTCCATCATTTTCCGATATCGACGACGCGCAGGTTCGTTGGCCTTGGCAAACGGGCCGTACCCATCCATATCCCGTTATTCAACCATTCGTCGACCCTGGGTCGCTTACAGAAGTTATGCTGGGTGGAAGGGAGTTGATGAGGATGGTCCTCACTACGCCCCTTCAGGTTTTAACCCACGGTTTGGCCAACCTTAGAAGCGCGGGGGTTCATCGCCTCACTGCAACCACGGAAGGATACACGGACGGCAGTTTCCATTCGTGGCTCGGCATCCTCGGAGGGCTAAACCACCTTATCAAAGTCTCCTTCCTAGAGACTTTCCTTCCCCACCGACCTCCCTCCTCTATTCAACAGAGGATCCACTTCGCGTGCGATCCTCTGCTGGTTGGAGTAGGGTTGAACGCATGCTCGATCAATCATATTTTAGGCGCGGTCAATATCAATCCGAGGAAACTCGTCCTGGCCAAGTGTGCGTTTGACACCCTTGTCCATCTCCCCCTTACACCCATCGTAGAGTTTCATGAGGTTTATTACTTCCCCAACTTATCCCTTTCCATACTCCCATTCTCTGGCCACGAGATGAGGTTCGTCCATTGCCAAGGGGTCACAGGGGAGTTCTTTGAAGAATTAGTTTCCCAAATCAATAAGGACTCAGCGGAGATGTGGTTTAGAGGACTGAAGGTGCTCGCCTTTGAGCGCTGCGGGGACCTCCCAATTGGCGCATTGCTTCGCTTTCTCACTTGTCGCGAGAAAGCTCTTACCGATGCCGGCAAACGGAGGGAGGAAGTCAAGTTGGGTCGGCTCGAGGTTACTGGCGGAAGCCCAAAGCTTTTACGCAACAAAGCAGAGAATGCTTTGTCCCTTGCAATGGAGATCCATTGGAACGCATTTGACTGAGTTTCGAGGGAGATTTTATTACCCGAGTTTGAGTTGTAACTAGTAGAAGATTGTCATGTTTCCTCTCATCCGCCTCCCATAGCGGATGGTACTGTGTATTTTGGTTTGCTTGACTCTAGAACATCCTTCTGTAGTGTATATTTATGCATCTAATTTGCGAGTATTCGTTTAAAAATCGTAGACCTCGTACATAACCTTCGGCCCCACTCACTCTGCATCCCCACTTTCAATAACAAACGTCTTCCATAGTTATCAGTGCCACTGTTCTAGGGTGAAACTCGTTAGTGAGATCTAAGGCACATGGCACGCAGGTGGACAGGGAAACCGGGACCAGTATGAATACGCACTGCGGTTAACGACGATAGGCCCCATCTCATCGTACTCTTGCCTACTGCAAGCGAACCCACGAAAGGTGCTGAGCGAGGCGAGGATGGATCCACCAATCCAGACAGCGTGCTTGCGATAGTCGGGGGCAGCGATTCTGAACTATTCAAGCGGGAAGGTTAAAAAAGCCTGGGGAAAGTATACATGAGACAGAGAATCCTACCCTCATTCCAACTGGCGCCAACGCTTCTACTTCCTTCGCCATTCGGTCGGCAAATTCGGAGAGCATAGTCGTCCCACCGGAGAGAGATATTCTGCTGTACAGCTGACGGTGAACGTCGACATCGCATTTCATAATCGAGTTGTGGATCATTTCGTGGACGCCAGGTGTATCTTCGCCGACGAGGTGGGGCTTGAAGAGCGCTTCGGGGACACGGAACCTCGATTAGGATAATGGTCAGAGACGAGAACTTGGTACGCGTGTACTGGACTCACCGCTCACTCCCGAGAATAATGGCCTTTCCATCTGGCAACTCGTGAGTCTTTTCCGGAGCAATTTGTTCCTGGTCAAAGTCTAACGCGACGTGGCACGACTGCTCCTTGATATCCGTCAGAACATCACCATGGACGTAGGATCCACGGTCACCCAGAGACTTGAGGAGGTGTTCCGTAAGGTCGTTTCCACCAAACTCCCACCTCAAAATCCCATGTCTCAAAGGATAACCTTCGAATATAGGTACAGTGCTCGTCACACCGTCTCCGGATTCTAGCACCACCCCCGACGTCCTCGCTGAAGTAGCGTAAAGTGATAATACTGATTCGATTGACATGGCCAGAGCGGGCACGTTAAAAGTTTCGAACATGATTTGCGCCGTCCTCTCGCGGTTGGAATCGGGGTTGAGTGGTGTGTCGGCGATGAGGATGGGGTGTTCTTCTGGTGTCGTATGAAGTTCACTGTGGAGAATGTGGAGCCAGATATTTTCCATGTCGTCCCAGTTAGTGATTATACCGCGCTTGACTGGGTAGTTGAGCGTGAGGATGTCGCGTTGGGATTGGGCGTTGCTTCTACGCGGTGTTGAGGTACATTGCATGATGTGGGAGCTGAGAAAAGAAGAAAAGATATGCCTTACCCTACGAAGGTAGCTTTGAGACTCTCAGACGATGTCTTCTCCGAAGTATGAGGTCCTCCAACAATAGATCTGGTTCACAGAGACACGTGCGATTGGAACCCTTCGACATTAATGTCTGGACGACCTACGGAAACACGTGGCTAGGGTCGCTATCGCCTTGGTCACATCCATTACAGTCAGAATCCGGACAGTGCAGACATAAGTGACATACCAGCGACTATAAAGGCGAAGAAGAGAGTCAGAACGACGAAGTGAACGAGCAAAAGCCTGAGGGTGACACTCACAGCCAGCTTTACACTTCCCAGAACCACAGTCAATCACCTAGATGGCTTCATCGTCAATCACAGATACAATGTCATGATACGACGAGCGGAGAGTGCATCAGCGCCCGGATATTATCAGCGTACAATGGCAGCAAGTTCATTTTCCATGTTGGTTGTGCGACGGGAAGGGTGAGAACAGAAACCCTAACCCTGGCTAAGAAACAAGCGCCCAAGCCCAACGCTCCTGATCCGATTATTGCGGCAATCTTTCGGCGGTACCGATCTCTCGAGTCACGAGGTGAATGTTTTCCGAGTCTTGGGGTATGGGCATTGGGCACGTTGGCAATGGGGGGAACATCTGTCTGTCCAGCGTCTTCGCTCTTCCGTTCACTGAAAATCCCACCTCTAGCATGTCCACATCACCCAAAGCAGAGCTACCACCTGAAATAATCTGTTCGATCCTCGATCAACTCGCCAGCGAGGGGAACCCCGCGTCTGGCCTCGACGTCTACGAGGATACATTGTGTGGCGGGGGCGATGAGCGGTCGTGGAGTGCAATGCTCAACGCAGCGCTGGTCTGTAAATACTGGCGCTCGTACCTCCTCCCAAGAATCTTCTCCCCAATCTCTCCTTCTCAGATCAGCACCCTGGCGAGACTCCGGGATTTCGATGCCCTACTACACGCTAATTCCACCCTGTCCGCGAGCGTCACCGCGTTGCATGCACCCCTTCTGCCCCCAAGAAATGGCATCAGCAGAAGAAAGACGGTCATGCGAGCGGACGATCGTCTCGATTCTCCTCAAACTCGCGGATTCAGGCCACCTTCTCGACCTCGGGTTAAGCAACTTCAGTCTATTCCCCAATGAACATCGAGCGTACAGCCTTCCGTCAGACATCGTCGCCAGTACCTGCCGTGATATCATTATGAAGGGTCGGCTGCGATCACTCAGGCCACCAAGCGTGTCTGTGGCTTCGAATCTCCTCTCCATCCTTCCGCCGACGCTATCTTACGTGGCTCTTCCCTATTCCGCCTTTAAGCTGGCCACGAACGTGAGCTATTGGTTGACCGTTGGGAACGAACCGCGAGAGAGACCCCTCCGCAATACCACCACTGTGTTAATTGAGGTGGCCTCGGACCAGGTGGTAGAGCAAAGGCGAGAGGTTGAAACCAAAATGATCCATATCGTCGCACCCAAGTTATATCGACTAGCTCTCTACACCGGTGCGTTCCCCCCACCCCAGAGTCACTCCATCGAGACTCACAGCCTATAAGTGAGCAGTCGCGCCGCACCCGAACGCTGTTCACCTTTATTCTACTCAGACCGCATCACGCACCTCGACATCCTAGCATTCATAGACGGGGATAAACCGGTTCAAGATAGCGTTTATCGCTGGACTTCCTTCCAAGTCAACCTCAAAACGACTCTCAACTTGGCAGACGGATTAAGCAATTTACAACAACTCACGCTCCGGCTACTACGAACTGACGCGGAGGAGATCGATAACTTGCTCGCTTATTCGACGATGATCCGGCGCCTCGCCCACTGCTGGAGCCCCTGGACTTCGACGAATTGCAGAGGATCTTGAGGAGATGCATCGATTGGGTAGGGTTGGACCGTGACCTTCCTCCTCAGCGGTTTCTGAAGCTGTCGAAGGTCGTTGTTGACACCAGGAGCTTTGCCTTTAATACTGCTGCTGCGGCTGACTTCCAGGCGTGGCTTATCTATATACTCAGTGGGTTACGATCCAGGTCTGTCTCCATTGTTGTGGACTACTAGGTACTGAGATATTGGGACTTACTAGTAGTACAAGACCACTTCGTTTCCGCGTTCGACTATGGTAGGTAAAACACGATCTTCATGGTATGGGCCGTTGAATGGGAGAGGTTGGACCACGTACTTCCTCCCGATCAATTCCCGACACTATCGAAGTTAGTTGTTGACCAGGCACCAATCTCCAAGTAGTTCAAGGTTAATTCATGCCACAAAGGCTAATTACAAAATACGGAAACCCCGCCCACTGAAGTATCTCATAAGTTCAACATGTCCTACGCTGACCTTAGTACTTACTCAAAGTACTGCACTTGACGAAGGCTCTAGAACCCTGGGTCCAATCGATAACGCACTTAGGGCTAGGAAACATGACACGAGTAGATGCATCGAAAACCTCCACCAAGGGAGCTCGAATTCGCAAAAGAATAGGAGCGATCAACGCAATACATACATTGGCAACATACACTAATCCATACGCACACCAACCAAAATCCAGACTCGGGTGATATTAACGAGGTTAGAAGCACTCTAATCCAAAGTCAGCCGACTGCCAATGATACACGACCAAAGTGGGATACGCACTGCGATGAACGATGGCAGGACCAAACTCGTCATACTCCTGCCTGGAGCACCATGATTGAGCAAAGGTGCTGAGCGAGGCGAGGATGGAGCCGCCGATCCAGACGGAGTATTTGCGTTCGGCGGGAGCGGAGATCTTGACCTGTAATCGCAGGTGTGTTAGAAGGGGCACCGTTCGGAGGAGAAAAGAAGGTAATGAGTGGTGTGGATGGAAACTTGAAGGAGGTGGGACAGCAGAAATCGATACGCACCCTCATACCAGCCGGAGCCAATGCGTTCAGCTCCTTCATCACTCGATCGGCGATACCAGGATACATAGTCGTCCCACCCGAAAGAACGATATTTCCATACAGTTCACGACGGACGTCAATATCGCATTTCATGATGGAGTTGTACGCGGTTTCATGAATACCGGAGGCTTCAAGACCGAGGAGATGGGGCTTGAAAAGGGCTTCGGGGGCTCGGAAGCTAGAATAACGAGGATGAATACATCAGTGAATAAATACAGAAGGGTAGACGTACCGCTCGTTCCCGATAGTGATGACCTGTCCATCCGGCAACTCGTAGGTCTTCTCCAGAGCGGAGGATTGGGAAGCCTTCAGCAACTCCTCGTCGAAATCCAAGGCGACGTAACACAGCTTCTCCTTGATATCACGTACGACCTCGCGCTCGGCGGTGGTTGTGAAAGGGTAGCCACGCTCGCCCAAGCACTTGACGAGGTAGTCGGTGATATCCCGACCAGCGATATCGAGCCTCAAAATCGCATGCGGGAGAGAGAAGCCTTCGTAGATGGGTACAGTATGGCTCACACCATCACCCGAATCCAATACGATTCCGGTCGTCCTTCCCGAGGCATAGAGCGACAACACGGCTTGAATGGCCACATGGAACGCAGGCGCATTAAACGTCTCGAAGATAATCTGCGTCATCTTCTCCCTGTTGGACTTGGGGTTGAGAGGCGCCTCGGTGAGGAGGATGGGGTGCTCCTCTGGTGCGACGCGCAGCTCGTTGTAGAAGGTGTGGTGCCAGATCTTCTCCATGTCGTCCCAGTTGGTAACGATGCCATGTTCGATGGGGTACTTGAGCGTGAGGATGCCGCGTTTGGCTTGGGCTTCGTCGCTGGGTGGGTGAACATCAGGTTAGAGAGTTGGAGACGGGGAAAGGGAGAAGGCATACCCGATGAACGCGTCTTTGAAGCCCATTCCTACCATAACTCCAGAGTGGCGAGGTCGTCCGACGATGGATCTAGGTAAGAAAAAATGAGAATGCGTAACGGACATGAAATGGGGAGGCGTACGGGAATACGGCGCGAGGAGCATCGTCGCCTGCAACATGGATTGAGAAAGTAACCTTCTATCTAAGCCGAAACGACTATACCAGCAACTGCGTGGGAGAGTGTGAGTCAACGGGAGTCAACGCAATGCGAAACGCGAGACACTCACAGCCAGCCTTGCACATTCCAGATCCATTGTCAAGAACCTAGCGAAGCAGTTGTGAGCGTGGTGTCCATACGTTGACGAGAGAGAGACTTACAATAGCAGCAATTTCGTCTTCCATGGCAGAGTATTATCACAAGAGAGATTTCTTGAAGGTTGAGCTTTGTTGTTTGTTGATTGTTGAGCAGCGAAGACGAGGACGACGAAGAAACAGTTCCCTGTCCTCGTCCCTTTATAAACGAATCTCAGAGAGCCCCGCGCTTCGCCAACGCAGGTTGCGACAAGTGCACGAGTGGGGACGCCCGCAGCAGTCTTTCAATTGAACAACGCCGTAGTCAATGCCCCAGTCCCTTAGTCCACGATTAGCAGATGGGATGGCCACAGATCCCCGCCAAGAGTCGGTAACCACGTTCGAAACGTAGTTAACCGAGGAAATTTTCAGGTGTTCGTTGATCCGTCGTTGATGATCATAGACGACGAAGCGGGAAGCTGAGAGAGAAGCCGTGACGCAGAGACAAGAGCCAGCACGCTGCGGGCTGCGCATGGTGCACACCGACAACTCCGTAGTCGCCATAAGCCAAATTGGTACTGCGCGCCAAAATATCGTACGATGACGGTGTCATGGTTGTTCGCTTTTCATGGATGAAAATAAGAGACAGGTGTCCGGCAGTTGGGTTGAAACGAGATATGTGAGCCTATGGTGCACAGTTGATGAGCCGGAGAGTGACACGACCACAGATTCCGACCTCGCCCGCGTTGGAGCGGAGATCGAAGCGGAGGCGTAAGGCCGGGCGCTTAACTTCGTCAAGCGAGGGGCGCTTTAGATATTCTGCTGACACACTGCAGGCGAGGCTCTTCATCGATGTTAGCATTACTTGAATTACCAGCTCTCTACGTATTTATCGTATTTGTTCGACAAAAGCTTAGTAATTCAATTATTGTATCGTCAATCGCTGTAGCCTCAGACTCATTTCCAGACTACGCATGACAACTTCCGAGAAATAAAACGGATCAACAAACCTTGAACGAACCTTGAACGAACCATAAAGCGCGAGTAAACTTTATCTTCAGGGGTGTGGCAGGGACTGTGCGGGGCACAAAACATGGGCAGAAACATACTTCTGGAAAAAATACTTCGGATACGGGGAATCGAACCCCGAGCTGCCGCGGACTAGCTCTCAACGATGAGAGGCGGCAATGTTAGCCGTTACACCATATCCGAATTGCTTAGGGTGTCGTTTTACAAGACCTCAGGATATCCAACGAGTTCATCTGGATTAGTAGCTGCAGGCATGTAGGGAGATTGTAAGCGCTATAGAGCCACATCGTTCGAGAAAAGTCCCACAGCTGTGGCTCCGACCTCTACGTGTGCTACTCCAAAGCTAGACTCACTCCTCCAAGGGTTCAAAATAGAGTTCCTGCACAGCGAGAAATTGAGTGTTTACTCTTCCGATATTTCGGATAATGCTACTTGCCATGGCGTAGTCCAAGTCACCTTCATCTGAGGGGGAAAAGGCCCTGAAGTGGATCGCGTCTGTAGAAAACAGTAAAAGATTTAATGGGTCCTTGGATCTAGAGGGACGGAACGCACCGTTGCCATAGACCCCCTGTCGGATCATAATGGGAATTTTCGTTCCATTGAGCGCGAGGAGGTGGGGAGTGAGTCGACCCTTGTTGGAGGGATCGTAGCGCCACTAGTAACGAGCTTATCAGGGAGAGAACCGGAAAGGGAGAGTGTGAACAGGGACGTACAATTGCACTAGCCTGGAATGGAAGTTCTTCCATGTGGTGTTTGATGCACGCTGTGAAAGAAGTCTCTTTCTGCTGGAGGTTCGCATCCGCCGTTTGTTGTACACTGTAGAACTCGAAGTGAGGGCTCGTCCTGGTGGCGGATATTAGTCAGTTCCATATTACAGTCAATAAAGAGAGGCTGCGCACGGGGGACTCCATACATCGCCCGCTGTACCTCTGTCCCGCGCGCTCACGCCAAAGTAGGGATACACGTCGCTCCAGAATCCGTTCTACGATGGAAGAAATGACTGAGTGGAATGCCAACGGAATTATTAGTACGAGCCATGGCTCACCAAGATCTCGATACTCGTGCTCCTCGTCTGCGCTTCCTCAAGGTCCATCTGGAAGACCATCCTGGTACGCTGGGAGGAGGCCACGATGTCACAGCCTGTATCCCGGTCCAGGAACGTAGAGAGGTAGTATTTCGGGGTGTCAGACCAGTAGGGGACTCTGAATCGTATGTGTCCTTTCGTCCTAGGAGGACATAGTCAGTACTAGTGACTTGTCAGTGAACGAAGGAGCGTGGTATGTAGCTTACAACAGGCCTGATATAAATTGGAGAGGATGGAGGGCCATACAGTGTTTAATCCGAGAACAATAGGGGAAGGGAGGAGTTTAACATACCATGACAGGGGAGGATACCCCCGATAAGGCCCAGGACTGCGTAATTGAAGAGCTTCATTCTGAAACAGAAACGAGGGCGTGTCTTGAGAACGCCCCTTCCCAAGAATCATCTTATAACAGGTATCCCAAGCCCATACATTCAAAGCACCCAAGAGGAACTTATCTCAGAAGTCATAAGTGGAAAAATAAAGGATAAACGGGAAGTGAAGACCGCCTGTCTCCAGCTGAAAAGAAGCACACTTCCGTAAGATAACCTCGCACAGAACTTCTTGGGCGCGCAATTCTCTGACCAGAGGGAACAGCAGCACGCGTCACGGTGGAACACCGGATGGACCGGTTGCCGCTGGCGTTCCGGAAAGGGGGTCAAATGACGTTCTCGGATGCTGGAAACTCTATCATATGGTTTATTGACGTCGGAAAAAGTGGCTTCTTACCTTCCTCCCTTCTCACCAAAATGTATTGAGTCGCTCGAGGCCCTCGATTTTCGGTGCTTGAAGGATCGACGACGGTGCCTTATCGGGCAGTAAGTACGGAAATTCCAAGGGTGCTGATCATACAGAAGACATTCCAAGACCTTGAAGGGTAGCATACGCCACATTGGGACTTATAGCACACAATACAATGGAATGTACGCGGAATATATTCGAGGGATGGTGGCCATGGCGGATACGATAAACTCGCCTCGCCTCACTCACTTTGGGAGGCGGCCACACATGAGACACTGAGTCCTTAGCAACCATTCTTCATAGCTCTTCAAGTTTCAGCTTCTCTATCCTTCCTCGGTCTTTCCGGACTGGGCCATCGTCCCATATCTCCCGCATATTTTCAACGTAGTATCCGAGATTCTATGTATTGGATGTCCCGTTACGGCCCTTCCACTGGCGCCGTCATATCGAAGACTATACAGAAGACCCACTAAAGAGTGAAATACTGCCGAAAGCGTTTGAACACTCCTTAACAGGCCAGAAACCGTCAGATATACTCGGCAAAACCGAACACCAGAGACGATCCGAGTATTAACTCTCTGTGTGGACGATGATTTCATATGAACATTTGGGGTATCGAAAAGCGTTGGGTTGAGCAATTGAAGGAATAAGAAGCGCTGTGTTGGGTAATTTGTGTAACGAGAAGCGAGGCGTTATGTCTTGCGCAGAAGCGGGATATCTATGACGGCCAAACGTGACATTTATTATTCCACACCGACATATCACATTTTTGACTAAAATTGGCTTTCAACTCGGGTGCGGTCTATAGTTTCGTGTAGTGATGTAAAGTATAGGTGCTTGTTCAACACCCGGTATTTGTAAATTGGGGATAAGGGGAATGTACCCGACTTTTACCAACACCGACATTTGCAACACTGACACTCTGGACGAGGGCAGACAACTTGAAGGTCAGATGCCGGCTTGGCACTTCCGAGTTGGTACTGTGCAGCTGTAACGTATGGAAATGTTGGTTCCTCAAGCCGCCAGCCGTGCTGGTACAACCTGGAGCCCTTTCCAACGCACGGTCAACTAACCATTGAACACTGGACGGGTCAGCTGCCTTTGTCCACCATGATGACGTCCGTAAAACTCGAAAACTAACGATTGCATACAGGAAATACTACTTGCTAGTAGTTCAATCACAAAAGAGAAGAACTAGATCAAGTTCAGACTGCAGTCCGACGTCCGTACGTGCACTATTGTGCCTCTAGTACGTCGTAGTAGTATCTATCACATTGACTAATACCTGCTTCTTGTAAGGTTCCATAGCCATTCGGCTGGGATTGACTGTTCACAATAGATACAGTCATGACTTGTCAATTAATAAATCCAGCCTCCTGACCGTGATAAGATTTTAGTGTCCCGCGATTTCGGTGTCGTGAAATGTCGGTGTCCTTAAAAATTGTGGCGCCCTTTAGAAAGTGTCGGTGTTGAGCGTGAACAAGAAAATTGGTGCTAAAAAGATTTCGGTATTCAAGAACATGCGCTACACTTTACTTTGCCCGCTACTTATCAGGACCGCACCAAATAGAAGGCCAAAATGCATCACTAAAGGTGGAAAAAACGAAATATTGGTGTGGAATAATAAATGTCACGTTTGGCCGTCATAGATATCTGGCGAGAAGAGTCTTTTATGCTGTGGCAAAGGGTTCTGTTTGGCGCTGAGATGCCTTGTATGGTATACGGAAATCTGATGAGGGTATAAGAAGAGCTATCAAGTTCCTTTCGCAGATCTATGGGATACAGGGACTAATCATTCATAGCCCACCTCCAAACGATTACGCCTGCATCCGATGCGCAAGCTCCTCTCACTAATCACCGCAGCCTCCCTCGCGACTTCAACACTCGCCCACTTCAGCATCTACGGCGTCTGGCTGAACGGCGAGTTCCAAGGCGACGGGCGGCACGTCTACGTACGTCCTTCTCTTTCTTTCTTTCCTACTTTCCAATCCATCACCAGAGCGCTCACCTAATCGCCTTCGCTTTCTACTTTTCTTATCCAGGAACGCACCAAGGTCCACTGGGAACTCAACCCTCCCTACTACAACTCCGACTGGGCGTATATCGCGTGTAACACCCTAGGACACCGCGCGGTTCCCAAATGGATTGAGGTCAAAGCTGGGGATACCTTCGCGCCCGAGTGGTACTGGTGGGAGCGAGGCGATTATACCGCTGCAAACCATCTCGGACCACGCAAGTATCCTCTTCACCCCTGTCAGTGATATACCTCAACTAATCATTTTGTTTGATTTTAGTCCTCGTACATATGGCACCAGCCGTTCCCGGACCGACGGGCGTCAACACCCCCGGGATCTGGACAAAGCTCTACCACTATGCCTACAACACCACGGACCACAAATGGTCCAACCAATACTTCAAGTCCGACGCCGAGTCGACTAGAGGCCACCACTTTATCACCATCCCCGACGTTCCTGCGGGTGACTACATCATTCGGTGTATGTCTTCTTAAGTTGTCTTCCACGTTGAGATTTAGCGTAGTCGGGAGACTGATTGACCATGACTTCTTGTATTTTGTTGATGATAGCTGAGATCATCGCACTCCAAATCGCGGATACACCCTACGGCGCGCAGCATTACCCGTCCTGCGTCCAGGTCAGGGTTACGACGAATGGGACAACCGAACTTCCAGGCGGTGACAGCTTCCCTGGTGAGTACTTACACTTAACACTTTCCCCACCCTCCATACCATGTCCATTTCGTGACCGGATGGTTAAATTAACATCTAATACTCTTAAAACTAACGTTCTTCTTCCCCCAAAGGATCTTACGTCCCCGGTCAACCCGGCCTTCTCTGGCCAACAGCAGATGAGTCCGATCCCGCCAAGTATCCTATCCCTGGAGGGCCTGTATGGGAAGGGTCGCCTGGTGGAGGAATCTACGGCTTAAACGCGTAGCATAACGTAGTATTACATACATCTACATGTCACACTTCCAATCAATTAGAACCCAACTCCTGTGCTTAGCTTTGCAAAGTCGACGTAGTAGTGACAGGAATGGATAGGATTGGGCCTTCCATTCAGTGCTGAGACTGATGAGAATTCTTAGGCTGGCTGTGCCGGTTCTAACTTGTCTTCCGCTGCCAAAGAAACTCGCTTCCTTCTACCGATCGTTTGGCCTGGAGTTAAAGTCCCTCTTTACCACTGATCTCTAGCCCGAGTCTTCACGCTACCCGCCCCTCCTTCGCTCCTTCTCACTGAGGACTGCGAAACTCGAAATCGGAATGACAGCTACCTGCGGAGCTTCTCGAAATGGGAATGGGAGCCATGGGGACAACTCGCAAACGCAGCGTTCGTCATGAACGAGATCCTGACGCCAAAATAGGGCACCCAGACAAAAAAGAAGAAAGTCTTGTCGCGTTACAAACATCACTCTATTGCGAGGTTAGATTAAGGCTAGATACCTAGTATCCTTTCCATGGGTACTACTACTTTCCACCAAATCATACACCTTATTCTCGCGTGCTACACGCTGCAACCTCCTCCTCACACCCTCTCCACACCCCAATCCCCACAGGCTACGCACCCTCCACACCCCCTCCCCATATCCCTCAAATTACTTACGCACCCTCCCTCACGCACGCCCCAACCCACTCCACCGCTCCCACCCAAACGCATCCTCGATCCTCCTCAACCCCTCGTCTACAACTTCGCGTTTGAGACTGAATGTTAGCCGGACCCAGCCTGTTAAATAGCGGGGTTAACGAATGTGAGTGGCGGTGTCGTGAAAAAGAGAAACAAATGGAGATTAGAGGGTCGATGAAGAGAACGAAGACCGGAAGAGGTGTGAAGTATACTCTCCCCGCGAGGGGACAGGACCGTCCAACACAGAGAGCACTCTCCCCAGGACGAATCTCTCCAAAAGACGACATAACAAACGCGAATCTCCAACATGAAACAAGGAAGAACGTACCTGGCTCTAAGAAATGAAACCCCCCTCCCCGCCCAAGTATGACCTTATACTCGTCGGTGAGGTACGAAACGAGCGAGCGTTCGAGGGCGCGTTTTTCTTCGTTCGTAAAGTCCTCTCCCTCCCCTCCCTTCCCACCACCACCCTCTCTCTCCTCCCCTCCCTCCTTCCCATCCTTCCCGCTCTCCCCATCCTCCCCATCCTCCCCATGATCCTTCCCACCCACCAACCCATGCTGTAACCCGATGGACTTTAATTAAACAAAGTCATATTCTATACGTTTTTTTGTTTAAATAACAGATCGATTAATTGAGGCGTTTAAACGGAAGTTTGTGGGCAAATGGCATCAAACCATAGAAAAGAGAATGGAGAATGATTAAACGAAAAGTCAGCATATGAACGTTTGAACGTTTAAAGGAACGATTAATCTGGACGCCAGGTGGTTTGATAAGGATATCGAAGGAGGAACAACAGTGATTAAACATATCGAGTATCAAATAAATGAGGGATTCGGAGAGGGTATGAAAGGTGTTTAAACATCCAAGTCCGTGTCGTTTACACTGCATACCAAGAGGAGCCGTGGCCTGAGAAACTCAGTCAGAGGGCGTTTAAACAAGGGGTGATGTGCAGGAACTCACGTGTGGTTGGGATGAAACCCTGCAAGTTCAGCACGGCGATGGCGGGTGATGTACTCGACTACGTCTTCACCATCAACATACCTCGTTGGTTCATTCGACTGAAGCTCGGAGAACACCCTGGCCACCCCTTCACCAAGCGTCCGATACATGGCAGCTTGCTTTCGAGCAAACGAAGCTTGGGATGCTGGCATTCCGGATTTCCTGGACAGGGTTAGCCACGTCTCCGCCATCTTCTCAAAGCTTCGAATGCAGCGAATGCACTCAATGAGCTTGATTTCCCACTGCTCCCGCCATCGTTCCATATCAGCCTCAGCTCGAAACCAGTGCACACGGTCACCTAATCTTTGTCTCAGTGAAAGATCGAGCATAATTGAGGGCTAGATACGCACCTTCCTCTTCCCATTCTCGAACCTCATCCTCAGTCAGTTTCCCCACCGATCCAAGGCGCCAGATCCATCCATCCTCGATGTCAATCGTCTTCGAGATAGCAGCGGAGGAGCTAGCTGCTGGTGGGTGTTTCGAAGTACCAGTAGCGAAGGAGGTTGAAGGAGCGCTCTTACGCTCTGTCGAAAGGAGATCAGTCGACCTGGCATGACCGGATATCAACGATAGCATCTGTATAGACTTACTTTTTGTCGCGTCACTGCGTCCTGCGGTACCTGCAGCCCAAAGAGACCCGTCAAATCGTCTCGAGTCTCCCAGAGCTCGCTTTGCCATCACTGCGCGTCGCATCGTGTCTTCAATTTTCATTTCGGGAAAGCTGCGAGACAATGTGTCTGACTGAGGATGTCCGAGACCGAGTATAGCATTCCGGTTCGCGTTGTAGAGGTCGATCAACCCCTTCTTTTTGGCTGCCACCCTTGAGATCTGGACGTTGGCACGCGTGTTCTGGTCTTGACCTCGAGCATCGGTTCGCTTGTGGTGAAGGAGGGCGTCCGATGTCTTCACATATTGCTGAATGGTCTTGATTGTATCGAAGGCAACCCCCTCGCGTAGCTTGATCTCGACTTCAGCGAGATGGACGATCTGGAGCTGGGCGTGAAGGTCATGGCTGAAATCCGATGGGAGAAAGAGCCGCTCATCCGAGATATGGGGTTTCGTGGCGAGATGAAGGGTGAGATGTTCGGATATACTTGGCATATGAGTCTTCTGGTCTAATCGCCACGCATCGAGTCGCTTCTTCAAAGCCTTAGTATTGGTTTCAACCTCCTTCTCCAGAGAGGAAAGAGGGTGGTCCTTCAAGGAGGCCATCTTGGTACGGATTTCGAACCTAATTGGGGTCAGCTCAGGACGTGACAGAGTGGCGAAAGGCATACTGCAGGATTTGGATCGAGATACCTTCGTTGACAAAGTTGACGGTGGTATCCATTGTCACCGAAGCCGATCGTGATGTAACATTGGTGGAAGCTAGGAGTGCATCGACGATGGACTGTTGGGATGGGACTTGACAGAACCGGTTAGCCGAGAGAAACGCTGCTGCGCCACCTACATACCTTTGCGCTTCGAGTGGCTATAAACACAGTCGCATTCTTTGCCTTTCACCTCCCGCTTCTCACGATCGAGCTTGTTCCATTCGCCAATTTTGGTTTTATGGAGCTCGCACAGGGCGTGGAAACGGATCTTGTGCTGATGGTATGTATCTCTTGCATCTTTGGTTTCTGACTCCAAGGTCGACGCTATCAGTTTAATGAAGTCAATGAAGTCGTGAGTTGGATACCAGAGCACATAGTAGCCAAGAGATTACACACCCATTTGCCGGAGCTTCTTCCAGTTCCAGTCGCTGAAGAAGTCAATGATGCAGTCCTGCCGGTGACCGTTGTTCATTTGTCGGATTTGAGGACCCAGCTGGTTTAGTTCCACCCATGGTTGCTCCGCTGTTTCGCCGTGGAAGTGACCGATGTGTTGAGTGTACGCCGGTCCAAAGCAATACATACAAGAGTCCTGGTGGTTATGAACATGGACAGCGGGAATGATGCACCGAATACGCTTCACTACGTCGTTCACACCCTTCACGCTGGCTTCCTTGAACATCGCACAAACACGGTCTATGAGTTTTCGGATATAGGCGCATGCAATATCATAAGAGAGGACGACATCATGGGCGATTATGTGATGAGGTGACCCGTCAGGACTAACGATCTTGTAAAGTAGGAGGGCTCGAACAAGCGCCATGTCGGTGTTGGGAAAGCTATCAGCATGCATCAATAACTTCGCCGAGATGGTTTAAAATTCCATTCAGTACTGAACATACCGTTCGCCGAGTTGCAGGTCCACCACAGACTTGATGAAGCAATGAGAGCAATCAATTTTGACGACACCTGTGATGTCCATATTCTTGAACTTCTTACGATCTTGCTTCTCCGCCGCGTTCAGATAGTTGCACGTTGATTTCTATCACACGATATCAGCAATCATAATTGGAAAACAGATACCTATTCAATCACTTACCTCTCCCACATTGTGGTCCAGTCGACCCAGATACGCCTTGTACTCATCGTCGCGAGGGAAGTAGCCACGTCCGTCAAAAAGGGAGCGGTTGAGCGGATCCGTGTTTTTCATGTACCGATTTGCATGGTGGTTTCCATCGGCAGTGAGCTGGAGTTGACTAAGATGCCTTTATGGGTAACAATACGCGACGCGCGTCAGAGAGGTTGTGACTCCAGGGCAGCAACGACACACGTACCTGAACGCGCCAGGAACCCTTTTGGCATTCACATCGGTGTTGACGAAAGGTTCTGGACAGACAGGACAGTGGACAAGGAGATTTCCGGATTGTCGATGTGTCAGGATTGAATCAATTCCATGGGCCTGACCAGAGCGCTTGGTGGCTACCATAACTCGCCAGACTTGCATTGCTACGATGAACTGAGGGTATATATTCTGTACTCCTCCAATTAGGCCCATCATATCACAGCATCCAACAAACAACATACCGGAATGCGATCGGTGAACACGTTATCAGAGAGACGGCGTAAAGCGGAACAGAAATCGTAGGCTGAAGCTTTGGCTTCTAGTTGAAGGAGGTGGAATAGGCGAAGCACTGCGAATGAGAACGCTGTTCGAGGGAGGGTGGGTGTTGCAGGGAAGAAACCGGACTTCATGAGCTGGGTTACGCGATCGTGGATTCCTTGACAGTCGCAAAAGGCAGCGTGAACTTTGTGGATACCGTTGACATCCACCAAAGTCAAGGTGACCTTGTTCGAGGGTGTCGAGCAACGGCCACCATCGCGCGCATGGCCCAGTATGAATGTCGATTTGGGTTGGATTTCCGAAAGGTCTTTGCGCTCGAAGTACTGGTTTTCGGGGTTCCAGATGCGCGCCCAATGGAGGGGTTGGTGTCGGTGGGCCGTTGCAAAGCAATCGATACAAGCTAAAGGGTAGAGGACGCAGTCAGAGCAGCCGACATGTTGTTTGCCGCGTCCGCAAGCACAATCATCCACCGTGTTGGCCGTCGGATTGGTTGCTTCGAAGAAAAGTGTGGTTAGGCGAGGGAGCGCAGCTTCAAATTCATCAACGAGAACAGTGGTCTAAGGGGAGATTAGCCTGTCACAACTCACATCTTCCTTGGCTTCAGAATGTACGCACCTGCGAACGAGTGGGTTCGGGTTTGGGCTGTGCATCACCCTTCAAATTGCTTTGAGGGTCCTGTTGTGCGAGGTTGTTCGATGGTTCTTCTGCGGTTGGCGTGGCCTGTTGGGCTGGGAGGCGAGAGTTGACGTACTGGAGAAGTGAAGGAAGTGTTGAGGAGGTGACAGTGGTTCCACGAGCAGATATTGACAGCTCGTCGGCAGAGCGGGAGGGAGAAGATGGAGGAGACGAGCTTCGTTCAGAGTTGGCTGAATTTTGGATAGCGTGTATAGCCCTTTTGAAACGAGCGACGCCAGAGCGGGAGGCCATGGCCCACGAAGGCTATAGCATCAGCTAGGTACTGAACAGGTTACGGTGAAACTCACCCGTAGTATCCCTTGAGCTCCAGCAGCTCCTGGAAAACGCCGCCTAGACCGACCTATCACATGGCGAGATTGAGGTTAAATTCACCCCTGACAATTTCAAGTTGGCCGCCGTGTGCAACCGTTACAGCGATAGCGACGCCCAAAGGCGACCGGTCATGATTGTGGATTGGAGGGATACGGCAAATATCCAATCCGACGTCGCGGCAACCTACCCAATGTGCGGGCCGGGGCTCTGGCTATTCCAAATCCGTCGTGTATGTATGACATCATTGAATTCAGTTCGGGGAGTCGGGACGCGTCCAGCTTGAAAGTCCTCCTGACTACCCAATCTCTACTCCTAATGGCTGATACTTTACCAAGGTATCTCTAAAGACTTTCTCTATTGAATTAAGAAATAAAAACGAGACACTCGACCTACTGCAGGATACCAGGCCGATTGCCCATGTGATCCACTCCCTGCGGCGCGCCTAGGGAGCGGGTCACCTGATACTGATGTCGCACATCAATTAATGACGACATATCATGGAAGGTCACGAGAAGTTGGTCAAAACTCGGGTCGAATTCTCGTGACTTTGCTGGCCGGATTTCTGCAGTTGGCTTCTCAGTTCAATCAATTCATTCCAGCTAGTCTAAGCATAGGTAGCATATGCGATGTCCGGACGGGCTCCTTGGGCGAGATAGAGTAGGGAGCCACTAAGCGTTCCATAACCAAACTGGATTCGGAAATCTGGCATCCCCTTTGAAGTAGAAGGCGTGAGCTAACGTTCACAAAGGCAGTGTCCTAGTTTTGTTATGTCAAAGGTTGACAGAGTTAGTGGCCCGAGTACAGACATTATGGCCACAGGTAGAGCATGTTTAGCTCTCTTATCACGACATGGGCGTGCAGCAAATTAAGCGCCCAACGTACGCCAACTCATATAAGTAAGAATAAGAGATTTTGCACCGCGGGAGTTCTGGCCAATCTTGATAAGATAAGACTGCCTCTTGCCACCCGTGTTTGGACATTCTGGAATTATCACATACTTTGAGCAGTTTGCATCCACGGTTCGAAATCACGTCTAGACTGAGCCGGCCCTAAAGCAATAAGCGCCCGACGTGCTCGTAACGCCCAGCCTAATGTGAGATTCTGATAGCAGCGGTTGGTCTGTATCAAAGCTCATGCGTCATAGAATGCCACCTATGTGTTTTCTCCAACATGCTTATTGATGTAGTGCTTAGGGAAATAGGCTAGGACTCTAGGTGGAGGGGAGCATCGGTATATCTAACTTAGCACTGGCCTGGAGCAGCATCACTGCCACAGTGTTGTGATAGTAGATAGAAAACTCAATGATATTCGAGATTATATACCAAGTAGAATACTGAATGAATAAGCAATTGGAGCGCATAAATAAGCGCTGTGTAAGCGCTCGAAGCAGTGTCCGAAATATCGAAGTAATCAACACCAAATCTACTAAGCTACGAGTCAGCAAGTTGGAGGAATCAGTCAGCTACGAAATAATTCTACAACACTCCTCCTATCTTGAGATTAAACCGATTTCGTGTCTGAGGTTTTGGTGTTGGTGACGAGGCAGACCCTTCTTGAATATGTCTGCGAGTTTTTTGGTGGTTTGAATGGGTGACGGAGCGACGGTGTTTTGCTTCTTCGAGCTCCCCAGACGACTGCTCCACCGGCTAGCACCACCACATAGCCGCTAATCGACCTCCTGTCGATGTTGATAGCCCAACCTGCGTCCGTAAAGACGTAGAATACATGGGTGAGTTCGCAAGAGATGCGTCCAAGCGTCTTGATAATGAAGTACTGACCGAGTTCTTTGTTCGATTTGGTCGTTTGCAGCGTCAGTGGTCGAATGCTGAGATGATATCGTCGACCCAGACGAATAGAATCGTATATCCTTCGTCGGTCCATCGAAGATAGCAACAGGAGTCGGTATGGAGTCGAGTAAAGCCGAGTTCTTTGAGTTTTGAGTAGATAGAACGTTTGAGAACGCATACCCCGACGGTTCCATCCTCATAACCCGGTGGCTGCCTCATATAAATGTCCTCCCTCAAACGCCCGTGTAGGTAGGCTCCTTTGACATCTAATTGTCGTAGTTTGAGGCTTCGGATCGCAGAGACGCCTAAGACAGTGCGTAGGGTGTCGAATCGCATAACTGGGGCAAAGACGGAGTCGTAGTCGTAGTCCTGGCCTGGAATTTGCGAGAAACCCTGCGCTACCAGCCTTCCCAGCGTCCTGGCGCGCTCTATAGAGCTTTAGAAGCAAAGAACGTTCGAAACGTCCTTTTCCCAAGGTGACGTTCTCTGGAGGCTTGAGAGCACTGTGCGACGCTACTACGACGCTCTCTGGGATACAGTATGGTAGGGTCGTCTTTGTCACTTGTAGACGTAACCGACATCCCTCAAATAATGTACCTCAGCTTTACATCTCGTGACTAGTGATTCTTTTGCTGACGCTCGCAATGGGTGATTGGAATTTGCGCGCTTGGGCGCCAATGTTGAGATCGTCAACAGGTTCAATTTGGTGAGTGCCCTCGTTCTGGTTGACTGTGGAGGCGTGAGCTAACGTTCGCAAAGACAAATGTCAGTGTTTCGTTACACGAAAGGCTGACAGAGTTAGTGGACCAAGTACAGGACATTATGGTCCCAGGTAGAACATATTGAGCCTTCTTATCGCGACATGGGCATGCAGCAAATTAAGCGCCCAACGTACGCCGACTCATACAAGTAAGAACTAGATTAGATATGGCTCGAAAATATATCTATTATCACAATAGAACTTCGGCGATGATGTTCCTCTATCTACTCCATAATCTCGAAAAACCCAAACCACTCGTGCCCATTACTAACTGCCTCATTCTCCGCCTCCTCAACTTCTTCTCCCTCGAATAGCTCCTTGAACTTGGGCGCATCGGCCGCCCTTGCCCTCTCTTCTTCGTCATCAGGAACCCGAGTTGCACCAATAGGACAAGTCCTCCAAGGATGAAGGCCTCGTCCCCAAGGGGCACCTATCTGCGTGTACTTGCCAGCTAACTCGCGCAAGCGGTAATACTTTGCGCCTTGCAGTGGAAGGGTGATCATACGGCGCTGGAAACAGTTTGGGTACTTGGACTTGCTGCGATGACCTGGGTGAATACACTGAAACAGTGTTAGATCGAAGGCAAGAGAATATGACAGTTGAACTTACAATTCCACTGTAGCGCCCGATGTTGGCAAAGTCGGTCTTTCCGAGGTCGAGTTGAATGTCAACAAATTCGTGACCTTGATAGTGGCGAGGAGGCTTTGGGCCAGCCCAATCTTTAGCAGTCTTTCGGATGTTCCTGGCCAAGAGCCTTCGACGAGAGAGAATCTGGTCGGTGCATTGCTGTTCAAAGGTGCGTGGATCTTCGAAGTTCATGGAGTTGGATGATGATGGGTGTTTGGACAATGGATTCTATGGGCTACTTGAGGTGGTGAATAAGTCAGAATGGACTTCACCTGAATTCGTTCTACTGTCGTAGATGGACCCCTGAGCATGGGAAGTCTGTATGGGAAGGGCTTGGTTAGCGTCACTTGGCCTACGCAATCTGTGCGGCTCCCTGGGGAGTGATAGTAATACCGGGTATCCAACGGAATATGTGATAAGATTTTTCAAATTCGGCAACAGTACTTCCTATTTCAAAATCAATGTGACTTGATGCGTACCTTGACACCACACCAGTTGAATTTCCGAGTTTCCCAAGTCCCGAGTCATTCAAATTCCCTCTTTCGTTCTAAGGTGCATGTGGCAGGACTCTCGGAATACTCAATGCCGTTGATTTTGAGTATCTAAGCGCTCACGACCGCACCAGATAGGGACTTGGGAGGCAGGATCTATGGATCTGCTGACCCTTCATCTTCAGGAACATCGATGATAGCAGAATCAACATGCCATCCTTGGAAAGCAATCATCGTCTTGGTTAGGCCTTGAGTAGTTACACATGCACCCGGGACGCGACTTGAGAATGGAGACGAGATCTAGGAGTTTCTGTCAGTATTTGTTTGTTTCCCAGCTCGGAACAGGTACCGACTCACTTCTATGTGTGACTACACGGCTTCCAGCTCTCTTTCCAACCCCCATCTTCGTCGAGTCCTCATCTCAGTCGTCTTTCTCTTTGTTTCCTGGCACCATGGCGCCTCCTACCCTTCCACACATGACTCCAGCCCAACGCGAGCACGTCACCCCATATCTCGACCGTTTCCGCGAGTGGCTTGAAGAAAACAACCCTAACGTTGTCGATCGTCATGCCGGCACCACTAAATGGATGAAGGGCTCAGCACGCGAGATCATGAAGAGCGAGCTCTTTGCTGAAGCGATGTTAGGTGACAGGTCTATGTCAGAGACCGAGAATGTGAGTGTCGTAGCAGGCGACTGTGAATAGCATTTACATTCACCTTTAGGATATCTTCCAGTTCTTTCGAAATTGGAAGAACAACAAGTACAAGAAGGAGCTTCTTGCTTCTGGACGTCTCAACCGTAATGCACATTCCTCCACCGGCCCCAGTACCACTCCCTCTCCTGGCTCTCCTTCGCGGGTAGACACATCAATGAAGGACGCGATGCGCGGGCTCCTTCTTATGGAAGGTGATTTACCCGTGAAGGAGTTCTTCTTCCTCAACAACCCCCAGGCTCTACAGAAGGCCAAAGACGCTGTCAAGAAAGAGCTGCCGGACGCTTCAAACATCGTGGTTGTTCAAAAGGCTCGAAAGCGTGCATGGGGTGACGCAGACCAGTCTTTTTGGGCGAAGAGAAAGCGAGACATTGAGAATGATGTCAAAAGGTATGTCGGATCAGGGCTCTGATAGCGTGCTATTGCTGACCAGATGGCTCCTCTTCAGCAATCGTGCCATGTGGCCCCACCTGCTTCGGGAAGCCATTCAACAGAATATCGATCGGGGCGTGGTTGGCTCGGTGGTTGTGGGACTTGCATATGCGATGCGAACCGAGTCTAATGGCTTGGAGCATGGGATGTAAGTGACCGTCCATTCTCGTCATCCTTGTACTTACAACCTCAGATTGTATGCAGGCTATGATGCGCAAAAGGAAGGAACCCTTGAGCACGAACTACCTGAACATAAAGAGGTGGTGAAGATCTGGCAACGGCATGCAGATCGAGTCTTACCGAGTGCGTTACTCTGTTTGGATTGCAGATTGAAAAAGCATGACTTACGGAATTATGGACTTTGCCCAGTGTTATCTAATCGATCCGCCTTTGACTTCGAAAGGAATCTGGAGGGGAAACTCATCATTCCCGAGCTGAACATCGGCGAAGTCAAGGGTAACCAAATCATCGAAGTGGTTACATCATATCTCGTGACCAATTGGCGTACGTCGAATATCGTTTTGTCCTGATATCAGTTTCTAATCGACCCACCATGTAGATACGACCTATCCACCTGACAATACCGTACCTTCCATTCCTTGGGCTGCGATAGCCACCTCTCCATCTACCTACTACGACACTGAGCGCTTCCCGATTCCTGCTGGCGTTCTGGGACCCAATTCCCCGAGCAGCTCGGATCTCATCAGCGTGCTCTCTCTTTACAATCATCTCCTCGGATTCCAGAAAGAGGGGAAGTATTTTTGCTTTAGGCATCGTTCGGAAATCCAGGAGCGGTTGGAGGCTATTCTGAAAGGGGCTGAGAACGACCTGGAGAAGGATGACGAAAACGTTGGTGATGACAAGGTGTGTTGTAACCGATTGCTTTTTGCGAGTCGTCACTAAATCCTGTCCAGGTATCAGCGTTGGGATCCTCAGATGCACCTGGCTCTCGCCCAACCTCTCCCGACTCTCCGTCTCCTTCCATCGAACCAGCACGCCTTACCGATCCCAATCTCACCAGGATGCAGAGTACGAACGCTGCCACTGCTCCTGCTGCTGGATCTCAGCCAGTACCCACCAATCTCGCCGTCCCTAAGCCAAATAGTGGACCGGCTACCATTTCCACCTTGGGCCATGACAGTACAGGTGGTGTCCCTTTGCCCGTGACGTCCGCTCCGGACCCCATTCCCCCAACGGGTCCTGTCGCGTCTGACACAGCACAAGACTCGCCTCTCGCCATCGCCAAATCTCCCTCCGAAGTTCGCCAGGTCACGCAAGCCACTCCATCCAAGGATCCGATCAAATCTTCGAAGTCCAAATCGTCGAAGAAAGGGGCTTCGTTGGCGGATCGTACCATTATGGGGACGATCACCAACGTTGCAGGGTCGGATGTCACGGGCAGTGGTACCGGAGGCCGTCGCAGCGTTCGTGCTCGTACTCAAGTCCAGCATCGGCCAACCCTCGTTGCCGGTGGATTGAGGTCTCCTAAGCGCAAGTAAGTCGTCAAATCTGCGTTGTGAATGGACCTGGTTGACCTAATCCCTTTTAGGCCAGGTTGGAGCTTACCTGGTGGCCCCGTCGTTCCTTTCTCCAAGAAACGGTATGTTAGCTTACTTTGCATATCGTTTTCCTTCCTGATGCACATATTGATTTATAGCATCGCGGAATCTGAGCCCGAGAACCCCCAGACGCAGGGAAAGCGTCGCCGTGTTTAATCGCGATAGCGCTGTTCGCCCCTTAACCGACTTTGTTTGTCTTCTTCTCTCCTTGTACCACATTTCACCGTTTAATCGCGATGATTAAACGCTCTCTTGCTTTCTTTTAAACAAACCTTATCTATTCTCCCTCCCTTCCTTTCTCGGTGATACCGTTTAAACACACCTTTTTCGATTTTGGCTATCCCTTCATGCTGTTTAAACATGCCCTCTTCAGCCGTTTTGACCTCCTCTTGCCTTCCTTTAAACGATCATTAATCGGTCGTTTAAAAGCATACCCTATTCATTGTTTGACCCGTTTTGACTCTTTGCCTTCGTTTAAACGTTCATTAATTGTTCGTTTAAAAGCATACCCTATTCATCGTGCCTATCCTTTAGAGTACTTGTGTTTAAATGTCTTCAATTAAACTATCTGTCATTTAAACGAAAAATCGTATAGAACTGGGCGAGGATTAAACAAAGGCCGTCGTACTTTTGACCCATCCCCCCCATGATCCTTCCCGTCATCACTACCCTTTTCCTTCCCACCCACCAACCCATACGCATCCACCCCCAACGCACCAGCAAGCTTCCTATTCCCCTTCAACCCCTCCCTCGTAAAAACCACCCTCCCAAAATCGACCATAACGAAATGCCCCGCGTTAGATGGGATGTAGGGGACGCGGTGAAATTTAAGCCACGATGCTACGTGTTCGTATGCGCGTTGGAGGAGGTGGGTGTTTCGGTCGATGAACCATTCGAGAGTTGATTTAGGCGTGGCCGTGTCGTTCTCCGAGTTCATGTTTGAGTGCTTTGAGTTTGAGTGGGTGAAGGAAGAGTCCAGGTTCGAGCTAGATTTGGGGGTGCAGTTCGTCGTCGAGTTTGGGTTAGAGGTAGAGGCAGAGGTCGAGGTAATGGTAGACGTAGACCCAGAAGACCCAGAAGACGGCGCAGACCCAGGCCGATCATCCAACAAAACCTCCCACAACCGCGCTGCAGGCGCCGAAACGAGCATGAATAAACTGGTGGCTAGCATACTCTTCAATAAATCCTATAATGGAAAACTTGTTAGAACTGCGTAACGATTTGGTTCGAAGAGGGTGGGCTTCGCATAAGGATTTGTTTCGAAGAGGATGATGAGAACTGCGTAAGGAATTGTCCCTTGAGGAGGACAGGAACTGCGTAAGGAATGGTCTCGAGAATGAAAATGCAGCGTAAGGAAGCGTCTCGAAGAGGAGAACTGCATAAGGATTCGTTTCGAAGAGGATGAAAATGCCGAGTAAGGAATTATCTCTCGAGGATGAGAACTGCATAAGAAACTGTCTCTCTCTCGAGGAGAAAAGGAAACTCCATAAAGACCACCCTCAAAAACCGATCCAAACTCACCTTGTTATACGAGAACAACACACCCGCACGGAACCCATTACAATTAAAGTCCTTCGACATGCCGTAGATCATGTGTACGCGGTTGGGGTTTATGGCGATCGTGGTCGGCTTTGTGTCGGCGTCGGCGTTGGTGTTAGGGGGGTCGTCGTTCAAGTTCGAGTTCGAGTTCGAGTTCAAGTCGGAGTCAGGGCTAGGGCTATCACCCGTCGAGCACATCGCCGAAGGGACAGTGATTGAGGACAAGTCGAACGAGAGTATACTCCTAAACCCCTCCGGCTCCCCCACATCCCCACTCTCAAACCTCGACAACGCGTAAATCTCGTCCGAAACCAAATGTAAATTCCACTTTTCGCAAAACGCCAAGTAGGCTTCTACGACTTCTTTAGGATAACACCTCCCCAAAGGGTTGTGGGGGTTACACAACAACACCGCCTGCACCTTTACCCCGCGTTCCTTTTCGCGGAGAAAGGCCTTGGTGAGGTAGACCGAGACTTCGGATGGAGTGAACATGGAGGAGAGGGGGACGTCCACGCCCACGACGGGTATACCGAATTGGGTGGAGAGGGAGAGGTCGAAGCCGTGGTAGTAGGGTGTTACTAACATCAGTGCGCCTCCTGCTGCCTCCAATACCTCTCCTCCCCCTCCTCCCCCCAATACCTCCCCACCCGCACCCAATCGCGGTGGATCAATCAAAGCTCGAGCCAATTGAGAGATTACGGAGAGCAAGCCGGAGCCGAGGATGAGGTGGTCAGGCATAACAGGGATGTGGGGGGAGAAGTATTTGTTGAAGACGTGGGAGAGGGCGTGCCGGAGGGGCGTGGAGCCGTAGAGGGAGGAGCCGTATGTGAAGTCCTGGTGGGAGAGGTGAGATCCAGGTCAGGTCAGGTCATGTTTTGGTTATGAACAGGAGAGAAAGGTGGTGAGGGTCGGAGGGAGGGATGAGAGGACAGGGCGAGCGGGAGGAGGGGGACGAAGAGGAAGGTACGAGGAGGAACACGAGAGGAAGGTACGAGGAAGAGCAGGAACGAGGGAAGGACAGAGAGGGAAACGAGGAGAGAAGGACACGCACGACTGCTTCCAGCTTTAACCTCTCATCGAACAAATCTCTTAGTTCGTCCCACATTAGGCTGTTCTCAGCTACCGCCTGCGGGTGTTTTGGTTCGCGTAGTATATCGGGGTTGGCGTTGTACATCGGGGTTGGCGTTGGCGTTCGTAAAAGATCAGAGTTGGATGTCGAGGACGGGACAATGTTCGTATCGCGTTCGCATGCGGTTGGACCGTGGTGTCCGAGGGGGCGGATAGGGTTCGAGTTGGAGGGTCGGGTGGATGGGTTCGAGAGAACGGATAGCGTTAGAGTCGAGGGATCAGATAGCGGTAGATTTGGAGAGTTCGGATAGCGGTAGAGTTGGAGGGCGTGGATGAGTGGGTCGGAGAGATCCGAGGTGGGAGTGGAGGAGAGCGTTAGGCACCTCCAGAGGAAGGAGAGGAGAGGGACGTACGAGGTTTACGACGCCCTATTCCACCGAGGGGAAAGTTGGAGGAAGAGGTGTCGTGGCGGGAGGTGGGTCGAGCATTGATTCACGACGGGTCGAGCGTAAGGGTATCACATCGGGTTGAGCGTAAGGGTAAGTATCACGTCGGGTTGAACAGAGTCGCATCAAGATTCAAGAAGTTTCGCGTCGAGGAGAGTCGTATAGGATACAGAAAGCATCATTGGATATCGGATGTCACATCCCACCAGGACAAGATAAGATTAAGATTGCCAATCAGCATCCTACCAAGCACCCATAGCTCCCCAACGCACCTTGGGATTCCGCTCAGGATGGTACGCATCCCCCATATGCTTCTGGACGTGGTACATCTTCTCCCCGTCGACGAGGCGCTGTTGGCCGTATTTCGAGAGGGTGGGGGCATTGGCGCTGGCTTTGACGGAGGATTGGTTGGTACTGGTCATATCGTGGGTGGAGGCGGTCGTATCGATTCGTCGTTTCGGGATGGTATGGAAGAGCTAGTAGGTCGGTGTGGTTGACGAGTGGGGTGTCGCTGAGATACTTAGATAAATATAGAAGAGAGATGTTCCGGGAGCATTCACAGGTCTTGGTCATCCAAAACGTTCCAGAATCCCATCCGTCTATCCATCGTGACCTCCACTGCGAGCACGCAATGCTTGTCCATAACTTGACTACATTCGCAACCCCTCCCACGTCCTCTTCTCCATCTTCTTCATCTACCGTGGCGTTCCATCCTTTTATAATCGCCGTTAGACCACGAAATACGGCTGGAATAAAAGTTCAAGGAGAGTAGAGGATGAGGATGAGACGCCAAGAACACGACAGGGTTCGGACGCGGACGCAGACGCAACTCGAACATCGCGCCCCGCCCGGTCCGAGAGGGTTGAGCCTTGATCCCATCAGTCCGGTTTTTAGCGTCCGCTGACGTCGACGAAACGGCAAAAGAAGAGAGTCGGTCGCGCTGTTCGTGTTCTTCGTCAGGTCCTCAATCGCGTCGAGTCGCATCTTGCTTCTCGTGTCGTCGTCGTTCGTCTACGCGTCTCGGGAGTGATACGACTATGCTACCTCGTTCGGTTCTCCTACGGTATATAGGAGCTAGCGCTGCACAGCGCCGTGCAGCGCTTCATGTGCAGCGGCGGTTACTCGCCTCTTCCTCGTCCTCTTCTGCCTCCTCGTCCTCATCTCCCTCGACAGACAACAAGACCTCCCAAACCAAACCCCCCACCAAAACCACCACCGCCGCAACCCAACAAGAAAAATCCTGGCTCACGAAACAAGTGCAGGCCTCTCCAGTCGCGAAGAAGGTGTTTTTGGGGTTGGCGCGGGTACTGGGGTATGGGAGTCCCAAGCAGAACGCGGCGAGAAGGGCGTTTGCGTTGTATGAGGAGGTGTGTGCTGTTAGGGCTGATGAGGATAAGGAGTTTTGGCAGCAAGGTGCGTCTCCTTCTCCTCCTCTCCTCCCCCCTTCCGTACTCTACTCTACTCTACTCTCTCTCTCTCTCCTAAGAAGGAAGAAAGTAATGCTAATTAATTCATTACATCTCTCACAGGCTGCTACCTCCCACCCACCTTCCAATCCTGGTTCACAATCACCAACCTCCACATCTGGATGCTCACCGTCCGACTACGCGCGCTCCCGCCCGAGCACGGGAAGCACTACATCCAAGCCCTCATCGACCACTTCTTCCTCGACATCGAGGACCGCATCCGGGACGTCCTCCAGCCCAAGGAAGTTCCCAAACCACCCTACACCTTCCGCTCGGACTTCTACATCAACCCGAACGAAGTAGTAACGAAGGAGGGAGTAGGTAAGAAAGTGCTGGCGAGGACGCCGGATAGGATCGTCACGAGGCAGATGAAGATTTTTAAAGAGCAGTGGGCGGGGATGGGGTTGAGTCTGGACTTGGCGATGGTGGAGGGGGATATGGAGATGGCTGCTGCGGTGTGGCGGAACCTCCTCGGTGCGCGTGGGGCGCAGGGGATCGAGTACCCTTCACCCCATCCTACATCGAACCCTTCACCCCATCCTACATCGAACCCTTCACCCCATCCTACACCGGGGTCCACATCATCAATGGACTCACCGGTAGGATCCACTTCAACGGACCCACCGTCCGGACCGACACCGCGAATCCGCCGCGCAGTAAACCTCGTCGGCGGCGAAGTCGTCAACGTCTCCAAGATCGACCTCGAGAAAGAGTCGACGACGGATGATGGATCGGGTGTACATGATTTCCCGCCGCAGGAGGTGGACAAGTATTTGGCGTATCCGGAGGTTATGTGTGATTTGACTAGGTGAGCTGTCTGGGTTTTTTGGTGTGCGGGGGATTTGGGGGTTGGGTTTTGTTTTCGTGGGCTTTCACTTTTCGATGTTATCATCTCGTTTGCCCCGTCATCTTCTTCTCCCAGTGGTCGTAGCGCCGTTGGATGACGGGCGCCCTTTCGTCGTTGTGTCTTGTTGTATAAGTCGGGTTGTTTGCTCTCTCTGGGCCAGGTCTTCGAGTCGAGAGTCTCGCTATTCCCATTCCTATTCCCGTTCCCATTCCCGCCGCCTTACTTTCCTTTTCCTCTCGCATTCCTACTTCCCGCCCTCTTACTTCCCATTCCTACTCCCCACCTTCTCCTTTCCCGCCCTCTTACGTTCTTCCCGTACTCCTTACTCACCTCCCCCACACAGATACATCCGCCGCGAACTGAAACGCCTCGAGAGCGTGCCCGACCACGAGATCTTGCGCGGGGACTGGACAAAGTTGAAGTTTGGGAATGTGTATTGTCGGAAGTAGCAAGTAGGGAGTGGCTTAAGGGTGGTGTTGGAGTGAGCCGAGTATGAGGGTCGTAGTATAGTAGAAAGGGTGTGGTGGTGGTGGTGGTCACTTGACGGAAGGCTTGCCCGTTCGTGTTTCGTGTTTCTGCGAGAGAAAAAAGTATGTCAAACCCTACTTACTTAGATGTTACCTTATTTCCCGATGATTGTAGGCACCGCTTGATAATATTTTGCTTGGATGTTGATTAGAATTTGGACATTCAACATTGCTCGCTCAGACTCTGCAGTCTGGTTTATGAATGTGCAAGCGCTAGGGTCTTTATGAATGTGCAAGCGCTAGGGTCCTCGATGCTCTTTTCAAGTCCAGTAATCCTTTAGCTGGATACTATACCATCCGAGCTGGGCGTGATCTCACCTGATAGTATGTACCTCGCCACCGTTAAGGGCTCGGGCGAACGTGGATAACCTTCGATCACCACAACCCCCGAACGCGAGGTGGCAGGTCGTGCGTGATATCTTTAACTTAAGGAGAAGCTAATATGCTATGTCTTAAATGTACGTCGCGCTCGATACAGACGTTAAGGAGGAGCTCCTCATTCCCAAGTGTTAAGTGTTCTCAGATCCTCAAGGCCCTCTCAGTGCCGGGCCTCAGTGGATCCTCCACTCTGGAGCTGTTGAAGAGCTGTGTATGAGTTATGAGTTATGATTATCGGATGGAGGGGTTGATGATTACTATCAGGAACGAGGAGGGTGTGGAGTCCACCGGCTCTTCTTTGACTTTACTGATGCATCCATCGTCGTCGTTGTTCAGATCTGAGCTCTAGCTGAATCCGACTCGGAGCGCCCGAACTTCGAAGCACTCTTTCAAAGCCCTTGGAGAAAGGGCTACGGGTCGGTTTCAGCTCGATGAGTCGCGAACCATTGAGGGATTTAGGTCCCTTCCCAAGTCCGAGTGTTGCGGACCATGAGAACTTAAAGCTGCCGGATATCTCAGAACAAAGGGACTGGTCGTTTTCCTTTGAACCTCATCCTAGAATTCACCATGATGGACGTAGCCCTTCTTCGAGAGCTCTCGGAGGAATTCAAAAAGATGATAGATGGAGGGATGGCCGAGACAGACATACGCCGCCAGGTATGGAGTTGACATGGTTTACGGCTAAGTAGTAGTGAAAGGAATTGACCGTGCTCTTTTCACTGCAGCTCCCAAGCGACGATCCCAGCGCTAGAACACCCCGTGGGCTTTTCCACTTTTCGATGTTCGACTATGTCCTCACTCTGTTCTCCTTGGGCGGCCTACCTCGTTCGCGTGACACCCCGGGATCACACACCCCTCCTGCCGAAGTTCTCTCCTCCTTCATGTCATGCTTTAACCATTATCCAGAAATCAACTCGCCGGAACATAAGCCCAAGACGACGCTCAAAGTCCTCGATGGTCTTCCTATAATCCTGACCTGGATGGAACGTCATTGTTATCCTATCCTTGACGGCACCTCCACCTCCACTGTTCAGGACAAAGCCGACTTGGCCTACCGGGCCTGTCTGGTGATCTCCTTCATCATGGAGACGTACGACGGCGTGAAGGAGGCATCTCTGAGATCCAACAACTTGAAGCTTGCTGTCCTCGTCCAAAAGTCGTGGGTGATCCCACTCTGTGGGATCGACGGTGAACCGCTCAGGAATCTCGCCGAGCTGGGCCACGACCCAATGCTCCACATTCTGGGCGTCTTCGAGCCTGGAATGCATTCATCAAGGAGGTTTCCTCGTCACAGACGGGCATTGACGGATTTGCTAGGGCGTTCGTGGATAGGGCGCGTCTCTTGGGCAGGATGACAACTCTGAAAGCAAGGCCGAGTGCTATCCCGTCGTGTATTGTAGTATTGGATGCCAGAAGCAAGACTGGAAGGCGAGGCATGGGTTGGAGTGTAAAGTGATGCGAAGGAGCTACCCTCGGTAAGTGCCCGTTTCTTGCGCGCCCTCTACTTAGAGTGGGAATCTGACACTTTCCACCAGTACACGAATCGATGCGGCTCCATTGTGGACAAAGGTCCCGTAGGTTCCACGTCGAGATGGCGGTGTCGCTTTTTCAGGAGAAGGAGCGTACACTTCGGTATAACGCACCCCGCAAGTATCCGGAGTCCGGACAGTCGGTGGGAGGAGTGTATGGTTATGATCGATCTCACAGGACAGTGCGATTCACCTACTGGAAAACCTGTGGTGGACGTGGCCCTCATCGACGACTGGAACAAGGGCGCCGATCATATCATTGGGCGAGGGTGCTCGGCGAATGTTCGGCGCGCACAGGTTCTCGTGGAGCGCTTTCAACAATATCCCTCAGACTGGTAGGACTCTTGATCTGCGCTATCATTGGATACAAGTGTCGGTATCGCATTGAATCACTCACGGAAGTGGAGAGGAACTCGGCGGACGGCTGGGATGTGATCAACAATGTGGTTCTCGTTGAGTACGTGGTCTCGGTTCTCTCGTTGCTGGAATGGGCTTGACTGATGGGACTGCACAGAAGGATGAAGTGGACCCCCGAGACGTTTACCTTCTTACCTTCAAGTACCGCGGGCCCGAAGATTGGATTGTTGGATGAGTTTGGCATGGACAAGATGCTTCAGTCGGCTTTTCCTGGCATTGACTCATCGCTCGAAGGCTTAAATGATCTTTGGTGAATAATCTTGGGCCTCACGTCGTCACCTGGCATGAATTTACATTGAAGTACTTTCACATTGGTGGCCGATCTCCATCCTAATTCGAGGGAATGCCCGATGCTTTACTACTTAGAAGGCTACAGATATACGAATTGATCTTGACCGCAGCCCAATCATTGTCTCGGTAAGCCACCCCTCGTACTCCGCTGCACTAGCGCTATCAAACCCAAAGGTTTTGATGTCGACGACCAACTTCGATAGCTTCGGGAATCTGTGAGGGGGAAGTAAGCGGTCCAGCCTCTCCCAGTCCGTACATGCTTGCAATATCCTCTGCAATTCGTCGAAGCCAAGGGGCTCTGGTGGTCGTGGCGTAGGTTCAACATCAAATAAAGCAAGCATCTTGTCCATCTCCTCGGTGTCAGTTCTCTGTAGCACCAGCGTGAGCTGCTGCAAGTTGGATAACCCATCTCCAAGAGCTAATGTAGTCTCGATGTTGACTCGGTCGTCTGGATCATGGTAGGCGCTATCTTCCAGAGGTTTATCCCCGTCGATGGACATCAAGATGTCAAGGTGTGTGATACGGTCTGAGTAGCAGATAGGTGGGCATCGCTCGGGTTCAACGTTTGAGTGTACTTGCGGAATTGAAGTTTGTTTTTAGCGTTCTGTCAGATGCAGCCCAAAATTGAAGATGACGTACTCTGACGGAGAACCAGTCGGTACAGCTTTGGTGCACAGGTACGAAGCGCCTCGCGTTGAGCGAGGATCTCCCTTGGACCGTCTTGTCGTTCCTGGGTCATATGCTCGTATGATACTTGAACCAGAATGGTTGTGGCATTTGGAAGGATGCAGTTTCGTGCCCTGTTGGAGATCGTCGATGAATGAGTCGTGGCAGTAGCCAGCCTGAGGGCGGAGGAGTGAAGCACTACATAGGATAGCGTCGAGGGAAGGATGGAGAGAAGGTTAGCAATAAAGTGAATGTCCTGTAGCGAATGTGTGGTAAACGATCGCAGTCGTCCTCTGGCAATAATATCCCGACAAGTTTTGGGGACGTTGTCAGATGGGAGTTTTGGGGAGAAGAGGCACAGGTCGGTTATCTCGAGGTCGAGAAGGTGGTCCGCGAGCTTGAGGAGGATGGACACGATAGTCCGCTCGCAAGCAGATCTTTCTTCTTTTGATGGCATTACCCTAGTGCGGTATGGGTACATGTCGAGATGGAGTGAGGTGATGCATGCTGCGAGGCTGTCGTTATCCTGAAGTATGGCATCAAGACCTTCGAGTCTCGCCATTGTTTCGATTTGAGGAGGAGTAATCGGGGAGAAGATTTTGGGAAGGAGGTACAATCGCCAATCTCTACAGACGAGCGCTGCGTTGAGGATTGCGTTCCATGATCTCTCGAACCTTGGCCTACACGACAGAGCGCCGTAGATATCGAGCCCATGGGCAGGGTTGCCCTCGCTGCCGAGTATATCGAGGATTGTACAAATTATTTCGGGTGGTAGACGTTCCTTGGTGGACATTTCGGTGAACGGAAGGGCGAAGCAACAGGATGATTCCCAGTGACGGTCTCGTTTAGCAAAGGAAACATCTCGTGACTCAAGATATCGGTACCGACGAAAAATCCACGAACCGCAAGGTGTGTGAACTTCACGGGTGCTTGAGGCGACGCGCCGGTGTTAGTGGAGAGGGGTGCTACCTATTGGGCTGTATACCCTCCTAGTGCTGTCCATACAGAAGGCAGGATATACAGTATTTATGTCGATGTTTTATCTACGATAGTCGAACGCGGAAACGGAATGGACTTGTACTACTAGGAAGTCCTACCACCTTGGTACCTAGTAATCCACAACGATAGAGACGGACCTGGATCGTAACCCATTGAGTATATGGATAAGCCACCCCTGGAACTCAGCCGCAGCAGCAGTATCAAAGCCGAAGGTCCTGATGTCAACAATCATCTTCGACAGCTTCAAAAATCGCTGAGGAGGAAGGTCACGGTCCAACGCTACCCAATCGATGCATCTTATCAAGATCCTCTGCAATTCGTCGAAGCCCAGGGGTCCGAGCGGGCGAGGCGACGGCTCATCGTCGAATGAGCGGAGCAAGTTATTGATCTCGTCCGTGCCAGTTCTTATCAGCCGGAGTGTGAGTTGCTGTAAGCTGCTTAATCCGTTTGCCAAGTTGAGAGTTGTCTTGAGGTTGATTCGCTGGGAGGTCCAGCGATAGACGCTGTCTTGAACCGGTTTATCCCCGTCTATGAATGCCAGGATGTCGAAGTGTGTGATGCGGTCTGAATAGAATAAAGGTGAACAGCGCTCGGGTGGGGTGGGACTGCTCCCTTGTAGGATGTGAGTCTCGATTGAGGGCTTTGATGTAGGAACTATAGCTAGTCGATATAATTTGGGTGCAGCGATATGGATCATTTTGGTTTCAACCTCTCGCCTTTGCTCGACTGCCTGATCCGAGGCCACTTCAATGAACGCAGTAGTGACATTACCAAGGGGGTCCTCTCGCGATCCGTTTCCAACGGTCGACAAAGGGCTCGCGTTCATGGCCAGCTTAAAGGCGGAATAGGGAAGAGTCACGTAAGATAACATTGGCGGAAGGATGGAGAGACGATTCGAGGCCACAGACATGCTCGGTGGGCTGAGTGATCGCAGTCTACCCTTCATAATGATATCACGGCAGGTACTGGCGACGATGTCTGATGGAAGGCTGTACCCTCGATGTTCATTGGGGAATAGACTGAAGTTGCTTAACCCGAGGTCGAGCAGGTGGTCTGTGAGTTTGAGGAGGATCGAGACGATCGTCCGTTCGCAAGACTGTCTTTCTTCTTTTGATGCCATATCTTCGGGGAAGAAGGGGTACATATCGAGATGCAACGTGGTGACGCTCGCGGCTAGGGCGGAGCTATCTTGTAGTAGGGCATCGAAATCTTGGAGTCTCGCCAGGGTGTTGATCTGAGAAGGAGAGATTGGGAGAAGATTCTTGGGAGGAGATAAGAGCGCCAGTATTTAGAGACCAGCGCTGCATTGAGCATTGCCTTCCACGACAGCTCATCGCCAGGGCGACACAATAAATCTTCGCAGACGCTGAGACCAGAAGCGGGGTTCCCCTGGCTGGCAAGTTGATCGAGGATCGAACAGATTATTTCATCCAAGGCCGCGCCATTCGAAGCTTACATCCATTCGTCTCAGCCGAGTGACGAACACGTAAAGGCCTTGTTGTCTTTATTACCAGACTAAAAACAGCAACGGCGTTTACATGGGTTCTTGTACAACGGTTTACCCTGACAAATCCTTGGAACCCGAAAAAGTCAGCGCTAATATGGTCGTGAAAATACGTAGAGGACTCACTCAATCTGAACCATCCCATTCAAAAGCCTCCCTCCAAAATTGGACGAAGCACCCGAATCTTCGTCGACCAGACAGAGATAATGGACTTTACAATCTCCAAACGGAAATTCCGCCTCAAACAGCCAGACATTCTCTCGCGTCTGAGTGTGCGCTACGAGGTTCTCGAAGCGCGTCTCAGCCTGCGGCAGAAAGTGCTGCCCGCTCTTCCGGTACTCGTCTACGGTTTGGAGCTCATTCACGGGACACAGCTCGACCCTGACTCCACTGATGACGCGCTTGAGGTTTTGAATCCCGCCTGCCCGCTGACGAGCGAACGATTTCATGTGCGCGAGTGCCTCGGATCTGTTGAGTGTCTTTTGTACCTCGGAGAAAACGAATAGGCTGCGCTGGCGGATGTGCCATGGGACCCAGGCGCGTTCGTGTTTTAAGACTGCGTACGAAGATAGGTAGGTCAGTATTCACGCGCTGAGGAAGGAATGATGAATGCGTACCGCTGACGGCTTGAGCCATCGCCTTGCATTCGCGTTTGTGAAGACGCTCCCAGTCTTGCTTTTGGCATGCCTCACTACAGTATACGACAGAACGGCACCGTGAGCACTGTCGAACGCCCTCCCCTTGCGAGGGAGCGCGGAAACCTCGATCGAGGTGCTGGACGCTGGGATTAGGGCCATGAAGCGAAAACATGATACATCTGGACACATACCCCGATGTTCTGGCAAAGGACAAGTCTCTTCGGGTACGGAGTTTGGAAGGACAACCTATGGAGGTTCAGAACCTGAACAAAATCCCCAAACGACTCGACTCCAGCGTGGTTCCGAGTAGACATCTTGACCATCGGATGGTTTCTCGTATCCGCAGTCGCAAACGCTAGAGCGCGTTTGGAGGTCAGATGCCCGATAACGCTATTGAGGACGTCGTCGGCCTTGGTCTTCGCCTGACCTGCTCTCCGAATTTTGGTGAGCATATCGAAGACGGCTTTGAGCGGTCGGCGGACGATGAGGTCGGCGACGATGCTGTTGGAAGCGCTGCGGTGGTGGTTCGCCCAGACGAAGACGCTGAGTATGCTCTCCAGGAAGAAGGGCTCGAAGTAGTCGTCTTCAGACCATTCTTTGAGCTTGGGGAATTGGAACAGCACCAGGACGAGAAAGCCTTCGATGTAGTTCTCCTTCAGGAGGTATCGTGCGAGTCGTCGATCCATGGAGAGGTATTCGAAGATGTCGTTGATGTCGTTGACAAAGTGCATCAGGTCGACGGGGGGTTGGGTGCCCGGGGGGACGTTGCGTATCATCGTGTAGAGGTAGTCGAGGAGGCTGACGACTTTGGAAACGAAGACTTGGATCACGGCTGGCCGAAGGGAGAAGAGCTTGTCGAAGAAGATGGCGCGTGATACATCGTGCACCAAGCACTTGTGCAAGACCAAAAGGAGACCCTCAGGGAAGGGCAACGTCTCTAGATTCTCTTCGTAGTCGTTGGTCGTCGTCGCAGCCGTGATGAGGCAGTCGATAGTGCAGGGTGAAGACAAGGCTGCCATTGAGAGATCGTCTCCCTCCGTGAGCATCAGGTGAACGAAGGAGAGCAAGTCGCCCACTGATCCTTCGTTATTCAGCACTGCGAAACGCTTCCATGAGAGCAATGGTTCCAGGTACTCCAACGCGAGTCTGCGCGCCGTCGCAAGTCGCCCAACCACACCGGATCGCTTCTCGCCATCGAAGAAAACAGTAAACATGTCATACGCGAAGGATGCGCGATCGAAGACAGCCTTTCCCGCTGCGGTTTGGATGGTTTTTGGGAAGGGAGCTAGGAGGTGAGGCAGGAGGGTTTTGGTGATTGTCAACATCCGCTCGGGAGTCAGCCTTGGAAATAGCGAGTATAGATGCTCCATCCGAACAACTTCGCCTCTTTTTGCGTTGCCTAGAAGCTGAAAGGGATGGATGTTCCTTTCAAGTTAGTTGTATACAAGGCGGGTACTTCGCGCTCGACTTGCCTCTTCCCATTCTTGCGGAGTTTGGGGCGCTCGATGGCCCACACTATGGTTGTTAGAGTTATTCATATCTGGCGTGAAACGTTAGAACACTTTTTCAAGAGTGTAGTGTACTTCGACTTACTAGAGGACATAGCCTTGTCGTGGTTCGGAAGATAGTTACAAACTCGGTGTTGATCGAAGTTGGAGAGAGTTGAAGCGGAGTTAACAAGGGCCGAGGCGGCTAAGTTTACCTGCTTTGTACATACTTGACATGGATCCTTTCAAGAGTTTGGATGAAAGGGATTTCTCGAGAGCCTTTGTACTCGACTCGCAACTGGATTTCGATGTCCAAATCGGGATATGCATCGGGACCAAGATGGGCGACGACATCGAGCTACGATGGGACGAAATGGTATTTCGGCGCCAACGACGTGTTCCGTGGCCATAGAGACGGAAAAGTATTACTAGGCTCGAGTGACAACTTGAATTCTGCCGGGCAATGAGTTTATTGTGCTCAGTGTGTTGGGTGAACGAGTTTGTCCCGTTCGTAACGGTGGGAGACGAGATATCCGAAGAAGAGGGTAACGTGAATTATGTAGAGATTTAGCGTAGTTCACCGAAATATTCCTTATCACCTCTCGAGCTGTCCACAACGGCACCTGATTCTCCCAAGGGAACTGAGCTTAAGTTTGAGCGGCGACTGGCGAGAATTCTGGCCGATTCAGTGCTCCGCCTCGATGGATCATGCCAATCAACAGCGCGGGAGCCCATTCATTTGAATCTCCCGTGATGGTATCGTCGTCTTTGACCCAAAACCCTCCGGAGGCGGTCGAAAAGCGCGCGCTACGAGAAGACCCAAACGGCGGACGATGCCTGCTACAAAACAGCGCCGACAACGAACCAGAACCTGTGCTTCCTTGCTACGTCGTTCCAAAGGAAGTGGAGAAGGACCACAGACTTGTAAGTCCCAGACAGCCGTTTGGGAGGAAATCTAAAGTAAGAATCGGTGAGTAGATGACTGCGATTGAGTATAACTTCCAGCAAGAACATATGTCACTCAACCTCGATTCAAGAAAGAACGTGTTTTTCGGTGTGTTATTTATGGCCACGTCATCCACCGATTCTGTTGACAAGAGCGACTAGTTAGCACGACGCTTAGAGACCTGTTCATGGCGGAAAAATGGGGGCTGCTTCCAGAGAAAGCGATTCTCGACCGGTACTGTGATAGCTACGGTTTTCCCTTTGCGCGAGGATGGGTCCCAGAATTTAAGGTAAGAGCTTGTCCGTGATTCTTATACACACAGGTACTGACTGATGGGGCGACCCAGGACAAGCTTTACAAGTACACCATCGTACCGTTGACACCTCCAGAGGACCAATTCCCCATTCCCGTCATACATCGCTACCCGAATCCTGACTCCGAGTCTTCGGGTGGCACTCCCACCGCCTACCCCTTCCCGTTCAAAGAGTTCCCAACTATCACCTCCCACATCCACCCAAACTTTGCCCTCTTCAGCCTTGGGCGCATCATCCGCAAGTTGTATTGGAACACCAAATTCGTCAATCTCTTCGACGAATACCCGATCTTCCTTCAAATCGCAACAATTTACCGTTTGTGGATTATGCTACCCGATGATGCATTCGAGCGTGAAGATTTCCACTATCGCTCCCGCCGTGCTCTACTCGAGGAGTTTGAGGCTGAGAGTGACGCTTCCTGCATCGCCTCAGTGAAGCCACCGCTGAAGGATGCTGAGGCGGATGAGGGTCAATTGAGTGATGCTGGGACCGAGCCTCGTCGCGTTTACCATCCTCCCCCGCCGAAGCGAAAGCGTCCGACGGAGCCCACACAGCATCAGAGCTCCAACAAAAAGCGCGAAGAGGACAACTATTGGCACGGTGCGTCTATCGCCAGGTGGGACTATGCTGTCCAGCAGAGCATGCCCGAGGGACGTGTAGGATGTAGCTCATTTGAGTCTTGTTGACATACCGGTGAGGAATTTTGGATTAGGACCGGCTACGTGCAACATAGCTGAGCGCATGGTGCTGTATTATAAAAGAGGAATGTCAAAATCGCACGATAGATAACAATAGCCTTATCACAGAGCATTTGAAGCTACAGTCGGCGGACTATGACGTTCCAAGCGCCTCACCCACGGCAGTATACAGTGCGTCAATCTTCTGCTTCTGGACCGGGACTCGTCTATCCACCGCCTCAGCAACCTTCTTATCGTAACAACATACAATCGAAAGGAGGAGAGCGGCGAGCTTGTCGATGTAGTCGAGCCAATTCTTCTCATCTCTTACAGCATCGGTGACTGATACAATCATCACCGGGGCAGTGGTCAGTCATACAATCACTGTTTTGTGAAAGTCGACATCCAAATATTCGGTCCACGACTACTCTGTCTATGACTCTTCCGTTGAGATCGTCTTTTAGCGCCCAGAGTCGTCAATTATGGATCATGATCAACACCGCGGGAGATTTCTATCTAAGTCGAGCCAGCTTGATTTCGGCAGTTGGCACCTTCCATCATCATGGTATCATCGTCGCTGGCCCAAAGCCCTCCGAAGGCGGTCGCAAAGCGTGCATTGGAGGAAGAGCCAGACGGCGGACGATGTCTACTACAAAACAGTGTCGACAACGACCCTGAGGCTGTTCTTCCTTGCTACGTCATTCCAAAGGAACTGGAGAAAGACCATAAACTCATGAGTCATATACACCCTTTTGGGAGCAAAACTAAAGGATGACTCGAACTTAGATGACTGCGATTGAGTACAACTTCCAAATGGAACATATGTCACTCAATCTCGATACAAGGAAGAACGTGTTTTTCGGTGCGTTGTTCCTAATCACGTCGTACACCGAAGCTGTTAACAAAGAGGAACTATCTAGTTAGCGCTACGTTTCGAGAATTGTTCATGGATAATAAATGGGCGTTGATCCCAGAACAAGCTGTTCTCGACCGATACTACGATTCATACGGATTTCCGTTCGCGAGGGGATGGGTTCCAGAATTCAAGGTAAGGGCCCTGATAGCTATCGCATGCTTGAAATACTGATACGGGGACCTCAGGAAAAGCTTTTCAAGTACAACCTCGTACCGTTGACTCCTCCCGAGGACGGATTCCTTCTTCCAGTCATACATCGCTACCCAAACCCAGATCCTGACTCTTCGGGTGGCATGATTCAGACTCCCACAGCCTACCCCTTCCCATTCAAAGAGTTCCTAACGATCACCTCCCACATCCACCCCAACTTTGTCGTCTTCCACCTCGGCCGCACCATCCAGAGCTTCTATTATCGAGGGGAGAAATTCGTCCAAAGCGTTATCGCCCCAAATCCTGTCTTCCGTCGACTCGCCACTGGGGCCCGTAGCCCACAGGAACCTTGTTCACTCAAGGATGACGACCGTTGATTTACCTCGGACTAGCTCTAGAGCACACAACTAGACGTACCTCCAAATCTGTATACAACTGCTCTCTAAACCAAACCCCATCAGCCTCCACGCAACCAAAAACACGAAACCGCGAAAACGAAAGCGATGTACTACGTGCACTGGAAAACAACTTACCTCATCCTCGGATGTGAGTCTCTAAACATCGGTACCACCATCCTAAACACATCCATCCCAAGAAGGTTAATGTCAGTATTGTGTCAAACGCGAGAAAAGATAGCAAGGAACTTGCTCGACGATCTTACCATTTTCATTTGCATGACCTTGAGGAATTAATGGTCACGATGGAATGGTGGGTAGGGCAGAGATAACATGTCGTCGGATGGTGCGTAGAGGAGAGACGAAATGTCGGTGGAGGCTGAGTGGGTCGTTCGATAGCGAGTAGGCCGATAGCGAGTAGGAAGCCCAACGTCAGAACCAACCAACACCGCGGCGGAAGAGCCCCATGTCCGGACCGGGTAGGTAGGTACCACGTACGCAGATCATCCATCCACAGTCAACGGCGAAGAGGTGAGGTAGGTCCAGTCGTCAGTCTCCCGAGGAGTGCCGAGGGTAGGACCGTCAACGCATACCGAACGCAACAACCATACCGGACGAAACCACAGCACCGAGTCCCAACGGTCATACCGAATACACATCGAGAAGGGACGTAGAGGGGGGAACGCCAAAGGGAAGAGGAAGGATGCGAAGGGTGCCGGTATGGCTCGTCGAAAGTCATCGTCCATCCACAAGGAGGTCAACGAGTCGTCCATTCGACGTCGGGAACGTTCATTCGAAGTCGAAGTCGCCCAATCCACGTCGCCATCCAATCCAAGTCGTCGTGGAATCAAGTCACCATCCCACCCAAGCCATGGAAGCTCCAAATCATCGTCATACCACACCATCATCCAATCGAAACGAAGCCACATACCGACCAAAAGAAAGTGGCGGGACCGAGGAAACCATAAGCGCCCACTCGTGATTCCGTCATTCCCAGAACCGTGGCCCGTTGCTGGGCTCAGCGTCGTCAGAGAATTCTTATCTTCTGGGCGGTACATTTGGCTAGCCTTATTTGAAACATATTAGTTATCAAAACGAAACTTCCCGTCGCATCAGCTCCTGACATACGTCTTATCGCGCTGACCCTCCTTCTTTCCAGCTTGAATGAACGATGAGTAAACGGGGTGAGCGTTCTGCTTGTTTCCGAGCTACGAAGAGGCTCACCTTTCTGTCGTTGTCAACTACGAGCCATAGAGCCCGTAGGTGAGGTCTACATGAGGGCATGGGGGTAAGGTAAGGATTCACTCGAGTGTTTGAACAGCGTTCAAGTTTATTTGTCATTGTTTGAAATGGACGCCTTTGACATCCCCTACCGTCTCAGCGGTTGAACGGGGCGTACTTACCTCTACACAAGACACTTGGAGCAGGAACGGTTTCAAGGAGGGTAGTCGACATTTTGGTCGGACATTATGTATTTGTGGCGCACTGCCCGATTATGATTTGTCATTACGGCTTCGAGGTAAACATGGGCCATTTTCTTCCATTCCGTGGGCGCTCTCTTCGCCAATCGCAATCATTAGCGCTCTCACCCGGAGATGTCCAGTGACAAGTCCACCCTCTTCCTACATATCCAACATTCCGGGTATCTCTGGACTGGGAATGAACATCGCTGTCGCCCAAGGTCGCGGTACGCCTGGGCTTTGATGCACATAGACTAGGTAGCGGGAAACGCGTCACATCCCACACTCCAGACGTGCTTGTACCCATCCTGGAGAGGGACGGGTAGACGTGCGAAGGATTCTTTTAACAGCTAGCCAGTCCATGCTTATTTGGCACTAACCCCTGGAATCAAACTCCGACGATGATCACGGGCGCCTAAAAGTGTGTACTGTGCACGTCCTCGAACTTTCCATATCCGAGACGAGAGTGGAAAAGATCGCCCCCGGGTTTACTGAAACTGTACACCACATCCAATCTGAAGCACTCAAAGAACAATCACAGGTCCCAAAGGCCTGAATAGAGTTTCAAAACTCTCCCGAGTCCCCCAACGCACCGAGATATTTTTACGCAATGAACGGCCTGAACGGCGACATACATTAGGAGGGGAAACATTATGGCAAATATGTGGGGGTGCGTCTAACTAGGCATAAGATAATAGAAGGAAATTTACCGCTCGCCATAAGTACCATTGCTGTGCTCTCGAGTCCAGGTCGTGGGCACCGCCTAGGAACCAAGGCTGTTCTGGTCCTCCTTCTCCTGATACGACTTCCTCCTCGTTCTAAACAGATTCTTCAAGCTTGATTTCTTCTCCGGCTTTGGCGCTGAGACCCCTGACGACGACTTTGCGGCCGTATCGGCGAAACTGATTGTTGTCGGAGAGGTCGGTGGAGTATCTGTGTGCGTAGCGGACAGCCGGGTAGTATCTGAGGCGACATGTCCCAGCGCCTGGGACTGGTCGCCACTATGGTTCGAAGTGGATGCTGAGCTGGCGGGAGGCGGTGGGGGATCCTTAGGCGAAGAACCTGAAAGAAGGATGGAGGGAGGGCGATTGGAGGGGTTTGTGGGTTGACCTGAGGAGGGTAAGTGGAGTCGTTAAAGAAGTAAATAAATCACATAGGAGATTAGCGACGCACCTGAGCTTGGATCTCCCCCAGAGCGGGATGTTTCTGGATTCACAGAAGCCGAACCGAAACTACCAACCTCTCCGGGCTGAACTCCTTTCGCGGGGTCCGATCCTTCTTTGACTCGTCCTTCTTCCTCTGCTTTCTTCTTTGCTCGAGCTGCATCGCGCTTACGGATAACTGTTTTATGAGCGCACATAGTCAGCCTTTCAGATCGTCAAAGAAACCAACGGTTTTACTCACATGCCTCGTTCTTTGCTTTGATCTCTGCTCTCGCATCTGCCCATATCTGTTCCTCGGTTCGTTGATCGGCAAAGATATGGTAATTGCCTGAGTTGGAGAAGTAGCCAATTCCTGCCATTCGCTTAGTGGGAGTGCGTCAGGGAAAGAGCTGGGTGGAGTTATCGGAAAGGTGTAAAGTCGAGAAGCGCAGGCTTGACACTGCATCGATACTGAGTGTATGTGCGTGTATGGCATTGTGGGTACGAATGTCATGTTCCCTCCGTGCTCCCGCATTAACTACGGGTTTGGTACTTACCATGTAGGAGTCCGGGCCGCCTGCTCTGCGCTCGCCTTTGTCGTCCAAGCAGGAAGTGTGAATCCTGGGATCGAACAACAAAGACGACAACCACGACTCTGCCACGAGGTAAACTCGGCTCTTTCAAAGACTCAAAGAACGGCATGTCAGTCGCCTATTTTCTTTCATGCTATGTCCCTATCAGTCAATGTGTCAGCGCGGTCAGTTCCTTCTCTGTCAGTTGATCTTTTCATTTTCGCAGAAACCTCGCACATGTCTAGTGGGACCCACAAAACTCGACTTGTCACTTAAACAGGAGGGATTCTCCTACCCGGAAAGTGTCTTCGCCCCTGTTCCCTCTCCACTGTTTCCAGACATGGCATCCGAGCAGGAAGAGTTAGAGATCCAATGGCGCCTTCGTGTCCCAGAGATCGAGGGACTCTCTGGCACTTTCCGAACCTCCTATATTCATACCCTCCGTGAAAAGTGTGCGATGATCGTCGATGAGGCGGGGAAGCGTTTCGCAAACTCGTTCATCATGCTTGACGTGAATAAAGATGACGATGATGAGCAACTTCCATATACTATGTCAGATAGAATTAGCTTAACAGCAGATGAGCTCCGCCGGGCTACTCAGGTACGTTTCTCCTTCACTCCTTCCTGGATGTTCATCGCTCACACTCGTGATTAATTAGGAAAGCGATACATCGAGACTGGTCCTGCGAATCATGTAAGTCGCTATCTTATCTAAGTAGTTGCTGAGGGACTTACAAACTCGGATGGAAGCTTGCTTCAGTACAACTATGAGCTCGACCGAGGGTCTACTTCGAACGATGGGGCGTATGTCATTAAATGGATGGCAGAAGAACTGGGTGTATCTCCCTGCTTCTTCGACGGGGCTCTTCGATCCAGCGATTCGACGATTCTCGAACTGGCGCCTCCTAGAGCAGAGTCCCCGTACAATCTCGATATCAATACACTCAGTGAGTCGTGATTAGTAACAACTCTACATTCCTACGCTTACATTTGGACAGACGGAGTCTACATCACCCAGATTACCGGAACCAACACCACCGTTTGGTTCAGCCATTCGCTTGATCGAGACTTTTCTTTATACATCATTGACAACTCGCCAAGGACGACCACAGCAAATATTCTCAAAGCCGTTGTCAATCTCCGCCTCCAACCTTTCCTCTCGGTCGATTCACTAGTATGCAGCGACGACTATCTTTTCAATGAAGTCTACGCTCAAGCGTTCAAGATGACTTCAGAGGCGGTAAGCCTTTGTTAACCGCTTGCAGAGCAGCCTTCAGTTTTGACTACATCCTCTAGCTCCATAATCTGAAACCGATAGACCCTAACGATGGTTCCCCTGAGGCGGAGCAGTACTCCCGGAGGAACGAGCCTGATCGTCGTTTCGATGATATGACAGACGGCTACCAATTCGTCTACAACATCAGCCGTGCTTACGAGAACAAGAAACGAGTCTTGGAGCTCCTCAACCAACTGGCCGAGACGAGGCACACGCTGGCCAAAGCCGACCCAACTCGCTTCAAAGCCAGTGGCAGTCTCGACAACTGGGTCGAAGGTATTCCTCGTGAGACTGCCGGTCTTCTCAAGAACATGGAGCGTAACCTCGTCGCACGGCAAGGCGCTGTACGAGACAGCTTGGCGATGTTCACGACGATGATGAACCACAAGATGGCTGCCTTTTCGTCCCAGCTTGCAACGGATGCTCGACGAGACAGCTCGTCGATGACTACGTACGTATCTCGATGACTACATCCGGATACTGCGTCGACTAATATGTATCTCTAGTATCGCCCTGGTCACCATGCTGTTTCTTCCAGGATCCTTCGTTGCGGTAAGGGCGGATTCTCCACCAATCGTGTTCTTCCGCGACTCAACGGCCAATGGCAGTCGTTCTTCAGCACGCAGTTCGTCAACATCATCGAGAGCGACAACGGGACATCCACTTGGGTTATCCCGATGAAGTTCTCGCCTCTTGTCTGGATTTACGTCGTCGTCAGTGGGCTTCTAACGCTGCTACTGGTGTTCGTGTGGACTTGGCTTCATGGTTCGGCTAGAGCCAAGTTCCGGAGGCATAAGAAGAGGCTACTTCGGAAGCCTTGGGAGCTTCGGCGTACGAGGACTATTGAAGCTAGAAATAAAGGAATGTCGACCACCGCGGTTTATCTAAGTGAGATGAAGGAGCTAGACGGATTAACGAATAGGGGTATGAGAGGCGTTAGATTGGATACTGTCATAGATATGGATCGAAATTAACAAGCCCTTTAATGCGACGCAAGTATACGGGCCCGAACTAAACTGTACACGGCAGTACGATTGAAGACATGATGTCCAGACGAGGCTTGTTCAAGTGACAGACGCTCGCGAGTGGCCGAGTCGGAGGGCCAGTCAGTACGTGAGATAATCATCTTCATCGAGGTCTTGGTCCCCTCGAAGTATCTAGTAGTCAGTCACACAAGAAAGGAATTAGCATCGAAGGGAATCAAACGTTCAGCCTAACCAAACATCCAAACATTCAAACCATTGAGCAAGAAACGTACCCAATGAGGAAGAACACGATTCAGAGCAACACGACGGACCGCAGGCTCGATAGTACCTTCCCGAACGTTTACTGGACGAGGGTGTGGATGCCTATGGCATCTGAGAGGTGGTAAGTGTGGTAGGTACCACCCGGGCCTCGGTCATCTTCGCGTCGGACTCGGCGACGCCAGTCGACCAATCCGTACGCGTGTTGACGATATCCAGAGCCAGATACACGAAGGCGTTGACGATACCACTGGACGCAGCGTCATTCTGACCTTTGAAGGTATCGTCAGTTTCTTTCGAGTGGACGCGTTGAGAATTACTGAAAGAAACTGACGGCTATCGGACTGTGCGCGTGCAAGAACTCGAGATGCTCGAACAGGAAGTCCTCAGTCCACAAACGCCCAACACCACCCTCAGTCGACGGCGGGATGTTAGTTTCCTTTGCGTGGATAGGTGGACCTTCCTGGAGATTCAGGTTATGGACGTTTTCCAACGTCGACGTCAGGTCCGAGGACTGGCTCAACGCGTTACTCAGTCTCTCGGATGGCGTCAAGCTGAACATAAGTACCTTCTTGCGACGTGCCCTCTCCCGCAGACGTCGGAGTAGACCTTCCAGAGTGTTGACGAAGTCGTCGTCTCCGTCCGGGATGGGACCAAATGGTGAGTTGCTCTCGGCCATAGGTTGGAACTTTGAACTTTGAACGACGATGGAAGTTGTAGACAAGGCTCGAAGATGCCGAGAAAGCCGACGCTTAATGAGGATGCAGCTAGGGTTAGGGGTAAACGCGTCACTTCCGAGCAATCAATCCAGCCGCGCCTGACTATCTCCCTTCCTCTTCAGAATTACCACACACGACGACTCCGTCGACGGGCACCACCATAGAACCACAATGCTCCCATTCTACGACGAAGAACGCAAACGACGAATCAACCTAGGCGGCACATCGCGCTCCACGACATCCTCCAGCATCCTCGACCAAGTCCGGATCCAGCGCCTCCAGCGGGAAGAGCAGAAGAAACAGCAAGACGCCGCTCTATCCATCCAAGCGTGGTGGCGCGGGCACCGGGAATGGAGGCGTGTCAAGACGGAGCTGAGGGGTGCGTGGGAGCTGGATCCGTTTGGGATTACGGGGTTGAGATGTTTGGTTTTACTTGGGAACGATGAGGAGACGTTGGGACGGTGGTCGGAGAGGATGGGGCAGGTTGGGATGGGTGAGTGTTATTCGTTTGGCTTCTGTAGTCGTCAGAGAAGCTAATGAAATTGCGGAGCAGAACAGATATTCGCGTTGGCGAAGACGGAGCATGCGGGGAGTTGGTTGGTCCTCGTGCGCAAAGCTGCTCTTCGATTGCTGCAATCCGTTTCTATATCGCCTTTGTAAGTGTTATCGTATTCTTTACTGGCGTATACTAACATTTTGTAGATCTCCTCACGCCGAGAACCACTTGAACCTACTCACGACGCTGCTCTCGACCAAGATAGCCGCCCGCCACCTCGACTCCTCAGGCGACGAAGCAGTGCGCCAAACCCTCGGATATCTCCTTCAACACGACTATTACACTCATCTAGGCGAGGCTATCAAACGCATAGTACGTTCCTCGCCCTCCTAGTCTCTCGATTCCACTAAAATACGTTTACAGCCACTAGAAGTGAAGAAATCGCCCGCCCTCTCCTCGCTCGTCAGTCTGACAAGCGTTCCACTCACCACCTGGCCATCGGGGTCGCCCGAGCACGCCTACGCCCTTTCTAGATTCCTCGCCCGGATCCTCAGCATCCCGCTCCTCCCCAACCGCATATCGATCCAAGACCTCCCCCTCTTCCTCTCTCGCATCCCGCTCGCCAACCTCCACGCCCTCGCTCCACACACACGATACATCGTCGATAATACCAGTATAGAAGAGAAGATCCATTTGGTATCCAACACCTCGATGTTCTTCACGCCCCATTATGCAAAGTTTACGAACGAGTCGATGGGGTGGTATTTGAGGTTTATGGCGTCCGTCTTCAACGAGCTACCAGTTTCCGCGTTCGACGCGTCCAAGCAAAAGACCAACGCTACAGGGGATAAGAAGAAGAAGGGTGGGGAGACAGCATGGACGCAGACGCCGTACGACTCCGACTCTGACGACGAACGAGGCGGGGTTATCAAAGTCCAAGTCGTATCCTCCTTCACCACCCCTCCTCCACCGACCTCAGTCCCACCGCTCGACACTAAAACTCTGACCCGCCTCCAGAAGCTGCCTTCCCAGTCGCACATCGAAGCGCTCCTCAACCTCGCGAGGAGGTCGCAGAAAGTCCAGGACGCGTTTATCCTTTACGTGCTAGCGCTGAATGCGGTGTGGCCTGAGCACCGGGAGAGGGTTCTTACCTCGATCCTGGCGCTTACTGAGGGTAATTTGATAAAGACATTGTATAAGGGCGATGTGAGGAGTTCGCCGTTGGGGAAGGAGGAGCGGTCTGCTGCGTTGTTTGGTGCGTATCTTGCCTTTTTCGAATCCCACATACCTTTTTTTTTCGAGTCGGACTCGAGTCGAGGACTGTTACTGACATGTATCATTTTTCAGACCCGAAGAACGCAGATCGCTGGCCACCTCTGCTCTTCCTCGCCGAGCTGTATGCTCAAGCGCTCGTCACGATGGGCGACGACGAGTTCTTTTCCTCCTCACCATCCTCCTCCTACACCACCACCTCTTCCTCCCTCTCCTCTTCCTCCCTCTCCTCTTCCTCCCACCACCACTCCTTGTCCTCTGGTCCATCATCCCTGGCCTCATCTTCGTCCACGACAACGACAACAGCCGTCCGCAACCCCCTCACCCTAGACGAACTAATCGCCTTCACTCGGCAGTTGTTGAACATCGCGTTTACGCTTTTTTGGACGGACGATCAGAGCTCGATGCAGGTTGGGAGTGTTGGAGGGTTAGGAGGGAGGTATACGTGGGAGGTTGTTAGGGAGAGGGTGACGCGGTGTTTGGTTAGTGTTCATGCGAGGGAGTGAGTGTTTGTTGCTTTGTTTTTTTTTTTTGTTTCGTTGGGTTACGTTGCGCTGGATTGGATGGATTGGTGCCATTCAACTTGGGCTACGCGTGCATTGGAGGCTCCGCATTTGGCGATTGGCGGTCGATTTCACAGCGCCGTCGTCGTTGAACGTGTAGCACATCGGCCTGTGTCATCGTTTGGGCGGATGGTCTCGACGTCCGTGTAGCCTTCGGATCCATTGTCCTATCCCGTTTCGACCTCGTTCCTCTCATGCTTTTCGAGTACTAACTATCCGTTCGTATAGTTCCAGAAAACCGTTCATCCCACCCGACGGGTGGCTCGTCACCTCGAATTTGGATATGAAGACGTTCGTGGAGGCTGCTATGTACGTCTTCCCTTCCCCAAGATTCTTCCTACCCTCACCTTGCACCCATACTAATCCATTCCTTTCTCCCATTTCTCAGTCTCGAAGAAACACAACTCTCCGACCCGGACTCCGCCTCGTCCATCGCGCTCACCCAACCCTCCTCGTCGTCTCGCACCTCCCGCACGTCGCGCAACAGGAACCTCACGAAACGTTCAATCGCACTGCTCTCGCCATGTCTCGGTGTTCTGAACAACATTCCCTTCTCGATTCCATTCGAGATAAGGGTCTCGATATTCCGGCATTTCGTCCTCAACGACATGATGAAGGTTTCGGGTGGGGCTATGGATCGGTTCGGGGGTGGATGGGGATGGCATGATAAGACGCGTATTAGGGTGAGGAGGGGGCGGGTTGCGCAGGATGGGTTTGATAGACTTAGTGAAGTTGATTTGAAGAAGCCGGTTGAGATTACGTTTGTGGATCAGTGGGGGCAGGAGGAGTGAGTTATTTTCTTCTTTTTTCTGGTCCGTTCTCGATTTTCTGGTTTCTTTTTTTTTTGTGTTGCCTTGTTTCGCTTTTGGTTTTGGTTTTGGTTCGTGGTTGGGGCTTTTTTTTGGTTGCGTGTTCTTGGTCGGGGGTTGTGGTTTTGGTTACCAACTGCGGTTTGGAGTTTTCGTTTTCGTGTGAGGTGGATGGATGGGTGAGCGCTAGAGGGGAGGGGTTCTCGGGTTGACGATGCGTCGCTCGGACTCTTCCGGAGCGTTTGGCGTTCGTCTCGTTTCTTCGTCTGCATCTCTTCCGTTCACCCTTTCCTTCCCTTCTATTCCTTGATCTCATTGTTCCTTTCGTTTCATCCGGTGTCGTCGAATTTCCCGTCCCTCGACGTTTATTCGTACATTGATCGTTCCCTCCCCGACTCTCACTCCTCGTCGAACGTCATACTAACCTCCACCTCCTCCTCCCCATCTCACAGAGCTGGTATCGACGGCGGCGGCGTATTCAAGGAGTTCTTCACGGACCTGTGCAAAGAGGTGTTCGACACCGATCGGGGGTTGTGGTTGGCGAATAAGAAGAATGAGCTGTATCCGAATCCGCATAGTTATGCTACTGAACGTAAGTTATCGTCTCCCAAGTTGTCCTCGCTCAAGGCTGCTTCGCGGAATAGCTGACGGTTTGTCTGCAGAACATAGTTTGAATTGGTATCGGTTCATTGGACGCGTGCTGGGCAAGGCGATGTACGAGGGTATTTTGGTGGACGTAGCATTTGCTAGTTTCTTCTTGGCCAGGGTACGTTGTTTTCTATGCTTTACGGATGCGTTGGGACAGGTTCCGTGGGACCTCGTTGGTCGTCGCGTCTCCGTCCTGCGACGACGTCTCATCCTTCCACCATCCATCGCCTCCTTCTGCTTCTTGCGGTTCGACGCTAACGCCCTTTCCCTCCACCAGTGGCTCGGCAAACAAAGTTTCCTCGATGATCTCGCCTCGCTCGACCCCGAGCTCTACAAGGGACTCATCTTTTTGAAACACTACAAGGGTAACCCAGAGGATTTGGCTTTGAATTTTACTATTGCTGTTGATGGTGCGTTGTAGCTTTTTGTCGGGTGTTGGGTGGTTGGCTGACGTGTCGCCTCTCTTCACTCGTGCTTGTGCGATTGGTATACGCATCGTGATCGACTTCACCCTCCCTCCTTCCTCTCACCTTCGATTGTTCAACCGTCTTCTCCCTTCTCTCTCCTCACTTTCGACCTCCAGAACTCGGCGTAACGAAGGACGTCGAGCTCGTCCCTGGCGGAAGCAACATCACCGTGACCAAAGCCAACCGATTGGACTATATCACGCTCGTGTCGCACTACCGGCTCAAGAAGCAGATCAAGAAGCAGAGTGATGCATTTTTCGATGGGTTGAGTGATATGATTGATCCTCGGTGGTTGAGGTGAGTTTTCTCTCGAGTCTGCGCTGGAATTTTGGGTGTTAGGACCTTGGTTCATCCGGATGCTCCGAGCATCTCCATGAGTCGTTTCGATCGCTTATACCGTCCTCTGGGACGGATGGATTCTATCGTCAACCATCATGGGAAGCTCTGTGATGGGAGGCTCTGTGATGAACGGCGCTGCCATAACGCCTCTCTCTGCGCCGGTTTTTTGCGACTGCACTGTACTAACTCCCCTTCCTCCTATAGGATGTTCAACCAGCAGGAAGTCCAAATCCTCATCGGAGGCGTCAATTCCCCTATTGATCTTGATGATTTGCGACAGCATACGAACTATGGAGGGTTGTATGATGATCGGCATCCTGTTATTGTTGCTTTTTGGAAGGTGCGTGAGCGTCTTTTTGTGGTTTCTTTCTGCGTGTTGTGTCGGGGAGTTGGAATTGGTTTGAGAGGTTGACCTCGCTCGAGCACCGCCAACCACGTTCGGCCATTCGTTTCACTTCCGTCGGCTCCTTGGAACTTTTTACTAACTGACTATCGTGATTCCCTTCGCAGGTTGTCAATTCGTTCGACCAGGAGCAGCGTCGGGCGTTGTTGAGGTTTGTGACGAGCTGTAGTCGGCCGCCGCTTCTGTAAGTTATCTCGTTTTCACGTCGTTTTGGTTCGATTTCTCTACCGTTCTTTTTCTTCTCTGCGCTATGTTTGTCTACTTTCTTTCGATCCTGCCTTCATCTACTCTTACTTGCTACCTCGACGCTACTTGGACTATAACGCTAAACCGGTTCTTTCCAGTGGTTTCAAAGAACTCGTGCCGCACTTTTCGATTCGGGATGCTGGTACGGACGAGCTTCGTTTGCCAACGTCGAGTACGTGTGTGAACTTGCTGAAGGTGTGTTACGCTTTCTTCCATAAGTTGGGATTTGTTTTCTGACTGAAGCCTTTGTTCGCCACTTTTTGATGTTCGACGCCTCGTTTCGGATCTCGCACTCACACCGCGCTCTATCGTCACCGCCTGCGCTCACCCGTTGCTCGATCGTCGATCGCACATGCCCTATTCTCTCGCTCTCCCCTTCTGTGTGGGTAATCCAGCTCCCCATGTACCCCAACGAGCGCATCATGAAGGAGAAGATCCTCCATTCTATCATGTCGAATTCCGGGTTCGATTTGTCGTAGATTGGTCGAATTCTCGTTTCGAATCGATCCGGTTGAAGGTTGCGTTGTTTAAGCTTTTACAACGGCGAAGTCGGAAGGGGTGGTAGAGAAGTGAGCGTATAGAGGGCGTTATATCGTCACGCGCTTAGAGTCATTTTGTATTTCGACTCATTGAACTACTCTTGTATCATGGTTGTTAGTGCCTTGTCCATCGCATGTTCATCGCTTTCGGATTGTTTCGTAGATAATGTAACTTTATTTCACTGGCTTTCGGGCGCCGGTTTATGGGAAGGAAGAAAATCTGAGGTTGATGTCTGAGATGAGGTATCTTCGAACGATACGAGGAGGACAACGTTCGATGCAATTGTGCCGTCTCGTCTCAGCCTTCAGTCTTCATACCTCTACCTTTCACCGACCAGATGTGAAGCTCGGGCGACGGAGACCGGCTACTTCTCAAACTTCAAACTTCTCCAGAGCCCAATGCACCAGAATTCTGAATACGACTAATATTAAATATTATGTTCCTATTAACATGGGCACATTAATGGTACGACGTCGTCCCGTCGTACCTCGTCGTCCATCGTCCCAAATGACGTAATCATCCGTTTCATCGTACCATTGTACCGAAAAAAATAATTTTTTCATTAAATCGTACACTAAATCGTCCCTTTGGTATGATAGAGGTTAGATCATCGTACCAAAGGGACGATGATCGTTAGTGTTAGTCAAGGGTATGCCATACCCCGGGCGTACTGGGGTGGGTACGGGTAGGTGCGGGTACGGGTACGGGTATGGGTAGGGTTGTGGTCACCCTAATATTATGTTCCAAAAAACATGGCCATGTTTAATGTACGACGTCGTACCATCGTCCCCCGTGGGAAAATGATGTCATCGTACATTCATCGTACCATCGTACAAAAAAAAGTAATTTTTTCGGTAAATCGTACACGGTGTCTACCCGAAAACGGTTATTGAAACCATTTGGTACGATGGCATCGTACCATCGTACACCCTTATCGTACAAGTGTATGATGCCATCGTACATGGTTTCTACCTGAAATCGATTATTGAAACCAAAATGTACGATGGCATCGTACCATCGTACATCTGATGTACGACGTCATCGTACAGTGTACGACGCCATCGTACCTTCATCGTACAACGAGTGTACGATGAGAGTACCCCATCGTACCCCCATCGTACACTCGCTGTACGATGACCCCACCTCATCGTTCACTTGTACGACGCCATTGTACCATCGTACAACCGGTGTACGACGTCATCGTACAGTGTACGACGCCATCGTACCTTCATCGTACGACGAGTGTACGATGAGAGTACCCCATCGTACACCACTAGATGCTGTAGCTTTTATTCATAATTTACGGTTACATCCATGTATACATTATTCATAAAAACACGGTTGCCGATGGCCGCTTTTTATTCATAACTTGTCCAGCCATCGGGATGGCTTGGCATAGCACAGCTCATTTCCAAACTGGGATGTGTCACCTTGGAAGCGCTTGGCAGTGACATCAGCAGAGCGCCAATTTCCAAAGTAGTCACCCCGCTCCTCACAGGGTTAGGGTTAGGGTTATAGAGAGAGAAAAAATGGAGTAGGGTCGGTCTGACCCTGGGGTCATATTGGACTGACCCTGGGGGCAGGGTCAGGGGAGAATATGGGTGACCCTGGGGACTGACCCTGGGGGAGAGGGTCAGAGGGGAATATGGGGGACCCTGTGGGGGGCAGGGTCAGGGGAGAATATGGTTGACCCTGGGGACTGACCCTGGGGGACAGGGTCAGAGGAGAATATGGGGGACCCTGGGGACTGACCCTGGGGGAAAGGGTCAGGGGAGAGTATGGGAGAATATGGGTGACCCTGGGGACTGACCCTGGGGGAGAGGGTCAGAGGGGAAGATGGGGGACCCTGTGGGGGGCAGGGTCAGGGGAGAATATGGTTGACCCTGGGGACTGACCCTGGGGGACAGGGTCAGAGGAGAATATGGGGGACCCTGGGGACTGACCCTGGGGGAAAGGGTCAGGGGAGAGTATGGGGGACCCTGGGCGCATCCTGCTCAAGTCTCTGAGATGAGGTGGTGGGCCGCTGTTGCTCTGATGTTCCGGGAACACCACTCTCTGAGTCTGGTAGTCGCCACCCTCTGTATGCGGTGTTCCAGGAACACCACTCCCTCAGTCCGAGTTGTGACTCGCTCGCATCCGGTGTTCCAGGAACACCACTCTCTGAGTCGGAGTGGTCACCCTCTGTATGCGGTGTTCCAGGAACACCACTCTCTGAGTCAAAGTGTTAACCACCCTCTGTATGCGGTGTTCCAGGAACACCACACTCTGAGTCGGAGTGGTAGCCACCCTCCGTATGCGGTGTTCCAGGAACACCACACTCTGAGTCGGAACCATACTCTGAGTCGGAGTGGTCACCCTCTGTATGTGGTGTTCCAGGAACACCACTCCCTCAGTCCGAGTGTGACTCGCTCGCATCCGGTGTTCCAGGAACACCACTCTCTGAGTCGGAGTGGTCACCCTCTGTATGCGGTGTTCCAGGAACACCACTCCCTCAGTCCGAGTAGTGACTCGCTCACATGCGGTGTTCCAGGAACACCACTCTCTGAGTCGGAGTCGTCACCCTCTGTATGCGGTGTTCCAGGAACACCACTCCCTCAGTCCGAGTAGTGACTCGCTCACATGCGGTGTTCCAGGAACACCACTCTCTGAGTCGGAGTGGTCACCCTCTGTATGTGGTGTTCCAGGAACACCACTCTCTGAGTCGGAGTGGTAGCCACCCTCTGTAGTGTCTGAGTCGGAGTGGTCACCCTCTGTATGCGGTGTTCCAGGAACACCACTCTCTCAGTCCGAGTGTGACTCGCTCACATGCGGTGTTCCAGGAACACCACTCTCTGAGTCAGAGTGGTAGCCACCCTCCGTATGCGGTGTTCCAGGAACACCACTCTCTGAGTCGGAACCATACTCTGAGTCGGAGTGGTCACCCTCTGTATGTGGTGTTCCAGGAACACCACTCCCTCAGTCCGAGTGTGACTCGCTCGCATCCGGTGTTCCAGGAACACCACTCTCTGAGTCGGAGTGGTCACCCTCTGTATGTGGTGTTCCAGGAACACCACTCTCTCAGTCCGAGTGTGACTCGCTCACATGCGGTGTTCCAGGGACACCACACTCTGAGTCGGAGTCGTCACCCTCTGTATGGGGTGTTCCAGGAACACCACTTTCTGAGTCCGAGTAGTGACTCGCTCACATGCGGTGTTCCAGGAACACCACTCTCTGAGTCGGAGTGGTCACCCTCTGTATGCGGTGTTCCAGGAACACCACTCTCTGAGTCGGAGTGGTAGCCACCCTCTGTAGTGGTCAGCCTCTGTATGTGGTGTTCCAGGAACACCACTCCCTCAGTCCGAGTGTGACTCGCTCACATGCGGTGTTCCAGGAACACCACTCTCTGAGTCAGAGTGGTAGCCACCCTCTGTATGCGGTGTTCCAGGAACACCACACTCTGAGTCGGAGTCGTCACCCTCTGTATGCGGTGTTCCAGGAACACCACTCCCTCAGTCCGAGTAGTGACTCGCTCACATGCGGTGTTCCAGGAACACCACTCTCTGAGTCGGAGTGGTCACCCTCTGTATGTGGTGTTCCAGGAACACCACTCTCTCAGTCCGAGTGTGACTCGCTCACATGCGGTGTTCCAGGAACACCACTCTCTGAGTCGGAGTGGTAGCCACCCTCTGTATGCGGTGTTCCAGGAACACCACACTCTGCGTCGGAACCATACTCTGAGTCGGAGTCGTCAGCCTCTGTATGTGGTGTTCCAGGAACACCACTCCCTCAGTCCGAGTGTGACTCGCTCGCATGCGGTGTTCCAGGAACACCACTCTCTGTATGTGGTGTTCCAGGAACACCACTCTCTCAGTCCGAGTGTGACTCGCTCACATGCGGTGTTCCAGGAACACCACTCTCTGAGTTGGAGTGGTCACCCTCTGTATGCGGTGTTCCAGGAACACCACTCTCTGAGTCGGAGTGGTAGCCACCCTCTGTATGCGGTGTTCCAGGAACACCACACTCTGAGTTCCGGAGTCGGTCACCCTCTGTATGCGGTGTTCCAGGAACACCACTTTCTGAGTCCGAGTAGTGACTCGCTCACATGCGGTGTTCCAGGGACACCACACTCTGAGTCGGAGTCGTCACCCTCTGTATGGGGTGTTCCAGGAACACCACTTGTCTGAGTCCGAGTAGTGACTCGCTCGCATGCGCTGTTCAAGGAACACCACTCCCTCAGTCTGAGTGTGACTCGCTCGCATCCGGTGTTCCAGGAACACCACTCTCTGAGTCAGAGTGGTAGCCACCCTCTGTATGCGGTGTTCCACGAACACCACACTCTGAGTCGGAGTCGTCACCCTCTGTATGCGGTGTTCCAGGAACACCACTTTCTGAGTCCGAGTAGTGACTCGCTCACATGTGGTGTTCCAGGACCACCACTCTCTGAGTCGGAGTGGTCACCCTCTGTATGCCGTGTTCCAGGACACCACTCTCTGAGTCGGAACCATACTCTGAGTCGGAGTGGTCACCCTCTGTATGTGGTGTTCCAGGAACACCACTCTCTCAGTCCGAGTGTGACTCACTCGCATGCGGTGTTCCAGGAACACCACTCTCTGAGTCGGAGTGGTCACCCTCTGTATGTGGTGTTCCAGGAACACCACTCTCTCAGTCCGAGTGTGACTCGCTCACATGCGGTGTTCCAGGAACACCACTCTCTGAGTCGGAACCATACTCTGAGTCCGAGTGGTAGCCACCCTCTGTATGTGGTGTTCCAGGAACACCACTCTCTCAGTCCGAGTGTGACTCGCTCACATGCGGTGTTCCAGGAACACCACTCCCTCAGTCCGGGTGTGACTCTCTCTGAGTCGGACTTTACTCTGAGTCGGAGTGGTCACCCTCTGTATGTGGTGTTCCAGGAACACCACTCTCTCAGTCCGAGTGTGACTCGCTCACATGCGGTGTTCCAGGAACACCACTCTCTGAGTCCGAGTAGTGACTCGCTCACATGGGGTGTTCCAGGAACACCACTCTCTGAGTCCCAGTGGTAGCCACCCTCTGTATGTGGTGTTCCAGGAACACCACTCTCTCAGTCCAAGTGTGACTCCCTCACATGCAGTGTTCCAGGAACACCACTCTCTGAGTCCGAGTAGTGACTCGCTCACATGCGGTGTTCCAGGAACACCACTCTCTGAGTCCAGGAACACCACTCTCTCAGTCCGAGTGTGACTCGCTCACATGCGGTGTTCCAGGAACACCACTCTCTGAGTCCGAGTAGTGACTCGCTCACATGCGGTGTTCCAGGAACACCACTCTCTGAGTCCAAGTGGTAGCCACCCTCTGTATGCGGTGTTCCAGGAACACCACACTCTGAGTCGGAACCATACTCTGAGTCGGAGTGGTCACCCTCTGTATGTGGTGTTCCAGGAACACCACTCTCTCAGTCCGAGTGTGACTCGCTCACATGCGGTGTTCCAGGAACACCACTCTCTGAGTCGCTCACATGCGGTGTTCCAGGAACACCACTCTCTGAGTCGCTCACATGCGGTGTTCCAGGAACACCACTCTCTGAGTCCGAGTGGTAGCCACCCTCTGTATGCGGTGTTCCAGGAACACCACACTCTGAGTCCGAGTAGTGACTCGCTCACATGCGGTGTTCCAGGAACACCACTCCCTCAGTCCGAGTGTGACTCGCTCGCATGCGGTGTTCCAGGAACACCACTCTCTCAGTCCCAGTGTGACTCGCTCGCATGCGGTGTTCCAGGAACACCACTCTCTGAGTCCGAGTGGTAGCCACCCTCTGTATGCGGTGTTCCAGGAACACCACTCCCTCAGTCCGAGTGTGACTCGCTCGCATGCGGTGTTCCAGGAACACCACTCTCTGAGTCCGAGTGGTAGCCACCCTCTGTATGCGGTGTTCCAGGAACACCACTCCCTCAGTCCGAGTGTGACTCGCTCGCATGCGGTGTTCCAGGAACACCACTCTCTGAGTCGCTCACATGCGGTGTTCCAGGAACACCACTCTCTGAGTCCGAGTGGTAGCCACCCTCTGTATGCGGTGTTCCAGGAACACCACACTCTGAGTCCGAGTAGTGACTCGCTCACATGCGGTGTTCCAGGAACACCACTCTCTGAGTCCGAGTGGTAGCCACTGTATGCGGTGTTCCAGGAACACCACTCCCTCAGTCCGAGTGTGACTCGCTCGCATGCGGTGTTCCAGGAACACCACTCTCTGAGTCCGAGTGGTAGCCACCCTCTGTATGCGGTGTTCCAGGAACACCACACTCTGAGTCCGAGTAGTGACTCGCTCACATGCGGTGTTCCAGGAACACCACTCTCTGAGTCTGAGTGGTAGCCACCCTCTGTATGCGGTGTTCCAGGAACACCACTCTCTCAGTCCCAGTGTGACTCGCTCGCACGCGGTGTTCCAGGAACACCACTCTCTGAGTCGGAGTGGTCACCCTCTGTATGTGGTGTTCCAGGAACACCACTCTCTCAGTCCGAGTGTGACTCGCTCACATGCGGTGTTCCAGGCACACCACTCTCTGAGTCGGAACCATACTCTGAGTCCGAGTGGTAGCCACCCTCTGTATGTGGTGTTCCAGCGAACACCACTCTCTCAGTCCGAGTGTGACTCACTCACATGCGGTGTTCCAGGAACACCACTCTCTGAGTCCGAGTGGTAGCCACCCTCTGTATGCGGTGTTCCAGGAACACCACTCCCTCAGTCCGAGTGTGACTCGCTCGCATGCGGTGTTCCAGGAACACCACTCTCTGAGTCGCTCACATGCGGTGTTCCAGGAACACCACTCTCTGAGTCCGAGTGGTAGCCACCCTCTGTATGCGGTGTTCCAGGAACACCACACTCTGAGTCCGAGTAGTGACTCGCTCACATGCGGTGTTCCAGGAACACCACTCTCTGAGTCCGAGTGGTAGCCACCCTCTGTATGCGGTGTTCCAGGAACACCACTCTCTCAGTCCCAGTGTGACTCGCTCGCATGCGGTGTTCCAGGAACACCACTCTCTGAGTCCGAGTGGTAGCCACCCTCTGTATGCGGTGTTCCAGGAACACCACTCCCTCAGTCCGAGTGTGACTCGCTCGCATGCGGTGTTCCAGGAACACCACTCTCTGAGTCCGAGTGGTAGCCACCCTCTGTATGCGGTGTTCCAGGAACACCACTCTCTCAGTCCGAGTGTGACTCGCTCACATGCGGTGTTCCAGGAACACCACTCTCTGAGTCCGAGTAGTGACTCGCTCACATGCGGTGTTCCAGGAACACCACACTCTGAGTCGGAGTGGTCACCCTCTGTATGTGGTGTTCCAGGAACACCCCTGTCTGAGTCGGAACCACTTACACCTGAGCTCTGGGTTTCTACATTTTCGCCCACACCACCTCACAACTTAGCTGCTCTGCCAGGCGTTCGATGCCCACAAAACAGTATATACTAAGGACAATTATATAATTCATACCCAACCTCAAGATACAAGTCGGCAAAGGGAATCATCAAGAAAGGTAAGTAAGCGGGTAGTACTATGAAAGGGAGAAGAGGGAAATTATCGAATAAAAGGGAAGAGAAGGCGCGTCCTGACAAAGGGAAATTCACCCAGCCAATTCCTAATCAATCCACAATCAATCACCAAGGCAGTCGCGAAGTAAAATGGCCACTTACCCACATCGGCTCCCCTCGAAGGATGAGAATTTTCGGTGCCGGGAGTCGCAGGTCAGCCCCACCGAACCTGGTAAATCGGCGATCGGGCCGGGTCTCCCAAACACCACCGTCCCCCCAAGGAATCCAGCAGAGCATCCTGAACAAGCGGAATAGGGCCTTCTTTGCCTCCACCACCTCTGTCCTCGAAACGCGGTAGGTGAATGCCACCCAATCGTCGTAGTACCTTCGAGAAGCAGACGCTGGGTCTTCGCTTTCCCAGTCCCTATCTGGGAAGTGGCTGTCGAACACCACCATGAGTTCCTCTTCATCGCGAACCACAATCCACTGAACTTCCGTGAAGATGTCCGAATAGGCGCAGGTTCTGGAAGATACCCATGTCAGCGTTGGCGAGCTGGGCGGGGGTTAAGGCGCAGAACGAGTCGGAGCTGTGGTTGTTGCGACGCGAAGGGACCTTCGAGGGGATGCCAGAGATGATGTCGTTGACATACTGAAGCCACATTTCCTCACACCACCGCGGCAGGCCGTGCGTGAAGTGGTGTTGCGTGAGGTGCATCGGTGGAATGACGATGTCGAGCCTGTCGGTGGCGTAAGCGTGTTCGTGGAGTTGGTACCATGGCTTGGTGGACTGGGGGGGGGAGGCGGAAGATTCTGCGCGGAGGAACTTGCTCAGCTGCGACAGTCTCCGTCCTCGCAGCAATGGCGAGCTGGTCAAGGGAGGCTCCCATGACAGCTTCAAGAATGCGGTCGCAGATAATCATCGGGGACTCGACAAATTCTGGAAACCCATCGAGGAATTGTCGAAGGTAGAGGACGTTGTACACAGATCGAGGTGCACTGTCGCCTTGCCCGATTCGATCAAAGACAGGGCCACCCAGACCAGGGGTGTTCGATTGGGAAGTGGGAAGGAAGTAGCGAGCGTCGCCCATCCTCGGAAAACTGATCGTTGCCGTGGTGTCGATGGTGTTGGCAAGAAAGGCGATCCCAGCTGCCAGAAGGAGAGACGGCGCCTGAAGTCGGTTGTAGGGGGTTCTGACGATCTGCAGCTCCGTCGCCATCCTCATGGCAAGCATGCGGTACGCTAGCATAGGCCTGCCAAAGAGGTTAGGACAAACAAGTAAAACAACGCAGGGAAGGTACGCACCATAGCTCCTCCCTTTCCAGAACGAAAATCGCAGTGTCCAAGGCAATGTACGGTACGTCAACGAGGAAATCCACCGCCTTCCCAATTGCTACCACCCCTTCAACACGAAGACCGACTCCTGCGGTGTACGCAGCAGCTCGGTAGGATTCGAAGGCGCGGTCGAGGACCTGAATCGCGCGGCCAGTAAAAACGTCGGTGGGGGTAATGGGTTCTGGGCTGGCGACAGCGTGCGTGTGGGAGAGAGACCAATACCGAAGGCCTGTCTGGCCCATCATGGTGTCGCTGAGTCGGACTTCGCAGCCAGCTGCTTGGGAGAGATGGAAGGAGGTGTGGCGAGAGTAGCTGGCTTTGTTGGTGGTCGTGATCGTGTGGGACTGGATGATGTCCACCTTGGCGAGGTGGTAAAGGAGGTCGGAATGTTTCTTGGAATTCCACAGAAAGCACTTCCCACTCGCCGAAGCAATGTCCATTCCGACCCCGACGTACCAAGTACCATGCTCCCCGCTAAGAGCAGCTGCGAGAGAGAGCTCGTAGTGACTAAACGCGAGGTTCAGCCAGTCTCGGGAGGTAGCCCTGTCGCGAGCATCGTGCTGCGTCGACCGCGACATGTCTACGACCTCGTGGACAAAGAAAATGTCCCCAGCCCAATGAACGCCGTGATCTTCAAGTGACGCGCGAAGCTGGTCGGTAAAGGTGGAAATGTTGTCGTGAGGGATGGTGATAGGTGAGTCGCCTGCGGTGTCGTGCTCAATACCTAGAGCTGGATGGATCCCGAGTCGGTAGAGCTCTTCGTACTTGTCCGCGCCGATGTTGGATTTGTCCCCGATAACCGTAGCGAAGCCAGAAAATCCGATATGAAGTCGCGTGCCAGGGCCCCAAGTGCCAATTGGGTGCGTAGCCAGGTGTACCAAGGGCTTCGTTACAACTCTCCCCTGGTTCTGGGCGTGGGTTTCAGTGTGAACAAGGTAGGAGTAAGTCACGCACCGAGGGTAATTTTATGTCGAAAAACAGAAATAAGTCCTTCATGGGTTCGTGGTGGTACTCGCCGAGCGGAGCGATGGTCAGGTCTCCCGACACTAACTCGATCTCGGGGCTGGAACCGATAATCGTGGTGTAGTGGCGAGAAAGAGAGAGGGGAGAATCAGACCGGGACAGGGTGGTCCCATCGAGCGTTACTCCGTAGCCGTCGGCAAACTCGGTGCTGAATCCAGAGAGGCAGAACCTCATGAACTTGTCTTCATTGACGTGAACCCAGGCCCGCGCGCGCTTGGCCCATTCGGCGACTGTCGAGCAGCGATTGGTGGGTGGGAGTGCCATTTCGATGAGGTGAAGCGATCGAGAGTGGGATGGGAAGTGGGGCATTTCGGTTACAGAGTCGGCGTTCGAAGTGAGCAAGGCAGGAGTTCAAATAAGCTGGCACTCACGGCAAATCCAAAACCCATTTTCCATTCATAAACGACTGAACCATTCGAGAATTGGTGGCACCCTTCCAATCACTCCCTTTCCAGGCGCGTAAGAACCCGGCTAGCCCCTATTTTGAGCCAAATCCGATTGCCGGGTAAATTCTTCCCTGGTCGATCTGCCAGCGAAGCCTTCAAGGCAATTTTGGGCGAAACGGTGCTTGTTGATTGTGCGATGAATACATGACATAGGCTAGGAAGCGTGTGGCGGTAACAGAAAAATATCCCGTAGTGCGTGCTACCCAAGAAACTTGTCCACACTACCGTCGAAAGTGAATCGACGAGAAACCGGGCTGCATCGCGAATGCAATGGAAGGCGGGTGGTGAGAGGCGAGGGAACACCTATTGGGGAGGGTGGGTGTTAAACACATCGTAGCGTTAGAATCGAGAACCGGGGTGGTAGTCGAGAGACGCATCCCCAAAATATAATCGAGTAGGAGAGCATACTGGTATTCAAGGGACGAGGCGCAGCCTATAAAACACTGTACCGCTATCAGGTAATGCACGAGTGCTTCAAACTTGGACGGCACCATACCGGACTTGGGGCAGTTGAGATCTGAGAGGGTTAGTGAGGGTTGTGACACAGGTCAGGAGACTGTAGCTCACCCTTGTGGGCGCTAAGTAATGGCCACGCTACCGTGTCGTTCAAACCCCGCCAAGGCAGGCAGTTGCGATATTTGGTCGGAGTTCCATTTCGATCCCTCCCCAGCTTCACCGACTCCAATTGCCCATCGCGATGGTATCTGGTGAAACAGCCCGAATTACCCGCTCAAAGTAAGTCTCCAACGCCTTCATACAGCTTCTACCCCGTCTTATGGACCTGTAATTACCAGATCCGCCCGCAAGGCTACCACCAACCGCCCACCTCGAGACGCGGCGCGCCGAACAACGGGCGTTCGCAAGGCCAAAGCACCTGCAAGAAGGGTGAAGAAGGAAACACAAAAGATTGTGTCCGAGTCAGACGGCGCAAACTTAGGTACCGTACACGTTCCCCGGCGCTCTACTATAGCCATTCGGTCCATGGTGCGCCTATTTCTACCATGCTCGAACGCCCACTGACCTTCGCATTCCCAGCCTCCCAAATCAGTCACCCCTCATGGCAGCTACAATTCAAAATCAGGAGCGGCAGAGGTGGACTTGCGCGCAATACTTTTCGGCAGGCGAGGAAACCAAGCGGTGGAGGGTGGTACCAAATCGCACCAGCTCGAGGTCGGCGGTGATCAAGGCGGGTTCGAGCTCAAGGAGGGCGGCGGCGATCAAGACGAATTCCAGTCGTCGAAGAGGACAGTGACGAACAAGGCGAATTCGAGGTGGAAGAAGACGACGACGAACAGGACCAGCTCGGCGGCGGTGGCAGCAGCGGTTTTCAAGCCTTGCTCCCACCAGAACGCAAGCAATTCGTCAAGATACTCACCTCGACCTTCCATTCTGCGGCTCTCGACATCGTGGTGACCTACGACGAAATGCTTGACGGAATCAAAGCAGCGTTCGAGGAAGAAAAACTGAGGTCTTAGGATCGAGCGTTCGCGCTTCAAGCACCAAGGTACCTGTAGATAGGCCCTCCACCGCTGCTCAGGACTAGGGCTCACCCTGTGGACACCTTGTCAATCGGTATTATTTACCTCTAATACATTTTGACACAATGTAACTGATTCAATATCTCTGCCCGCGCGGTCCTAATGGTCCGCGGTCACCAAGCCGCTCGCCTGCGGAAATGGCAGCTAAAATTATGAGGTATGAGGACCAGCGCCATGCCCCCTGCAAAGTTAGGGGCAGGCGCGCTCGGGGGTGGGTGATTTAGTGATCGCATCACCCCGGATCAGTCATCGCGACTCAAAAGCCGGGACCGGAGCCCCTTCGCTCTCTCTGCGCGCCACGTCGACCTCCACCCTGCTGCTCTCCTCGACGCCCTGTTGCCTCGGCTTCGGCTAGTCACCAGAGTCTTGCGAGGCTTCAGACCAAAGGCGATAGGTGCTTGTACTCGCCCCACTTCACCCCGCGCTTCGGTATCTGCACTTCCAAATGCCACCCAAACGGCTGCACCACCACTCGCCCCAGGAACCCACCCGCCGCTCCTCGCGCCTGGCTGCTCTACTGGCGCAGCCGCGCCCACAAACGCACGCGCCGCAGCCGACCACCGCAGCCGCATCCAGCCAGCCACCCTCATCGCCGCAGCCTCTACCACCACCCCTTGCTCCCCTCCCTTCTGGGCGCAGACCCCACGATTCCCCCGAACCCTCCCAGCCACGCATCCATCGAGGTGGTGCACGGGCCAAACCACCAGGTCCTGTGCAGCGCAAACTCAAAGCGAACCTAGATGCGTGGCGCCCTCTTCTCGTTACCGAAGTCGCCACCCGCGCCTCAGCCTACCTGCCCCTTATTCGATCGCCTTCACCGACCTCCAACGAAGTGCTGGGTGCACTTTTGGCCAGCTTCTTTTCGTCCCACTCCCACGACATGATCCCTCCCCCCGACCCACTTTCGTTCGCTTTTCGACTCCTGAAATCCATCAAAACCTCCCTCCCCCCCGAATTTTCGGCCGCTTTCGACGAACGGCACTCCAAGCAGCTGGCTAGGCGGAAGTCCAAGAAGGATATGGGAAGCACGCACGTCTTTCTCTACAAGAACCCCGCGCGCCTCGACCACTTTCGCACCACTGTCGCAACCTTTTACCTCCACCGCCTCCCTGAAGGCCAGGAGTACCCCCCTAGGGGCTGCTTCGTGGCTGAAGGTGTGTCTACCCAGTCAAGCTGGGCCACGTACATCAGGAACTCCCAGAAGCCCGATAAACGTGGGAAGCGCAAGCCCGTTCACCTCCTCGACAAATCCAAGATCGCATTCGAAATCCCAGCTGGTCTTACCTGCATTATCCGCGACGCAGACACGAGGGAGGTTGTGTTCTCTGTCGTTCGCAACCTCTCTGGGCTCGCTCCAATGCTGGCGTTTGCTAAGGAGGTCATTGAGCAGGCCGTTTCTGAGCGCAGAAGCATCAGGGTGAGCCAGCTTCCGGCCCTGCGCGACTAGCATCACTGACGCCGCCGCTTAGCTCGAAGATGCGGGATCCCTAGTCATGTTTGGCTACTCGGCGGGTTCGCGCAGCAAGCCAGCCTTCGCGTGGGTCAAGAACCTCCTGGGGAAGCGGGCCGACACCACCGAATTCAACCACAAGGCCGCCACCGTTCTCGGCTATGCGTGGCTCAGGATGAGAGCGCTCCACCCCGGACCCGTCATCGGCGATTTCCTCCGTTTCTTCAACCGCTACAACATTCCCCGCCTCGATCCAAACTGGCCAGCACCCCCTAGGGACCGCGGTTCAATCACCCTCCCTCCTGGGTGTGGTGGTTTCGTCTACGAAGGTGCCGAGAACGCACCTGGGTGCGCGGTGTTCGGTGAGCGCTACGCCAGGGCAGTTCACAAGGAGAAGCAGCCCCACGACTGGGCTCTCTCGTGGACTACCCTGCGAACGGGAAACGACCTGCGCGGTGGTAACTTTGTCCTTGCTTCCTACGGCCTGCTCGTCTCCGCGTCCCAAGATTCGTCGATGGCGTGGCAGCCTGCTGACTGGCACACCACCACACTCGGCACATTCGAACCCACCTTCGACATTCCTGGCCACGAGGACGAGACTTTCAACCAGCAAGGTATTGCGTTCGTCACCTCACCCAGAATCAAGAGTGCCTATCTGAAGTGGAGGGATGCAAATGGGCTTTCAGGGTCCGAGCGCGTGGAGGCTGCTATCCAGGAGTTGGAGTTGGAGGGCGGGGAAGGCGGTGAAATTTACGAATAGATAATGCTGGTGGTGTAAAGTATATATCTCTGCTAATCAAATCTACTCTTTCTACTTTGCCATGGCCCTTTCTTCCCTACTGCATGGCCCTGATTCAGCGCGCAAGTCACTGTTGCGGGAGCTACCCATTCTACATTCGACCAGTAAGTATGCAGAATGCAATCGCTACAGCGCACCCCACCCTTCGACATGATTGCCGTCCTAGCCGAAAGACCCCAGTAAGCGTGCTGCGCCGAACGGTGTACCGGTGTACTCACCCATGTTGGTTTTCCGCGAGGAACGACGAGTATCTTTGGCGCAGGCTGGCTGGGATCAGCACCTGGAGGCCTCTTGAACGTACCGGGAGTCGCTCTAGTCTCCCAAATTCGGTCTGCCTTTGCTAGAGGAACCCATCGAAGTCTCTTGAAGAGGCTCCAGAGCTCTGCGCGAGCGGCTTCAGCAGCGTCAGGGGTTAGGCGTTCCGACATCTCAACCCAGCTGGGGTAATACCGCGTCTTGCTGTAGTTCTGTGTCTTGCCAATCTTCCTCCTCCCTTTGGCGGGCCACAGCCGGTCAAAAACCTCCCTCCACTCCTTCTCGTCCTTCGCGTGGCGCCACTGAACATCCTCGAAGGTGTCGGACAGGTTGAGGTTGCGGAACTGCTCTGACGTGATCGTGGTGCGCTCCTCTTCGCTGAGAACAGTGTAAGGGCCGTGGTTCATCCCGTTCTTCGCCGTAGCAGTTCGATTCGGCATCGTCCCTGCGAAGTCGACGAAGGACTGGTTCCATAGCTGGCCCAGCGCTTCATCCAGCCCCTTGTCTAGTGGGTCTTCGCTTTCGAATTCGTCGTCGCTGCGTGTCTCAACGTCCGACCCATCGTCAGTGGCTGCAGGCTGGATGTGGAACCCAGCGTCTTCTAGCGCGAATTTAGGGATAGGGGCGACTTGCGGTGCGAGTGGCTGCTTTCTGCGATTAGAAACGCGGTTGGGGTTTCTTGCGTAGGCAATGTTCGACCCCAGGATATCGTCGTGGAGCTCATGGCGAGCCTGTCCGAACATAACTTTGAAGGCGTAGTCGGTGAGAACAATGCGACGCCACTCGAATCGAGGCACGGGGGGTGGGGGGTACCGGAGAGGTCGGGTAAACAAGGCTCCAAATGGAGCATGGGGAACAAGATCAGACGCTCGGGGAACCGTTGAAAGCTCTTGCGCGATCTCTTCATCGTCCAAATCGGTGTGGGCAGGGTGCTGGAGCTGGGTGGCCTCTCTTTGTCCACCAGAGTCCTCGGATTCATCCAGTTCCTCAGGAGAACCGCTCGCACCACCGTCGAGCGATATGGGAAAAGGAAGGTGGTGGTCGAAGATGGCGAACCGCTCGGCGAGAGGGAAGATCGCAGCCATGAGTTCGCGCGAGGCTGGTCGGGTATCTATGGTGGAGTGGATGCTACTGGCGAGAAGGGCTGTGGCTGCGGCTAGAAGAAGTGCGGATTCCTGTGTGCGAAGGTGGGGAGGCCCTTCCAGCTGCCATTCATAGAGGAGCTTTAGGGAAAGAACACGGTAGGCCTTAAAGCCCCTGGAGCGCAATGGTTAGATGCGAATAAGAACGACCAACTAGGATTTACGCACCACCATGCCCAGCAACTAAACCCAAATGCCGAGGAGAACAGAACGTCGGCGTCGATCGCAACCATAAAGGCTGCCGCGTGGCGAAGAGGAACTCGCCCTTCCATTCTGAGGTTTGAGGGGCAGTCCTCAGCGCACCTCCGGTACACCCCGTAGGTTCCGTCGAAAAAGCTGTTTGCCTTTCCGTGGGTGACCTGGTACCCGCTGACATGCTTCCCAAACCGGTGATTCTCTGGCTGGTACGTGTGTGACTTGTCGGTGTGGTAAGCTTGCCAATAGTGAAGTTCGTACGCCCCTCGTTGTGTCGGGCCTGGCGTGACTCGAAAACCGGCGACTGCTGTAAGGTGGGAGGCCAAATCGACGTAATACTTCCCGCTGGACAGCTGTGTTACCGACTTCGCCGCCGCCAGAGGGATGCCACCGGCTTGGTTGAGGATTAGCGCGTGCGTTTTCCGATCCCAGGCCAGACAAGTCGCCCCATCTCCAGCAGCAACCTCCACTCCAATATCGACATACCAGTCGCCGTGATAGCCCGAGAGAAGGAGATTGAGGTCGAGGTGGTGGTTCGAAAGCGTCTTCTCCAAAACCTCCTGAGCGAGGTGGTAATCTTGAGCTGAGTGATAGGTCGAATCTTTGATCCCCCGGATTTCGTGCATGAAGAAAAAATCTTTCGCCCACTCCACGTTATTCTCCTCCAACGTCTCCCTAAGAACGTCGCTGAACTGCTCCACCACGAATTCCGGAATTTTGCGACTGCCCAGGGCGAGCTGCCCGCTCTCTGTCCTAGCTCGGAACAGCTCCGCCTCCCGCGAGGCTGGGAGGTTTGCTCCACGACTCTCCATCAGCTTTCGGAGGACTGGGCGAATCCCTAGCTGGTAAAGCTCTGCCTGGCACTTCACAGACAGCGCCCAAAGAGGGCTGGTAGGGGTATCTCGAGGGGCATTGGGAAACATCAGCCGAATGAGGGTGTGGGTACCGAATTTACCGATGCCGACGTTGGGTATCTTGTGGAGTTCGACGGTCCTGGTTCCCCCCTAGGCGTGCGCGTCAGTCTCGTGGTTCGATTCCAGGCGGGCACCCACTCACTTCACTATCCAAGACGCTGTAGGTGACTTTCACGTTCTTCTTCAGGGTGTCGTGGTACCGCGGAATAGGGAAGATGGTCAAGTCCGCGCCTCGAAGTTCTATTCTTGTGCTTAGTCCAATAACCGAGTCTATGTCGCGCGTGCAGGTGAGGTCGATGTCTTCTTGTTGGGATAGGTGGTTTAAGTAAGGGTCGATCGAGCTCTGCCGTCCATTGCGCTGGTCGAACCCCGACAAGGCGAACTGCGCGAACGTGAACGACTCTCCTGGACGGTCCAGGAGTTCGCCAGCCGCATAGCAGAACTCCTCAAGGGAGTAGGACACTACTTCAGGGTCTTCAGTGGCGGGCATCAGCAGCGGCAAGGCACGAGATGAGTCGAGAGCAAAGTGAGATGAAGGAGAACACCGTGCACCCACTTCCACAGGTGCGTTTCTAGGGGCTTTCAGAGCGATTGCGGTTCATTCAACTCTCGTCCAGACGTTGCCTTCGGGTGTGACCCAGAGTTGTGGATAAACGGAAAGGAAATCGCCAGATCCTTCAGAGCTATTCTTTGAATGTCAAGAGGCGATCCAACTCCAGTTCGTCGGGGGTTGTGATAGCCGGCGTTACCACAATCAAGCACCCAGAGGTGTGGATGAAGCAATTTTTCCCAATCTGGTGCACCCACCAGTTGTGATAGCCGGCGTAATCACAATCAAATACCCAGAGCTGTGGATGAAGCAACTTTTCCCAATCTGGTTCACCCACCATTCGTGTTCCAACCTTACACATGTCCTCCACCAGGTATTCTCGGGCCCCGAACTGTACGATCTTGCACCGATGTCGCTAGAATGTCGTTTTGAGACAAAGGTACGCCCACCGACCTGCCAAGGCGCCTAGACACATACATTCATTTTTTCCTTGACAAGACCAGAAGCGCGGTGCATGACACCACACTAAGTGGTTCTGGAGCAGGATAGCCCAAGATGCACGGTCGCATGCTTAGGGATCGTACATCGAAGTTCTGCAATTGAGCTGGGTCGTTTTTTCACTCGCGACAGCTCCTATTCTAAACCTGATTGAAATCCACACGCGCTAGCTTCTAGGCATGAACTTCTCACCCTATTTAACCGAACGGTTGCTCGTTGCTCTTCTTGCCTTGTCTCTTTAACCTCGTGGTCATTTGTTCTTTACCAAGTCGCTCACACCCTTTGGAGATGCCCACCCACACTCCTGCCAGTGCTCTTGTGATATGCTTCACCGCGATGAAGGGTGCACCTTGGAACTACCCCAAGTGGCAAGAGATAACCGGCGTCTACCATGGCCTATTCCCAGAAGACGACAAGCACCTTCCCATCGGGTGGACTCGGCGCGACGCCGACAACGTTCGATCCTACTTTACACAGTTCAGCTCTTATCAGAAAGATGAGCAAAAGCTGAAGTTCGCCGTCGTTCGAACCAAAGCTGGTCAAGATCCCATCCCAGGTCGCGCGTTCTTTCGCGATTGGGTCACCTCCCTTATTTCCTCAGTCTGGATGATGTACACTCGCATCGCCACAATTCTTGAAGACACCAACATCCACCCACTCCAAATCATGGTCGCAGCCGACAACCTCGACAAGTGGCCCATGAGCAACTACTACATCCCGATGGTCATCGACAGAGTCGCACTCGAGCTTTTCGGTCCTGAAGCCCTTGGCCCTACTGGTCTTCTCCCCGACGAACTGCGCGCGGTTGTGGGCATCTTCATCCAGCGCACCTGGGTAGTCGTCAAACGCTCATCGATGAGGAAGATCAAGAGTTTGAAGACTTATGAAACCGACGCCGAGAGTGCTCTCGCCGGTGAGTTCTACATCCATTGGCCTACCAGCTTCCGGGCTAACGTTCTTCGTTCAAGCTCTCTCGGAAGACTCGATCACGCCAGAGAAGGTCAAGAAGACGCTCCGGACGGTGTCAAAGTTCAGGGAGCTCGTCGAACTCTGTGGTACTTCATCAGCGCGCTCGAAGCTCAAGACCATGAACCAGAAAATGGATCAATTCATTGCGGAGGTCCACACGCAAGTCGCCCCTAAGCCCAAGAAGCCAGCGGATCAGAAGAAGGCAGGTAAGTAAGCTTTGTCATCTTTCCAGTTTCCGCGCTCAGCCCTTCTCCAGCTCCTCCCAAGTTTGCTTCATCCAAGTCCCTCGCCCAGCTCGCCACAGCCAACGATGTCGCCGAGTTACTCGATCTCTACGACTCTCTATTCGGGGAAGCAACAGATTCCGCACCTGAGCTCGCAGGTGGATCGCTGTCTGGCGTGCGATTTGGGCAGCCCGCGGACGGTGCAGATCCAGGTGTCGAAGTAGAATCAGGAATGACGCCCGCCCAGCTATTTCACAACCTCGACTTCGACGGCGGGACACCCTTCCTCTTCAACAAAGAGCGCCATCGCGACGGTCTCAACCCCTGGGACGTCGACTTCGACTCAATCCGCAGCGATACCCCATCCACGCTCGAACCTCTCAAGCTTCACTGGCACCAGGGTGCCGGAGTCCACAGCATAGTTCGCCACATCTTCCACAAGAAGCCATCACCCTCTCATCCGTCTGGTATTCTTCTCGCCGACGACGTTGGTATTGGCAAAACCATCCAGTCCTCAGCCACTGTCGCTTTTCTCGCCAACCTCGCTCTTCGCCAAGAGCGGGGGCTCTCTTTACCCCCTATCATCCGTGAGTTTTATCCCTTCCTTGCCATTGGCGAGGCTAACCTTCATTCTCGAAGGCGATTTCCCCTACTTGAAGGATCTCGGCACCCTCCCCGCCCGCTTCTCACTCATCCTAGTCCCCACCGACCCTTCT